GCCCGCCCCCGCCCCCCCCCCCCCCCCCCCCGCCCCCCCCCCCCCCCCCCCCCCCCCGCCCCCCCCCCCCCCCCCCCCCCCCCCCCCCCCCCCCGCCGGCAGGGGTGGTTTTCTGAAAATCATACTTCTTTATTTGCCAACACTGACCGAGGAGGGCCGTTCTGATTGTTGCGAATGCCTGAACTCATATCCAAGAGTTGAAGTCAACGTAACGCCCAGCGTGTTGTTGGTACCTACCAAAGTCACACGACTTTCTCGAAGCACGCCCCGCAGTCGGTGTTGAAGCGGGGTGCAGGCTGCACAGCCGTTTGGCAATTGATGCCGAAGCCCCACCACAACCCCTTCTCACTAGTAGGGCCACGATGCACTCCGTCGACCTCGGGAGGAACATCGTTGCCTGTCAGGGCGATGTCAAAGCTAGGTGCTGAAAAGGATGAATTTGATATTCTAAAAGGAGGTGTTTGTTGTGTGACCAGCAGTCGATGAGTTCAATAAGGATTATTATTATTTCAATACACTAACATTGAACATGGTATCAAGATCGCTCGCTGGCAAAGCATCCCGCGCCGCGAATTAATTACCCAGACAACTCACTCAGGGGCCTCCTAAAGAAGACATTTCTCTCCCACCCATCAATATTGTCAATAACCGTTTCCCTTACCAATTCGTACTTTCCAATCTTGGGCAGGATGACCGCCCAAATAACCCAGTACACGCCTCCAGCGAAAATAATACCGAAGCCCACGACGCAGTGGATCCAGTACGGCAGATTCTCGTAGACATTCTGGCCTTCCTCGGGCGGGACGAACGGAGCAATGACAAGGTAGATGTTGCTGAAGAGGAAGAAGACGACGACAGGGAGGGTGGCGCTGATGGGAGGGTGCCAGTTCCAGGCCTTGCGGTTGATGTAGAGGTGAAGCAGGCCTGCGGCGACGAAGGTGTTTACAATGGCCAGGGGGTACGAGATGACGCTGTACTCCAGGTTAGTATCAAAGATTTACCAGCACAGAAGCGTCTTGGGCATGCTTACTTGAGAATGAAATTGTACGCGTCACCAGGGGGAGGTGCAAGCATGACAATGACGGAAACGAGCCAGTGTTCGAAGAGTCCAGCGAGCGGGGCATTGAAGGGCCTGTTGCTAGCCCAGAAGCGGGAGAACGGAAGGATACCCTCGCGGCCGAGTTCCTGTACCAGACGGCCCTGGGAGAAGATGACGCTCAGGACGTTACCAAACGCGGACAGGGCCACGAAGACGGACAGGGCGCGCTCTGCGGTGCCGCCGAAGACGTTGCGGAAGAGGGAAGCGGCCACGAGACGGCCGGACGACAGGATTTCTTCTTTCGGAACGGCGGCAAAGTAGGCGATGTTGACCAACATGTAGAGGACGGAGATGACGCCGATGGCCAGTGGAGCTGCGATCTTCAAGGTCCTGACCGGGTTCTTGGTCTCGCTGAGGGCGTAGTTGGCGTTGCTGTAGCCGATGTAGCTCCAGATGACATTGTACAAGGCCGTGACAACACCATACGCGCTTCCAGTGGTCCCTTCAAAGGCGTTGTTGAAGTTGTGGGGTTTCTCATCGAGTTTGACATGGCCGGCGAGCGCCACCCAACCGGCTACCACGATGATCAGGATGATGATAATCTTGACGACTCCGAGGAAGTTTTGGAGGCGAATCCCCCATTTGAGAGCAAGACCGTGTATCAAGAAGGCCGTGGTGATGCAGGCAAGGCCGACTCCACGCTGGTTCCACCTGTTCACCTCGACGTTGGCGGCATGCAGGATGTACTCGCCAAATATGACGGAGTTGCCGCTGGCCCAGCCGAGCAGAACCACGTATCCAGTATAGAGGCCCGTCGTCAGGAACTTCGGCTTGCGGAAGACGTACTCGAGATAGTTCTTCTCCCCGCCGTTCTTGGGGATCGCGGTGCCAAACTCGAGGTACACGGCCGTACCAGCAGCGGCGATCAGCATGCCGGCAACCCAGATGAAAAGGGAGAGACCAACGCTGCCGGACAAGGCAAGGATGGTTCCCGGGGTCGCGAAGATGCCGGTTCCGATGACACGGTTGACAATCAGGAGGACTGCGCTGGGGACCCCGATCTGCCTCTTGGCTTCACGAGCATTCTCTATGCGGCCTGCACATGATTAGATAATTACTGTCGAAAAGTGAGGCGAGGCATCGCTTCTTACCAACATCGCTGTCATAGTGTGGCGTGTCTCCTCCGTCTTTGTAGTTCGGGAGAGACTCGTGTGCAATGGGCGAGTCCGAGCCATGGGTGGTGACCCGGGGCGCAAAGAACTTGGACATGATTGTCTTGTCAGCGGCACACGACGAACTTCACAGGCAACGCGCTGGCCAGACGCGAACACAGACAGAAGACTTCTAGAAGGTTTTATTATAGCGTAACGGCCAGCGCTAGGCTAATAAGTGGATTCGATCACGGAATGGCTTGCGGCACCAACGCCATGCCAAGGGGCCGAGGATAGGCGAAAATTTCCTTAGGGCCGATGGCGCGATCTGATGTGATCGCCGAGAAAAAGATTTCCTCGACACCACACCTTTCCTCCTGCCCAATCGAGGCTACTAAATATGGCGAGACATGGCGAATGTTTCCTCGTGAAGCTATTTGCCTGCTGGGCATCATACGGTTCGGTGTGCCCTGCATCTCATCCCCTGGATTTGATCCCTTTTCGACGAGTCCGACTCCTTGGCTAATTGCCACCTCGGTGCAGTGGCCTGCGCAACATCTTCTGGTTTGGCTTGTGACAGACACCTGCCCGTGATGCACATGACGAGTGTGACCACCATGGCCATCCAAATTCCGATGTGTTTCCTCGTCCGCCGGTGCTGCTGTTCGCGTTTGAACCGACCCAACCTTTGCTAGTTCGGAATCAGCCCGGCTGTCGGGATGGGGTTCGCGCTTCGGACGGAGTCGCTAGCGCCCGGTCGAAGGTGTGTAGCTGGTGATTAGATTACCCCTGTACCTGACGAAGAAGGTAGGCGCAGCTCCCTGTGTGTGTTCCGGAGCTCGAGCCACATGCGGCCCGAGGACCTTGCGTGAAGCTCGGAGGTGAGCTACTGACACCAAGCTTCCAGGGCCGATCATGTGGGCTCCCTCCGGTGGGATTTCGGATCACTAAAATGGTCCTTCGCTCCTCCGAAGAGATCCAGGCACGCAGCACAAGCAGCTAGGTCCTAGATTTTATTGTAATGCGTTGGAATTTCCACATTTGGTTCAGTATAGAATATTGAAAATTCCATACACAGCGCATAGGTGAGCTTTAGGATGCTCTATCTCGAAGCAAGGAACTGTTGCTGCAAGGGAGGCTGCATGGAAAAAGGTTGTCAAACACTTGACTCCAGCTTCTGAAAAACTATAAAGCAGTTGCGCCCGTGTCGAGAGTTTATGATCGCTGTTGCTGTCCATTCAAATGCTATCATCTTATTAGCTCAACCTCGGTGTCCACAACGATGATGAGATCGGCACGGTCGCCGCCCAAGTGATAAGGTCCACTACACGTAGAGACTGTGCCTCAAGTGTCCACCGCCCGACACTCCATTTCTTTTTGCACGGCTTGGTATATCATATCCCACCAATGTCCGGACGGCTTGGCTGATAATGGCGGGCTAATCCCGTATCATAGGCGGTCCTGTGCTCTTCGATTGACGCTAGTTACTAGGACGTGGAGACGCACGACTCGCCAGTGTTTGTGGCGCCTAATGAACTCACTGGTTAAAAAAGAGCGTGCCCACTCCCGCCTGGCAAAGTTTGCCAGCAGCCTCCAGCTTTTGGTCTCAGTTGCCGCCTCCAGCTTTTGGTCTCACTTGCCGCCTACCCCTCGGTGTCTATAAATACTTCCACGCCCGGGAGAACCAGGCCCTGAGGTTGCTTGTCCTAATGACATTTCCCTCATAAACACGGGTCCGTTCCTCGTCTATTTTGAACAGGTTGTGACCTTGACTACGTCCAAATAGGGACAGAGGATAATGCCGCGCCGCAATCACGGACTGGTCTGGAATAGGCCCAAGTTAATCTTCAAAGGTTGAGACTCGCAAGCTTGGAGTAATCGGGGGGAAGACCTTGGGGGACTGGATCGACAAGAATGTAGATGATTATGACTTTACGGAGAGAAGGCTAATATATGCTGGGTAGCCTGCTGTAGGAAACGTCTTAGTTCTCGAGACAAGCCATCGAAATGTCCTTCACCGGGGTCTAGGTAGAATCAGAAACGCCAGCAACATGGAGGAGGGCTGCCGCCTAATTGAGCGCTTTGGTGGAGTCTTTTATGAGGACCTAGCTCAACGTCCACATCTTGATTTGGCGTGACGGACGGGGGATGAAGTTGGAGTGAGCAGATGCATTCTGCAGGACAGCCACCACTGAAAGGCAATGTCAACTCGCTTGCCGGAAGTGGGATTGTTTGGAAAGCTGCGTGTTTCTGGGTCTGGGCGTGGGCTGGCGTTGACTGGGGCAGATAGAAAAAGGGGGACAGGGAGAGACCCGGCTACGTCACCAAGTCATGGCTTCATCTGTTTAAGTTGATTTAGGAGGAAACGGGTCAAGGTTATCATTTCTTGTAGACATACCATGAATGTCCCATCATATGGCTTAGCTAATTACCTAGATGCAGTGGTTAGGTGCAGAGTGAATCAGAAGAGCAAATTTGCTATATTATTCTAAATCTGACAGACAAGTTGAAGATTGTGTATCTGGATTTGGCTTCTACTAATTTAAAGGGGGAACCTCTGTACAATTGATAGTCTCCTGTGTCGTCTTCCCCGCGCCTATTCCCGACACCCCTATTCCACGGGACTGGCGGCCTGTTCTTCCTCGGCAAGTTCGCGCTCGGCCTTTGTTGGGAAGCTAGGCAGCCACCGAAAGATGAGTGGCCCAGCGGCGGACAGCAGAGCAGAAAACCCGGCGAAAGCTGCAACGGCAGCGAATCCCTTGACGTACCGCGGGCCGTCTTCGCTCGGCCACAATTGGCTGCCGTAGATGGCTGAGAGATTTCCGATGCAATTGACCATTGCAATAACGACGGCACGCTTCTCGGCCGGGAGTCCGATGACTTCGGATCCCCAGCTTAGAATCAGAGGAAGGGTTGAATACAGGCCAGAGATATAGAAGCAGATGAAGGTGTACCGGACTGCAGAATTGAGTACCGTCGCGCTGATGACGGCACTGACGAAGGACATGGCCAAACCGCCTGCGATGTGCCACCGTCTGTCTCCAGTGCGGTCGGAGGACTGCGGAAGGACAAGCAAGAATACGGTGCCGACCATCCAGATGGGAACTGTCATCCACTGGGCCTTGACGCCTTGGTACCCCATGTCACTCAACACGGTGGGGATGAAGTACGAGATCGTAGTCGAGCCGTTATCGAGGAAGTAGAGGATGGCGAAGAAGTACGTCCGGAGATCCGAGACAGCTGCCTTGATGGACTGCCACGACGTCAAACTCCTGGTTGCCTGGGCAGTCGTGGCATGCTTGTCCTGCAGGATTCGCACGGCGGCAAGCTGTCGCTCTTCGAGATTCAGTCTGCGCGTCGTGTCGGGATAGTCCGGAAGAACGAATACGGCGAACATGCCGGTGAGGACAGTGAGGACTCCTTCGATCAAGAACAGCCATCGCCACCCTTCCATGCCGCGGGTTCCCTCGAGGCCGGAGATGACGGCGCCGGAGATCAGCCCACTGACGGCGCCCGCGACACACAGGGCAGTGAAGAAAATGGAGAAGCGTTTTCCTGTTTGACTGTGTTAGTCTTTGTCTATTAATTAGTACTGTTGGGGACCTGAGAAAGAACATACCAATTTCACTCTTCTTGTACCAGCAGGACATGAGGTACATGACTCCCGGCAAGAACCCTGCCTCGACCACACCTAGGAAGAAACGGTATACAAGGATATCTTTGGAATTCTTTGCCTGGGACATGCCGGTGACAAGGGCGCCCCAGATGACCATCAATCCCGGGAGGTATAAGGACGGCCGGGTGCGCGCCATGACGATGTTGGAAGGGACCTCCCACACCACGTAACCGATGAAGAAGATGGAGATGAGCATCGAATAGCCTGTTGCCCAAGCGCATTAGCAGGGTGCCAGCGTTGGATATGGCTGTCCACTATTTACTAACCTTGGTCGTCAAGCCCCAGAGAGTCGTTCATACCCGCAGCCTTTGCGTTCCCCTGAATATCACGATAACGGTCAGCCATGGTATCTCCCAGCGAGACTCGCAAAGGTCCTCACGATGTTGTTTCGGTCCACATAGGCAAGGACACACATCCACCAAAGCATTGGTATCATGATCAAGTCCACCTTGCGGACGAGGAGCTTCTCCTTCTTCGTTCCGGGCACATAGTTGGCCATGGCGATGCGGCGTTCCTCGGCCTCATCTCCAGCCACATCGATGCTCGACGGGGAAGACTTCACATTGTCGCTCAGCTCTGTAGGGACATCCTTGGAAAGCTCCATCGCTGTCTGTCGAGTGGTGGAACTTGTTGTGGATTGAGACGAGGGAATGCGAGAGACGAGGAGGAATGCCAGAGGACGTTGCTTCTGGTCTCTGACGAGAGCTGGGAGAAAACCAGGCTGCACGTCCACCTATTTAACGTTCCACACCCCGGATTCTTGGCTGTTATTGGTAAATGCCGTGTCATTATTTGTTGGCTGATATCGCGGGGTGCATGTCGGCTCCAGCCGAAGTAGAATAAGACTCTCGGCCCAGGCCACAAGCTTTTGCAACCCTTATCACCCTAGCCTGGGATAGGGTCAATATTGCGCCGTTCCAGATCTGCACTGTTAGCGCAGGCACTTGATGGGGCTAATATTGATACGGACCTTCTAAACCTATACTAACCCCATACTAACCCCGTGCTAACGGTCGAAATGGTGGAGATGTCGGAACTCGAGTCAGGGCCAGCAAAGAATTGCAGAGATAAGCTGAAGGTCGGTTCGACGCGAGCCGAATCACCACGATTTATTACAGCGAGGATAGGCTCCGTCCGGAACGGAGGCATCGTCTACATGCTGATGTCAAATATACTAATCCATGTGGTAGAACACTGATGTCAAACAGACTGATCCATGTGTTGGAAGGGCTTATGTGCTCGGCAGAAAGGTACCAGATTTACAGCAACGGGTTTACAGGACCAAATACCATTCTCTGATCTACTATCGACCGTCTCTTGTGTGATTTATGCTGTCATACAATTTCGTTGAGTTGCAATTTGCGACTCACGCCTCCACTCGGCTGCTCTCAAGAAGCTCTTCCCGTGCTCTCGGTCGCTTGGCTTTTGCGTCAAGCTGCTCCTCCTCCGTCCAGCTCGGGAAAGGTACTCTAGCCAAGCCAGAGTAAAACCAACTTGCCAATGTAAAGACATCGTAGACAGGCAAACCCAAAGCCCGCTGAATAGCCAGCGCAAACGGCGGGAACTGTGTGCACTCCAGCACAATGGCACCGATATCAGGGTGTTCATCCACCAGCTTCCTAGCCGCGGCCACGAGTTCCGCCTCCAGGACCGGATAGTCGTACGGCTCGCCATCTCTGAGGCAGCGCTTCATGCCGCCTTCCGGGGGCGGGCCAGCGATGTAGATATTGGAGCAGTCCGTGACCCCGACCGCGTTTAAGTGGCCCTCGTTCAGTCGCTGTCCGTCGAAGGAGATGACGCCGATCGCTTGGTCCGGCCGAAGGATGCTCCTGATGCTGGGGATTTGCATGAGAGAGGACGACGCCACTGGGACGGGCAAACGCCTCGAGAACCTAGAAAATATTATCGTTAGCATGACCGAGAGCTAATTGTCGTTGGTGCCATCATGACAGAGGAACGCACTCCTTCTGAGCCCTGGCGAGAAAACCACAGCTCGTGATAATCCCCACGGCCCCCTGCGCGACGAGCTCCATGCCCGCCTCGATGAAATTGTCGAGGAAGCCGTCCTCGTAGTCGTGATCCGACACCATGCGGACGAGGAGAGAGTCCTTCGCCATGGCCTGGACAACCGGGAATCCGAATGTATGGGTATTGCCGACATCGCCGGGGATGCGGCAAATATTCATCGAAGAGACGATAAGCCCCAGTGGAGGGTTTGTCGGGCCGCCAAGAGAACCCATTTTCGGCTGCTACCTGTCAAAAAAAGAATGGATGGGAAAAGTTGGCCGAATAGAGGATTGTGAATTTTGACGAATCTGACGTCAGCTTGTTTGTATTGTTCCTGAGACTCCGTTGCGCGTTGCGTTCTTCTATACAATGCATATTTATGTATTGTTGGTCCCGGATCGGTGCGTGTTTGGAAATCGGGTCGACCCGAACTCGGGTGGGGGTTTCGGTGAGCTTCCCGACTCGGAACTTCCGAGGCGGAGAGACAAGTAAGTATATTAATACCACAACCAAATGGCAGATTGACAAAAAAATAACTTAAAAATACAAGCACATTTTATTTCATTTTTCTATTACTTTTCATCTTTCTTGGTCGCCGCCTCCTCGTTCTCTCAAGATGGGTTCTGTCACAACGGGGAAGCCCAAGGTGGTCTCCATCACCTACCCCTCTTGGGCCGGGGAAGATTACATGGCTGAGTTCGAAAAGAGCTTTGATCTTCGAGTAAGTGCGCGAGCTAGCGCTGAGATGGTTGCAAGACGGCTGGCTGATGATGACAGGTGGTTGTCCCCAGCGATCGCAAAGGCACCGTGGCGGCGCTCAAGGCCAAGGTCGAGTCCGATGGGCCGTTTGACGCCATTGTTATCCTCATGGGCATTGGACCCTACGAGCCGTTCGACGAGGAGCTCCTGAAGCCGCTGGTTCCGCACTGCAAGCTCATGGTATCGGCGTCGGCCGGCTTCAACGAGTTTGACGTCGACTGGATGACTAAGAACGGCATCGTGTTCTGCAACAGCCGCAACGCCGTCAACGAAGCTACCGCTGACCTGGCTATATTCTTCATCCTCGGTATTCTGAGAAACTTCTCGCAACTGCAGAAGAGCATTGCTCGTGGGAAATGGCGGGCTGGTCTGCCGCCGGTGCGGGATCCGTCGGGCTTGACGCTGGGAATGGTGGGCATGGGCGCCATTGGAAAGGTAAGGATGATTGGTCCCATCCAGCGAGTGAGATCCTCGTTTCTTCATCCGACTAACACTCGACGATAGCATGTAGCGCGGAAAGCAGGGTGCTTTAACATGAGGGTCAAGTACTACAAGCGGACGCAACTCCCTGCCGACGAAGAGGCAAAGCTAGGCTTGACGTACTGCGCGTCGCTGGATGAACTGCTGGCGTCTGCCGACGTGCTGTCACTACACTGTCCGCTAAACAACGAGACTGTCGGTTTGATTGGAAAGGAGCAGTTCGCCAAGATGAAGGACGGCGTCTTCCTAGTCAACACCTGCAGGGGTCCTATTATCGACGAGACGGCCTTGATCGAAGCCATGGAGAGTGGCAAGGTTGCTCGAGCGGGACTCGACGTGTTCCACAACGAGCCCAACATCAAGTGAGTTTAATTATCTGGCTTGGTAGATATTCTGGTATCACTTGACTCACACTTCACTGCAGCCCCTACTTCATCGACAACGAAAGGGTCATGATCCAGCCGCACATGGGCGGGTTGACGGACGTGGCATGGCAACGAGCATACCGGGAGGCTTTGGAGAATATCAAGGCATTTTTTGCGACAGGAAAAGCCATATCGCCAGTGAACGCTGAGGAGGTTTCGAGACTGAAAGGGGAGCGCACAAAGTAGAAGATAAGAGGTGGAAACGAGTCAGTTGATGCATTAGTTCGACATGGTAATTGTGGAGATAACTCTGTACTGTACCTAGATATAGGTACTTTGTAGGCCGTATCGTGCCCCAACATTATTCGCCCCTAGCCCTGACCCCGCAGAGGAGTTCGGAGGAGTGCCGGTGCGGGGTTTACAGAGATGGCGCCCCTTTACCTTGTCTCCTCGATGCTGCTGAATTGAACCTCAATCATTTCACCCCAATTCACTTTTTGAGTTCCAACATCCTTGGATATCTCGTAATTATTAAATACCGGAGACAAAACGTGCCTGATGAGAGGAACAAAGCATGTACATGAGTTCCACATCCCGCGCATCGTCGGCCAAGCACCGGGTTCGCATCGCCTGCAACAGCTGCAAGCAGAAAAAGCAAAAGGTTGGAACCATTCCAATCTGCTCAACAGTCAAATCGCACTCAGTTGACCAATTTGGCCCGGATAGTGCGATGGTAGATTGCCCGCGTGTGGCAATTGCTTAAGAAACAAGAGAGGCATGTCCACCTGATCCCGACCCCTGGCCCAGAGTTTCAATTTATTTCCTCACATCTGACTCTGGCATAATCAGAATGCATTGTTCAGGATCCCTCGACGAAGCGCTCCCTCCCTCCAGGATACGTCAGCACACTTGAGGCCCGAGTCGCCTACCTCGAAGATCTGCTCAAAGATGCCCGTCCAGATATCGCCTTGGATCATTGGGATGACGCTTCGGGATCCGGGGCCGACGCCTCCCACACCGAGACGGGCACAACCGCCGTCACTGTGCCGACCGACATCGTTTCAGAGTTTGTTCCCCTTTTCCCGGTTGAAGCTGCTCCAATCCAAGACATAAAATGCTGATCGATCAGATGCAACGCCAGCGCCCCTAACCGCGACAACAGTCCGGGTGTCATAACCCACGCAAACGGTACTTCCGGCAACAGTCCATCACGGATCGATATGCTTTGCATGGACTCGGCCCGAGGGCAACCATTCTATTTCGGTTCCTCCTCGCCGCTTCTCTTCACGCGCCTTGTCAGCTCCATGCTGCGCGGGGTCCGATCCCAGGCACCTGGCCTCACCATGAGCGGCGTGGACGACGAGCTGCTTGCCGAGATGCCGCAGCTCGCGCCGGCTCTCCTACCAAACCGCTTCTTCAATGACTTGCTCGTCAATGCTTACTTCGCCCACGTCCATCCTCAGTACCCCTTTCTCCACCAACCTACCTTCATCAAGAGCCAGAAGAACGTTCTAGACGCGACGGAAAATGCCATTCCGCCTGACCCTGTCGAGTTTTTCTTTGTCTATATGGTTTGTGGATTTTGTGGTGTTCCTTTTAGTTATTCTACGACGCTAACCAAGGCTACCGATAGGTAAATGCCGTCGGAGCTCTTGTTTGTCCAGCCTACTCTACATCCCCAGCCGAGGTAAGATTAACGTTATTCCCCTGACATTCCCCCCTCGAGGCTTGCAAGGTCCATACTCAACTCCATTCTCAGGGTCTATACGCGGCAGCAGAAAACCTTATGGAACACGTAATGAAAAAGCCGAGCCTTCAAACAATACAGGCTATCCTCTGCTGCGCCATGTACTCGATGCGATCATCAAGCGGTGTCTCAGTCTGGTAAGGAACTGACTGCTACATCTGTGATATCATCATGGCTGACAAATTCCCAGGATGCTCTCCGGGCTAGCGTTGCGCCAATGCATCGAGCTCGGACTACACAGAAAATCCGTCTGGAGAGCCAAGGGGGATGTACTCGCCACCGAGATGCAGCGTCGCGTCTTCTGGGTTGCCTACAATCTTGACAGGTCCGCTGCATTTTCTCTGGGAAGACCCCTGGGAATCCCGGACCGCGACATCGATGTAGAGGTGTGTAAATTCTTTCTCCGTTTTGCTCAAAACCTAGCCAGGCGTTCACAAATATTAAACTCATGACAATGCAGCTCCCAGCCGACGTTGACGACGAAGACGTCACGCCAGCCGGATTTTTAAGGGAACCACGCCAACACCACTCGGAGCCCGCGAGACAAGTGTCCGCCGCAGTCCACACGATCCGACTCCGACGAATATGGGGCGACATCCAGTCCTTCATCTACCCAATAGAGGACGTGAACCAGGAGGCCAACCGACCAGGTTTCACGGTAGCCCATTTGAGACAACGGCTACGAGACTGGCTGGAACAGAGACCTGGTGATCTCGGCCCGGGAGACAATAACCACGGCGTGCCATTTGGGTCCGACAAGTGGTTCCTTCTCTCGTTCCACCACTCCATCCTCCTGCTGCACCGACGCCGTCTCATCGCAAGCACCGACACCGACACCTCCACCACGGGCGAAGCCTCGCACGACCTCGCCGGCGTATACCTCGAATGCGCCGAATCGGCCGCGACGATCGCCCGCACCTACCAAGAGCTATACCTCGGCACGGCCGTCAGCACGACATGGGGTGCCCTACACGTGCTCTTCCTCGGCGGGCTAACATTCCTGCACTGCCTGTGGGCCAGCAAGGAGGTACGGCAGAGCTACAGGCGCGACGCCGTGTCGGCGATCTGCACGTCGTGCACGATAGTGCTGGTCGTCATGGCGGAGCGGTGGTCTGCGGCCGCGCCGTACCGGGACGCGTTCAACGCCCTCGCGGCCGCGACGCAGTCGATGCTGGTGGACGGGGATAGCGCGCAGGCGGTTCCGTCGCTGCCGGTGCTGGATGCCGCGGAGCAGGGGAACATGGCGAAGTTCTTGTCTGGGATTGAGGAGATTGGCATGTGTGATTCTGTTGAGCACTTGCTTGGGGAGATGGTATGATGGAATTAATGGATGGAAACACGGCAAATCGGATCACGGTTAATAGCATGCACCAGAAGAGCCTGTGCTACACACGTAAGGATCGGGTACTGTCTGTGTCTGCCAATGTCGGGTGTCTCCAATTGTGGGTCTCCGCGCCCCGTGGTCCCCGCCCTCCGAGGTGAGCACCGCTTACCCCGCCTCGGGTCCACCCGAGACCCCAACATTGGCATTCGGCCTGAGCCGAACCACAGGTTGCGATGCGGACGGGATGCATATGGAGGGTTGCCACTTCGGATAAGAGGTGTTTATATATGTTATTTAGCTAAGAAGTTAGGTATTTCGGCACACGTCAATTAGTTACCTGCTTCATTGTTTAACACCACCCTTAAAACTTGTCTAAGCATCTTTCCTACCGAACTTACATCTACACCCGTACCAACTCCATCACCTCACATCATGGCTCCGTCAGCGACCACAACCCTAACCACGGCTCCGGCCTCGTCGGCCATCACCGCACAGCCTCTCAAGGCCGGCGCCCCAAAGCCATCAACCAGCGGCGTCCTAAACTGGAACGTCAGCAACGGCGCCGCCCCATCAGCCCTCCACGTGATCCCCACCTTCACAGACAAGCACGCCGAGCGCGCCTGGGCCAAGCAGCACATGGCCGCCGCGTTCCGCACCTTCGCGAGGCTCGACTACGCCGACGGCGCGTCGGGCCACGTCAGCCTGCGCGACCCGGTTGACCCGGAGCTGTTCTGGATCAGTAAGTGCGGCGGTCGGCGGCAGATTTGGCGGCAGCGGAGAATACAGACTTACGCCCCGAGATAGATCCGTATGCGAAGCACTTTGCTACGATCAAGGCCAGTGACTTGGTCCTGGTCGACCACGAGGGCATTCCGCAGGAGCCGACCAAGTACAAGGTCAATGCGGCGGGGTTTATCATCCACTCTTCGATTCACCGTGCCCGGCCGGATATCAATGCCGTCTGCCACATGCATTCCCGCTATGGCAAGGCTTGGTCTACCTTTGGGCGTGGAATCGAGATGCTCAATCAAGGTAAAAGAACCTACGTTTACATGCTTAGCATCCTCGAACAGCGCTGACCCTCGATAGACTCGTGCATGTTCTATCGCGGACTCGGAGTATATGAAGGCTTCGGTGGGATCGTCTTTGCCCAAGAAGAGGGACAGCGTATCGCCGAGGCGTTGGGCGACACCAACCTCAACCTGATCCTGCAAAACCACGGGTGAGTTATCCCCCCGGAACCCTACAAACATCCAACCAAGTGTGCTGACTCCACCTATCCCCATCAGCATCCTCACAGCCGGCAGCACCGTCGACGAGGCCGCAGCCCATTTCATCGCCCTGGAGCGGGCGTGTGAGGTGCAGATTCTCGCCGAGGCTGCAGCCGCCAACGGGATTCCCAAGAAGTACGTTGGTGAGGAGGAGGCCGAGTACACGTACAAGTGCTCTGGGACGCCTGCATGCATGTTTATGCAGTTTGCCCCGGAGTATGATTTGAGCGTCGAGTTGTCGGGCGGGAAGTTGTTGGAATGATCAAGGAAATTCTAGGCATGAGATCACGATGGGGACGTTCGAAAATCTAGAGTGTTGGGAGAGCGAATGCCTGGAATTTGATGTTATTCTACCAGATTGCAAGCTCGAGGTCAAATAAAGGCTGTTACAAATGGATTCCGTCAAGCCACAATAATCCCCGACCCAACAGTGATGCCAAGTTTATGGTTGTTCCATGATCCATTGAATCCCTGGCTTTCCTGTCAAGCCCGCCAAGCAGAACAGGTGCCGCCACAGCCCATTCATAAGCCCTGTTCCCGACCTTTCCTTCCACGTACGACCATACCCACTGGAAAACTCGGGATCCCGTCCGCTCTCCCTTAGATAAACCAGTGAGGGCCGGATCAGTAGTTGGGTCGGTGACGACCAGCGAATCCCCGGTGTTGTACGTTTAATTTTGCAAAATTTCTTTTTTTCTTTCTTTTTTTGACTATGTGGATGGGGAGGTCCCAGGGGTCATCGATAAAACTAATAGGATAAACCTTTGTCTAGATGTTTCCTCGCCTGCTCTGTGCACCCGGTTTCCGGTTTCGGCCTATCGGGAATCGGATATGCGGGTCCCAGGTGGGTGTCGCATGTTGCGCGCGGCTCGATCCGACAGTCATTTTGATCGTAACACCAAATCGGAGCGGATCCGCCGTGTCCAGCGCGCTGTAAATCAGTGCAGGTTTTATAAACTTGCCCTCGTTCTCCCACTTCCGTCTCTTGCCCACGACTCACTCATTCAACTCAACACCCTCAGCCATGAAAGATACTATTGCGTGTGACGTTGGCGTCGTTGGCGCGGGGATTATCGGCCTCGCATCTGCCCTGGATCTGGTGCAGGCTGGGTACCGTGTGGCCGTGGTAGCCCGGAACCTCCCCGGGGACAAGACAACCGAGTGGAGCAGCCCATGGTGAGTTGACGAGCCGTCCCTTTAAACCATAGAAATGGAAATCGTTCTGACGGCCGTCCTCTCAGGGCTGGTGCTGCAATGCTGCCGTCGCAGACAGACGACGTGACAGACATTGAGATGCAGCGGAAGAGCTTTCAAAAGTACATGGCACTGGCACATGAAGATCCAGCAACGGGCGTACAGGTTTGTTTAGCAACCCTTTCTTGGCAACTGGGGACTGACTGATGGACGCAGATGGTCAAGGTGACCGAATACTGGGATGACAAAGACAAGCGGGTGAACCCATGGTATTCCGTGGTCCCCGATTTTGAGTCACTCGCGGCTTCGGAACTACCTCCCGGCACAAAAGGAGGCAACAGGTTCACCTCTACAACAATCAACCCCGACCTACTGCTACCTTGGCTGCAAAGCATACTCGAAAAGCGCTTCGGGGTGGTGTTTATCAAAGACACAATTCCATCCCTGAAGCACGCTGCCCAACGTCTCCGCTGCAAGGCCATCGTCAACGCCTCGGGGCTGGGAGCGTTCTACCTAGCAGGCGACGAGAAAGTCGTCGGCATCAGGGGACAGACCCTGCTGATCAAGAGCTCCGCGGTTTCCCCCGACCTGGACCGGCAAGTCCGCATCCGGCGCGGCAACGAGTACACCTACGTGATCCCGAGGATGTCGCAGGGGGTCGTGATTGGCGGGATCGAGGACTTCCAGAGCAGGGATACTGAGGTGGACGCAGCGCTGCGGCAGGATATTGTCCGAAGGGTGGATATCATGACGGGCGGGCGGTTCCGAGGCATCGATCTGGAGCGGGATGTGGTCCGGGATATTGTCGGCTTCCGGCCCGGGCGTGAGGGTGGGTATCGGATTCAGCGGGAGGGAAACGTGGTTCATGCCTACGGGTTTGGTGGGGCGGGATACAGATATAGTTGGGGTGCGTCGTCGAAGGTGGTCGAGCTGGTGGATGAACTTGGCCTAGGCAAGGGGTCGAAGCTGTAATCTTGACGAGCAAGTCATCTCATTAGGTTCAATTCCAAAGCCATCTTAATCGTTTATCGTAGCCACAACTTGGTCTTGAGCAATGTGATTCTCAGCAACTTGAAATTCTTAGGCAATGTGAAATGTATTGCTCTGTTCCACCAGCCCATGTCTGAGGAATCGGCCACCGGTTGGTCGGAATCCACCGGATCCATCGGACCCACTGGACCCACCCACTCGGCCTGCTCCGACTCACTCACTCGGCCCCACTTTTCCAATGGCCGAATCGGTCAGCACCATGACTGTTCTCTTGATATAATTAGCTATGACCTCTACAGCAGATCGACAAGAGAGCCAACTGTTTCGAGATGACATAGATGACACTTTCCTTTTCTCAACTGATCATTCAGCAACAATCCTCACCATCACCATCACCATGTCTTCCCCTAATGTCAAGGCTGCCGTGGACGAGGCACTCGCCCGCTATGAATCCAACAATCCCAAGTCCAGGGCCCTTTACCAAGACGCTGTCAAGCATCTTCCCGGCGGAAACACACGTAGTTTATTGCACACAAATCCCTTCCCAATCATGGTCAAGAGCGGCCAAGGCCACATGTTGATCGACGAGGACGGCCACAAGTAACAACTCCCCTGCCATCACCACGAGAATGGGAGCCGGACTAACACAACGTTTAGGTATCACGACTTTATTGGAGAGCTTGCCGCGGGTCTTTTCGGACACAGCAACCCCCTCCTAATCAAGGCCCTAACCGACGCAGCCAACACCGTCGGCCTCTCCTTGGGAGCAACCCACGTCCAAGAGGCCCGATACGCACAACTCCTGTGCGAGAGGTTCAACCTCGAGAGGATCAGGTTCTGCAACTCGGGAACGGAAGCCAATCTGCACGCCCTCGCCGCAGCAAGGAAGTTCACCGGCCGGAGGAAGGTCGTGGCCTTCAAGGGGGGGTATCACGGGAGCGTCTTGGCCTTCGGCGCCGGACAACCTCCCCGCAAGGGAGAGACGGAGCCGGCATTTCGACTCGGCCCGGCGGAGAACAACGTCGATCTGCAGGACTTTATTGTTCTCCAGTACAATGATGTAGCTGCCGTCCGTCAGCTGCTCAGCTCGCCGCAGAAGAGCGAAATTGCAGCGGTTTTGGTGGAGCCTATGCAGGGTTCGGGCGGAGCCATTCCTGCCAGCGAGGAGTTCCTGTACGCAATTCAGGAGGAATGTGCCAAGGTGAGTGAATCCCGCTCTCACATACAGTTATACATTGCATCAAATTGTTCTCCGCTTATCTCAATCCATCACAGGCAGGAATCATATTCGTCCTCGACGAAGTCATGACCTCCCGCACCGGCCCAGGAGGCATCAAGTCCCTCTTCCCCGCCTCTCGGCCCCTCCGTCCGGACATCACAACCCTAGGAAAATACCTCGGCGGCGGCATGCCCATCGGCGCGTTCGGCGGGTCAGAGGCCGTGATGGCGGTCTACGACCCGCGCCTCGCGGGCGCCATGTTCCATTCCGGCACGTTCCAGAACAACACGCTGATGTTGCACATGGGGTACGCGGCAATGTCCCAGGTCTACACGCCAGCCAAGGCGATAGAGCACGCCGGTCGGGGCGAGGCCCTGCGCGAGAAGCTCCGGGCAGTGACCAGGGGTTCCAAGGTGTTTGTTTCGGGCAAGGGGACGCTGATGTTTGTGCATATCTCCCGGAAATGGGGCTCGTCGGACAACGGGTTTACGTGCAAGGAAGACGGAGGGGACGAGGAGTGGGACCTGAAGAGCCTGTTCTGGATGCACATGTTGGAGGAGGGGTTCTGGGTGCAGAGGCGAGGCAGCATTGCTCTGATCTTGGATACCCCACAGGAGGTGCTTGACGGGTTTGTGGCTGCCGTTCAGAGATTCATCGAGAGATATGCCGCTCTTGTCAGACTGTAACAGTCTCATATTTCTGCACTAGTGTAATTAGAGCTAATTAATTTGTGTCTTCAACATGCACCTGGCCTCTTGTTTCTGTACCAAGGTCACAATCCATAGCTTCTAGCTATCTATCGCGACGCCCCCGTTACGAAGAGTTCGACACTGTGATATAATACTACAAAGTACACATTCGACTCGGCTGCCTTATGGAACACACCGCCGTCAAGCCCCATACCAAATCTCATCCAGAATAGTATCTCACGCGCCTGCCGGGCGACGGCAGAGGGGCCTGCCACGCTCGAGTGTGTTCGGATCACAGGTGAGCCTGCTATCCTCGATGCAGGTCAACTGCTCTCCACCTGTGTCGTTGTCAGCAAGCAGGCCATCAAACGAGATATTTGGCAGCACCAACAATTGTTGATAGAGTCCGGTACGCAGCGGCCGGTTTGGCCGTTGACGTTGCAGACGTCTTGTTTCAACGACGTGCCGGCGATGCAGCACGCGCCCGAAGGAACCGGCCGGTTGGCATTGGCGCCGTTCTGACGGTCGATGAGGATGGCGTCGCGAGGAAGGGCAGCGACGCCCTCAACATCGGCAATGGAGGCGCTGGCAAGGGCCGTGAAGGCGAAGATGATGGTCGAGATGGAGAGCTTCATGGTGACTGTGTTTAACAGAATGGTCCAGCCAAGGTAATGACAGAAAGGTGAGACCAAAAGAAAAAATAGTTTTGACGTCGAAGTGGCAAAGTTGGGAAGTCAATGTGTATTAAAGCAAGTCATGAAAGCGGCGGAGGGCCCTGCCATTTCAAGTTCTTCCTCGAGAGGCTCACGATGTAGTATCGGGTCGCACGAGACGCCAAGGCCGGCCGCAGATCATCCCAAGTTGCAGATCATCCCAAGTCGCAGGTGCAGGCGAGATTCTCATGCCTACCCCAGATAATGCACCCATTCGTAGCTCCCTTGGCTGGGCTTCCCGAGATCTACGGTACAAAACCTGGGGCTGAAACAGGGACCCTGAAAAGGAGGACAGACTCATGACCTAAAACCCGCTGTGCAAGCGCGCGAATTATAGAACCTTTCACGAACCCCATTTAGCATGCTGCATGGTCGCATCGACTACGGATTAGTGCAGTAGCGGTCATTGCGAAGCCTTGCGCCAATTTGGGGATTTTAGAACCCTGTTTCACCCCCGATGTCAGATGGGCGCGTGCGTATGAGGCCTGTCGCGATGCCAATCGAGTCTGAAACCACTAGTGGTCCACAAGCGGGGGTGCCCACGGTTGGGCGAGGATTTTACGAGATGGACATTCAAATACGAGACGTCGCAGCAGGGAGGGCGACGGGGTGGTTTAAGTTTCCAGAATTTTCAACATCAAAGTTGTCAAGTCAGTGGGGAAGAAACAGGGGCATCATGCTGGAGCTGTGCTTGCCTCGGAGGTCACCATCGCCTATTTCTTGCCGTCAGCCCCGAAACCCTGAGACAGGCTTACCTAGGTAGTTAGGTGGGCTCGAGACAAGACCTTGGCTGGATAGAATGATGGGCTTTCTGACTACCTAGGTAACAAACACAGAAAATTTGCCTACTTTTTCCCCAAAGAGACTTGCTGCCATTGTAGGCCGGCTGCCGTCTGTCTACCTCAATCATCCTCATCTTCATCCTCGTCCGTGTCGGAAGAATTCTCGCTTATGGCCCCGTCGTCAGACTCGCTCTCCGTCTCCTCATCTTCATCCGACTCGGAGTGGTCCACCTCGTAGTCATCGTCATCGTCGTCGTCGTCGTCGTCGTCGTCGTCCGATTCATCCCGCTGCTTGTGCCCGCGTCGAGACCCACGCTTTGGGGAACCCTTCCGATCCTTCGTTTGCGGGGCTCCGGACGCCTTCCGGTGCGACGACGATGTTTCCTTTCTCGACGAGCGTTCCTTGGCAGACTTCTTCCCCTTCGGTTTGACCCGGCTGCTACCAGTTTCCTTCTCTTGGTCTTCGGAGCCGCGTCCCTTGCCCGCTGCCCTGCTCTTCGATGTCCGAGTGCCATCTCTCGCTGAGGTCTTTCTAGAGTTTGCCTTCTTGCGGCTGGAGGAGCCCTTCTCGGGCCAGTGATACCGAGATCGCGATGGCGCCAGGTCCTCGTCGCGGACTGCATCATCACGGAGTCCGTCCAGCTGAGCGGCAACTTCGTCTGACTCCCCTCGTGCACGCTCGTAATACTTGTCGAAGCGCTCAATTGAATCCGCAACAAGCTCGAACTGTCTGTGGTCCATCACCGGGGGCGAATCTTTGGATTTGTTGTCGCCCCCGTCCTTCATCGAGGCCATGGGCGTGTCGTACCGTGCTAGGGATGATGCAACCTGGAACGCGTTTCGGATTTGTCTCCCGTTCCACCTAGAGCCTCGTTCTGTTGTCTCCCAGTGCATCTCCGCAAACTTTAGGATTTCGTCGTCCCGGATATCTAGAGGTAATACGTCTTGCGAAGAAGCTGCACTTCCGAGTCTCTCTGCTCTTTCTTTCTCGATGTCTCTGAGTCTCCTCAGGTTGACTTTGAAAATGCCCAATATCTGACTCTTGCGCAACCTCGGGTAGTATAAGCTCAGATGGATGCGGGACTTGAAGGCTTCGTCAATGGCTCCGACTCTGTTGGTTGTGAGAAAGAGTATGCCGCTGTAGTATTCTGTGACTCGCAGAAACACTATTTCGACGGGGTTAATTAGTGGCCAGTCTGCAAGTGGCAAGCAAAGGGTACGCTATAATTACTAGAGACAAGGGCATTGCGCTTTAAACTGGTTATATCTCGTCGGGCCAGGAAAACGTCGGCTTCGTCAAGCAACAACACACAATCCCAAAGATGTGTTAGTCGGAATACCTCCTTAAGCTCGGCTTCAACCTTTTCGGGAGTAATGCCAAGATTTCCACATGTGATGGAGAACAGCGGTTTGTTGTTCGACTGGGCGATAGCTTCAGCAGTGGCCGTCTTGCCAACGCCCGGAGCCCCGTGAAGGAGGATGAACAATCAGGACCCTTTCCCATACACTATGTCCTGGCTAGGCAACGGGAGAGGGCTTTCCTTCTGCATTTTGCGCTTGTCGAAGTGGGCCTTCACCAGAGCCTGCAACATGCGCTTGTTGCTGGGCTTAATCTTCAGGTCCTTGAAGATGTCCGGCTGCCTCTCGAGGCTTCGGAGAGAGTTGACATCGATGACGACAAACTTCCGGTCTCGAAGTGCGTACGCGACCAGACGGCGAGGAAGCAGCATGACGTCCTCATCGCCCACTTCCTTGAGCCTGCCCTCAAGTGATGCGGTGATGGGCTCATCGTTTGTCATGTAGTCGTTGGCCCATTGTGCAAAAGAGCTGTCGATAACCAAAACATGCTCCTTGAACTCGAGGAAAACCTCTTTCCTATTTTTGTCGGACCAATGGACGATTTTGTAATCGTCGTCTGTCCATTCCCAGCGTACATCAAACTCGCGAGGGACCATGAACCTTGGCTTCCACCGTGGGTGATGCTTGAATGCCTCCTCCACGTCAATGATCACAGCGCTCTCGACGTGTTCCGGAGAACTAGGCTTTGCGTCTAGGTCATGCTGTATGACGCGGTGGTATTTCCGGGTCTCAACCGTCTCATCAAGGTTCTTCTCCTGCAGCTCACCGGGGACTGCCCACCCTTCATAATACGCGTGAGACACCTTCATGAAGGACTGGAACCTCTGTCCTTGGAGCTTGAGTTCATTCCCGAGTTTCGCCGCGCCGTCGGCGTAACGGATCGGGTAGGCCTGGAGATCTGTAATGTCCTTCTCGCCCTTAAAGCAAGGGATTGTAAACTGGCCCTTCATAACTCCGTACGAACCACCGTCGTGATCGATATAGTAGCAATAAACACGAAACTCGTCGTCCGATGTAAGATCAATATTGTCGATATTGTGGCCCCCGAAACGTGTTCTCGCAGCGTGGAACACCCTCCACACCGGCTGGTACAATGGATAAGGCACACTCATGACGGATCCCGCGGGCGGCCAATAAACAATCTCGCCCGGTCTGAACAGAAGCGGCAGGTCGTTGAATTGAACTTTTCTGCGAGAAGTGCCTTTGAACCAACCGCACAACGGCATGACATGGTCGTCGATGAATTTGACGTAGCATCGCATGTGCCTCAACGCGGTCAAGTCGTCCATGCCCAGATATGGGAAGGGCTCGTCTTCGTCATTCGGGTCTTCGCTCGGCGTATCCTCGTCCCTGGAGTCGCTTTGGCTCTTCAGGCTCGCCTCGGCACCACCATGTAACTGAGTGTCATCCTGCTGCCCTTGGGCGTCCTGGATATCTGATATCTCAATGCCGTTCCACTTCTTTTCCAGCCTTTCTAGCGCAATTTTCATCCTTGGTTGAAGGTATGCCAGGGCATTGAAAGGTCTGATGAAGGTGTAAGGCTGATCAAATGTCCATTTGTCATCCTCCCCAGCTGCATGACAGAGGTGAGAAAGGATAGGAGCAGACTGTATTCGAATGCGCTGGATCCATGTGGCTGCAGTCGAGGTGAGTTTGGACCGACGTATGGGCCGCCGTTGATCGCTTCCCTTCTAGTCATCCAACCTGATTTCCTCGAGTATTGCGGGCCCGACTGTTAGAGCTTCGATGATGTGGAGACCCTCGTTCTCGCCGTATCGGTGTTTAAAGTGCTCCCAGTCCAGTTCCACATAATCGACAATCAAGGTATGCTTGCTGATGTGCTCCTTCCAGGCCAACCTAGCCACCGCTGTGACTTCAACATCTCTCTCTGAGCCAGGGGAAAACGCGTTGTCAGCGTCCGCTTGTGGTTTGTCTGATGTAGTGCCGTCATTTGCCGTCTTGTCTGCGGCTTTGTTTGGCCCTTTGGATTCCTGATCACCCGCATCATCTCTCCGGGCTGTTTCGGTCTCTCTTTGGCCTGCTTCAGCTGGCGGCACGTGTGACGGATGTGCCGAGGCTGCAGCACTCTGCTTCTCTTCTGTGCCGTCGGCTACGGTCTCCGACTTGTCGGATGAGTGAGGAGGTTCAGAGTGCTGGGAGTTGAGGCCAAGGGCATCCATCAGGCCGGGTCTTCACGAAATTCCAACCTGAGGATAAGTAAACTTACAGCTAAGTCCGCCATCTTCTCCTCGAGCGCTAGGTACTGCACATGTATGTACAACGTGAGTCTTTTGGAACTCAAGGCTGTTTGGGCCAGGTTCCTTACCGATTCGGGGATGATGAAGGATGGAGAGATCTTCACTGCTGATAAATCCCCCTCTCTCCATGCAGAAAGGTCTCGGCGGCTGCAAAGTCGGGATGACCGAGGGCACCGACAAATGGCGGATGAGAGGGAAGCGCCTGCACCATGATCCCTGCAGATCCTCATGCGAATGCACGGAAAGGTGGGGGGCTGTGTTGGTCGTTTGCACCACTCCGATTTGTCGATTGTAGAGGAGAACATGGATGCCTGGGAGCTAAGGGGCCAACGAGGGCAACTCTTAGGAAAGTGGAACGCAAGAACACAACAAAAACACATGTCCCTTTTGCGTTTTAGACAACACTCGAATCCCATCATTACATCACCACGCCCGCCCTAGCCTACCCGAATCACCCAGATGGCCCCTCCAGCTCCGCTCCAAGCAAACGGATTTAATTACTACCAGGCGCCAGCTCAACCGGAGCGCCCTGGATGGTGTCCTCCTCCAGTGAGCACGAGTAGGGTCCACCTGGAACCATGACCTCGGTGCAATTCAAGTCCAGACCTTCATTTCCGATGACATGGAGCGGTCTATTCCCATTCGGCTTAGTCAGTCATTCGTTCGATCCCCGTTCTCACGGAAAGTCAAGTCGGAAAACGGAGCGACGAGAAAGAAGCTCAAGATGAAACGCACGTTGTTCTGTCAGGGCAGTTGAGCACCTCGTCGAGCGAGATCTGCAGAGAAGCGGTCCGGATGGCGAACGTCACCGTCAGGTTCTTGTCACTGGGGGTGCCGGCGATGGTGCAGCGGTAGTTTGCCTCGAGCTTGCATTTCAGGTCGTCGGTCACGCCGCTGAGGTTGTTGGTGAGTGAGAAGGACGCGGTGCCGTCGCTCCCGACTGCGTCGGTGGCGTTGCTCCTGAAGTGCTTGATGGTCCAGCTGGGAAACGTGGTGCAGTCGTCCGCCTGAGCTGGGAGGGCGAGCTCCCCGAAGAGGAGGAGCAGGATGGGTGCGACGAGCGACGACAGCATGGCGGTGGGCGATGCGGGTGGGTATTTCCTTGCCGAATGTTTGCTCGACTTGAAGATTTCGAAGTGGAGAATGCTCTTTTCCCACGAAACAGTGTTTTGGGACCAGTAGATGTAATTTGTGCATTACCTGGGCCCGGAGGTAATACCCGCGATAAGAATTTCCGCGTTGTGGCAGATCAGAAAGATATTGCGTGTCCCAATTAGCCGCTGCTGTAATTAATCTATCACGAAATATGCAGAAGTCTTTCCACTCGTCCTCCACTGCGACGGACTCAGCACGGATACCTGTGGACCTGTAGCAAAGCCGTGATTAGGTATTCAATAACAAATAAGCTGCACGGGCCGAACAGCGCAAAATACGAAAATGGCTGGCATGTCCACCGCCTCCCAAGCTCTGGGTGATGATGCTCATCATCGTCAAACCCCACCCTCGATAGTGTGTAAGGAGGTGCTTTTTCTTCCAACAAGCTCGTGCGTCAAGTCCAAGGCGGTTCGATTGATCGCCCAGTCACATCTGCTTCTTAACTGTGCTCCTAGCCAGGACCACGGACACACAAACCTGATGCGAGTTTAGACGCAGCGTAGATGGCTGTATCAGTGAATAATTAGTCGATGAATTGCAACACGCTGTGACGGCGTGAGTTCTGTTTGTTCATCACTATCTTCACAGCTTAATCTAGTTGAGTTGAACTTGGCTTGGCATCGTGTCTTGTCCTCAGTGGTTACTCGAACGGGAAGTGAAGCAGCAAGTGGGAGGTTGAACTAAAGCGTCACAGCCGTTGTAGACGTCACACCATCTAATAGTTCTCAAAACAGCAATTATCGTTCTCTTCGTTTAGACGACACCAAACTGGCCCTGACTACCCGCCAGGCAACCTGGACGTCTCTAACATTAAACCTAGTGACGAGGCCCCGATGTATTATATCTAGTCTAGGGGAAGGTTGGTGATTCAGGTCTGCCAAAGCGTGTGGCGAAGTATGGGATTCAGAAGAAGAGAAAACTTTTGCCAAAGCCCAAACCCCAAACTTATATAAACCTACTCGCCGCAAGATAAAAATTCCCGCTTTCAAAATGCAGCTGCCCAACCTTGGTACTCAATCAGTCAGACATTAATTGCACCGGGTTCTTAGTAGGAACAAGAACAAAAGGATCACAGTCTTTCGCACCGCCTCTCGTTCCTCGATAATTCTTAGCCTCAGTTTGCGGCACTCTTTCTATCACGGCTGAAGAATAGGGGCATCAACGAACCAGTAATTAATTACAATCCAGGTTTCACAATCCAATTTACGTCCCACGGCTAACGAAATCCCTTTAGCTTTTCTCAGGATCCAAGATGTGCGTCTACACCGAAGTGATCTACTACTACGACAAATGCAGTCAGCCCAAGGCCAAACATAAGAAAATCGAAAAGGTCAAGGAACCTTGTCCCGAATTCTGGAAATGCGCCCTTATGACGCACAAAAAGGGCCCCGACGGGAAGTTTATTGAGAAGCACATCCACGAGGTGCAAGTTGATTGCCCTAAATGTCCTCCGGCACCTGGATCCATTTAGCCAACAGGGAAAGTTGGGTTGGTTGGTTGATCATTCGAATACACCGTGCAGTGGTCAAGACGACCGAGAGCTGAAGACGAGATGAAGCCCGATGGAGAGTGTGCTGAATACGGCCATTCGGCCTTGGTGGAGATTGAGGAAGCTAGTACGTGGGGGGAAAGAGGATAACCTAGTTTCGAATAATTACGAGATTTCGTAAATTCTGCAATGCGCATCAAGGAACTCTCTGTGCGATTTCTAGGCGCGGCAGACTGAGCGGAGCCACTCCGGGGGTTCTAAGTTTCCGGCTTCAATGTAAATGGTCACTCGTCTTCAACCCAGCTGCCCGGCATGAGTGAAGGCTTTGGCTCCACCATCTCCCAGAATTCCCCAGCGAAATGGTCCGATGCCTCCGACCACCAGATCTTCCAGTCATGCACCTCTGGTCCATAATCAACCATAATAACTTCCAAGATCCATTCTGGGCCGCGCCAAAAGACTCCACGCTTTATGCCGCTTATGAAATATTCTGCGGCGAACCTGGCCTCTACCTTTCCGTACTCGTCAAGGGAAACACCAGATTCCCGTAACACTTCTAGCCACGTCTTTAGTGCTTTCTCGGCGACTCTGATGCGCTTCGCCATTGGCGTCGACTCTAGCATATGATTTCCCCTTATAAATTTCAGGAAAATTGTCTCATTCAGTAAACAGCAAAGCGTTGTCCCCCAAAGTGAATCTCTCACACCGGTGATGGCAAAGAATTCGCTTAATAAACCTCGCCAATCTGCGGTAATAGAAGAGTGAAACCAGTGACTTAACCCAAGGCAAGCTGCGAGGCTTTGTAAAAGAGTGCATCCATAGGATCCAACTTCGGTGCCGTCGCCAACGTCTTCTTCCTGTAGGTGGCCGTCTTTGGAGAGTGTGTGTCGGATAATGCTTGTCGAATATAAGAGGTTAACTCCAGGCCACGTCATCAACTCAATGGCAAAGTAGCGTCTGACATCTCCAAACCCCTCGGAGTAGAATTGAGTATCTGGACAGACAAGGCGTCTGAGCTGTTGAAATCCGACCAATGAACAGTAGTCATAATTGGCGAGGATATTAAAAGCAAACAGCTCGTTGTCGAATTCTTGCTGAATATAAGTGCGGAACTCTTGGGTGTCAAACTTTGGAAAATAGCAGAAAAAAGGTTTGAAGTTGGGGAAGATTACACCTAGCCTAGCCCGGTGGCTGACCAGGAAATTGCCGACTCTCCAACTGCCCCATGTATTTACAGTCTAAAGAAAATATCAGTTGGTGGCTTTGGCACAAATGGTTGGTTCAACGTACCATCAAAAGAGTCTGCCCATACTCATCACAGTCGTCAGGCGCCCAGTCTGCGGATGCCAACTCCCGTTGAAGAGATACCACGTCGTCGTCTATAACTAGATCCACCAGACGTCGCCAGTGCGGTGACTTGCGTGGATAAACGGTGCGAGTGCGAAAGTAGTGGTTCCAACCTATTTGGCATCGATGGACGACCGACTGAAAAGCCCGGTAACAGAGCCATGTCGGCATCCGGATGGTAACCGCAAAGACTGGCTGCTCCCGTTCCGATGGCGACTGAACATCCGGCTTTTTGGGGCCTGACGGGACATATATCTCAACACTCCCAGTCAGGCTCGCGAGACCGATCTTGTAGCTTCCAGATCTGGGCTTGAATGGACCTATCAGTGACCCAGCAGAAGAAACTGCATGAGCTGGAGCTGGAGCTGTAGATGTTGTGGTTTGCGCAGAACTTGCATTCTGTAGGGCATGCATGAGACCGGATACAACTTGTGCCGGCTGAATACGCTGCAGGGAGCTATGCAGTCATTGTTAGGAATCTAATATACGTGTGAAGCGAGGGAAGGGGCCGAAATTATTACAGCATGTAAGTCTGTTGAGCCAGTGCAAGTAGTTGCACGGCCATAGATAATCGTCGTTCATGCTTCAACAGCTGTTCTTTCTTCAGCAAAACCTTTGCTGTGCGAAGTTTCTGTCTGAAGCCTGTTGAAGTCTGGATCTGGGTGTGCAACTCGGCAGACAGTGACTCAAGGTGGTCCAGCGCCTTTTGGCATTGCAGAACGGCGGCTTGGAGGGAACCTTTGAGGGATTCTGAAGCCACCATAGAGTGGTGAACGTCATCAAACTCGCAAAGGACTGGCGCGAGGACCTGTATCTGGCCGATGAGAAAACTGAGGGTTTCCGGGGCGTCGGAAATCTCGTCCAGGAAGCCTTTTACCTTGATTCCGGTGGCGATGATTTGGCCTGCGAGTTGAGCGACGCTAATGCCTGACGCCACCACGCCGAGGATTTCGGCCATCACAGGCGAATATGGCGGTTTGCAGCCTAGCTCATCGTGTAGTAGACTGGCATGGATACTCCTCAGTAGGTGAGTGTTGCAGATAGAAGAGGATTATTGTGCCAGAGCCTGACGAACCTGACGAGCTGAGTGAAATTTGAAGATGAGGGGGTGGGCGGCGGCTCGAGGTGGTAAGGCGTCGACTCCGACATCCTCGTGACCTCGTCCAACCAAAAATCTGCCTTGGGCGCAAGGTGCCCGTGGCTGTGCAAGCTACACAGCCAGTAGCCCAGTAGCATTGCGAGAACTGTTGTGTTACAGTAAGCGACAGAAATCCCTGGTAACCAGTGAGTGTCTTAGACACATGCTGGTGGCTGAGAATGGCTCTGTTCAAATGCCTGGCAAACAGCGGTGAGGTGGAGTTCGATGCTGTATTGGCGCCACGTCAATATTTCAAGAAAAGAAGACAAATATGTCGTAGTTCGGTGCCTTATAAGACACAAGAAGAACGTACTTGCTGCCATGGTAGGTGGAACACTCCCTTCTACTGCACAGTGATAGAAGCAGAGCCTCTGCTGCTAGTAGAGCCACTGGTGTCATCATCCCTTCGTTGCAACAATCGTATAGTCGTGGCTTCCAAATTTCATTCCCACCTTGGACAATTCACCATACTGCCTCCCAGTAGTAACCGCCCCGGCCACGCGTTGGACACGGGTGCTTTCGTACATCTGATATGCGCCCTCATCGAAGGTGAAGTTCCCTTTGCGAGTCCGTACCTCGTCGGGACTGAGGTTGTCGTGTGACTCGACGATGTAGCATTCGACGAGGGCATTCCTGGTCCAGCCACATACGGAAAGATAACCGGGGCCGGTGGGCTCGTACGTGCCAGTGTAGTTAACTGCTCTATTGTGGGATACTTGTCAACAGTGGCACACTTTGTGTAATGATGGCAATTCTTTAGCCTCTGAGGACTTGAATAATCTTGGTCCTCCTGGATTCCAACCCTTTCCGCATACCAAGCTGCCATTACCAGACCACTTCACGTTGTACTGGGCGCCAGGCCCGTTATTGTAGGAAAACTACCGCCGCCCTCGGACCAGAAGGAGTAGGATTACCCCCTTGGCGGCTTGTGAGGGCTGGAGGGCCCGCAAGTTGAGACAATTCTCCAGAAGCGGAGAATACTCCTGGGGTTATGGCAATGGCTGCAAGGAGTGAGAATGAGACCATCGTGGCAGATGTGCGACGACCTCGACTCTTACTCCTTTCCCGTTCTCCTTTTTCTTGGCAAGTCCCCTGCTCCTTTTATATCTTTGCCCATGAACAAGGTCCTCCAGGCCTGGATGATTTTATTAAATTCCATGCCACGTTTCTGATGTACACCACAGGGTCTCGTTTCATCTGGGCAGGACACATCGAACTAAATTAACGCAACACCCCTTATTGTCACACCCAATAGGTGGTTTTGGGTTCTGCGGGTCGGATCCATCAGCAACTGCATCTCCGCCATCCAGAGTCAAAGTGTGCCTGCCAGAGCTGGCGCATTCTCGGCACCAAGGTCGTGCCACCACCATTCCTTACACACGCAGGAGGTGATGCCAAGAACAAGTTCCGTGGCACACATGTTGGGCCTGCGCTGGTGGGCTAAGCTCCGTTCATTCAATTAGAGGCAGGAAGGCGACGTCAGTCTTCCTTTTCACGGTCATACAGGTTGAGAGGGGTACGTGTTCCCTAGTGTAGATGAGAGGCACCCTGTCTCTCTCTATACTTATCAGCACAATAGAAGTGCCGGGCCTCTGGCTGAAGCTAGACATAGGAACGCGGCTTGAGGAGGGAATGTTGGCAGAAGGACAAGGTGGTCTCTCTTGCACCAGGTAATATTGTCGGTGTTTGCTCTCTGATGGGCTTACTTGCGGGCCAGGGTTGCAAAATAGAGCCCGTTTAATCTAAGCTGTAAGGCTTGAATTGAGGTACTGTACATACACGTCGTTGATGTCGGGTGGCTAATGCCGATACTAAACCAGGCCCGAGGAATATCTTGCAATCCATAACAGCATGGCAGCAGTAGGGCAGCCGCTTGATTGCCTTTGCATCTTTTGCACCCGACAAGGGTCGTCGCTGATATCTGAAGAAGAGAAGATGGCAAGTTTGTCTCGCAGAAATGGATAAATCCTTTTATTCCGTACACCTATCCACTTTGTTGCCATCCAGATTTCCCCCACGCCCAAAAGATGGCTCGATACGACAATTCCCCACTTCCAGTACGACGCAGTGTTGAAAGGGGGTTGTGACAAAATGCACAGACCGCCGAAACCAGGGTAGCTTATGCAACGAAGCCTGCATCTCAGCCCATTATTTTTTTGAGGACGCGCCTCGTCAGGCCCAATTCTCCATTCCACCTTTCTATGGAGTCGAGCTTAATTGTCTTTCTATCCTATAATTATGTCCACTTGCTATGTATAATTTGCACCGACCTATCGATCGCACTGCCCACCTAGAATGGTCAAGAACAAGAAATCCCGACGCGGGAAGGATGACCCGGGAGACGGCCTTGGCGGGTACCCGTTGGGCTGGCCAAGCTCGCAGCGGTGGAACCCACAGTACAGCGTCCCGCGCAACTCGGTCGACTGCGAATACCCCTCGAGCGCGTCTCCTTCCCGACTTGAGGGCGGCCCTGACTCTCCCGACCATGCCAAACACTTCAACCAACCACGGTCAATGTCATATGGGCGGAACACGCGAGATTTGGATACCCACGCTGCGGCCCAGGCGGGGCTCCGGGCAGACGACACGGAGGAGCTATCGGACCTTACCCACTGGCTCGACACGCTGGCGGAGCTATACATGAACAACCTCGACAACCGCGCACGGTGGGATCCGCGATGGCTCAACATCACGCGCCGCGAGCGTTTCGAGGGGCTCGCGTCCGCCTCCGTCACCGTCGTCGACTATCTAACGAGCGACCCGGAGCCGCGGAGGGAGGCCATCACGAGCAAAAAGCAGCTGGCCGCCACACTAGAGTCCCGCCCGGAGAACTCGGACGTGAGGGTGGTGATGGTGAGCGACCTGAGCCGGTTCGTCATGGGCGCGCTGGGCCAGCTGTATTCCATCGACCCCGAGTTCTGGTACGAGCACCTGGTCAACTCCGGGTACGGCGCGAGCGACAGCGGACTGAAGCTGAAGAACGCCGTGTGGATGAACTGGGCCGAGCGCGAGACGCGGTTCCGGCACCGCGCCCTGCCCGGCGTGGGCCAGCGGACCGAGTGGAACCTGCCGCGTCGCACGAACAAAAGGTGCTGGGCGCATCTCCGCTGGGGCCGGTTGGGCCTGCTCAACTACTTTGGCCGCAAGGGGTTCCACGAGGACGAGATGGAGACCCGGGTCGGAGACGGGCGGTGGGTCATGGAGCGGGATGTGGTGCTGGACAAGCACGGGTTGCTCATGACGGCCAAGAGGAAGGCCGAGGCGGATAGGAAGGCGAAGAAGGAGGCGGAGAAGCGGAGCAAGAAAGAGCAGCAGGTGCCGTTGCCACCGTCACTGTCACCGTCACCAGCAGGAGCCGACACCACTTCGGTAAGGGGCAAGACGACGAACGTGTATCGCGCGTACAGCACGTTTGAAAGTCTGCCGAATAATCCGACGTTTTGGACAAATAGGGATCTGAGGGTCATGGCACCGGAAGGAGCGAGCTACTGGCGGGGGCTGGATCATGGGGGGAAGACAACTAGTATGTCCAAGGCTGGAAGGAAACTAGTTCTTCATGCTAATCTGTCCGCAGTCATCCTATTGTTTGATCCGATGCGGAGCATGATGCATTACAAGACGAAAGAGACGACACCTTCTCTGACATTCATGCCCCGAGCAATGGAAATAGAAGTGTACACCGAGAAACGATTGTGGCAAACTCCAGATCCAGGTGAAACCTACCTGGATCCACCTCCGCCTCCTTTCTCGAAGCAGGAGCTGAAGAAGCAGAAGAAAGAAGCCAGAAAACTGCAACATAAGGGCAAAAAGAGTTGGCTGGGAAAAAAGCTAAAGAGGGGCGCAGACGACGAGGAGGAAACCTATGTGCCGAGCCTGGACTACGATTCCACGTCCTCGTATACAAGCGATTCCGAATACGACGAAGAGTACCAGAACGCGATGCGTGCCCAGTACAGCAACCCTCCACCACACAGACGCGAACGCGACTACGCGCGGAAATATGCCCTGTCCACGCATGATCTCGTCTTCCGCCATATGAAGACCCTTACCGCCGCCCAAATCCTCCAGGACGCCTCGCTCCTCCCCTCCATTCTCACTCGTCTATCTCTTGACGACCTATGGCAGCTCCTGGCTGAAATACGCCTAAACCTCGACCATCTAGATGCCGACCTGGCCGCCGACCTCCACCTTCATCTTCTCGAGTCCATCGGCATTACAACTCGCCTAAACATCAACTGGATGCGCTCCACGCTGCAGGATCTCCAAGACTGCGCTGCCCATCTGGCCGCGCTATCCACGCTACTATCCCACCCCGCCGACCTAGCCGTAGAGCTCGCCGATCTCACCACCCACCTACAAACCCTCCAAACCCGCACCGAGCAAACCGCCTCCCTCCTAGTCTCCTCCACGGGCCTCGCCCAATCCACCCTCGTCATCGACCAAACCTCGGGCATCGACAAGCTAACCGAGCTCGCCTTCTTCTTCGTCCCCCTCTCCTTCATCACCTCCGTCTTCTCCATGCAAGTCTCCGAACTAACCACCTCCCCACCCCCGCTCTGGGCCTGGGGCGTAGCCATAACCTCCGTCTTCCTCACAACCTACCTAGTCCGCTGCACCCTACGGTCGCCCTCCCTCCGCGTCTTCGCCATGCACTGCCGCGCCACCATGCTCAACCGCTTCACGTCCTCCAAGCGCGGGTCCGCGTCGCGGCGCCTCAACACGGTCGGCAACCGTGCGATCGGCAAGTTCGCCTTCTTCTTCGCGGCGGTGCTGTCGCTGTGCATGTGCGCGGTCCTGCTCTTCCTCGCCTTCATCTTCCTCGTCTTCGGGGGGCTCTGGCTGGGGGCCGCGGCCGCCGCGCTGTACTTTATTATCACGCGGTGGCCCGATCCCGCGGTGCTGGGGCCCGGGTTCGCGGCGCTGGTGGTGGCGGCGGCGGGGATGGGCGTCAGCTGGTATTGGTCCGATGAGATCCAGGACTGGGCCGAGGTTGCGCTCGAGCGGGGCGCTGGGTGGATGTTGCGGGTGTTTCCGGCGCGCTGGACGCTGGATCGCGTGGATGACGATGATTTGGCTCAGGAGGGGGTGAATACTTATGCACGGCAGGCGATGATTCTGGCGTCTACTTAAGAAAGATGGTATTCTTGACCTGTGAGCGTTGCTGTTTCGGGAATAATGGAAGACATTTATCCTAGTTTATACCCAGTTTCGGCTCTACGCACCATCAGCCTTTTGGATCAGCTCCCCAATCGCTCCGAGGATCTCATCCACCGTGGGCTGGTCCTTCGGGACCAAATGGCCACCCTTGTGAACGATGATTCTCGCCGTGCCTTCCTCGCAATTCCTTTCAAACGTCAATTTAGACATCTCAAACCACTCCTCGTCTGCCTCGCCGCAGATATGCAATGACGGAATCCGGATCTTCCCCCACGATAATGGGCTGCCGTCGGAATCCTCATCGGGCAAATTGGGGATCGAGAAGAGTATCGCAAAGCGAAATAGCGCGTCCGGGGGGCTCTCCGGGTGGAGTTCCGCATGGTGCAGCATCAGGGCGACGCTCGCGACGGAGCCCTGCGAGAACCCCATGACGCCGTCGAAGGGGCCGTGCTCCTCGATCACCTTGTACAGGAACTTGTAGGCCTCATAGACTTGGCTCATCTGGAACTCAATGGGAGACGGAGCCCAGTGGAAGAACCGGTAGCATGGCTGGTCCCAAAATGCGGCTATGGATGCCTCTGGCTCGGTGGGGACAGGGCCATTGACGAAGTGGAATGAGCAATTGTGCTCCGTCTCAAGCCGGTTGAGATATGGTCCTATGGGCGGTAGGTTTAAGCATGAAGGCTCTAGATATAATCTGCGAGCGGGTGAAACCCTTACTCAGCTGCAACTTGAAGAGCTGTGGAACGGGTTAGCTGCGATGCCACAACAGCCCATCAATGAGTAGAGTACTTACCTCCGACGATAACTGAGCGCCATGAAGGCAGAGAATCTTGCGTTCAGGCATCGAGGGCACGGGATCTATGGTGTCAGGTTTGGGTCTGGAGTAAAATGCACGACGTGATTCCTTGTTGTCGATATCTTGACGTGGCACACTTTATCCGACACATGCCCGCAGGGTAAAACAGTAGCGGCTCCGGGCCGGGCAAGCCAATGGGAAATTCTAGACAGTTTTGCCGAGGCAGCGTAAAACCTCTGTGTGCGTCATGTATTAATTGAATGCTGGGCATAATAAACTGTAGCGGTCAGGGCAAAGACAAGGAGCAGCGGAATATCACGGAAGGGCGTATATAACGCTATATTCAGCACCACGAAGCTATCCGAGGAGTATTATTTTGCGTCGAAGTAAATCTCTCCTATCTTCATTTGCTGGATATGTGACACATCCCGGGGAAGAATTGCCTACCTCATATGATATGGCCACCGTCAGCAACTGCAACTTTGTCTCTACCAAACTACGGGTTGGGTTAAGACATCCCAACCAAAGAACCACTCAGGCCAAGACTGGAAATTCTGCAACTTCTCTCCACTCACCACCCCCGACAATCTCTCCTGCCGTGGTTGCAAGCTCGAGTTCTGCGACACTTGCACCAGAAAGGTGGATTTAGTTGATACTTTCGGCTCCGCCCGTCCGTACGCTGTCTCCGGCCGGGGATGTGGAGTGGAAATGTGGGTCATGCTCGGCCGACTCTAGGGTAGGTAGGCAGGTAAATTGGAAGGGATGAAAATGGAGTTGATGGTGAAGTGAAGTGGCTTGGAAGTTGGTTGATTGGGACTAGATAATCGAGCACTGGACTTGTGGGTTCTGCGACTTTGCATCTTCTAATTAGGGGTCTAATTACAGCCACTACCTGCAACCCATATTGCAAGTAACCTCTAGGGGTAGCAAACGCAGCATTACTTTTACCCCTCTTCCCCAAGGGATGCTCTATACACACCCCAACATCCCCTAGCACCCACACACATTAAGCACCGCCAAGCTAGGATCATGATCCGACACCACATCCGCCGGCGCCGCCCACGAGTTGACATGCAGGTGCTCATACTGCGCCTTGGCCACCAGCGCGGGACTGACATACATGTGATCGAGGGCCTGGGTATTCATATCAAAAGTATACGTATACCTCTCCTCGGCAGGCATGTTAACAACCTCATCGAGGTCTCGCAGCCCCGACGTAGCAGCGAACGTCTTCATGGGCTGGACAAAGGTGAAGTCGTTGAAGTCGCCGGCGGCGATGATACGAGCCGCTGGGTCCTCGGCGAGGATCTGGGCGATGAATTTCTGGGGGGAAGATCTCGGTCAGTTTTTGATCTGGAAGTTGACCACACCTACTCGGGTTCGCGACTTACGCCCGTGACCTCGGCCTGCTTGATCCGGGGCTCTATAACGCCATTGATAGGCGGCCGGACATCACCGTGCAGAGAGCTACTCCCGCCCTTAGACGACATGTGCACATTGACAGTGAAGAAGGGCTTCCGTGCGCCCTTGGCCATCCAGGCCGCGACCAGGGGCTTCCGGGTGACGATCCAAGCGTCGTTGGCCGGGTCGATGCGGCCCGGGTTGTACTTGAGCTGGGGGCCGGGCAGGACCTCGTTCGCGTCGGTGCTGGAGCCCGGGTTGGGGTTCCACAGGCTGAGGACCTCGGGGCGGTACAGGTACGCGACGCGGATGTTGCCGCCGGGCGCGCCGCCGTCCTGGCCGTCGACGGGGGCGATCTCGACAAAGTTGTAGGTCACGTTGCTGATGGTCTTGATGGCGGCCACCAGGGTCGTCAGCGTCAGGTTGGCGGTCACGACGCCGTTGTTGCCCGAGCCGTTGTCGTCCTGGATCTCCTGGACGAACATGAGGTCGGGCGCGCCGAGGTGGTTGGCGATCTGGGCGGCGACCTTGGGAAGATTTGCTGTCTTCGGGGACATATTCTCTACGTTATAATCCCCCACAGTGATGGCGCGGCAGTTGCCCTTGCTCTTGAGAGTCGTCGGCGGGTACGCGGCAGTGGCGTTGACGGCGATCTGGATCCCGGTGAGGGGCAGCACGCGGTAGAATCCAAAGGCCTGGGTGACGATTCCAGTGATGTCCTCGGCCTGGTCGCCGATCTTCGACTGGTTTGGGTTGCGCGTCCCGTCGAGGGGGGTGCCAATGATGATGGCCTCGGGGTTGGAGTCTGCAACGTAATTAGCACCAGAACAAGCCCGGGAATATCAAAAAGGTGCGATAAATACCTAGGTCAGACATGGTCAAACTGCCATGGGAGCTCTTTCCAGTGACGGGCCAATCGCCGACCACCCATGTATCTCTGTAGCTACTGGGTCTACCAATGACCCTCGGGTTCCGGATAGTTACAAGCTCGCCCACGAGGCTCTCCCAGAAGTCCAAGCCATAGTTGGCGGGATCCAAGACGGGATTGACAGCCGAGATGTTGACCACGGCGTTGGGGACCGCATAGATGTCGCCACCGTCGAGGCTGGTGTACTGCACCGTTGGTGGGGGGAGGGTGTCCTCGCCGATGATGAGGGGAGTCACTTCGTTCCCACTCGACAGTACCTTGACATCCTTTGGCGAGCTGAGCTCGGTAAGGTACAGGTAAGTGTCGGCAGACCTGTACTCGTCGACCTTTGCCCCCAGGGAGATGATATCGCCGACCTTCAGGTTCGTCCCGACGGTGCTGCTGTACACGTAGATGGATTCCGAGGTGCGGGCATCATCGTCGGGCGTTGTTGAGCGGATCCACACACCGTCCGGTCCCTTCGCAGTGACCAGGCCGGTGATGTTGGCGAGCGTCTGGCCGGCCAAGGGAGACAAGAACTTGTTGCCATTGATCTCGGCGATAGTCACGGCAGCAACGGCGATGCGCAGCGACGCAACGGCCGCCAAAGACACGGCGACTCTCATCGTGAATCAGGTAGTACCTTAATGGTCAATTGGAAATGAGGTGATAAATCTTTTCTCTTCTGCCCTTCCATCCCATCCGGTACGTCCATGATATTTATTCGCGAAGCAATGAGCCACGTGCAGCATGTAAGGTTCCTGCCAGGGGTATTAGTCCAGGTCCCTGCAGTTTGGCATCGCTGAACTGAGCAACGGCACGTCGCAACAGCAGGCTAGAGCCTAAAAGAGCAGGTGGGCGTTCTAGAACCAAGCTAAGGAGAAGCTGCCCTGCCTTCTGATTCGGCCGCCGTCCTGCAAGTCATCAACGGCTCCCAGCCAATGAGATGTTTCACGTGCTTGTATTGCTCAAGACTTTAACCTTGGCCCTCGACATGTTTACTGGCCAGTCGTTCACCCACTGGCCGACAATATCCGGCCACTCTTGATCCCGGAATTCGAAGCTGAGGCGTTGGTCTCGGCAATTCCGGTGATTATCTGCCAATATTGGGCTCCACTCAGTAATCAGGGTACCTACTAATCATGGTAGACATTTAGGGTTAGAACCCAAAACGCAGCACCAGAGCTCGTGTCCGAGATTGAACGACAAGGGAGTCCGTGGATCGCCCTCGGTACGGCCAGTAAAGACGTAGAAACCACCATTGCAGAGATAATGACCAACTAGAGCCCCATCGACGTCCTCGTCAACAACGTCAGTTATCCCTAGGGGGCCTTCTCGAGGCTTTCCCCTCGACAACGCTAAGCATCTTGGGCCACCTCCGCAGAATGCAGGCCATCCTATGTTTTTCTAGGTTTGTGGCCGTACATAGTGGGAGTTTTCTTGCGCGAGGAACTTAATTCTCGCGTCAACTTACAGCCTAGTGCAGTTGAAGACAAATAACTGAATATATTTCGAGCCAAGTTGGAGAGACATGACATGCCAGAAATTTGCACTGTTGCAGTGACTGTCGAATTGGTTTGCGGAATATGGCAGACTTCTGTTTACGGCGGGAGTAACTTATGGCTCTGCTATTCCTCTCCATCCCCAGCTTTGCTTGAAAGAGCCCCATATCTAGTTATGTGGCTCGTCGAGGGCATATGGATATGTCAGCCCCCAAGTTGCGACATAGTAAGTCATTCAAGTATCATGCAAGACTCCACCGTCATGCATACATAGCGGCAAGAAACCCCCATCTATATGGCCCCACGGCTCTCTCAGGCTATATTCACCCTCCCTCCCGGCCCAGGCTGCACATTAACAACGCTCCCCGTTCTCCGCCCTCCCCCGTTCCCGCTCCTGCTCCCCGGCGCAATATTGACCCTTCCTCCTCCTCCTCCTCCTCCTCCAGCCCGGCCCCTACCGGCATCGATATTGACGCGCCCGCCCGGATTCGCATGCCTACCTGGCCCCGGACCCGGCGGCGGTGGAGGAACGTTGACGCGCACTGGCGTATGCGGTGGGGCCGGCACGTCGTCGGATATCCAGCTGTATGACGTCGATGTGAACTTGACGGTGGCCACGACGCCGACTGTGCGCATGGCTCGGACGAGCAGATAGGAAATGATGACCAGGATGACGACGTGGAGGGCGATGACCAGTGCTATCGCGTCATTGGGCTTGACCATTCCATGGAGGCATTTGCGTTTTGGGACCGGGTGGTGTTCGGCCTGATTTAGCTGTTACACAGGCTTAAATGTCAACGCGGTTCGGATTGGAAATTATCAACTTCTAACGGCCAATATTGGCTCGCTGGTCGGGAGGAGGTGGTAAAAAGAGCTCGGCCTCGCAGGACATGCAGTTGTCCATCTAGCGCTGCCAACGTGTCGAGCTGGAAGAGCCTGGCGTGATTGAACTGCTCCAGAAGGAGAACGATATCCCTGAGAATACAATCAAGGACGCACTTCTCAGCATCTTCCAGAGTATAGACTCGTGGATTGATGATGTTTCCGGCGACGAAAAATTCGACTTCAAAAGCCGGTGGATCAAAAACCTGCAGAGTCCCAACAGAAGGGAGAATTTATCCGTCCTTGGACTCGAGTCTCGGTGTTTAGAGCTGGAATGGCAAGTGAAGCTTGGGAAATTGGAAACCTGCCACTACGTCATTCTTTCTTTGGTCATATCAAGATCCTTATGCAAAGACATATTTCGCTTGAAGGGGGCGGATAGATGGGGAAGTGTGTATCCCTTGGGGCTCGAAGAGTCTGAGGTGGATTGGTTGGTGGAAATTCAGAAATCATTGGCATCGGAAGATCTGGGGAGAGGTATGTTCCTGTCTGCTTCCTTGCCTTTGATATTGATATTGACAATTCAAAAACCACCTAGATCAGACACAAATCGCCAAATGGAGAAGAGAGGCAATACATGGTCTCACCGCCACGGATCGATTTCGGCATGCTTCAGAAAAACCGTTGAAAGAAATATCGAAAGACCTTGAGTACGGCCTTCGCATGTGGGCCGGCAAAGACGCGGTGTCCGAACATTTCCCAACTCTAAAGAAGCGTGTCCTCGAACCGGCCATAAAGTTTCTACAGATGATCGGTTGCTCCAGCAAGGACTACGAACTGGCTCTAGCCAGGATCATCCCTGGCCCGGTCCCAATTCCCGTGGCATCCTGGACTGTCAAAGACATCACAACCTGGAGAACAGTATCAGCCGACGATGTGGCCGGATCGTTCCATTTCATTTACCCTAGGCTGATTCGAAGAGGAGGGACTGGCCAAGAAGATCTGGTGTTGGTCAACCAATGCTGCTCGGTTATCCAACCCTGGAGCTGGAGCCGAGAGCCTCGCGCACAAACAGTCCATCGCCGTCAAGGTAAGATACATCGAGGAGATTAGAATGAGTATCGTCGGCCTCGGGCAACACGGGGCTGTTCAGACGGCCATCTCCTCCCAGGCATATAAGTCCGCCGAGGGACCTCAAGCAGACGAAGCTAAGGTCCCTAGCAGACTCCTCCTACATCAGCAATGTTTTTGGACTTATAAGGCCAGCTTCCGTCAGTAATCAGTCAGCAGATTCTCAGTCTCCAAGCATTCGACACAGACGGAAACCAAGAGCGAAACAACCGCCGACACCGCCCAGCCATCGCGATCACCAGCTCACGTCAGACGGCCAAATCCAACAGGACACCGAGACGTCGAGGCTCATACCTACTGCTGGACAGGTCGCCTCGAATTATGCGGAGGGCCACCACGAGGCAAGACTGACCATCGCCGACAATCCTGCCCAAACCAATTGTATCCCACAGGATGTGTACGAAGATCCTGGGCAATACAAGTACGAAGACGAGAATTCATTGCAGGCCACCGCAGGATATGGTCATGGCCAGCCAAACATGTTTCCGACGAGGTGACCTGGACATCGAGGTGTGTTGGGCGGGGGAGGGTTGGCTTAAGGGCATTAGCCCTAATTAGTACGGGGGTGGTCAATACCCAGTTCGTGCGGTTGCTTGAAATATAGTTTGGCCCTTTGTGGGAGCTATTCGAGTGGGGGATCTGGACAATTTTGTGCATCACCCATGGAGCGGTAACTTCGCAGGTTCCTAAGATTAAATTCTGAAATCTGCCATCACACAAGCCACCTTCGTCACTGTTCCCTTCACTTTCTATAAGTTGTCATTATCATCCAAGGGATTTTAATTCGCTGCGGAGATAACCAAACAAGGAGGGGAAAACAACAGATCTGCTGAACTTGATCATTGAGCACGGGCCACCCCCTTTTACTCCTTTTCACCATGTTGCCATGCATCCCGACTCAAAGTAATTGGCTGATGGACATTTAAAGTCATTGACTGATGTCTCTTTGCAGTCTAAGCTTTACTAAATCTTCATCTGAGAGGCCAAACAGGGATCCACCCAAAGAGGAGCTTAACTCCCAGCTCATACGTTGATTCACGATTCACGAAGGGACGGAACAAGTAAAAAATCTCGCATGTTTGGCTATGAAAGCAAGGTAGCCTTAGGATCACCCCTGTTGACCGAACTCGGGGAATCCTGCAAGAAAACCCATCCTCGGTTGTTTACAAACGGAGCTCGTCAAACCCCTCCACAAGCTCGATCCCAATCCCCCCATGCTTCTCATTCAAATGCGCATAGCACAGCCGGCCCGTCGCAAACGTCTCCAAGCACCTCCAACAGATATGCGTCCCGCAGCCTGGGCACGTCATGTGGTCGCACCCGTCCCTCTTCTCCATCGAGGTCTTGCACTCGGGGCAGTCCTTGAATCCGAGCTCCTTTTTCAGCCTCTCCATGGCCTTTGCCTCGTCCGAGGTCTCGTACCTGTACTCGGCGCAGGTCATACCCTCGTGTGCGGCCATGCAGGCGGTGCACGTAGTGGCGCAGCACTTGCTGCACGTGTGGATGCCTGCCGACTCGGGGGCGGTGGTACGGTACACCTGGCCGCAATCCGGGGTAGGGCAGTAGCGGAAGACGGAAGGGTTCCGGGCGATGTGGGAGGCGAACGAGGCCTCGAGGACGTCCTCGAAGGTGCTGGACGAGAGGCAGTCTTGTAGCTCGCCCAGGGGGAAGATTCGCTTGCACCTGTCCTCGTCTCCGGCGCAGCGGATGAGAAACTCGGAGTCGGTCGAGTAGCACGACTGGCAGAGATTCTCAAAACATCCAGCGCAGTAAAGGTGGCCGCATTGCGTGCGGATCGGGTTCTCGGCTTCCGTCCAACAGGCTACGCAGTCCCCGTCGGGAAGGGCGGTGGTGTCGGACTCGGGGTGGCCAACTTCTTCCCCACCTTCAATCATGGCCAAGGCTTTCGCATGGTCCGTCTGTGTTCCATTGATGATGATGCACTTCGGGTAGGAGACGACGTCGAAAGTGGCCACGCCATCGCCCAGATCAGAAGACAATCCTCTGAAGCCGCCACAACAAGCCCACCGGAACTGCTCAGGACTCAGCTGGATGGTGAAGACCGACGACGACGCCGACAACAACGAGTCGTTCTTGAACAGTTCCACCAGCTGTCTTGTCACTTCTTTGCACTTGGACTCCGGCCCGTACACTCGAAGCTGTCTCTTCTGCTTATCACGCAAGATGAAGACACCGAGGCGCTGTTCCACCTGCTTCAGCGACTGGTGAGACAGTCCATTGTTGTTGGTCAAGGCCTGAGCCCACAGAACATCCTCGCCGTTCCTCGCAACCTCGCCGGCGAAGATAATCTCGAGTTCCCTCTTCGCACCCGCCACATCCTTCGCATGCTCGCCCTCAATCTTGACGGTGGTGAACCCCGTCGACGGAGGGTAAGTCCTCAGCAGCAAGTTCTTGGCGCCCCATGCCGACCTGTGGCCATCGATGCGCGACTGCACCGCCTGGTACATCTTACTCAGAACCTTGAACTTGGCCGAGGTGACCAGATGCACGGTAAGTCTGCCGGTCTTGTTGAAGGGGAGTGGCGCATTGTGCAATTCCCCGACGGCCTTGCGCGCGTCCGTCTCGAAAACAAAGCGTACCTGCATCTTGATCCGCTTCGACGCCGACGTGGAGACGATGGGCTCTCCCTCGAATGCGCCGATCTGCGTGAGCAGCGACTGGATCTTGGCGACGGACATGTCGGCGCTGTCGGGATATGTCGGCTTGGAGAGCTCGACGTGGCGGGGTTGGAGCCAGTCGGGGATGGTGGCGGAGATGGACGCCTCGTCCGCGGTGGAGGGGAGGTCGTTGAGGGTGACTGTCCACGCGAACGGGTTGAACCTGTTTGCCTTGCCTACAGGTCCAGTTGCCGCAACCTCTCGGCCACATACCTTGTACACGCGCTTGTTGAACAGGTCACGGACCTTGCGTGCGATGTCTTGGTTGCCAAAGTTCAGCCACGCCGTACGTGTGGCCCGGTGCCACGAGCAATGTACCTTTCTGCAATCGACACGATGGATGCCCACGCCCTGCGGGATCGATGTCGGGATAGCAACGGCTTTGATACCCCGTGTCGAGGATGCCGTGGGGATTTTGGAAAGCAGGTTCTCAGCAAAAAGAGGGTCATCTATTCTGATATCGGCACTGCAGTAAGCTGCGCCGGCACCGCTGTCGGCCGTGGAGGAGATGCGAACACCGCTCAGTGGCACGATCAGCCCTATTCTGGCGAGCAAGGATACGACCGAGACAGGCGAGCTTCCGACGGGTAATTTGTCCAAACGAACGGCGGAGAAGTCAGACGGAAGTGAGACGCGGGAAACCGCCGCACCGTCCCCAAACTGCGCCAGGGCGCCACCAAGCTCGCGAGTCCAGGTCTCTTGTCCCGCTTCCTCCTAGTATGTTGGCCATTATCAGCCGCGGGTCACACTCGAGGTCTGTTGGGAAGTGAATACTTACGCGGCCTTCCATGACCCATTCCGAGTTGCCCTCGGGGCCCTGGGAGTGAGGGAACGCGCAACTATCGCCATGAAGGCAAGCACCTCTAGCAAAGAACTTGCAAGGGAGATTCAATCTCGGGTCCGTAGGTGTTTCGATGTGCTCCGAAAGACTTTCCTCGCTTGTGACCGTAGCCGGCTGGATATGCGTGTACAAGCACTTCTCTCCCTTCGCGCAACGCCCTTCGGCGAAGAAACGGCAAGGCAACTGTGGTCGTGGAGGGTCGGCGGACATGATGTCCTTAGATGTGGTTGCCTTAGATGAGCCAGCATGTGAGTAGACGCAGTTGTCACCCTTGTTACAAAGGCCGCGAGCGAAGAAGTGACAGGGAGCAGGGCCAGCGGGGCGCGAGCGTGGTCCTGGGGCCTCGCCCTGAGGTGGTGAACGCGATGTTGTGAGCCCGCTCATCATCATTGGCGGCTGTCAGGTGGACGTGATATCCTCCCAAGCGTTTTCAGAAGGATGGTTGTACCAGGAAAGTCATGCCAATCTGTGCAACAGTCAGCCCAATTTATGTTGGGCAGCCTGCCTCCGGCCTATCATATGATGGAAGATTCTGCATTTTGATACGTCCATTCACTGCCAGAGCCACTGATATTCACTTTTTGCCGTCGTAGATTGAAAGTGGGACGAAAGTGACTAAGGAAGCAAACATTGATTCTGGATCCATCTGATGGCAGGGTATTCGAGGCTCGGGGGGTTGCAAGGACTAAAGTAGGATGCCCGAATGCCTGATTAAGCTCTTCTCGAACAGTCAACATCAACAGTGTCGGTAGGCACAACGAAAACCCCTCCAACCACCGGAGCCGGAGCGACCGGCGGCAGAGACCAGTGAAATTCATGCCTACGATCCGACTCGTGGCAACAACTGAGGTGGGCTTGCAGCGGGGCCTTCTCGCATCACTGGGGAACTCGTGCATTCGCGTCAAAGAGAGCGACACCTTACTCCCCGAGACGCCATTCGTGCACGTAAATGAGAACAGAGACATCGTCGCCTTTGTCATCAGTTCCCGTGCCGGCTGAAATATTGAATGCTTTCATATTCGAAGCATCTGCTCCAGAACCGGACAAAAATAAAGGCGCAACTAAATGCTCGAAACCGAGGAGGCTACAAGAAAATTAAAACTCCACAGCACCAATGCCGCCATGTCATTAGATCCCAGATCATTTCGCGTCCAGAAAAACGGCTCCTATCGTGTTCAAACGCGTTGGCAACAGCCGCAGCAACAAGCCAAACCCGGCTCAACTCCCTCATTCACAACGTTCACAACATCCAACACCCCGTTCTCCTCTGGCAGTGACGGGCTATCGTGGGCGAAGTAGCTTGGCGGAGGATCCGTGACAACGACACCAATCGAGGTAACCACATACTTGAACGAGCACGTCAGCACGCGCAGCCACATCGACGGCCACTAACAATAGGGGTTTGACGGCCCCATACCTGAGTCTGCGGTTGAAGCTGCGACGACACTCCCAGAATAACCTCAACAGCATACGCCTGCGAGACGCCGCAAGACTCGAAACTCGGCGGAACGTCCGGAGGGACGCAATCCTGCCACACGCCGCAATCCACCTCGAACCTCTGCCGGTCGACGGGAACGACCCCTGTGGCGTGCCATATAGGCCGGTATGCCGTGTCCGTCCTCGAAGTCGAGCCGATCCGACTGGTCGTCGTGCTCCGCAGACGGGCCGTGACGCTCCGGATGTAGACTGCCCCGACGGCCTTGACCAGGCCGGTGGGACAATGGACGAGTGTCTGCAACTTGGGCTTTGTTCCCCTCGACAGAAGGGCGGGGTATGGCATTATCAGCTCGAGCATCAGGGCCGGGGAGTATGCTGGGAGACAATGCGGTGGAAGAACTTCGTGGGGGGAGTCCCCCGGGAGTCCCAGACTGCTAGCTGGGAGCATGGCGGTGTTCCTGACGCACTCTGGGTAGTCGAGTCGACCAGGACCCATGCATGGTTGGGCTGGTGAGATCAGTGCTGTCGGGTGGTACTTGAGTTCTTGCTGTGCCTTGAGGCTTCTCTTTAGGAGCCCTGGCCGGTGGACTCTCACTGTGATGGAGTAGGTTGCCCTCACTTTCAGTCCTGCCGAGTAGATATCCAAGTGCGGAGGCAACAGGCTTCCTGTTCCGGTAGCTGTATCGAGTCTAGAAGCGTGACGTGGGAAGGAGAAGATAAAGGGGACCAAGCTTGGCTCTTCCTGATACCCCTTGGTCGTGATGAATGATCCGTCATGTGGCAATACAAGTTTAGATTGGTCAAAGAGCTGGACCCAGAGGGTTAGTGGGCTGGTTCGCCGCACAAGCTACAGAAGGGAATGGTGGGCCCAGACAATATAAGTCTCTCTCAGAACTCTTGGCCCCTGGAATTGCGCTGGTACTTCGGACGTGGCCCTCGGCATGAAGGATATCTTAATCTTGCCTATAACAATCAGCAACCGGTATTGCATCCTGTCGATGAGGAAACTTGGCAACTCAACTCACCTTGAAATAGGATTTGGATACTATCCATCCGTTCAGTCTCGCTCACCTCTAGTTCTATGTGACCATGCACTTCTTCCATCGGCGTGAAGTGGTCTCCGTTCTGTGGCTCTTCGACAACCAAGGTGAACTTCATCTTGTCTTGTCAATGTGCTGCTGTAATACTGACGAAGGCCAGATTTTGGTACGGTCCTTTAGATTGATGTCCGTCGGTATTAATATGCTGGCATTGCTTGTTTGCATGAGCTCGTGTCGTTGGCACCTGATACCCCGACGTCTTCGATCCCAGGGATAATGACATCAGTGAGGCTGGCGGAGGAAATTCCAGCGCCGGCAATTGCGGAAAGGCCATCACTGAAATCTGTGGTTGCAGGGGGCCGCGCATGGGAAGGGCTGTTGAATCATTGGCAATAGACAGTTCCCAAAGTATCGGGTGACCCGGATGCGGTGGATGTGGCGGATAGATTGGCAGTGATATCTGCAGTTGGAGAAAGCATTTCCGCTGCGAGCGCGGAGACTCCAGTGCCAATCCAGCATTCCATAGGTCCGCGGAGTAGGGCAATCTCCTGCCAGTAGCCTTTACATAACAATGCCAAGTCCCAAACTGTGCTGCAATATCACTGTTTTGCCTCTGCATCACAGCCACTATGGTGGCGTTGCTCCTTTGCTAGGTAGGGTATATGTTGGGGCTGGTCGGACTGTGTGGACGACCCAGATTCCCCTGATTGTGGAACTGCATGTACAATAATTACATCGCCGGTTACTAATTAATGTTTATTCCCAGAACGCGCTTCCACAAGAGCCTTCAGGCGTTCATCGCCCTCATACCGCTTCAATGCTACCTCTTTCCATTCATCCCAGCTCTGTTCAACCCCAAAAACCTGCAGGATGGCATTTGCCAATGGCAACGCGCAGGCCCACTCGGGCTCGAGTCCCAAGCCCCAGAAGAATCTTCTCACCTTCTCATCTTCCGTATAGCTTGCCAGGCGCGCCCCCTTCTTGCGCAAGGTATTGCTCAATGCAACGTCTTTTGCACTGAGCGAGACATCACCATCGCAAAGAGCTCTCATGACGGCGGATACGAGGGACAGCGCAAATGCCTCTCGTCGCGGAACGATACGCGCCATCTACCAGTCGATGATGCCGGTAATCTTAAGGTCTTCGTCAACCATCAGGTGGTCGCCCTTATCGTCGACGTGTTTCAGAAAGAACTTGTCTTCAGAATCGGACAACTGGGTCGCATTGTCTTGGAGAAAGCGATACACCAAGTAGGCCTCGATAGGAAACTGGGGATAGAGCTGACAGTCCGCAATCAGCACCAGGTACTGCTCGGCCCAGGCCGTATAGTATGCCGCCGAAGTCCCGAAAGGCCCGTATGGGTAAAGACAGACGAATATGTCGCTTGCCGTAGCAGAGACCGACGGGAGGTCATCAGGAGACTCGACATATAGAGACCCCGCCTTCGTAAACGGATGCCTCTCCAACTCGGCAAAGATGTCGGCGAGACCCTTCCAGACCTTGGCGGCGTCTCCTTGGCCATCCCACGGCTTGCCCGACATGAGAAGAAAACAGACCCCAATGCCATGGTCGGTACCTTGAGACGGGATGCCGAACGAGAAGGCCCGCGGTGCCGGTACTGCCGTAGTCTCTAGGAACTTCAGGGTTGCGTACTCGCTGCGGATGAGGTATTCGGCGAGAGAAACGGGGAAGCCGACGGCAAAGCCCGAGACCTGCGGCACTCGCATGAGCCACGACGGGGATCCATTACCGAAGCGGATGCGGGCGTGGTAGTTGGCAACACCCCGTTAGGGCGCCTAACCCAACAACCTCTGAAGGGTATTCGATGGTGCAAGGTTTGCCATTGTTCAGGCTGGAGGCGAGTTCGCAGACTGCCTTCTCATTGATCTGAGCACGAAGGCGGCCGATTTCAGCGGCAATGAGCGCGTTGTAGGCTTCATCATCCAGGTCCTTGATACGGCCCGCAGTTAGCAAAACACTGCACTATAGTGGTATATGTCTGGGTGCCACTTACCCCGGTGCTGCATCCCGAGACATATGAACTCCACAGAAGTAGCTGCTGCACATATCACACCCGGCTGCAACTGCGCGTGCACTCGGTCTTCCGCACTCGGACACCGAGCAGTCAAAGAACCTCTGCGCCATTGTATTATTCTGCGATAGGGAACGATATTGATGTTTGACCTGAAGAAGATGTTGAGACGGAATTAGATGCGGAAAGGGCAAATGAGTTATGCGCCGAGACATGTGCTTAAGGACGAAGGCCGCTACAGATGAGGCAGTTCCGACGCATGCTAATTCAATTGAAACAGACCAGGGCTAATGGTCAAGTTCTGTGCAACCAACATATTATATGGGTGCTGGGGCGTGTTGGAAAGGGGGCGGGGAGAAGGGGGCTGGACGAAAGTACCTGAAAACCAATGAAAAGGGAAGCATGATTGTGGCATTTTGGAGTCCAGTTCCTCTTTCATACGTTGATCCATGCTTCTAATGCAGCGGTTACGGTTGATGCACCTGTTCCGGTTTGCGCAAGCACGCGTCATGTCAGCGATATGATTCCAGAGTGAACAATTCGTCAATAGTAATGGTTCTATAGAGGGGATGAGGCGGAGCTTGGCTGGATAACGGGCTGTCCCGGTCCGCGCATTGCGGCGTTCCCGTGGCTCTCGCGGGGCCCCGGGCGTCGGAGGGGAATAGTAATTAATTACCGAGTACTTGACATGGACCAGTGCCCTCGCTGTTGAGGCGCGCCACCCAAATGCGGGGGTCAGATTGATTCCCATTTTGACCTCGGCCTTGGACATTAAATATACAAATTGGATCTGTGGTTGTAGGGCAAGCGCATGTGAAGGCTGTCAAACCATAGGCAACAGGTATTTCCCGACATATCAGTTGAGCCGGATGCGATGGATGTGGCGGATAGACACTCGATCTGTCGGATATCCAGATGCCAAAGCAAGACGTGAATGGCAGCAACTAAAACTCTTTAACAATGAGGTAAATTACTGTACCATGAAAAAGGGAAGTCTTCTCCATGTTTAGATAATTGCAGCCATAATGTAGGTATATGTAATTACAATTGAACCACGAGCCGCACGTCTTAGAAACAGTGGTCATGACATCATTTTAATTATTGCTCGCCGTCTTCAACCAACCATCTCGAGACCTGGTCGCCCATCCACATTATATTTCAACAACGTTGGAAGAATTTGCTGTCCAGGCGCGGTGGACGAGTGCTACGTCCTCCACCAGCGTCGCCGCGATCGAATCGAGATTTAATTGCAGGTCCGGATAGAGACATCAAAGTCTCCTGTAGCACAAGCGAGCCCTCAGGTGATCTACCAGCCCCGTTACATAATTGATGACCCAAACTGTGCGGCAATACAACCGTTTTCCCTCAGCATCACAGCCACTGCATGACCAGGCTAGATTGAGCGCTTTACCTCTTACCCCTCTCGGCAAAGGAACATCACCCCCGCCAAATGCCTAAACATCCATTTTCCATCTTCGCCTCACCACAACCGCCATGGCTACGGATGCTCCGGACACAGGATCGTCCGAGCTACCGCCATCCTACGACTCCTTAACCGACACGAGCGCCAACGAACTCCTCCAGCCAACAATCCTCGTGCTAGCCGGGCAATCCATCCACGCCGAGTCAGCCGACTCGGCGCCGCTATACCAGCTGAACCGCGGCATAGCCAGCCTATCGCACGCGACGCAAGAGGTAGAATTCTCGCGCGTCGAGCGGACCGTCCGGACCGGCTCGTACGGCGAGCCCGCCATCAAGCCGCGCGTGCGGCACGTGTACAACCTCCGGCACACGGGGGGCGGCGCGCCCCGCTCGCTGCAGTCGCTGCCGTCGGACGCGCCGCACTACTTCATCAGGGCCGTGTCGCGGAGGACGGTTGGGCACGTGGGGATTAAGAAGTCGCGCTTCCGGTCCCAGTGGAAGGCGGTGCAGATTGACGTGTCGGGCAGGAACAGCGAGCTCGGGCTGCCGCAGTTCGTCAGGGACGCCGGGCCGCTGTTTGAGATCCGGCGCAGGGGCGATAGGTATGAGTGGACTGACGGGGACGGGAAGGACGTCGCCGTGGAGGATGAGGGGGAGGATCAGCACCGGCTCCTTGTCACGGCCTCGCTGCACCGGGAGACTATGGATGCGCTGGTGGCATTGTGGTGTTGTCGGATCTGGCAGTTTTCGGCCGACCACAAGGAGCGAATACACGAGGGCATGGAAGGAGGTGAGTAAGCACAGCGTGTGGAGTCACCGCTTGGGCCAGGTTGTATTTGCTGACCTACTACAGTGAGACGGAAGTTGAGGCTAGCCAAGGAACAATAACCAGCTGCAATTTTGAAGAGAGAAAAAAAAAGAAGAAAAAGAAAGGGGCTATCCGGGAGTCGAACCCGGGACCTCTCGCAGATAAGCTTTGGGTGTAACCCTAAGCGAGAATCATACCACTAGACCAACAGCCCTTGTATTGCTGATTAATACTAACTGCAAGATAGTGAAATAATAAAGAACGGTCATCTCAATTAGCAACAAAAGAAATAATAACAGAGTTGAAAGAAAAAGAAAGAAAAAAAGAAGGGGCTATCCGGGAGTCGAACCCGGGACCTCTCGCAGATAAGCTTGGGGTGAACCCTAAGCGAGAATCATACCACTAGACCAACAGCCCATTATTTGATAACAACGCAAGCGCTTAAACTATTTATAATCGTAAGGCAAACCACAGGCTATGATTGCTTTGTTCATTAATGTGGGTCTGCCACAAAATTCAGACATGTTCCAGCGCACAGACCCCAGGCGCAAGTAGGAAACCGCGCTGCAGACAATCTTCACACAAGATTGTCTCTTGTCAATCTGTATCGCTCTCGCCGAGTTGGTCTCTTGACTTCCATCCTCTCGTCTACCGTCGCAGAGATATTTGCGGGATACCCACAAGGCCTTTCGTGGTTCCTTCAAGAAGCTCCGCCAAGGTGTTTGCCTTGTACTCCGTAATGCGTCCCGAATCTTGGCCTTCCAAGAGAACTACCACGGCCCAGTTTCGGAAAGAGAGGCGGATTTTGTGGTAGTAACATTGTCGTTTACCTTTGACGGACTCAGATACGCAGACCCTGAGTGGGTGGAAGAAGCAATGTAATCATTAAGTAAGAGTGAGACAAGCGTAAGAGAGGAGGAAGAGCTTGCAGACATGCTCTTGGAAGGGGTTTTTTTTTTGTCCGACTGAAGCTTGGCTGCAAGCTCGCACTGATTACAATCAAATCAAGTACCCTCGGAATGTGCTGGGGTGTTTTCGTACGGATGACGGAAGTACCGGATATGACGGATATGACGGATGTGGCGGATAGACCCAGACCTCAACTTTCCACCCTCATATCAAGCCAGCAGCCCAACCCGCTCCGGAATCAAGGTCGGCCAAAAGCAATCTATCCGTTCCCGATCCATCCCCTACCCGTAGGTGCAACCCGCCGGAATGCCGAACGAGTCGGACGGGCGACCTCTCAAGCGGAAGCGCGTCGCCAAGGCGTGCGAGACCTGCCGCGTCATGAAAGCCAAAGTAGGCGAATACCCAACACCCGGGTCTCCGTGATGCCCAAGTCAGGTCCCCGCTCGCTCCTTGCTGACGCGAGTTCCCCCCGCTCAAACAGTGCGACGGAGCCCGCCCGTCCTGCGCGCGGTGCCTCGGGTACAGCTACAAGTGCGCGTACTCGACGGTCGGAAGGAGCTCGCGGGGACTAGATCGCCAGGCCGATCAGCCGCGGGACACCCCCGCCGAGGTAGAGAAGCTGAAGGCGGCCATCGACGAATACGACGATGTCGTCCGCGGAATTGCGCCGGTGCTCCCCGAACCGGAGCGGGGCAGTCTCGAGGGCCGTCTCGCCCCCATCAGTGAGCGGATCCATGGCGCCATGTCGAGGGTGCGACTCGTCGGGGCGCCGTCGATGCAAGTCATAGCCGCGCCGTGCTTAAAATCACGGCCCCTCCCGCATTTCCAGAGGTACCTCGGGGAGGTCAGCGACGTCCGCTTCTTCAACCTCGTTGAGCGGGCGCTCCAGGAAAGGAATCTAGTCCCACGGTCGGACGAGGGGATGGACAGCTACGAGCAGGATGACCCGGTGCCTGAAGATGCCACCGAGGGAAATGACGTCTCGATCGAGCTGCCGAGCCCCCAGATGGCAGATGAGTTTCTCGACATCTACTTCTCAACTGTCCATGTCGCGTATCCATTCATACCGAAATCCACCTTCATGAGGACCTACCGGGCCGTTAGAGACGGCGGTTCGGCTAAGGATGTCGATAGTTCTTGGGTAGCCCTCCTGTGTAAGTCCCGTGTCATCGGCCTCGTTGTTCGTTGTTAACCGTTCGTTGTTTGTCGTGCTAACTCTAGCTGATGTTGCAGATATCCTCTTTGCCATCGGAGCCTACTACACATCGTTCCCTGGCAAGGATACAAACATGCTGCATGAGCACTACTTCCAGCGAGCCCTGTCACTCTCTGGTTCCGAGCCCATGGAGAGATCGATCAATCAAGTATCCTTCCTTCTAGCCGAGTGCTTCTACCTTCTCGCCGTGTGCAGGACAGACAGGTTAGCGCAATTCTACCGCCGACACCTGCCAAGACATATCTGACACGATTGCAGATGCTGGACAGCCCTCGGAATCGCCGTCCGATTCGCCCAGAGCATCGGCTTGCACGTCGAAACCGAAGGCGCGAAGATGCTCAAGGGGCAAGTGCTACTCAAAACCGAGACGCGGCGCAGGATTTGGTACTCCCTGTACGTCCTCGACCGTCTCCTGTCTCTCCAGCTCGGCAGACCCCCAGCGGTACACGATGACGATTTCAACGTGCTCCTCCCGTCGCGGCTCGGCGACGCGGACATCGAGTGGGAGAGCGATGACACCCAGCTCGACGCGCCCGAGGGCCCTTCAACAGGCGATTACTTCCTGTCTGTCATTAGTCTGTCTAAAATTATTGGGCATGTTCTGCGGGGCCTGTACAGTCCAAGAGGAGAGACCGTGGCCACGGAAATGTCTGGCAGCACGAGCTTTCTGGACAAGCAGCTGCTGGACTGGAAGTCGAGCCTGCCGCGGACGCTGAGGTTCGACTTTGGGCATGCCTTTGAGACGTCGCTTACATTTAGGAGGCAGGTATGGACCCCCACCCCCTTGCGAAACCTTTGTCAGGAAACGTACGTACGTCGTGGTGAACAGGATCTTTCTGACACCCGGGAACCCAAAGCGTAACATGCTCGCAATCAAATTCCACCACCTTCGTGCCCTGATCCACCGGCCATATCTGTGTCTCCGGCTTCTACGGCATCCCATCAACGTCTCTTCGACAATGTGCGAACGCCAGCTCCTCGACCGGTTCGAGAGGACCTGCGTCGCCGAGGCCCGGGAGACGGCGCACCTGCTGCACAACGTCACGGACGAGAAGGAACTCGTGCACGACTTCCCCTGGTGGCAGATGATCTCGTGCCTGATCTGCGCGAGCTCCATCTTGCTCGTGGCCAGTGTTTTTACACGGCAGACGGGCGGAGTTCTGGACAGAGACTTTGACGTCGCGACGCTGCACGACGACTCTGAGACGTGCCTCAAGGTCTTCGAGGCCCTGAGTGCCAATTCCGAGGGCGCGAGGATCGCTAAAGACATGATGGCTCGGTTGAAGGAGCGTGGCCTCAAGTGGGGTGAGTAACGATGCCCAGACAACTTACACTCAGGAATGGATGCTGATAGGGGTGAATCCCCGAATAGCAGATGCCAACACGCATCATCTAACTCAAGAATCCCGAATACAAACGGCCGATAATAATGTTGACATGCAACTGCATGTTCCGACGGACTTACCATCGCACTTCGAACCGTCTGGGACAGATCACTTCGAGATGCCATCTGGCGACATTGGGGCGATCGTCGGTGCCCAGGACTGGCCGTCGGAGATCCTGGATTCCATGACGTGGTCTGCGCAATTCTTCGACGCCGTAGACAATCCCCCGCTGTCTCCGTTCTTTCCCAGGTAGCGAACACGCGCCGAGTCGTCACCAGAAGGCGTACAGTTGGAGCGTATCCTCGTTCAACATCATTGTTATTATTTGGCTCCCAATTGTACATACAGTGGAGAATAGTACTACGCTGGCCTCAACATGAGCCAGGCAGGAAGTTCCAGGGCCGTATTATATTACTTGCATGCGGACTTAACTACATCTTGCTCTAAGCCCCCATCTTGGTTGTATTGTTGGTTTACAGTAAGCGGGACACTCGCACCACAAGAATCCTTCCAATATCTCCAGGCGTCTCGGCGCTATTTCGAGACGTACGGCATGCGACTCCTGCTGACATGCGCGCCGCACCGACCGAGTTAACTTGCATCTGTCCCTTTTAGCGTTGTATTCCGGCATCCGCGATCACTCCTTGCTGGGGATGACTGCAGCAGTATGCCTCACCACCTGCAGGCGGCTGTCAGGATCGCCCTCCTTGATTACGTCGGATCGCGGCGCAAGGAGGTGATCAGTTCTCGGACTGAACAAGATGACGGAAATATAAATATGCCTGTGGCTGCATGCTCCGCCCCGATCCATTCCCTAGATCAACCACCATCTCCCTAAACCTCGTTCTCGTTTTATTGGGCTTCAACTAACTAACTGCACCCGACATTAAACAAGATGCGCTTCTTCATCTTCACCATCGGAGCTCTCGTCTCTGCCGCAGCCGCCCAGAACTGCACACCAGGCAGCTACCGGTGCAGGTAAGCCCAGCCAGCCTCTCTCGCCACGATCTCGAAGCATGGAAAGCCAACTAATTATCGGAGCAGATCACCTACATTCCCCGCTGTGTGTGACCAATCAGGCCAGTGGGTCGTCCTCCAGCAGTGCCCCAACGGCTGGATCTGCATTGAAAACAACGGCAGCGTCAACTGCACTCCTGCAGGGACCTAGCTCGTCTTGCTGCGATACCAAGTATAGCCGAGGTGGTACGAGAGCGTCAGCTTCTTCTGGCACGCTCTGGACGACAGTTGATCTGGTTTCTTCTCCAAGGGGGTCTCCCAGGACACAGAAACGGGCTTCCAATTCCAGTTCAACCCAGCAGTTATCTATGTACTGTACTTGTCCATTTTAGCCCATCGGCAATACTAGACTTTTACAACTTCTTCTTCTCCACCACGACTTTAGCGGACGGTCCACGGTCAGGTCCGGCAACACAGCGACCGTCAGGCAGGATAATCTCCGTCTTCCGAACTTGGTAGAGCAGAAACGGGTAGATGGCGTCGCAGACGAGGGCCGTCCCGCAGAGGAAGATCCCAAACGGGTTGAGGAAATACCCATGCGCAGCAGGCCAGTAATACCAGAGCAGACCATTGCAAAGGATCATGCCACAGATTGTGCCCATCGTCCTACAGAACCTAGTGCGATTGAGTTAGCCCTTAGTCGCAAGATGCCACAAATGTCGAATCAATAAACCGCTCACCAAATCCAATAGCTCGTCCCCCCCGAGTGCCCCCGAACAAGCAACATAGCCAACGACCCAGCACTACCCACAACCTGCGCCAGAGCAGCCGACCAGAAGGCCAACTCGGTCGTATCAAACCCCTCCTGGCCGCGGTACCACTTCCCAGCCTTATCACCATACCCCACCCCCGGCCGCCCCAGCCACCACGCCGCAAACGCCGCATTCCCAACGCACCCGACCGCCACCAGCCCAGCCAGGATCCAGCCCATGCGACGCGCGACCCACGGACTGCCGGCCCACTCCGTCGGCGCGGCCGCGACGGTCGTGTACACAAGCCCGATGTCGAGGAGCAGCCAAACGGCAAAGCCGGCGCGCTCCAGCGGGTCCTCTGCCACGGCGGAGGCGTAGATGATCTCCCACGAGACGTTGAGGGCGAGGGCCAGGAGCGGCATGGCGTAGGAGCGGGTGCGGATGCTGCGGATGGTCATGAGGATGTAGGTCGCGTCCCAGAGGAGGACGCCTAGGCCTAGGAGGGCGGTTGATGCGGGCACGACCCAGGGGGGGACGCTGGGTGGGGGGGTGTCGCTGAAGCCCATTGTTGGGGCGGGGTGATGGTGGTGTTGATTGCTGGAAGGGGTTGACGGTGAGGGAGATTGCTGACAAGCGGAGATTGATGAAGGTGGAGCATGACTCGCCCATTGGCAGGGGATGCTATTGGCTCCGCCTCCCATGCTGTACTCCACAGGACGATGAAGTTGGTGGAAAAAGGATTGAGCGGTTCTGAAGAGGCAAGATGCAAAGCACAATAAATGGTCGGAGAGAAAGGCAAGTTACAAGCCACCTCGCTGGTTGACACTCCATCCCTGCTGATCGACCACCAAACATGAGTAATCACAGCACTCTACCCATTCATTCCATCATCCTTCCCTTCACCCTTTGCTGCTTCCCTCGCCTTCCGTGCGATAGTGTACCGGCGCACTCGGCTTCACCATATGTCCTGAACACATGTGTGGAGAAGATTTGAGTTCACCTTGGACAACCGCGGCACACTTGACATTTGTGCCCCGTCTCTCTTGGCACTGGTGAAACTCCTCGGATTTCTTGCAGCCGCATGTGTAGATGCGGTAATCCTGCGTGCACATGCTGCCTTTGGGTTGTCTTGCTTGAGTGAATCTACACTGATGCTCAAATCTTTATAGTCGGCTGCGTTGAGATTGTGTCGAGAGGAGATCTCAACCTTGGATGTGCTGGGTCCTTGTTAGTTTCAGCCGGATGCTTGGGGTTGGATCGCAACATACTGTATCTTCGGGTTGTTTGGTGATTACGTGGAAAGAATAGGAAGGCCTGGTGGGATGCATCTCGGAAATATTTTCTAGGCGTCTTTTGACAGCTGTTACCGAGAAGCGCGCTTACGGCGGCTAGACTGCCCTTTCCGCACAGAGGAATATACACGCATGTATGAGTGTACGTACAGTTCGTTTTTCAACACTAAGCGCATAGAGGCACGCTGGCTGGCGAAGAAGAAATGAGGGAATGCCATGGCATGGCAGTAATACGATCGCTATTGCGCCCCCTCCTGGCGCGCCCTACTGTCGATTCCTGCCAGGAGCCTGAGCGTTATTTTCAAGCACCCTGAACGAATGATTCGAGAGATCTCAGCACTTCAGGCCACTTCCCATGGTCCTCTTCCAGTCTTTCTTGGGCTAGTGACAAAGCTGAATGTCCTCTTTCATCCACAACACGAGGATCACACTTCCCCGTTGCCAGCAACGCCAAGACAATCCCTTTAATCCCCGACTCGGCCTCAGCTCTTTCGACCACACAGCACAGGGCATTCCTCCCCTGGTAGTCCGTCGCGCCCGCGTCCGCACCAGCTTCTCGAATGAGGAACTCGACAACGGGTAATCGGTTATCCCTCGCCGCGATCTGGAGCGGCGTCATCTGATTCTTGTCCCTCGCTTCAACATCTACCTTCCCCGTCGCCACAAGGTATCGTACCACGTCCAATCGCCCCTTCGATGCCGCCCACGTCAGGGGAGTCCACCCGTCGTGGTCACGGCCATCCACTTCCACCTCGCCCGACTCGACCAAATACCTCATCACCCCGAGGCGCCCAAACTCGGCCGCCCACGACAGCGGGGTCCAGCCATGGACGTCCCTGGCGTCCAATTGCGCGTTCCCCTCCCGGTGCAGCAGTCTCGCCGCCGACACATGGCCCGCCCTAGCCGCCCACCAGAGCGGCGTTCGGCGGTCGGCATCGCGGGCGTCGGCGTCCACCCGGCCCGTCCCCAGCAAGAAGCTGACCACATCGACGTGGGCGTGCTTGGCCGCCCACGCCAGCGCCGTCATACCGTCGGCATCGCGCGCGTCCGTGTCCACGTCGCCGAGCTCGATGAGCAGCTTGGCCAGGGCTGTCTGGCCTCGCCACGCCGCGTGGAGGAAGGTGGAAACGACTGCGTCGTTGCCGATGGCGCGGGCGGCGAACAGCGCGCAGTAGTGGCGCTCGGTGGTCATCAGGAGGTAGTCTTGGCGGTCGGGATGTATGCGGCAGAGATTGGGGCAGTTCGCCTCTGCAAGGAGGTATAGGAGGGGCACTTCCCGAGTGTGGCGGCGGACCTCGTGCTGTTCGAAAATGTTGGTGAGGTCGATGAATCGTCCCAGACCAACCCCTAGCATCTCGAGGAAGGTGTTTTGAGAAACGCCACACCCCTCGGCCCTGTCAGCGTGATAGAGTAGGCTACTTGCCGCGTATTGGAGCAGGGGGGACGACTCGCAGATAGCCTGTCGACGCTTGTGATATTCGGTTGGCGATGCTTCTGGTGGGAGGGGATCGTGGATATCGCCATCGCTTGCGTATGCATCCATGATGGCAAGGCAGCATGCCTTCAGGCGTTCGTGGCATTGGCCCCTGGGCCCTGGTCCTTCCCCGAGCGAAGGCCATAGCTGCACGAGGCCATCTTCCTTGAGTAGGTAATCCCGAACGGACTCATGGATGAACTGAACAGTAGGAGGAACCAACGAAGTAACTTCCACCAGGCCTTTGGAAGTGTCGACGATGAGCCGGCGAATTACTTCTATAGTCGGAACGAAGGACCCCCGTGCCACAGGTTGAGGTTCGGCGCCAGCTTTGAGCCTACCACTGGCGATGATAGCATGATACAACGCTTCGGGTCTCAAAGGCCTTTGAGAAAATAGCATCCACTGGACGCATAGTAGCAGGTCCTCATTATCCTGGCTGTCCTTGGTCATGATTTCGTGGAATAGAGAGTGTAGGCCGGTGGGAATCTGGGTGAGCTTCTCCTGAAGGGAAAACAGCCGTCCGCGGTTATATTCTTTGTTGAGTAGGTCAACAACTAACGCCGCCCACATAAACACGCCCTTGGCTTTCGTCTTGACTTCGGTCCTGAGCTGCTCCGCCTGATCGTAGTCAGTCAGCTTCAGCTTCCTATCGACGTAGTTCACAATGTCTTGTTTGTGACCTCGTTGGCCTTCGAGGTCGAACTTGAGGCCTGTCGAAATGTCAAAGGCGGGAAAATGCCTGCTGGAAATACAGACGCGCAGGTTGATGCCGCCGTTTGCGGTGACATCTCGGCCCACAGTCTCGAAAAACGATAGCATGTCGCTAATGTCTGACTCGTCGCACTCGTCGAGCGCGTCAATGTAACAGACCAATGAAGTCTTGCCGAGGCCCAGAACCGCCTGCTCAAGCACAGACTTGAGAGATTCAATGCTCCACTCGTGTCCATCCTTGGCGACCATGGTAAGGCTGAGCACGTCGAGGGCTCTTTGCAGCCTTGGCGCTTTTGCCAGAAGCTGGCGCAGCAGCGACCGGTACATGCCCAGCATCGATCTCTCGAGCTCCTGCCCGCGGGCGTTAAAGAAGAATGAAATGATTATCTTGTCCTTCTTCTCCCGCTCACGCGCTAGGGCAAACTTCATGAGAGTGGATTTGCCGGTGCCGGCGTGACCCCTGATCCAGAGAAAACCGTGGTGCTCTCCAAGTTTGGAGACGGCGGTCCAGTCCATGTACTCTTGCTGTTCCAGGAGCCACTCGCATGTCCTAGGATGGGATTTCTTTATGGCTAACCTACGTGCCTCCATCCGGTCGAACCCTAGAGAGTCAAGAAGAAGTTTTCTCTCAGACTTTGTGAGCGACCCCGTTGTCTCTTTCTGTGAGCCCTGATCGGATGGTCGGAGGCCATCCGCCATTCTAACGAGGGCACTTGCGATCTTTTTGAACTCGGTGTCGTCTGGCCCGGTAAAGCGGCACATCTCCATATGGTCCCGGTTAATGTGCTGGGTCGTCTCGATCGCTGGAAGATCCATGGATGACGACGAGTCCTCAACGACCTTGTCGCCATTCAACACGGCAACCCCAAGTTGCTCCTGGAACGAGTGGATCTTCCATCCCTGCCGATGCGCAAGGGGACCGAATTCGTCCCTGAGCTCTCGGAGGCGCTCGGAGGTGGGTAACAAGGTATCGACAATCTGCTGGTTGAGCCTGAATAGGAGGATCTTCCCGAGACTCTCGATGGTGCTCTTGATCAAACCTCGCGGTTCGGACCCTCGATGCGGGGTCCCAAAGAACATTATACCGACCGTGGAGTCAAAGATACCTCTGAGATGGGAGTGGCCCATGTAACAACCGCTTGATCGACGCAGTGTCTCCTTGACAACGATGCCACCCAGACTGTGCGCCACGAACAGAACCGGCCTTGTAAGGCAGTGCTGCCTCTGTGCGGTGGCCTCCTGCAGGAAGTCCCACGCGATGTCGTACACTTGGTTCTTGTTCAAGGCAGGACCAACAAATTGGTGTCTGATGTGCGTGTCGTACCCGTAGGTCATGACACGAGCGTGTGGCAAAACTTCCGGGACCAGATCCCGAGGCCAGTAGACCGCTGTCTTCGCATCCCGGCGTCGGATGGAGTCCGACAAGGACATCAGCCGACGGACCTTTGAGGGTCGCTCTTCGGAACCAGTGGCATCGCGCCTCTTGTGTGTCCACGTCCTTTGAGGATGCCCGGTAAACCCGTGGACAAAGATTATGCTGTTGTGGTTGGGGTCAGGTTCTGTCAGTGCATCTGGGAAGGCAGCGGATCGTGACTGGACGTACTCTAAGGCTGCTTCAGCGGGCTCGTTCACAATAGTTGTAATCCCAATTGAACGTGCCACCGGTGGCTGCGGAGTGGTGTCAGGGGGGTCCATAGTTAACAACCTGTCCTTCCAAGCTGTCTGGTCTTAGGCATATGGCGGTCAACGTGAGAAGAAACATCAAGACCCTCGATGTTCCGTTGCAGCAAAGTTGCTCAGCCGCTCTTCAGCCTCACGTGAGCTACATGCTCCTGGTCCAACTGTTCGACGAATCATGCCATGGTGTTGTGAACGCCATCATGCCGAGTCCCCAAAAGGGAAAAGTCGCAGGCTGCTGCTTGAAAGTTCCGAATGACATCCCAGTCCTGCCCCGCACTCGCAGCGTTGCGTCCGGCGGTGCGGGGAGGGGCTGGGTTATAGTGACATTCGGCCTTACTCGAAACCGGGTTCTCCTTGTCCTCGTGGATGCGTATTGTAGTCGAATGTTTGATGAAGGCATACTGCCCCGACTGCTATAAAACATTAGCCCATCATGGTGCAAACTATGCATCCTAGAACGACCACAAACTCTTCTTCTCTCGGCTTCATTAGCTACTTATTGAGGTCTGACAGCAATTAATTGCCAGGATGTGCCCAAAGCCGGGGAAATTCCACGCTTTTGAGGATAAAGATCGACGACCCTCCGCAATTTTGGCCGCCAGATCAAGGAGCAGGCATTAGGGAAGGTGGTTTCCAACATGGAGCACCGGAATGGGACCGAGCCGGACGTCACAACGTTACTAAAGGCGTCAATCCCATACCCCTCTTGGAGATGAACGGCGGGACGCAGCCGCATATATTGCTCGTGCTGCTCGTTTCCCAACCTCACAAAAGCCTTGGCTAGACAGCGGCACACAACCCACAAACCAGATCCAACATGCTCCTCCAAGCACTGATCGGCTTCGCCAGCCAAGTCGTCTCGGCGTCGGCGTCAATTGTTCCTCGCCAGTCTTCAGCAAGGGCATTCTGCTCCTCCTCGGACGGAAGATACAAGCTGAGCGAGTTTGACGCCCCAGTCGCCGGAATTGGCGACCCCGGCGGCATGTCCACCTGGAACCTGACCATCGACGACACTCCGTCCGGGCACAAGCAGCAGATCACCGGCTTCGGCGCCGCAGTCACCGATGCCACGGTCACCGTCTTCAACCAGCTGTCCACCGACAAGAAGGAGCAGTTGCTCAGGGAGCTGATGACGGCCGATGGCGTCAACTTCAGCCTGATGAGGCACACGATCGCCTCGTCCGATCTCTCCGGCGATCCGGCATACACGTACGACGACAACGGCGGAAATGCCGACCCCTCGCTATCGTGGTTCAATCTCGGAGACCGCGGAACCGCCATGGCCGCCATGCTCAAGGCGATGAAGGACCTCAACCCAGACATGACCGTCGTCGGATCCCCCTGGGCGCCTCCAGCCTGGATGCAGCTGGATCGAAAGCTGACAGGCACGACGGAACAGAACAACCTGGACCACCAGTACGCCGACCAGTACGCGCAGTACTTTGTCAAGTACATCCAAGCCTACCGGGACGCCGGCGTGCCCATCGACGCCATCACGATCCAGAACGAGCCCCTGAACAGCAACGCCGGCTTCCCCACCATGTACGTCTACGCCGACGAGGCCGGGCAGCTGATCCGCGACAAGGTCGGCCCCGCGCTGAGGGCCGCGGGGCTGGACACGACGGTGTGGGCATACGACCACAACACTGGTATGTATTCTCGTCCCCCAAAAGAAATCCCCAACCCATGCTAAAGTAACGCCCCCCCGCCCCCCCCAAGACGTCCCCAGCTACCCCCAAACCGTCCTCAACACGGCCCCAGACTACGTCGACGCCGTCGCCTGGCACTGCTACGCCAACCCGCTAGACTGGAGCGTCCTAACCGACTTCCACGCCTCCAACCCAACCGTAGCACAGTACATGACCGAGTGCTGGACATCCTCCACCTCCACGCCGTGGAACCAAGCCTCCAGCTTCACCATGGGCCCCCTGCAGAACTGGGCCTCTGGCTCGATCGCCTGGACGCTGGGGACCGACACGGCGGACGGGCCGCGCCTGTCGGGGTCTGGGCCCTGCCCGACGTGTCGTGGGCTGGTCACCGTGGACGGGGCCGGCGGGGGGTACGAGATGCAGGTGGACTACTACGTGCTGGGGCAGTTCAGCAGGTTCATGGCGCGGGGGGGGACGGTGCTAGCTGGGACGGGGAGTTACACGTATGGCGATGGGACGGGGTTGGAGAGCGTTGCGAGTGAGAACCCGGATGGGACGAGGACGGTGGTGGTTGAGAATAAGTTTGGGAATGACGTCTATGTCAGGCTGGGGACGAAGAGCGGGGAGACGTGGGCTGGGCGCGTGTATGCCAATAGCGTGGTGACGTGGGTGCTGCCTGCGGTTGGGTAGCGGGCGACGGACTCAGAGCTGGTCGGCCATCGCAGGTCATTGGGCGGGACTGAAGGACTCATTCTGGTGATAGCTTGTCCAGCAACCCGAGCTGGATATGAACATATTGAAGCAAATAGGATACTTTTGGATTTTAACTTGAACGTATCTCGGCCACGATATTTGAGGTCTCTCAAAACCCCTATTTGCGCCCTGTCCACTTCCAAATCCACAATCCACGCAGCAAGGCCCGCCCCTCCCCTGGTCCTCAGCTTAGACGGCAATGTCAGGCGTTTCTTCCTACGCTAGCTCCTAATCCTCGACAACGAAAACCACCTCAATGTTATTCCCCAGCGGGTCAAGCACAAACGCGCCATAGTACCCCTTCCTATACTGCGGCCGGGGACCGGGCTTCCCATTATCAACAGCCCCAGCCTTTCTTCACCGCGGGGTTTCAGCACCGTCAGCCGTCATGCAATTCAATCACACAAGCCTCAGCAAGAACTCCAACTCACATGGCAGCCTCATACCACCCATCGATATGCTCGGTACTCTTCCCCTGGAAAGCCACATGCACCGGCGCCGCGCGGTTCTCCAAGACTCCGTCGTACTTGTTCAAGACGTTGTTGGAATCCCCGAGGAGCCAGAAGTCCAGGCCAGAGTCCTTCGTCCCGAAGCCGCAGTACTGCTTCGTGGTCTCCTCGCCCTCCATCATGAGCTCGTAGCCCAGGGGAGCGAGGATGGCCTTGTAGAAGTCGCGGACTTCGGTGTAGTGGTTGCCCACGGGGAGTCCGACGTGAGCGAAAGGCATGGTGGAGTTACTGGCTGGTGGAGTGATGATGGTATCAAATCAGAGTGAAGATGCAGAATAGAATGATGGAATGGAATGGAAAAGGAAGACTTGGGCCACACAACCTCAGACAGCAACCGCCTTCTGATAAGTACTTCTTCCTGGGCATTTCCCCTCGGACATCGGCGCTGTCCAGTTCCCCGGGCTGACCAACGTGGCTGATGAGCGGTCAGCTTTGCACGTGTTCCCGCGTCATCCTCGCATCTGGATCGCGGCAGCCTACGCGCAATTGAGTCACACTTTCGTGTATGATCGCCAGATCGAGTTTAGAGGCAAGGGGCTGAGATGCGAACCCCGCACTTTAGCTTCTTTGCCATGCCACGATTGGCCGAACGCTGCTCGAGCATGAAATTCTGCGACTCTCAATCCCTGTCCACCAGCCGCGCTTTGTCGGCGACCATCCTTGAGAATCCCCTCCGCCAATGAGTTGGAGGCCGATTCGAAGACGGATCCCTCCGCGACCGCCATCCTCCCGAAGATTCTCACCCCTGAGTGGCACGACGGGAAAATCCAGAGAGCAATGTTAAGCCCCTGCGAGTGAGGTTCTCCAGGACATCAAACGCAGCCGCACGCCAGCCATATTAATAAAACTTGGTCGGTGCTGACAGCCGGTGCTTATTCGACTCGCTGACCAAGGCCGTCACCTCCATGCGCAGACGGGAGAGACTCTAGCGTAATTTAAGAGACCAGGGGATCCTATGCAACGTCAGACTTATGTCGGGGGTTGTGGGCCCGGCGGATAAGAACCCCTCGGAAGAATCAGTTCAGCAAAGGAACTGGCTATGTGGGGGCAGGTCCCGTCGGCGGGGGTCACCAGGTCCCCGGGTCACGGGGTTACCGATCCTCCGGCACCCGAGTCAGTCTCCATTTTCGGCGGAGCCGGCTCCACACCTTCCGCCACCGTCTCGCGCCGGACTAAGGTACTGGCTCGTACATTAGCGGGACGTTTCAGCGCTGATGAACGGATGTCCAGAGGGCCCCACTCTCAACCGAAAGCCACGCCCGAGGCGGGCTTCGTCGCCACAAGTAGAGTGCAAGCATGAGAGACCCAAGTAAACCTAAGCTATTTTTTCTGTTCACGCGGAAGTGGTATATACAGTGATATCTCTGCCCCCTTATGTGCATAACCCATACGCCGCACGCTCCAGAAAAGAACTCCCCTGGATGCGTAATCATTAGATAACCCATCTCAGTCACTCCGATCACATGGTATATGTATATATATACATCTTAGAGGCAAGGAAAGGAAAAGAAAATAAGCCCAGAATGGTATAAAACCGGAAACAAAAGAGAAGGAAGAGTCCAACAGAAAGAAGACGTTATTGGCTTTCACTATCACTCTTCTTGGGATTGTGCTTGATCCCAACGAGTTCCAGCATCTCGGTCCAGAAGCCGACGGGCGGGGTGGCGATGTTCGCCTCGTAGGCGTCGATGATGGGCCTCTGGTAGACGAGGTCGGCCTCGAGTGGCTTGACGAACTTTGTGCGCTTGAGGAGCTTCCAGCTAAAGAACAGGATGGGCGCCACGATGACCATGGTGTAGAAGGAGAAGAAAGTCTCGACGCTCCACGGCTGGAAGGCGCTGTATCCGTAGAACAGCACGACGGTGCACTCGGCCGCGAGGGCGATGTAGGCCGAGTAAGGCTGGAACCGGCCCCGGTAGGGGAAGGTGCGGCGGTCGACGCCCTGCGCCATGCACGCGCGGTAGAAGAAGATGTAGGTGACGCACATGACGATGTAGTCGATGAGCCCGCCCGCCGTGATGAGGTTGATGAGCCACGTAAGCACCTGCGAGGAGCTGTTGGAGACCTGCAGGAACGACAGGAACGGGAACAGCATGACGACGCAGAAGCAGTAGATGGGCACGCCACGCTTGTTGCACTTCGCCAGGAACCTCGGCGCCCGGCCCTCGAGCGCGAGGCTGTAGAGCGACCGGATAGCGCAGTAGGTGTAGGTGTTGCCGGCCGAGAAGATGGACGTGAACATGAGCGCATTGGTGATATGCGGCAGGATCTTGATGCCGAGGTTATCCATGGCGATGACGTACGGCGACGCCGCGGCAGTGCCTCCGCCTCCCTTCGAGCCCGAGAGGATGGCGTTGAGGGTGGGGTCGTTGTAGGGGAGCACGATACCGACGCAGAGGGCACCGAGGATAAAGAACATGCCGAACCGCCAGTAGACCGTCTTGAAGGCCTGCTTGATGTAAATACGCGGTCGCACGGCCTCTGCCGCGACCATGGAGATGTACTCGGGACCGACGACAGTGAAGCAGGCGGACCACAAGGCGGAGAGGAATCCCTCGAATCGGCCGAGCGATCCCGTCGAATGGCGCTCGGCGAAGGCACCGGGATCCTTCCAGTATCTGAATCCGTAGGCGTCATGCTGCGGGTTGCCACCGACCATGGTAACAAAGGTGAACATGAAGAGCATCACGATGAGTATGACTTTTCCACCCGACAGCCAGAACTCGGCTTCACCATAGCCGCGCACAGCTACAATGTTCAAGAAACTATAATCGCAGGCACAAACGTTTAGCACTAGACTTAGGATTGGGTGGGGAGATACCTTGAATCCTCTTCGAAGGAGATATGTTTCAATTTTCCCGACTCGCACGATGTGGAGGCTTGGCATGGGACGAGGAGGAGGGAAGAGGGGGGCCTGCTTTTCGGTCCAAGACGACTGCGGCGTTTCCGAGGGACGATTTTTTTTTAAAAAAAAAGAAGTGACGATTGGCAAAAAAAATCGATGATTAAAAAAGTATTAGTTCTTACCCATAGAGGATGATACAGGCGGCACAGACGGCGGCAGTAGGACCGGGATTGATGACGGCTGGGTTCCAGAAGGACATGACCAGGTTGAGGGCTGTGATCTCGAAGGGGATGAGCAGAGCCTCGTAGAAGAAGAAGTTCCAGCCGGCCATGAAGCCGAAGGCGTCGTCGACCCAAAGCCCCGCAAGACGGATAAAGCCACCGCTGACTGGCATGAGGGTGGTCATCTCGGCGAGGCAGTTGTTGACCAGGCCAAGCACGCAGCTGTACAGGGTGTAAGCGATGAACAGGCTGCCGGGCCCGGCACTAGCAAGCCCGCCGCCAATGCTGATAAACAGGGCGGTTCCGATCGAGCCACCGATGGCAATCAGCTGGATCTGGCGGTTGTTGAGTCGGCGGTGGAGGGCGTCGGCATTGTCAGAGACCTCGCCGCTGGCGAAATCGGCGCCAGGGTCCGGGGACTTCTCTTTATCGTGGACACTCATGGTTGTGTTAGTTCGTGGATGAAGTGCCAGAGTTAATTGTATTGAGTAAGTGATCAGGTAGTAGCCGCGTCGTGGTGGAACATTTCACAGTTCACACAAGCATTCCACAAGATGGCGGAGGGAGGACAGAGGCGGGATGGTATGAGAGGGGGAACGAGAAAAGAAGGAAAAAATTCTAAGGGAAATCAAGGGTCCTCAAGGTAGTTTTAAGTACATCGGCAGCATCCACAGCAATGGCAAAAAAAAAAATTGCTGAATAAGTTTGAGCCTGCCGAGCAAGATCCGTGTCGGTTCAACCTCTCCATCCCAGGCTTCTAGCGAATAACTCGCCGGACATGGAAAACTTGGGATCAAGACGGTTGCATGCGGAGGAAGTTAGCACAAGGTATGGCGTCTTGGCAACCGGGATCATAGTCTCTGACCTTGCACTGGTGACGTAGGTGGGCGGCGGGCCTAAACGGGCTAAACCTAATCGAATCTAGTATGCGCAATCTCAGTCTTGCAAGAGGCACACGACACATCCACCACTGATTTATCACGTGATGTTCTACGCTAAGCCGTTCAGGTACAGTACCTGGTCCAGGGTACAGCTGGCTTGAGCCTCGGCGTGGCTTAGCGGACCCTGCCAAGCCCAATTTTTGTCGATTTTTCGTTCTTTTTTCTTCTTGTTTCTTTCTCTCTGTTCGCGAAAATCTGCTTGTCTCTTGTACGCAGTATTTCTTCGCGATCATGTCGGTTCCCACAAGAGCCCGGCTAACTGATGCAAACTACGGTACCCGGTGACATGTGCCAATTGCGTACACCGGGCACCTCAGTTAGCAACCTACCTAGGTAGGTACCCGAACTGCATCTACATCACTGAAACTTAGTGGGTCGAAACGTAATTCTTTTCTCACCAGCGGCCCCTCCGAAAGGTTATGCCCCCACCTCCTTCCTGATTCTGTTTCTCTTACTCGCCTCTTGCCGCATTAGCCGCATCTGGTAAGGTACCAGATCATCTTTTCCAAACTTGGCACCCGACTCATGGTCGGACCAATGGTCTCCTTTCCAGTGGTGTGGATTGTGCGGAAAGCGGCACAGCTAACGCAACGGGATGTCAAGATCGGCAGTGCTCCCTGGGCTGTTGGTCTTGTCCTATCTTGTCCTATCTTGGGCGGTAATAAAATGTCTCCTGCGCCTGTTAGCTGGAGGTGCTGTGCAACCAAACCCTTATCGCCTTCTCGTCCCGTTGCACAATTGTGCTCCCCTGTCTCTCCTGGTTTCCAGTCATGGAATACTGTGCGCCTGCGAAGGGGTTGGTGAAGCTGGGCATCAGGTCCTGAGACAGCATAGCATGGCTTGGGACGGTAGGGTGAAGCGTGGTGATAGATAGGTATCCCAACCCTCCTGGTCCCGTCCCATCATAAACAAACCCCATGTGGTACCTGTCCCTCCTCAGCCAACGCTTCTCCCATGATCTGAATTTGACCCTCCCTGACGCTCGCAGGTTTGCCATTCTCTTGCGGGAGTCCATCGCTCCAAGGCGTCCTCCCGGGGTCACCAGTCAGGCTCCCACGTTGCAGATCCAGCGCAATTAGTTCCACCATCCTTGGTGTCTAGTGTATTATCTTCATCCCGACGTGCATCCTGCTCGATTAATGGACTCATGCCTTCTCCCCGTCGCCCAGCGATGGTGTGTCCGACAGTCCAACCCCAAACTCTCGACCGGCCCCGACGTGCCAAACCAGCTAGACACAGCCGAGGTGCTTCCCATCTCCCGGAGCATTCCCGTATTCTCGCTCAGCCTTCCGATCGCCTAGTCGGTCTCCTTAGACGCCCTGCTGCCTGCCTGGACTTTGATACCCCTTGGGGTTTTGCGGCCTTGGCGTGGGTTGCCTTCTTTGGCGCCCTTCTACTACTGCGAGGGCCTGGACTGCTGGTTTTCTGCGCATCTGGCGGCAGCTGCGACGGTGGGTTGGGTTGTACCGGGGGTACTGGCATTGCTGGTGTTGCGTCTTCTTTCCCTCCAAGCACGTCAAACTCGGGCGACTCTCCCACAAGTCTCCGACTCCTGCGCAGTTCATGTCCCTGCGGAGGACTGTCGTAGGCCTCTCGTTTGAACCGGGCAAGCTTCCGAGCGCGTCGCGGGGTGGCGTTTTGACTCTGCGACGCGTTCTTCGTGATTCGCCCGCCACGGGTCTTGCGAGAAGGGTCCGTGGCTGATCGAGGGGGTGATGCTTGTTGTTGAAGCCCCTCAGCCCTCCCAGTACTGGGGGAACAGGCATCAGGCGTCTTGTGCTTCAGCTTATCGAAACCGAACATCCGAACAAGTTCAGCCTGCCTCTTCTTGCTGACCCCGCTAGCATCCCACCCGCCGCTGTACCGACTCGATGTATTCTTTAGTGAGCTGCGGATTGATGATGGCGGATCCTGCCAGTAGAGGCTGCTCCTGCTGCCGCCTCCAGTTTTCATCGGCTTCACGATCTTGAGCGTCGATTTGATCTTGCGTCATGCCTTTCATTCGGAGGTTGTAGTGTCTCTTCTGGAGTTCGTATTCGATGGGATCCGTCCATCGGAGCTTCAGTATTGTATCCCACTCTTCACGTGCCTTCCTGTCGCCTTCCTCGTCCTCGTGCTGTGTCCTGGCCTTGTCTATGAGGATTTCTCTGAGGAAGGTTTTGTTGTATTGGTATGTCTCGTCATCCCAGTCCCAGTGTGTCCGGCGCCATTCCAGCCGGTCCCATGGGTCGGGCGGCTCTGGGGAATTGATCTCGGAATCGCCCGTGTCGGGGAAGGTGCTGTATCCGGTGACATTGCTCTGTTCGCTACCGGCAGTGCTCTCGCGATCGCCCTAGTCGGGTGTCGGAGATCCCTGCTTGCTGCCTGTTTCGAACAGCCGCTGGACGCTCGACAGGCGAGCATACATTTGTTTCCAGCTTTCGTCCATCATGCCACGTGGTGGCTTCAACGGCCTTCCATCGATATTCCGTTCCATGACCCTCAGAACTCGCTGGCGCCCCCGATAGATCGCATCACTGAAAACGTATATATTTATATATTTCTGTCCCGCAGCATTGTCACTCGTTGCTCGTACAACTTCTCGCAGTAGTGCTTCCGACCCCAGGCCGCGAATGTTTCGGGATTGTATGGCTCTGGTCCGGGCGTCCATGCCGGTTGTGGAAGGTCTGTCTCGTCCGGCTTGTGGCCCGTGGAGTCGCCGTCGTTGGTGGGATTCTTCTCATCGGTGTTCAGTAGCAGATGTGTAGGATGGTCGGCTGTCTCGACAGCGTGGCGTTGGCGCCGACTACGCACTCTGGGAGCCATCGAGAGGAGAATAGACGTGGAACATGGTGACAGAGATGGCCATCAGAGATTGTTCGTGACTGTGGGAGACGATTCGACTTTTTGATGCAGAAAGGGAATAAATATGGAAGGTGGGGGCGGGGGTCATTCCTGTCCAGCTGTTTAAACCCAACGCGCCGGCCCGTTGATCGCCTAATTTCCCGCACTTCCCCACCCTATCGATTAGCGATTCGCAAGGTCCCGGCGCTAAGCCCCGTGCAATCCGCAGCATCCAACAACAGTTGCCTTACCTTTGTGAAACCTCTCGCTAGATAAAGATGAGCCATCCTCTTCGTTAGGCTGCTCAAGCGTCTCTCTAATAATATGCGCTCCGATAATAGATGACTCTGCGATTGTCTTCTATCTCGTTCCCAAAAATAAACATGCCGCTAATATCGTTTGAAATAATGCCGACCACAGTCGTGGGCCTAGATGACCTATCTGTGTAGTTCCTGGGGATCGGATTCGAAGAGGCCAAAAAAAAGCAAAGGGGAGAAAAGAAAAAGATAGAAAAAAAACCATCCCCCGTCCTACTTTTGGGCCCTCTCAACCATTTTCACCGCAATGGCTACTAGAGCGCCTCTCACTTACTCCTGTTGATCTGTGGACATTTCTTTGCGACTAGGCCCCCCAACCTAAACCGCCCAAGGATCCGAGTATTCGCGTTCGGGGTCTCGAACTTGCGACCTTTCGGCATCCAGTCGTGTCTGGGAATTACAGGGGTCGGGGAGTGGTTCGAGATAGACCCGTCTCTCGAACCGCTACACCACGACCCCAGACCTGCGGTGCTTCGATCTGATCGTATTTGTCCTTATATGTGACCGGAGGGTGGAAGGTAAGCTGGAGGTGAAGGGTGGGTGGTGAATTACAGCCCTTGGGCGTCAGGCTACAAGGATCCAAGTAGCCAAGTACCTCCCAGGCCTAACCGGGCCTCCCTCATCGTGACTTGACTCTACCATACTCTCCATCAGCAGTGGGGTTCTCCATTCGAAGATACCAAGCAACTAGCTGACCGCGCAGGCTAGAGAGGAGCCAACAGCAAGAGCAAAGCCTCCTCCATCACGAATCACGGAGGCCGGCAAGGCGATCAAAGACCTGGGCTGAAGCCACCTAAAGCGGTCATCATCACCCCCAAGAACAGTGCGTCCTGTGTTCCACCCTGGGATGGGGAAAGGCACGGAGGCGGTATCTAACGATCTGGACAGGATTATCAATTTGCAGATGGAGGGATCTTCGGGCCTCCTGGTCACAATGGAGGTAAGCGTTCTACGCTCAGTCGCTCCTTCCCGTAGATTTTACCCACTTATGTCTATCAGAGGCTGGACTTGAATCCAGATGCACAATATTCAACTCGGAATGTTCAAGTCGTGAGCTATAATCCCTAAGTGGGCAACTCCACTGTTGTCAGGGGGAAGAGGTTGTCTCCGCGCGCAGGGGCATTTGGCTACTCAGGCAGGGGCGGTTAGATATTCGGGCAGGGGCATTTAACTATTATGGTAGGGGCGTTTGGCTAGCCATCATTGTCGCTATTGCTAAAGTACTCTTGCTGTCGCCGTCTCTGTTGCTGTTGCTGTTGCCATCGCCATTGTTGTCGTAGTCGCTTGTTCCGTGGCTGGCAGCTGGTCTTTTTCATACTCCAACTGTCTAAAGATTTTTGGCAGCTCGTAACCCCTGCCCAGCACAGACCCCTGCCCGAATAGCCAACTGCCCCTGCCCGAATAGCCAACTGCCCCTGCCCGCAGAGGCAATGTCACAAATAAAGCCAGCTTGGAATCCACCATTTGGCTATTCGGGCAGGGCCGCCAAAAATCATTGGACAGGTGGCCGCTTTCCAGCTGCCAAGAAGGACCTCGCTGTACTCGAAGTCTTTCTCCAAGACGGCGCACAGGTGAAGCTCGACCGCTATCGTGTGCCATTTGCCAACCCCGGCCATCCAAGCGAGGGGTGGCTCAATAGGAATGACCCTATCGTCAGCCACCATACTCTGCTGGATATTGCGGAGCAGCGAAGCTTCTTCTTTATGGGTTCTTCCCCGAGCGGCGTCTTGGACAAAATCTGGAGGGAGCACGACCTCTCCCCACCGTTCAGCTACCCGTACGGAACAGAGCATAGTTGGGAACCCGATCGGTATCAAGTGATGCTCCCAAAGACAAAAGGCCACCCGTTCGCACCAGCCTAGGCATTTGATGACGATAATGCGCACCTTGCATCCCTTTCGCAGTCTCAGGTTCAGGATGTTATGTGGCTTGACCACGCAGCCAAGGAAATCCGCCAGATCACGTTCCCAGCATACTTCGTTCCGACCGAGACTGGCCCTACCGGTGAGGCAACAAGATTCTATGCTGTCATGCCGCTGCCCCAGGAGTTCAGGGAACGGTATGATGCTGCATGGCGTCGCCTTACCAAGGTTGAGTCTTTCCGACTCAATCTTCACAAGAGCCCTGAAGATGAGCAGCCAGCAGAATAGGATGCCAAGATTGTAGATTACCCTGGAGGAGTCGATGCTCTTAATGCACACCCTGTTGAGAAATACGACTTGGTTCTCCTTGTACGTTGCCCTCTCCGGACAGAGAAGAAGCGTGGCCGAGAGTTTGAGGTGATCACGTTCAGCGACCGCCCAGCCGCCAATCGTGCCTTGGGTGAGGGAAAAGAGCAATAGAATTGCGCTGCCCTGAGCTTCGATGCCCAACTGGCAGACTACCAATGGAAAGTGCCGTTGCTGTCTGTCGCTATTGCCGTCGCCTATCTATCGCCATTGCCTTTGCTGTTTATTGCTATTGCCGTTGCTGCCTGTCGCTATTGCCTTCACCTGTCTATCGCTATTGCCGTGACTGTCTATCGCCATTGCCGTCGTTATTTATCGCTATTGCTGTCGCTATATATTGCACTTGCTATTTCTAGCAATAGCAGCAGCAACAGCAACAGCAACAACAGCAATGGTGATAGAAATGGCAGCTATTGCCAACTTCTACCACCTGCCACAAAGCTCTCACACCTGGAATTCATGGGTTATATCTGCTAGCATCAAGGGGTTGGAAGAAATGCACGAATTGGCAGCGAGGGAACTTGATCACCACCCTGTGCTTCTCGGTCGGTCTGGGGAGTCCATACATGCCAAGTGATCGGTCAACTGTATAATGTCAGAGGGTCTCCAATTTGTCTTGGATTGGAAGTAATTCCGGCAAAAACTTACTCTGGAAACGGATACCAAAGCCCTCATCCTCGTTGTTTGGGTCAAGGGGGAACTCGAGCTGGAAGCCCATCCACGGATTCGTGTCGGCCGTTGTAGATAAGAGGAGGCTCGTGTTTGTGTCGGTTGACACTCCGAGCGCCTTGCCGCAAATGAGGGGGCCATCCATTGCACCGCCATACATTACCGCACAGGGCTTCGCCCAGGATTTGACGGTAGCGAGGGGTCGTTTGCTTGGGTCCTCAGATGCCTTTGGGGGGGCATCAGCATGGTGGCCTGGGGGCATGCTGTTGCTAGTCGTAGACTGAGACATGGTGATTTCTCCACAATGTCTCTTGAGACTTCTTAGAGGATCCAGATGTCACGGCTAAGCCGTAAAGAGTACCAGCTTCTTGCGAAAATCGGAACTGGGTGCCTCCAAGGCGTCAACTGCATCAAGAGGTCGATGAAATGGTCAACCACTCGTCGGCACAGGCTGCTGCGCAACCATTCAGGACGGAATATTTTTTCAAGGACCCAAAAGCAACGGTTAAACCGAGCAAAATTGCCAGCCTCGTCTGAGAACCGGCAAGGTGGTACCTTGAATACGTACTCCGCCAGTCTGGTTGAGATCAGCGTGCAAACAGCTATCTAAATTCTATGATAGACAAAAGGTCCACCAGAAAAGTCAAAGGTCGTAAAACGAATATCCTGGGCACTGAGTTAAATATGGACACCGCAAGCAGTGACGTTTCGCACACGGAGTAGGTTGTTGCGGAAAAGTAGGAGAGGGGAGGGAGGCATGGGTTTTGTTTACCTTGGGCAGGCAGCTTTTTGCCCCATAATTGTGCGCTCGGTTGGGGTACCTAGGTAGATAGGTACCTATGTACAGTACCTAAGGTACCTTAGGTAGGTGGTAGCTGTAGGTATGCACATAGGTACCTAAGTACTCCATCCCTTACTCCCGTCATCACTTCCAAGCCCAAAACGTGAACGAGAAACACCACAAACAAAGCCAGCTTGGGAAATCACCACTTCCCCCTTGCAACAGTGGACTTCCCTAGTTAGGGATTATAGCTTACGACTGAAACATTCCGCGCTGAATATTCCGTATCTGGATGATCCAAGTCAGCGCCCCCTGAGTGGGCAAAATCCATGTGAAGGGGGTAGGGACTGATGAGGGTAGACACCTACCTCCATTGGGACCAGGTGAGCCAGATGATCCCTCCATCTGCAAGTTTATAATCCTGTTCAAGTCGTTAGACGCTGCCTCCTTGCCTTCCCCCAACCCCGGAGTGGAATGCGGCCCAGTCACTCACAGGTACATCCCCTTCCCCACGAAATCCCTCCCGACCTGAGTCGTCACCAGCTTGCCGTCCATGGAGAACTTCACAGACACGTCCCTGCCGTTTACATCACGCACCTCGCACGTGATCCCGTGAAACTGGTCCGGAGCCGGGTACCCCACATCAAGAGCCGCGACCTCCGAGCTCGTGTTGAAGGTATTGAAGCTAATCTTCCCCGACCCTTTCCACTCCGCCATATCAATCTCAGGAGGCCACGAGCTAACCCCCGTAAGCCACCAAGCTGGCCACGATCCCTTCATCGTGGGCGCCCTGAACTCGCCAGTGAAGTCATAGCCGCCGCCGCGGGCGACGGTGAAGTTCTCGCGGGCGTGGATCGCGCCGCTGAGATAGTGGATATCGATGCTCTGGCCACCGTGCGAAGCCGGCTTCTGACCGGTCACGCGCTGCGCCGTCAGCGTCACGGTGCCCGAGTCGATCTTCACGTGGGCCTTGTCCATCCGCGCCGCGCCGTTGTGGTCGGAGCCCCATGGGTACAGGTAGTCCCAGTGGGTGTCGAAGTCGGCCTGCGAGTCGAAGCTGGTCGACGGGATCACAGTGCTGACTGGTGCTGCTGCTGCTGCTGCCCTGGCCACGAAAGAGGTGCCGAGCAATATCACTTGGATTGCTGAACGCATGATTGGTCGTTGCCGGAGGGGAAGGCTGTGAGGTGAAGTGGCGGTTCTGCTGGAGGGGAGAGTCAGTTACGGGCGAATGCGTGAAAACGGCATCAGGAGAAAGAGAGGGGCAGAGAATCTAACTGTGAGTCGGGTTTTGGCCGCATAGGGAGGCTATAGGTGGGTGATATATTGCCGCCTATTTGCGGCTACATCTACCATTGCCGAAACGGGAACAATACACGCTCGTCTATTGGCGCGCGTAACTTGCTCGCAATGGAGGAACACGACACTTGTGCGGAGAAAGAGGAAGGTGACAACCAGACTGAATCTGGTTAGGCTTGGGAATACCTTTGGTCACAGTGACGGATGCTCAATAATGGAAGTGAGGTGGTCAAGTCCCTTTCCAGAAGGCATACTCCCGCATAATAATCGTACATGTACAGTACATAAATACAATCAATTTTGTCTGATTGATTTGTCACACCGTCCTCCGCTCCAATTACAACCCAAACGGCCATGTCTCGTCAGTCTCCAACGCCGACGGCGGCTGGTGCACCTCCAAAACGCCAACATGCCTCGTCTCATCCATCCACACAAGCCCATCGAGCTGGTCCGGCAGGACCGCCATAGAGTAATGCGACTGTCTCTCCGTATCAGGCCGATAGATGACCCCGATGAACCTCTCCAGCCTCTTCTTCCTCAGCGCCTCCCTCAGGCGCCCGTCACACCTCCCCTCGCGCAGGTCCAGCACAAAGTTCCGGACCCCCGTGGCGTGCATCAGCTCCTCGTAGCTGCCCGCCATCCCCGGGTTCACGCGCATGACCTGCATGTCGTCCCCCCACCTGCTCGCGGCCGCCACGGTGCCGGTGTAGGAGCCGCATCCGATGGCCAGGGCCTGCTCGCCGTACGTCTCCTTGCACAGCTGCCCGATGTTGAGCTCGCCGCGCGACCAGCCCATGCTGGTGGCGCGCGCGTCGCCAATGTGGCTGTTGTGTGCCCAGACTATGGCTTTTGCGTCGCTCCCGCGGTGCTTCAGGATCCGGTTGAGCGTCTCGAACATGTGCGTGTCGCGGAGATTCCACGACTCGTCCCGGCCAAAGTACATGGACTTGTAATACCGTTCGGCGTCTAGTTTTTTTCAAAGGAAATAACAGGTGGTCAGACTCAACGTATTATGCCCCGCGGAGAGAAAGAGTAATGTTCAACTCACCAACAACGAGCCTCGCGTTCTGCTGCGCGCTGTGGAACTCATCCCCATCCCACCGAGCCGCCGCCAACTCCAGCCGCTTGCTCAGGAGGTCCTGGAGCATAGCAACAACATCTTTCTCGTACCCCTCGAACCCCGTCACCAGCGTCTCGAGGCCATACTCATGCGGATCCTCCGCCCACATCAGCAGCCGACCGTATCGCTCGCGGGCCACAGCAGCGAGCTTCGGGTCCGCGCGGTCGAGGTACCCGATGACGGCCTCAATGGACGCACCCATGGAGTACAGATCCAAGCCGTAGAAGCCGACGGCATCATGGGGTTCGGTTCCCTCGTTGTAGCCGCGCAGCCACTCGACAAAGTCGTGGACCTCGACGTTGCGCCACATCCAGGTCGGGAAGCGCATGAACGCCGGGTCGCGCCCGGCCTCCTTGGCCGCGGGGACGGGCTCGACGCTCGCGGCGGGGGGGCCCGTGCCCGTCCACGGCCGGCGCCGGACGTACCTGTCGACGGCCTCGGCGTCGGGCCAGTCGGCCTCGGCGGCGACGATGTTGAAGCCGTGGTGCTCGATCATGTATTTCGTGATCTCGGCGCGGGCGGAGTAGAACTCGGAGGTCCCGTGCGAGGCGTCCCCGATGAGCAGCACCTTGCTGTCGCCGAAGCTGTCGAAGCAGCGGGCGAAGGCCTCGCGGCTTTCGGGTACCGAGGGGAAGGAGATGGCGTCGGCTTTGATGAGGTTGATCTCGTCGGCCGACGGCTTGGTTGGCCCTTTTAGACTTGCCATTTTTGCTCTATGCTTCTTTTCTGCTCGGGTTGTGTGTAAATAACGATGTCTTGGTAATGTCGGGGGCGACCATGTGGATTGGAATCTTAGCCAAAAATTAACATGTTGGGGCGTATTGAAATAAGCAATGCGCCTCAGAACCATTGACTGTGATTATTTAAATCTGGCAAAGTGAAGTTGAAAACTGGCAAGTGTTTTTATCGTGCCTTAGTTCGGAAACGATTGCGGGGATGATGACGAAGAGGTAATGATGATGTCTATCTACATCACATCACAGATCAACCAACCAACCACACCTGATCAACAATGGTTTTGGCCACCGGCGGTCACACTGAAGCGCAAAATCGCTGGCGAATGACGTCTACGTAGAATGGCCATATCTTGACACAGTGTATTGATGGGCGGGTGGATGCTGGCGCCCAGGCCCAAGGTTTAGCACTTGGACTTGGAACGACATTGATTGAGGCATGCGCTGATATATTCTTGAGCAGCTCTCAGCCTCAACTTATGCCTTACCTAGATCTGCAGCTCGCAAATACCGCCAGGGACCTTTTGTGAAACCAGTGATGGTTACAAAGAGTCCGTCAAAGATGGGGATGCTATCGTATCTGCCCTTTACAGGGTCGATGTCGAGCTGAATGTCTTTGGCCGAACCCCCTTTCTCTGGAGCTGTCTAATGCCTCTTTCTGAACCCCTTTCCTGAACAGCTTCCACTGAAATATAGTTATAAGCTTAGGCAATCATCGCTCTCACCTCCTGATTAGATCTACATTTCCGAGTCGGCCCTGGCAAGGCCAACGGCAATTCTTAATTGCCCCTATAAATTAGAGAGCTCCTGGCAGGCCATCCTCCGCACTCTCCGCACCATTCCCCCGCAATCGACTCCGGGAAGATACGCCATTGGGGATGGACCATCCAATCGGGACTGCTGTTGTGACACATGCATAAATTAACATAGCACAACCAACAGTCTGCCAAATCTCCCCCTTTCCGGCCGGTGTTCGAATTCCAATGGTTCCGGATTCCAATGTTAATAAGTTACCAACACCGAGTTGGTTTTAACGACACATGCAAGCCCCCAAATTATCACCCGGCAACCTCACCCCCTTAACTTTGAGCAGTGTGCTTCTCCTCTTCCTGTCGTGGAACTTTTGTAATTACGGGAGCAAATCGTGCATGCAATCTCGCAGTCGTCATCCCGCAGGAAGCCAGATTGCGAGACGGCAGTAATTAGCCCAAAATCTTCCGACCACGGCGTCGGCGCCGGCTTGAGTAGTATATATTTAACCGCTAGACGGCAGCCCCAATATTCCTCATGTTTATTGCTTTCATTAATTTCTTACCGCGTATCGGGTAAAAAGACCAGGCAGTCGCGAGGATCAGCGGATAAGTGGGCGAGCGACGCGCGCGCGGCCACGCGAATCTAGGCCTAGACGTTCGCTGATCTTGGGTAAGTTGCTGTCAGGTGGGTTGGGGTGGCACAGTTGGACCCTGAGATGGCTTCTGAAATTTCCATATCCGCCTCCCCCCCCTTTTCCCTCCTCATTCCCACAAACCCAACACCAACACAAACCCAACACCAATCTCCCAGACCTCGATCCCGGACTCGCGGAACCAGATATTGTCCCCACTCCCGCTTCCCTTCATTCCATCTTCCCACGCGTGGCGGTGGGGGCCAATATGCCATCCGTAATATAACTCTCGCCCGATGCCCAGAACACGGGTTTTGTTTGCACCGTAACCTCCTCTCCTCCAACCCCTCCCCGCCCGCGCTCCGCTTTTCTTCTTCTTCTTCTTCTCTCTCTCTGTCCAGATGCGCACCCCGACGACCACAACGGCAAGACGATGCTAGCGATAGCGCTCTGGGTCCTCCTCTGGGCGACGCTATGCGGTAGCAGCAACCACTCGTTCCTCTCCCCGCTACCGGGCCAGCCGCCGCCGCCGTCTTCCGACGTCGCCGCATCCGCCGTCGTGCGGGATGACGGAGGGCACGGCGACGGCGGTGGTGGTTACGGGCGGCAGCAGGCACGGGACGGGCTCGCGCATGCCCCCGGGGGCCGGTGGTCGGGGAACAGCCACCAGGCAGGGTACCTGCGCATGCCGCTGAGTCGCAGCGTCTTCAGGCCGGCCGACGGGAAGGGCCGGCGCAGGAAGGGGACGCACCCGCACGAGCCGCCCGGGGCGAGGCGGTCGCGGCGGGCGAATGGTTGGGGATGGGCGCATCTCGAGGACTTGATAGGGGGGATTGCCTATGTCATTGAGCGTATGGTTGCTCTTTATTCCCCGACCCCTTCCACTCCTCCCTTTGGTTGGGTTCGCTCGCACCCAGAACTAACGGATTCCGCCCGGAACAGTCGAGATCGGAACGCCGCCGCAGAAGGTCAAGGTCTTCGTAGACACGGGATCGTACGAGCTATGGGTGAACCCGAAATGCTCGTCCTCGGCCGATGCCGACATCTGCCAGAGCCACGGGATGTACTACCCCGCGCAGTCGAAGACGGCGAGCTACGTGGGCGGGGGGTTCGGCATCTCGTACGGGACGGGCTCCGTCAAGGGCCAGTACTGGTCTGACACGATGAGTATCGCCAGTAAGTCTGCCGAGGCAGCCCCGCGGCCAAAAATGGGTCCAGCTGACACGGCGGTTTCTTTTCCTCTTCGTTTCGAAAAGTGTTCCAGGTCCCTTCTGTGCAGTTCGCCGTGGCTTCCGACAGCAACTATACATATTCGGGAGTCCTCGGCCTGGGATACGCCTACCCGATCGCCTTGAACTACCCCAGCGTCCTCAACCTCATGGTCTCGCAGAAGTACATTGGCGCCCCGATATTTAGCCTGGGGCTTGGAGGAGAGCAGGACGGTTTCAGTGAGTGCCTTGTTTATTGCTCTCGTCGTTGTCCCCGGCTGACTGAAAACCAAAAAAAAAGGTGAAATAATATTCGGCGGTGTCAATAGATGGAAGTTCGCTGGCCCCCTTGAACCGGTGTCCATCTGGCCACCGATAAAAGAACAAGATCCGAACTGGATCCAGTACGTGTCTTGCTGCCTTCCTTTTCTCCTTCTTCATCTTTTCTGGTACCCACAGCCAGCATAGGTGCTTACTCGCCTGCCCAGATACTGGGTAAATGTCACGTCAGTAGGCATGTCCAAACCCACCGACGTCCCCGTCATCTACACGAACCGGGACCTCTTCACCATGCCCGTGCTGATCGACACGGGCTCGACGCTATGCTACTTCCGAGAGGATCTGGTCGCGGTGATCGGCGCGCAGTTCAGCGCCACCATCGACATCTTTGGCTACTACACGGTCGACTGCAAGTACCGCTCCATGAACGGCACCGTCGACTTTGGGTTCAACCGCGGGAGGATGGTCATCAACGTCTCCTACAGGGACTTCATCTTCGAGCAGTCCCCGGGCTACTGCCTGCTCGGCGTGCAGCCGGCCGATGTGGGCTCGACGAATTATGTCCTGGGGGACACCTTTATCAGGGGGGCATATCGTGAGTTAGATCGGTGGCTCGATGGCGACTGAGCATGGGAAATAGATGCTGACCAGGTCTATTTAGTGGTCTTTGACCAACAATCCGACATTGTCTGGATGAACCAGTATTACAATTGCGGCGACGGAGTGGTCACTGTCGGGGAAAAGGTCCGCGACACGGGCAGCTTCACGGGTGCATGTTAACGAATGGGATCGAGGCTCGACTTGATGGAGAGGACGACTGAACTTTCCGCGGCGTTATAGATTTGGGCTCGGAGGTTGGCTCGGATTATATGTACATACCGACTTGAAATTGTTCATGATACCAGCATAGCCCCCCCAACAGCACTAATAACAACACCACCAACCATCATGACACACATCACACGTCCGGCCCCCTCACCTTCTCACTCACCGGGCCCTCCCTCGTCCAGATATTCATCCCTATCTTCCCCCCACTCGTCACAGGTAACCCAGCATGCAGCGTCCTGTCGTCCCCTCCGCCCCCCGGGAGCAAGTTCCTCCAGAACACGGCATTCCCCTCGACGGGTCGAAAAGTGACGCCCGCATCCCAGGGCTCGTCACAGTCAACGAACCCGGCCTCACACCAGCGGCTGCTGCTGCTGCTGCCGTTGCCATTGCCGGCGGGGGCGTCGACCGCCGGGAAATTCGTGCCGCCGCCGGTGGTGCCGGGGTCGACGCGCACGTACACAAAGAAGGACGAGAGGCGGTTGCCGCCGGCGTCGGGGCGGGCGTGCTCGGGGTTCGGGAACCAGTCCGTGTGGAAGTGGAAGTGCTCTCCGCGGCCGTACTTGACGAGCTGGAGGGGCTCGAGGTGTGTGCGCGGCGTGTCGAGGCCCTGGAAGAGCAGGGCGCGCTCCTCGATGCAGCGGACCACGGTGTCGCGCGGCACGTTGGTCGACTGCGAGGTGCGCGCCCGGTTGATGGCTTTGGCGCCGGATGAGCCCTGTACGCCTGAGTGGGAGAATGTGTCCTTTCTGGGGAGAGGGTCAGGTAATTGATTTAGATGTGATATTGCGGAGGAATGGATGAACCCACGTTATCTCTTGCAAATGAGCTCGCTCTTGGTCGGTCAGGAAGTTGGTGATGTAGATGACGAGAGGTGAGCTCGACACGAGATGGACTTTGTAAGGCGGATGCTCGCACACGAAATCGCTTGTGAGCGGAAGCTGTTGGGAGGAGCTGGCGAGCCCCCCGGTTAATAGAGCAATAATTGCCCCGCCAAGGGACACTGCTGAGGGGAATGAGGATCGCATGCTGCCAGTGGCGATACTTCTCAACGAGGATTCGCGAGAGAAAAAACGATTCCCGAAAAGACTTGGGAGTGCAGCTCGAGTTGAACACGGACCAGTGAGGTCGGTTTCTAGTTTTATGACGAAATTGCGCAACTAGGCCCCCTGTGACTGTGGTGGGAATCGGTGAATATGAAACTGTGTTTGTCTGCGCACGGAGGTCAAAGGCCTGGCAGAAGCTTCTTTTGGGGGAAGCTCTCTCGGGATCGCCCAGATCTCCGTCTGATCGCAGTCCTGATGATGCACCCCTGTTGCAGAGCTGCAAGCTACCCCTGCACCTGTGCTTTCCGTTCTTTTTGTAAAATGGGACCTCTTCTTCACATTCTCACCAACTCTCCCGTCTTTCTTGAATTACACCAATATTGCCCAACATGCGCCCTCGAAGAACTCTCCTGCTCGTGGTGGCTGCGGGCTTGTCATTCGGCTGGAACCATGCCACCGAGTCGGGATTTAGAAAAGCGTTGCGATCGAACGACTACACTTTAGCAGCGTGTGAGTCTCTCTGGTTAAGGTCTCTTCTCTCGCCTGGTAGCAGCTAACTGAACGACGCCACCCTCAAGTTATCTTCGTAAGTCTGTCACGTTGAAACGATAGACACGTTGATGTTATTTATACCTTTGCTGACCTAGAGACTACGACTCTCAGCCTACCCAGTACGGATCAAATGTCCAACCATGTACGCCGGAGCCACGGAACTAACTGCAATCAGGGACGCAAGCAAAACCCTCGAAAATCAATGGGCCTCGATCCAAGAAGCGGAGGGGGACAGAAATGTGGCCAGCCTTGACTGCGCCGAGGTGCCGAAGCTCTGCGAGGAGCTCGACGTTGCCTCATACCCAGCGATCCGGCTGTTCCGCCACCAAGGCGACACGATGGAGCGATACAGAGGGCCTCGGAAAGCGAGACCGTGTGTTGACCTACCCGGCATATGCTTATGGTTGAATGAAAAGAAAACAGCCTAACGGATTAATCCCCCATCCCAGGATCATCGCATATCTCCGACGGGCGCTTCGTCCCACCATGTCCACGGTGGATAGCAAGAACATCACTTTGTTCCGCTCCATCGACGACGTCGTCTTCGTCGCGCATCTGCTGCCCCGTGACACGAACCTCCACGACCGCTTCGAGGCCCTCGCGGGGCAATACCACGACCGGTCCTCGTTCGCGGTAGCGAGCGACGCGCAGGACCAGTCGGAGATCACCTGCTACAACAACCTTGACGAGGTGCAGATGTCGACGGCCGAGCTGAGTGCAGTCGAGTCGCTCGAGAACTTCGTCAGGCTCTGCTCAGCGCCGTTGATCCCGGAGCTGACTAGGCGGAACGAACTGCAATATCTGTCGGTAAGAGTCACCGCCATCCAAATGGCCAAGCACGCAAGCATTTAGCCCACCGAGAGTCCCCCGTCTGATAATGTGTTTTCTGTCTCCAAAACAGTCAAGCAAGAGCTTGGTTCGGTACTTCGCCTCGAGCGACAAGGAAAGAGACCACTTCGCGAGGGAGATGCGGCCGCTTGCAAAGAAATACCACGAGTACCTGCTCTTCGCTACCATCGACACCAACGAGTATCCCGAGACTCTGGCGGTCTTTGGCCACCAGCCAGGGTCGACAAGGGTATTGTCGGTGCAAAACCCGAGCAACGGCCATATCTTCCCCTACAGTGGAGCCAAGCAGATATCGCCCGAGGTGGTGGAAGCTTTCCTGGTCGATATCACCAATGGCAAGGTGACGTCATGGTCAGGACAACTGCCCCATGGATGGAAGGAGGAAGGGGCGGATGAGGGGATGAAGCATGAGGAACTATGAAAAGCGGGCTGCTCCTGCCTTGCGGAGTGGACGTTGCAGAATACCACCCCAATTACCTAGATACCTACCTACCTACCTACCTAAGTGAGGAGACTCTGTCAACTTTGAATCTGTCAACTTTGAATCTGTCAACTTTGAATCTGTCAACTTTGAATCTGTCAACTTCCATACCTACCTACTTACCTACCCAAGGTATCTAGATAATCGACAGAGAGGCAACAGGTAGTTCTTTCTTATCTTTTCCTTCTGTTCTGTTACAACCAGCACTCGCCGGCGTTGGAAATTAATTTCACTTGGCCTCGAAACCATCGACATGGGTAGCATCGACATGGGTATGCCGTCCCCGGCTTACACCGACATGGGTATGCCGTCCCTGGCTTACACCGACATGGGTATGCCGTCCCCGGCTTACCTCGACATGGCTGCTCCGTCCCCGGCTCCGTCCCCGGCTCCCTCAACCACCGCCCCCGACGGCGCCCACATGGGCTACTACCGCGACTACTCTATGGCTCTCCTGGCGCGTAGCGGCCCGTCCCAGCTGCCCAAACTGCCTTGCCTCTTGTCGGTCGACGACATGGCTAACGGCCGGGATATCTTCCCAATCGGCAAGGGGCACGCCATCCTGGACGCCTGGCACGGCAAAGGCGGCTGCCTCGAGCGGATTGTCGACCTGCTTGACGGATTAACATGGAACAGTGTGAACGCTTTCCGAGTCGGCTGGGAGAATCCCACCAAGTGGACCAAACCCGTCCCCACCATCCTCATCACGGTGTACAGTCTTTCGGTACAGCTAGCCGACGATCTTGCCGACCGTTGCCGATGCCTTCTCCAGAAAAGGTTTGCTTGCGCCCTCCCTCATACTCTGCTGCCACTTCTCGAGCCTCCGTGACTGACACTCGGCGCGCGCCCAGCTTCAAGCTTGGCGACGTCGCCGTCGAGATCGCACAGGGAAACGCGACCCATGGCAGCTCCGCCATCAACAACGAATATTGTAATAATCATGAGTTATGGCGGCTGCACAATACCTGGCACATGGACCACAACAAAATCCCTATTATTGGCACCGGCATTGGCGTCGCCGGCACTGGGGGTCTCGGCACGTTGGGTTTCTATGTGCGAATCACAAAGGGCGACAAGAGCGAGGTCATGGCGGCCACATGCCACCATGTTGTTGACCCGCCCAAAGGTGCGTTCTGACCCTTATCGCAGGTTGTCGTTACAAGTCTAAGGTAACTGACGGGTGCGCCTGCTACAGGGACAAGGCTAAAGCTCGCCTTCCCTATAAGGGCATGTCATGGCGTCGTGATCGAAAGCCGCTCGCTGAAAGATCAAATGCTGTGGGAGACGTATCTGCAGCATCGCCGCCACACAGCCGAAAGCATGCGCCAGGTTGCTGCCACCCAACTTGGACGTGAAAACCTCGAAAATATGCTTGTTACTGCCCTCAACGCCCGTCTAGCCAAATTCAACGAGGAAATCGCTGCTGTGGACAAGATGATGGCCGACCAAGGCTCCCGATCTCTCGGCAAGGTGTTTCTCTCCTCGGGTCTTCCGGGTCCTTTCAAGCCCGACACTGATAGAAAATATGCACCTGATTGGGCTCTGATCAGGCTCGATTCTGATCGCGTCACCGACGTCAGCGCCCTCACAAATGTAAGTTGGAACACGAGGGTTAATTAATTGAGCCTCTCCCACGGTTATTACGCATTCAAACTAACGCACCGTCTCTGCCCTCTACAGATCTGGCACGACTTCATATTTCATAAACATCCCGGAATGCCCCCCTCCTTGAAATTCCGCCGGTGCCATCCCAATTACCACCCCAAGTACTACGCCACGGAAGCCCTCGCCTCCAAACTCAAGCACGGCGGCCCAATCACGGTCTACAAATTCGGCCTCTCGACAAGCGCGACCTCGGGCCGTCTGAACGAACTCATGTCCAAAGTTCTCATCTTCAACACCGGTCGCATACCTACATATTCCCTCGTGTGGGTCGTCCTCGGCGAGTTTGGTGCTCCTGGTGGCGGGTGGTTCTCGAGACCCGGCGACTCGGGCTCGCTCGTCGTCGACGTTTATGGCACGGCTGTTGGCATGGTTGTCGCTAGAAGGGTTAGGACCTACGTCATGCCGATGGAGGCGATTCTGGACATGATGAGAGAGGCTTTGGAGGTGGATTTCCGGGCGGAGGGAGAGGTGCAAGTGGATTTGGTTTAGGGGATGGGACTGAGCCACCTACCACCTACTATGTAATTACTAATTAATTCTTGGACGAGTTAATCCCAGAAGTGGATCGCACACCACTAAGTGGGTTTCCTTCATGCTTGATATACACAAATACGGCACCAGCTTCTCAACAATTGGTCGGAAATCACAATCGATTCAAGTCGGGTGTGGTGTAGCGGTAACATCGCTGACTCTCACTACTCAGTAGTGGTTACTCTCTCAGCAGCCCGGGGTTCGACTCCCCGCATCCGAGTCATCTTTTTTTTCCATTCTTTTTTCTCTCGTTTTCCCCTTCGCTTCCGCTGTCCCTTTTTTGCACTTGCCAACAACTCATTTCCGACACTGGGATTTCTGTAGTCGCTTGAGGCTCCACTGACCTGGATTCCCGACACCGCTGAGATCTCTAGGTACTAACGACAAGAGCAAAAGGCTTGTCAATCAGCGCCAGCCATTTTCACCGAGCAGCATGCAGAGAAATGAACAGTCCCCTCGTTCTGAAGGTTGGGACGGATTTCGACCAAGATGGATAACCCCTTGATTGGCGCTCTTCATTGGCATAATTAACTCGTATCCAGGTTGAGCTTAGTTACTGCCGAAGGCCTTGTCACAACAAAACCTCCCCTTTCTGGCGGGAAACACAGATGCGAAGTCTGAACATCACCCTCTCTCTACTTCCAGCCTTGGCTGAACCTGGTCCTGCGTAGCCTGGTGCACTCTCACCCCGCAATCGTCCTTCGCGGATCGACTATGCTTGCCCGGTTATTCCTACCATGCCCAGCGGGCAATCTGAGAATGTCTATGGCAACCCTAACACCAAAAATAAGCGGCAAGGCCGCGACTAATTACGGCAGGCTCATGAATAGCTCCAAGAGTTTCGGGTAAATCGGCGATCTAATGGACCCCCGTTAGCATGTTGCATCAAGCCAGACAGCCATGTCCTCACTCACCCGAGCCCAGTCACCGGGTCCCAGCCCTTCTTCACGGGGAACCCCTCGCTGCCACAGCCAGGGTTTGACCCCGTCGTGATGTCGGTAAACACCTCCGGGTGGTCGTACTAGTGATCCAGTTAGCCAGGTCAGCGAAGACCGTCGGTCCTGTGCGACATCGTCACGGCCGAGGAAAAGGGGAAAACAAGGAGTCGAATCGAAAACGCACCAAAACCGGATGAACAAACCCGACCGGGCCCTTCCCAACAGCCAACCTCTCCTCATTAATCAGCGTCAGTATCGACGCCCACACCGGCACCGCGACCGACGTCCCCGCCAGCCGCGTCGTCATCCCCTGCATGTGGACGACGTAGTTGTCCCCCACGGCCGCGACGTCCGGGTATCCCCTCCCGGCCCTGTTGAACACCTTCTCGGGCTGGGCCCCGACGACGTTGCCGACATCGTTGTCGTCGTTGTCGTCGTTGTCGTCGTCGTCGTGGAGCTGCCCGTCACCCGGGGAAACGTAGCCCCTCTGCGTGACGTTGGCGCGGCACAGATACCTCCCGACATGTCTCTTCTGCCAGCTCGGCGTGCCAAATACATTGGAGAAACCGCCTCCCGACGCAAACATGGTCGGCGCCACCTCCCTGTACGGCGAGCGCGCGTCCCGTTTCGTCGCGTTACCGCCCCCGCCGTCGTCGTCGACAAGGACCGTAGCCCCCACGCTCAGCACATACGGACAATTGCTCATCATCCTCGGGGAGTAGACATCCCTATTCGGCCCCAGGCACCCGGCCCTGGAATCGTACCTGCGCCCGCCGACGCCGTAGTCGCCCGACGACTGCACGACGGTGACGCCCTGGAGGGCGAGCTTCATGACCTCGAGGCACTGGCGGCGCATGTAGCTCGCGGGGAGGCCCGCCTCGACGCCGCTGTAGCTGATGGAGATGACGTTGGTGGGCGCGTGGGCGCCGCACATGGCCGGCAACTGGTAGCCCGAGTCGGCGTTGGGGTTCGGGTACTCTGGGTCCAAGCATGAGGGCCGCGTGCACCTGCCTTGCTCGCCGAAGGCGGACATGTTGCAGTAGCTGCCGTCGATGGCGTCGAAGAAGGCTGTGGGGGGGTTGGTGTTGGTTATTTACTGAGCCTGGGATGGAAGATTTGGAGGTGGCAAACTGGGAACCGGGGAGGGACACACGTACTGTTGAAGAATCCAAGGTATTTGGTGGTGGACTTTGTCTGGTCCAGCTGGTACCATTCGTCGTCGGTCTGCCAGAGCACCGTTTTCTGCGGCCAGACCAGGGGCATCGCGACCTCAAAGTCCAGGTCCGCTTCCTCGCCCGCGGCATCTTGGTTGGTGGTCGGGCCTTCTGCCCCGTTGATGGAACGCAGCTCGGGATGGGAGCCGTTCGGAACCCAACTGGTGCCGTCTCGGTGTCAGTCTCGGATGTATGGAGAACCGGGCCCGACGGGGATACTCACGGGGCAATATTGTCAAAGTAGGTGTCCAGATCTTGCTGGTTATAATGCTGGCTAAGCGACTGAAAGATCCCCAGCTCATTTCCTGGGCTGGCTTTCGTCCCGTTTGGTATCTGGTACTGGTCTAGTCTCGCAGTCAGCTTGTGCGAAGGGGAATGGGACTTGGCCCCGCGGATATGCAAGTCCAGAACCTACTTCTAACGCACGTGGGAGTGACGTCCAAACTGCAAGGTCCAACCGAAGTCAGACTGGGGTCAGCATCTATGTTGTTGGTATGCACGATGTCGTATTCGAATTGGCGCTTCCTCCTCAACTTCCCCCTCTTCGCCCTCTTCAGGGGCTTACTGCTTGAGACGGCGTTCAGCAGCTTGATTCCGGGCGTCACATAATCGATATGACCCCGGACATCAGAGGGAACGTGGTATCTAATCGTTCGTCAGCGACGGCGACCTCTTCCAATCTCTCCATGGCCGGGGGATGCATGGTTGGAACCTACTCTCGACACCCAATATTCCTAACACCAGATTCGGCGTGTTCATAAACATGAAAAGTCGTGAATAGCAGATCCTCAGCCTCTTGGACAGTGGCATCAAACTGGATCCACTAACAGCAGTCACGATGTGTGAGAAATAGTCAAACTTCGCCTGCGCCACCAGTTTCCCAAACACACAACTCACCTGCCTGTTCACCGATTGCGATATCCTCGCAGCCGGAACCCCCGCAGACACAAGCCACTCCCTAACGGCATCGACGCTTTCGTTCTTCGGCGCAAAGAACTGCACCACCTCGTCGGAGGTGAGATGCCTCCCATAATTAGGCGACGTCGGACTCGATCTGCAGCCATACCGCATCTCAGCAAAACGAACACCTCCTCAAACCTCCCCCCCCCCACCCCGCGGGGCCCCCTCCAATTTAAAACTTACATATCCATCAACAAGTCATGCCCCCGGTCCAGATTCGACTGCTGGAGCCCAATCCTCACAGGCAGCACCGCCGTCGAGTCGGCCAGCTCCCTGCGCACCCATCCCTCCGTGTGCCGCGGCCCGCGACGCTCATGGACGGTATGCGACGCCGGGATGCTCCTCGGCGCGAGGCGAGGCTGTAGCGGCGGCCGCGGCGCGGCGGCGGCGGCGGGCCCGAAGATGGCGAAGGCGGCGGCGGCGAGAATGCCCGGCAAGCGCATGGTGGTGGTACGTCCAGCAGTAGGCCCCCGATATTGAGTCCTCGCTGGAATTTTGTGCCGCTTCGCCTCGAGGTCCAATGAGGCCGGATCTGGGGGCAGGCCATGTAGGGGGAGAGGGGTGTTTGGAGATCTTTATTTCAGGGCGGCCACTAGGTCGCTTCGATCCGGTGCCGTGAGGCCAGTTCACTAACTGTGTGTACGTTTACTATTTATTAACTCGGGCTGGGATTTACTGGGTGGCAATGCCAGCGCCTGGCCCAGGCCAAACTTGGCCCGGGTTATCCCAGAGCAAGCTCGGCTCTGACGAGACGAGGTCGGGTGGGCGGCCGGGTAAATATAGATATTGATTAACCAAGGGCTTGGTGGTGCTGGAACGAACAACCTGTCCAGTCCGTTCCCCAAACGGGCTCGAGCTAGGAACAAAAAAAAAAGGGCACGGGAGAAGAAATCCCATTTGGGATTTCCGAGCTGGGTGGCTTGAACTCGCTCAGTCGCTTCCTGCAAATTCTGCGCTGCCATACCGGGACAAGACTAAGGCCAAGGGAAACTGCGGATATGACAAAACCCAGCAAGACCGTCTTCGAATCCAGCACCAGCTCATGAACGGGTGGTACGATGCCGTTCGGACAATAAAGTGCGCGTCTGGCCCGTCTGCAGGCCTGTAGAGCTGCATGATCTCCTGCATGCGGAGGGTGGTGGATTGGATGGCAGAACGGTGCCGTGCCCCCCTTTAAGGTCACATTCGATCGATGAGCCGCCTCCCGCCGCTCTTCCGGGGCGCGAAATTGGCAAGGTCTCGAAATAGATACCATACTTGTCTTCCAGTCTGTGCTCCCGCAGGATGGATGGTCCCGTGGGATGGCAGTCACGAGGAGAGGTCAACTTCTCCAATTGGTCTCCAGCGGGTCGGAACAGGATAGATGGTCTTTGATCTTTTTTTGGCAGCTGTGGTGGTATTTGGAGGGATACATCGCGTTGTCTCCGAACTCGTCTTCTTTTCTTTTCCTTGCTCCCCTGTAATGCAAGGCCGCCCCCGGTTTCTAAACATTGCCAATCGCCGGATGATCAACCCTCAACCCATCAACCCATCAACTCCACCCCGTTCCGTATTACCCCCACCACAGCCCCGGTCTGGACAACTTCCCCTCCCCCGCCGGCAACTCTATGCTCGATAGTTGCAAGGCCATCGAGCCACGATATCATAACCTCGGGTTTGACTTCCAGCTTGACGATCTGCTCCGAGAGGGCAGTGATGATGTCCGCCAGGGCGAGTCCCTCTGCCACCTTCAGCGTGTTGATGGTCGAGAGGCAGGACGTGACGTCGCTCGTGCTGAGGATGGTGTTGAGTATCCTCTTAATCGCGTCGGGCCGGGGAGCGGCGATGCAGTTGTATATGGTCTCTGTCGTGATCATCTCTCGGACAATGTCCTCTTCGGGGGTCTTGGGCTGCCCCGGTGGTTGTAGAGGGGTACCTGTTCTCTCTGTCAGTCCGGGGAGGGGATATAGGGACTAGCGGCACATACTTGATGCATGGCAAGCCTGTAGGACGTTGAGCGCCCTCCTCATGTCGCCCTTGCTCAGGCGCACCAGTGCGTCGGTCGCCTCGGGCATGATCTTAACGCTCTCCTCCTGTATCACCTTGTCAACCAGTATCCGGATATCAGCCTCCTTCAACGGGCTGAAGCGGAAGCGCGTGCACCGGGACAGGAGCGCGGGGCTGAGCTTGTGGGAGTAGTTGGCGATGATGCAGAAGCGTGTGTTGGGGGTGTATTTCTCCATGATCCGCCGCAGCGCCATCTGCGCCGTGTTGGTCATGGCATCGGCCTCGTCTAGGATGATCAGCTTGTAGCCCCCGATACCGCTGTTGGCGCCGCCCCGCGTGAAGATTTGCCTCGTCGACGCAAACGTCTTGATCTGTTCGCGCACCACGTCGATGCTGCGGTCGTCGGAGGCGTTGAGTTCCAGCACCATCTGGCGCACGTTCTCGGCGCCATAGATTCGACGGGCAAGGGCGAGGATCGTCGATGTCTTGCCGGTGCCCGGGGGGCCGTAGAAGAGCAGATGAGGGAGTCGATTGGAATCGACGAACTTGTTGATGGTTGCAAGGATGTCATGGTGGCCCGATACGTCGGCGAGGGTAGCTGGTCGGTATTTCTCTACCCTATGTGCGAGGGAAGAACCAAGTCAGTCGTCATCCACATCCTTTGAGGAGAACATAAAGCCGGCGGCAATTTACCAAGGTAGGGTATCCTCCGCCGCGACGGGCAGATTGGCGGCGCTTCGTTTGCCTTTTGCGGTTTCGGAAGAGAAGATGATGTTTTTGGACACGGGGACATCCACGTCCATTTCATCTTCAAAGTCGGACATCTTGTCGAGTGATTGAATACGGTCCTGTCTACAGAGGAGGCTGTGTCTATGCTGTGCTGGCTGGCTGGATGGATTGATTCAAGTTTGCGACCACAAGAACGCGTCAAGCTTGAGGCGCGTTAATTGATGGGCTCTCTTCGCGGGGCGGACGGGTAGGTGGTCTGTGCGCTGCCATCCATTCCCCACAATCTCAGGGTCTCTGCCTTTTCCTCCTCTTCTCCCATGTTGAGAGAGGAAACCATGGCATGGCTACGTTTCCTGCTCTTGGCCCTTTTTCTCTTTGTGGAATATATGCGCCTTGAATTCTGCCTTCGATTTTTTACCCAACTCCGAACGGGATCCTCGGAAACAAGCGTTTCCTTGTGTGTATTCTGCAGTCCACTTTGGGACGGGCCTGCATTTGTCTGTCACTTCCCGCCAAGTTGCCTCGGTCTAATCCCTCTTGCAGCCATCTTCTCTTGCTGGCTTCAGCCTAACGACGAGCATTTTGAAATCGGACGCTTGTTTGCGTCCCAATACTCATGCTCATGTGGAACCAGATGGAAGATTATAGGCCTGCCTACTGCCAACCGGAGTGTCCTAGCTATGATTACTTTTACTCGCACTCGTCAAGCAAACGTATCCTCTACCCGGCATCCTCCTTCCGGACCGGACCAACCGCTACACGAGTCCCAAGCCCGTGGTTCTCCAGTTCTCGGGCGAAAGCTTGTGCGAAACAAGGATATTGGCAATAAAGCTTGTGCATACAGGCATCATTCGACAGCACGTGCGTGTCTCTTGTCGAGGGTAAGGAAAACACTTGGCGAAGGAGGCTATCGAGGTGCTTGAGTGCTTACCAAGTTGCGCACACGAGAGCGACATTAGCTCAGGCACAGAGCTAGAAATGCCAACACCAGACAAGCATTGTGGCGCCTGTGCCAATCTGTTGGAGCAAATTCCCCACGTGCCTGCAGTCTGCCTGTAGTGACCCTTTTTTCCCTCAGAATCCCCGCCTGTGAGCCCCAGACACTAATCCGAACCAGCCTGTCATATTCCGTTTATTACGAAATCCCTACGAAGGAGCGCACATGATGTTTGGTTGTCTGTCAAGCTTGGAGTTGGAGCTTCAACTGACTTGGGGGACCGCATCTGGTGATGTGCTGTGGTATTCGTCAAATGTGTGTCTCACCACCTCACCTCACTACAACATAGGGGGCACTCCTCTGTCCATCGCCAGGTGGAAGGGAAGCTTCGACAAGTGGGCATTTTGATTGGGTAGGTTTCTCGAAAAGCTTAACAGAAACGGTGGTCGAGATCCGTCGATCATGAAGCTTGATTGCCCCACCCTATGGCAGCTGGTATTGAAGCTCGAATGACAGTCCCAACAGAAGCGACCAATCATAATCGGCTTTCGAAACACGGCATGAACATTTCATCGAAGCTCTGGAAGCACATGGCCCGCTCCGGGATTTATCTCTGGGGTGGTTCCACACCCCTTTCCGGGTCAATGACGTTCCCATAGGGCCCCGAAACCATATATTAAGTTACCATGCCACCCCTCCTTCCAAGCCCTTCTCCCAGGCTTCGACATCACCCAGCCAAACATGCACGCACACACTCTGGGACTGCTGGCTTTCGCCGGCGCTGTGCTCGCCCAGAGCCAGTCAACCCAGTACACGGCCACAGGAACCGCTGCCGTGGATGCTGCTCGTGCGACGGCCAAGACGCTGAGCCCGACCAGCAATGTCAAGGGCAAGGCCTTTGACAGGATTGCCATCATCTGGCTCGAGAACACCGACTACGAGCTCGCTGCCGGTGACCGTGAGTTCCTCCACCCACGTCCAGCAGGACCGACTCGCCAAAAGGGTGGCGTAATTGAGTTGCGCATCTAAGCTTACACCGTGTAGCAAACCTCGCGTGGCTCGGAAAGAAGGGCATCACGCTCACAAACCACTTCGCCGTCACCCATCCCAGCGAGCCCAACTATGTGGCGGCCATCGGTGGCGACTACTTCGGCATGAACAATGACAACTTCAACTTCATCGACAGAAACGTGTCGAGCATCATCGACCTCCTCGAGGAGAAGGGCATCAGCTGGGGCGAGTACCAGGAGGACCAGCCCTACTCGGGCTTCGAGGGGTCCGCGTGGGTGAACCAGAAGAACGGCAAGAACGACTACGTGCGCAAGCACAACCCGGCCGTCATTTACAACAGCGTGTCGCGTGAGACGGACCGGCTCGCCAAGATCAAGAACCTGACCATGTTCCACGAGGACCTGGTCAACGACGCCCTGCCCCAGTGGATGTTCATCACCCCGAACATGACCTCGGACGGCCACGACTCCAGCGTCACCGTCGCAGGGACCTGGACCCGCGACTTCCTCGAGCCGCTACTGGGCGACACGCGCTTCATGAAGAACACGCTGGTGCTGGTGACGTTCGACGAGAACTCGAGCTACGCGAAGCAGAACCGCATCCTGGGCATCCTGCTGGGCGACGCCGTCCCCGAGAACCTGGCCGGGACGACCGACGACAACTTCTACAACCACTACAGCGAGATCGCATCGGTGCAGGCCAACTGGGGCCTGCACACGCTGGGGCGCTGGGACGTGGGCGCCAACGTGTGGCAGGTGGTGGCCGACGCGACGGGCGACCAGGTGCGGCCATGGTCGGGCTCCGTGCCGTTGGCCGACATGTACTGGAACCAGAGCTACCCGGGCGTGTTCAACAGCAAACCCGCGGGCTCCGTCTACCCCAAGCCGAACCTGTGCATCCAGCGGGCCGGCAGGAAGGTCGCCCCCGTCGTGGGTGAGACGTGGAAGGGAAACAAGAACCCGACGTATTACGAGGACAAGCTCGAGATCCCGGACGGGCTGCACCCGCCCCAGACCAAGTGAGGATTGACGTCCGATAATGTACTGATCAACAAAAAGTCGAATCGTAGCTGAATCCTGTGGAATAATAGACAGATAGACATCACATCTCTAGCCCCCTCGCCGTTTCTTTGGACGCAGAGGTCGTTGTATTTGGCCACTTTTCCCAGCTTACTCCTGAGTTGCTGGCACCTTGCAAAGTGGTCTCATTGCGATGCGTACCAATGAGTATAGTGGGGCATCACCAACCGCGGGATGCCCAAGATCTGAAGATCAAGGTGGATCAATCCACCCCCGCCCCCGCATAATCAAAACAATCGAAAACACAGCTCGAAGATGTTTACAACTACTACTAGGGTACGGATATGGAGAAGGGTATCAAGAAAGATACAGCTCAATTAAGCCTTCGAAACGAAGCAAAGTCCAACGACAAAAGCCGTCTGCTTTAAATGCTGCGCTTTGCTCGGTTTGCGGCGGTTTCGTCAGCACTTGCGCAACACCCCAACACACCTTCTCAATCCGGCTAGGCCACCCCTCATTGGCTGGCGGAATTAGTGCCAGCACTGTGCATATATAAGCACATCCTCAGCTTTCCCTCCTCTCTCTCTTCCCGTCAGGAATGATTCCGTGATACCAGTGAGCAGACATGGATCCCGAAAAGATTGGCCTCCCGCCGTACAGCGCGGTAGCGGAGGAGCCGAAAGGGCAAGTGCGGCCCGGGCATTGGCGACGGAGACGAGGGTTCCTGCGCCGATCGCGGGGGCTGCGCTTCATCGGCCTGGCATGCCTTGCATTCATCGTCTACGCGCAATGGAGGCAGATGCCGCCCGCATCGAGCCCTCCGGACTCGGACTCCCACATGACCGTCCACGGCCTCTCAGTCAAGCGGCTGCGAGAGGACCTCGCGACCTGCGCCAAGCTGCACACCAAGCCCGTCGACCCCATCGGTCTCGGCCGAGAGAGGAATGCCCGCTACATCGACGGCCACAAGCCAACCCTGATCAAGAACGCCACCGTCTGGGTCGGCGAGCCCGCTGAAGGAACCAGCCCCGAGGATGCCCGGTCCGGGAAGGGCTACTCTTGGGTCACAGCCGATGTCTTCTTGGAGCACGGCCTCATTAAGCAAGTCGGCCGTCATCTTGCTCTGCAGGGCACCCTGCCAAAGGACACACTGGTATACGATGCCGCAGGACGCCCTCTCACTAGCGGGATCATCGACATGCACAGCCACGCTGGGGTGGATTCGCTGCCGGAGCTGCGGGGCAACGATGCCACCAACGAGATGTCGTCGGATATTACGCCGTATGTGAAGGCTATCGACGGCATCCAGCCGACAGACCGACAGATTCAGGTGATCAAATCGGGCGGCGTGACCACGTCGCTTATCCTGCCGGGGTCCGCTAACAACATGGGCGGTGAGGCGTTCGTCATCAAGCACGCCGTGGGCCGCGCCGACGGCCGCAACGAGACGAGCATCGCCGACATGCTAGCCGACCCAGACCACGCCTGGCGTTATCTCAAGATGGCTTGTGGGGAAAATGCGGCAAGTTCCACCCCTACTTTGGGATCTACCCTCGAGCTCATGGCTGACGTTGACTACACAGGCACGGGTCTACGGAAAACCTGGCGAGCATGGCCCGACGAGCAGGCTCGGCGAGAGCTGGGAGTTCCGCCACGCCTTCGAGCAGGCCTCACGCCTACTCCGCGAACAGGACGACTGGTGCGACTCTGCTGCCCTAGGACTGGAGAGGGTCGACAGGTACCTTCCTGTTGAGATCAGATGGGAATCTGTGATTGCGCTGCTGAGGGGCCAGGTCCATCTCAACGTGCACTGTTACACAATCCCGGACCTGGAATCGTTTGTCGCCCACACCAACGAGTTCAAGTTCCCTGTGCGGGCATTCCACCACGCCCACCAGACATACTTGGTCCCTGAGGTTAGTGAATAAATCCCAGTTGATGGGCGAGTCGAGAAATCAACAGACGGACTTGTGCAGGGCTGACGCGACACCAAATAAGTACAGATTCTGAAGCGCGCTTATGGCGGGCCGCCAGCTTCGGCCCTATTCGCGGATAACATGTGGTACAAGGCAGAGTCCTACATCGCCTCGGAATACGCAGGCAAGCACCTCTACGACAGCGGGCTAGTCCCCATCTACGTGAGCGATAACCCGGTCCTGAACGCCCAGCACGTCGTGTTCGAGGCTGCCAAGGGGTACAAGTACGGGCTCCCGTACCACGCCGCCCTCGCCGCGGTGACGACCGCGCCTGCCGAGAGGCTGGGCTTCGGTCAGCGGCTGGGCAAGATCAAGCCAGGGTTCGACGCCGACATCGTAGTGTGGGATAGCGACCCGCTCAGCGTCGGCGCCGCTCCGGTCCAGGTGTGGATTGACGGGACGGCACAGTTTGAGGACCCAGTTGAGCTTGACAAGGCGTTTGAGGGCGTCATCGTACCTGACGAGGACCTCGCCAACATCATCGAGGACCCTGTGACTGTCACTGGCGACGTTGTCTTCACGGGCGTCACCAAGGTCCTCCTTCCCATGCACGTGGACAGCTTTGCAGCCGACGGCAAGACCTTCAACGTCGCCATTTCAGGCGGCAAGATCACCTGCGTGGGCCTCTGCGCCACCGAGCTGGCAGCTGCGTCCGACTCCGACTCTTCCTCCGGCAATGTGATCCGCCTCAAGAACGGCCACCTCGCCCACCCCTTCACAGCGTTCGGGTCGACCCTCGGCCTCAACGCCATCGACGCCGAGCGGGACACAGACAACGGCGGCAGTGCCGACGTCTTCAGCCGCGGCGCCGACGGCCTGGCCCTCGACACCAAGAAGCTGCACGCCTCGCATCGCTACGGCGTGACGCGCGCCATCTCGGCGCCCAAGTCCGCCGGCGGCGGCGGCACCCACCACGGCACCAGCGTTGGCTTCGCCACGGGCGCCGGCGGGCCGTCATCGCCCTCGTCATCGTCCACCAAGGCCATCTTCGCCGACGACGCGGCCATCCACTACACGCTCGACCTCTCGGCCAAGCGCGGCACTGGCACCCCGACCCTATCTGCGGCTGTCGGCGCGCTGCGCCGGAAGCTGCTCGAGGCCGCGGCCGCGGCTGCGGCCGACGAGGCGGTAACGGACCGCTACTCGGAGGCGGCGTTCCTGAGGCGCGTCCTGGAGGGCGAGCTGGCGCTCGCGGTGACGGCGCACAGCGCCGACACCATCGCGGCGGTGCTCCGCGTCAAGGCGGCCGTCGAGGAGGCCATCAACCCGTGGCCCGGATTCGTGCAGATCCGGCTCGTCATCATCGGCGGGGCGGAGGCGCACCTCCTGGCGGCCGAGCTGGCGGCCGAGGGCGTGGGCGTGGTGCTGGCACCGATGCTGTCGTACGCTATGAAGTGGGACCAGCGGAGGGCCCTGACGGGGGCGCCGCTTACCAATGGGACGGCGGTGGATGTGCTTGTGGGGGCTGGCGTCGTCACTGCTATCGGGCTGGAGGAGGATTGGGTTGTGCGAGACCTGGGCCTGCTTGCTGGTATCGCATACAAAAACGGCGGCGGGAGGATCGGCGAGAGGGAGGCGCTGGACTTGGCGGGTCGGAATGTGTACAAGTTGCTGGGGCTCGAGGAGCCTAAGGCGGAGCTGCACTTTGTTGTCCATGAGGGAAATCCCTTGGAGATTGGCTCGAGGGTCAAGGCGGTTGGTGATGGGTCCGGCAAGGTGGATATATTCTGAGAGTTCTTGGCTGCGGTCGCCGTTGTTGCGTTGGATAGAGGTGCCTGTTAGATAGATCGAGACTACTATGTTGTACTCGCGACAGCAAGCCGTGTTTACAGTCATCCTTCCTTGGTTAAGAGGACAATCCGACACACATGCATGTATTGCCAGTGTCCATTTTCTACATTGAAGCAAGCTGGTTAATGCGATGCTGGCCTGGTACTGTGTCCCTCCAGGGCTCCACGTGATCAGTATCCACGCAGCCACCCCCTTTCACCCCTTTCCAACCAAATGCACCCCCCTTCGCCAACTCCCTTTCCCACTGCCTTGCTTCGTAGCCCAATACCTTCCCTCGTTCTTTCCCTCACACCCGGGATTTTGGCACGCACGACCGTCTGGTCCTTCTCATCTCGGTTGCCTGGGTTGTCCCCGGCAACCTGCCTTTCATCTCGGGGAGGAATAAGTAGAAGAATTCTGATGACCGGGGATTAGCGTCCACGAAGATAAAGGGGGGGACATTTTTCTGTTAAATTCACAGGAGGTGATGAAGTTGGAGTCTGCCAACATCTTCGACATCAAGCACGCCGTAGGCCAGGCCGATGGGTGGAACAGAACTAGGTAGGTGTCGCAGACATGCAGGCCAACCTAGGCCACGTACGTCAGGCAAGCGACATGTAGCGAGAGGAAATTTTGCGATGCTCCTTGGATCAAAACGTGACACACACAACAGCTCTGGCAAGAAAAGAAATAATCGAGACGGGACAGAACAATTTAGGATAATAAAACTTCCGTCCAGGTATCATGACCAGCTTGGGGAATCAGCAGCTTTCGATACTTCCAAATTATCTGCTGTAAGTTATCTTTCCCTCCTCTCATGCTGCGGTCCCCCTAGCATCAGGTGAAGCCGGTATATCAAGTGTGAGAATATACGACCACTTAAACGCTATAGAGTCCTGTATTATTACACCACTCACCAAATCAAATCAGGGTGGCGCAGGCGCTACTCGGTGGAGGTTTGAAAAAGAAAGAAAACCATCAACTTTACGTGCCTTGAGTCATAAGGAGCTATCCACGCATTCGAAGCGGCTTGTGCATATAAAAATCTAGTTCGAGCTCATAATTACTCCGTTTTTTCTTCGTCTCTCAACCTTCGCTTTCCCAGTTTCCCTTCCATATCTATTCTACGAGTAGGCTGTTCCTATAATCTATCGAGCCTCTTGGTGTCAATATGTTGCCTTTGGCACAGTTGTGCACCAATGCATGGACTGGTGCCCCAACCAGCTACCTTACCTATTAAGCTGAAAGTAACCTATTCCTCTGGAACCAAAAAAAAAAAACGGGTGAAGCCTACGCCACGTGAAGCGCGATGAACGAAGTCGCCTACCGAGAGGACGTCACCGGCTATCCCTTTTTGGTCGCATTCAAGCTCCTATAGATTACCGCCTTTGTGGGACTTGACGAAGCAGACTGTGAAAATCGACCTCATCAAGGACCTCGCCTCAGCATCCGACAGCAGAGTTTGACATGTAGTTCTGCCCCCATTGAGGACTGGATACCAAAAAAATCCGCTCTGATTTCCATTATGCTTGTTATCCTACTTTAAGCCAACGCAGACGTCCTCGTTGGCATCATTGGCATGGGACACTTAATTATCACTCGTCCTTAACCCCCTTCCCACCTCCCACCCCCCTACTCTCCTCGGCCCGCTTAACCCGCTCAATCAGGCCAACCCCAACCTCGACACCCGCCCCCTCCCTCGCCTGCCTAGTCCAAAACGCCTCCCCGCCAGCAGCAAGGACCGTCCTCCGGCGCTCCCTCTCGGCAACGCTGAGCGCCAACCCGGCCTGTTTATGCGCCTCCATCTCGTCGAGGTGTCTCCGCCGGTTGGCGTAGCGCACGTCCCTCTCGCGGCGTATCTGCTCCGACCCTGCGCTGCGGAGCGCGAACCGCACCAGCGCCCGCACCGCGAGGAGGACGTGCTCGCTGACGAACACCGTCGCCGCGAGCGACCACCAGGCACTGCCGGCGGCGGCCCCCTCGGCGCCAAACAGGTGCACAATGGCGGCCGTCGAGATGCTCCCGGCCCAGGCGAGGAACTCGAGGGCGCCGACCCACGGCCCGATGCCGTCGGCGCGGGCGGGCGCGGGCCTGCGGTGCTCGATGCAGATCTTTGCAAAGTCGGAGCGGACCTCCACCCAGTTGTTGAGAAGGAAGCCGGCGGCCAGGACGGGCCACACGGGCGAGAACAGGGCGAGGTGGCCGAACTGCAGGACGATCTCGGCCACGTCCTCGTGTACGTTGTACTGGTCCAGGGTGGCCTCGTCGCGGGCCCGGGCCAGGAGGTCGGCCTCGTCGGGCTCGTCGCGCACCACCGTCAGGAGCATGGAGCCGTCGTGGGTCCGAGCGCGCCGGAAGTCGCGGTACCAGCCCTGCAGCTTGTGCCGGATGTAGGGCAGGATGTTCTCCTCGAAGAAGCCCCAGATCTGGCCCGTCACCGTCAGGGCGATGACCTCGTTGCGGAGCTTGTCGTGGTCCGCGGTGAAGGGCTTGTACGCGAGCTTCTGGACCGCGGGGCTCCCGAGGTGCTTCTGGATGGATGCCCTCAGCCATGGGACGATGTCGTCGCCGAAGGGGACGTAGACGAACGCGGTGAGCAGGATGGGGAGGTAGTTGGTGATGATGTTGAGGACGAAGACCTTCTGGGCCAGCGACATCTCGTGGGAGTCGGCTGTCCGGTGATTCTCGAACTCGGTTAACCAATCAGCGACGTCTTCGAGGGACGAGCTGATGGAGGGGAGGGCGACGGCCAACAGGACAGTGGGGAGATACTCCTATGGTTAATGGCAGCATATCAGCAGCAGTCCACAGGTAGTCACGGCTCCAAGGCATGGATCTCACCAGATAGAACTTGTAAGGCCCCGCATATGTCTCGGAGATGAGGACCTCGATGGCGAAGACAATGGCAAGGATGACGCCGAGGGCGAGCATTGCCACCGCCACAAACGGGATCTGCAGGAGCTGGCGTGTGAGTTGCTTCCACTTGGGGAAGTAGTGGATGGTGCGGCCGCTCCCGTCGACGAAGATCCTCTCGTATACGAATTGCGGCCGGTTCACCTTCACCTTGTTGACGCCCTTGACGCCCCACCGGATGCTTAGGTCGACCTCTTGGATCTTCCAGTATTCCAGGAAAACAGAACACCAGATGCACGTCGTGATTGCGTACACCAGGGAGTACTTGGGGAGCCATAACCATGCAACGAGGCCAGTGACGGCGGGAAACGTAAGAAAGGCCAGATACGTCTGGATGAAGGCGAAGTAGAATGCGACCTGGATTCTCCTTTAGCAACCGGAACCAAATGTCATGACTTATGAACGATGGCTGCAGACCTTGGATCCAAACAGATCCCGGATGCTGTCGAGGTCCTGGGTGGTCAAGAAGACGCGCTTGCTGAGATGGCGGAGCAGCGACTGGTTAACCCTCTGGTTGTGCAGGGGAAAGATGGCCCTGACGTTTTTCCATTTCCCTATGCCTGGCGAGATGCCGGCCCCGCCGAGGTCCTTGGGCCAATGCACAAGGTGGTACATGGACAGCACATCTTCAGCCTCGTAGGCGCCGTCCACGATGGTGTCCTTGGTTCCGCCCGGATGGCTCGGTGTGACACCATAGAGCCAATCCTTGACCCTGGAATGCATCAGTCATGGTTTGTCGATGCGGATGGGTGATCAGCTCGCTCGAACGTGCCTTAGCTTGTAGACGGTGTTCCCGAGCAGTTCCCTCGGGGCTTTCACAAAGACCAAGAGTGTCTGCTCGTATCCAGCCCTCACCTCAGCGTGGAGCCCTGCTGCCTCAAGGTCTTCAAGTAGGGTACGGAACTCTTTGATGGCGGTGTGGGAATCTATTTCCTGGTTAGGCGCCTGGGGCAGAGGAGAGGAGAGCATTGGAGCCCATTGGTTGTCTCGGCTCTTACCAATACTTTTGAAGTCATACGCAACGACGTAGACGTCGTTGCATGGCAGCTCAGCCGCTGGGGACGGGGCTGAGAAAGGAGTAGAGGGCAGTGAGAGATGCATCTTGATAGTTTAGGCAAGGCCCAATCCAGCGAAGAAGAGGTGCACTCAAGCTATTGATCGGGCAGGTTTGGAGGGGATATGATTTACCAGCAGTACGTTACCGCTGAATGTGATACAGCATGGCTCGTCACTCGCGAGTTCAGCTGGGGTTTTGCCAACTGCATCTGACCCCTCGGTGTTATTGATTACTATTGGATGATGAGAAAGATTCTGCGAGGCGCGCGTCAGCAGCTCCACCCGCCAACCCCGACTCAGACTTGGCGGCTTGACGCATTCCGTCGTCCGTCAATGAGGGCGCGTAATTCGTGGAGCTATTTTCTCACGGCATTCACAGCGGCCGCCGAAAAGCGGAGGTTGCGATGCTACATATCTAATTAGGTCGTTGCTATGGAGGGTTTTGCTCTCCCTCTTCCACAGGTTTGGTACCTAATTACCTCTAATACCTCCCATTATGATCATGCTTTCTGAAAGGTGGAACAAAAAGTGATAACTTATTCTATGGACTCTTATAATCCATTTTGAACTGCATGTTATCAAGTGAGAAGTTGGGGTGATTCACTCGCAATTTGATTCAACTTTGATTCAACTCATTTATTTGCAGGCTGTTTGCTCAACCTGCATTTGAAGAAATGATGTCATAAAACAGAAGTCACAATAGGCGGCTTCACCCAGAATCCGGTCTTGTTAGAGCCATCCATACCGGTTTCGATGTATTATAAAGTCGAGACCAAGGCTTTTCTATATTCAAAGCGATCCAATGTGTACAAGAAAACCTCAACAACCCAACGCGAAGCAAGGACTCATCGCACCAGCCCCCCCCTACTCATCAGCCTCGACCTCCCCGTCCGCCGCTGTTGCTGCCGGCTCCTACTCCGCGCCCTGCAGCTTCTTGACCAGGGCGTCAAAGTCGGCGACCTTGGCGGAGCTGAGGTCGGACGAGAACTTGCCCTTGGCCGTGTGGATGGCGAAGCGGCTGGCGTTGTTGGCGGGCTCTGTCACGGCGGTGTTGGACATGCCGTATGCCAGCGGCACGGCGGTGCCGGCCGGGTCGAGCGAGCCCGCCGCCCACTTGCTGCAGCCGTCGCAGATGGCGTCGAGCTGCCAGTGCGTCGCGTTGGACTTGGAGCTCGGGAGGACGGTGTAGCTTGCGCCGTCATAGGCGCCGGGGAGGGTGTGGCCACTGGGAGGATGGGAGGGGGAAAGTGTTAGCTCACGTTATGGGGGTATCAAAGGGTGTTTCTGGTGGGGGAGTGGGAGTGGACTCACGTTGCGAGGCGGCTCGAGACGACGACGGAATCGCCGTTGGCCCAGGCCACGGTCAGCGGGTTGTTGGCCATCTGGCCGCCCCACGCGATCGCCGCCCAGCCGGTGGCCTTGGGGGCCACGATCTGCACCAGGACGGGGAAGGGAGCCGCCGTCGCCGTGTCCGGGATGGCGACGCGGAATGCGATGTTGGAGGCCGTGAATTCCGAGTAGCAGATGGTCGAGGCGGCGTCGCAGTACTTGGTCCCTGCCGACACCGCCCGGGCTTCCGAGGCGGGAGCAGCTACGCTGGAGCCGACGAGGGCCAGGAGGGCGGTTGTGACTTGTGCGAGAACCATGGTGGACGAAGTTTGTGTGCGCTTGACGAGAAAAATGCTGTGGTTACGGGATCCGGGATAGCCCTACCGGGGGCGTTGAACAACTGCCATGGTATAAATACCCCTTCTCCTTCTGTGAAAGTCGCTGGCATTGCGCACTTCCCCAAGCATGAACCGCAAGCGGACCAGATGTACCCGTCTCCGATACTATTTCGGTTGCCGCCATGGCTGAATAGGCTTGCCCCTGTCCAGGCGTAAAGTCTGGGGCAGCAATGTAAATGCAATATCGTGAGATATACCACTTCAAAAGCCGACAGGCGACCGTGGGCACCCTGAGGCGGGCTACAATGCGAGCCAGGGCTTCCGGGGGTTGCTCGTCATTGTTGTGTCTCCTTGGCAATAGCCTGGGGTCCCTTTAACCTTTGCCCCTGGTGAGAATTGAGCCCAGGCCGGCTGCCCAATGGGAGGCGCCAAAAGGGTAAGCAGGTGGTATTTTAAAGCGCAGGCACTGGTCGATAGTTATTCTCTGGTGCCGTTTTCAGCAGGCGGAGAGAGTCCATGGAACATTCATCAAGACCCGATATAATGGCAGAGGGCGGGGCAGCAATAGGTCTCGGCTCTATTAATATTCGGGACCGCATGCGGGACAGTCGGGGGAAGCGGCTGCTGTAGGCTAAAATGTAAAAGTATACGGACATTTTGTCGACATTGGAGCCCCGCCAGTCACGGACAACCGGTTACAAAACACACGGGAGGATCTCAGCAGGCGAGGCCAATCATATTGTTCGAGTTTCCAATGCAGGCCTCGTGTATTTTGACTACCGAGCTCTGCCGGGGAGACATCGCGAGAGTTAGGAGGGGGCTCACTCCCCGCCGCTTCAAAAAGGCGGGGGTGCTATCTCTCAGGGTGAGCCATATCTATACTATCTGTGGGCCAAACGTGTCGGGCACCTACCTAGGTACCTTCCAGGGTGTCAGTGGGTGAAGAGGTGAAGAATTAGCGGGAGGGTCCCAAAATAGGTGGGTATGGACGGGACATGCAGCCACAAACGCCTCTGTCAGGCACGAGCTATTTTTATGCACGAGCCACAGACAATGTGGCGTATCGTGGAGCGTGGCTGGAACTGTGGCTCAACGCAGCACAGGCCAAGTCGGTCGGGTACGTACCAGGTGGGGCTAACGCTCTGGCGCCCTTCTCGAATTTTTATTGATATCCCTTCTCGTCCACCCATGTTAGACGACATTTGAACGACTCGACCAAGACGACGAAGGAAAGATGCGCCCCCTTACAGAGCCCGAGACGCGGGCCCTCTTCAAGAAATTGGCAAATTTCGCAGGGCCATCACTGAAGGAGCTGATTGCGCCCGTCGACAACTCCCCCGACGCCGACCGCTTCGTCTTCCGCCTGAACCACCGCGACCGCATCTTCTATGTGCGCCTGTCCCATGCCAACCTAGCCTCGTCGATTTCCCGCGACAAGCTCTTGTCGCTGGGCGTATGCCTTGGTAAGCCACTCAGGCGGATGCATCTGCAAAATCAGAGACTGACTGGAGCTACTCGTGCAGGGAAATTCACCAAGACAGGCAAAGTGCGCCTGCACATCACCGCCCTCCCCATCCTCGCAAAATACGCAAGACACAAGATATGGATCCGGCCCAACGGCGTGATGCCGTTCCTGTACGGCGGGAACATCTGCAAGGCGCACGTCGGCCGCTGGCCCGAGAACTGCCCCGAACATGAGGAGGTCGTGATCTGCAGCATGGACGATATCCCGCTCGGCTTCGGAGTCACGGCAAGGAGCACCACGGAGATGAAGTCCCTGGATCCGACCGCCGTCGTGTGCTTCCGGCAGGCTGATTGCGGAGAATACCTGCGCGATGAAGACACACTCTTTGCTGCTCGGTAGGGAATCTTGAGGGGAAGAATGCTCGGATAGAGGAACCCCCGAAGCTACAGGGTTCGATGCAAAATCGGTGGGGATACAGAGGAATTGGCGTCGTTATCTGCATAAGAAGGGAAGGCTAGATCCATCTGGCAAGGGAGGATCAGGTTGACCGTGAATCATGACTTGGCGTACAAGGCGCACTTCTTGGGATCAAAGTGGTACGAGGTCATCGCCAGCATGAGCGAGTCTAGGGAGGGAAGCATGCCAAAGATACCCTTGCTGGATGTGTCGTGGCAGTCGCCGAGGCGAGAGAGACGGAAACCTTTCCCCGCAATCCTGCAGGCCAACTCGTCGTCTTCTTCGTCCGCGTTGGGAGGTTCGGCCACTAGAAAAGAGGTAGATGGTGAAGGGAGGAGTACTTGTGTTGCATCAACATGGCTGAGGCCAATAGAACTTCTTGACTGGTTGAATCCACAAGCCATATGCATATCTTGATGATATTTTCCCCTGCCGAAGGAGAGCCTTCCTCTGATTTTATGGGTGACACAGCGATGAGGTTACGTTGGACTTGGCCCAGCAAACAATGAGACAAGTCTCGTTGAAAACCGTGAGTTTGTATTTCGTTCCCGATTCCGTATATATACATGTCTTAAACTACATGTACATAGGCACCTGCGCTATGCAATCCTCCAACCACGGCCACCGCCGTCTTTATGGTTGGCGTGGAAGTTGATATCCAATTGCCGCTGCTTATCCACATTCTCCCACTGGGGTATCATTGCATGTGTTGAACGCCAAAGCTTTTTACCCCTTAAACACCAATGCCACGTTTCCGACCTCCGTAATTTTCAGAACAACGCCGACTCCGCCACACTTCACCGCCGTACCACCAAAAACTTACGGCTCTCCCCAGATCTCATCGGCGATCTGCCTAACGAGGGCCAGCTTCTTCCTCTCGTCGTCCTCCGTGAGGGGATACCCGCTCTCGTGTGTGCTGAAGCCGCACTGGGGGCTGATGGAGACTCTCTTCAGCGCCTCCTCCCGCGTCTGCCCGCTGCCCGCCGCGATTGAGTCGGCGGCGCTGTAGATGCGCTGCTTGACCTCCTCCTTGTCCTCCAGCTGGCGCAGCTTGGTGCTGATGGCTCCGATGACGACGTGCCTGTCCTTGGGGAGGAACTTGAGTGGCTCGAAGCCGCCCGACCTCTCGGTGTCGTACTCGAGGTAGAAGGTGTTCACGCGGAGCTCGGTGAAGAGCGTCTTGGCGATGATGTCGTACGCGCCCTCGGCGAAGTGGCGGCCGCCGATGAAATTGCCGCGACACAGATGGACGCCGGTGTGCATGTCTGCCGGGCAGTTGTCAATGATGTCGTTGTAGAGTTTGATATACGCGGTTAGCAAGTCGTCAACAGGGCCGATATTGTCGGGATCTTCGGCCCACCCCTGACGGAACTTCTCGGAGCAGAAATCTAGCCGGGCAGGTGTTAGCATATGTCAAGGAGACACGACGGTTGGGTTGAGAGTTGGGACATACACGCCAAGCCGGGGTCGTCGAATTGCACGTTCCTCAAGCCGGCCTTGTAGAGCATGTCCAGCTCGGCGCTGTACACCTTGGCAACGTCATTGAAGTACTCAGTGTCGTTGGCATAGGCTTCCTTGGTGTAAGCGCGGCCTTGCTTGTACCTCATGTGGAACCATGCAGGAGCTTTAAGACCGTGTAAGCGCACGAACCGATTCCAGAGTCGGAGGAGAGGAAAACAAACTGATCATGGTGAGCTTGATATTGCCCCATTCGCTCTTCGGCACGAAGGCCTGGACCAGCTTCAACTCGTGCAAGTTTGACAGGGAAGACTTAGGGTTGTGGGACAGCTTCCCCCCAGCAATCACCGACTCGCCGGGCATGACCTTTCTGTCGTTCTCGATCAGGCTAACCACGTCGGGGTGGTAGAGGCGGAACATGCTGGCCTCGGCATCCTGGAGGCGGATCGTTCCGTCGAACTCGTCCCACATCAGACCCCAGAAGCGAGTGCGCACGTACTCGCCACTGGTAACGGCCTTGAGGCCGAGCTCCTGCTGCAACTTGACCACCTCCCCGACGGTTTCCTTCTCAACAGCAGGCAGCCCGGCATCTTCGGGGCTGATACCCTTCTCGCGGATGGTCTCACGAACTTCAAGGAGCTTCTCAGGCCGCAGGAGCGAGCCCATGTGCTCAGCACGGAAGGGGGCCATTGTTGGGGGCAGAAGGGGGGGCTTGTTACGAGTATGTGTGAGTTTTAAGGACCGGAGAGGGATATCAGCTCGTGGGGGGAGAACTGAGAAGAAGTATGGGAGGATAGGAAAGGGCCGGGGGAAGAGTCGAAGCAAGTATAGAGTATCCGTACTCTGTCCGTGGGTTGAGGGAATGCGGGGCATCATACCCCTCGCCAATCTGGCAGGAGGAACCCCACAAACGGACAGCAATCAGCCGAGTGGGAAGCACAGTTGCGGGGCAAGACTTGCAGAAGGTCTTTATCTTGCAAGTCCTGTCTTTCGGCATCTTCATCCTCATGCACCTGTTCAGTCAGGCATGTCAGGTTGTCCTCTTTCACCTAAGTGGACTGGCCAGACGCTGTGTGACCATGCCATGAACCAATATGCCCTCTAAGTGGCCCTTCTGAATAAGTGTGGCTCTCCGTAGTGGTGTGCCGTGTGACACCTAGGTGCCCCCCCCCTATGGTGGGCCTCCGGCATCCGGCATCGGCCTAGGGGGAAGCCGGGCCACAACCATGGGGAGCAAGGCGGGGCCTCCCGAGCCTGTCAAACAGCAGCTCCGTGCCCGATCTGAAGCCCGGGTGGAAGGTTGGGTAGGTGCCTCCTGCCCTGGTCTTATCTTGGGAGTCTCTTCCAAACTCCCTTCCAATTTCATTCATCCCCACCTTCCAACCTTCCAATCCCATCATCATCATCATCACCATCATCTCGCAACCCTCTATCCCTTCTCAATCAGATCTCTGGGCATCATCAGGCAGGTCCCCAATCTGCCCAGCCTGACCAATCTGGCAGAGTGACCTTTCCGTTTACAATCTCACCGCATCGTCTCCCTTCCCCCTCTCACGACATATTCCAACCCCCGATACACAAACCCGCCGTCCCCATCCCCCGTTCCTTACGTCAAAATGGAGGTCTTCATGCACAACCTGCCCGAGGACCTGACGATTGGGGGGCTGAAAGTGCAGCTTGAACCGTTTCTTCGTGACCTCGGCATCGTCGACTTCCATTGCGAGAAGCCCGGAAAGCGACGCTTCGGCCATATCACATTCCTTCACAAGAGCGACGGGGACAAATTCCTCGCCCGCCACGGGGAGGAATTCCTTCCAAACCAGGGTCCACCAAATCCATTCCGGGCCCATCACGGGGGAAATGGTCGTCGAGGTCAGAGAGGTGATCGTCCACGCACTCGTCCCCGGCTCTCCATCATGGGTAAAGGCGTCCATTGTAGGCTCAGCGACCGGACGGCTGATGAAATCACCCTCCGGACTCTGGCCGGCGCGGCCGAGGATCGCGTGACCCAGCCCGAGGCCCCCAAGGAAGAGTCGACTGTTTTCGACCTGCAGTCACTGAGCTGCGGCCACAACCAGTTTGTCCACGGTGAGATGACGTTTGTGTCTGAACGTTCCCTGAACGAGCCGGGCATGGCCAAGTTCTTCAAGCGCAAGCTGGTTATCGACCTTCGGACGAGCCAAGTCCAGATCCGCATACCCTTCTCGTCCATCGTTGAGATGGTGCAAGGAACCACCGATTCCTCGATTCTGATCACCCTGTCCACGCCGCCGGTGATCCTGACTCCTAAATTTACCCTCAACCTGCCTACCAAGACTGAGCTGCCGTTATCGCTGGCCTCGCTCAGTCTGCTAGCTTCGCTCAACCTCGGGCCCAGCGCTACAGATGGGTGGTATCGGGCCTTGGCTATCGACTCCCTGCACAAGCATTCCGCCCCGTACTGCTTGGTGTACCGCCTAAAGCTCTCGCCGGCAGACTTCCACGCAAAGATGAAGAAAGTCGCGTCAACGGAGCTGATCACCATCACCCGCTACAACGTGCCCGCTGAGCTCGGCGATCACGGTGTGTATGCTGAATGTGTCAAGTCTCTGAAGGAACAACTCGAGCTATACAATTCCCAAACAGCGGTTCCGTTCGGCATCCTCTTCTCGCTTCAGGCACTGGTCCACAACGGCTATCTCCACCCGGCTACTGTCAGCAAGTTGGCCGCACGTCTCCGCGGGATGTGGAAGGCTCCTGGTAAGAAAGGTAAGAACGCCCCCATCTCGGTCGATGCGATGAAGAAGCTGTTCGAATGGATCGAGTACCCCAGGCCGTTTGGGGATCCGTCACAGTTCGAGGTCGACGCTCTAGTCGAAATGCTCCACGATGCCGAGAGGGAGATCCGGGAAGGCTCTCTCTTGCGGTCGTCCGTCGTTGGAGATAACGACAACTTGACGTGGACCTACCGCGCGTTTGTCAGCCCCACCCGAACGACCCTCCACGGGCCCGAAGTGACCACCAAGAACCGCATCCTGCGCAAGTTCCCCCAGCACCAGGACTGCTTCATCAGGGTGCAGTTCGGCGATGAGAATGGAGAGGACCTCTTCTTCAATGCCAAGGTCTCCCTCGACCAGATCTACGATCGGTTCAAGCAGGTCCTGAAAGATGGGATCCACGTTGCCGGTCGAACCTACAGCTTCCTGGGGTTCTCGCACTCGTCTCTGAGAGCGCATTCGGCCTGGTTCTGCTCCCCTTTCTACTACAACGACAAGCTGAACACCCACTTCACCATCATTGACGGCCTCGGAGACTTCTCCGTGATCAACTCTCCCGCGCGCCGCGCGGCCCGCATTGGCCAGGCCTTCTCCGAGACCCCGTTCTCGGTTTCCCTGAGCGAGCATGAGATCTCCGTGTCCACCATTAAAGACGTTACCTCGGCCGACGGTCAGCGAGTATTTAGCGACGGAGTGGGGACGCTTTCGGAACTGGCGATGCTGTCGATCTGGAGCACTCTTCCGCGGAAGAAGGCGGACCCAACGTGCTTCCAGATCCGATACGCGGGGGCCAAGGGGATGCTGTGCTATGACCCCCACTTGCCGGGAAGACAGGTATGCGTCCGACCATCGATGATCAAATTCACGGGCAACGACACCTCTCACCTGGAGATCTGCGACATGGCGACCAAGCCCATCCCCCTGGTGCTCAACCGCCAGCTCATCAAGATCCTGGAGGACATGGGGACACCGGCAGACTGGTTTCTACGCCTCCAGACCAAGGAGCTCAACCGCCTCCGGGGCATCACGACAGATGCGTACAACACGGCCAACTTCCTCGAGATGCAGTCGATTGGACACGGGATCCGCCTGCCGAGATTCCTCCGCCAAGTCCACGCGATGGACATGGACTACAGGCAGGACCGTTTCCTGCGCACCGTCGTCGAGGCGGTTGTTCTGAAGGAGCTGCGACTGCTCAAACACAAGGCGCGGATCCCAGTCAAGGAGGGGATCACCCTGTTCGGGGTGATGGACGAGACGGGCTACCTCGAGGAAGGCGAGGTCTACATCACCTGCGACGCGCTGCCCATGCATCGCCCCGTGATCCCCGTGAACGGCCACGTCCTCGTCACCCGCTCGCCCGCCCTGCACCCGGGGGACGTCCAGCTCGCCTTCAGTGTCGCCCTTCCCCCGGACAGCCCGCTTGCCGAGCTCCGCAACTGCATCGTGTTCAGCCAGAAGGGCGACCGGGACCTGCCCAGCCAGCTCAGCGGCGGGGACCTGGACGGCGACATCTACAACGTCATCTGGGACGCAACCCTCGACGTCGATAAGCTGACCACTTTCCCGCCGGCGGACTACCCCCGCGTGGAGCCGCTGGTGCTCGACAGGCAGGTGACCAAGGACGACATGGCCAACTTCTTTGTCGACTTCATGAAGACCGACCACCTCGGAGTCATCGCGACGAGACACATGATCCTTGCTGATCAGATGGAGGATGGGACTCTTGACTACAGGTGCACAATGCTGGCGCAACTCCACTCGACCGCCGTCGACTTCTCCAAGACGGGCATACCGGTCGAGCTGACACAGCTTCCCCGGGCCAACAGGTTCCGGCCAGACTTGTGAGAGATTGAAGCCCCCCATACTTGGATTATTGACGCAGCCACTGAAAAATCCCCGTTAGCCTAGCTCCAGGGCCCCTAACCCACATACACGACAAATCGGAGATCGACCTCGAGAAGCACATCCACGAGGATGTTGACCCAGACGACGAGGATGCCGGCCCGCGGCACAAGTACTATAAGTCGAATAAGCTGCTGGGGACGCTGTACCGCGCGGTAGACGAGAGGAGGATCTGGTTCGAGGAGATCAAGACCGCCGCCCCCACCAGAGGCGAAGGCGAGACCTTCTGGGACAAATTCCTCGCCTCCGTCGACGAGACATGCTCGGATATCGGGCCCACCAACTGGGAGCGACGGACGGGCGAGGCACGACGGATTCGTTACACGTAAGTCTCAGCCCAGGAACATACATCCCCTAACCACGCACATGCTCACCCACCCGCAGCTACGAAGACGCCATCCTATCCGCAATGAACGACTTCTCAGACCACCCGGTGCACCCGCTCACGGAGCTCGAGGTCTTCGTCGGCTTCATCATCAACAAGACGGGCGTGCAGACGCAGCGCCAGCGCGACCGGTCCACGCGCCTCCGCGACGAGTTCGAGCGCATCTCCGCCTGGATCCTGTCCGAGATGCGCAACAAGGCCTCCTCCTCCCGCGCAACCGCCGCCACCAGCCGCAGTGTCGATAATTCCGCCGCCTACCATGGCGAAGACGACGGCGACAACAACTTGCGTGCCCTCGAGCTGTGCCTCGCGTGCGTCCACGTCGGTTGCGGCCGGGGGTCAGGTTCGGGGACGGGCGCGGATCGGTACTCGACCATCTCGGCGCGCTATGCCGGGTCCGGGTCCGGCGGGCTCCAGAGCTTCCGTGTCGTCGCTGCTGCGGCGCTGCTCCAGGAGATACGTGCCTGCCAGTAGTTGCTCTGCGCGGCTGGTGTCATGTTGTGTTACTTTTGTGTTTTTCTATCGCTTTTTCTTGGCTGCTTCTCTCCCGGCAGTTGTTGCCAATGCTCATTTTAGCTTCCCCCCCACACGTCTCCGCGAGTGTTTTTTTTCGGGGGCGTTCATCCTAATGAATCGGGGAATTGTTCGAGGGAGTCTGGATCTGGGCACTTCATAATGATACCCGGCAACCCGGCAACAAGGTTGTCATTCTTCTTCTTTCTTTTCGTCTGTCGGTGTATTCGGGAGTAAGGATTCTGTAGCTCGATACGTCCAAAGGTCATGGATTTAGAACGGGTGCTGTCTTGTCGGATATGATGCTTCCAGCGTGTACGAGAACCCATGTATTTGTGGAAGAATGCTGTTTTGCATTGTACGAGTAATGATCACGAATCGACAGTATGATGAAGCTACCAAATTCAAAACGCTAGGAATCGAGAAGCAAAGGCAGCGGCTGAAGGTATCATCAGTGGCGCTATGACTCTCAAATGGGCTCCGCTAGCGGACATTAGTGGCTGTCGGTAGCTGTCTCGTCGGGTTGCCCTTGCGGGAAAACGCTTTACCAGGCAGGGACACTTAGCCAGGGCAAGTGCCGAAATCCATCCCAGGAGTTTTCCTCTTCCGACGTCATCCCGATCTATGGTATAACCGTAGCCGTCTTTCCCCGGCTCCCCGACATATCTCCAAGATGCACTTAACAGTATCCTTCTCTAACACCATCCAGGCTGGTATTGGCGTAGATCAGTCTGTCTGCATTTCCGACGCAATCAGGCCCAAAAACCTGCTGGTTCACACATCTCACAAAGCATAACAAGCAACCTAAATTAGCGCCGGAAACGAGCCCCCGACACGGAAACAATGGACGGACCCGGAATGCTCTACGTCACGATGCAGCCCCAGCCGGGGCTGTCCGAGGACCAATTCCACGAGTGGTACAACAACGAGCACGGGCCGACGCGTCTGCGCCTCCCGCACATGTTCACCAACGGGCTGCGCTACCGGGCCACCGACGGCGCCGAGCCGGCCTTCCTCGCCGTCTACGACGTCACGTCCATGGCCCACCTGCAGACGCCGGCGTACACGTCGCTGCGGGAGGAGCGCTCGCCGCGCGAGGCCGACACCATCGGCCAGGTCGCCGTCGACCGGCACTTCCTCGACCTCGTCTCGTCCCAGCAGTCGCCGCTGTTCCGGCCCATCGAGCAGCTGGCCGACGACGAGGCCGAGGCCGAGGGCCAGGTCCTGGTCTCGGTCTCGCTCACGCTGCGGGACGACAGCCCCGGCGCAGAGGAGGCCGCGCGCAGGTGGTACGACGAGGAGCACATCGCGATGCTCTCCAAGGTGCCCGGCTGGCTGCGCAGCCGCGTGTTCCGCACCTCGAGCCTAGACGGCTCCTCCGGCGGGACGCGCCTGATCTCGTTGCACGAGTACACCAAGACCAACGGTCTAGGCGGGCCCGAGCACAAAGCCTCGATGGCGACGCCGTGGCACGACGAGGTCTACTCGGCGCACGTCGCCGCCAAGGCCCGCCGGACGTACGAGCTCTTCTACGTGTTCGGCCCCGCGCCGCGCGACCTGTCGTCGCTGTCGCGCCTGCCTCCCACGGCGGCATTCGCGTCGGCCGACGGCAAGACGAGCACAACCCCCGGCGCAGCAGCCATCACCTCGACCGTCGTCGTCGCGCGGGACGGCCTCGAGATCCCCTACCGCCTGGAGGGTAACCCGTCGCCCTCGGCCCCGACAATCGCCTTCTGCAACTCCCTCCTGACATCCCTGCACATGTGGGACCCCCTCGTGGCCCTGCTCAAGACCCACCGCCCGTCGTACCGCATCATCCGCTACGACGCCCGCGGCCGCGGCAGCCTGCCGTCCCCGCCCCAACCGGCGACGCTGGACATGCTGGCCGACGACCTGGCGGCCGTGCTGGACGCGCTGCGGGTGCGGCGCGCGCACGCCGTGGTGGGCGTTTCGATGGGCGGGGCGACGGCGACGGCGTTCGCGCTGCGGCACCCCGGCAGGGTGGGGCGGTTCGTGGCGTGCGACTTCAACGCCGCCAGCGGGGCGGCGAACACGGCGGCGTGGGAGGAGCGCATCGCCGTTGCCGAGTCGAGCGGCGAGGGCGGGAAGACGGGGATCGAGGTGCTGGCCGAGGCTACTGTCGGGAGGTGGTTCCACCCGCACACGCTGGCCGAGAAGGGGGATGTCGTGCGCTGGATGACGGATATGGTTGCGGCGAATGATGTCGAGGGGTTTAAGTACAGCTGCCAGGCGCTGTGGGGTTATGACTTGACGGGCAAGATGGCGGCGTGCGAGGTGCCGGGGCTGTTTGTCGTCGGGGAGGGGGATGGGAAGGGGGCGCTTGTGAAGGCGATGGACGGCTTCAAGGGCAAGCTCGGGAAGGATGGGGGGGAGCTCAAGATTATCCCGCTTACTGGCCATTTGCCAATGTGCGAGTCTCCTAAGGATTTCTGGGAGGCTATCCAAGAATTCCTGTGATCGAGACGGGTCAACATCTATTTCCATGTTACCTAGGTACGTCTAGCCAATAGAAGGGCCACTGCCGAGCCTTGTAACTTGTCCAACCACAGCCCGTCGCCCTCACGTTTTGGCCATTATTGTTTGGGCAGCGATCATATACAAAGGAAACAGTCACTGCATTCCAACCTGAAGTTATGAGGGGATGTCTTTGGTGCCCAGATAGGTTAGGTAGGTAGGCAGCTACTTAGGTACAAGTACCTATTCGCAATGGTTGTTCCTCAGTCTGAGAGCGCCGGCCACCTGAACTCGGGCCGAGCTGGTCGGTGTCGGGCCCAGTCACCCTAGTCGAGCGAAGGAGCAAAAGAGGGGCCGTATTCGGCATGCATTCCTCTATCCACAATCGACACAGAATGGGAGCACGCGACATTCGTGCCACAGGCAGTCGTTCTAGAACCTGGGCCTATCCCACATCACTAATATCTACCCTCTTCAGATCTGCTCCGCACCCCCAAGTCACAGTGCCATCTGGTCCGCCAACGTCAGGCCAGGAGTCGACCACGTCGCCAATCCGCCAGTCCGCCACAATGCATGGATGGCATGGCATCTGGACTCTCCGTCGCTCGTAAAGTACTGAAACAAGGTCGAGCTGCATCCCATCCTCATCAATGTCCTCGACTCTGGCTCATCTTTGGCCTCTCTCCAACAGCAAAAGCACACATTCCAGCCAACCGGATCGCACAAGGCTTGAGCAAATGCATGTTGGACATGTTTACTGTCTTGGGCTGCACTTTGCTGCACTTTGCTGCGGGAGGCCCGCGGGATTGCTGAACTGGTCTGCAGCTTGCATATGAGTGGGTGCCCTGATGGTTAGCATGACTCGCTGCTTCACCCCTCGATGTGGGCTGGAGGGACGAACCAGAGCCGCTGCCAGCGAGGTTGACGACAAATTCACCATTGACCAAGAAATCATGGTCTCAACGAGGCTCTCGTGGAATCGTATGCCAGGATATGCCAGGATCTCTGTTTTAATAACCGCAGGTAGCACATGCGAGTCGGGTCTGATGGCAACGTATGAAAGGGTCTATGTTCCCCTTACGTATCCCCCTCCGTCCAACGTGCGGCTTGCTCCCTAGATATACCCTTCGCTATCTTTTCCCCTCGCCATCCGATACGATATGGCCGCCGTGCAGTCCAGCCAGGCCTCGACCACGAGTCGGGGGGCGACATCTATTGACACCTCGGGAACCGCTGAGGCAGACAATGCCGTGAAGGCCGTGACCGAGTTCTTTGGCTTCATCAAAACCCTCGAGTCCCAGCCCTCGTACCGATACCTGCAGGAACTATTCGACAATCATCTAGATCTGCAGAGTGAGTGTAGCAGGCTAGAAATCGCCCACGACGTAACCGTCGAGAGGCACACTCAGCTTCAGAAGAAGCTCAAGAAAGAGCTCGCTCAGTCTGCTGAGAAGGACGCCCAGCTGGAAAAAATAAGGGAAGAACAGTCCCAGTCGGCCACCAAGATCCGTGACCTCGAAAAGCAGCTCGAGGAATCCAAAAAGACCGTATCACAGCTCCAGGATACCCTGAAGGTCAAGGATAGTGAGATCAAGGTTCTCAAGAAAGACGTGGCAAATAAGGAATCGGCCATCGGAAAAGCGCAAGATGCAGAGAAGAAGGCAAAAGACGGGCAGAAAGCAAGCCAGGTGAAACTCAACTCGGTGCAGCGAGACCGGGATGCCAAGGAGAAGAGGCTCGCGGAGCTAGGGAGGCTCGCGGAGCTGGGAAGGCTCGGCTGCGAGATGGAAAAGATACCGTCGGAGATGATGTAAGTCTTGCCCTCGCTGGCCTAGCCCCCTCTCTCAACCAAACCTTTCTCCTTCCTTTGCTAACCCATCCTCCCTCCCCAGCGCCACCGAGCTAGACACCATCTTCACCTTAGCCTACAACCTAGCCCAAACCCACCTAGGCATCGACCTTCCCCCCTCCACCCTCGCCGACACCCCCCTCTGGGACCGCCTCCGCGACCACACCCTGGCCCGACCTCACTCCCATATCCCCCTCCCAGCAACCAACACCCCGGCCGCCAAATCGATGCGCACAGCCGCCTGCCTCGCCGCCCTCTCCACGGCCCTCCACCAGCACCTCCTCCTCCCAACCTACCTCCTCGACCCCCCTTCCTCCTCCTCCTCCTCCCTCCCCCCCACCCTCACCGCAGCCCACCACCTCTCCGCGGCCCTAACCGACCTCGCAACCGCCTCCCCCTCCCGCGAATCCCACCTCCGCTCCGTCCTCCTAGCCGCCCTCCCGCCCGCCGAGACCGACAAGCGCGCCTCCCTCGCCGCCTCGCGCGCCACCGCCTCGGTGGTGGGCTGGCTAGGTCCCCTCCTGCCCTCCTCGGCGGAGCCGGCGTTCCGGCGCGCCCTGGAGGACTTCTGCGGCGGGGTGGTGCGCGAGCGGTGGGCTCGCCTGCAGCGGTGCGAGACCAAGGTGGAGGCGAGCCTGGAGCGGGAGTTTGACGACTTCGAGGCGTGGGAGGCGCTCCCTCTGGGAGGCGAGGGCGGCGGGGGCTCGCAGCAGCAGCAGCAGCAGCAGAATGGCGGCGGCGGCGGCGGCGGGCAGAGGCGCGCGGGTCCCGGCCTGGACGCCAACGATGCCGTCGCGGGTGTCGTGTGGCCCGCCTTTTTCGTCATCGAGGACGGCGATCACGAGGTCCTCAGGCCGGGCTATGTGCTCTGCGAGGCGCAGGTCAAGGCGGCGCGGGAGGAGCTGGCTGTGCCGGCTCTGTCTAGGCGGCTGATCAGAAGTAATACGAGGAGGTCTAAGGCACTCTCGTTCCCTGCCGTAAATGGTACGGCAGGCCAGGGCGGGTCTTTTTTATCCCAAGGGGTTGGGGTTGGGGTTGGTTCAGGACCAAGTTGAAGGCGGCGGGGATGGCAAGTGATGAAGACATAAGGAAAGAGAGGAGGGCATCTCGAAGATTGACTCGCTTGAGCAACCATTCCATTTAATGACTGTATGACTGACGAAGGGTTTTCGCGTTTCTTGTCTGGGGACTCGAGGGTAATATTGAGAAACATCTGGGTATCTCTTATAAAAACCATACTTGTCTCACAGAATAATACTGTGGGCACATTCAGAACAGGTCAATTATACTGCGTTGCAGGTTAGGGTCAAAATATGAAATTGGTATCTTGGTGGAACAAAGATTAATTACATTATGCCATCTTCGGAGCTCAACGCAACTGACCTCCAGGCCCCACTGCTAACGCCCATCATGAACTCCAACTTGTATATCGAATTGGTCATTCAGAGAGAGATAAACCCGACCGGTCTAAAACACGTCACCCCATGCTTCTTGTCCAGTTTGGTGATCGAGGGTCGAGTCCCAAGCAGAAAGGAAACCCAACAGTGGCCCACACCTCCATCATCACCGCAGTATGCTCTCGCCCCCCCCTTCTAGAACGCCACACCACCGGTGCCCCTCCCCACCGTCTTGAACCCGTAGCTCATCCACTGCCCGTCACTGCCGAGGGTGTCGAACCGGCTGACGGGACTCGTGCCGCCGTCCATATCCGCCCCGAAGCTGCTGAAGTAGTAGCCCGTGATGACGACGAGGTAGCTGAGCAGGAGGATGCTGCCCTTGAAGTAGTTGCTCTTGCCCTCGCCGTACATGTGCGACAGCAGGAAGACGCACAGGATGACCGTCACCATGTCCCACTGCGGGAACAGGAGCGTGAAGATGTAGCGCGACATGTCGTCGTTGGGGTTCAGCGGCTGGATGGTATAGAGGGCCGAGAAGAGGACCAGCGCGGGTATCTGCAGGAGGCACACCTGCAACGCGTAGGCCGAACCGATTTCCATGGATAGCGCGATGTTGCCGTTCATGGCGAACGAGATGGCGTTCTGGAATTAGGGGGAACAAATGTCAGCTGCAGCCCAGGGCAGCGTGTAGAGATAGCAGACACGAACAAACAAGATCACGTCGGAGTTGGGAATAAGACTTACCAGAAACTCGGTCGTGTTCGGAACCAGGGCGAACAGCGTGATACCCAAGAATTTCTCATCGATGGCAAACCCTTCGAGAACCACATCTACAGTGTCGACTAGGATCTCGGCAATTATGGCGTATAGTATTGTAGCGCTCATCAAAATGACCGAACTCTTCAACCGACTCCAATTCGGCGCATCATGTCCGCCGCCGGCGTGCCCGGCCTCGTGTGCAGTGGCGGGGTGGTCGGGAACTTCTTCGTGGATAGGGAGAGCTTGAGCCCGCACCGGGGCCGTAGATCTGTTTGCCTGGGACGTGGAGCTGCTCGCTCCAGCTTGCTGGATGGACACGCGCCTCGGATTCCTCGCGTCGCGAGCGGCCACCGTGGCTGCGGTCGCTGCAATCTCGGCCACCCGATGCACAAGATTGTTGTTCTCGGCCTCTGAGAAGCCGGGTATGTGAACCGTGGCACGGTCGCCGTCGTGCGGGAAGCTCGGAGACTTGGGAGGGACAACGTGGGGAGTGAGGGAGGCCTTGACAGGCGCAGACCCAGACCTAGAAGACGCATGTGCAAGTCCATGTTTGTGGTGGGTCTGCTCCTCGGGCCGCGACTGCAACCCAACCTGGCGCAAGGACTGTCCCAAGATACGCTTGTAAAGGTGCGAATCCCTGATGTCAGCGCCACTGGCATCCGCCGTCGGGTGAGGACCGGCGGTGCGGGGAGTCGCGTGTGAGGTGATGATATGCTCCTCGTATTTCTTCTCATCGGCGTCCGTGCTCCAGATGACGGCCGCGTGGGTGCGCAGTGTGAACCACAGCCCGATAATGTAGGACAGGAAGAGCATGCTGGCAGCCATATAGCAGTACGGGCGGACGGCTTCGAGATAGAAACGGTCATTGAGGGCCGGAGACTGGGAGAAATAGCACCGGCGGCAATCGCGAATCCCCCCATGCGCAGGGATCTCCAGGTCGAGGCAGTCGCGACAGTTGAGCTCATGGGTGCCGTAGATTTGGTAGAAGAGAGTCGGCCCAAAGGCGCCGATGACGGCGAAGAGCAGCATCGTCGAGGTAACGACGGCGGACTTGGAGTTGAATCGCTGAGTCTTCCGCTTAATGGCACCAAAGCACATGGAGAGCCCCGGCAGGAAGAGCACGCCTGTAAAGATGCTACCGATGATGCTCCCCTCGACAAGCCTTGCCTTCCCCTGCTCAAGTGCCACGCAGTAGAGGAAGACCTCGACGATGGTGGAGAAGAAGGCATTGATCGCGGCACCCAGGCCCATCGACGACTGGGCCGAGATCGAGGCAACCGCCTGGCCGATGAAGTAGGCCAGGGGAATGATGGAGAATAGACCAGCCACGAACAAGAAGGCAGGGGAGGTGACAAAGTGCTCAATATGCAGCAGCTCGTCCAGGACAAGCCAGTCAAAGACAACAAACATGACGACCGCCATCAAGTTGATCAGGAAGATATTGGTTCCGTCAATGGTGTACTTCCAGTACTTCAAGCCCGCGGCCCGATAGGTGCAAACCAGGATCGAAGAATGGGGGGTCGCCGGCATCCGGGCGTAGGCTATGTCCGATTCAAAGGACAGGGCCAGCGGATGCCTCCGAAGATGGTCGAGCAGGAGCATGGTGACTTTGCCCATAGGGATCCAGAAGACCAGGAACCAGCAGATGCCCGAGACGATGAACAGGGAGGGAGTGATGAGGGTGTAGAAGAAGCAGAAGAATATCACCCGACCGACATTCCACTGCCCGCGACCAAACAGCCGGCGCTTCGACCTGGGGAGGTCGGGATCCGAGGGTTCTTCGCCACGGCCGGGCCTGCCGAGAAGACTCTGGGTCTCGTCGGGTTCCGAGTCGATGCTCCTCCTCGAACGGCCAATGATGGACCGGCTGCGCTCCGGCCCGAAGAAGAGTCGGCCGTATTCGAGATCTCCATTCTGCCACTGCTCGTACTCGCTGATGCTCCTGCCCTCTCCTTGGTCCTCGTCGAGATAGGCCTCCTGCTGCTCTAGGCGGACAAACTTGCCAAAGGGGTAGAAGAGGTAGCCCGACAGACCCCATAGAACACGCCCATACTGGCGGGCACTCGGCGCGGCAGCAAACAGAAAACAAAGCAAGGCCCCCGCGAAAGCGATCAGGGCCATCCACCAACCAAACGCCAGGGTCCAGATGAGGTTGATAAATAGCAACCAGCGGCTGACATGGCCGCCCGGTGAGGAGTGAATGTCGCCTTCGGCGTTCTTCTGCACCGACCGGTCTTTCTTGTACAGAGCTGGCTTCCATATTCTGATGCCGAAGGGATGTGTCAAGTTGATTGCCTGTTGACGATCTTTCAGGGTGAAGCTTTCAGCATCGCTAAGGTCGTCGTCGTCTTCGTCGGCGGGCCCACCCCTTTCGTCACTCTCCTGGGCATCTGTGTCCATAACCGCAGGTTCTGGTAGAGATTCCTCCGGAAGCTGCGCATGCTCGTCACCATGTGCGTCCTCGTCGTCGCCGTCGTCCTCGTGAGTCGCGTGTAGCTTTGGCAGTGACGGAGGAGCATGCAGGCGCCTGCGCACGGTGGAACCATAGCTCTGCTGTCGCACCGCTGCATCGGCCTCTACCTCGCTAATCCCATCGTCAACGGAGAATATCCCACCCCGGTGGCGCGCTTGAGCAGTGGATGACGGCCGACGCGGCATTGCGGGCCTCCGTTGGCGGGGGCGGTCTCGGTCGGGGGCGCCCAGTACGGGTGAACGGCTAAGAGTTTGGCTAGCTCTTGAATGGGATCGATCTTGAGCTGAGGCACTTCCTTCAGCGAACTGAGCAGTGCTTCCTGGGGTTGGGCTAGCCATAGTACCTACAGAATGACCGACAGCAAGTTAGCCTAGCACTACACGAGGGCCAATGGGCGGAGGAGGAGAGGTGCTGAGAAAGCAGACGAACCGTAGGTGGTTTCTGGTACTCTCCGCACTGTAGCTGTGGACTGGAAGCTTTCACCGAAGGAGTCGTCCCGTCTCGGAGTGTCGAATGGACCCGGTTGTTGGGTGTTGTAGGGAGAGGGATATTCCGACGACTCGTCGCCGGTAGGAGAAGAGGGATCCATGGTGTTCTGAAGCTCTGAAGCAGGGTGGAGATTCGCGTTCAGAGGTCGGCCAGCTAGCAGGGAGGGAAAAGTTGACCACGTCCTACGCCACTGCTGTTCCCGTTGAAAATTAACAATAGCACCTGCTGTGTTGATTCATGGCAGCGCGAGAGAGCTGCAGGGGCGGCTCAAGGATGACTCGTAAGCCGTGTTGAAATGACGGCAATTATCGAGCGGAATGAAGGAGCGACTGGAACGGGAGCTGTAAACAACGGGACATCCAAGAATGGAAACAAGCCACAGTCTGAAAGTAGGAATGCAAGATGGCTGTAGAAGTGCTGGTGATCGAGATAGGGATGCGAAGCCCAAGACACACCGAAGAACGAACAGCTCTCTTCTGTAGCTGGGATGGACAAGAAACATTGCAATTCATTCCTTGCTTACTCGTAGAAGCAGCAGCCCACATGCGCCCCGTGATTCCACTACGGCCCGCTGTGATCGGCTGGTCTGCACTAGCGTACCACTGATGCCCCACCAACTACCGTCCGCCAGCCAAGCACAAGCCAAGAAAAGGGTTCGTGGTCCCTGTAGCAGTAATAAGTCTAACTCGATCATTCCATCGTGCATCCGTAGTTGGTCATTTCAAGAGTTGATGAGGAGCTTTTTAGTTGACGTCGCCCGAGTTTTCACCTTTTGTATGGCATTTGAGCTGGGAGCTATACGTCTTCTCTTTGGAGACTCACTAGGAAAAGAGTAAAGAGGGTTGCCGACCTACGCATCCGTCGATCGGCAGGTCAAGAAGGCGAAGGGGCGTAATTAAGGGAAGCTACTTGCAGCACAAGACAGGATGATTCATGTCCCCTTTACGGATGGAGGACCCCAGTCTGCGACGGACAGAACAGATAACCGCACTCAAGTAGGTTTTAGCAGTCACGGAAAATCGGAGCTACGTAAGTGAGATGTTCACCGCCTCGGTGAGCGGGGAGCCAAGGTGAAGCCAGGTGTGGGAAAACACGTGATCCATATGATTAGGTAATTTTCCCCATCGCCGCGTCGACCAGTGCTGCCTCTGGTCAAAGCTCGTGCGTGGCGGACGACCTCAGCCAAAAGCTCCAAACCACATTTTCCCAACCGTCTAACCTCATTCGAACCCTCTTTCATCCTGAGATCCTCACCGAACCTCAAACCCATATAGTCATACCCGAAATTAACCGCAGGTCCATCCTTCGCCACCACCTTACCCCTCCGCAAAACGAAGCCCTCCGGCCCCCCAAGCTCCAGGAGCAGCCCCAGCCAAGATGGCGCTCGACAGCTACTACCACAACAAGATCGAGGCGATGCAGCTCGAGATCCTCAAGGGTCAAGCCGTCCTCCGCCGCCTCGAGGCGCAGCGGAATGACTACAACTCGAGGGTGCGGTTACTCAGAGAGGAGCTCGGCCTGCTGCAGCAGCCCGGGTCCTACGTCGGGGAGGTTGTCAAGGTCATGAGCACCAAGAAGGTTCTGGTTAAGGTACATCCGGAAGGAAAATACGGTATGCCAACCACAAAAAATGCTGGGGATATCGCCTTTTGGGTGGGGAGAGGTGATCTATCCTTCTTTGACCGCTAACCTTCTGTTTTTTCAGTGGTCGACATAGCCGACTCGGTCGACAGCACGAAGCTCACAGTAGGCAAGCGGGTGACGCTGCTCTCGGACTCGTACAAACTTGAGAAGATGCTCCCGTCGTCGGTCGACCCGCTGGTCTCGCTAATGATGGTCGAGAAGGTGCCCGACAGCACCTACGACATGATCGGCGGCCTAGACCAGCAGATCAAGGAGATCAAGGAGGTGATCGAGCTGGGGCTGAAGCACCCCGAGCTCTTCGAGTCCCTCGGCATCGCCCAGCCCAAGGGAGTCCTCCTATACGGCCCCCCCGGAACAGGCAAGACGCTCCTGGCGCGGGCGGTGGCCCACCACACCGACTGCAAGTTCATCCGGGTGTCCGGGTCGGAGCTGGTGCAAAAGTACATCGGCGAGGGCAGCCGGATGGTGCGCGAGCTGTTCGTCATGGCGCGCGAGCACGCGCCCAGCATCATCTTCATGGACGAGATCGACTCGATCGGCTCGTCGCGCGTCGAGGGCTCCAGCGGCGGCGACAGCGAGGTGCAGCGGACGATGCTCGAGCTCCTCAACCAGCTCGACGGCTTCGAGCCGACCAAGAACATCAAGGTCATCATGGCGACCAACCGGCTCGACATCCTCGACCCGGCCCTCCTGCGCCCCGGCCGCATCGACCGCAAGATCGAGTTTCCCCCGCCGAGCGTCGAGGCCCGCGCCGACATCCTCCGCATCCACAGCCGCAAGATGAACCTCACCCGCGGCATCAACCTCAACAAGATCGCCGAGAAGATGAATGGCTGCTCCGGCGCCGAGCTCAAGGGCGTCTGCACCGAGGCCGGTATGTACGCCCTGCGCGAGCGCCGCGTCCATGTCACCCAGGAGGACTTTGAGCTCGCCACCGCCAAGATCCTCAACAAGCACGACGACAAGGAGGTCTCCCTGGCGAAGCTGTGGCGCTAAATTGCCTGGCTGTTGCTTGGGGGGGGGGAGCACGGAGTTTTTGTTGTGTTGTTCGTTTTCCGGGCAAGGAGGGAGAATGGAAAGAAGGTGGGAGTGCCCCCATTGCAGTCCGCTGGACCTGGAATCTCGTTGGGAGGGAGGAGAAGTAGGGATGCCTGTCAGTCACAGAGCCGGGACCAGGGCAGACGGGGAGAGAGGGCTGGAAAACTAGCCACGACACACAATGTAGCATTGCCTTGTAACAATAGGAATATTTCCAGCAGATGGGCAGTAATAGACTCGGGTGGAATCATGGTCGAAACGGCACTTCTAGATCCATCCATTCATCCACCCATCCATCCCTACCTACCTCCATCCCTATCTCTTACTGTAAAATAATGGACCTGACAGCACTAAGAGACATACATGCTCAGACGGACACAGCCAGGCAAACAACAAACACGGGCCTGGCATATTTGCTTTGCTTACCTAGTCCTTCCGTTGCGATGTAAGTAAGTATATATGCATTATCCCCCATGAACGCCGTCTCCTGCGAGTAAAATCCCACCAAGTCAGTGTGTGTAGTATGGTATGCATCATCTATAATACAAGAACATTATCCCCAACCCGCCTCTAAACAGAGCACATGGTGGGGTACATTTATAAAATCCACCTGTCCCAAGTGCAGAAAAAATAAAATAAAATAAGAATCGAACCAACTACCCATGTAGGCATCATCATATTGTGCTTCCTTCCTCTTCTTCGTCTGCGGAAATTCGAAATGCAAAATGGAAATAAAAAATAAAAACTCCGCCGACCGATGCGACTTGGACAAATGCCTGAGATTCCTTCCTGTATGGGTTCCCCTCGCCTGACTGAAATGCCAAAGTCGGGTTTGCGCTCGCATGTAAGTGTAATGTTTCGTTATGTATGAGTGGGCTGTAGGTACTGAAGTCCCCGTTGTCGAGGAATGCAGAACCGAAAAATAAAAGGAGGGGAAAATGGGGGGAGAGCAACGACAGTTGAGAAAGGGGAAGGGGGCGCAAGGAGAAGACGCCGATCGCCCCTCACATGGCCAAGCTCCCGCTCCTAGCCCTGCCGCCGCCGCGGGAAGATGCCCCCCCGGCCGTGGAGGATGAGGATGAGGATGTGGAGGACGAGGACGAGGACCCGCGCTGCTGCACTCGCCAGACCCACTCCAGCATGGCCTCGTAGCAGAGGACGAACTGCCTCAGGCTCTGCACCATACTGAGCCTCTGGCCGCGGAAGTCCTCGACCGTGCGCGCGATGAGGTCCACGCTCTCATCGTCGAGCCAGCTCAGGTCGATACCCTCGTCGTCCTCGTCCTCGGTCGGGGGCCCCGTCGACACCTCTCCGGGCCAGTCGGGCGGAGGCTCTTGGAACGTGGCCAGGGGGGAGACACACCCGTCGTCTGCCATCGCCGCCGTAGCTTTCCGATCCATGGGCACGTCTCCGTCGTCGGAGCCCTTCCCGAGCGCCCGCCGCTTCTCCCGTATGTTCTCGCGTATCATCTGCTCGGCGATCCGCTTCTCCCCCTCGGCCGCCTTCTTGTTGGCTTTCTTGACAGCCCGCAGGCGCTGCCTCTTGAGCATGTCGATGACGGTGTCGATGGTGCAGAACGCCCCAGTCCGCCCGCAGCCGGCCGAGCAGTGCACCAGCATGGGCCGGGAGTTCTCGTTCGACTCTGGCGCGTCGTGCCACTGCACCGGGACGACGTCGCTGTTCCCTCTACTGACCATCCTAGGGCCTCCTCCCTCGCGCCAGCTGCCGTTTGCCTGCCCATCACCCCCTCCTGATGTCGATACGGATGATATAGACCCAGAAATATTGATTGGCAGGACGGCCCTCTGCATGACGTTCGCCAGCTCGACCAGGGCGAGGAGGTGGCTGGGCTCTGCAGGCGCACCAAAGTCTGGCCACGAAGGGTAGTGCATTTGAGTGATTTCGCGCATGGGGGAGAACGGATGGGCCGCATGACTGAGGGCGAATTTCCGAATGATGACGTACGGCGTCTCGTCCGCGGGGGTCTTGTCGCTTCCTCCCAAGTTTGGCTGCGCCGGCGTAGGGGTGCTCGACTCTAGTGTTGTGGTGGTGTTTGCACGGCGGCGGCCCATCTCAGCCTGGGTCGTGTTCCACGAGAAGGAGCTGTGATGGGACGCGCTGCTCGAAAACGGGAACTGGGCGGCATTCGAGCCCGGAGTTACCATCGACTCGGACCGGTGCTTGTCGAGGTCAAGAGATACCTTCTTCTCAGACAAGGACCTCAGCTTCAAGGCGCCGAACTCCCTGTCTTTCCAGTACTGGTGGCATTTGAGCTGGCCACCCTCGGACTCGGCCGTGAGCATGACAATGACACGGACATCTTGGTCCCATATGACAGACCAGAAATCCTAAGTACAGACGGTAAGTTAGCAGGCAAGGAAACGCAGATAGGTCACAACTGCCGAGTCGTTGAACAAGAAGGGCCTACCTCAAACGTTGCCGGCAGCGGGCCCTGCGTGGCAATGTATCGTTTGTGGCTCCGGCTCGCCTTTAGATGGCTGGCATTTACGTAGTCGCAGCCACCGGCCGGCTTTCCTCCCAGGTGGACCCTCGCGTGCTCGAACGGCAAGATATCTTTGTACCTGTTCTTGTCCCCTTGCTCAATCCCAGACAGCCGGACCTTGGTTTCCTGGGCGCCGTCCGTCGTTACGCCCGGGGGGACGAAGACCGAGTACGCATCTGTCATCCTCGATTTCTCCCTTAACTCGATCTCTAGAAACCTGTCCGACACCTTCTTGCCATGATCCGGCTTCTCAGCCGCATCCCTCAACCATCGAGGTAGGGTCTCGGGATCGAGTCTGGGGGGGACGGCTATATCTAGCTGGCCTACACCGTCTACGAGGTCCTGGTTCTGCCTGATGTTGCTGAAGAACGGGTTCGAGTTGTTGACGGCGACGGGCAGCATGACGCCGCCAATGACGGGTGCCAGGACTGGGAGTCCGCCGTTGGAGCTAGCATGAGACCCTAGAGAGAGGGTAGCGGGAGATCTGCTGGAGCTGCTGTCGATAAGGTCGGGATAAGAGGCAGCAAAAGCTTTAAACCCGCCGCGAAGAATATTCGCGGACCCCGTGTACCCTTCATTTGCAAACTTCTTCAGCATGTTGAGGGCCGAGGTGGCATCCCGTTTATCGGATGAGGATGCATCATAGACGACGAGATGGGTCGTGTCCCGCCACTTGGCAAACTTCTCCTGTTCCCGACCCCCCTGGAAGGTCTGTTGCAGCTTCTGCAGGTTGAATGTCGCTCGCTTAAGCAGCGTCGTCGGAATGCATAGATTGAGCGCCCCGCTGATGCGAGACTGGGCGTATTGTGGCGAGACTCTCACATCTAGGATCAAGATCGCGGACTCGGGCGCGTCCCTGATAAGGTCTTTTAATTGGGATGGCGTCATCATCGAGGGGCCGGCGTCGCCGTCCCGCCCCGCTGGCCGTTGAGTCGCTGCAGAAGCCAGTGCTGGCCATGTGTCCGGTTTGCCCTGCGTCCTCGAAAAGTGCGGTTGGCGGTCTTGGACCGCGGCGGACGCGGACAGACCCTGTCGTCGGCGTTCGGGCACCGGGAACGGAGATTCCATCTGGGCAGGTGATTCAAACTGACCCATGTTCAGGAACGATGACGGATCCAGCGACGACTCCGAGTTGCGCTTCGAATCCGAGGATACGTATGCTGAATCATGTAAGCTGTGTGTGTCGACGTCCATCTTGACGGCAGGCGCACTTGTGAGGGCAGACTTGTTGCCGGTGCCGGTGCCGGTGCCGGTGCCGGTGCCTGACAGACCCTCTAAGACATCACTGCCATGTGTGTGCCACCTCGGCAACCGGGGACGTGGTATTGCTGAAGGTGCCGAAGCAGGCGTCGAAGGTGCATTCGGGTTGCCGCTAAGACTCGAAAAGTTCCCAGCCGAAAGGTTGAAAGCCGACCGGCCCAGGTTCGCGTCAATCTGCCTCCTAAAGGCCTCGAAGTCTGGGTTCGCATCTATCGGAAGGTGTTTTGGGAGTGCGGCGGCGAAGGGCTTCACCGACGAGGAGGCCGGGCTCCAGTTCTCGTGGGGTATGGCAGAGGAATCGCGGGGGTCTAGGGCGGGCTCGACGGCAAGGCTGAAATAGTTGGGACTCGGAGACTGCACCGCTCCTCGGCCGGCGGTTGGAGACAACTTTGGTGGGCATGGCTGGCCGACCGAGTAGGGCAGTCTCGGGGATGCCAAGGGCGTATTCGTTTTCGCGGTTAAGTAAGACTGTGAGGACGGTCCCGGCGGCGCCAGTCCGGGCGTCTTCATCGTGTAGTATGACATCTTGTCGCTGTTCCTCAAGTCTGGCGGCAGCATGGATTGAACTCCCGGAGATGACGACATGAGCTCTGCTTGGGGTTGTCGTTCTTCTCAGTGTTATATGCAAGTCATATTGCTGTGCCGGTGAAGTCTTGAGTTCGAGAATGGGAGGCTGGATGCGTGTCACACGACAGAGACAATACTGAGTGAAGTGGTAACTTCATGTGTTGGTGGTTGGTTATCGTCGTGGGGGGACTTGCTGTCAGGGGGAGAAGGTGGGCAGGAAGGGCAGGTAGGTATCGAGCGAGGCTGATGTTGACCTAAGACTTCCAGGGTCGATTTGCAGATCTGGCTCGCGACTGCTGGTTTGGTTCGGGGGGCCGAAGGTTATTGTTCTCGGCTGTTGTCAATCACTCCGCTTCTGGGCTGTTCTTTTCCGCGAGGGGGGTTGTATTATGCGTAGAGGGGGGTTATCGTGAGGTTCTATTGGCGAAGTGTGTGGGAAGACGAAAGATGACGGATTGTCGATGTCGAGTGGGAGCCTATGCGAAATGGCCGAGAGTAGGGCGAAGGGGAATGAAATGATCTGCAGTCAGAAATGGGACCTGAACCTCGCTCATCCTCTAACGTGCGGTCGCTCAACCCACTCCAGCTATTGCCGACCGGCTTTTCTGATGTACGTTGTAGCCAACGGGGGCTGCTGCTGATTCTTGCCTCAATCGAACCTTATTCCCTTACTTTGATCTCCCCAACTCCGTCATCGCTCGTCACTGGCTGAAGGCGGTGGGAGTCCAGAACAGAATGAGGCAGAGTGAGACCCGACACGGAGGGTAGTAGTCTAGCGGGCCCGCGACTGAAACGGAACGCATTTGCATACACACATGATGTCAGGGTCAGGCATACGGTAAGCAGAGGACAGAGGCAACAGGAGGCAACAGGAGGCAACAGGAGGCGAAATTCGACAACAACAGAACCGCTAATACTCGGTAGTGCAAAACCTGGGGAAGAGGCGGTGGCTCTGGGCACCTGCACACCTGCGAGCGCCGGAAAGGAAGAAGGCGGCGCTTCAGCCCATCCATCCCAAGGTGACACCGACCAACAATATCGAGCGCCACGCGCGCGGCCGCCGGTGCGGGTGGCGCGCCAGTAACGTCATAGGGCGAAAAGCCTGAACCCACCTAGGAAAATTGGCAAGGGGACGGCTTCCAGAGATAGCAAAGTACCTGCATATCCGGGGTATTAATCAATGATTAATAAGTCCTAGTATACCACCGACTAGCTCTCGTAACCGCCGCTGACAAAAGGTAAAATATCTACCTAGTGAGCATTCCAGAACCCGTCATGTCACCTTACGGCCCCTGGATTGGCTTCTAGCGGTTCCAATATGCCTTAGCCAGGTACCTACCTCGTGTCTAATCTCGCATCTACGGGATCTGGTTGAATCGAGTTTCTGCCTGCAGGGCTGTGCCAACCTCGCGATTCATGAACCCCCGCGGGGCAGAGCGAAGGACAATCCGCAGTATCTCTACCTAGATGGGGACGCCTCCTCTGCAAAGGAGTTGTAGCTTCGTTACGTCCCTACTACGCAGTACTCCAGTTGCCAAGACAGACCCTTTGCGTTAGGCACGCATTAGCCGTCATCCGTCAATCCCAGTTTAGCACGAACGGCAAACTTGGTCCGGATCTCCTCACCCTTTCCAGCAGAGCGCTCATAATTTCCACGATTCCGGGGGGGTGTGTGCCAGGTGATTATGGGAATTTAGGAAAACGCATCCGTCGGTGATACCAAATGCAGGCAATATTTTTTTTTAAGACAAAGACACGAGGAAAAAGTGTAAAAGAAGCAACAAAATGCCGGGTTTCTAAGGGCCTCCCCGACCAACATTTCCAACTTTCCGCTAGCCTCGCTCCCATAGGCAATCGCACCACTTTTTCTTCAGCAATTCTTGGTTTTGCCTTGCTTCTGACCGGCGCCGAACGGTCTAGACTTTTCGATATTCCGACTTCTCTCGGCTTCTGCCACTAACTTGCACCACACGCCCGTCATCAGGCGGAGCAGGAGCGCCGGCCGTCAGCCATGTTCCCAGTTCTCGGTCGGGTCTCCACCCCCAAGACTCCGCCGCCCTGTCGTCAATCAGAAAAAAAGAAATATAAAAATAAAAATAAAAATAAAACGGGGGAAATGGCGTGCTTTTTTTGTGCGGTGTAGAGAATTCGATCCTGTTCCCTGTCGGAAAGGCGATTTCGATGCCACAGCACTAAACCCATCTTTTTCAGGGTCCTTCGTGGTGTTTGGTACCCAGGCTAGCCAACCATACCCCAGCAAAATGGGGCCTGATGCAAGTTGACGCTCCCAGTCCCCACGCAACAAGGATACGCACCCCACCCTCAAACCCCACCCCAAGAAAACTACCTAGAAAGGGGGCAAGAGCGAACCTATGAACAAGACAAAAAAAAAAAAGCTGAAATCGAGAGCGACGATGAAAACAGCTTCATCATCAATCGTCACAGCAAATAAATCAATACGCTGACAGCTCTCCAAAATCAAAACAACCATGTCCGATGTCGTGTGCGACCTAAAAACCTAAAAAAGAACAGATAAAAATATTGGTGCAGAAACGAGCCAACCACAAAGCCGCCAACATCCCTGCAGGTTTCACGCCTGACGCTTTCGCAGCCATGACGTTGAAATCGTACGATGTGGCGGCCGGGGGCCGTTCTGGAACCCGGCGGCAGATCAAGCGCGATTGGACCGCCCGCAAAGGAAGGTACGTACCCCCCTACGCACCACGCACTAAACATAGCCGGGGGCTGATTGCCTTCATCGGCCGCCTTCATCATCAATCATCATCCCGTTAGTTCGCTACTAATTACTGAAAGAAAGGGTAAGACACCCTTACCTAAGCAGGCTAGGGAAAGCCACAGCCGTCACCGCCGTTAAGTTAGCCCTCGTGCCGCTAATTAACCCTCGTGCCTCGACTCAGCCCGGGCCTGTCCGCTGGAGAAGGTCTCGTGAGTTGCCTGCCTGGCCCTGACTCAAATCTCACGAAACATGCACTTTGCAGCGAGGGGTGGCCCGATGATGGGAGGAAAAAATCCCAGAGGTCATTGATTGATCTATCAGGTATCTAGTCGTACAGGTTTCCCACATATTGGCATTGTTTTCGTGGAGGGGCGCCCAATTATGAGGCATTCAATGCCCAGTTTCCCAATGCGATTAGTAAAGAACAAGGCACACACGAGCCAAGCCCCCTCTGCGGAGGCTCCCAAAATCAACCTTTTCCATCAAAAAACCTGCCAACCAAGGTGGCCAGGTGCGAGTGCGAGATCCGGTCGGGTATCAACTAGGTAGGTGCTAGCAGGGCAGTAGTCGCCTGACACCTCGTCCGGGATGAGAAGAAGAAAACGTCAAAAAAAAATCATCAAGAAACTGGAACCAAATGTGTGCGAACCAAAGACATCCGCGGCCGCCCCCTATGATGGGGTCAAACCAGAGATAAAAAATTACAAAAACCATCATGTCTGTCATATGAAGAGGTGCGGCAGCCACCCAGGGAGCCGTTGCCATGGACCAGTGCAAATGCAAAACATCGCAAGAACGTGAATTGAGGCATGCATGCATCGTGAGAAGACACCGGGGTATATCGCAAGAGCGTCCGTGTCGAAATAGCAAGTCTTGTAGAGCAAAAAGGGCCGTCGGCCTTTAGTAGTTGGCATCGGGAACGCCGCCGGAGCGAGCGATGTCGTTGATGCGGCCAGCGACGTTGGCCATGTTGGTGAGGCTCTTGAGAGTCGGGTCGTTCGGGGCGATGCGGCTGATGCGCACGAAGAGGTGCTCGATGCGAGTCTTCAGGAGGCCCATGATCTTGGGAGTCACTTCCCGAACTTGGTCATCCTGTTTGTCTGTTAGCAATCCATCACCTGCGTTATGGACGGGACTTTCAATGCGAGCGAAGACTTACCAGGTTGTTAACCATGCGGTTGAACGAGTAGATCACCACCTCGGTCATGGCCAGCTTCTGGGCCACGTCCGGACCGTCCAGATCGGCCGAGACGGTGGCACCCACAGAGAGGAGCAGCAGGGGCTGCAGATCGGCGATGAAGGTCGGATTGTACTTGACAATGACCTGCTTGAAGATCTCTTCCTCCTTGTTTCCGCTCTGGAGCCAGCGCATCATGGCTTCATCGTAGTTGCCGCTCTCCATCAGACTTTCGATGGTCTGGATGGCTTGCTCGAGCTCGCGGCTCTCGCGGTTGGGGTTCGGGTAGATGAGCTGCGGCTGCTCCTGGCTAGAAGATCCCTGCTGCTGGCCGTACGTGGCAAGGTCCCGCGCCGGATGGCCGGCGAAGTTGTGCGAGCCAACGCTGCCTTGCGAACGCACATGGCCGTGAGCGGGGGAGTCGTGGGCTTGAGGCTCCCGATCCCGCATCTGCTGCTTGAGAGCAATGAACTCCTTCTGGATCTGAGATTGTGAGGCAGCCATGGTCGAGATCATGGTCGACAAGTGGGTGGTCTGCGCAATGAGCTGATCAATCTTGGACTGGTCACCGTGGTGCCGTCGCTCCAAGTGGGCAATCTGCTCGTGGAGGCGGTTGACGTCGCTGCCAACATTCTGCACAGCCTGGACGGTTCTATTAGTCAAGGCTGGGACGACGTTGTTGTTCAGAGTCTTGGTAACGCTGTCGACGATGTGGGAGTTGATGCTCTGAGTAACCCTGTCGGCAATGGACTTCACGGTCTCGGGCTTCTGGAGAGCATGGCCAATGATGTCGGGCAAGATCTGCAGAGTCTCCCGCTGGAGGGATTGATGATCCGCGATGATCTTGTCGGCCACTTTGTCGGCCACCTTGTCGCCCATCTTGTCGACGGCCTCTCTAGCCAACTTGTCGACTGCCTCGCCAACCAACTTGGCGACCATTTCCCGGGTCGACTTCTCCGTCTCGTCGAGCCTCTCTCGCAACGTATCGTACTGCTCCTGGATGACGTGCTTGAGGACGGCCTCGGTGTTCTTGTTGAGCACGTCCGAGATGACATGGAGCAGGGTTTCCTGGATCGCCATGAAATTGCCCTCACGGACATTCTGCTGCTCATTGAGCTGGTTGACCAGCTCGGCAAGTGAAGTATCCAGCCGGTTCGACATATTGAGGCCGAGGCGGAATTCCATGTTCTTGACGAGCGCCTCAAATGCTTCGGGGGAGACAGTGGTCGATGCGGAAAGAGTAGGCTCGACAACACGAGTCGTCGCCTTGGAAGTTGGGGGCTTGCCCTGGGCGGCCTGGCTGTTGGCAATGCCGTTTGAGACCACGAACTCACGATCTGCGGTGGCTGCGGCTGCCGCGGCCGCAGCAGCAGCGGCGGCGGCGGCGGCGGCGGCCTTCTTCTTTCGGCCCTTCTTCTCCGACTTCTCGGGCTGTGGGACAGGGGTTTCCTCTTCATTCCGGTCGCCAGAGAGTCTAGCCGGGGTCGCAGACTCGGGGCCCTTTCTCTCATCGCCTTGGGAGGACGGCGTCTTCAGAATCGCGTCCTTGAGGTTGCTGCGCGTGGCGAGGCGGACCTGAGAGACAGCCGAATCCACCACAGCATTGGTATGCGGCGACTCTATAGCCTGCGACGACGAAAGTTTGGCGATGGTGATAGAGGCAACCTGGCTAGAGTCAACCGGAGCGCTGATTTTGTTGTCCTTGCTCCAGCCGAGCTCGGACCTCTTGATGAAGAGGCATGTCACGCCCTTAGAGTGCATAGCGTACAGCTCAAAGAGGGTTGGCTCATCGTCGTCCGTGGTAGACGTCGTGGTCGGAGTCTGGAGAATGTCAAGGCTCCGCAGGATGCCCTTCGGGGCGAACGAGAACTCGCGCATGCCGCTAACCACGGCCGTGGACTCGGGCTGAGGGATCGACGTGTCCTGGTTGACGAGCCGCTGGATGAGCTCGACCTGCGAGACGTTCTTGAGACTGTACTTCGGCGCCGAAAGATGCAAGAAGTAGATCGAGTTGCGGGTCGGATGGCCGATGGCGATCATTCCCGTGGCAGGATTGTACATGACGCTGCAGACAGCATCCGACTCGTTGCTGTGCGGCAGGTTGAACTCCTGCACGGCCTTGCCCAGCGCAAGATCCCAGAGCTGGAGAGTGTGGTTCTGTTTCATTCCCACGATCATATAGCGCAGGGCCGTACGCTTCTGGTAGGGTCGGAGCTTGTCCAACAGGAGAACCGACGTCGGCCAGGCCTTCTCGCCATCGGGCGTCGTGGTCAAGGTCATCAAGGGCTCCTTGACCTCGACGGCCGTGTGGGCAGGCATGGGGTTCCGGGGATCTGAACCCTCGGCGGCCGCAGTCAGGTCGCGGACGTCCCAGAACTTGACGCGGCCAGACTTATCGAGCGAGACAACGGTCGTGTCGTCCTGGCTGAAGGTGAAATCCTTACCGGCCTTACCGGTATTGATCTTCAGCGAGCACTGCTTGAAAAGCTTCTCCGTGTCCACAACGCGATCATGGCCGGGCTTGAAGATATTCTTCTCGAGGATGAAAGACGGCCAGATGATGTTGATCGACTTTCCACGGCCAACGGCGAAGTACTCGGGGTTGGTGGACGAAGTTCGAGCTCTGGTCTTGAGCACACCGCCGGGGGTGTCGCCCTCCTGGTTCGAGACGGGAGGCAGGACGAACCCGTACTGTTCCGGGTGAGCATCGTCAAGGTGATCCTTGCCACCGTCCTTGACGAGGAGCCAGTAAACAGCACCACTCACGCCGGTGCCGAGAATGGCTTCCTTCGGAGTCACATTCTGATCCGCAGGAGTACAAGTCATGGCGACGTTGAAGATGCGATCATGGGTCTCGGTGAAGAGCTTGGCATCCACGCCGTCGTCCTGTCGGATGACTCGCAAGCCCCCGTTCTTGGACATGCCGTAGGCGATGTAGTTCTCAGACGCGGCGACCAGGTTACGATCGATCTGGTCGAATTCCTTCTTCAACCGAGCGATGTCCAGAGTCGATTCATCCCGGAAAATGGGACGGGCGCGCTCGGTATCTCCCTGGAGGGAGATGGAGATCCAGGGCTTCATTGGGAAGTTGATGACCTCGACGGGGGTCGAGTTCTCTTCAATGACAACAATCTGGTCAGCCTCGGCACTCTCCCAGCTATCAGCGACTGGAGCCTGAGATTCCTGAGCGGTGTCGTCGACGATCTCCCTCACGACCTTGACGACGTGCGGGGAAAGGGTGGTTTCGAGAGCACCCTTGTTATCGTCCTTGTCCAATTCCTTCTTGATGGCCTGAGCAGCGCCGTGCGCAGACTCGTCGAACTGCTCGTCGGATTTGGCGTTGAGCAGATCATCGAGCTCCTTGGCAATCTCGGCCTGACCTTGTTCCTCTTCAGCGCGGGCGAGAGCCTCTTGGGCCTCACTGTCCACTTTCTGGGCGATGCTGCTGATAGCCTCAGCAACAGTGTCCTTGGTCTTGCCCTCCACACCTCGGACGCCGGAACGCGAATCTGAGGTGGCAGGGGTGCGGTTGACGGAACGGTGAGAAAGGGGCGAGGGGGTTTGCTCAGTCTTGCGCCTGATGTGCTGAGGGCTCTCGTGCGGGCTACGCTCCGGGGCGGGGCGCTTCTGCTCTGAAGGGGGAACGGGCAGCACGTAATCGGTAGACCCGAAAAACGTGATAGTAGTATCAGCGGGGTCAAACTTATCCTGAGCAGAACTCGAGGCTGCCTGCGTAGTCGAGGATTTGGCAGTTCGATTCAGAGGTGAAGTAGCTGACAGGTTCTCGAATGGATTAGTGTATCCGAAAATGCTCGGCTTCGAAGCCGTTGAACCTTGCTGCGACAGAGGCGACGATTCGAATTTGACGGGCGGTGAGTCGTGGTATTTCGACTCGGAATGGTGCGAAGATCTCGACGCGATGGCGGAAACCGGAGTCGCTTCGGCGGGTCCACCGCCTGCTTGGGCGTTGGCAGACTCGTTCTTTGGGTGCGAAGGCTCGGCAGACGCGTCGGTCTGGCTAGGTTTCGGGCGGTTCAGAAGATTGAGGAGATACTGCTGAGTGCCGGAAGATGGGGATGCCGTATTCCAGGTTTGGCTCGATGGCTCTGGTTTTGCCGGTTCGGTGTGGAGATTTCCCTTGATAAGGGCAGCGAGCAGGCCAGAGGGGTCCTGAGCTGCCGGAGCTGGGGCGTGGATCACAGGCTGGGAGACTTGAGTGGGGTGATATCCTGACGATGGCTCTCGTGAAGTAGGCTTGGAAGGCACCTGCTGAGTCGCCTGACCTTCCTGTCCACTAAACTTTAGGAGATGGAGCAGATGCGACTTGCGATCATTTCCCGGACCACGATTCATGCCACCAGTGCTAGACAAGCCCGAGGGCCCATGGGGATGGCCCATACTCTGGACTGGAGGGGTAGGAGCAGCAGGGGGGTATGCGAACGCCGACATGTCCATGGCGGAATGGAAGGAGCTGCCCATTGCCGGAGAATCTGCAGCTGGATCACTGTAGAATGACTGGCTGCCTGGGTGTCCATGGTAAGAGTTGAAGTGGGTGGGAGGCTCAGGGCCAGGAGACTCAGCACCAGATTGACCACGCAGCTGGGCCAGCAGTGATTCAAAGTTGGAACTTGGCTCGATAGCACCCGCCCCGTGGTTCATGGCTTCCGCATCGTGCCCCATAGCACCCGCCCCGCCAGTGCCATCAGTGCCCGGGATATTAAAGCGTGACATGCTTTTCTTTTTTTCCGAGTTGAGCCACAAAGGCAGGCTAGTGCCCAATCGGCAGACTCAATCGAGAAGAGACTGTCAGGCCGGGAAAGATTGGGAAAGATTGGATCGGTGAAGTTTCGAATCGGGGAGATGTGAGGGGCGACAGAAAAATGTCAAAGCTCTTGCAGATGCAGCACAAATTTGCGTTGCTTCAATTCTCCTTGCTACAGCAAATGAAGAACTTCAACAACAACAAAAAAGGGCCACGCGCAGACGAGATGCGAGATGCGAGATGGGAGATGTGATTTGTGAAGGCTTGGTTGTTTGGAGGAGTGCCTTGTGTTTGGTCAAGCTCTGGAAATTTATTTTACGTGGTTGGGCTGCAAGCTACCTGCCACTACTGACCGCCTGGTGCGTGCACCTTCTTGCGTGGGGTATTTAGACCACAGTGTTATCCAGGCCTATTCACTATTGGTACCAGTGAGCGAAGGCACCGAAATCAGTCCGTGTGAAACATGTCTTAGCGCACGTTCTGTGCCCACTCTGCCAATCGCTGGTGGCAATCAGCCTTATCCAGAGCCTCAAAGTATATGACAAAGTCAATTTTGAAGTGGTGTCTTGGCCCACCTCTGCTCTCATGATTCATCAGCGCTTGTTTACCAGCCTGCCTCAGCCTCGAGCCGAAGGACTTCAACAATATATTGTCTGCATCTCCGTTTCAATCATCAGTTAATCCCCAGCATTGCTCTCTTCCTGTATATCGGGCACGTTGATAGAGGTCGATAATCGTCGCGTGCCCGCTCTCCCTCCTCGGGCATCGACACATCGCAACGTGGGGTTGACTGCCCACACGTCACTCTCCGGAGACGTCGTCAAGGTAGCCAACGCTGTCGACGCTGTCGCCAACAAATCCCCTCTCGTATTTCCAAGAGTCTCGCGAGGCTCTCTAGATATACTGGTCTCTTCCCCCAGTTGCCAGCATGTTCTGCCTCCGCAGGTTCGTAAAGTCTCCATATCGTACATCTCCGGGACCATACCATACTGACCACCCCTCCTCTCGCAGCTGGCTCCCCCTGCTTTTCATTCCGACCAACGCCTCCCCCGCCTTCATATTCTTGTTCTTCGTCTGCACCTACTTCCTCAACCGGCCGTGCGTCTACTGCTCGTTCCTCCTGCTCATCCTCTTCCTGACCTCATGCAACTGGTCCGACCGATGCTTCTTCGACTTTGGCAGTAACTGGTTCCTCCCGCGGCCCCTCGGCAGCCACGACTATGTCCCCATGTCCACGAGCGGGGACGGTGCGGCGAACATGACGAGGCCGGACGACCTGAACGCGACCGTGTCGGTGGCGGTTGCTGAGATGGTGAACACTACCGCCGGGGCGTTGGCGGGCATTCTCTCGGATCGCCTCACGGGGGCCAGGGCCGAATGGACTGGACTTGGTATCGAGTGGTTGCGGAGTTTGCTCGGAAAGCGCGAGTGGAGGATCGATTGTTTGGACGTCTACATACGATTATAGTGTCTTGCTCTTTGCTAAATTGGAGTTATGGTATCATGATAATACGGCCATCGCGCCGGGATTTGGGAATGGACAACATAGGACATCGCCGCGGTGTTCACATGGCAGACTGCGAAAGGGAAGTCCCACGACGATGGTAATTCTACGCGTCAGAAATAGCACGCACGAAATATACTTTGTCGGTTTACCAGGCCTTGTTATTGTTCCGCAACTCCGTGCCTCAGCTAACGGATGAAGCAAGTTCGACGAGAAATACAATCCGTGGGCACCCCGAGACTAGCTGGGGACCGAGGGAGGTTCTCTATCTAAAGAAACGTGCGCCTGAACCGAAACCGAGACCACCTTGGGTATGTAAGGAAAGAGGAAAGGAAAGAGGAGAGAAACCGAGAGAAGAAACCAAGCGAGGAAACCATCCACCGGTGAGCGGTCCCAGGTGTGGGTGGTCAATCAGGACACCGAGAGCTCAGGCAATAGCGAGAACATCTCAGGTCTGAGAGCACACCCAAGCCCAGGAGTTTGACCCGGGATCATCGAGACACCGAGAGCTCAAGCAATAGCAAGAACTCTCAGGTCCCGAGATCACGCCTGGTCAAGAGGTCAGAGCGGTGGAGGATCCTGACGATCCAGACGATCCTGCTCCTCCTTCTTCTTCTTCTCATCCGCCACCCTGAGCACAACCCAGCGGCTCTCGCACGCCGCCTTGGTGTGCCTCCCGTTCATCAGCTGTGGTGCGTCAGGTTAGCTTCAGTTTGTCTACCATGAGATGGGATCACCCTTACCCTCGCGATGTTCTCGTGCGTCATGGGCGGGACCGCATTCCGCCCGTCTCTGAGGATGGCGTCATCCTCTTTTCCCCACTTGAGCTGCAAGAAACGTGTTAGCTGGGACAGTCTTCATCTCCTCGCGGGCCGTCTTGACTCACCCTCCTCCTCGTCTGGGTCGCAGCAGCCGCGGCAGCAGCGGCGAACTGGGGCGGCACGGGAATCTGGTCGGGCACGGGAATCTGGGCCGGCACGGGAATCTGGTCAGGCGCGGGAGGGCCGACAAAATGGTGGTGGTGGTGCTGGTGAGCACCAAAGTTCTGTGGTGCCGTCAGCTTGGTGTCCTCACCTCACGGCCGTCTCACTTTTTTTTTGTGACTTACCAAGTGAGCCGGCATGTGAGCCGCTTCTGGCGCCGCGGGGTCGGCGAGGTACACATCCCCCTGGCGGATGACTGATTAGCTGGGCTGGATACCGACAAGTGTCAGCATGGTGACTTACCTGAGCGGGGAGATGAGTCGGCGAACCGACTTGGGTGCTGCCCTCAGCGGGCATCGTCTCTTCGGCCATATGGCCCAGGTCAACAGCGACAAAGTCGCTGAAATCGGCATCCTTGAATGTCATGAGTACGCGTCTTCAAACCTTACCAGCAACATGTTTTGGGGATTTTTGATGTCAAAGGGGTACATACCAAGCCGCGCGCGCCGTAACGTTCCTGGATCGTCGCCAGGTCGACAGCCACCAGACCGAGGTTGTATCGGCACAGGCGGTTGATACAACGGTACTCCAAGGGGTTTCCCCCACCACCGAGCGCCCAACTTGCCACGATCGCATCGCGGCAGACGGCAGGAGCACTCGCGTGCCCATAGTCGTCGGGCAGGACGTCGGTGCCAACCAACATCCCGCAGCCGGGGCAGTGGCGGCGAAGGATCATCCGACACATGGTCGGCGGCAGAGAGGAGAGAGAGAGGGCGAGGGGAGGTGCTTTTCTGAGAAGGGTTCTGAAGAAGGGCGGGAGTTGAACCCGTAGAAAAGCTGGACGGAGGAGAGGAGAAGAAAAGAGGAAGAAGCCAGGAAGTTGGAGGGGTTTTTATAGGAAAACAGAAATCAAAAAACGTAGCGAATCTTGGAATTCGTAGGAAGGCACAGGCCGCGTTGGCGGCTTGATCAATGGGGCTCAGGACTGACGATGCGGCTGTGCGTGGTGGTTATTGGTAATCGAGGACGGCAGGGCGGCCGGCTTTGACCTACAACCCCGTTTCTGCAAAGTTCTGCATGCCCTGGACCCCAGGCATGGACAATATAGTATCCTCTGCAAACCCATCCTGTCCTTGTTCTTGCGTTGCGTAGCGTGGCAATGGTAAACAAAGAAAGGGGATGGAGCCCCTGAAGAGCGAGGCCCCTGAACCGAAATCGAGGGCTGCCCAGTCGAGTCCCAAGAAACAGGCGAAACAACTCCAACGGGAGCCCAAGACGATACACGGCATCATCGACCACTTCCTGTTGCCTGGCGACTTACACGCTCCGCAGCCCGACCATGGCTTGAACTGGGACCGAGTGACAAGCTCTGGTCTAAGCCAGATGGCAGCTGTACTCCTCGAACTGGCGCCAGTGTGGATGTTTGCAGACCCATTATTGTGGCAAGACCAACACTTGCACACAGGGAGGCAACGAGAGCTATATCAGGGGCGAGCGAGGATTTGAGGTGGATCCCCCTGCGTGGCTTCTCCAAGACTCGGGCTCGAGAGGGACACTCTATTACAAGGCTGAGAGATGGGGAAGGGGAGCAGTTGCTTAAAGAGAACTCCGCTGGGAATCAGCGAAGATGATGGCAACTTTGCTGCTGTTGTCTACTCGGCACTCAGCTAGTATTCGGCGAGGACGGGGCACGATCGTCCTACCCAAGGGTAACTACCGGCAGATCAGGGGCTACTGCTTGAAGTCAGGCCCCGTCATACTCATGGATAATAGGTAATCGATATTCCTCCTCAACAGTTGACAGCAGAAGCCTAATTATTCAAGAGAAAGCGCAGGGAAAAGATCAAACTACACCACGAATTTCAACACATCGAAACATCAAGAAGGGGGTGGAAGTAAGAGAGGTAAACGAAACAGAGAACGGTTCCCAGATACCATGGCATCAAGCTCGCCCGGTTGAAAGGGGGCCAATCCTACGAGCGCAGGTGGTAGGTACGGGGCGTGAGGAGAGAACTGGGATACATGGAAGCAGGCGCGCCTGGGATATTAGGAACGGATGGACGAAGAAGGAAATATATATAGCTAGAATCTGAAACCATGTTGCGGCCTCCCAAAGCGAAACGTCCAACACTACGAACATTGTCGATCAACAATGAAGATCGGAGAGGCCGGTGGCTGTGATCGACCCTTGCCGCCAGACGCCGCGATGTTACATTATTCTAGGTCTTGATCGAGTGGCTGAAAGAGGATGGTCGAGTTCTTTTCTTGCTCCGTCGTCTGTCGAATCTTCTCAAGATATCTTACGAGACTTCCACGTGGCACTGGGCTGGAATATAACTACCTTGTACCTTACTCTACCCATCTACGAATCAAACATCTACTAGGTGTTTGGTCATTATTTCGCATTTTGCGAAGCGAGTGTGTTGGGCCAGAGCAAAAGCGGAAGGGGACGGGACCTAGCAGACGGGCTATGATATCGGCGAAGTGGTGATCTCCGGACTTGATCGTCATTACTGGCTAGACGAGAAAAAATGTAGTTATATTGCAGTCATACGAATCGACCGATCTGATGGAGGAGGATGCCAACATGGCGTACTGCCCAACCCGGATATAGAATGCGAATGGAGGTAGGTTTGGCATGAAAAGAAGCCTCGTACCTTCGTACCTCGGGATCTTCGAACCTCTAGCTGGCTCGGCGCCCACTCTGCCCGGATACCTAGGTACGGGATTGATTGTCATGGGGCTCTCTTCTAATCTACGCGTGCGTATTCCAGGCTCTTGCCTTCTTCAAGAGCTTCCGACTCCCTCTAGCAGTACCTAAATTACTCCTGAGCCGCAATCCCGTACGCCTTTTCCAAAGACCATACCCATCTAGTAACACTGCGCGCTAAAGTGAAGTGGATCTGACCTAGAATTAGGAGCCGAAAAAGAACAGGCAAGCAAATCATCGAACGCGTGCAACCTGGACGATGGTCTGGGGAGCCTCCTGCTCAATCACCTTTGAATTGGTCTAGAAGACGACGCCGTCGACGAGATGGGAGGGTCAACCAGCACCCTCCGCCACGGCTGGATGTCCGGTCAGTGGTGGCGCGTCACCTCTCCCCGGCCATGAGGAAGAAGTTTCCGATGATGCTGAGGAGCCGGAAGAGCCTCGTCTCGACGGGTAAGTAAGCTTCTTGTTTGCGTATACCCAGGTCATGATGAACGACATTCTTGATACGACGACGAAAGCAGTCAGTGAGCCCAGAACAAGAAACAAAACGAAGCCGTGAAGCGTCGGGACAACCACAAGATACGCAACAACAACGTCGGCGCCCAGACCATAAACACCCCCCAGAAATACCTCCACGCCAGCGCCGCTACCACGGCACCAAGCCCGAGCTGGACCCAGCCAATCCCCCACCAGGTGTACCAGACATCATCATACCCCACCCCAGCGAGCTGGGTGCAACTCCTTCCAGCCGCTCGCCCCAGGCTTACTGCACCACCGACAAACCCACACAACATCAAGACTAGCCAGCGTAGCCCTCCCGAAGATCGCTTATGGAAAATACCCCTTGGAACTCTGCCTACTTGGCTTTACCCAACCTGAAGACGAGCTCATGGGATTGATACGACCTCGCAATGGTGTTGCAGAACAAAAGTATAATATCCCCATAGAACATGATGCAGCTGTATGCTTGCGAGTGGGATACTACATGCATCCCCCTACTCGCATGCGTGAATATACGAACTGTGACCAGGCAGGATCCGGGGAGGCAGGCTCCGGGGGACAAGAGCCCAAACCAGAACGCCGCAAGCCAAGAAGCAAGTTCCCTATGGCACAGCCCAGTTGAACCTAAGCAGTACCCAACGCCTAAATATACATGTATACCCGACTCCAGCCACAGCAGACAGACCCGACGCCCGTCAATCAATGGAACTCCGTAAACTTAAACCCGTCCCCATCGCTAAAGTCCCCATCATTAATCAACTCCAAGTAGCTCCCCGTCACGCTATCCTCAGGCTCCAGCACGACACCCGAGTCCCGACACGGCGGCCCCTTGGGCCGCTTCTCCGGGGCGCCGTCGGCGGCCGCGGCGGCGGGGTACGAGCTCGGCGGCAGCAGCTGGTTCTGGTGTTGTCGGTACTGCGGGTGGAGCTGGAGGTATGGCTGCTGGCCGTGGTGGTGGTGCTGCTGCTGTTGTTGCAACTGGTTTTGAGAGAGCTGGTGCTGTTGCTGTTGCTGTTGCTGCTGCTGCTGCTGCTGCTGGGGTTCTGAGGGCGTGGTGACGTACGACGACGCCGCGCTCGACAACGACGACAGACTGCTCCCGACACTAGCCGGCCAGGCGTGTAGCGGCGCCCCGGGCGCGATGCGGCGGGGTGTCGAGGGGGGAAAGGGGTGGTGCGGGCCAACCGCCTGGCCAGAGGAGCCGGTGCCGGGGCTGGTACTGTCGTGGTGCTGTTGGCGATGGCGCCTGCGGGGCGCAAAGGCGACGTGGAGTTGGCAGTTCTGGAGGACCAGGCTGACGTGTCCGCAGAGGGCGGCCTGCAACTGCGCGGCCGTGTGGCATTGGGCTTCGTGGCTGAGGTCGGGGATGGCTTGGGCCTCGGTCTCGACGCGGCGGCGCAGGTCGTCGGCTGCGTTGTCGAATTCCCACCTGATTTCGGGGAGCTCCACGGGGGGTAGGAACTCTGGTTTGAATCGGCCGACGTTAGCTTCTCGGCTACTAACTCATGTTTGTGTGCGCGTGGGTGCGTGTGTGTACTTACCTGGAGATGGAACCTTGTTGTCGCTATCATTCGGGAATAGTGCCTTCCAGAGTCCATGCCAGTTGTCGATCTTAGTGTGCAATTTGCGCCCGTTGAGCATCCCCTCGATCGTGTCCGTGATGCCATCCTCTGGGTCGTCGCACGGCCTGTCCGGCACAACGTGGCACATGTTGTATGACTCGGCCTTGAGGTGTGCCCTCAGGGCATCCTTCGTCTTCAAATCCTTGTTGCATCGAGGGCACCCGTGGATGGTCAACCCACGTCTGTGATGAAGCCTTACATGGCGCCTGAGCAAGGTAGGTTGTCAGATGAGTTCAACGAGGTGGAGCGATATCTAGTCGGGACCTACTTGACAGCGGGAATATCAATGAACGAGGCAGTCGCACAAGGCATGTGATCCCTGATATTGAACCGGAGAGCGTTCCTCTTTCGGTATGGGCAACTCAGCTGCTGATCTGGTGGCTCATCGACCTTTGGCTTTTTTCTTCCCGACCCCTTTCCCGGACTCTGCTCGTCATCCGAGTCATCATTGCCGTCGTCGCCATCGCCACCGTTGTCACCGTCGTCGATGCGCCTAGGGTGAGATGGCGGCTTCGGGCGCTTCCGGCCCCTATCTAGACCATTGCCGCGCCCTTGACCATTGCCCTGTGGGTAATCAGACCCACCCTTGGATCCGCAAGGTTGGTCTTGTGCTGCCACTCGGATGGGCAGCGAGAAGCCAAGGGATTTGTTTGCACCCAGCAGGTTCGACAACTGCTCCAGGCATATGTTTACAGGTTCCCATGCCTCGACAGCCATGTGCGCGGGAAGATCCTGGAGTTCAACCCCGAACGCGTCTCTGAGGAGGGTGTCGCACACCTCTTCGGTCAGCCTGTCTCCCGGCCACTGCCTCGGTGGCGTCTCTTGGCCGCTCGACGAGCTGGAGCTATTGGGCGTGGCCGTCCCTTCGGCCGACTGGCATTCTTCCGAGTCCCTCGTGCTCTCCTTGGGTGCCTGTGCGTCGCAAGTGACATTGTTGCCGTCCCAGACAGCTTTGGGCAAGTGGCAACATGGGGATTGGTTGGGCGCGCATTCTGGCAAGCTGGCCATTGCTCCTGTCTCTTCCGGCTTGCCCGTCGCCCTTCCCGGCGTTGTCCGACCGCTTGGGGAGCTCGGCACCGACGACGGTTGCGGCGTGCTGGGCGCCGACCAAACTGAGGCCTCTTCCACCGGAAGGCTATGGCTCGACGACATCTTCGCAGATACAGAGCCCTTTCGGGTAGATACGTCCATATCTTGGACGTAATTGGCGTGGGCTTGTGACAGTGTTCGAACCGGGAAGCTGCGAGTTGGGAAGCTGCGAGTTGGGAAGCTGCGAGTTGGGAGGCTGTGAGCTGGGAGGCTGTAGTGACGCTGATGAAGCTGACGACGCTGCTGGTTCGCTGCGTCGTCATCCGAGTCGGGATGAGAGACAGAGGTAGCAAAACTGCAGGTGCGGGAGAGCGGGAAACTTGCGGAGCTGGCAGTGGAGTGGGACGAGTTGGAGGAATGGGAGGAATGGGAGTAGTGGGACTCGGTGTAGCTGTCGATGGAATCGATCCTTTCGGGGGGCAGCTGGACCTCAACTTCTTTGTTGTCCGGGTCGGCCGCCCCCTGAAGGTCGATCTGTCCTGCCTGGGCTGAAGGGATTCCGGGAGTACGGGGTTCGCAGCGTCCCTTATTATGCCGTTGCACATTGTGCGAGTCCTTCAGGAGGGAGGCCTGTCGGCCCGTGAATGCGGTTGGCTGCATCGCTCAGGCGGGGGCTACTGCGCCTTCCGGTTAACGACTTTGGCTCACCGAGCTGGTCTCTAGGTGGTCTTGGTGTGGGAGGCCGAGTACGGAGCGGCAGCCTTCGGGATTGGGGGTTCGTGCTTACATGCCTGGAAGAGAGAGGCGTGGTGGGGGGGGGTGAGATGCATTATTTACTTGTAGTCTCATCCTTGGACAGATTATCTAGGTAGGTATACACCCTCAGTCCCCCAGCTGCCTCAATTCTGGCGAACCACCGTCCAGCCAGGCAGCCAGCTGGTGCGCCAACCCCCGCCGCCCGTGGGAGAAAACATACCCACTGATGATCATGTCAGGCTGAGCGATGTCATACACCCCTAGCGAGATGCATCGCTAGATTCGATTAGCAGCGGCTGAGCACCGCCCATTGGCTGGCCTCCTGGCCGTTGCATGGTGGCGCATTTTCTGCCTTGGGCGTCCTGTGAGGCAGCCAATGGAAGGCTGGCGTGATTGGTTCCAACAACCTCGCCGGAAATTACGAGGTCAAGAACGGGAATTGTCCTCAGTTTTGCCCATGACGTTTGAGGCATTCGTGCGGCTCTCAGCTGCCGAAAATAGGCATTTCAGCGGTCAGCCCTACTGCTGAAGCCATTCCCCAAGCCAAGAGTGCTGGTCAGGGAGGATATAAATAGTGGCGGGACTTGCATCTTTTCCAACCCACGAGATGATGAGCCCTTGGGGAATCTGGATGGCGGAATCTAGATCGTTGAATATGCTAGAATGCCCTGCTGGTTATAATTGGGGTCCAATATTGGTTTCTGTACATACCTAAATCCAGGTAACTTGCTGATGGCTGTCCTGCAGGGTCTGGGAACCTGGAAGCCAGTTGGGACGTCCAGATCTGAAATCCGGGGTATCCGGCATCTGGCTTCGACACGTTCCATTTCCCCCCTCATCCCTGCGCTTCGATGCTATCACGTACGTTGCATTCAGGTACCACCCACCAACACCAATCCATAGAAGTCATCCAGATATCTCGAATGCCGCCCCTCATTGGTTCACACAATCTCGATTGAGTCTTCCTTGACCTTAGCTGCAACCAGACAAAACTCTATTGTTGATATGTCGAACCTCGAGGATTCCAAATCCAACCCCCCCAAGCCAACCATTATTTTCCACAGGAGAAGCATCTTCAGGTTCTGACCTAACGGATCAGGTATAAAAAACGTATGGACTAGCCACCATGGTAGGGCTTCTCGCGCAAGGTGAGAGGCTCCAGATCAAAAGCCCAGGTGTCAAATACAGACTCCGATTCCGACGACCTGCTACACTCACCAGCAAAGAGTAACGCTTCGGACAAGTTGAGATGCATCAAGATGCCTTCCGGGACCGTAACACACGATTCTGGCTACTCTTCCCACTCAAGGTAAGAAGAGCGAGATGCTGTACCCCAGCAAGACCTCCTAACTCGCAAACAGGAAAGCAGCGCAAGGATCAATGCTCGGCAGTTGGGTATACGACACATCCTCGCTTCAAGATCGCCTTCACCGAGGATACCATCCGAGTCAAGAACAGAGACGCCGGGAGGTGGAGCGCGAGGCAGACCGCCTCGCACATCTTGTTACTGGCCCATGTGAGTTCTCGAGGAGGAAGGACCGGGAAATAAATGACGAACCCCAACCTGGTATGCCACGTCTCGTGGCTGGTAAATGTGGCTGATGAGATGCTGACATACGGATGTGGGGCAGCCAAATCGACATTGTGCCTCTTGCCGCCTCTGACTCTGGACCTCATGGCAACTTCTCAGAGCGATGCCCATTAGAACATCGCTGTTCAGGACATGGGTTTTTCCATCAAAACCGAAAAGAAGGTACCATCCTTCGAGATTCTCCGTCATTTGAATCCCCCATGAGTGGTTTGGTGCTACTACTCGGGGCGTCCAGCTGCATCTCTCCGCAGCAGAGCCGCCATTCTTCTCGGGTAGGTATGGTAGGTATCACCTCTCTTCCCTCTCCCGGCTCTCTCCAGAAGCCATGCGTGGCCTTGATGGAGAGAACGGGCTGTCTTCTACTCGGCTATCCCATTTTCACCGTGTTTCGGCAGCTTGTGGCTGCTCCTTCCTAACGACTGGTCCCTTAGGGGGTGGTCGTCCAAGCCTCTTCCCCAAAACTGCGCTTCGGGTATTTGTCGGCAACCGTACCTTTCCCTCCCCCCCGTGGCCTGGCCCGCTCTTTTGTGTTTTTTGTGGAGCGAGATTACTGGGGGGAGCATCAAATACGGACAGCCTTCTGAATTTTCGACTCACCAACACCAAACATTTCGACGGAAGCCTACTAAAGCATCCATAAAATCCACAACCTCCGCCGAAACAAACTCCGTCGCGTTACAAGCATCGACTCTGGGCATCCGCTAGACTTTTGGGCCAAATTTCAACGCCTCGTTTTATCTCGAAACCCCTCGCGCACCCCCTGATAACATCAACAATGGCTGGCGGAAAGGGCAAGTCATCCGGTGGCAAGAGCTCGGGCGGCAAGACGTCGGCGGCAGACCTTCCCAAGAAGCAACAGAGCCATTCTGCTCGCGCCGGACTTCAGGTAAGTCGCGTCATTCGAAAGACGAAGCTCTTTTCTTTTTTTTTGTCCGGTTCCTCCGCCGCAAACATGGACACGTCAAATCGATCCGACCAAGCACGCGTCTCTGCATTCCTCGCGAACCCGCCACCAACAACAGCAAAATGAGGCGTTTTCCGTGTCGCCCATCGAAGCGGCATCGCCCACTTGCTCTACGAACTCGGCGCATCGAAAAGAAACTCGGTTCTACAACGCGACGACGCGTCCTTGGTGCCTTCAGCCCCGCACTCCACACGTCACCAACTGAGCGATGTCTGGGGCCTCTTGTTGCGATTCTCGCGCCTACTTGGTACGATGTGAGGCTGACCATGTTTCCCATTACTAGTTCCCCTGCGGTCGTGTCAAGCGTTTCCTCAAGCAGAACACCCAGAACAAGATGCGCGTCGGCGCCAAAGCAGCAGTCTACGTCACAGCCGTTCTGGAGTACCTCACCGCCGAGGTCCTCGAGTTGGCAGGGGTAAGTTCCCTTTTCACACGTGTCCTCAGCGTGTACATCACGAGACCCTTTGCCCTCTTCCCGTCGCGCCTCAGAATGTTTTCAAGACCAGGAACTAACGCGATAACTCCAAACCAGAACGCGGCCAAGGATCTCAAGGTCAAGCGCATCACGCCTCGACATTTGCAACTGGCCATCCGTGGTGACGAGGAGCTTGACACGTTGATCCGTGCCACCATTGCCTTCGGAGGTGTCCTCCCGCATATCAACCGTGCACTGCTACTCAAGGTTGAGCAGAAGAAGAAAGCCAAGGCGCAAGAGTCGTGATCACTTTCTGTCCGCGACGTCAACAAACACTTTTTTCCCTCTCGATTTTTCTTTTGGTACGAGTCTCGACGCGTTGGTAATCGACGGTATGGGATATGTGGGGCCGGGTCTGTTTCTTTGCGCGATTCGATGCAATGCGGTCTGTCTTTGTCGGAAGCTCCGATGTCGGGTTAGCTGAACAGGTCGGGTCTGACGCACTTCCAACCCAGCAAGGAACACCATGGTGGGCGTCGACTGGTTCGAGCGGCACCCACCCTCTCCCTCCCCTTGATTTCAAGCCGTTCAAGGTCGGAATATAACCTGCTGGTCCGTCATGCCGAGACCGAGACCGAGACCGAGGGGCGGGCGCTGTTCTAGTGCAGCTAAAATAGGAGCGAGTGCGCGCAGGCTTTTGAGGTTTGGGCTGTTTACCGACTCTCGTTCTCTGGGCCCCGCAACATGTATAACAACGTTCATCCTTCTCCTTTCTTTTGACGATAGGTTTCGGGGTGAGGTGTCACGGGGTCGATAGGCCATGGCTGATGGTTTTAGGTAGATGAAAACACATCTGATTTGGGGAGGCGTTCTCGTATCAGGTGGCGCATGTCACCCATGATTCACTCAGCTGCAGACTACTTGTCACTGATGCGACGGATGGACGGACAGTCGTCAGGGTTCAGAAAAAAATCCCTCAGTCTAGGGGACTGGTGTGTTGGATCTAATAACGCGCGTGGAAAAAAGCAAAGGATACGCAGCCACTTGGACGACCGGCATCCTGTCCTCGGGATGATAAGAAATCTCCATCCCGTCACAACTCCCCTCTCATGAATGCACCCCTCAACCTCAGCAGATCGGCGAGGTCCTGCTCCTCAGCCGCGTCGTCACCGGCGGCCGGGGCGGGACCCGAGGCGGAGTCGTCCTCGATGTCGGCGGCGTAGAGCTCGTAGACGTCCTGGAAGTCGCTGACCAGCTCCGGCCCGCCATCCTCGCCCGCGGTCTCACCGTCATCGACGTCGTGGTCCGGGCTGGTGGGCGGCGCATAGACGAAGTCGTCGAAGTTGACCTGCCCGGCCCCGCCCCCGCCCCCGTCCTTGTTGTCCTCATCTGCATCCCCTTCTTCCTCTTCGGGGATCGGCGCCAGCCGCATCTGCCGCTCCCGCTCCATCTGCCGCTGCACCTCCATCTCCCGCTCCGCAGCCATCATCTGCTCAGCCCTCTGCTTGGCCACCACATACGCGGCGTTATGGCACTCGCTCGGAAAGTCGCAGTGGACAGAGCAATCATGCTCCCCACGAGCAAACATCTCCCTCTTCCTCTCCCGCTCGCCCAACTTCTTCTCCTTCTTCTCCTCCGCAAACCCCTCGTTGTCGTCGGTGACGGTATCATCATCAGTCTCCTCCCCAGCACCACCCCGACGCCACCGGCCCCAAGCCTTCCACCCGGCATAGTCGAACTCGGACTGGCACGGCCCACCGCCGCTGCTGTGGCGGCGACGGCGCTTGGGGGACGGCGGGAGGACGCCGCCGCCGCCACCTGGGCCCGAGCCGCCGTCGCAGAGGACGTGGGCGCACGAGAGGCAGCGGCGCGTGCAGGACAGGCGGTAGATGGCGTGGCAGGCGTGGCAGCGCCAGAGCCAGGGGAGGGGGAGGGGTGGGGGTGGGAGTGGGTTGGAGGGGGGTTGGGGCTGGGCCTGGGTTGTTGGGGCTCCGTTGGTGGGGGAGATGTCTTCGTCCCTGGTGGAGGGCGAGATGGGGGCAGGTGAGAGGGTTGTGAGGGCGTCCATGGGGAAGATGGATGGTCGACTGGGCGATTTTTCTTGTTGTTGACGTTTAGGGGACGATGTTGGGGTTGCGATGGTTCGCTTGGCTGGGTCGGTGTTGACTGTCCCCATCGCGAGGCGGGCCGCAGACGGCGGAGGAAATGCTTGCTCGATTGTCTGGGGGAAGAGGGAGGATTTACGAGATTTGCGTTTTCCAGGCATTTCTACACTGCTCTGGTTTTGTGGAGGGCCGAGACGGCAAGGGCAAGGTATCGGGGAAGCCGATGTGTACTTCGATCGAGCAATCTATGTGCGAGTTCGTGAGTGAGGTTCGCCAGAAACCTTCTACAACAATTATTATGCCGATTCGTGTTGATGTTGGGAATAAAAGGGCGAGTAAGTAACTGAATAGTTAAAGAGATGGGGAGTAACAGAAAAAAAGGGGCAAGCTTGACAAGGAAGAAACCGCAATCACAACACAGACGATCACCGAGTTTTCCAGACTTGTTCAACACCCAGAATCCAAATGCTTACTGGCCCCCAGGGCACATATGTATGGGAATAGAGGGACTGGTTCATGTGGGCGTATGGACTTAGAGCAGCTCAGTTCCCCAGGCCTATACCGCCAAAAATAGAAAAAGGCTGAAGCCACTTCTTTGTCTTAATTACTTCCAGGTGTCTCCTAGAAGAGAGAATCGGCAATCGATGCATCCACTGGCGGGAAATTTGATACAAGACAAAGCTGAGGTGACGCTTATCATAACAATGGCTCAATGGTTGGGACAAAGAGGCTTGTGGCCAGTATTAGACCTGCTAGTCAAAGAACGACCGCCAATTTGATGGTAGTTACGTATATGCTACGGCAAACGCAGTCACAGTTTGAGATGGGTCGGATAGGTAGGTTGATGCTGCCTTGATTTTTGAACTTGTTCCTCGAACGGCTCCTTTCAAGTCAAACATCCAAAACTTTGGACGGAGCTCACGAGTTTCATGGCGACCTTTTCCTGGCCTTAACTTTCTCCCCGTCCATTTTCCAGATAATTCCCCGAATGGGACATATCCTTCCCAACGCTCCCGCAAACCCCCCTGACCCCGAGCGCACTAACGCACCAGGAGGACCGGCAACACCGCCTCGATGAACTCGTCATAGCAGTCGATAAACGGGACATGGCCCGCGTCCGGAATGACCCGCAGCTCAACCTTCTCCTCCCTCCCCGCCGCCTGGAACCCCTTCTGCACCTCATCCCGCATCTCCGCCATCTTAGCCGGCAAGTCCGCGTCGTTCCCGCCAACGACCAGCAGCACGCGCTCAACGCACCGCGCAAGCCGTCCGAGCAAGGGCCGCAGGTCGAAAGTCGACGACCGCAGGGCGGCAATGCACGTCTCGAACCCGTCGACCGAGGTGGTGCGCATCAGGCGGCGGACGCGCTCCGCCTCCTCGGGATCGGCCAGCACCCACTCGCCGAACCAGCGGCCCACCGTCTCCTCCACTGTCGCGTCCATGGACCCCGCTGCGCGCGCCGCCTCGACGCGGGGCGCGAACGGGTCCGGCGACACGCCGGCGTTGGCGGGCGAGCAGGCGATGGCGTCGCAGACGACGAGGCGGCCGACCGAGCCCGGGTGCGCGGCGGTGAAGACGACGCCCAGCGCACCGCCCATGGAGTCGCCGATCCAGGCGTGCAGGCGGCGGGGCCCCGCGCCGATGCCGATGCCGGCGAGGAGGGCGTGCACGTCGGAGGCGAGGGAGTCGAAGGTCGTGGAGGAGAGGTCTGCGGGCACGCCCGACTCGCCGTGGCCCGGGTGGTCGTAGCGGACGACGCGGAAGCCCGCGTCGTGGAGCCGGGCTACGACGCGGTCCCAGATGGAGAATTGGGCGGAGAGAGGGTTGGAGAGGAGGATGGTGGGGCGGTCCGGGTCCGACTTGTAGGTGAACTCGTACGCGATCTGGCGGCCGGAGGGGAGCTTAAAGATCTCCATTGTGATGAGGCTGCTCAGTTGAGTGGTGGTTCAAATGCCTTGGGTGTTGCAACAGTGAGTTCTCTTCAGACCGGTGAGCCGGAGCAAGTGTGAAGCTGCTGCTCTGATGATGATGTAACCGATGAGGGTCTTTACTGCCAGTGACAGGAATTTCTTCACAATACAACCGAGTTATCTAAAAGGGGTTCAGTTTTGAACTAGCGATGGCAGGAAAACAAGGAGAACAATTGGAGACGTAATGGACTGACTGACTGGTACCTTTCCTTTCCCTCTGATGCGTCTTGAAGTCACTCTTTGATCAGCGGAGGCATCCGGGAAGGTGGGGTTAATTCAGGTTCATGGATGACGCAAATGCTCCGAGGTGGGGCCGCCCACGGAGCCAATGAAGAATGGCCGGCCGGACCCGCTTCCGTCGGCGTCCGCAAACGTGTAACTACTACCGGCGATTCTGTGGCTCATAATTAAGGTACAGCAAAGGGCCGTGTTCGACATATTGAGGACAGCTCCAATGTGCTTCTCTGGTGGGGAGGGCAACACTGGTAAACCGGAGGTGACTACGAACAGATGGCCATGTCCTTGACGAAGGAGGAAGGTAAGGTGAAAGAAGACCTAAAGGAAGGGGAGACGGGGCGAATGGGTGGGTTCTGAGGTGGTCACATTCCCTCGCTGCTTCTTCTCAGCCTAACCCCAAGGAAGGAAGATTCAGACACAATTTGCTCTCAAGTATGGGCTGTCACGTATGCCATTCCAGTAAGAGGTAACTCCGCAAGACGATCATCAGCGGTGGAGAGACTGGGGCGAACTCATGGAAGTTTGCCCATACCACATCGTTGGACAGCAAGTGCATAGATTTCGTGAATCATAATTTCATGCCAGGACATGGCGGATATGGATGGATACCATGCGAAGACAGTAAATACAAAAACGCCCCAACTTTGAACTACGTGAGAAAACAAAAGAAAAAAAAACTCATGTACTGAGAGAGACAATAACCCATAACACCTCGGCAGCTCTCCCCAGAAGCAATATTCAACACCGCAACGATAAATGCTTCTCCCTATGGTGTCGAGTAAGCCGGTCCGGCCTCGTATAACTCTTCTTGCAGCCGGGGACGTCGCAGGGGAAGCACGGTTCGGGAAGGCCGCGCTCCCTCCAATGCTTGTTCTCGACGTGCCGGTCCCGGTCACGCTTCTTGTCGAACCGCTTATGGCAGTATTTGCATTCCGGTCGCGGCGAATTTTGCTGTTGATCTCTGTAAAGGAAGGGGAATGTTTGTCAGTTCTACAATATGTTGTTTTGGTGTTGGAAGGGCCTTGGTCATCTTGATAAGGGAATTGGGCACAGCCCCTGACGGAAGAAAAACGAACAGGAAACCAAAAATAGAGCAAAGTAGGAAGAAAGCGTGGGGGATAACGATACAAGAGAAATGACGAGAAAAAGAGGAACGAAGAGGGAAGGAGTCAGGACGACTTGACGTACTTGAGTTGACACTGAGGAGACACCTTGACCCGCCCTCTCCCGCGCCCACGCCGACCAACCGAGCCAGCCTTAAGCCCCGCCTCAGCAGGCGGGCAAGGCTGTGTCATCGACATCGACATCTGCCCCCGCGGCACCGCCGGCGCGATATCGACCGGCAGACTGGGGGCCAGGGGCGGGAAGTATGGCGACCTCCCGGCCGTGGAGGGGGAGACGCACGACGACGGCGCCGTCGTGGTCGTAGTCGTTGCCGTTGACATATCATCTGTCGTGTATCTCGCCGTCGTTGCCGTGGACATATCATCCGTCAACAGTAAGGAGGGCGAGATGCACGACGGATGATATGTCAACGGCAACGACGTCCCGGCCCAGGCGGCGTGCCCGGGCAGGCCCTGGTAATCGTCCATGACTCCCGGCACGGGGGCGTAAGCAGCTCCAACCTCCCCGGGTGAAGACGGCACGCCGTCCAGGTGACCGGATAGCGCTGCTGTCGCATACGGGGGAGGCGGAATGGTCAGCTCTGGTATGATAGTCTGATCCGTGTGGGATAAGGACGGGTCATAGTAGGGGGAGTAAGGGGGTTGTGATGGCTGATCCCAGGGCAGGCTCTCGTTTTCGCCCATATTACCCAGCGGGGCGGCGTGATTTTCACCCTTCCCGAGCGAGGACGGCTGCCAGTGGCCGCCGAACGATAAGGCGTCGTTGTATACTCCTCCTGCTACTTCTGTCCACGAAGGAACTAGAGGGGTCAGCTCGGGTGCGAACGTTGGACCTGCACAGAAGGAGGACAGGTTGTAGTGGTGGGGGTAGGGCACGTCCTCGTAATGGCTCATGGTCACCACGGCGGTGGCTTGACTTCCACCCTCCCCGAGTTGGGGCGGTTGGCCAAGTTCATCGAGCGGGAAGGTGTTGAGTGGGAAGACGTCGTCGGGTACTGCTGCCTCACTCGATAAAGGCGGGATGGTCAGTTCCAGTGAGGGTGTCTGATCCACGAAGGAGGCGGACGAGTCGTGGTGGGGGAGGTAGCGGGGGATGTCCTCGAGTGGTATGTCCGGCAAGATGTCGGCCCAGTCGGAGGCAGCAGCCGCCGAGACTGGGTCTGCGTATATTCCAGGTTCTTCTGTCATGGCTTGATTTGGGGGGGGGGCGGCTGTAGTGCCCCGACTGCTTTTGTTTGTTGGGTTTGCTTTTGCGTCGTCGCCCCGAGGGACGAGATGGTGTGGTTTGGTTGGCGATTGCGTTTTTAGCATATAGATGTGTAGCTAGGTTCAAGACCTTTTATGTGGACGTTGTCTAGGTCCACCAATCTGGCTGCGCAAGGAGGAGTGTCAGGAGAGGGTCTCGACGGGCTCAGCTGCGCGGCGGGAGGACATACAGTTCCACCCATTTCGGAACGAGCTACTCGCTCATACCAAGGTTCTCTTCCGTCGTAGTACCTCCCGCCCAAGGGACCGGCGATATGTCCCGAGTCGATGGGGAGCATGCTGCCTCCCTGGAGAGGATGTTGCATCGTTCGACCTGGACACTCAGCAACAGGCAAACCCCGTGACGAGATGGCATCCAGCGGCCGCGAGAGCGACAACTTCCACTTCCTCACGAGGTTTCCAAGCCTGGCGCCCAGATCGAGGAGCCGACGCAACATTCCCTTAAGGGAGGCAACATGCTCCCGATTGACTGGGGAGATATCTTGGGGCCTACTAGTGGTGTGGTTGAGTTCGATCAGTTCCACGAACAAGTTGGGTAAGTGGGAGTAATGGGGCGTACAAATTGCCAAGGGGACGGAAGAGTTCTTCTCTACTGGAAAGGTTGGAAGGGAGGGAGGGGTGGTTGCGACAAAGGAAATGTAGAGAGAGGGTGGTGGTGATGAATGGTTGACGGTTGACTTGATCGCTCAACCAAACATCACCACCACCCTCCAAGCGAATGGAGGTTGGCCGAAGCCTCACGCAAGATTGATGAGACGGATGAATTTGTGCGGAGAAAAGAACGAAGGAAAAGACCAGAATTGTCACGACCAGGCTGGGAATTTATGGACGTGCAGGGCGTCGTGGACCCCAATGCCCACGGTACAATCCTGATACAGAACACATGGTGGCCGACATCCACGGGCCGAAGTATCTTGCTGGTATGCAGGCCCTTTCAAATGCCGTTGGTCAGTCAACCCAACACCACCTGCAAGCCCCCTCGAGACAATTGGACAGCAAAAAGCAAATACACCGGCTGCCTCGCTTGCTGCCTTGCCGGAATACGTTGCCTACTTCTGGTCTACAGAGCCTCGTCGGGCGGATGACACTCTTGTGGTTCGCACGGCGGTGACTTTCAGATATACGATGGCAGATCAACAACACAAACTTCAATTCGCACTCCATAACCCAACCAATTGTGGGATGCGCTACCATTATACGATGCGTATGTATATGCGGTACAATCCGACAAGATCACACTTTTCATCATCTTCTCATGCATTCAATCCTCATTCCCGTCTCTCAATGCTCGAACCATTCTGCGAGAAACTCCTTCCGCCCCCAAGCTAATATCGACTCGCAAAGCGCACGCACCTTCTTCGTTCCCCGTCTTGGACGAACCTCGACTCTCCCTTGCCAGCACCTCCTTTGGTCCACCGGTAAAGCTTGTTTCGCGGCAGAAGCGGGCCCCCCTGCTTATGCTTTGCCGGGCTCGAGGAACCTCGACTAGGTCCTGCAAAGAATCCCTCAACTCTGTGCACCCTGCAAGGCTGATAAATTCCCATTGCTCATGTAGCTCAGATCAACAACTCCTTGACACATATGCAACATGGGCAGTGGGGTTCGAGGATTAGACGAGCTCCCCGCCAAAAACAGAAATACAAGAAAGCAAACACGTAACCAAACGAAGCCATGTTGATAATCCAGGGCTCCGTTTCAATGACGCCGGGTCTTGTTGAACATGACTCGGCTGCAGCCAGGCGAAGTACGGCCCGGGGCGTGGGGATGGTGATTTATAGGTGAGGAGGGCGCGAAACGAGACATGGGAGGGAAGGCCAACCAGCCCATGACCGAAAGAGGAGGTAGCCAACCCATTCTGTCATGGATCAATTCGAGTTGTCGTCCCCGTGCAATCGATCCGGAGTCCAGGTGTTGAGGAGGGCTCGATTGCTTTGGTTTGTAAGGGGTGAAAGGGGTTGTGCCACAGTATTAGTTTGGAGCGCCGAAGGTTCCAAATCTCACACCGGTAGGTGGCACGTTGGGAAGTCTGCCGGTGGAGAAAACTGACATAGCCATCTAGGACATGAAAGTCGTAACAGCGTAAAAGTCGTAAGGGTATAGAAAACTAGCCACATCCACCCTCCCTCTCTAACACCTCGCCAGAGAGGGATGTGGTGGATGGATATGGCCACGGTATCGAAACAAACCAACGTTTACCGAGTTTGTTTTGCGCTCCCAGGTGTTTGCCGATATGCGAAGCCGATGGCGTAGGTGGTCGCCCACAGAGGTGTAAAACAAAAGTCTTGTATCCGAATTTCTTCTTTCCGTCTGAGCCGCAGTTGGTATCGTCGTCATCGTAATCGACTCGATCAGGGAGCCTGGATCGATCAAGAGGCGTAGATCGGCGTCATAACCACATATATGTCGCCCAAGGCATGGTGGCAACGCAGGCATGGCGTAAAACGGGAACGACGAGGCGCAAGACGCGTTCCGGACTTTACCCAAACTCTAACCTTCTTCGTCTTTTTCCAACCGCCCCGGACAATCACACCAGTCATGCCGAAAAGAAAAGTCGCAGGAAACAAAAATATCAGAAATCGAGGAGCGGGAGGGTCATGTTCCACGTGGAAGAACCGAGGAACAGAAATCTAACCCTATTACAAGACTGTATGTGTACGGATGAGTGCGAATGAAATGGAGCAGAAATAGTTGGGCGTTGGCTGGGAGAGTCCACGAACGGAGAACAAGGCTGGCTGGCGTGACGTGGCGTAGGGCGACAATCGTGCGATGGCGTCGATGCCTGTCGCTCTCTGGATCCCGACAGTGCGAGACCATCCCGAAGACCCGCGAGGTCTGCGAATGCCGCTTCAACAGCCAGATGTCGGGGAGTTCCCGAATCACCGGCAAGGAAGGAAGGACATTGGTCAATTGCACCAAAGGGGAAGGGAGACTGGGGGCGACGGTCGGCAGGAGTTCCATCCTAATGGAACAAGGGGGTGCCGGAACCGGTTCCAGCACGAGCGCCATTCTCTGATGAGTCTGGAGGAAACCAAGTCAGTACAGCGCAATGTCAAAACAGGCATCGAAGCCGCGACGGACGGCGAGGGAAACGTACCGCTACCTCGCTGCATGTGGCCGTTAGCCCGGCGTCCACCAAACCCGGTTGTGTCCCACTCTGCGGGACCGCGAGGCTGCCTCTCGGGGGCGGCTACGCGACCGCCACCACCACCACCACCACCACCGCCACCACCAACGCCATTGTTCATGCCCGGCCGCTGACTGCCGATGGCACCCGGAGCCTCGCGTGGCTGCCGGATCTGGTTGCCTCCCGCGTCATATCCACCAAGAGACATGGATCCCATGCCCGAGAGCAACTGGGCGGCATCCATGGATGACGGGGCAGCCAGCGAGCCGCCGGGAGTTGTCGGAGCCGCCAGGGAGCTGGTCTGGCTCAAGCCCGTGGTGTAGTCGCCGAAACGGGCTACATGGCCGGCCCCATCGGCTCCGTTAGCCTGCGAGTAACCCGAAACCGATGGAGACGGACTTGGGGTGTACGAACGCAGATCCGCAAAGCTCTTGACCCCGCGAAGCCCGTTGATGCCGGAGACGCCGTCTGGGCTTCCCGGCAGCTCCAGCATCGGGTTGCCCTGTCGCCCTATGGTATGGTAGCCGCCGGTGTTGGTGATGCGGGACTCAGCAAAGTCGATGGTCGCCGCGCGACTGAGACCTCGGCGGTGAGCATCTAGCGAGACACCGGGGGGGAGATGTGGGGGCGCCTGTGTGGTGGGGGATGTGCGAGCAATATCCTTGATGACATGCAGCTGCCTATGCTGCCCTTCGCCTGCGGAACGGTGCTCTAGTCCCATGTTATGCGCTAGAATGTGGATGGTGCGGCGCTGAGTGGGAGTGATACTGTTGGGGAAGACAAGGATCTCCCGATTCGGGTCGTTGCGGAAGAGGGTCAACTCGGTGTAGAAGTTTAGTGTCTCCGGATTGTTGAGATCAACATTTTCTGCCGGGGTGATCAGTGGGCTTTTCATCGGAGCCGGCTGCGGGAGTGGCTTACGCAATGGCGAGTTGCGTTGGCCGGTCGAAGCCGGCGCGTTGGTCAGGGAATGCATGGAAGTCTGCTGATGGAGAGGCATGGATCTGTGTTGTTCCTCGAGCTGGCCGCGTTTCTCCCTCTTCTCCCTCTCTATGCGCTCACGCTCGTGTTCGGGGAGCATCTTCTTGTACTCGACTCTCAGCTTCCTGCCCTGAACCTCCAGGCCGTTCATCTTCTCGATCACTATCGCCGTGTCCTCGGCGTTTTGGAAGTTGGCAAAAGCCAGACCACGGAAGACGCCCTGGTCGAAGTGATAGTTGAAGGCATAGGGTTGCGGGAGGCACATGTCCGTCATCAGGCCGGTGAGGGTCTCCTTCCGGATGTTGAAGGGGATGTTCTTGATGACGATGGCGGTGGGGATGAGATCGGTGCCGTTATTCTTCTCCTCCAAAGCTCGCAACGGCATGGAACCGTAGTTGTTCTGATAGCCGTGCCGATCGTTGCCCAGGCCGCCGCCGTTCATCATGCCGAGCTGCTGGTTCATCATAGGCGGCGGCTGGTATGATGGCGGCGGATGCATGTGTGCCTGGCCTTGGTCGGGCATTCCTGTCCATTCCTGGGGAGAGGAGAGGTCAGCGGGATATACGGACGGAACAGACGATTGGAAGCGAGGTGGACGAACCGAAGGTAGCGGCCCTCTTCGGTTTCCAGCCCGCAACCGGCCGCCATCGCCCATTGCGCCGTTCACAGTCGCGGCCCCGGCGTTGTAGTTCCAGGCCTGGTTATTCCCCAGCATGAATCCATCGGGAAACCCCTGATTCGGCTGTAACCTGTTGTGCCTGAAAGCCCCATCGTACGAGTTGAAGCGGTCATCGCCGTAAGGGGAGGGGGACGGCTGGCCGATGGGCTCAAGCTGGCGCTGGTTCGGCCGGTTTGATGGCTGGAGACCTGCAGAAGTTGCGTAGCCGGGCCTCGAGGAGCTCGGCGAGCGGTTCGAGTTGCCCATAGCGTAGCCGCCATAGAACATGTCCTGTTGCTGATTCATGTTGTGGTGGATCGGTGGCGGTCAGGGCGGCCGGGCAGGCGAGCCAGAACTGCCGGAGACCGACAGGAAAGGGAGGAGGGATGGGATGGGATGGTATGCACGAGGACTTCGGACGGAGGCTAACGGGCGTCGAATCCAATATGAGCCCCAGCAATATCTGCAGCCCGATCTGCCGGTCGGAGGGTCACTTCGAAAGAAGAAAGACAGAGTTTGCTGGATGTGGAGAGTCGGGGGGTGGGATTCGATTTTTGGACGCGAAAGGTTAAAAAAAAAAAAACCTGAGGAAAAAACAAGAACGATAAAATGCTAGTCTAGTGATCGATCGGACCTGCAACAGGCGGGCCTTGGTTGGAGGGCTGAGACAGACAGTCAACACCTTTTCGAAGGTGAAGAAATGCTCGATAATGGGCTATGTACTCTAGATCGTCACGTCGTCTGTTCGTCGATATCGTAAATGCAGATTTGCTTGAGATGGGATGGTAGAGAGGCCATGAGATGCAGGGAGCCGAGTGGGTGGCAGGTTGCGCCTGTCAAGAGTCTCAAGAGAGAGCAACAGACTTTTGTGTAGCGTGGGGCCGGGCCTCAAGTTTCTTTCCGGCGCAGATACGCACGGTGTACTATGATTAATTGTACCATGGCAGGAGCAACCCGCGTACCCACTGTGGATCTCTCCCCAATGTGTACTTCGCATTCAAGTACCTCCCTATTTTCTAGTTCTTTCCAGCCTCTAGCTCTACAGAGAAGTGATTCAAAGGTGGCTTGTTCAGGGGGAACGGGGTTGGGGGCGACCTGCGGACAACTTCTGCCCTTTTTCTAGTTTCTGAAATGAAGATGCTGTTATTTGCTCTTGCTCCACCACAGCGGCGAAGCATCCAAGGATGTTTACTGTTTACGGAACAGTCATTCGTCATTTGCTGGTAACCTTGGGATAGAGACTAAAAAAAATACAAAATTCCCCGCCTAAAAAGGGAAAGGGGGGCTGAACAGGCAGCGGGAGGGAGAAGGAAAAACCCGCCTTCGTGATCTTCTTGGTCCGAGCACAATGGCGGGAGCCAGTCAGCCTTCCCAATTCCACATCCATGGCATGCCAGCATTTTGGGGCCAAAGTTTGGCCCACTTGATCAGGCGAATGGGATCAAGTCCCAGCCAAAGTAAGCCAACAGCCGCGAACAGTGGCGAGTTCTTATGCACGAACTACGGGGTGTTTGTTGATTGTTTGGATAGTAGAGTAGGTTCCGCTCATGAAAGGGGGATTGACCGAGCGAACCTGAGATGAGTACTGAGCCATTCCCGTATAATAATTGCTAGTGGTCTTTATTGCTAGCGGTCACTATCACGACGGCCATTGGAGGTTGGGTATCCCCCAAACCAACCCCCAGCCTAAGGCATACCCACCTCCAACGTAAGTCGAAAGCTCTTAACATCCTCGCGAGGCTGGGCTAAAAGAAAGGGGGCTAAAAGTGCCACACCATCATGGCTCATGTTTTGTGAGACAGTGCGCATATAATCTTACAGATTATGTTTGAATGATGCTCTCAAGTGTTACTAACCTGAGGGTTCCTGGTAGCGACGACGGGAGTTAGCTGCTAAGATTCGCGAGGGAGAACCCGCCTGGCGGGGTAGACGCTCCTCGCTCGCGTCATCCAAGTTGAGCCAACACCCAACTGACGGATAAACCTTGGTAAATCTCTCATCCGTAATCTGCACGGATTATTTTGAGGCAGGCCAAGATTGTTGAAGGATTACCAGGTTGGTTGCCAGGCAGGGTTGCTGGGATGCCAGGTTGCCAGGCCACAAACTTGGCGCATGTCTGAGATAGAGCGTAATAGAGGGGCAGGCGGGCCATCCCACGGCCTCATCACACGACGCCACAAAAGCGCAGGCTCCCTTGGTCTCGTGGCGCGTCACTCTCTCCTATTATCGTCCATGTCAGGTGCACAGTCCACTCCATACCGGATATACGTCTGTTGTTGGTCATCGGCTTGTCCAAACGGCCACCACCGGATCACTTGGAGGTGCTTTCATTGGACATTAGGCCAGCATCCTCAGCAGCTGATCCTCTATCTCAGCTCTTGTGTCTCAGTCATTTGTTGGTTCGCGGCCAACGTAGCAGCCAGCCAGCAAGAAAACTTTTACTGCTCTTCTGCTAGGTGCATCTTAGAGTCGGCAATGGGCCATTGCATTGAGCAGCCGCTCCGGAACGGCCTCCGTACGGGTTTGCCCATTAGCCGCGCCGCGGCCACGTAAATTAAAGCTGCCGAGTCTCTGGAGGCTTGATCTTCAACCTTGATTCGGTAAACAGAACAGAGAGGACAACTTAAAAAAAGGAAAAAACAGAAGGAAAAAAAAGAAGGAGAAGAAGAGGAGGAAGGAAGAAAAGGAAGGGCGAAGAGGAAGGAGCCGAGAAGGGACAGGATTAGGCTCGCGGTTTTTGCTTCTGCGTCCTGCGTCCAGCGCGGTAACCATGCAGAAGAAGCTCCGCATCATACACACATACATACCTACATTGCAGCCTGCCGGCCTGCATTACGCACATGCAGTAACGAGCATCGCGGGTCGACGCAGCATCGGTCATCAGCAAGCGCACATGATTTCCCCCTTCCGTCACAAACTTTCCAACTTCGCCCGAAAATCGATGCGCCGCTCGCTCCAACAAGACAAGTGCTACATTTCAATTACGGAAACTAACAGCATCCAACAGCGGAGATCCCGCGGAGAGCCGCAGTTTCTTACGGCTTGTGATGCCAAGCCAGATAGATCAGCTGATCAGATATCCTTCCACCCTGGCGATCAAACGGACGACCCCAACTGACAGCCTTGTCATTGATCTCCATCTCAGCCATAGCCGCGTCTTCCTCATGCGGTCATTTAATTGCCCGCATCTCCCTTCGCCCCCCCGCGAACCTCCCAAGAACAGGAGATCAGCACTATGCGCGCAGATCAGATCTACCACCCCCACCCCCACCCACCAACGCCACCGGGCCCGGCTCCCCGGGGAGCCATGAAACTAGCGGAGCTAGCCAGATCAGCATTCGGCACGGCACCGGAAGTGCCAGACCTACACTAGTCCCTGCCACTCCGGCCCCTTACCCACGAGCCCGTGCGCAGCATGGGACCTCTAAGTCAGGAACGAACGTCTTGTTCTGAGGGAGAGCAATTCTTCACCGAGGCAGACAGAGCAGCACGTAAGATAATACAACTCCTTGACCAATTGCTTCCACGAACGTGAATGTAAGCAAGCCCGTCTCGCTGTACAGTACAATGCTTCGCTCCGGTCATCAGACCATCAAGTCCCCGTCCCCAACAGTTGGTCGGTTGGATAGTGGGTAGGTAGGTTGGTAGGCCCAGTTATGCCGTATTTATCAACTTGTATGCAAGCCAGGGTAGGTAGGTAGGGTAGGCTCGCTTTCTCCCTGCACCTCCTGCCCTACTATGAACAATTCCCGCTCTACACCTCGGGAGGCTTCGCCGGACGATGCGGCCACTCGGTTATCTATTCCATCCTTTGGCCCATATACACCCCAGTCAAAAGAGAAATAACAAAAAGGGGTTACACCGGGGGCATGGATGCGGAAAACAAAAAAAGACGTGTACCAGAATAATACAATGCAGTGTCGTCTGGGGGCGGGGAGGCGGAGTGTATGGGTAGGACGAGTCCGGCCGGGTCAGGGAGGCAGAAACCCCTCCGGAGGAAACATCCGCCTGAGCTTACCCGCCAGGCTCGACCGCCGCGGCGGTAGCCTCAGCTGTGATAGATCCACGAGCGGAGCACCCCTCAAGGTCTCGTCGTCGTCGTCATCGTCGTCCACCGTCTCCTAGTCGTCGTCGTCGTCTTCGTCGTCTTCGTCGTCGCCGTCAACGTCTGTCACAGGAGGTTGATTCCCGCCCGACCACCCCCACTCGCCCGCCGCATCCACGTTCACCACCATCTCCGTCAACCAGCTCGCGAACCGGCGCAGGCCCTCAGTGTCCACCGCCTGCACCGCCCCCTCCGCCGGCTCCCCCATCACCCTCGCCTCCGCAGCCCCCTTCACTTCCTCCACCGTCTGCACCCGCTTCGCCCGCAATCTCGTCCTGGTCCTCCTGACACCGCCGCCCTACCGCGCGAACACCTTGACGACCCCGTCGCCCCCGCCGCTGACCACCCACCGGCCGTCCCGGCTCCACACCACGGCGCACACGCCCTCGCCGCGCATGACCCGGTGGCTCGTCACCTCCTGCGCGCACGTGCGCTTCTCGAGCCCCCAGAACCGGAGCGACGCGTCGTGGCCCGCGCTGACGAGCTCGCGCCCGTCCGGGCTGAGCGACAGGCTCGAGATGGACGCCGGGTGCGCCAGCATGTTGTAGGTGCATTGGCCTGGCGAGAGAAAGAAAAAAGGGGGGTTAGTTAGGATGAGGGCACGGCTTTGACTTGCGGGGGGACAGGGGGGAACACCACTTACCGCTGTTCGCATCGAAGAACCTCACAAACCTATCCTCGTGACCGGATATGATGACGCCCTCGACGCCCGACCCGCCCATCGACCTGCCCCCGCCCGTCGGCCCGACCCCGCCGCTCGCGTCTTCCTCGTTGAGTCCGCCCTGGAGGGGCTGCTCGAGGCCGACGATGGTGGCGGCCACCGCGTTGACGCTGGTGAATAGCGTGCCGTCGTACGTCTCCAGGCTGGCCATGCTCCCGATCTCCTCGGCCGAGCGCGTATCGTACACGATGATTGCCGCGTCCGAGTAGCTGACGACGAACGACTCGCCATCCGCGCTGAGGGGGGTGATGCAGGTCGGGCTGGCTGTCGAGTTGGCCCGGGAGATGCTGTGGACTAGCGTGTGATGGAAGGGGGAGTTTGATGCCGTCGTTGGCTGAGGGGAGCTCGGGAATGCCGAACCGGAGCTCATGGAATTGCCGCGTCCCCGGCTGCCCGGACCCCGCCTGGTGGAACCTGGCTGGGGCGAGGTCAATTGCGGGGGAGCACTGAGTGCCCATATTTTTACAGTCCCATCTGCAGCGCCCGACGCGAGGAGGATGCGGTCGGGGGGCCCGTAGGGGTTGGTCTGGCCGAATATGGAGCCGAGCGTGGCGGGCAGGACACACAACGCCCAGACCGCATCGGTGTGGCCGTCTAAAGTGGCCTTGGGATCGACCCGGCCTCGCTCCCACACGCGGATAGTCGCATCCTGCCCACCCGAGAAGATCCAGCCGTCGCCTTGTGCGCGACCGCCCGTCGAGAAGTTCGGAGACGGCGACCACGAGGCCAACGACAGCACAGCACCGTTGTGGCCACGATGGGTAAAATCCGCCGTGACGTCCAGATCGGTGCTGTTGGCATGGCCAAAGTGCCTGTCGGGGATGTGGAACCGTTTGATCATCCCGTCATCGCCAGCCGTGCAGATCTCGGGTTCTCCCGGGCTTCCTCCCCCGGAAAAGATAACGGTTCGGACCGTATCCAGGTGGCCCCGCAATCCGAACCTCAGCTTGAAGTTGCCGCTTTCGGCCTTTTGTGCCAAGGCGTTGAGTGACAGCTCATTTTCCGCACTTCTTCTGCGCGACATGGAACTTAGGCTCTTCCTTCGCTGATGAGGGTGACCAACGGGTCCCCTGTTGGGAGACTTGGGTATGTTCTCGGCCGTCGGGAAGACATCCGTATCTGGTCGATTTGACGCAGGCTGCTGTGGTTGGTGAGCTTGGGACGTCTCGTCGAAAGACCTTTCGTTGAAGTCCCAGGAGGGATCGGCTTCTGTCGAAGCTCTTCTCTCGGAGCCATCGCCCGCGGACTCTCCCCGGCGCATGCTCCTGAGCTGTTGACTAGTTTCATTTGCGGCATCATCCATCGGCCTGTTTGTCATGGCGACCTGTGCGGCCCATTCCGACGGCCCACTGCCGTAGAGAGACGAAGGGTGCTCCGCATTAGATGACCGAACCATGGCGGTCGGCTGCGCCTCGGAGTTCTTGTTAGGGTGGGCGATGGACGTCGAAGAGTGGCCACTCGGAGACGGCGCCGGGCGCGCACTGAGCTCTCTTAGCTGGTGCTGTTGTGTTCGCATCCCTTGAGAGAAAGACTGGTCGGAAGGTTGCTGGCCCGGTTGCAAACCATATAGATCCCCCTCTCGGAGATCCTCGATAACAGGGAGCGGTGGCGACTCTCGTGGGGGCAATGGGTTTGCGGGCGAGATCATTAGATATGTAAATTCTGCCTGGCATTGGTCGAGAAGCGTCTTCAAATCATCGCGGCGTGAGTCGTCGTCGCCGCGCTCCATGTCTGCGACTTTCGACTCCAAAGGTGAGTCGGCGGGTATTTGTGCTGTTGCTAGACGGCATGCTAGTTAGAGAAAAAGGGCATGCGCATAGGGGAAGACCACGGGTCACTCACAGCGCAGCTTTTCCTGGATCAACGCGGCCCGGTCGAGCTTGGGCTTCTCGAGCTCGGTCTCGGTCTTGGGGGCAGCGTCTCCCCCCTTCAACTGGGCAGCCTGCCCCTTCACCTTCTTTTCCAATATCGTGACATATTTCCGAAGGGCCTTCTGGGTTGCGTCGGCCCTCCGCGCTTGGCCCTCGAGACTGGCTATCCTCCCCTTCATCTCCTGCTTCTCGATCTCCCAGGCGTTCCGATCGCGCTCGTGCCGGTGCCATTCCGTCTGAAGAAAGCGCATAACACCTGCGTAAACGATTTTCGTCAGTATCAAGCAACCTATCTGATAATACAGCCGTGTTGCGACGGGGGAGGCAGACCTTGCAGTGTATACTCCGTAGCAGCCGGGTGACTAGAGCTGGTGTTCATCATGGCGCCGAGGTCGTTCCCTCCGGGGCCACCCCCCAGCCCATTGCTGTTGGTAACCATGGTGGAGGAATCAGGCCAGTTCGCAGTCGCAAGAACGCTGGTGATGCGGGCCTAATCCGCCCAGGGACGGCAGGACTCGTCTCGTTCTGTAGTCGAGGATCTGCCGTCCACTTCGCCCGTCTTTCCGAAGATGGAAGGCTTTCTACCCAAGCGCATTTGCCGTCGGGGGGTTATTCGGCGTGGAATAAATAAGCTCGTCCGCAGAGAGGGTGGTTAGCCCTTGTCGTCGAACGGACAGCTGTCGGCTGGAGCTGAGGATTTTGCAGCTCCGTCCAAAGGTTTTGGGCGCTGCTCTCAATTGGAGCGGCGGACACGTGCTCTTTCGACGACAACGCGAGGCGGGAATGCTGATTTATTACAAATGCTGGAAGGAGAAGAAATATTAACTATGCAGAAGAGAATATCTTTCCGTCAAATTCACAGACGACAGAGACAGAACAGTTCGGATGCAGAGTCCTGAGATTGAAGTCGTTGGGGGTCGTAGTCGCGCGTCAAGGAATTTTCCGTCACAGCTAGAGCGGGACGGAAACACGAACACCGCCTAGCGAGCAGCCCTGTTGCCTTTGCGATTGTGGTGCGGTTGGGGAAGCTCTAACGGCAGGGTGGCCACTGCTTGTCCGCGCCTGGGGTGGGAGGTCCAATCACAGGCCACGGTTCGACGTGAGGTTGCAAGGCATCGACGCTTGGGCCATTTCTCCGAGGGTTCTCAGCAATCTCAGGGGCTGTAGATGACAGGGGTCCCAACAAAGTCCGTCCTCTACGTAGGTACTTAGCTAGGTACCTCTGGAAATCCAGGATGGCATTTCCACAATGGCTTCCATGCATTCCGCAGCATAACTACACTACATCGGACAGACTCAACGCTAGAATTCCAGCTCCTCAACCTCCATCCCACAACTCAAGCAAGTCTTCACCGTCATCCCTTCCTCGTTCTCCACCGTCCGACCCCAGTCATGGACATGCTTACCCCCCCCACCTATTGCATCCCCAAACTTTGTAGCTCGGGCCGCCCCCCGAGACCCGCCGCCGCCTCCCGCATTCCGCCTGTATGACTCTGTCCTCGTCTTCCGCTTCAAATCGAGGAGCTTCTCCTTGAACTTTGCCTCTTTCCGCCGCTTCTTGTCCGCCTCCCGCCGTTCGAACTCGGCGTCCAGTGCTTCGGTGGACCCCCATTTGTGCTTGAGCGCGTATTCCTCCACCTGGTAGCGTAGAAACAGCATCATGTCGTGCCAGTGCGACTTGTGCGGGTTCGGCCGCGAGAGGTGCGGCAGCAGCTCGGCGTCTTTGAGTTCGGCTGTTTGCAAGTATTGTTAGCACCATCGTAGGCTATGATAGGTAGTAAATAGAGTGATGGAGCGAGCGACTCACGGTCCGTCAAGAGGTAATCCTCCTTGCACTCCGTCTTGGTGAGGAGGCTATACTTCTCCGGAAACTTCTCCTTGCACCGCCCACACACGCAGCACCCAAAAACCTCCTCCCACACCCAGTCGATCTCCAGGCCCCCGCACTCGCGGCACTTCTTCCTCGTCTCCTCGTCCGCCAGCACGCTCAGCCCGGGCTCAAAGGGCCCGGCCTTCTGCCTCCGCAGCTTCCGCAGCAGCTGCATCCTCTCCCACTCGGCCGCCGTCATGTGGTCGGGCTTCCACTCCGTCACCGGCGCCGCCGCCCCCTGCCCGTCCCCCCCGGCCGCCATCGACTTATTCCACGGGTCGTCCTCGGCGCTGAGGAACCCGCCCTTGGTGTCCGTCATGGCGCTGAAGTTGTAGTCGACGTACTTTGCGAAGCTGGGCGCCGGCCGCAGCTGTTGCTGCTCGCCCGCGTCTGGGGCGCTGGCATCGCGCTTGCTGGCCAACCTCGTCGTCGGCCTCGTCGCGGCCGAGTCGTCCTCGCGCGCCCGCTTGCGCCCCGCCGGCCCGGTCAGCTGGATGTCGTCCGTGGCGACTAGGCCGGAAGACGTCCTGGGCTGCGGGCGGGGGCCGTTGCCGGATGCGCGCTGGTCGGCTTCGCGTTGGTCGCGGAGGGCTTTGGAGCGTAGTCGGGATTCTTCCTTTGGTGGGTGGGCGGCAACGTCAGCAGCTGGGTAGACTTCGTCGTATTATGCACGTTGGTCAAGGCAACTTACTATGCGACGGGTGGTTTCTGGTGAATGAGCGGGCCTCGAAGCTTCAGTGCCTGCAGCCGAGGCGGCAGGCTGCTGAGGAGCCGCTGCGCTCTCCATCGTATATGATGTTGTGTTGGCAAGAGAGAACAGAAGGATAGAACCAAGACAGCGAGATGAGTCTCTCGGATTTCTAGAAAAGTTGATGCGGCTCGGCTTGGCTTGAAGATGTTTCGGGAATTTGAGGTTTAAGGCTGAAGAGGCGGCCGATGACCACTCTAGTGAATGGTGGGGTTGATTGGTTTCATGTAGGTGCCTATGCGTACCTAGTCAACCACCACTGAAGATTGTCTCAGCCTGGCCGAAAAGGCGTATATTGCCACATGCTAGTGTATCTGTACTAGGTGGGCACATCCTTGCGGACATTAATGGTAACTGCCCGGTATACAACTCCCGTAGCCTTTTTCAGGGGAATAACCTGGAAACACAGTATTCTGGGTCTACTGTCGTTTAGCAGCCTCACTCAGTGCCTCAGGGTACACGCAAGCAGAAGAACATGGCACGTGGAGAAGGAGATACAAGCGGGAAACGTAGAAGAAGCCATCCAGAGGCGAATGCATCCATTAGTCGGAGCCTCAATCCTGCCATTGCGCATAGGCTACTAAAACAGCGAATTGGTACACAAGCCATGGAGGCAGATTCGTCCTTTCCCAAGCAACCCCAGACACCCGAAAGGGTAGCGCCAGCCAGGTCCCGCCGTTCTATAATCACAGACGAAATCGCGACTATGACCGGGAATATGGATGTAAAGAAACAGGCCGATTCCAAATCAGCGAAATCCCCGCCCAATGCTCAGCCAGCCGGCCCCTTTACTCCTCCTTGGCGCCGCCGCGACCGGCCCGCTCGGCAGCCTCGACGGCCTTCTTGTCGCTCTGGGCAGCGCCGCCCTGGAGGCCGCTCATCAGGCCGGAAGCCGCCTTGAAGGGGCGCTTGAGTTCACCAGCCGCGGGCTTGCCGAAGAGGTGGATTTTGGTCAGGTTGGCCTCGAAGGCGCCCTTGAGCGGGATGATGCTCTGGATCAGCAGCGGGTTGGTGTACTTGAAGTAGATGTGCATGACGCCCATCATGGCGACGCCCATCATCTGCGACCGCATCATGCTCTTCAGCTGCGCCAGATCGTACGCGTGGATGGTCGTCGTGACGAGCTTGCCCTCCTCAGAGGAGCCCATTGCTGCGGGTTCGACGTATTTCAGGATTGTCAAGTCTGCGTTCGGGAGGGTTTGTCAGCGGCGTTTTTCATAATACGGCGGGTTCAACTCGGCGCGCCCAGAGGTCTACAGGTAGTCCGTCGGCACTGGGATTATTTGGAGGATGCGCATACCCTTCTTCTTGTTGATGATAGACCGGATGTAGAGGTAAATGCCCAGGATGATCAGGTTGCTGAGCGCGTAACCCGCCCGGCACATATTGAGGACATCCGGATCAGTGAAGGGAATTCTCTTCGAGACCTGCATCATCCCGAGGATGATGATGAGGTTCGTGCTGTTCACGAGTCACAAATTAGCCTTGGAGCCTTGGGGGGGATGCGCTGGGAGCGAGTGGTTCGGCTGCGCGCCCTTACATCTGGGGGTTGAGGCCGGCCATTTTGAATGAGTGTTATTCTTGAACACAATGCAAGCTTTGCGCGACAAAGCTGTCTGTCGAGGTCGGTAACGGCAGGATTGAGGCGGGAGAAAGGAAACGCGGTTGGAATCTGGCGCTGAAAGATTTAATGTCGCTCTTGCTGGCAAATTCGGTGGTAGAGAGTTTCCACTTACCCCCGGTCGTGGTGTTTTTCCGGTGTAGTGGGCCCGCGCAGGAGGCGGAGAAGTTAAAGGACACGTTCACGCGGGAGCCTGTCAAAAATTCTCACCTTCCCAATTGATTTAGGGACAGATGATGCCATGTGATTGGGCTTGGCGCCCAGTCCAAGTGAAGACTGGGGATTTCCTCTCTTCTCGCCATTCAAGCCCGCAATTACGTGCCTTCACCATTTATCTATCTTCCAGTGCAGTCTCCTGGCTTGCTATTCAATGTTTGTATTTCACCATTGTTCAAAAAGCATTATTAGAACCATGCAGGAGCAATAGGCCCAAACTGCTTTCTCATAATGAAGTTGTGTTTGGCAGCAAGTTTGGCCTCGCTGTTTCTGCCCTCAACAAGTGAATAAGGGAACGATGGGGGACTATTAAAGATGGTATCTCTCAGTGATACCTGCGAATGTTATCTTCATTTGCCTGCAGGGTAGGATATAAGGCCAGTGCCTGTGTCTCACCTCGATCCCGCTCAGAGGCTCAGCTACCAACAACAATCAAGCAATAACGCCCCGAGACGAAGAAATAATGCCGGGCCGTGTGCTCACCCAGTTCTTCTTTCCCTCCTCGTCGGGGTCTCGTAGAAGCAAGGCCAAGAGCTCCTCCCGATCGCGACCGCCGTCGATCAACATCTCCAAGAACTCGGGAGGCAATATCTATCCATGGATCTGGATGAACACCCCTGCGACCTGCGCCTCTTGCTCTTGTACCAAGCGCCACGAAGAGTGGAAGGATGAGTCCACCGCCAGGCCGTCTCGAAGCGAGCGTCGCCAGCGTCTGATATCAATGTCTCCCCCGCCGCCAAACACTTGGAGCCCATTGCCGCCGGGCCCAGCGTCTCCCCATCCGCCATCGCCGCCATGCATTGCCCCATATCCTCGATGGTGCGACCATCAGCCCGCCCGAGCAGGCCATCAAGCCGCCCACCACAAACCCCCTCACCACGATGACACTAGTACTGTGGATCGCTTCCTCCGCTTCTCCGATCACTGGAGCGACGTCGAACAGGCGCCGAGTTGCTTCATTCCGCGACCGCATGGTGCCGCCTCGCGGGCTGCTTGTCCCAGACATCACGCGCCCCCGCCCGACGACGCGGATGACCGGGTCCTCCACTTTTCCGTGGTCGACAGCACCGCGGGGCGAGAATTGGCGGATATCGGGGTGGGCCAGTACATCATTACATGCGCTGCAGGTAATATCCTAAATGTGCTCTCCGGCCTTGCACCCGAGGGGTCTGGTCGGTATCTCGGCGTAACATGCCGCACTCCGCAAGGGGTGGAACACGGCGGGCTGGACCTCCTCGATAGAGCCGTTCCCTTTGGGTGGAAGTTCAAAGTCATCATCGAGGACTGACTGTTGGATGTATCTCGCTTTGATTAGCCAAATAGCGTCGAGCTCATGGACCCCGTTCTTGCAGAGGAATCCAGGGGCAGGTGTGGATGTCGGTTTCAGCTGACTAGCGTGGATTACTGCACACCTACCTAGGTACCTACCTACTTCAATAGTCACCATCGACACATTTTCTGACCAAGTCTGTATTAGTCGTAGAACCTGGGCAGCTTGCCGCTTTAATGGTGAGACGCAGTGAGCACCACCTGAGCTGAGTTAAGGATGCAACTTGTTTCCACCCCTGGTTACAGTTGCTATAAGAAACAAATTTGACTAACATCTAACATTGCACACCCCCCACCTTGGGTCCAGCTTGGATATTGCCTGTATTTGATGAACTTGTACCTATTATATCAAACTATCCAACCACATCCGCATACATAGTTTGGCAATACCAAAACAGATCAACCGGTTGTTGTGTCGGGTGAAGTTGACCATGTCACACCTGTCACCATCCAGTCCTGGTCGTATCCAACCACAAGCCTAGGCTCCTCATTCCCCAAAAAGATGCTCATTGTACCCCCTCCTTCAAAGCTGTCCCATCGGAACAGGGACCTGCCCCTCACGGGGGAATAAGTTGTTGGGCCGTCGCCGAACTCTGCGGTCGGTTGTCCGGCTCTGTAATATATATACCTCAAGTTGTCCGGACGGACGCCACCGTCGGTGAAGAATGCCTTCAGGTTGGGGACTCCCGTGTTGTATGTGTCCCGTTCGGTGCCGGTGATGACAACGTAGATATCGTCGCAGGTGCCAGCACCGCCGAGATATATCTTAGTATCACGGGTTTCCACGAGATCTTCGATACGCTGGACAATGAACCTCTCGGTCTGCTGCGGGTCGGCCAAGGGGCACTTATTCCCATTGTACTGCGATAGGTGCCCGACAAACAGCTTCCCACCGCCGAACATGACGAAAACCGTGCAGCCGTAATACTCCGCCGTAGCGAACATGTTCGACAAGCCCATTGCGAAGTCAAATACCTTGATATCGTTCTGCTTCACAAAATTCGTATCAATATTATTCTTCACGTTAAGCCAGGCCCGGTTGAGATCGCCGGAATCCCGGCGAGAGAGTGCATGTTTCTCTTCGGTGACGCTTTTACCACCAGTTAGTAACCACCGGGTCTATCAAGCAAAATGGAACTGGCTTGGACGGAGCCCGTCTGTTCACTTACTTTCTTGGCTTCAACTGCACAACACTGTCATGGGCGGCGGACGAGACTGCAAGATTGCGTTCGGTGCACGGCTCCTGGCTCGTGGCAACAACCGTAACAGTTTGCGTGACAAGATCCGATTTCGTGTGGGTGTGCCATACAGTCGAGAGCAGTGGTGCGGCAGACGATAGTGGATGCCCATGAGATGCCTGTGCGGCGGTGGATGACGATGCAGGGGGAGATGAAGAGCAGGACTGTGATGCACCGGCACCACAGGCGCTCGCCTGCAGGGAAATGGCAATGCAGTCACGCTTGCCAGCCTCCGGCTTCACGAATATCCCGTACTCCCAACCTCCCACAGGACACGCATAGAAGTTGGCCGACCCCTGCAGCCGAAGGGCGTTGGAGGCATCGATGCTGAACTCCCCACTAGGTGGCGTCTTCTTTCCACAGCGCAGTTCAGGGCCTGACGTGTAAGATAAGCAACCCTACGTCTCAACCAGAATCAGAAGGAGGGAGTACTGACTTGTTCCAAAACAGCCGAAGTGCTGTGAGTCGGTGATACGGTTCGATCCATCAATATAAAACGTTGCAGCGTCCGCGGAGCAATTCAGTCGGAGCCGCCCGTCTGACAGTTGGGCTGCGGGACGAGAAAAGGGCCCCGAACTTGAGATGGTGAACTCGCATCCGTTGTGGCCCCCGGTACGAGTGAAGGAGCGTGCAAAGCAGATGTCAGGAAGCAGGGCAGTTGCCCAGACCACTGCCTGAAGGAACCGCATGACGAAGGGAGCAGATGGGTATCTGGTTGCTACTTGTGGGGCAAGGTGACTGACTCTAAGAACGATTCAACGACCGTGAGGGGGAGGTGGGAGTCAAAATAGGGGAAGCTCCTAAGTCAAAGTTTACTTTGGCTAGGCGTCGGTAATATAGCCTGGCTCTCTGGAGACAGAATCCTGACCCCTACCACGGACTCACCCGCGGGGAGGCAGTGTTCGGGTGGGCGCGCTGCCGGCAGCATTGTTGGGGAGAGGTGGTGTAGAGCAAGTGGACTCGGCGACCAACTGCCTGAAGGTGTGATGTGACGTTGGTAACATGCAAATGATCCTTCGTGTTGAAGTTCGGTTCAGATCAGGCTTTCCCTTATCCTCCAAGCCATTTCTGTCGCCGGTCGGACATTCTCTTCCCCATGTCGGCCAATGAACCCGAAGATCCAACAACCTGTTGGTTGTTTTTTTTCTTCGTCGAAGGTGCCATTGCATATGCTTCGTCTTCGAGATGGTTCGATTTTAGGCGACATGATCGAAAATAGTATAAGCACGACGGTGTGGGAGCAGAGACTAGATGGTCGCCGTGGCTGTGTCGCGGCCGTCGTTGTAGGCGCCCAGGCGCTTAGGCGCATGCCTCGTGCCGCAGAGCTGCCGATTGGGAGGCTCTGCCGCGATTGGTTGACTGAGGCTGATCTTGCTTCTAGCCGCCTAACGTCCCTTTTCAGCTATCGTGTTGGCTGGGTTATCGCCTCATGGTTGCATCGGGATGACCCTATTTTGCGCTGAGGTTGTGCTAGCAAAACGCGACGCCACACAGAACCAAACATCAGAACCAACACCACGACCCATGGCATGCAAAGAGCAATAATTAGAACGGTATTATCACTTCATCTACCAATGATGAGCAAATATCAAGACGGAGGAGGCGGCAATAGGGCCGATTTTCATGCAGTATCGAGTCACAGGCAGGCCAACACCGCGATTCCTGCCAGCCAAATATAACTTAGCTAGAGACATAAGAGGCCCGGGGGGGGGGGGGGCTATTAGATCCGGGACATATCAATAGATGCTGAGTTGAAATGCGGATCACGTCTCTCCAGTCCCCCTTCAAAATATTGGCCCTTCTCGTCTCCATCAGGGCCATCACTTATCCAAGTCATCCGCAAGTTATCTACTATGTTGCTCTCACCGAGGACCCTACTGCTCTGGCTGAGTGCCATGTTCGTTGTTCTTACCGAACAGAGTGGAGGGACTCAGGTCATCACCTTGCAAATGACCATGACCACCCATGGTACCCACACTCAGTATATCACATCAACCGTCGTCCAGACCTGCACCAACACCCAAGGTCGCCCCTCTACAATCCTGTCCAGCCAAACCCAAGGCCATGGCTCGACTGTCAACGAAACTTCCCCTGCTGGACGTGGAACTGAGACACAACGAACAGGGCCCACTGCGTCTGGGTTACACAGCACCGAACGCGGAACGGAGACCTCGGGGAAGACGTCAACTACGAAGTCAGTGGTAGGGGCATCCACCACTTTGCCGAACACTGCCAGCACCGCAGACACTGTATCTGGGAACGACGGTACGGCAACAGATACCAGCACAGTAGTCGGAGGAGTAAGTAAGACGGTATCATTTCCAATTGACTCTTCTTCTACGACTGTCACTACCCGAGGAGAGACGTCCAACTTGCTTCCCCCGGCTTCAACGACGTCTTCTGGAGGCGCGACATCCATTCCCACGTCTGGGGCCCAGCGTACCGCCGTCCCATCGGGAAATCCCTCGTCCGACAGCAGTCGGACTGTCCAGTTCTCATCTACGCTTAGCTCGACAACATCTGTCACATCGGAAGATAGTTCAGCACCGGCGCCGAGCTCCAGTGAGGCTGCCGGCGGGGACAGCTCCACAATCCCCTCAACTGTACCCTCGTTGACGACTCTGGCCACCAATGGGCAAACCTTGACCGTACCAGCTTCCCCCCGAAGCTCTGCTACGACGGACGCAAACAGCTTGTCTGTCATATCCAGTTCAGGAATTATTATTATTGGAACGGACACCTTCAGTGTGCCACTTGGCCCCGACCCAGTGACTCTGACTACGGACGGGCACACGTTCACCTTTCCGCCCGCACCAACTACCTCACTATCGTCCCCGTTGGCACCAGCGACCTCACTGTCGTTCCCGTCGGCGCCCCCAACCTCACTGTCCTTTCCTTCAGCACCTTCAGCACCTTCAACCTCACTATCTTTCCCTTCGGCATCATCGATTTCACTCTCATTTCCGACCGCTCCTCCTCCTGTCCCGACCGACACGACACAATCGTCTTCATCAACTACAGGGGGAGCGGCTTTGGTGACATACACAACTTGGCCGCCAGATGCTGTCATCATACCCGTCACAACATCAGTCTCTAACCCGAAGAAAGAGGGTGGCAGGAGTGTTACTCCGTGCAAGCTGTGGTTCTTCTGGGTAAGTCACGGCCAAACCGCTGATATATATGTAATTCGCAGCCGCTGATGAGCTTTGTAGATTTGCATCCTGACAGACGACATCAAGATCGGCGGTTGGGAATGGTCCTTGCCCCCGGGCGTCTACCCACCGTATGAAGCCCTAACCCCCTCACACCCCCCTGACATATCTTTCCCTACTCTGCTTTCATCTCTCCCTGTCCGCCTGATTCTCGACGCCAACACTTAATTTCATAGGGGACCGATACCACTGCCGGTCATCAAGCTTCCGCCGGGGGTTGAGATCCACGGGTCTCTCCCACCGTGGCCGAGGATCACGTAAGTTTGAGTCCCTTCTCCGAGACGGCTTGGCGGATGCCTCTATGCCCCTTCCGGGGACCTCTCACAGAGGTCATGGCTCATGGTTTGGCTGCTATATATTAGTGTCGGCAACGACGGCATCCCTACATACTCGTCCGAGCCGGATCAGTGCGTAACCAAGACAGCATCACTTTGTGTAACGACCACCTCAATAGGGGCGTCAACAACACAAGTCGCCTCGGCCTGCGAACCGATCCGAGGCTGCGACGTGGAGGATTCAGCCACGACAACGGCAACATCGTCTGGCTGCTCTACCTCCACAGTTACGGATTTCGTATGTCACCCGCGCTCACTGTGCATCGACGTTTCGACAGTACGCTGACTTGAAGTGCCACAGATCGTGTCGTGCAACTCAGGCTCGTCCACCTGCACGACAATCAGCTCAGTCGTTACATCAGGCTGCAGCGCCACTCCGACCACAAGCACAACAATCGGTGCCTGCCCTGTCGTGCCCACCAAGTTCGTCGAAATCAGAGAGGTCACCTCGGAACCGACCGAGTCCCCGAGTGCCGCCCCGACCGCCCCGACCGCGCCGGAGTCATCAGCCCCGCCGACTGCGCCGCCGACGACTGCGCCACCGATGCCGACCCTCAGCCCGACCTCCGTGTCAGGCAGCGAGTGCGCCTCCAGCACGACCGAGGTGCAATGCGTAGGCGCCGGAGGGGGCTGCCTAACGCAGACTAAATGCACCACATGGACGGCAACCCCTGCGCCCCTAGCCGTGAACAAGAAATTCTGTTACCCCGAGTCCCGGTGGCCGGGCCACCTTCCCATAAGCGACGAGCAGCAGCAGCGGTACAGCGACGAGGCGTGCGACTGGTTCGACGGCGTGACGCTGAGAGAGGGGACGGCCGGCGTCAAGTCGTATACCAATCGCACGGCGGATGGGCCGCCGTACTGGTTCATGGTCGGCTGGCTCGAGGGGTGTACCTTGGAGGGTGGTTTCACGGATCAGACGTTGGATCAGCCGATCCCTAGCCTGAGTGAGGTGACTTGCCGGTCGATCATGCGGGATGACTACAAGGGCTGTAAGTTGACTCCTTTCTCGATGTTGCTAGGTGGGATAGTATTGTTGTCGTTCACAGGCTGACACGTTTCCTTTCTACCTAGGTAATAATGGCGGTGTTGGTGGGTACACAGTGGCTGGATGCATATTCTACGTGTTTAATATTTGTGATTACTTTACGGATTTTGATTGCACCGGGTTATCATAGTTGCGGCTCGGGCAAGCGGAGGCAAGCAAATACAAGGGGTTTCCAAGGCTGAGCTATTGAATCGCGGGTTCTCCTGGTTGCTTGGTTTGCGCCCCAAGACGATCAATACATGAGATTCTCGCTCACCACCCGACCTACTTGATCCCCCGTATATTCCCTCATATCCGGCCACTCGGGAGTTGGCGGCCCGTTACTACGTTGCAACATATAATTCGAGTCCTCGCCGAGAGCCTTCAGGGCTAGCTGCATCCCCTCCCGTGGTCCTCTGTACCGGACGCCCCGCACGCGTGTCCTGTTACGAAGGTGCCCGAGCGCGAATTCGAAAGTCCCGCCACACTTCCTGAGCGTTTCCTGCCTCGTGCGGAGCGGGCAGAAGCACACAGGCCTAGCTCCGGGGGTCCTTGGCCCTGGTGGGGCGCTAACCTTCCATGTCGTGACGCATTCGAGGCGTGGGAACTCTTGTCGCCCTATATACTCAAAGAAATCGCTCCAATCGCCCCGTTCTATGCACACATTTGCTATGTGAAGGGACTTGAGGCTGTCTTTGAAGCGGAGGATCGCGTCGCCAAGTGTAGTGACCGAGACGTCTATCATACGACCAAGCCTCAGGTGGGTGACGGGTGCGACGGTTGGCGCTTGGGCTAGTCCAAGGAAGACGTGGCTGGCGGACTCTGAGATATTGAATTTCAAGAAGAGCGTCCTCAGCCTTGTTGCTGCCAGGATCAACTCTAGCACTCCCTCAGCAGCCGCATCCCCTATCTCCCAGCAAATACTGAGATGCTCCAGAGAAGACGACCACGACGCCCGAAAGGTATCAAAATTAATTGTGGAGGGCGACAGCTGCTTATCGTCTATGGATGAATAGCTGTATTCAAAGTTGATGCAGACTGACCGAACCTGCAGCGGCCTGTGCTCAAGAGCGACCACAGATAGGAAAAGGTCCAGGGCATCTGCGGGGGCAAGTCCAGGGTCTGGTCCTGGCTCTCCACGATGAACACATCTACTGTCGTCGACTTCGAGGGTCGTGCAGTTGGCAAAACCGGAGATGGCGTCGTGGAACTCTTTGACTGTCCCGGAGGTGAGGTCGAGGGAGCCAGACTCAAGGTGCGGCCAATCGTGTCCTAGGCCCAGAGGCCTAAGCCGGAGATCCTTTTCCTGCTCGGCAGTGCGTAGCTTGCGGACGAAGAGCCGAATTTTTTCGTGTTGAGCAATCTCTTTCAGCCTGCGGAAGCTCCGGGGTGATAAGTCTGTCTCCACCGTCCCAAACCAGGCTGTCGCAAACGTCGCCTGTGTAGCTTCATTCAAGTATCGACAGGCTAGCCGCAAGGCAAAGAGGTCTTGCCTGTCGAGGAAGTCGGTGATGTTCTCGACAAGCTCCACACTCAGTAAGTCAAGCATGAGGAAGCTGGTAGCTTTGGAGACGGGTTGAATGATCTCTGAGTCTGAAATCTGGAGGTTCTTGTCCTAGCATTGAATACTTCAAAAGGGGGAAATGGAACAACATCGCGGGGTTGAACCAGCCCCGCGTTCCATTGCTGTTGGTTGACAGCAACACATCGACCGGGCTGGTTACAGCCAACACGGCCACACAGCCACACGGCCACACAACACAGCGACTGCTGAAACCTTGAAGGTGCATTCAGACACACCACATTGCTTCACAAATACCAAGATTGCGATTGAGCTCCTTGTCGCACAAAATCTCAGGCACGCCAGAGTTACATACACTGCACCGCTCAGCTGAATAATAACCATGGCCGATGCCCGCTCCCTCAATTTGAAGCCCCTCCTTCTGGCGGGCGGCAAGTCCTCCAGGATGGGCACCCCAAAACATCTCCTAGAACTCCCAGATGGTCGCCCCCTCTATGCCAAGCTGGTCCAGTTGCTCTACCAGGCCTGTCCCGGCTCCTCTCGGGTATACGTCTCGGTAGGAGAGAACTCGACGATGGACACTCCCCTTCGCAACGGAATCCTCCGTGTGTCGGTAACCGGGAGCGCAGACGTGGCTGACCCCCATGACATCCAACTAGAGCTAGTCAAGGATGGACCACCATCCCCCAGCAGCGTCCACGCCAAAGGGCCCGCTGCAGGGCTTGTAGCAGCTCACGCGGCCGACCCTGAGGCGACCTGGCTGGTGACAGCCTGCGACTTCCCCCTCCTCACGGCCGATGCCCTGCACTATCTCCGGTCGAGCTACGTCCCGCCCGTGACGTGCTTCCGGAACTTTGAAGGCTTCAACGAGCCGCTACTGGCCATCTGGGGGCCCGAGGCCCTCCGGCATCTGGCAGAGAACGCGCGGCAGGGCCGGCTCAGCCCCAATGACGCGATTCGGGACCTCGGGGGCAAGAGCGTGCGGCCCACGTCCAATCTCCCCGGAAGTTCGGTGAGCACTGCGGATATGTGGCTGTGGAACGTGAACACGGAGGCCGAGTGGGAGAGGGCGAAGCAACTACTCGAGAAGGAGCGGGAGGAGCCCGGGGAGCTACACGGGGGATGCCTCAAGAACAAAACTTCGCTATAACGCGACAAAAGCTATGCTACCTGCAATCCTAATTCCCCATCCTAAAAACAAACATCAAATCATCGAAGACAGTTACACATCATTGATTCCACGCTGGCGGACATCGGGTAGCAAGGCACCACCGCCCCGGCCACGATCTCCTGCCCCTGGTTCAGATGCACCCAACAGTTCGCCTCGACGTACGGCGCCACCCTCCAGGGACTCTGGTCCTTACAGAGCGCGACCGCCTTCCCGACCTCCGTCAACCGCATGACCCCGTGCCGGAAGCAGTCCATGCACAGCGGGCAGGGGCTCTTGTCCGTCGCCTGCGTGGCGCACCCCCTGCCGTCGCCGTCGAGGCGCGTCGAGCACCGGGAAACCAGGGTCGCGGGGATCGGCCGGTCCAGGGGCTGGCCCTGTACATGCCGGAGGTACGGCGTCACCAGGAACTTGAAGCCGACCGCCGCCGCCGCCGGGTCCCCGGGGAGCCCGAAGAAGGCGGCCCTTCCGCCGCCGGGGCCCGACACGGTCGCAAACAGTGCAGGGCGCCCCGGACGGATGGCCACGTCGTGGAAGTGGATCTTGGCGCCAAGCCTGGCGAGCACCGTCCTGACGAGGCAGGACCTGCCGCTCGACACGACGCCCGTGATGATGAGGACGTCCGAGTGCAGCGACTCCAGCTCGCCGCGGATCGCCTCCTCCAGCGACGCGGGGTGGTCGTCCCTCATGACGCCCAGGAACTCCTCCTCCGCCCCGGCCTCGTGGACCGCGGCCATCAGGTACGGCCCGTTGATGTCCCGCCCGCAGCTCGCCCTCCTGTCCTGCCGCACCTCGCCTCTTGCAGACACAATCTCCCTCCCCGTCGACCAGATCCCGACCTGCATCCGCCGGACCACCGTGATTTCGCTGACCCCCGCCGCCGCGAGGGGGATGACGTGGCTCGAGCGGATCTCCTCCCCCGCCTTGATGATCACGTCCCCCTTCCTCAGGTCGCTCCCCGCTGCCCGCAAGTTCGACCTGGGCTCGACGGGCTTGGTAATCCTGATATACCGAGCGCCAATGGAGAGCCTCTTAGCCAGCCGCGACGGCCCCTTGCACTCCTCCACCTCCTCGGCCGCAACGCAGGCATCGAATCGGGGCTCTCCGGCGGCAGGCGCGTCGGGAAACCTCGTCCCGGCCGCGACCTCGACGGCGACCTCGGCCCCGTCCTCGGCGGCGGCGCCGCTGCCGCCGCTGCTTCCGGACAGGGACAGGGACAGGGGGGACATGGACACGGACACGGCCCCGTCGTCGCCGGCGGCGAAGACGCCCGTCCTGACGCGGTAGACGACGGGGTTCGCGTCCGAGGCGTTGATGGTGGAGCACGAGCGCACGGCGAAGCCGTGGACGGCGGCGCAGTCGAACGGCGGCGTCGGCTCGGCGCTGGCGTGGTCCCTGCCGGCGACGCGGCCAACGCCGTCCTCGAGCGGGACCAGGTCGGAGCACTCGACGCGCTTGGACGACATGTCCCGGGCTACCGACTCGATGATGTCGAGGGCGCACGAGTACCGTATCGCCATCTTGTCTGCTGCTACTAGCCGTGTCTGGGGTGATTCGAGTACGTCAATATGTTTGTCGTCCAATAGCCTTGTGCTTTGGAAGTGATTTCTGCTCCAAATTGCATCGTCATGTATCGAGACGTCAGCTTTAAATTGGCAGTTACTGCCTTTGCGGACTGCTCTAAGCCGTCAATTAGACCATATCTTATATCTTTTGCGTACATTTCCAAGGTGAGGCGATAGGCCGAATTGTAGAAGTGTCTACCAACTTCCAAATGTTGTCACAATGACGTTTGAAGCCTCCCAGCAGGACAACCTCCGCAATATAAGCTCCGTCTGCCAGCCCCTCGTCCTAGTCGTATTCCTTCCTCTTACCAGTCAATGTCTGAGGTATCGCAGCAAACAGCCATCGGACGCTTCATCTATCACCAGACTTCACCATCCCCCGGTTCCCTCCTAGCGAGCCCTTCCTCGACAGGGAGAGGCCAGCCTATGGAACCAAAGTCTGTTTCCATGACGAATCCAACTATCATGCCTCAGACAACGCCTCCCAATCGACTGCCACCACTAGTACGGGATCGACGTGTTTGGCTCATGCCAGCCTGTTCAACGTCGGTCCCGTTGAAACCGCATTCCTGTTTCCCCCATCTCGCCTCTGCCGTGGGTACATATTAGGTCCCAGAGATGGATCGACGTGCATTATTCCATTCCCCCGGACGCCGCATTACAGGAATATATATGACCCAAGCCCTCTTAGGTAGCCACGCGGGGCCTGGTGTCATACGCACTGCGCACTCAGTACCGATTTTGTGTACCGATTTTGTCGAGTGCCTCTTGCCGCCCCATGTTCCATGGAGGTCGTTGAAGCTGTCTTTTGAATCAATTCTACTGGATTTCGCAACCTTTCCCCTCTTCTTCACGTCCCAAGACTGAAGGAGAACCAAGAGTTTGGGGTTTCCAGACAAACGCATTTAGACCGACAGGAAGGATGCAGGCCGAAAGAGTCGACAGGCTCCTTGCAGCACATCCATGTGCTGTGGAACCCCTATGTACCCCTTTGGCACCAAATTGGGGAGGAGAGGCAAGATTACCCTCTTGAGATTCGGAGTCGAGAGGATTGTCGACTGTCCGGCCCCTGACATCCAGTGGAGTTGTCCAAGCCGGTTAATCGCCCCCCAGATATCCAGGCAGCCCAGTGTCTCGGTTCCTCCTGAAGTTGCATGGGGCCGGTGGAGTTGAACCCACAGTGTTCCAAGCAGCAGCCCACCGCTCCCAAGTGCATGTGACCCCATATACGTACGCCCTCTGATCCTCTTTGACTAGTTAAGAATCTTCCAGGATCTCGAGCCCTCGAGGTAAACGGGGCAAGGGACCGGCTGTTTTCTCCTTGACTCTTTCTTTCCGAATCCGCATTATAGACTTACGTCCCATACCCTCGGTCCTTGCGTCCTACCTAGGTATCCCTCGGTCAACGCGGCCCATAATTTACCCCATTCCCCCTTATCCGGGCCCCTACCTACTTGACAAGCAAGTTGCCACCAACATTATTTTCAGTGTAACTCCGTCGCGGTCGGTGACAGCCGAATCCTTCGAAGCCTCGGCAAAACCTGCCTCTCTGATGTAATGTTGACGCTACGCATCTCCTGGGACCCAGACTCCCAGTGGGGACCAATAATCGATCCAAACAAACTTTACTATTACTGTTACGTTTAAGCATATCACTGGGTAAAACGCCACCCAGCACTGCGGGACCGGGACTGAGTCGGCATCGTTCGACGAATCGGTGTAGCGCCGGATATATCGCTGGTGACCGGCTTTGAGTTCGGTTCCGGACTTGCATCCCCTCCTCAACCATGTCAACCGGCCAACCAAGGTCGGCAACGATCCTCGGTAATACCGGCGCAAACCGGCGCAAACCTCCGCGCGACTCGGGCCCCCGAGAACGAATAATGCCTAGACTGGTCTATGGACATGCGATCATGCTATGTATTTACATGTACAATACGAGCTCTCGTCCAGCTACCGACTGGTACGACCAAGGCCTGCTCCTCGCCGTGACGACTTCCCGTCTGGGCTATCAACCCCCCGGGCAACAGTAAGGTGGGCCTTGGTCTGAGTTCCAAGGCGACATATTCCCGCCTGGGGTTAGGATTTAAGTTTAGACGGGTCTAGAAGTTCGGATACCAGAGGTACAGTGCATCGGAATTGATCAGATAGTTCATGTGGGCCCTCGAGGATACCCGATACATGATACATGATACCGTCATGTCTTTGGACTGACCCGGGCTTATCTCCCCCGAAACATTCATTAACCTGACATTATCGTGCCTGTTTTAGCAAACAGCCAGCACGAGGGGCATTCCATGAGCCGGATTGGTCTGTCCCCCGTACCTGGCCAAGTAGCCAAGAGTCTAGATGTGAGGAGGAGGAGGAGGAGGAGGACCCCTTTATGTGGCACTAAGGGAAGGAGGTGTAGTAGCAGGTGTGAAGGTGGCCCCCCACTCCCCCACACTCTCACCGAGCCCTCGCCGAGGATCCATTCCCGACTCGGTCTAGTCTAACGCGCTGCCGTACTAGTTTCCTTGAACAAGCTTTAATCGTCTCCCCGCTCGCGCCAACACGGATTCTAGCGACCATGGACGACAACGCTATCCAGCAGCGACCATGCACGCTATCCAGATGGCCATATATTCTACCCTCTCCAGCCGGGTTCTCGGACCGCACTGCAACTAGCGGCGTTGACAGCCGCTTCTCGACCTTCGGTTTATGGTGTGTTCAGGGGGCCGCGTCACCTATCCAGTCGGCAGTCGACAAAGACGATGGAAGGGTGTGGGAGAGTCGAGGTGAGTGCCAAAGGGAGCTATGTAAGGTACGCCGTCTGAACACTGGCCACGTCTCAGGGGGGTTTCGGTAGAATCACAAGTTTTAAGGGCGGAGACTGGAAGAGGAGCCAGAAGAAGTGGAATAGGGGAACCGGCCGTGGAGTCTTAGTTAGTTACCAGTCTCTAGTCACGATCCCCTCTTGCGACATGCCTAATACCTAGTTTCTCGATAACCCGTGAGAACAATGCCCCTATGCCATCACGGCCTGCCAATACTCCTGTGCCTGCTGATATAGCAATGCTTGCGTCCCAAAAATAAGATAATCACTACTCTGAGCATGCCAAAAGACCCGAGGTAAGCAAATTAAACTGAGGTAAAATATCCTACAAGCCCGGTGAAAAACGAGGGCAAGCTGTAGAAACGTCGTGCCATCATCGGAAAGTAGCAGGACCAAGGCCGGGCTGCTGCGTCCCGGGCCCAAGGTACGAAGCTCCCAAGCCCGGGCCCAAGCCCGCGTCGAAGCTCCCCTGAACCCTTCCTCCGCCCGCAGCCTCCCCGCTCCGTCCCACAGTCGCCAACCAGGCGCCAGTCACACCCTTAGCAGAAGGTCCAAGGCGCGGTGGTGGCGGGACCTCCGCCGGCAGTCCCGCGGCGGGGGCGGGGGCGGGGGGCAACTCCATCAGCAGCGGCGGGAGCGGTGGGCAGGAGACGTCGGCCGAACCCGCGGCGCCGAGGTCGCACAGCAACCGCGCCGTCTCGGACGCGGCGGGGTGTCGCGCGCCCATCTGCACGAGCAGACGCGTCCCCATGGCGACCGAGGCCCGGTGCTGCTGGGAGGCGGCGTCCGAGGCGGCGGCGGCGTGCGACGCCGCCACCTGCAGCGATGCCCCGCGGCGGTGCGAGTGCGCCGTGGCGGTGGCAGGGGCCTGGACGGGAAGCTGCGGCACCGAGTGGCGCTTGCCCTTTGGATCCGGGCCGGGGTTTGGGGCTTCGCCGCGGCTGGCCAAGGATAGTTGCGCTAGAGTCGCGGCCGAGACCATGTGTGGGAGAACGGCGGGGGCGTGTCTGAACGTGAAGGCGCGTTCGTACGTGTCGGCGTGGCGCAGTATGGCTAGAGATGAGCGGTCGTACACGACTTTAGGGGAGGCGCCGTCTCTGAGGATCAATGGATCGTCGGCGAAGGGCCGAAAGAGCGCCACTAGGAGATAATGGTACCAGATCCTATGGGGATTCGTTAGTTGCTGGGGTGCTGGGGATGAGAAAGGTCTTGGTAATGGTTGGCTTACTGGGCAAACAAGGCTTCTCGTGTTATGTCGGTACCTATGGGGAGCTTGGGCTCGAAGGATTTCCACGCAGCCAGGCACTCGCCATAGGCGAATTCAAGGTCTGCCGTCGACGTGGCATTCTCGTGATGGAACGTCGCGAATGAATGAACAACCTCCGTCACACGATGGACAAACTGGGCGGAGGGGTGGCAATTGGGGAAATGCCCCTCGAAGTGTGCATGTAAAGCGAAGCCTGCGGGCGCGCGTGAGCCAAAATTCTCGGATCTCAGAAACAGAAAAAGAAAGCATGCTGACCTCGTTCAAGCCGCGCGCGCGGCATGTCTTGAGGAGAGTCAATGTCATCCTTGCCGATCCGCATGAAGAAGAACCCATTCGCGGGAGCGAGAAACCCTGTAAGGAGGCGAAGGATTCTGTTCCGAGGGGTCTCAAGTTAATATTGTGCAGCCCTAGCGAGCCAGAAGAAGACCACCAAAAAAAAGGAGAGTGACTTGCCGGCCCAGAGACGAAGCACCACAAAAAGTGTTTGCCATGACCTCTTTGTGCTCTTGACTCCCAACCTGATTGGATTGGTCACCTCCTCTGAGGGACAGGATGATGGAATTCCGAACGCACTCATGCACGTAGCCCCAGGCGCTATCGTCATTACCTAGGCTGAGCTCGACGAGTGCTAATACGCTGAAGGTCTGGATGCTGGGGATGTTGGCGTGACAGTCTTCGGTGCGAAGCAGCCTCTTTGCCTCGGCGATGAAGTCGGCGCTCGAGAAGGCCATTCCAGTCGTGTCGTACGATTGGAATGCGAGGCCGAGAATTGCGTTCACCAGAGCCTTGGAGCAGTATCTCGGAGTGCCGCTTCGGAAATCCTCCATGAATTGGTCTCGGCATATGAAGGGGAGCGCCGGGAAGGATTCGGTGAGGTATCGGAAAATAACTCGATGGGCTGACGGAAAGTCTATTGGCATGGATGTCCAAGAACATTGAGAACCAGCTGTCGAGTGCGGTGCGGTGGAGGAAAGAAAAGGAGGATGACAGACTCTAGCCCCATTGTGGCTTAGAGATGGGCCAGGCAAGTCCAAGTCGGCCAATGCTGGTTTCCCAATATCCACGAAGGAAAAGCCAGCCGGATCCAACAAGTGATAAGGATTCAAGCCGGGATGAAGCGGGCTTCTCTTGTCATTGTCGGGCATGCTTGGTGAGCCGCCGAAGGTCAAGGATGGCGACGATTCCATGTTGGAGGAGCCCGAGTGAGAGACTATCGAGGGAGAGAACATCGAGGTGGGCGAAACTAGCTCAAGTTTTGCCTCGCGAGCTGTGGGTTGCTGATCAGATGAAGACTCGGGTCCTTTCAAGGCTGTTGAGTTCATGGACCACCAACGAGCAATCTCCTCCGGTGACTCGATCCCATCTATCATCGCCATCACGTCTTTCCACCCCTCGGCGTTGCCGCCCACTGTCAAGGCCCGAATCAGGGCGTAAGCTCGCCGCAGCTTTTTACGGAGCTTCTCGATCTCGGAACGTAGAAAGTCTTTTGTGCGCCAGGTCTTGTCTTCATACTCGCACTTCTCGCCCCGAGACCTGCACCTTTTGCAAGGTGTTATGCCATCGCACTGGACAGTGATAGGTTAGTTGGAAAGTCACGATAGGGTGCCACTTTCGTAAAGAGGCACGATCGAAGGATGAAGGAGGGTTGTACGAGGGGGAGGGGATGGAGGGACAAGGCACACTCGAGGAGGAGGGCTTGCGGCAGGACACACCTTCGTCCTCTTCCGGCGGCAAAGAGTGCATGCATTTGCCGTGAGATGGTGTCTAGGCATCGTGTGTGCGTTACAACGTGTGGTGTGCTACCTCCACGTCAGTTTGGATGAATGCATTGCTCGGTTTAAAGGGGTTTCTTGATCTATGCCCCGCCTCGAAGGGGGTAGCATAGGGTGGGAAAGCTTATATAGGGTTCGACTTGCCAACCTCGCCCATCCCGATCATTAGATTAGGTTAGGGAGGTGGGCAACTATCGTACCTACCTAGCTAGGTAGCATGCAGTACCGATAGTAGGTACCTACCCAAGATAGGTAGAAGTGGCAAGACCCTCCAGTCCAAGTGTCTCCGCCGCCAGCAACATGGATGTTACAAGAGCGGCCGATGGATTTTGAGTTTGCGCTAACGAGGCAAGGTCCGCAGCCACTGGGAAGAGGCAGAACTAGAACGGGTGTAGAGGTGGGATGCTTAGGTTGCCAAGTGAGAATGGCATGCAAGAGGAGGGATTGACCTTGAGGCTCCCAGAGACTGGCATGCTTTGCATTATGTCTCAATAGAACCCTCAGAAACGATGTGTTTGCAGAGGAAGCTCGGAGTCGACACATGACGGGATCCAAGGTAGAATACCTAACATACGGCGCTTCCGGCGAATGCAATACCTCCCTCCTTTACCTACCCTCCTTTACTTACCTTACCTACTGTCGTATCTTAGGCAGGCTAGGTAGGTACCTAAGTGTTAAAGAAGATAGCGGCAGCCGCCTCATTGGACCTCGGGCGACGGTGAGGTTCCTTCAGTACAGTACCCCTAGGTACCCAGAACTCGTCCCGGGAGGCGGAACTCAAAATGACGCTCGATTCCCTGGGGTGGTGGGGAAGTTCCAGATGCCGCCATGTCGAGCTTTTCGGAACGGCAATTGGTTGACAACGGCTGCCGATCCTCGAGTCGGGCGGTCCGCCACACGGATTGTGCCGAATGAATAATCACCATCGCCGGATACTAAAAGGGGTCCCCAAAGCCGTTCGCGTTATTCCCGTCCTCGTCGGCACGGAGGAGACGGACGACGAGGGAAAAGGCAGCATGGCGTGGCCGGAAGAGGGACAAGAGAACTGGGTAGGTATGCCCACCTAATCAATTAGGTATCATGCAGATGTTTCTGTAGCCGTTGTAAAGCTCCCACTTGACTCTCGAGATCGACCGATCAGCATAAGGAGAGGCTTCGAGTTTTCAGCGGCCACCGTGCAGATCGACAGGTCCGCCGCCGGTGGCTTCTAGATGGATTGCCAAGGCGCCCGTTTAACATTTGCCAAGATCCCGTTTAACATTTCTCCGCGGGTGCTGTTGTGAATCGGAAGAGGTGCCATCATGCCCATGCCAGAAGATCGACCGAGAGATGCGGGCCTATAGTCACGTGATCCCCACCGTGCCGAGTCCGCTCTCTTGGCGGCGCTGGGCCTTCCTTTGGGCCAACGGGCATTTGAGCCGCAGAAATTATTGCCATCCCCAATCAGAAAGGAGAGGGAGAAGAGACCAAACCGCAACCATGCATCCGACAAGGTGCCTGCTCAAGCGGTCCATGTGGAAAGGTGCGTTCAGTGACTTTTCCCTACGAGCCATTTGCAAGAAGAAACTAACTCTCGCGTTTGCCAGGGCCTCACATTGTCCCGTAAGCATCAGCCTTCCCCCCCCTCTATGCCCGGAGCGGAAGAAGAAACAACCCATCCTAACACTTCCCGACCATGTCTCCAGTCTCCCCATTGTCCGACCAGAGCCCGGGAAGAAGATCGTACCAATTCGCACGCAGGCCCGTGCCGCAACCATCCTACCCAACTTCGTAGGGCTCAAGTTCCAGGTCTACAACGGCAAGGTCTACCACGATGTGACCATCACCGAGGACATGGTGGGCCACAAGCTGGGCGAGTTCTCGCCGTTAGTAACCCCCCGATCTGTTTGCAAATTGGGCGCAAAGGCCTGGGACTGGTGCTGACGGAGATATAATCCACAGGACAAGAAAACCGTTCGTCTGGACCAAGACCAAGTAGCCGTATCTGTGGGATATGACAAGATTGGTGTGTTCTGGCATGGAGATACCACGAGGCGTCGCGAAGGGAATATTCTCAGTGCTTTGTTTATATTTTTATCCTTTTTTTCTCTTCCCAGAGATGTACAATGTATGTACGATTCAGTGCTCTATGGAATAGACAGGCGCTGGGATTGTAAGCCATCCGAGACGCCAGGGAAGGCGGCGTGTTTCTCCGACTGTGATGATGATAAACACCGTTGAACGCCTGCCTGCCGCCGAAACTCCTTGAAATACCATGATCCACCTAGCCGCGCGCCGTCCATCCATCCATTCTTCCCTTGACGCCATCCATGTGTCCCCTCGACGCATCCATATCTTCCCATCCAGTCCCGCCTAGCGATAAAACTCCCCCCTCTTAACATTGACCCCATACTCCCCAACCGCCATTCCCAGCTCCTCCATGGTGAGCACCGTCCTATTCTGCGTGCCCCCCTGGCCCCCGCCGCCAAACCCGGGCCTCTGTATCCCGAGCGGCGCCCCCGCCCTCCCCTGGTCCTTACCCCCGGGGGCCCCCGCCTGCTGTCCGGGGACCGGGAACCCGGCCGCGGCGCCCAGGCTGCCCATCGGGTTGTTGGTGTTGGTGTTGCTCGCCCGGATCCGGCTGTACTGGTATGCGTCGGCCGCGATGTCGGCCACGAACTTCTGCGTCGCCAGCGCGAGGAGGCGGGCCAGGCGCGGGTCCGTCTGCGGCGGCGGGGGGAGGCCGGCGCGGGTCATGTAGTAGTGTGTTACGGCGTCAGGGATCTGTTTTTGGGGGGGAGGAAAAGGTTAATTTGGTCATTTTTGGACCATCAAGCAGGAGGGGATAATGCCGGTGAAGGCTGGTGCGCTATGCGTGTTGTTCAACGTACAATCGGGGCGTAGTCATCCATCTTGCTGAGGAGCTCCTTCAGCGAGGTATCTTTGCGGGTCGGCAGCCTGGGTTCTAGAAGGGCTGGGGCTTCGTCGCTTGGCTCGGGCTGCGCGCCGTTGGGTGCGGCAATTGCCTGCTCGGTATTCTCGGGCTGTGGATTAGTCGCCATTCTCGTGAGATGGCACTGGCGAATATTTTGATTGTTTGATTGTAGAAAGGTGGATGGAGATGGAAGTTGATGATGTCTTGGCCAAGGTTCTCACCAAGGTATCAAGGTCACGTGTCTTCCGAGCGTGCTTAGATCCAAGGCCGCCTCTACTATTGTGTTCGTATAATAAGATATTGGACGAGCTCCAAACTTTTATGGAGAACTATATGCCATTTAGGGCTCTCTTATGTCATTAGACATTAGACCATAGATGGCCAGCAACATCTGTATCTCTAGACGCAAAAAGTACATACAGTAGGTAGCACCTACGTACCTGATAGCTAGGTACGTACAGCGTGGCCCTAGCAAGGACCCTAGCTCAGACTCACTGGTCAGTTGCCACCAAGTATCTCTTTCCCACAGTTTAAACACCAAGAAGCCATTCGCGATCTCACATGCTTACCGTCGCCGTGCCCGAGGCGCTGGCATGGACTCAAACGCGTCGTCTTCAGAAATCTCGTCATCACTAATCTCTAGAGCCTTCTGACTTGCCTTCGATGCCGGCCTTTGGGACTGGGAGAAATCCAGCGTAGTCTGCCTCGTCGACCTCGTGCTGGCACGGGCAGGTTGTGCTCGTTTGGGAGCAGCGCGAGTTGGTGCCGGTTCAGGCTCTTCATCCTGATCCACAAACATGTCCTCGTCGTCATCTTCATCGTCGAGGAATGGGTTGTTCGGCTTCTTGCGGCCACCCCTTGCTGGGGCTTTCTTTGCCGCTGCAGGAGCCTTCTTCGCGGGCGCCGCCTTGGCAGTTCGTGCCGCAGCCCCTCGCTTCGCGGGGCCATTCCGGACTGGCTCCTCCTCCACATCGTCCATGACCACGTCGTCCTCGTCGTCCTCGAGGACCGTCTTCTTCGCTGCCGCTCTGCCACGAGGGCGACCCTTTGCTGGAGCGGCGACTTGCTGTTCAGGCTCGTTATCTATCGCCTCCGGTTGATCCTCCCAGTGACCGTCTAGGTCAGAATCCCAGAAGTCGGGTTTCGGCTTGAATCTCCGCTTCTGTGCCTGCCTCAGCTGCCCCGCGACGAACTGGGCTTCCAGCTTCGCCCGGTAGCGCTCCATGTGACTATCGAGGTCCCCGTCCTCGTCATCGTCCAGGGCAAGGAGGTCCTTCACTTGTCCCGCAAGAGAATCTGTGACGAATTGCTCCATCGCGTGTTTATCGTCTTTACTCACGAACTGGTTGACAGCATCGCCGAATGGCGCTTGGGGTAAAATCTTGAGTGACTGGGCTGCCAGGAATTCCTGGACCAAAGCCTCGACCTTGATAGTATCCATGGCTTCGAGGGCTTCTGCCGCCCCCTCGGGTAGTTCCCCGATTTCTTTGTCACGCTCTGCCGACGATCAGTATCCCACCGAGTCAAACGCGGCAAGCGTGACTTACTTTGCCCAGTCTTCTTCCGGTAGAAATAGACCACATCATTCGTATTTGCAACCTTACCCACGAATCGATTCGAGAAACGTTGCGGGTTCTCAACATCGTAGTTGCCGCCTTCGGGTGCAGTATACTCCACTTTGAGGCGGATCAACGGGAGAGGCTGCTCCTCCTGCTCCTCGCCTTCATCTTGTATGGACAACCAATCGGCATTTGCCTGCTCGATCATCTCTTCCACAATGTCCATTAGCCTGCGGGTGATCTCCTGCCGGTTGTCCTTCTTCTTGTCCACGCCCTTGAAGCGCTTGTCCGTTGCCAAGACTATCTCGCCGGTGACAAATGGTCGTACAGTCTTGAGGGGGATCTTGTCAACTTCAAAGTCCTTGCCGGTGACGCTGACTATGGCGACGTGCTTTGGGACAGCCTCGCCTGGGACAAGAGACGTAGCAACAGATGATCCGGGCTGCATGACGTGGAAGCCTGTTTCCGGGTTCTGGCGAGGGTCTAATAAGCACTCATGCTCGTGGCCCCACACGATAAGGTCCATGAAATCTGGAAGCATATTCTCCGGGAGATATCCGGTGGCTGTGTGGGCATGGTGGTTTTGATGAACGGTCAGGAGGTTGAAGAAGTCTGTTTTCTGGATGTTGGGCCGGAACCACTTGACCTTATTGTCCCTGAACGTACGAAACATGCGCTCGTCCCGTACATTGCTTAGACCGTACAAGGCAAGCTTTGTGTTGCCCTTCTGAAGTAGAATGGGCCGGACCTGTATGTTGTCTGCCTCCGGAACCCGGCCAAAGTAGTTCACCAGGCCCGCAACCTGTAGTAGATCGAGGGAGCAGAAATGTCCGTCACCGCTCGGGTCGTCGTGGTTGCCGTGGATGGAAAAGACAGGGATGGAGATATTGATATCGGGGTCCTGGTAGTTGACGTGGTTGAACGCCCCCTCGAACACCTCGTGGGCATCGCTCAAGAACTCTAGCTCGCAAGGTTTCATGCCAAGGCAGTTCTTGCGGAGGGCTCGCATGACCTGATACATCGACTTTCGCGAGGGCTTGTTGTCGTGGAAGAGGTCGCCCCCAAGCAAAACCATGTCGACATCTTCCGATCTTGCCAGATTTAATATCTCCTCGAATGTCTTCCAGCTATCGTCTTTCCGGATCGGGTCTCTCTCTTCGAAGCCGACATGGTTATCCGTCGCAACCAGAATGCGGATAGTCTCCGCTCCTAGTCTCCATTAGCATTGATCGTGGAAGAGCAACCGAACTTGCGGCTTGAGCCTACCTGCCGGTGGCATCTTTACGATACTGGACTGTGTTCATGCGACTGAAGTAGCCTCTGATTACGGCAGAAAATGAAAGAGACTAGACTGCCGATGTAGCCTTGACAAGGCCGAGGTGATGGAAAGATTGTCAATTGCGGGAGAGGATGGCTCGTTGCAGAGCTCGAAATCGCGTCAAGCTCGCGCAGGTAAGATCGAGTCAAACGCGCCATCACATGGTCCCCCCCCCCCCCACCTTGAAAGAGGACCCTTGAAAGAGATGGGAGCTCTACCTGGTCCGAGCGCCTGGTCCGAGCGCCTGTTGCCTAGACTATTCCCCCTGTTCCATGGGGAGGGAAAACAAACAAGACATTAGACACTTTTGGTGAACAACCCATGTAATTGGAGTTGCCGAGTTTTTGTACGTATCATCTGAAGTTGGGCGAGATACATTAATTATTAAACATTTCAAAGAACCCTTTGTCAACCTAAGCAATCTAGAGGAGCAGCCTAGAGTAGATTTAACGAGGTGGTGAGGGGCGGCAATATTTCGACAGCACTTGCCATCTATGTTTACTTCCCATCTCATTCCACGACAACCAGCCCTTGCTGTTCACCAACCTAGAATTCGAAAGGGTTGTACTCATGCTTGATTGCCGAGATGGATGACCTTTCTGAGATCCAGAGAGGCCCTCGGCGGGTTCGCCGTATAGAGCACTATTCAAGACCTGGAGGAATGACAACACTCAGCCCACTTTCACAGACAGCTCGAGAAGGGTTCTCAGGGGGGACACCACCAATCATGCGGACTTTTGGCCGGCAGAGAGGTCAGTCACCATATCTTTTTCATTGAACGTACTGGTCATTGGCCCCAAACATTTGCAGCCTCGTCTTTCCATACACAATCTCAACTATGAAGCCGATCGTGTTGAACAAGTACCCTTCTCTTCCACACGCTCCTTTCTCTTGTTTCCTTTGCGTCTTTGCTTTTCACCTGAGCAGTGACTATCATGGCTCCGGATCCTTCCATTCAACGCTTTGCTTTGAGCTCCCTGGATCCTAACTGGAATCTGAACTCAATTCTTCCACCAAGGAAGCGTGCTCCTATCACTTTTGACCAGGAGAATGAAGAGGCTGTCCTTGGTGGAGTTGCCAGTGGCATCTACAATCTAGAAGAAGTTGTGGCCCTGACTGACCATCGGGGCTTTGGCCTTCCAGCCACCCCGAATGAGCCTCTTGACTCTGATGACGAGGCCCTTGTCCCGTCGCCATACGGAAGGAATCAGATCCTGCAAGATCAGCCATCATCTGATGATGGGTCGTCTGCGTATGGGGGCAACGAAGATGATGACGACGAGATGATTTCAGAGGACATGGAGCAAGACCTCGGCGAGGAAGAGGCTGAGGACCAGGAGGATGACGACGCTATCTCGGGTGAGCAAGCACCCGGCGTATTTTTCGATCCTGCCGCCTTGGGCTTGAAGGAAATCAACAACCTCGCCCACTTTGGCGTCAGCAGTCACAAGCCGGGCAACGGAGTTGAGGAGCTTTTGAGCGATGATCTGGACAGATATTGGCAGTAGGAACCCCCCCCTGATTCTTACCTTTCTCCCCCCTGGAGCTTCGACTGATCTCTCCGCAGGTCTGATGGCCAACAACCGCATTTTCTTACCATACATTTTCTCCGTCGAGTCGAGATCCGGGCCATCCGTTTTTACGTTGACTACAACCAGGACGAGTCTTACACGCCCACAAACATTGTATTTTATGCGGGCACTGGCCACCACGACCTGACGCAGTTCGCCGAAGTCCCGCTGGTCAACCCGGTGGGCTGGCAGGACGTCCCCATTGCGGACTGTGGCGGCGGCACCGACGGGCACTCGCTGTGCTGCTGGATTGTGCAGGTAATGATTAAGGAGAACCACCAAAACGGCAAGGACACGCACATCCGCGGCCTCAAGATCTACGCGCTGGACGAGTACGCCATCAACGGTGGCGTCAGCACGGCGGTCCGCGAGATGGAGACCAACATCGACGAGGCCGCGGACCGGCTGATGGAGCAGCGGCTGGGGGGCGAGGAGGACGACTTCCAGGAACTGCTCGACACCCTGGACCACGCCGAGAATGCCACACGGTACAAGCCCGGGGATGGCGGCTTTTCGAGCGTGCCCGATTTTATGCGCGACCCCGAACTCAGATAGCTGCAGGGCAGTTTGACTTGTTTCTTCTTCTTTTGGGCAGCATGGGATTATGGGCCGATGGGACTGGAGGCATTACATGGCGTTCGAAGGACTTTATGCAAAAGTTTTATGGGGCGCTAGGCTATACCCTGCGTGGCATGGTCGGCGAGTTGGATGGTTGGGAGGCCAATTCAATGATCGCGACGAGATATCATGATTTAAGTTTCCGTTATAGGACTAGATGGAAGATGGTTTGGGGATCGGAGGTGGTTGGTATCTCTTATTAATAGACCACATCAATAATAAACGTGCCCATTACAACGAGAAGAGAGGATGATGTTGGTATCACATGTGATTCTCGATCTAGGCACGAAGATGGGCAATGGGCAATTCCCGTCTTCAGCTGGGAATAATGACGGAATATAACCCCGCTCCCGACCTCGCCCCGCACCTCTGGCCTGATCTGCCTCTGAACACCACCACCATTATTGCTCCCCCAGGAATAAACCCATTAACAACAGACCTCTTCCGTTCCATTCCTCCCCCCTCTCTCCCTCCTACAACCACAATGGCCTCCCCAACAACCCCGCCCTCCCACCGCCCAATCCTCGACTTCTTCTCCCACGCCCTCACCTCCTTCCACGCCTCCACCACCTCCTTCGAGGTGATAAGCACCTTCTCGCCGCCCGCCCGCTCTGGCCCGCAGCAGCTCCTCCAGAACCGCATCACCGCCCCGGGGCCCTCGCCGCCGGCACCACCCGCGCCGACCGACGCCACCGCCCTGATCGTCCTCGACTCGTCCTTCAACCCGCCCACGCGCGCGCACCTGCGCATGGCCGTCTCGGCGGCTCGCGAGCACCGCCAGAAACAGAAGGTGCCGCCACGGGTGCTGCTCGTCCTGGGCGTCAGCAACGCCGACAAGGAGGCGCGCCCCGCGGCGCTGGAGCAGCGCCTCGGGATGATGTGGGCATTTGCGCGGGACCTGCGGCGGGGGCTGGACGAGGACGATGGGGGCGGGGCGGAGGGCGTGAGCGTCGACATCTGCCTGTCCCGGCAGCCGTATTTCCACGACAAGAGCGAGGCGATTGCGCGGTCCGGGTTCTACGGTGGCGGCGGAGACGCTGGCGGGCCGGAGCAGGTCGTGCTGGTGGGATACGACACGCTCGTGCGCATCTTCGACCCCAAGTACTACGGTTCCGTGTCGGCGGCGGCGAGCGCGGGACCCGGGGAGGAGACGCCCCTGCGGAGGGCGCTGGACCCGTTCTTTGGCCGGGCGGTGCTGCGTGTCACGGCGCGGGCTGACGCTGAGTGGGGTGGTAGGGACGAGCAGGCGGCGTATCTGGAGGACCTGCTTAAGGGGGACGGGCTCGAGAGGATAGGCGGAAGCAAGGAATGGGCGAAGAGTATCGAGATAGCGGAGGGTCGGAAGGAGGGGGAGGCAATTGTCAGTAGCACGCTGGCCCGGGATGCTGCAAAGATTCGGGACGGGGCTCGGCTGGAGGAGCTGGTCACTCATGGGGTGAAGAGGTGGATTGATGGCGAGAAGCTCTACACTGGAGATACATAGGGAGTCGTATGCCTTAGGGACTATGGCTAGACGGGTACCACGTTGTGTTGGTGTGCCTATTGATCGGAATCTTGCCGGGCAGGAAAGTCCCCAACAAGTGCCCATTGATCAATTCCTCGAGCTCGTCCAGGGCACATCGTGGCCATCCTGGGCATTCTATGTAAATTGAACCTTCCCGATATAAGTACCTCTAGGTTTACCGGTAGATAGGCAGCGCAAACTGTGATCAATTCCCAGGCGTCGCCTTCTCAGGGCCATTTTACTGCGTCCCGAGTTGGATGTTTCGCTGATTCTTCAGGCCCTCGGTGGAAATTTTGGCGGTGGGTCCTGGCAGGTCCTAGTGGACCCTGGCAGAAAGTTTTTTGACAAAAAAAAATGGCGGGCCCACCCAACTTTTTGCTTGTGGGCACGGGCCCCTTGGGCACCTATATAACCAATCCTCCCCTCCCGCCATTTCGGTTTTCTTTTCCTCTTTTTTTCTTCATGTCGACAATACTTCAGTAAGCCTCACCAAAGCTTCCTCCCATCCATCCAACAGTTTGCTGACCATACTTCCCTTCCTACAGGAGAATCATTTCTATAGTATTCGTCTTCTTCTTGGTTCCCCAAAAGAGCCACAGATTCCACCCGGGTTGATGACCACAAATCCTCGACACCCTAGAGTGAAGCCTTTCTAACTCTCGCTCTGCCTGCAAAGGTGGCGGTCCGGCCTCGCGTCGCGGCTGTATAGAGAGTGGTGATGATCTCTACCCCGGTTTTCGAGGTCTGCCTTCGGGCGCTTGGACGGGGTGGGTGTTGATGGACGTCTGACCGGCCTCTTTTTCTTTTCGCTGTGCTCCTGAGCTTGTCTCGGGACGTGGAGAAGAGATGTCTCATTGAACTGTCTGCCTGTTTCTAACCTGGCCATTCGCGTCGTACCACATTCCCATAGTACAACGTCTTGGTGGACGGGTCCCTATTCTCCTGGTGCCATGGCAGTCGTAGCAAAATATTCGGCCATGATCTACACTTGGCATGGGTTCGGGATGCTCTTTTGCACATCAAGTTATTGTATCAGATGGCGGCTCCTGTGAATACCATAGGTAGTTGTCAGGCTTGTCTCCACCCGTTCCTGTGTCCGCCGTTGGACCCTTGAGAAAAACTCTGCACTCGCCCCCACTCTACCCGTAGTTTTCGCGTGAGCCGGGATGTCTTCTGTCGGTCCGATGGGATGATTGTTTTAGCTCGGCCCGCGCAACGTCCGGTCTATCCCAGCATATTGGTCTTCGACCTCTCAAATGTGCCATGTACGGAATAGTGCGCATGCTTTGCTTTGATTAGATTGTCATTTTCACTTGCTGAGGCTGTATACCAAACGTGGGGACTCCCAGCAAAGATAAATATTTGCGAAGAGCACGATCTACACGAACAATTACATTGTCTACGAGGAAAAGATGAACGGCAGGAACGTCTATATCCAATAGTTTAGACTGTCTATATATGGTGCCTCAACAAAGCTCCACGTTTTATCTCTCCGTCATTCCCGACGCGGGGTCCACGACCGAGGCCAGTCCAACTGCGACGTCTAGTCATCTATCCCTATCGCCTTGGTACGGTAGATCATGTCGTCTCGGTCAGGCCCTGTCCCGATCCACGCGATGGGCACACCACAGAACTTCTCGACGAACTCGACGTAGGCGCGCGCCTGCTTTGGCAAGTCGTACTGTTCGGTTCGGTTGCTGTCAGCTAGGTGCCATCGTGCCTTGGAGGGGAGAAAGATGTGTGCAATCGGGGAGTTGGGAACTGGGAAGAGGTGCCTTGGAAAGGAACGGTAGTGAAAGCACAGATGGGTATACATACGTAGGTCTTGGCGCCTCGGATATCCTTTTGCCAGCCCTCCATCTCATGGTAGACGACCTCACATGATTCAAGGAGTGCCGGGTCCGCGGGGAAGTAGTCGAGTTCCTCTCCAGTCTCGCGGATCTTGTAAGCTACGGCAACCTAGTGGGATGGCACTGGTTAGCCACTTCTAATCTTGGGTTGTTGCCGGGTCATATCCACTCGCGTTCAACGTACCTTGATGGTTGGGAAGGTGTCCAGAACATCGAGCTTGGTCAGGTTGTAGGCAGTGTAGTGGTTGACAGCGGTCGAGTATTTCAATACCACGAGGTCCAGCCACCCGCATCTACGTTTCCTGCCGGTGCTGACCCCCCATTCCCGACCTGGGAGCACCATGGAATTAGCAAAGGCATGTTCCGCGAGATGTGGGTGTGACAGGCATACCAATATCTTGCAGCTTTGTGCCGACCTCGTCCGTATCTTCGGTTTTGAAGGCGCCCTCGCCTACTCTGGTGGTCTACAGGGTGGACTGTCAGTGTTTCCCCCACGTGAATCGTGCGAGACAACCCTTCCAAGCAAGCGGCAGCATGGAATTGAGGAAGAAGGGACGAGAGTACTGACGTAGGCCTTCACAACACCGATAATATGGCTGGAAAGAGAACAGGTCAGCAATGTGCATCTCGGAACCGGAGAGATTCAGGGCTGTGGTGAGCCAGCAAGCAGACAGACAGACAGCAGACTCCGAATCCACTTACTTGATTTTCGTGGGGTTTATCGCAAGCCCGGTGAAAATCCCACCGAGACCGGTGTTACTGCTGGTGACATACGGATAGGTACCTAAGTAATCCAGGTTAATAATAACCGGGAAGATAGATATTGATGGGGCGAGAGGACAACGATACAGTAGCGCCGTTCGTCGCCACTATATGGAAGTTGTCTTACCATAGTCGATATCCAGCATCAGAGCATTCGCGCCCTCGATCAAGATCTTGTAATTGCGGTCTTGCGCGTCCTTCATGTATTTGACGGCGTCAACGCAGTATTGCGCGAGTTGCGGGCGATACTCGCGGAAGCGCGCAATTTCCTCCTCGACGTCGTACTTGAGGAGATCGCCGAACCTCTTCTTGTACCCAGCCGCAAGCCGCCGCAGTTTTGTCTCGAATACCTCCTGGTCGAATATTTCGTGGACTCTGACACCGCTTCTCTGTAAAGCACCAGGGGTTCAGTATGATTCCTCTGACCTGCACTCCAGTTGTATTGGGAGCATCCAGCTTATGAAATGGCGCGGATAGGCAATAAAGGGCTTCTGGCGAAACCCTCACAAGGGCTGGAGGAATGGAACACATACCGCGGCTTTCGTGCTGTACGAGGGCCCAATTCCTCGTCCAGTAGTCCCTATCTTCTGTTCGGCTAGCTGAATTATCATTAGCACTTACTTGAAGAACAATATTCCAGAGCAAAACCCCAAGGCGGAATAGCAGACGGAGGAGCCCTGGAAACTCATATGTGGAGGCCAACCTCGATCTCTTCCAATCCGTCTACCGCTGCATGGAGATCAAAGTTGACCTGGCACCGATCGGAGACAAGTATGCGGCCACGGACGCCCGTCAAGCCCTTCTCCTCCAGTTGGCCAAGCTCGGAAAAGAAGCTGGGGACGTGGAAGACGACTCCGGAGCCGATGAGATTCATGCAATTCGGGTTGATGAGGCCGGAAGGAAGCAGATGGAAGCTGTATGACACGCCATTCGCGACTGTCCGACTTCAGGGTCAGCGGGTGTCGAATGATGGAGAAGTGCCCCCGACTTCTGGCCTAATACTTACCAATTGAGTGTCCTGCATTATGGCCGCCGGCAGCTCTGGCGCAGACCTGCGCTTTCGGGCAGAGAATGTCGGTAAGTTTCCCTGTATGATTGCTTAGTTGATCTCTCTCCCTCCCTCTCTCGACAACTCCCGAGCAGAAAAAAAAAGTTTATGTGACGAGTCACAGCGCGAGAAATGTGACTAGGTGACCGTACCTTTCCCTTCGTCCCTGTCAATGAAGTAAAAAAAAATCAGTGTCTGTTCCCTCCAAAGTAGCAGAAGCCGGGCTAATTGCAGTAACCGACCCCCATTGCGTTCCTAGAATGATGGTAGCCATTGCGTCAATTACGGCGTGAATATGTTTGGCGGGGGAGGGGTTTGCGATGGAGGCGCCGATTGTGAGCCCAGTCTAGTGGGGTTGATTTTGATGTTAGTCAGCAGGGGAATGCCAAGAATCACGTCAGAGGCGCTGCTACACTTGGCACGGACTCCAGAGATTTCTGTGCGGATTTTCTGCTTGCTAGACTCCAGCAGCGCCGAGAATATAAGAGCTCGAGGCCTCGACCTCCTTCAGCTTGGAGATGTCGCAGGGCTTAGAGGGGATGCGGCCCTGGAACTCGGCCTCGACCTTGGCCGTGGCCGGGCCGGTGCCGCCGCTCGCTCCAGCCACGGTTATCACTTTCCCCAGGAAGGCTTGAAGGCTCGCCATTGCGTCATGTTCCGATGCAGAGAAACGCCAGTACCGTGGAAGAAGGAGGAGGCAGACTGAAGCGAATGAGCTGCGACTTCCTTGATCGCCGACAAGAAGGACTTCAAGTTGAATTTTGCGAAACCCTAGGGCTGGGAAGTCTTCTCACGACATCTCTGAGGGTGACATTGCAATGCTTCGCCCTGACCAGAGAATCTGCTCTGCGGTGCGATGCCATAGCCCCAGATCTGGCGTATCAAGTGCTGTGCCTCTGGGGGATAAATGCTGCGACAACCAAGGAAGCCCTTGGGACGAGACAGCAAGAACTCGCTCAAGTCTTCATGTCTTTCGTTCTCTCCGTGTACTTGCTCTCAGCTCCCCCCTTCACTTTATCATGTCGGCGCTTGCTTCCGAGATAGGCCGCCGCCGGGTGAAATCCGCCATGCCATTGACCCTTCTAGCACTGTGGACTCGGCCATGGCCGCCGCTGTGGCTACCGCGGTTATTGCCGTCACCTGTTTCTCCTCGCAGTTACCCACTCGAGCATAACATGAGGAACAGTGAATTGGAGTGGCGTGGTTGTCAGTGCATGCTGCCTACTGCTGAACTACCTAACCGGCTGGCCCCAACACTCCCGTGTGTGCAGGCCTTGCATCCGCAGTGACGGCTCTGCCCCCCGAGAGCGACGCTTCTCATGGATGGACTCCTCGCTCATCCGAGTTGTCTGCATCTACTCGATCGTTTACGAATTACGATCCATCTTCGGGTGCCGACGGACTCCCTTGATGGATGTCGACAACGATAGAGGTTTCGCCGCCCGTTTCAATCGCCGCCGATGCTGGAGATGGGTAACAGCATCTAAGGATCCAATTTTGGATCCCTCGTTACAGGTAAGCTAGGTGTGGTTTCCATCTCCAGCTGCTTCAGCGCCCAACTGGGCGGAACCACAGCGATTTGGGACGAGTTGGACGAACGGCACGAAGAGACCAGTACCGGCTAGAATCTGACGAAGGATCCTCCAGCTGCAAAGGCTTGGCTTCTATATATACGGTTAGCTCCAGGAGAATTACAAGCCACCCGGGGTCCCGACGGCGTCAACGACATGTTTCAGCGCATTCTACACAAAGTAGTTGCCAAAGTAGGGGGACAATTCGGCCGATGCGGGGCGGAGGAGAACACTCCGTCCCCCTACAATGAGAATAGCCAACATCGCCAAAAGAATTGAAGCTTTCTTATATTCCGGGGCCGCTTTTAGTGTACAGATGGCAGTTGCCATGCAGCAGCTCTAGCTCGTACTTAGTTGTTGAGCGCGCCCATGTCCTCATGGAGAGGGTTCAGCGCGACTCGCGTAGGTTGCGGAATCCGCTACTAATTCGTTCAAGGGAGCCAGGATGCAAATGTTCAACCTCTATGTGCTTTTGGAGGTGTGTGCCTGCGTTTCTGCAGGTCCAGAAGACCACTCTTTTGGATTCTCCCGGCTCTTATTCACCCCCACACGGCAGATTGGCCAGGAACCACACCCGGTACGCACCCTGCATGCGTTGTAACCCTGTATCTACCCGCGTAACCACCATGCCTATCAGTTCCCTAATTCTGGGGATTGCCACTCCCATATATATACCCGACCAGGCAATAGGGAGTGGTGATCCCATGGCACACCTGCGCTCCAAATGAATTCCCACTCGCTCGTACCACAATGGACGGAGCATCCATCTCCGCCCGAGATGTGCGCGGCGGGGAAAAAGACCGAGACGGCGGTTATAAGACGAACGGGGATCCCGTGCGCTGGGCCGGCGTCTCCCAGCGATGAGCCTCACCCGCAACTCCTGGATCTCTTTCCCCCCTGTCTCTCCCTCTGACTAAACCGAAGAGCCGAATTCAACCATGAGGTTCCTGGACCTGCTTCTCGGCGCCGTGGCCGCGAGTTCGGCGCTGGCCGCCCCGGCCGGCGAGGACAAGAAGAAGCGGGCTTCCAAGTTCGAGTTCGTTGGCGTCAACGAATCCGGCGGCGAGTTCGGCAACACGGCCTTCCCAGGCCGCCTGGGCAAGGACTACACCTGGCCTGTTGAGGCTACCATTGACGTTCGTTTTCTCTCGAGACCCGTAGTGGTGTTTCTTGGATTCCATGACGTGTTGCTGACGAAAGGGGGTTTCTAGACTATGATCAGCCAGGGCTTCAACACCTTCCGCATTGCCTTCATGATGTACGTATCCCCTTGCCTGCTACCTAACGCCCCCGCCCCCCCAACCCCCCTGAAACCAAAAAAAACCAAAAAAACCCAAAAAAAAAAACCATGGGAGGTTCTAACGAAGAACCAGGGAGCGCCTTATTCCCGACCAGCTGACCGGCACCGTCAATGCGACCTATCAGGAAGGTCTAAGCCAGGTAAGAGGCAGCTTTTGGTATTAATTTACTAGTCATTCCCCAAGCACCTGCTGATGAATACCTCCGCAGATTGTCAGCTATGTCACCAGCAAGTGAGTAGCTCTCAACGAATGGCCAATGCAGTCAGGAAAGGGGGCGGATGGAATCTGACCAAACTGATACAGGGGTGCCTATGCCATCGTCGACCCCCACAACTTCGGTAAGAGCCTGCCACAGATGCCACGAGGGGAGTGGCGTTTGACCGGTCCCTGATTACTGACAAGGAGATTCCGGACGCAGGCCGGTACTACGGCAATATCATCACCGACACGTCCGGCTTCCAGGCCTGGTGGAAGACCACGGCGGCGCTGTTCGCCTCGGACGACAAGGTCATCTTCGACACCAACAACGAGTACCACGACATGGACAACTCGCTCGTTGCCCAGCTCAACCAGGCCGCAATCGACGGCATCCGTGCCGCCGGCGCCACCGAGCAGTGGATCTTTGTTGAGGGCAACTCGTGGAGCGGCGCCTGGACCTGGGTATGCACGGCCCCTTTTAACCGGCTCCGCCAAGCCGAACCCGGCCTCCCCATCCTCCCATGATGCCCCATGCTAATACCGGCCCTCCGCAGGTCTCAAGCGGCAACTCCGACTCCCTCGTCAACCTTAAAGACCCCTCGGACAAGATCATCTACGAGATGCACCAATACCTCGACGCCGACGGCTCGGGCACGCACACGGACTGCGTCTCGTCGACGATCGGTTCCGAGCGCCTCGCGGCGGCGACGGCGTGGCTCAAGTCGAGCGGCAAGCGGGCCGTGCTCGGCGAGACGGCCGGCGGCAGCAACTCGCAGTGCATCGCGGCCCTCAAGGACATGCTCACCCACATGGAGGCCAACTCGGACGTCTGGACTGGCTGGCTCTGGTGGGGCGGCGGGCCGTGGTGGGCCGACTACATGTACAGCATGGAGCCGCCCAGCGGTACCGCGTACGTGGGCGTCTTGCCCAGCCTGAAGGACTTTATCTAAGGTTCCCTTCTTGACGTGGGGGGCGGGGTTGTCGGCCTTGAGGGCTGAACGAAGAGGGGATGCGTGGGATGTTTTCGCACCATCCCGAAAAATTGTAAATAACTGTCTTCTGTTTCGTGTTGGATATTCTTAAGCGGCGATAGTTTGTAGCAGGTGAACATGAAGAAAACAGGAGGTCTTCCTCCTAATATTTTGCTGTGCGAACCGTGCTGAGATTGTAAGAAAAAGGGGGGCGAAGTCAGATCAGTAACCCCAATTGTGCTACTCAGAATCAAATACGCCGACAGCCCGGCAGGTTCAATTGCCACATACTCCAGGTCAATCTACAAACCAAAAGCCTGAAAGTCAAATGCCGTCCTATGAAAAAGCTGACAAAACGAAAATGACAAAAAGGCCAAACGCCTCGACAATGAGCAGAGGGGAAAGGGGGGCAGGGAATAATAAGGGGTTATTTTTTCTTCTTTTTATAATTCGTCACATCCACGACCCCGACGCTTTACAACTTATCGCGCGGCCAACGGAGCCCCCTTTCCCCCGAGCCCCCAATCCCAATCCAACCGTCTCGTTCTCATGCACACGCGGCATTTACAGGGAAGGGGGCTTCCCGCCGATGAACTCGGACCACCGGAGGACCTCGCTCGGCATGCCCTCTGGCCGGGGGAGCTTGGCAGCCAGGCACTTGGCGAAGAGCATGGCGGTCTAAAGAGAGAAAAATTCCTCGTCAGCACACGATCTTCATGTTTACCATGATGGTGTAGACAATCTCGAGATAGGGAGAGAAAAGGGCCATGAATCTAAGAAGCTTACCTGGCTCTCCATAAACAGCGGCACGCCAAAGTCGACAGCGTTGCGGCGCATGATGTAGTTGACGTCGTGGACGTCCTTGGCGCGGGTGCGGCAGAGGTTGAAGACGCCGCGGATGTCGTGCTTCTGGAAGATCTCGCGCAGCACGCCCTTGTCCTCGGGGAAGTCGACGACCGCGGCGTGCGCCGCGGCGCCGCCCACGTCGGCGGCGCGGATCGCCTCCATGACGTCCTGCTCGGCCGCGTACAGCTTGTACCCCATCGGCGCCAGGTGGGCGACCACCTTGGCCAGCGCGGCCTTGTCGGTGCCGCCGAACAGCAGGCCCTCGCCCGGCTGCGGCAGCCGGAAGTTCATGGTCGACTGCATCGACGCAAAGTACGCGTCCACCAGCGCCGCCTCCTTGTCCTCGCCCTTGCCGAAGCAGGCGATCTCGCCCGTCGACGACATCTCGACGCCCAGGAAGGGGTCGGCCTTCAGGAGGCGCGTCCACGAGAACTGCGGCACCTTGGTGGCGATGTAGTCGCGCTTCACGGCCATCAGGTCCTGCGGCTCTGGCACCTCCTTGCCGACGAGTGCCTTGGTGGCCACGTCGATGAAGTTGACGCCAAGAACCTTGCTGACGAAGGGGAAGGACCGCGACGCCCGCAGGTTGCACTCGATAACCTTCAGCTTGGGCGGTCCGCCAGCAGGGTCATCGGCTTTGATGATCTACAGGTCCGACGTTAGCGGGGGGCTCTCCCCATTTTGAGGAACGTGGCATGCCCATCGACAGTGTAAGCCATCGGAGGAGGCGTTTTCCAGTTACATACCTGCATGTTGAAGGGGCCGGTGATACTCCAAGCCTTGGCGACCTTCTCGGCGATGTCCTTGACACCGTCCATGACACCCTGCTCGAGATTCACCGGTGGCAGCACCAGCGTCGCGTCTCCCGAGTGCACGCCGGCGTTCTCAACGTGCTCGCTGACGGCGTGGATGAGGAGCTTGCCCTCAGAAGCCACACCATCGACGTCGATCTCCTGGGCACCTTCGATGAACTTGCTGATCACTATAACATGCCGAGTCAGTAATTTGTCTCCGGGAGGATGGTGATGCCGGGAACCTACCGACTGGGTGCTCCGGGCTGACCGAGGCGGCAGCTAGGAGCTTGTCCTTGAGCTCTTCCTCGCTTCGGATAACCGTCATCTACAATGTCTGGCGTCAGCAGATGTTTCCAGGGATTGCAAGAGCCCGTCGATGGCTGTTGTTAGGCTTTCAACGAGGGATAGTAAACCTACCGCAGCACCGGACAAGACATAACTGGGACGGCAGATCACAGGGTACCCGACAGCGTTGGCGAACTGCTCGGCCTCGGCGACCGAAGTCAGCTCGGCCCACTCCGGCTGGTCAACACTACTCGGAGGTTAGCAACGAAACGGCGCAAGTAGCAGGGTGAATGGCAAGGCGTGGCAGCACTGTAACGAGGCAAGAAGAAGGCAAGAGACCACATACCCGATGCTGTCAAGGATCTCCGAGAACTTCTTGCGATCCTCGGCCTTGTCGATATCCTTGGGATCTGTGCCGAGGACCGTTGCCCCGCCAGATTCCTGTAGCTTCAAGGCGATATTCTGGGGCAGCTGGCCACCGACCGAGACAACCACGCCGCTGGCAGTTTCGGCTTCGTAGATGTCGAGAACACGCTCGTAATTCAACTCCTCGAAGTACCTGCAGGTTGAGTCAGTGGTTGGACTCTTCTATTCGCTGGGAGGAAAGGGTCAAGGGTGACTTACAATCTGTCCGCTGTGTCGAAGTCTGGAAAGAAACACACGCGAATTAGCAACTATCAGGGATGATAAGGATCTCGGGGAGCAATGGGCATACCTGTGGAATAAGTTTCAGGGTTGTAGTTGATCATGACCGTCTTCTTTCCCATCCGTCGCAAAGCCTGGGTCGCCGAGACTGCATTATCAATTCGAGTCAGCAACCTTCTCAAGGGTCGGACATCCCATATCTCATGACACCGCGGAAGGAGTTCCGTGTCTGCTCACGACACACAACGTACCGGCACACCAGTCGAACTCCACGGAACTGCCAATCCTGTAAACACCACTGCCGAGGATGATGGTTCCCTTGTCCTCAAAGGTGACGTCATGCGTAGAGGCGTTGTATGTGCAGTACAGGTAGTTGGTATCGGCAGGGAATTCGGCGGCCAGGGTATCGATCTTCTTCACCCACGGGCGGATCCCGAGGCTGAGGCGGTAGGCCCGCACCTTCTCCTCGGTCGACTTGCAAGCCATCGCGATCTGCTTGTCGGAGAAGCCCATCTTCTTGGCCTTCAGGACCTGCTCCTTTCTCAGGGACTCGAGACCGTCGGCGGCTTCAAGCTCCTTGCCACAGTCCACAATGTTCTGGAGCTTGTAAAGGAAGAACCTGCGCCGGGTCAGTCTCACTGATCTCTTGTAGGTTAAAATAACCAAGCAGGTACGATCCATACCGATCAATCTTGGTCAGTTCATGCAGCTTATCGACGGAGTAGCCGTCGTGCAACATGGCCTGGCCAACTGCTAGCCACCGGCGATCAGTCGGGTTTTGCAAGACGTGGTCGATATCATCGAAATGCTGCTTTTCCGGATTATACCACCCCGGGAAGCTAGGATCGACCATGCGAACGGCCTTGTATCATCTAGAGTCAGCGCCTGGACAGCACCGCCCCTAACACAGGCTGAAAAGTGGAACGACGCCTGGATATCGACGCACCTTTTGAATGGCTTCCTCGAACGTCCTGCCGATGGCCATGACCTCGCCGACCGACTTCATGGCCGAGCCAATTGCCCGGTCTACGAGCTGGAACTTGCTGAGATCCCACCTTGGGATTTTCACGACGACATAGTCCAAAGACGGCTCGAAATTGGCGGTGGTTGTCTGGATACTCTGTCAGTGCGCTGACTACCTCTCAGGGACTTTGAAAACTGCCAACCTTGGTCACGGCGTTGGGCAAACTCGGGAGATCGCTACCGAGGCCGATCTAGACTGGAGTTAGCCATCTGACTCTCATGCTCACGCTCACTCCCACACAGGGATACGCATGTCAACACACCTTTGCAGCTGTATAAGCCAGAGGATAGCCCGTGGCTTTTGAGGCCAGGGCCGACGACCGCGACAACCGGGCATTGACCTCAATGACTCGGTAATCCCTGAAACAAGTTAGCCACGATCAAAGAAGAGAGCAGGGAGCGTGCTGAACAGAGAGGGAGTATGGATGCCGTACAGTCCGTCTGGTTGAAGCGCGTATTGGACATTGCATTCGCCCACAACCCCCAAATGGCGAACAATCTTGATAGCGGCCGTTCGAAGCATGTGGTACCTGTCGGGAAACGTCAAGTTAGCCACTGCGCCAGCTCCAGCGACGGGGAGCGGGCAACATACTCCTCGTCCGAGAGGGTCTGGGATGGTGCGACGACGATCGAGTCTCCCGTGTGGATGCCCAAGGGGTCGAAGTTCTCCATATTGCACACCGTGATGCAGTTGTTCTGCGCATCCCGGACGACTTCGTATTCCACCTCCTTCCAGCCCTTGAGACTCTTCTCGACGAGGATCTGTGGCGAGAGGGCCAAGCTCCTGGCGCTCATCTGCCTCAACTCTTCCCTGTTGTTGGCAAAGCCGCTGCCCAGGCCGCCCAGAGAGAAGGCTAATAGTTACGGCGTCAGACTCGGGAGTTTTTTTACGAATTGGAGGTGCCGACTAGCAAGCTACCATTATGGGCTTTAGGGGGTGTCCGGATCTACGTACCAGCACGAATGATGACGGGATACTGGACCTTCTCAGCAGCCTCGAGCGCTTCCTCAACCGTCGAGACGGCAATGGACTTGGCGATTGGGATGTTGATTTCCTCCAGGGCCTTTGAGAACAGGTCGCGGTCCTCGCTGATTTCGAGAGTCCGGATACTCGTGCCTAGAACCTTCACGCCGTATTTGTCGAAGAGGGATCCGCCGGGGTGGTTTTGCATGTTAACACCGAGGTTGAGAGCTGTCTGCCCGCCTAGTAGTCGTCAGCAGCCGCCTGACGGTTGTTAGGGCTCTGGTGGCACTTACCGAAGGACAAAAAGATGCCATCCGGCTGTAAACCAACACACTGGTTAGCAATCTCCATCTCTAAGAGACTAGAGCGCGCGGCTGGAAGTGTACCTTTTCCCTCTCGATGACATAGGTCACATATTCAGGGGTAACCGGCAGGAAGTATGTTTCGTCCGCAATGAAGTGCGAGGTCTGGATCGTGGCAATGTTCGGGTTGATAAGCACGGAAGCGATGCCGGCTTCCTTAAGAGCCTTCAAGGCCTGGGAGCCTACATGGCGAGTTCCGAGTCAGCGAGGATGCAGCCATTGGGAAGGTAGAGAGAAGCTCGAGAGCCCCGTACCCGAGTAATCGAATTCACCGGCCTGGCCGATAGACAAGCCACCGCTTCCAACAACCAAGACCTTCTTGATGTCCAGCGGGATCTGGGGCTTGATAACCCCGCTATCGAGGTAGAATTTGGCATTCGGCGCTGGTTGGGCCTTGCCGGCGGTGGTCGAGGTTGGACCGGAGACAGCGGCGAAGAAGCGCTTCTGGGCAAGCTTAGAGTAGGTCGGCGGTGTGTGGACTCGAGGGGCGTTGACTGAGAAGGCACGGAGGAACGTGAATGCCCTCGAGGAGTGAGACAGAGGCAGGGAAGCCGGCCGACCGCATCGGAGCAGAGGGCTGGCTCCGCCCACAAGTCTGGCCGACATGGCAGGCAGGTTGGCGGGACTGAGGAGAATTGCCACAGGCCAATCGCTACCGGAAGGGCTCTGGCAGATATTTCGAGCGTATATCTGACCTTTCTGCGCCCTCCTGGTTTCACAATGCTTGAGGTTTAGAAGCTCTGGCCGGCGCTGTAGTAGAGGAACTGGATTGGATCGAGGCAGGTGCAGGGAAAATTTGGCGGGACTGATAAGATAAGGATCCTCTACTTCTTGCCCCTGTGATTGGTCCCAACAGATTCTCGCCCCATAAATTTGCAGGAGCAGCCAACTTGAGTCAGTGCGATTGCAGTGCCCCTGAGTAAAAAAGCCCTTGTGCTGAGTGGATGAGTCACTTTTCCACAGCTGAATGCCTGGACTAAATTTGTATGTACAGTGCAGGTCAGGTCTGATCGCGTGTGCGCCGGAGCCCTAGGGCCGGGACGGTGACCAGATTGCGCCCATCGAAAATTTTGCAGCATTAGTGGCTGTCGTTGGTTGGCCAGATGATGATTTCAAGAATTGCATCCCTCCTCCCATGGGAATCTGAAATTGCCTTGCATCGGGTTTCGTCACGAAGGGCATTGTTATGCATTTCCCATCATTCTTTCCTTCTGCTCCCTTCACACGACAGCTGACTGGCCCAGTGATCCATTTTATCACGCACAGTCTTATCAATGACCATTGATCATTTTGCAGCGGCAATTCAACTCTTGAGCTGCTCGGTTGCGCGATTCATGGTGTTCTTGACCGCCCTCTTGGATCAAACATCGCAGGATGACCCCACCTGCGGTGGGGAATGGGCGCTTATCATTGGTCAATTGCTGCGGGTATTTCCCCGGAATCGGAGCCAGGGCCCTCACAGCAGCCCCAACATCTCGCATGGGATGTCGGGAATTTCCAGCATTGCAGCATTCCTTACCGCCAATTCGCTTCGGAGCGTATCCTTCCGACCTAAGCCAGCTACGCCCAGTATAGATATCTTCTTAATACCATGAGTTACTCGGCGACAGTCGATGCAGGTTCCGCATCCGGATCGTGCTTTTGCTCTTTGCTGATGCTCAGCATTAGATCTTGCTGATCACGCATCTGGCAAGGATGACTGTAGAGAAGGACCCATCTGGAGACAACTCCGTGGTTATATTTGACCAGGAAGCCGTGGGGTACCGTGGCTCGTGGGACTGTCTTAAAGCCCACTCCCGGCCGTCATCACTGCTGTCAACGGGTCTCAAATGACGGCCTTGTGGGATCGCACGGAGCAGATGTTCATAGATGGGCGACCGCTACGGCTTCTCGGTGGGCCTCGGGCCGCGGTGGCTCTGCGCCACGGCCCGTGGCAGCTCCCGGGATCCAAGTAGGCGAGGCTTCACCAGCAGGACGCCGGTTGGGAAGGAGACCTCGTTGCCCACCTTGCTTGCTGGTGAGCCTTGACTTCGGGGCGAGGGACGAATGCCGCCAAGCTGAACAGCTTGTACCCGTTGTCCTTTGCCGGTGACATGTGCATGGTTGTGCCAACTCGACGGTCTAAGAGCTGCGATTTCTGGAGCTTCATGTTGCAATATGAGGGCGTTTGACAAGTTACCGAACCTGCCACTAGATCTTCGGGCAGACACGTTGAACTCCAATCTCGATGAGTTGTCTCGGGGCGAAGATCAAAAACCTACAACAAAGCGAGCGTTGCAGCTGGTCCCCGGCAGCTGGGCGGTTGCTCGGCGGCTTTCGACCGGCTGACTTAGACGAGGTGGCTAGTTGGCACAGTTTTGACTAGAATGTAAACAGGGACTAGATCACTGGCAATTCGGGTACAAATTGTCGGAACGTACACTCAGCCAAAACTTCGATTGAAGCCTGCCTTCGTGAACCCTCAGGCAGACCACCCAGCCGTTTAACTCAGGAGTTGGTGCTGTGCCTATATTATTACACCTCAGTTGAAAGCTGACTCGGCAGCTCTGCACTATAAAAGTGAGCTATTGAATGCTTGACAGGTAATTAACACCGCCTTTCCGCCGCCCAATCGAGTCGCTGCCTCACACACCATTGATATCATGGGTCACGCTGAAAGTTTGAGTCTTACTAGTCGAGTCTTTGCCGGTTTGGGTCGCATGGGATGCATGAATGACATGCATGCATGGCCTGCTCAGCGCTTCACATAGCTGTAAGTCACGTTTCTGTAGGGGTGACCTTGACACTAGGCAACCAGCATAGCCCCAGTCCAGGTGGGCTTGACCGAGCTGTGGCTGCACACGGACGCAATTCTCCAAAAAAAACTCACTCCAATGGTTTGGTGCTAAGCAGACAAGGCTCCATGACAACAGGAAGCGTGCCTCGGGGATGTGCAGCACACCAGGCGCGCCTTGAATGAGGCTCAATTATCAAGGGCGGAGACAGCAGCTCGCGTCCCTGCACCAGGACAGCCTCCCCTCTGGCACCCAGCCCAGTTTCTCTTCTGACATGACGCAAATATGATTTTTTTTTCTTAGGCTTTTCGATATGCTAAGGTCGCCGTGGTCGAGCCGGAATCTATACTGAGCGGTTTCCGAAGATATGCTCCTTAACCGAACATACCTGATTCCAAGTGAGAATATCTGGAGGCACGCACGAGTGGTATAAGGCATTAGGGTCTCAAGACGCGCATAGCCCTTCCAGGGCGAGAACAACTCGACTGCCTACAACTCCCCCCTATCAAACAACCATTCGGATTCGAGCACAGTAAAGGTTCGATTGTGTGCATCACAGCCAAGTCGGGATAATTGCCGCGAATATTTCCCGGGTGGACGAAACAACGAAGCGACACTCTCAGAATGGCCTCAACCCGGTCTGACGACAACGCGTGCTGGCGCGAAAGGAGTTTCGAATCAAACATCAATTATTCACATCGTCACCCCCCTGGACTGGGACTAGAAAGAAAGAGGCATAACCCTCCCACGCCTCCGTATCCACAAAATCCCTTTTCACCCTTGCCCGTCGGGGATTCAGAGCCACCGCCACATGAGCTGCCCTATTCCGTGTACATATCGACGCGGTCTCCTCCTCATCGTCACCTTTCTCCTCCTCGTCGTCACCTTTCTCGTCCTCCTCGTCCTCCTCGTCCTCCGCCCAGTCTCAGAACCGATCTTCGAAACCTACCAAGGCAACACGATTTCGACGCAGAGTGGGTGACCGGCAATGCGGAATACGAGGCCTTCATGAACGCTCCACGACGATCGCGGCGCGCAAGCATTTCGTCGCAGGTGAGCGAGAGGGATCATCCAATCGGAAGACAGATACTGGAGCAAGAACAAGTAGGTGAGACAGGAAGACATGAAGATAAGAGAAGGGTGCGTGAACAACAGCAAGAAGAGGCAGCGGAAGCTCAGCACCGAAGACATTGGGTAGAGGTGGAGACGACGACGGATGTGGAGAGTGAGACCAAGCGACGTGCGCAACGACGAGGAACGAAGGCGACTGACGAGGGGGAAGACCAGGAACGTGTCAACCCGAGTGATATGGGTCAAAGACATGTGGACCAGGGACGTGCGGAGCGATGCAGAGATGCCAAGGGAAAAGAGGTAGACCACGGCACCAGACCGACAACCATCCGGGCCCGGGCGGCCACATCTCAGCAAAACGAGACGACGCAAGCCCTCGAAGCTACTGTTCAAGAACTGAAAAGCTTCATCAACGAAGTCAGTGAGGGTCTCAATGAAGTCGGTGAGCGTATCAATGAAGTCAGTGAGCGCCTCGGGGACATGGAAAAAAAGCAAAGTCGTCATCCAAGGCGCAGAGCGCATCCGCTCCTCTTCCCGGCCATGAAGATACCTCGCAATCATTTCGCGATGGCCACGCTCGGTGGGCGGACGTTGCAGAGGCAGCTCCGTCAAGCGTCACATCCAATCACTATGGACTTGTGGTCGACGGCGATGACGGCACTGTCGGAAGCGACTAGCGACAAGGATTGCGACCATCTGCACTGCCACGTCTCAGGATCCACCTTGGTGACCGATTGCGAAGACGGGGAAGGAGAAGAGGCGGACGAGATGCAGGAACCAGAGTTCGTCAATGTGTCTTCAAGACACGCGCCACCGATGCTCAGACATAGGGGCAGACCAGGCGACAAACAGCCGGTGAGATCCAAGTCTCGATCGGGTGGAAGGGTCCTGCCCTCCAAAGGCGAACGGATGGCGTCGGCAGCAGGAGAAAGTTGCGATGGCCCCGAAATGCCAGACAACTCATCGAGTGACGGCCCGGGATTGACCCCTTTGACGTCCAGATCGAGCCCTTCGGAGTACGAGAACGACGCCAGTGAGCGAATGAGGAGGAGAGAGGAAAGAACAACCATAGACAGAGCCCAGAGATATATGAAGGAGAGCCGCAAACTTGGTGCGCTGTCTCCTCCGCCATGCTCAGCCCGGCTGGGCGTCCCAAGACGCAGCTCTCTCAAGGAAGACACTGGCGGCGTCCAACATGACTGTCGGCGGCGACGGCAGTCTCGAAGTCTTCTGCCGGAAGGTGTGGCTGATTGGGAACATGCCGCATATACATGGGCTGGGATCGATGCCGTCCCATACATCGTGGCCATGCCGTCGGAAGCTATTTCGATGGGAATGATGCGTGGATATCATCCGGCCCAAACGATGGGTTTCTCCCAATGCTCGCATTGTCCTGGATGTAACCTGTATTGTGTCATGTAGCTAATTTGTAGGCTAGCTAGCATACTCCAAGTCAAGAGGCAAGCGTATCACACTTGACGGCGCCGCTCGTGAAGGTCGCCGGAACGAGCAGTCATTAATCTCCAATTGTTAGGTTTTTAGCCTTCAATTTAACCCCCACAACTGACAGAATTGCGTCGCGCGTCACATGAACCGAATGTGAACCTCCAGCGCCGTCAAGTGGAGGGACTAAGTTAGCCGCATCTGACTACCAGGAGAATCAGTTACCATGATGATGAGGATGAGAGGATGACGATGTGAAAAGCACACACCTTGCCATTGTTGGTTGGCAGAGTGCCACCTGAATTTGCATGTCAGTCGTAATCTGTGGATGATCAAGGACATCAAAGCTATGCTTTGCTTCAAGAGTGGCAAGGATGGTTAAGTACCAATTTTGATATCATTGGAGATGTCCATTGTGTGACTGACGAATGACTTGATGCTGTCTCTGCCAACACTGACGGTCATCTGAGCCGCATCTGCCTTTGTCTTGCTGACGTTCTTCTGAGCCGCATCCGCCTTTTTCTGGCTGACACTCTTCTGAGGTGCATCCACCTCTGCCTGGAGGAACATTAGACTTCCTCAAGGGACGGGGGAGAGAAAAAGGGAGCTGAGTTAGGTGACAAAATAATTGGTATCACCTTCAAGTCGGACACCACCACCTTTTCGGCCGATCTGCGGCTGGCTGGCCCCGTCCCTTTCGGCGGCTGCACCTTGGCCTTGGTATTGGGCAATCTGGGTTTGTCATCATGCCCCTCCTTGTCAGGGAGACGTGTTGGATCTGAGGACATCGGTTTATTAGTGTCTTTGCAAAACTGAGAGTCAAGTAGTGAAATAGTCTAGAACGTTGAAGCCAAGGCACCCAAGCGACTCCGTCTCAGGCAAAGGCGGGGTTTATGTAGTCGAGAGTGGGCATCTAAGAAAGTATGGCTGGGCGACTGCTAATTCACCGCCGGAAAAGAGGTAGAGGATGTTGTATGAACGTTCAAGGGCAGTCACCTTGGCAGTGCGAGAAATGGTGGTGCATAGCCTTCAGCCAACCACCAGGAACTCCACACATCTTCACAAGCAAAGTGCACTTCTTCACAAGCAAAATGTGCTCCTTTATAAGCAAAGTGCGCTTCTATAAAAGAAAAGCGCGCTTCTTTATAAGCAAAGCGTTAATTAGATGACACTCTCCTTGGCAGTGCGAGAAAAGCGCGAGAAATGGTGGTGACACAGCAATTCGGCCAACCACCAAAACTCCGCCCGTCATAAGAAAAGCGTTAGATGGCACTTTCCTTGGTAGTACGAGAAATGGTGGTGACAGCAGTTTGGCCAACCACCAGGAACTCCGCCTTTTTTCATGAGCAAAGCGTCAGATGCTGACACAGCATTGGTCCAACGGTCTATGAGACAGAAACATGCTGCAGTTTGTCCGTAACAACAATTTGGGGCAAATGGGAATTCTCCAATTGCTGCCCAAACCAATTATATGCACTTATATTGTTGCTACACCCCCTCAGTCTGAGTCGTAACAAGGCTGGAAAATCGTTTGGTTTCTATCGCTCTATGCATTTCTGACGAAAGGTCCCCCCGTGTTGCCACCGAGTCATGACCATGGTCCGCAGAAAGGTTCTCCATAGCATCGACCATTCGCTCCCGCAACGCGAGCGGTCGGGCCAAAGCCTCGGCAGCTTCGTACTCATCCACTTCCTTGCGCTTCCTCGGTGCCATGGTCTTCAAGCTCACGAAATTGGCAAGACCCTTCTTCACCCAGGGCTGAGCGTTTGTGATCTTGGCCTACAGTTACACATATCACAGCACTTTTGGTCCAGATCGTTGCCACTACTCTCCCGATTTTCCCTTTAGCCGCTTACATCTTGATACTCATTTGTTGCCAGCAGCGCCCGGTCCAAGCTGCGCCTGTGTAGTCGATGCCGTAATCATGCCGTAGTCCCGAGGTGCCCGTAGTCCCGAGGTGCCGGGGACGCAGCCGTGTGTGATCCTTGTATCATGCGCTGCTCCCGCGTTGATTAGCCGTCGCTGCCGTCTTGGCGGGACCCGACTAGGTCCTCCTGCGCCGGGATGTGACCTTTTCCGGTGCGGATGCACGGCGCTAACGGATGACAGCTGACGGCTGACAGCTGTCAGCGACGGCGACAGCGATAGCGACAGCAATGGCAACTAACGCGACGGCGACGGCGATAGCAACGGCAATGGCAACCAACGGCGATGGCGATGGCGACGGCAGCCTTTGAATTTACCTCCATACCAAACCTTAACCTTAACCCTCTGCTGATACCGGCGAAAAGGTTGGGGGGAGCTGTAACCCGGGTTGGGGGAAGGGGGTCGGAATGGATTAATGGGGGGTCGGGATCCCAACCCAGACCACTTCCTAACAAACCTCACAACCCAACGACCTGACTAACGGCCTAACGGCCTAACAAGCCAATCATGGCCTCAGATGGCTAGGTTATCTGGCCAATCGGGTGATAGCTACTTGGGACAGATTGCCAGGCTGTGCGGCTGCTGTACTGGTGACGTGGGTGATCGTACCACATCCGGATCCTTTCCATTCTGTTGCTGCAGGTAGTGGTGATGACGTGGCATATTGACAAATAGTCCTGCAACACACGTTACCCCCCTCCTTTATCTTGTCGGTTCATCTTGCGGCTGCTACAAGACGGCAAATGATGAGGTAAAAATTATTTGCAAGTACAGAAACTAAACCATGATTTCCATGAAAAGGCTCTGGGGGAGAGAGCAGGGTCCATCCCTAGACAAAACGGATAAGCCATCATTATGGGTCGGAAGTTACGGCATGAAGGTGCTTTACGCAGCGGTTGAGCCTACTGTCGAGTAAGTAGAAAAGCCCGTCCAAACCTCCATTTCCGACTCATATGACGTCCATTCGACTCACATCGCTTGCTCGTCTGTTCTCTAGCATCGTCTTTGTACATGGACTCACCGGGCACCGGGAACGGACTTGGACTGCCCAAAGCGGCTGCGGACTCTGGCCGCAAACGCTCTTGCCGAAGGAAATTCCCTCGGCGAGGATCCTCACTTACGGATATGACGCGAATGTTGTTAAGATGTGGTCCTGGGTGTCCAGCAACAACCTTGCCGACCACGCCAAAAACCTCCTGTCAGCATTGGCTACCTGCAGGAATACCGACACCGAAGCTGTGAGAATTTCCACCTCCGTTTTCGTCTTGAAAAGCGAGACAAACTAGTTGACAATGGCATAGATGAATCGGCGCCTGATTTTTGTTGCGCACAGCCTTGGTGGGCTTGTTTGTCAAGAAGTACGACACCCAGCGTAGCAGATTCAAGAAACCAAGCACTGCTAACGTCCGGCCGCCCGAGGAATAGGCTCTTGTGCTGTCGAGCCACAGCGCTGACAAGCATCTCCGAAAGATTCTCGAATGCACTAGGGCAATTGCCTTTGCCGGAACGCCGCACTCCGGGGTAGGTATGGCGGCATCCGTTGAGCGGGTGGCCAGATGGACAGATCTTGTACGCCACACGAATCCGCGCATCATCGGAGCGCTCGGGAGAGACTCGGAGGTCCTGTCTCAGATCCAGCATGACTTCCATTCCATATTGCGGTTCAGGGCCGACAATGGCTACCCGAAGATCGAGATAACATGTTTCTACGAAGAGGTTTCGCTCCCGGGCATCGGCGAGGCAAGTAGGCTCTCTTTCTCTTGCTCATTTGGGCTTGTTAACTAACTTGGTTGGGGAGTAGGTAGTCGCGAAGTCCTCGGCAACCATCCCGGGGTATATAGCGATTGGCATCCATAGCAACCACATGGATATGGTGCGCTTCCCAACCCAGAATGATCCAGGCTTCGTTAGTGTCGCGGGTGAGTTGCGAAGATGGGTTATGGACATGGATCCGTCCTTGGACAGCAAAGACATATCCATGTCCTTGGACAGCAAGGACAGATCCATGTCCTTGGACAGCAAGGACAGATCCATGTCCTTGGACAGCACGGACAGATCCATGTCCTTGGACAGCACGGACAGATCCATGTCCTTGGACAGATCCATGGCAATGGTGGCAGCTGAGGATGAAGACGCGATTCCCGACGACGTCGCTCCAGCCAAGACAGCACAACAGTCGATACTAGGAATAACCATCGGAGGAAACGTTATAAAATCTATTGTCAGCAGCAGCATAACGGTACACGGCAACTTGGTGTTCAGTCACTGATAATTGAATCTTGACGCTCATCGCAATCGGCGTCTCATCACTGGAAGGAGCATTCATCATTGAAAGGAGAATAAACGAGGTAAACCTGCATATACACGTCTTGGACATGGGGAAGGAGCATAAGCGAGGTAAAGCTGCATATAAGCGTCTTGGGTATGGGGAAGGATCATGGATATCAAATGCTGGCGGAACATCGTGTTACATAATTAAGATCAAAGCTTTTCTCCCAATTACACATAAATTGACACTCTAATCTCTAATCAGACAGATGTAGATTGGATACAACGAACACTCCCAATGTAGCGAAGTCAGACTCTTCTGTGGAGGAAATATTCCTCGTTTGTAAAACAGTCCGTCAGCAGTAATCAATCGCGTTATATTACTAGCAATTCCAGGCGTGACGGACAACAGCACTCTACGCCATTCCTTCAGCAGGTTGCGGATGCAGCCTCGTGCTGAGTGCACACCCTCTCTTTCAAGTTTCAACCCCGCCTTCCCCGGGCCTCCGTCTGGTCGCTCCCAACGCCTTGAGCAAAGAGCTTCCTATTTGGGAAACGAGGCAGCTTATACATTCAAAATTCCAATTATGGGAGCCTGGACTCGACCGCCCGGGTGACAGATGATGAATTCCTATGCTTCTCGTGCTCAATGTCTCCGCAGATGCAGACGTATGAGGGGTAATAGCACAAATCCGATGAACAGATTGGCTCGTGACCTGCCTTCATGGCCATGGTCATAAGTATATGCCTCATTCAATTTTTGGACGAGGCTGAGGCCACCCTCTTCGAGCTCTACGAATCGCGAGTGCGTGGTCGAGACCGAGGCAAACGAGGCAAATCAGGCTACTGCATGCGGCGTGCAGCATTTGACCTCGCCGGTGTCGGTTGGGGTGGTTGAGTAACGACGTGGTCATCGAATTTCCACTCCACGAGCTCGCAGCCTCGCGCAAGGTCAAGTACCTCTTAGGTCTTGAGTACGTACCAGTGACATCCACCTGTGCCTGGGGGCTAAACGAAGCGTAAGAAAGACGTGCCATATCATTTTTACTCGGGGCAAAGTCCCTCCGCATCCAGGAGCCGCTCTTTCTTCCGATTGTTGATAAAGGTGTCCAACGCCCTGGTCTTTGACGCTACAGAGTCGACAGTCCACGGCCGCTGGATTCCAGTCTTCGAGCCTATCGTTGATTCTTTACATCCCCCTGACCTCTATACTTGTTGCACTACACTATCAATCATCCCGCATGCTGCGTGGACGCTGCAGCGAGGGACTTTTGCGGTCGGTTTGCGTGCCTCCGCTCAGCCCGTCTCCTTGAGCAAAACGGAAAACACAGATCGGAGGTTCCCTGATAATAGCATCTACTTGCCCTCCAGCTGAACAACGCGTCACATATCACACGCCGGATATAAGTTCTGAGCCCCGCAGACCATGGCAGCACCTCTCCGGCCTTCGGCCGATCCTAGTTTGGAAACAACGGCTGGGAACGTTTCTGTCGGCAGCGTCAACAGTTCCCTCGTGGCCCACACAGCCAAAATCAACAACAGTGCTACTTTCAACATGTCTGGTAAGTGCTATCTGCTAATTTTGGCACGAATGTCTGTAGCATCCGGTACTGGAATCAACTATGTGGTCGTGGAGAGTTATTGACAGTAGCGATAGAGGCCCGGGACCAAGTTTTCCTCTCACGGAATTTATATCCTAGCATTAGAAAATCCGAGTTTGCAAGATGCTGAGAATTACTGCCAGCTACTTATTTCATTCCTATGGGTTCCATCTCAGGCTCTGGAACTTGCTGACCAGCGACCTAGTGTCTGAGAGCTGCAATGATGCAAGTATTGTGCAGTCCATCGTTGCTCACAATGTTGCAATCAAGCAGGCAAATTTTGGTACGAAACTTTTGATTTTGTGCGAATATGCGTTCTTGCCACTTATGGCATACATTATGGCGCGGTACACCGTTCTCGTGAGATAGGCATCCTACTTGGAATGGAATTGACCCGACAGCTAGGAGTGAGCAATGACCCCGAGGCTCAAGACTGGTTATATTCAGTCTCGAAAATTGATTCGGTTTTCCACGAAAAGCAGTCGGAATACTTTGGTATTGCGACCAAAGTAAGGGGCAATGGCCAATGGCTCCTAGATAACGAGATGTTTAAGGCCTGGAAAAAGGGTCACGCAAAAACACTGTGGTGTCAAGGAATACGTATGCTCTCCGTCCCAAGTGGCTCAAGTGCGAGGTGGTATAGCCAATACTGACAATATTATAGCTGGCGCTGGCAAAACAATCCTTGCGTACGTCGGGCCAGTGGAAGCGATAATTAGATGAGAATACTAACGACTGACATGTAGATCAATCGTCATTGACCATCTGGAGAAGGAGTGCCAGAAGACTAGCAACGATTCTGCCTGCGTCTACGTGTACTTTGATGGCTCGTACAGGGACCAGAAAACTCCGACAAACGTGCTACTCAATCTTCTAGGCCAACTTGTTGGGCAACGCGAAGACCTCTCGCAAAAAACCAAGGACAAGTGCAAAGAGTGGAGAAGAAGGAGACGAGTTCCGATGGAAGACTTGCAGCAGCTGGCGTGGTCGGAAATCAAGTCATTCACAAAGGTATTCCTGGTTGTCGATGCCCTGGACGAATGCGGGACTGAGGGCAAAACGGATGCGAGAGATGATTTTCTGGACCGGATCATACAACTTCCAGAGAATGTCAACGTCTTCGTCACGTCACGCGCGCAACTTGATCGAAGGATGAAAGATGCGTATGAGCTCAAAATCACGGCCGCGAACATCGAACCCGACCTCAGAAGATATATCAACTATCGGATCGATCGAAGCGGTGAACTCAAGCGCTTATTAGCAACGAGAAGCTTCAACGACGCAAAATTGTGTCGAGAAGAAATCCAAGACGTGGTCGTCAATAGCGTTGACGGGATGTACGTGCATTACTCAAGTTTTTCATTGCTGGCAAGTGGCCTTTTAATTGTGCTTACCATTTGATGTGACATGCAGGTTCCTGCTCGCCGAACGTCACATGGAAATGCTGGATCTGCAAGACACCATTGGCAAATTGTGCATCACCCTTAAGGAGCTACCTCACGACATACGCATCATCTATGACGCTGCCCTCGAGCGTATCATGAGTGGTGGTGCACCGCGAAAGAGGCAGTCATTAAGTGCCCTCGCCTGGCTGTCCTGCTCTCGCCGTCCAATGACAGTCAACGAAGTCGCAGAAGCAATCGCAATTCAAAGAGACGACAAGAGTCTCAAGGATGACCGGCTGCGGCTGAAGAGTCTGGAACACATCTCGTCCCTCTGCGAGGGCCTCATCGCAGTTGACCGTGAGAGCGGCCTGGTAAGGCTCGTGCACCTAACAACGAGAGAGTACCTAGCAGCTCGACAGGACATTTTCCAATCGAGCGCGGAGGCGATAGTGGCAGAAGGGTGTCTCACCTATCTGTCATTTTCCGATTTCGGCCATGTGCCGCCCGGCGAAGACAGGGCAGACTACTTGAACAGGTTCTCCCTGCTCAACTACGCTGCTGATCATTGGCATGACCACCTATCGCGCGGCTGGAGCGAGAGCAATCTGGAACTTGCAGTGAACTTGCTCGTGGATAGCTCGAAGGTGGCAAATCTCGCACATGCTATGAGCAATGATGAAATCAAGGGCGAGGCTGGCATGACGGGCCTCCACCTCGTCGCTTTCCTAGGTTTCGAGAGGCTGGTGGAACCGCTCTCAAGATGCGTCAACAAAGGCTCCAGGACGAGAAATTCCACTCATGGCCGACTGGCCACTGCCAGAACGTTGCGCGGAGAGACACCACTGCATTGGGCGGCGGCTAATAACCATGGCAAAGTTGTGTCGGAGCTGATTGCCAGAGAAGCCGAGGTGAATGCAAAGGACAATCGCGGCAAGACTGCTCTGCATACGGCTGTTCGGAAAGGGAGAAGAGAAGCCACGCTCGCCCTACTGGAAGAGGCCAAGGACCGAATCGACATCAATGCGGTCGACAATCACCTCTCCACGCCGCTGATATTGGCCGCTCACCATGGCATGGGCGTAATTGCGAGAATGCTGATGGACCACAAGGCTGACCTCGACGCGAAGGATAAAGATGGTTACACTGCCCTACGATGCGCTGCCTCCCAAAATCACAGGCGCATACTTGAGCTGCTGATCAAAAAGGGGGCGAATTTGGAACTCAACCGAACACCCGACTGGACCCTGCTGTCTTCAGCCGTCACCCAAGGCCATCCCCAGATCGTGTCGCTCTTGCTGCATGAGACAGATGAGGTCAACTATGTTACGGAGCACGGCACAGCTCTCATGTGCGCGATACGATACAAGAAGAAGGATATTGCCTGGCTGCTCGTCCAGAACGCCAACCTCGACGTAGCAGACAACACGGGCGACACGGCGCTCCACGTTGCAGTGCGGGAGGAGGACAAGTCTCTGGTATGGCTGCTTCTGGAAAGCGGAGCCAAGACAACCCAGCAAAACAACGCCGGCCTCACGGCCCTGCACCTCGCGGCAGAATCGGGGAAACGCCCCATCGTGGAGATCCTGATCGACAAAGGCGCCGAGCTAGAGTCTCGCGAGCACCACGACGGGCAGACGCCGCTCCACATTGCCGCCTCCAAGGGGCACCACTTGGTTGTCCGGCTCCTGGTCGATAGGGGAGCCGAGCTGGATGCCAAAGACGGACGCGGGTTCACGCCACTCCATCTCGCCACCAGGAACGGGCACCCGGAGACGACTCAACTCCTGCTATCTCGGGGCGCCGACAAAAACGCCCGGAGCAAGCTGGGTCTGACGCCGCTGCACGTTGCCACCGACACGGCCGTCCTGAGCGCGCTCCTGGACAGCGGGGTCGACGCGAGCATCGGCGACAACAACCAGCGGACGGCACTCCACTGGGCGCTCGTCGACCACTCCAGGGGCCGAGAGGAGGCCATCAGGATGCTGATCGAGAGGGCGACCGACGACGACATCGACGCCGCGGACGAAGACGGCCAGTCCGCGCTCCACGTCGCAGTCTCGGCCGGACACGGTCCGTCGGTCGCGCTTCTCCTCCTAGCGGGCGCCGACATGGAGAAGGAGGACGGCGGCGGCCGCACGCCGCTGCAGCTCGGGATTTGCCGGTTCGACAACAACCAGGCGTTCCAGCGTGTTGTGTGGGAGTTGCTAGGAAGGGGGGCAGATGTGAATCGGAAAGGACAAGACGGATCGACGGCCTTGCACCTTGCTGCAGCCGCCGGAAACAAGACGGCCATTCAGATGCTTTTTGGGCGGGCCCAGGAAAAGCCCAACCTAAGCATCGTCGACGCTGAGGGACTTACCGCGCCGGAACTGGCTTTGAAACATGGCCACACTGGCATGGACTGGGAGGCAGCGGAGGCGTTGGCTGATCGGAGGCAACAAGATGGCGGACGTCGGAAAGAATAACTCTCAGTTTGTGACCTGATAGATGATGCTTTTTATCTCACGACTAATTATGAGACTGATCGTCGTAAGCCAAAGAAATAGTGCCGACCTCTTACTAGACAGCGATCTCACAATACGTGCATTTACTCGGAGATGGAAACCAAGCCAGGGATTTTTGCTAAACTGAAGCCCACAGCGTCCAACTATTCCGCTTCCTTTATCACCTTCTCTATAGTGTCCTCGCCCGGAAACTCCCCTTGCACCGGACTTCCCACCAACGTTCGCTCAGTTTCACGCTTCCTCAACTTGGGAGGCGACCCCTTTTCCAGCTCAATGTCGTCCCATCTCCCACCTCCTCCCTTCTCACTGACGTTCGACGCCACATCCCACGCGGCTTCGCTCGCAGCCTTCGGATCTGACTCCCCGCCCACGGATCCGGGCCTCTCCTTGCAGTCGGCGCTGGGCGACTCGTATGCGGCCGGATACGATGCCACGCCGCGCGTCTCGCGCGGCGGCGATACGGGCACGCGGCCCTCCGTGACGGGTATGTCGGCGTCACCGCGCACCCACCCGCGCACGCCGGCACCCTGCAGCGCCATGGCTAGGAGGCTATACTTGTCGTCGGCGAGGCGGGCGACGCGGCCTGCCTCGGCTCGGGCGGAGAGGTTGGCTCCCATCCCCGCCTCGGCCCTCCTCCTCGTGCGGGCCCTGGAGAGGTCGACACAGAGCGGGACAGCGACGGCGGCAACGATAATGGTGAGCGACAGGGCGACCACGATGACGAGGGCAAGGACGCTGAAGTTCTGGACCGCCGCGCTGGAGCGAATCAGCTGGTTGCGGCAGAGACTTTCCTTCTGGGCCCCAAGGCCCTGTACCGTGTAGGCGGTGCTGAGGGCCGTCATGTTGACGATCGGGTAGCGCGCTTCGGGGTGACCGGACGGCCAGGGCTTGGCGACCCACTCCAGGAGGCTCTGCTGGAGGGACGCGAGGCCCGAGGCAAACCAGAGGTCGACTTCCTTTGTCCACTGTGTGGGCGGGACCGAATTACCGCTGCGGACTCCGTTCTCCTCGGCGACAAGGAGACCTGGGGGATTTGGGGAACGTGGTTAGTGTCGGTTCGGAGAGACCGAGACAGACGAGCGAAGCCGCTAGCGATACCAAGAGTCTCCTCCGGTTCGCAGGGGCCGTCGGCTGGAATTGTTGGAGTCAAGACAGACGCGGGAGAGAGCTAATCTCACCTATTGTCCCTCGCGCTACATTGCTAACAAGTCCCGAAACATATATGCGGTTCCACACGAACCGCATCGCCGTAGCGAGCTGGGCTTTGTTCAGCCCCATGACGTTGTTGGACACTTCGTCGTTCAGCCTATAAAACCCCGAAGGTTTGCTGCATTGGCCATTGTTGGGGTTGCAGATCTGCGCCTGATCGCTGCAAACCATCAAGCTGAACGGGTTGGTCGCGTAGTAGACAGTCGCGTTGAGGTTTATCGCATACTCATCACCCGTTGCCGCCTCGTGGGCGAGAAAGTACGGGTCGTCGACGGGGGCGTAGTAGAACATGCGGCTCTGGGTTGTTGTGATCATGACCATGTCGGCCTCGGTGTTGTTGAATGGGGGCGCAACCAGTGCTTTGGTCGGGTCAGCCTCGTTAGCCATAGTGATCCCTCGTCTGTGGCAAGTAGTTAGTATGTGTGCATGCATGCAATTCGGCTGATTGGTGGATCGGGTGGATAGGGGCCAGTTGGTATAAGGGTGAAAAGGGGGTGAAAAGGGGGTTGAGGCCCAAACGCGGGTTGGAGTAGCGAAAGACGAGGCAATCCTTCACCTCGGGGCATACTTACTGGGAGAAGAATCCAGTCCGCTCAAACATCAGATTGGCCCCAATCTCAAAGCCCAAATTCGAATCTCCACCAAGATCAGGGCCGAACTCTTGCAGAATGCCGATGTAAGTCATGTTGAGTTCATGGTTGTTGAACTTCTCTATCCTCCAGTAAGGGGCTGTGGTGAGGTTCGTGGGATCAACCACGGCGCAGGTGGCACTCTCTCTAAATATGATGCGATCGTGCGGCGGGGCGTTGATGCCAAAGTGAACGTGGGAGTCGAGTGGACCCGAATCCACGTTCCAGGCCGGTCCGTGTGTTGCGTTGGGACCGAGGCAAGTGGTGCCGTTGGTATAGGGGCAAGGAACCTCACTTCCCAGAAACGGCAGCTGAGGCCGAGAAAACACGGTCTCACGCGTGCGAGATCCATAGTAGATGTCGCGCGCATAGTTACGTGCCTCGAATTCCAGCTCGTTCTGATACCGAGACGTAACATCCAAGACCCCGTTACTCAGATCAGCATTCTTTTGAAAAACAAGGTCGCCACAATCATTAGGCGCTGCCAGCACCAGAACATCTTGATAGCTACAGCGAGTCAGTGACCAGGTTTTGTGTCCGCGTGGAAGGGGAAGCTTGCCTCTTGGTGGCAACCTCGGCGACGAAGACCCCAGCCGCGGCAAATGCGAGGAAGAACACGCTGGCCATCAGGATCACGGGGAGTGTCCGTCTCTTGACCCGCTCGATCCGGCCACTCCAGGCTCGCTGGAGACCGACGCCGTCTGTCCAGGAGTCGTAGAATGAAGCTCCCGCGCGGAAGTGTATCTGCAATTGCTGATCCAGGACATCTTTATCCTGCTTTGCTGCTAGACGCTGATGACTGTAATAAGTCATCAGCGACCAGGCCCTCGAGCCTGCCCAGGCGACGAGGGACGACAAGGCGGCGATGATGTAGTTGCCCCATCTGATGGAGACGGTGAGGGTTGCGCCTAGAATTGGTGACGTGTCATGGTTCACCCAGACCCCGGTGTGAATGGTGTAGTTCGACATGTCTTGGTCCGACAAAGGCAAGAGCACCTCGTTAACCGTCAAGAAGTCGGGCAGCTGATTACCGAGACGCGAGGAAGGTAAAGCATTTATGACGCAAGCTGCAAACTCGGTCGACAGTGACGAGTCAGTGCCGAATCGAGAATGCCTAGCCGATGCGCCATGACACCGAGGGTGTCAAGTCTGGACCGTCAATCAAGGTAGGGCACATGGTGTAACCTAGTATTTAATTTCTTCCAGAAACAGAACATTAAAACCACCAACCATGTTGAGAGGCAGTGGGCGACGACACCGGGCGGCAATCAGGCCAATCGTATATCACGGCAGAATTGGAACAAAGTGAACGAACATGGGTTGGGGGCGAAAATAGAACCAAAACCGAAGTCGAAGAATGGGGGGTCGTAACACAAGGCGCAGATGTTACCCGACATGCATTCATTCAGCCGCCCACCCGGCAATTTGAGTCCCCGCACCCTCACCAATGGGAAGGAGCCGTAGCCCTATCTAAACGGCTATTGTGGCACGGGTGCCTTCTAGTCGAGGTGTTTGGCATGGATTACACAGGAGGTGCATGGCGCTGGTAGGGGCGCAGCTCCCACCGTCCCTTATCGTTCCTTCCCGTCCCGGAGTTCCCCATATTAATTACGCCATAATGAATTGCTGCCGAGAGACAGGCCCTACTGGTCAAGATCTACTCGATCATGGCCGAAGAAACCGAGCTGTCCAACCACTCAGAACTTGCAGCTGACCGCAGCCTGACTGCAGCCTAGGAAATCTACTGGCACTATCCGTGACGCTCTCCATCTTAGATTTGAGACGAAAACGAGCCTCGACTGATTTTTACTGGGCCTTAAACCGGGAACTCCAATATCGATATCAATAGAAACAAGCATGTAAGACGGAAATAGGGGGGGGGGTAATTAGGAGGTAATTATTGCGGGCATTCTCGGTTCGTGACGAGTGATGACAGGCTCCACCAAAATGTTACAACTTCCACGCCAGAATTGCAAGTCCCATTCCATAGTCCACGTCCGCGGGTTTGGGGAATTGCGAGTCCTGCATTTCTACACTGGCAGTTCTGGCTGCTGCTGCAAACAAGGTGATCCAGATGGGAGACAGAGGGTGCAGCCAGTTATACAACCATAGGTACCAACCTCTCTTGAGCCCGTGTTGAATGGGGTGAAACCCAAGGAAGATATCAGCTAGGCTGGTGCCAATATTTGGGAGTACCGACCGACTGTTGATATTGATGATCATCGTTGGGAGAGCCACATGCCACTTATCAAGTCCCTTGCTCTTCCCTTCGACTGCCCATCTCATCGGCTGCTGTTTCAACGACTGGACAATGCGATCCGGCAGTCTAGCAGACGGACGAGCAGAGATGCGCGAGTCTCACAAGGAATCGACAATAAATGGCGCTGCCTGGTCTAGAGGTAATCTTCAGGGCAAAATGCCAATATGGACGTTGGGTATGTAGGCAGGCCAGGGCTTTTTCGATGTACCCGCATTATTATCTGGCAGGCCGAATAAGGTAGGCAGATGGGCATTTTGCTGAGATGAATGACACTTCATGTTCAGGCAGCAAGGGGGCTCACGAGCAGATCTGGCTGTTTAGATGGAACCAGACAAAAGAGCGGTTTGCCAGCCCACTCCGATTTGCTAATACAAACAATGCGGTAGATAGGTAGTGTAGTGTGCGTCCACGAGAGTGGCAGGTGAGTCATTTTTGACCATTCCTATTTGAAAGTAGCTTGTCCAGCGTTTGTTGCCAGGTTTCATCCAGTCTTATTGTGGTTATATGCTTGGGTATATGTACCATCGTTGCCACAGTCATGATGTCAAAGAAATCAAACTTCGTTAAAGAGGACAATGTGTATACAGCTGCTAACCTGTTTTGTTTGAGCTGTTGATTGACAGACAAAGACAGACATAATTGTCCAATCTGACACTGGCTTGTAGCCTCAGTGGTTATATCAGGAGAGGTCTGTCTTAAACCACGTACGAGGTACCTCCTACCTGTATACAGAGACTTGTTTCAAGTTTGTAAGAGAAACTAGGTATTTTACTCTACTAAGCTCTAGTAACCTGCCGCAACTAATCCTAAAAAGGGTTAAATACGTACCCGTGCCAACGTCCCAGTGGCACGAATAGCATGAAGGCGCACAGACACTTCACAAACCTTATAAAAGGCACTGATCGGAATGTTTCCCTCTCTTCTTTCTTAAAAACCCGCAGCATTGACTAGAAGAACATTAGTCAACCACCTCCTACACTTTGCTTTTGATTCACCTGTATCAACCCCTGGCTCCCCCTTTATTGGCTAGAAAGCCCCTGGCATATCTTGAAACTAGAGACACTTGTCAGCTTGGTGAAGTTATGCAAGTGCAAGCTTCCATGTCAAGTTGCGCTCGCTGATACATTCCCATACCATTCCCATACCATTCCCATACCATGTATGGTATATACCTTGCAAGGCACATCTCACTCATCAAGACACAATTGTCGACGTATACTTGTTGTTGACAGGAGGTACTGTTATCGAGGTACCTTAATTACCTGTAAACGACTTGGGTACCTAGGTACTTACCTTCAGTTGTGGATGGAATGAAGTGGAATCCACAAGGGTTACCCTTATTATCGCCTACCACAAATTGAAAGGGAACCAAAGCAACCAGTTTTCCTAGTAGGGGGCAGTTCTGGAACCATCCAGCCAAATTTCCGTCTCGTGGACAAAATAAATATCGGTCATCCCACAAGTCTATAGGAGGATTTCAAGTAGACTTGGAAATCTCATGTTCTTTTAGGCAACTTGGTCTAATCACCAGGGATCTGGTTGGACGATTCCAGACACGCCAGAAAGCCGGAGAAGGTCAGCAGTTTCATTACCATAACAAATCCCCCATCCTGCCTTCCCTCCAACAAGAATAGCAGAACTGAAGACAAAATACTAATCTAGAATCTCAGATTTCCGTCCGACGTGCTCCATATTCGGAATACTGCTTTATCGCAACCCTTGCCGTGATGTCGGACCAAAACCCCGTCACCGAGACGCTAGTCATCGTGGTCCCGGACGGGATCTCGACCCCGGAGTTTATCCGCAGGGCGAAGCTCATGATATCGCGGCTCGCCGTCAAATATGCGAGAGATAAGGGAAACCCCCCTACCATGACCGCCGAAATCGAGGGCCAGACGCGGTTTCTGCGTTCTTTCATCCCATGGCTCGAGACCGAGGTCCACATGACACCAAAGCTGAGGGACCACACCCAGATCCACGTGGCCCTCAGCATACTATTCGACCCCACCTATTATCTCCCGAGCTCGCTTGCCGAGATGGCCCGGGCGGCTTACAATCGGTTCGAAGCCGAGAAATGGGGTGCCACGTCGACCAACGACGGCGAGGGCGAAGGAGAAGAGCCCGTTGGTGCCGCACCCACGGCCACCGGGTCCGGGTCCGGGTCCTCCGCCGGGTCCGGGATGAGCAGCATCGTCAACTCGGTTACGTCGATGCGGCTCCCGCCGCCAGACCACCCGATCTGGGGCCGGAATGGCATCATGCACGGGGTGGCGTTCAAGCCCGGGCGGCGGGCCAGCTACGTTCTCAACAGCCAGTACCTGGCGGAGAAGCGGGGCGCCAAGGTGTTTGGGCACAACGGGCTGGAGCCGGGGGCGTGGTGGCCGTTCCAGCTGGTGGCGCTCTTCCACGGCGCGCACGGCGCCTCGGTCAAGGGCATCGCCGGCGACGCCGAGCTGGGCACGTGGTCGGTGGTCCTGTCGGGCACGTACGACGACCTCGACGCCGACGACGGCGACTCCATCTGGTACAGCGGCGACGGCAGCCACGAGAACCAGGACCCGCGGCGCATCCTCCACGAGAGCAACGCCACGCGCAGCCTGCACACGTCGCTCGCCACGGGCAAGCCCGTCAGGGTGTTGCGCGGCGCCAAGACGAAGAGGGCTTTCGCGCCGACCGTGGGCATCCGCTACGATGGGCTGTACAGGGTGGTAGCCACCCGGAAGCTGAAGAACCAAAAGGGCGGTCTCTACGAGGTGTTCAGGATGGAGAGGCTGCCGGGTCAACGGTCGCTTGACGACATCTGCATGACGGTCCCCTCGCCGAAGCAGGAGTATGAGTTCAGCCGGATCCAGGAGAGATACTAGGGCTGGCACTGGTAATATCCATTACAGCCTACGTAGGCGGGCATGATAGGGGACAAGGCAGGGGGCTAAGCCTAAATTGCACTTTCAGAAACATTCGTTTCGCTACACATTTCATTAAGACGGCCGTGGAGGGGCTGAGTTGCCCGAAGGAGGCAAGGGTTTTGTTCCCTTGGAGGGTTGTAGAAGGAAAGGTTTATTGCAGCTAGTACATAACGCCAATACTGACGTTTCCAATTCATCTTTTCCTTCTTTAGAGAGTGTTTAAAAATACCACAGATCCATAATGTCTTACCACAAGTTTAGAAGGGTGTGTGGCACATTGGCCTCACAGAAACACCGCTCAATAATACAAGACCAAGGAATTTGGTGTACAATCCAATGCAGGAGATTCCTCAAGATGCAGTTCACTTCTCGATAGACGGTCGCAATAATATGGATTACGGCAAGTCACCCCAAGGTCACTCTGCATTTCCTTCCACATCAGCCGTCACTCACCCTGGCAGCACAGATCTTGTCTTCAAGTCCGTCGGCACCGTACACAGTCCGCCACTAGCTCGTTAAGCTGCTCTCATCCTTCTGGCGGGGGTCTTGTAGCCCGACTTGATGATATCCGCAGCCTGCAAGGAATCCCGGTCAGCAAACGACTTCAACTTTTAGAGATGTGTGCATATCCCTCCTTACCTTTTCAGCAATGGCATATACGGTCTGGCAGGTATTCCCGCCAGGCAGCGTCGGCATGATACTAGCGTCAACGACACGCAAATTCTGGACGCCATACACGCGCAGGGCCTCGTCAACGACACCCCCCAGGTCGAGGGGCATCATAGCGCACGTGCCAGCCGGGTGGTACTCGGTAGGCGACAGGGAAGTCGCCAGGTAATCGGCGAGCTCCTCATCGGTCTGGACCTTCGGGCCGGGGCTCAGCTCGCGGGGGTCGTACTGGGCGTTGGCCGTGGTGTTGAAGTAGAAGCGGCGGGTGAAGCGCAGCATCTCGGCCATGAGGGCGGTATCGAGCGGGTTGGCGAGGGCGCGGTAGTCGACGACGGGCTCGAGCCCGAACGGGTCGCGCGGGTCGACGTTGACGGTGCCGCGGCTAAGGGGGTGCAGGTCCACGAGGGCGCCGTTGCCGGCCGAGCCCGTCAGGCACAGGTTGTAGAAGGCCGTGCCGTTGCCGCGCAGCGCCTGCGCGTACGAGCGCATCTGCGCCGCGTAGCCGGCTACTACGGTCGGGTCCGTGTCCGGCGGCAGGGAGGCGGCTGGGTCCTGGGCCTGCAGCTGGTCGGCTAGCTCGGACCACCGTGGCGAGATGACGGGGAAGGAGAGCCAGGCTGCGGCGTTGCCTGTCGCGATCGAGTAGGGCCCTGACTTGTTGGTGGCCCATTCGTCGTCGGCCCAGCGGTGGAAGGAGGTGTTGCCAAAGAGGTCCTGCGCCGAGGGGGTGATGTTGAGCTTGTTGACTACGGCACTTTGTTTAGCATGAGATGGGCATTTGGGAGACTCAAGACGTTGTAGCAACTTACGGGTGATTCTCATCTGCAGCATCGGATGATCCTGGAAGTTCTGGCCAACGCCGGGGAGGTCGACCACGGTGCTTATGTTGGCCGCAGTCAGGATCTTCTGCGGGCCGATACCGCTGCGCTGGAGGACCTGCGGGCTGTGGATACCTCCCGCGCAAAGTATCACCTCCTTGCTGGCTCGGACCGTGGTGGTGACGGTGGCATCATTGGCCGACACGAACGTCACCCCCGTGGCCGTCGTCCCGTTCAGCTCGATCTTCAACACTTTGCTCCCGGTAATGAGCTGGTAGTTATTTCGCTTGATGTTCTCGTAGTGGCCCGTCTTGGCGAACGACCGCGTGACAGTCTTGGGGTCCATGAACTGGGGGAACCAGTACACCCCCGGGCGGCCCGACCCGCTGTCAGGCGTGAACTCGGCGCCTTCAATCTCCCTGAAGGCATCGAGCTGCACCTTCGTCCCCGGGTACTGGTAGGACGGCCATGCGGCGTAGACGCCAGACGTATTGCCCCAGTAGCTCGTGTCGTACGTGATGTTGGACGACTCGGCGACCTCTTCCAACGGGGGCACAAAGTTGAGGGCCTTCTTGAAATACGGCAGCATGCCATCCCAGCTCCAGTCGGACGAGTTGGAGAAGAAGTTGCCCCACCTGTCGTAGTCCTCCACCGTGCCGCGCACCGTCATCAAGGCGTTGACGGCGGAGCTACCGCCGACTACCTTCCCGGCCAGCACCCCTATCGTGTGGTTGCGCAGGTTCACCTGCGGCACCGAGTTTATCTTGTACATGAACTGCTGGGACATGCCCGAGAAGCCCCCCTGCACGGTGCTGATTAGGGGCGAATCGACTGGCGGCGGTCTCTGTTAGCTCCGTCTCCCAATTCTTCTCCAGTTCTCGGTTGCTGCTGCTGTGCCTACCCAGCTCTCCGTGCTCGATGACCAGCACGGTCGTCTCCCCATCCTCGGTCAGGCGGTCCGCGACGGTCAAGCCGGCAGTGCCACCGCCGACGATGACGTAGTCATACGATGGCTCCACATCTCTGACGCGATGGATGAGGTGCGATCTCTCGATGCCACGGGGGAAGCCGTGGACCAGCGGCCCCGCCGCGAGGACCAGGGCTGCGGCCGCAAAAGTCCGGAGGTCGTGCATTATCTTCTTGGCTCCTTGGCGGCCTGTTGTGATGAGGATCCAAAGACATGGCAGGCCGGAGCAGCGTCGAGGAACAGCCTTCCATTATGTAGGGACGTGTGGGCTGTGGGGTCTATCCTTTCTCGACATGACCGACATCCCAGCACAGGGTCCCCCCCAAGGCGGAGATTTAAAGTGCGTGTGAGGCCATCAGGGCGAGTTATCGTGGAGAAGCTGCTCGGCAAATTTCGAAAATATAGGGGGCTGCGTTGAGGCACAATTAGGTACGAGGCGTAGGCCAATTTAGCCGTCTGGGCGTCGGATCTGGTCACGGCTTGCGATGCATGTTTTGTATTTGCCGCTGATTTAATGGATCTGTTTTTAATTACCCCAAACCAAAACTTGCACAGGTGCATTTGATACAGGTGCAAGTAATATGGATAGGACAAAACACCCGGCTCGTCGCCAAAGGCAAGCCCCCTCTCCTCTAGGTAGCTTTCATCTTGAAGTATGCCGTATTTCGCAAAGATGCAGTCTTCCATGTTTGTTACACACGTTAATGAGCGGAGCCTCACAAACAAGACGCCGTGCCTTAAATATCTTACGAATGATGGGATGAATAAGCCAGGTACACATGGCTGATTCTTGGATTTGGGATGCTGAAGTAATTAGTGGTCATTTCAACAATCATTGGACAGCATCATGACCTATTGAGCAGGGTCTATATTTTCTATATTGTGATGGGCAGCTCAAGCAAAGTGAGATCGGAGGACAAAAGGTTAAAGGAGGAGAACTCGTGAGAGTGGAGTTGCAGGAGATGTAGCTGCAAGAGTGGAAATATGACGTATTGGCTTCTTTCTGAACAATCTGTGCATGCAAAAATGAAGAGACACTTCAAATGTGCTATTTACGGAGCTTAAGCTGCGATTCCGTCTGGAAGGTCGTGTTATTCCTGGTAAGGACCTAGGTGGCGTGGTCGAGGGTTGGGCCTAAGAGGGACGACGAGAGGGGACGACGAGAGCCAGCGATCCTCAGGAACAGTGTCAAAAGCCCAAATAGGGCAATGAAACAGCGTGTTTCTTCAGTTTCAAGTACCTGGATATGTCACATCATCCAACCCAGACCGACCGAGTTGACGCTTCCAAGCCCAAGTTCCTCTCATTTTGATCCTGTTGACCAGGCTGTCCCTTTGATAACGCAGCACGACAGTGGCCATCTTCCATCGCGAGTATCCGCGACCTCAAGCACCGCTTCGAGAGGATGAGCACCAGCCAAACAAGGCCGGCAATACAGCCTGGACCAACAACCATGAAGCCCAATGCCCAGGGGATCCGCATATCCGTGTCCGGCATCCCCGGATCATTCTCGGCAAATATGAACATCCATTCGGGCAGAGGAAACCAGTTCTGGAACTGGCGGCCCCATCGTATAACCACATCCCGTCGTTGGACTATCTGCTTGTCGATGACAATGACTGCGCCGGTCAGGATGGCTCTACCGACAACGTTCACCAGGAGCTCGCCCAGACATTCTCCGAGGCCGTCTGACATGTTCAGAGGCGTTTCTGCGACCTGTAGTAACATTGACTGTCATAGTGACAGAAACAACACGGGAAGAAACGGAAACAACAGAACTGACAATGTAGACGACAAAACGAAAAAGAAAAAAGAAGAGGGAGGAAAAAATCCGGGACAGGGACAAGAATACGAGACAAGTGGCGGGATGCCTTTCTGAGCTGCGTCTGTGGCCTGTAGGCTTATCCCTTTACCCTTCCCCCTCTGTTTGAACTGGAATCATAAAAGTGGTAGAAGGACACAGTTCCAAGCGGATGAGTCGGATTGGGTGCCATGCACAATTTCGTAAGGGAGGTCGAGAACTCGAATCCTCACAGAACAGAGCAATTCAGACGTGACACAGGCGTCAAACGGACTCAATAAGTTTCAAGGTGCTACATTGCTCCGTCCTAGACGGATGACATCTATATATATTATTGAGCTTTGCTGCGCAGGTCTGGGCGACGACAAGAATGAAGCAATGTAGCAATAGCAATGGCGGCGGCAATGGCGACAGCGACAGCAATAGAAACAGACAACGAGAGGGTAAAAATATGCCACCCAAGAAGATGCAAGGTGCTGCATTGCCCTGTCCCGGACAGATGCTATCTCATAATAAATAAGACGGTCCTGAGGATGCTATCTAATAGGGACGTGCTTTTGTCTAGCTGTCTACCTGGGACATACCCGTCACACTGTAGAGAGGCATGCTCAACCCCTGTTAGGACTGACTCGCAAGTTCGCGTCGGGAATCGACTTGTCCCCATGCAGCCGCACTGGCTGGAGCTGGACTGCCACTCCATTGCATATGTCTTTGACAAACCTGTCCTCCATGACCTTGGAAAGGTTGACAACGACGCCCCAGACATCAACATCCTTCAGCGTCGCAATGATCTGAGCACAGCACTGGCGTACACAAACTTGCGCCGGATTTCGCTGCGGGCATGCGCCACTTCCTCTCAGGCAGGTGGTCTATCCATTCCAGGTGTCAGAGCTTGGACGCAGATGGTAGAAATTGGTAACAGCTGCTATCGGTATTACTACTGCTATTGCTTTGCTGGGTATTGCTAGAAATAGCAAGTGCAATAGACAGCGACGGCAATAGCGATAGATGGCGACGGAAAGAGCAATAGACAGCGACGGAAAGAGCGATAGACAGCGACGAAAAGAGCGATAGACAGCAATGGAAAGAGCAATAGACAGCAACGGAAAGAGCAATAGACAGTAACGGAAAGAGCAATAGACAGTAACGGAAAGAGCAATAGACAGTAACGGCAGTGGCAGGTGTTGCCGATTTTTCACCACCTTGCCGCTGCCCTGTGATACACTAATCGCCTACCCGCGGAGCAAATGGCGCATGCCCCGGGAGCAATTCCCGATAGCAATTAGTCCAACAGCAGGAATACTCCCGTCCACCACCCTCCACTGCCCTCTCACCGCCCCCCTCCGCTGCCCTCCCTCTGACTCCCTCCCCCCCCTCCCTTCCTACCCCCCCTTTTTCTCTGATCGCCTGAGATGGGTCCGGTGGCTGTCGGCGTATTCCTGGCAGCATTGTCGGGAGCGAGCGGGGCGAGGCTGGTGGGGCCATTGGTGATGATAGGAGTAAGCCGGGACAGGTAGGCACGAAGATGACCAGTATTGTTTCCAGGCCCAGAAGAGCCAGCCCGGCGAGGACCGGCGGGAGCGGCGGGATCAGCAGGGGAAGTTGGGTCAGCAGGCCAACCAACAGCACCGTTGGTGTTATTATGATGTCCGGGGGCGTTGTTGGGGCCGGGGGCGTTGGCGGAATCGGGGGGATTGCTGGTGTTCTTAACATCGAGCATCTCGACAGATTCGTCATCCGCCAGGTGGCGGCAATCCGCCCCTCTAGTATTTGCGAGGATACTGTTGCTTGCGAATTCTGGTTCTCGGGGATATTCTGGCCAGTTATTTTTGGTTTGCTGGGAGATAGGTCTTCGGGAAAGTGATGTTGGGTTTGCTGGGAGATAGGTCTTGGGGAGAGTGATTTTGGGCAAAAGTAGTGTTGGCCAAACCACAACCTCCCCCACCACTACCCGTGCCACGCCCCACTTTACTTGGCCTTCGTGATGTTCGTTCCTGTGTTCAGTTGAGCAAACCGGTCATGGCAGTGACCTCGGAAGCTTTCTCCGAAGGGGAAAGAAAGCACAGCCCAATGCCTTGCTACATGCAGGTACCTAGGAATATGAGCTGATCTCAAATACAGTAGTATCATAGCATGGCCCCTTTCGTCCTTCCATTCTCTGCCTTGTTGACAACCCCTCCACTTCCTCCCAGAAGCACAGCACACAGAAACCCCGAGCCAAGAGGTGGTGAAAAATGACCCAGATAGAGTCTGCCTTTATCAGACTCCCATCCCCACTCCCGATATTTCCATGTCATTCTTGTTGTTGGTCTACCATGGCTGTGGCTGGATCGACGTCGGCGAGAACACGGTTGTCGGCCTCCACAGGCTGGTAGAGCCACTTTTTCTTCCCAACCCATTCTCCTGCGATGAAGCAGATGAAGCAGAGGATGAAAACCCAACCTGGGGGAAAGTACTTCAGACGTTTCGCCGATGCAAGCGAATACAGAGCGTCGGTAAGCCGGCTGAGCGATTCCTCGGAGAATATGTATTTGGTGGTGGCTGCTGAACAGGGAACGCAGGTTGAGACCCAGGTTGGGACATGGACAGTAACTGTGGCAGTGGCAGTGCTAGCAGCAGCAGTTGTTGTGGAGCATGCGTGGGTAATGGTATTGATGCAGTCCATCGTGATAGAGTCGTGGCGGCTGTCCTGTCAGTGGCCATTCTGCGTCGGAAGTCCATGTGTGGAGGTCAGGAAGGTACACACTTACCTTAGGTAGGTGCGCACCAAATTCGAGAACGTGAGCTAACGTAGACGATGCTGCGAGCGGATAGGGCGTCAGGAACACTCTTAGTATGGAAAGGCTGATGTGAAGTAAGCTTAGTGCCCGGCATGCTCTTTAATTTGACGCAATTTTGGGAGTGGTGTGGTTCGTGTTTTGTCGAGGTTCGTGTGGCGTTGAGGGTGGTGTGTGGTGTCGGCTTTTGCGAGGTTTGACTCTTGATGTGTAAAAAAGCAGGGAGGGCAGGTACCTAGGTAGGACCTTCCTACTGTGTAAGAGAAACCAAAACTCTCCCTCTCCCCTCCACTGGGTACCCCCCAAGTAGAAGAAACCCTGGTCTCCCTTCCATGCTTAGTAGGTACAGGTAGGTATCCCCCAGAGGGCAATAAACACCCGACGCCAATTCCCTCTATTATTGGCGTTGCGTGGTCCCACCACCGCAGGCCAATTGTCTTCGCAACGTTGTTGATAGCCTCTGCAATCTCTGATGGGGCAAGAGGCAGGCGGGCATCTCAGTTTGGCGTTCTGATTTCCGGTTGCAAAATTGTGCGATTGATACTTACTTTAGGTTGTTTGGGAGGCAGTGGCGCTTTGCTCCATATCTGCCTGTAGGGACGAGGAACCACCCCATAGCCGGAGGCACTTTACTTGGTACCTAGAGGTATCCAGGGTGGGGCGCATTACATGCTTTATGGCCGGGCAGGTGCGCCTTGCTTCGGGGTGCTTTTCTTAGGAGACGGGAGCACTTTGCCTTGCAGCACCGAGAGCGATTTCCTTCTGGCCAATACCTAGGTACCTTAGGCAGGTACCTATTGTGGAAGGTAGAGCCAACTGGATCGTCACAACTCCACCTAGCGGTGACTCGGGTCCGATATCAAGAAGGGCCTCCCTTTGTTTTCCGTCTTCTAACTACCTCTAGGTACCTATCTCATCGGGTTGTCATTCCTTCCCATTGATAATCTGCCTTTCAGGGTGACAAGTTTGCGGTACAGGCGAATTCGGACGGGCCTGTTCGCCGCGACTGGCCGCGACTGACCACAGGGGCACTCAATCCATACGGGGATGTACGCCTCGACGCGCACCTACCTACTCGGCAAACCTGGCGCACATTCTGGCCTCCTGCTGGTCGTCGTAAAACGTGCCCGAAGCGCGCAGGATGATCCATAGCACGGCCTCCTTCTGACCAAATCGCGTGAGGCGGTTGATTCCTGGCACATGGCGTTGCCATTCCAGGTAAATTGAAGGACCAGGCCGCGGGCAAGTTGTTGGATTCCGTTGTTGGATTCCGTCTGATCAACATTCTCTTTCCAATGCTGGAGTTGGGAGATAGCCGATGCCCTGTTTGATTCTGTCCGTAATTAGGGGCTCTACTTCAATATCCCCTAACTCCCTTCGCCTTCGAATACCTCCCATGTACTAATCAGACACATCATCCTTGAGCCTCTCGGCCAGCTTCCATTCCCAAATCACTCTGTCGTCGCCTCCAATCAATTTTTCATGGCCCATGTGCCCGCCTCGACGTTGCCCTCTCGGAAAGTGTGTCGGACATTCTCGATGGCTAATGGAGAACACTCCCAATTGCCGTTCTGCTTGGTAGTCAGCTGTTAGGAGATAATGTAGGACGGGAGCTAGGATGGTCAGGGTTGCGATGGGAGGTATCAGGGGCAGCGCTCTGGCAAACGAATCAAATTCGGAAGGCTCGAAGTCGCTACTGATTACATCATGGGTTTTCCAATGGGAAGAGAGACTCAACCGGTACGCTGAGCGGGCTGATTCGTTATGAAAGGCTCTATGATGCTCTTCTGGGAGAAACTGGGGGGTCCATACTCCTGGAATTTGACCTATCTGCATGAAAATGACATCTGACATGGCATCGAATCCATCGTCTTAAGTCACTGGAGTCAGCTCCAAGGGAATATACAAGGAAATGCTAGTGGGCGTTGCCTCAAATCAGGGGTTTTCATGCGACTTGCAGGATCCAATCCCCTAAAAACTCCTATATGGCACCTGTGAGAGCTGAGAGGCAGCCATATAGCCCCACTGCAAATTCACTGATCTCATAGCTCCTGAATCCATCTTCCAACTCTGCCTCGCGTGTTGTGGGATCGGGGACCCCGAATCAAGGATACTTGATGAGCTGTGATGTCCCACCGAAGTGGCAGGCTTACCCCCTTGTTAGGTGTCACTGCCACCACAAGCGTGACAAAAGAAAATTGTTCAGGGGCCATCCCATCCCATGACGCGTGCATGCAATTACAAGCGAGGCAGAGTGAGAAACCCGAAGTGAAGGGGGCTTGACATTATTCGGTTCTAGGTGCCTCATAGATGTATGTATGGTTCACATGCTCAGATCCCGTCGAGAAGGATCTGGCTCCCGGAGTTGGTTCCCATAATGGGCCATAAACACGCATCGGGGCTCATCTCGCGTGAGACTTATCCGTACTTATTCCTCTTGAGGGACTTCCCCCCGACAATCCTGCTGCGAATACTGAAAAGACTGTACATCGACTCCATTCTGCCTTACATGAATCAGTCCCCGTGACGCTGAACTCGGCGTACCATCCACCTGAAACCTCTTCGATGGGCATACCCACGGTCCAAGTGGGTATCGCGAAGTGGTCTCTTCCTCTGGCTTATTAGGCTGCCATCAATTGTTTGGTGCAGATGCTGTTCTTGTCTGATGAGTAATTATTGATCACGGCAAGACGGACGAGGTCAACTAACAATCGCGAATTAACTGCGATTCGTCTCGGTAGTGACTTCTCGTTCCACTTGCTGCCGGGCAGAATAATTCCGGCGCACCGGTGGCTAGGTAACTAGTCTTCTTCGGGGCAGAGGTGACACTCCGTCGGCTCAAAACCCTACGATTCTCTATTTTATCTCGCATGCGCAGCACGCCATCGTCCCTGCTCGCGCGCACATACACATACGTATATACATTACCTATGCCCTATTCATTTATTCCAACCATGGCGCCAAAATTTATCAAGGAAGGCAAGATCCAGATCCTAGCGCAGACTGCTAATAGCGTCGTGTATGCGGTTGCAAGCGACAGTAAGACCGGATGGGCGAAGGACTGTCCGTCGGTTCTGAAGGGCGGGACGGTTTGGTATGAAGGCCGAGAAGCGCTGGGGCCGGGAAAGGACGTGGAAGAATCTGACGAGAGGGCGCGGAATGAGGCGGGCATCTACGAGGCCCTCGGGCAACACAACCACATCCTTGGCTATCTTGGCCTCGAGACGACGGTTATAGACGGCGTGGGAACGATGCCCAAGGCTTGGGCGGTACGCCTGGAGCGGGCCCCGTATGGTAGGTAGCCTGCGAGATTACATCTTGAACAACTCAACAGGCCCACCTAACGAGCGGATCCCGCTGGAGCTAGCGGTCCAGCTCGCTGAGGGCGTCGCGCATACGCACCGGTGCGGCGTCGTATGGGGCGATCTTTCAGTCCGAAACGCCCTTCTGTTCGATAAGTGGCACATCAAGCTAGGCGACTTCGCTGACTCGGACCGAGTGGATGACTATCCCCGTGACTGGTACGGATGCGAGGTCCGCTACTGTCCACCCGGGTCCGATAGACCTCATTGTCAAGATGTTGGCACTATGAACCGCGAGCTATTCGCTCTCGGCACTGCTGTCTATGAGATCGTCGAATGGAAGGTGCCGTATGGCCCCGAGGACGAAGTCCCGGAGGATGAAGTCATTGCGGCGCTTGTGGTCGGCAAAAGGCCCCAGCTGACCAACGACAATCCTGCTGAGGCCGTCATCCACCGGTGCTGGGGGTACATGTACGAATCGTCGCGACAGATCGTCGACAGCTTGAGGGGTCTTTTGTAATCGGTGTATGTATCGTAATTCGAGCAGCTCCTACCACTACTTGCCAAGTTGTACGCGATGACTCGGCAATATCTTGTGGTGGAGTGGGTAGCACTCATCCGGACCACCTTCCTGGATTTGGATTCTACTGGTGTTCATAGACAACTGCATCCTTGATCTGCCCCAATTTGGACCCGCATCTGGGGGATATGACATCATGGGGTGCCGCACAACGTCACCTCCCACTCCCCTGTACTATTTACTTGGGGTATCTCTCTCATGCAATTAAATACTTTCCAGGTTCAGCAATCCATTGAAATCTGTCATCCGTTTACCTTCCTCAAAGCCAAACCTCACCGAAATTCGTCAAGTCAACACAAAACAAACCAACCCCAGCCGCCAGCACCATGCAACGTTTCCCCCTACGCCTACGACCAACCCTCCTGCCACCCCTCGCAGCACAAGTCCACCTCCCGCCCATAACCACACACACCCCATCAGCCCGCGCCATGTCCGCCGCGACCAAGTCCTCCCCAGCCGCATCCTCGGGCCCGAGCGCCGAGTCGGGCGGCTCGCGATCCAAGACGGCAGCCGAGGAGCACAACAACAAGAACAACGGCAACGCGACACCAGGGGCGATCCCAGACGCGCTGGCCGAGGGGCGAGTGCGGGGCCGGACGGGGGGCGGGGAGCCGCTGGAGGGGTCCGTGAGCGCGCCGCCGCGGCCCAAGATCACGAACGCGAGCGTGCCGGGGGACAAGGCGGGCGGGAACGGGGGGCCCGCCGAGGGACTGACGGGGGAGCAGAGGAGGGAGGTGGAGGAGCATAATAGGGAGTTTGAGGCGAGGCATGATCGGGCTGGGAGGGCGGAGGATGATCGGGTTGATAAGAAGTTTTGGAAGGGGGGAGGGGGGAGGGGGAAGTGAGCGGGGGTTTACCGTCCCGATTTGAGAGGAGGCGTTGCTGCATCCTGGCTAGAATGGCATCTTTGGTTCGAACGGGTCGGTTTTTGGGTCACTTGTGCTACCGTGAACTCGGATGTTCTTGGGGGTAAATTACTTGGCGAAGCTAGATACAAGGTTCTACAGGATCTGGATAAGAAGCAAAAAACGACACCCATTTACAACCCATGCCTCTAGAAGAAGCTAGAGAATCCAACAGCACCGTCAAACTCAGTACCATGAGCGACCCCGGACGGCGGCCGGGGCGGCCTCCGCAGCGGGAACGGTGAAGTCGATGCATGACTCGTAAGTCTGACCCTGGCCGAACCAGTACCACTGGAGAGCCTATTATCGATTGTCAGTATCGGATGAAATCAATGATTAACTCGCTTGCGCAGCGATACAGGAGAGAAACGTACGCAGACACCGGCCTCGGTGCACTTGCCGGCCAGATCGGGGATCGTGACGCTGAACGAGGTCTGGTCCTTGGGCGGGGTGTTGGTGGCGGCGTAGTCATCGGCCCAGGTCTTGAGCGCCTCGCCGATGACCTTGTTGGTGGTGGTGTCGACGACGCTGACGTTGGCGTAGCCCTTGTGCGGTATCCTGATGAACACCTCCATGTCGACGACGTCGCCGGGCTTGTACTTCTGCACGTGGTCCTTGTTGTCGGCGAACTGGAAGCCCTTGCACAGCCAGAGGTCGCACTTGGCCGCGTCGTAGCCGTCCTTCAGCCCGTTCGGGTTGGCCCGGAGCAGCGCCTCGGGGTACGACGTGTTGTCGGCCTTGTAGAAATCCACCATGGTCTTGCCGCACACCGCCGCTGTCGCGTCGCCCGGCGTCCGCGCATCGGGCTTGGTGACGAGGCCGTGAGCCGACGCCTGCGAAGCGAGGGCCGCGACGCCGAGGAGGGAGGCAAGGGGCAATTGCATGGTTGACGATGATGCGCGTGAGGGGGGACGAGGTGTCACAGAGGATGGTGAATGGGTTAATTAGATAAAGAACGAGATTTCAGGCACAACAACGACGCCGCCCTCCTGGGGTTTGAGGGACGTTATAAACTATTTCCTACCTTATCCTTATCCCCGTCCATGGTCGGCATCGCGGCAATCCGTCTTCGATTTGTGCACGGTCAGGAACGGCTCTTCTTTTGCCTAATAAGTCGACAACTGGACGGAATGGGCTGCACCCGCCAATAGCAGGCCCTCTCAGAGGAGAAAACTTTAAATTTATATGAACGACAATTTACTATGCACCCCGGCAAAGCCTGGGATTAATAGGGACCCTGTTCGTGCCTGAGTGAGCGAACAAGAGCGGCCACCCGGCGGGGGCTCAACCGCGTGCGCTCACTCCTTGGTAAGCAACGACCGGCGCCTTACTGAAAATGGCAACCAGGAACGGAACGAAGTGCGGCGAAGACTTGGCTACATGTGGGGGAAAGCTCTATATTGGGCAATACAATCCCTCGGGTGGCTGGGAGGGGGAATGACAGATCCCGTGCGTGGACTAGAGTCCAGACAGATTTACCTATAATTACCAGCTGTCCGCCCGTATATTGCGTACCTATCTAAATTAAGTGATGGCTCTCTACGAAAGGCGGTGCTTAATAATGCGCAGTACACAGCCATGGCTGGGAACTGCCAACATTACCTAATCCGGTAATGATGAAGCTATCGTCAAGGCTCGCATCCATCCAACCGATATGTGAGGTTTCCAAGTTACTTCAGTAATGTTTTGGTGACTGTTGATCGAGAAGCCTACCTCCTGGGGCTGTGTGACTCCATTTCAATGGAGTATGGCAAATTTCTAGAGGCCTAGTTGAATGAAAAGCCTTTCTTCTCTGTCTAGCGGCTAAACTCCCATTGCATGTCATGATCTCCAGACCTAATGGTGGACGGATCCCTGTCCTAGCTCACTATCAAGCCACCAGAGAGAGAGAAACGTTTCCTTTTCCATACTCGGCTTCCACGACCGCAGAAAGACTCTCCAGCACAGCATCGAGAGGCGTGAAGAAGCAGGCGTTGCTCATATCAACACCCTCGAACTCCGCATCAGCCTCAGCCCTATTGGCGGTGTTTCGCATACCGCCCCAGACCATGCCCACGGGAGCACCCAGCGCACCATACACCAAGGCACCCGAGTCACCGGGCCCGGCAAATGCGATATCGTCTCGAGTGACAGGCAAGACGACTGGCTCCTCGCTCTCAACCACAAGTTTCCCAGTGGAATCATCGTATTCGCGTGTAATGACGCGGAAACTGTGCCAGATCCCCTTGGTCGGGCCCGTGGTGCGACCGATCTTGAAGACGCGATTGTCGCGTTCAGCTTTGGCAGGGTTGTAGCCGATGTCGCAGAGATACTTGATGAGATGCTGGGGTGCGTTCTTTGGTTGGGTTGTTAATAAAACACACATTCAATATTAAAAAGGAGCATCATCCGAAGAGAAGTATCTTACATTCGAGTAGCCGTTGGAAAAGCGAGTCCCATCGAGAATGATAGCTCCCCAGTCGAGACGGCAGCTGTGGGAAGCGGAGACCTGCGTAAGGCCGGAAGTGACGAGAATTGGGCCGATAGGTCGTCGGAAAGTTTGAGCCTCATCCAGTTGCTGACGGCTCTGGCGAGCCTCATGGGTGAGAGTGTCCTTGGGTATACTGACACGGCCGAAATAGTTCGTCTTTCCAGCAATTTGGGCCTCCGAGGTAGCAATCCTCTTCTCAAGCGACGTCATCCACTAGACATGGTCGGCATGAGAAGGGCTCTCGATCATCCGAAATGCATCACTTCCATGAGCAGCGCCATTGCCATCTGCCTGAATAGCTTCAAACATGGTAATAGCACCCTGAGAATTTAGAACGCAAAATTAGCCCCCGCCAACATACAAGCTAGGTAAGGCCAGCTTGGGATTGCTTACCAGGTGCTAGAACATGGTGGTAGCCCATGCCGAGAAAAACACGTTTTTGGGTCTTGACTAGGTCGAGCTGGACGTAGAAACCTAGAGACCCGGATTGAGATGCGATTCCGGAAACAGCAGGACCGACACTGCCGCCGAGGCTAGGCGTAGCACCGTACGTGTCTTCAAAGGCAAGCCAGGGTGGGTGATTGTAGCGCGCGGTGAGTCCCTCCATAATCTCGATGTCATCGAGTCCAGAAGCCCAAAGCTGAGACGTCGATGAGAGATCAGCAAGACTAGACCAGGTGAGATATAACAAGACAACAAACAAGCAATCGTACCTGCTCAAAATGTGACCAAGCATTTCGATGCCATCCACAGCACCCTTGATGGTCAACGAAGCGGGCTTGACAGACAGAACCAGAGCAACATCATCATGATCGGGAATGTCATTTTCGGCAGGAGCAGCAGGGGTTCGGCCGATACCGAAGATACCAATCATCGTGAACTTGACATGAGCCTGATCAAGCGCATCAACCATTCGGGTTTTTAGGCCCTCCTTCCAGGCAGTGCTGAGGGCAGGGTAGCTGTTTTGGTGAAGAGGGCGAAGGATGCGGCTGCTGCCCCAGGTCGACGAATTGGCAGTGCCGCTGACGGCCAAAGGCGGCGTTTTGTTGTAACGGGCAAGATATCCCACACCTCCGGAGGTGATTCCGCGGCGAATATTGGCACTGAAGTCCGCCATGTTGCTGGTGTTTAGCATCATTCGATTGGCATGATATTGCCAAGCAATGGTGGTGTTGATGGTCAAGGAAGCCCGTGGGACAAATTGAAGAGTTTGACAAAAATGACATCAGCAGGACATTCCCACGTTTAAAAAGCAGAGCTCCACTAGGTGGACGGCCATACATATTCACTACCTAGGTGGACGGCCATTACGACCCGGAACTCACTGTCCTAGGTACACTATCGAAGCAACGACACTGTACTGGCATCGACGAGGTGGGCCTTGGGGTTGCAGAACTTCTGGGTGTGATGGGGTGCATCGTTGACAGTGTCGATGGTTCTCTACAAAGGATCTGATGCTCAAAACCAACCCCTACAAGCCAAGTCAAAGTCTGACAACTCGATCTCATCCAGTGCGTGCTCCCTCGGGGCTTCAACGGTATCCGTGTAAATAATTTGAAAGTTTCTTGTGTTTGAACTCATTCCAGTCTTCCAACTTTCCACGCTCTGTGAATCTCACCTAGAGACAGCAACCGACGAAATACCTACATAGAAGCTATCCCACCATCCCTGCCGGTCCTCTGGGAGAGTTAGGTGCGACCCAACCATGAAATTTGATAGAGAGAAGACACATGCTGCTCCGAAAGAGACGACACGGTGAGGAGGAAGGCGCGATCTGAGATGGGACGAGCAGTGTCCAGTGGAAGGAATTTCTCCGCGGAGATGCAGGGGTTCTGTGCATTACTGTGGTACAGATGATTTAAAAATCGCTGTCGGTGTTGCCATCGCAACTCCCAGGGCATGCGACATGCCAAGCCTGCCCCAAGTCGCGCAGCACAGCTTACAAACCATGCATATTCATTGGTCGTCGGTATTCGGCAGCTCTTCCTTATGGAGAACGGGTCGAATACCAAGGGCCGGTTATCGCATATCACTCCTCCTCCCCCCTTGTCCCCATTCCTTGATAGGTCAATGTGGATCATCGATTTGACTGCAAAGGGGAGGGATGGGAATTCTGTCATTGTCACAGCGATGGCACAATTATGTAACTGAGATCCAGAACTGCGGACCAAGCAGAACCCAGAGCAGCAATCCATATCGATCGCCCACGGCTTGCACAATTCTTGGCCATCATTGCGCAAGGAGATGGCGGGCGGTTGGATGCAACAATGGTGCTTACCCTGCACGACAGCAATTGCTATAAAGACTGGCCCGGTACGAGGACAGCCCCGACGATGGAGAACCCTCATTGCCCGATATCAGAGGCAACCCGCATCGTGGCATCCCCAACTTGGCCCAATCATGTCCGACCCCGAGAAGGTAGCCGTCATTGCGGTCGCCTCGCCGTATGACGCGGAGAAGCCAAAGGACGGGAGCAGCGCGTCCACCGAGGCCGGCGACATCGAGGAGATCAGGGCGCGCATCCTCTCACAGCAGGCCGAGCTCCGGAACTCGAAAGCGCCGGCGCACCCCATCGCTAGCTTCTGGCGACGGGCCGAGGAGAGGCGCCGGCACGACGAGGTGGCAACGCAACCGTCGGTGTTCGACGACGAGGACCTGGCCCGGTACTTCCAGCCGGACCCGCGGTACGAGAACGCCCACCGCTTCGACCCGTCCTTCCGGTGGACCTGGGGCGAGGAGCGGCGGCTGATCTCCCGCATCGACTGGAAGGTCACGGCGTGGTCGTGCATCGCCTTCTTCGCTCTCGACCTCGATAGGAGCAACATCTCGCAGGCCAACACGGATAACTTCCTCGATGACCTGGGGCTCGACACCAATGACTACAACCTTGGCACCACCATCTTTCGGACCGTTTTCCTGTTTGCCGAGCTGCCATCCCAGCTCATCAGTAAGAAGATCGGCCCGTAAGCAGTCCCCTTACTTCTGCCCCCCCTGTGCATGCCGGTGCCCTGTGGAACCCACACTGATGGAGATCATAACCGAAGTGACCGATGGATTCCCGCTCAGATGATCTTGTGGAGCATTATTAGTGGCTCGCAGTTCTGGCTTAAAGGACGCACCTCCTTTTTGGTCACTCGTGCTCTTCTGGGGATTATACAGGGAGGATTCATCCCCGATGTTATCCTGGTACGGGGTCATACTCTACCTGACCGAGTGGGTTGGCTGCTGATGATGATTCGATGCAGTACCTCTCCTACTTCTTCAAGGGTTCCGAGCTCCCGTTCCGTCTGGCTTTGTTCTGGATGGCCAATCGACTGACCGACGTCGTCGCACCGTTGCTGGCGTACGGCATCCTCCGCCTCCGAGGCGTCCACGGACAAGAGGGTTGGCGATGGTAAACTCGTCCCACCCTGCCCAGAAGTTGGGGTTAATTACGTGGTCAAGCAAGCTGACCCGGGGTGCAGGCTATTCCTCCTCGAGGGAGTCCTAACCCTCCTCATCGGAATCTGGTCCGTTTTCATGATGTGCCCCTCACCCACGCAGACGAAGGCGTGGTGGCGGCCGAAGGGGTGGTTTACCGAGCGAGAAGAGAAGATCATGGTCAACCGCATCCTCCGTGACGACCCGTCCAAGAGCGACATGCACAACAGACAGGCGATTAGCTTCAAGCTGCTGTGGGAGTCCCTCTGCGATTATGACATATGGCCCATCTACATCATCGGCCTGACCTTCAGCATGCCGTCTGGCCCGCCCGATCAGTATCTGACCCTGACGCTGAGGCAACTGGGGTTCGACACATTCAACTCTAATTTGCTCAGTATTCCCTGCCAGGTGGCAACGACGGCCAATGTAAGCTGCGAGACGAAGCATTCGACCAAGGTTTGATTTGCTGGTAAAATGACTGACTGGTGTCAACTACTATTAGATGCTTCTCCTCACTTACCTGTCCGAGAAGTTCAACCAACGCGCGTTCGCCGGCCTGTTCACGCAGTTCTGGTACTTGCCGTGCCTCATCAGCCTGGCCGTCCTCCCGTCGGATGCCAGCCGCTGGGCATCGTACGCGCTCGTGGTGGTGCTCCTGTCGTACCCGTCACCGCACCCGATGCAAGTGGGCTGGTGCAGCCGGAACTCGAACACGGTGCGCACGCGGACAGTCTCGGCGGCCCTCTACAATATGGCGGTGCAGTTGCAGTCCATCATCAGCTCCAACATTTACCGCAAGGACGATAAGCCCGAGTACAGGAGGGGAAACAGGGTCTTGATCGGGATAAACTGCCTCAACATCGTCGTGTACTGCGGCGTGAAGGTGTACTACCACCTCCGGAACCGACACCGGGAGAAGGTCTGGTCGCGGATGAGCGCGGAGGAGAGGCAGAATTATCTGGATACGACGACTGACAAGGGGAGCAAGAGGCTGGATTTCAGGTTCGTGAGCTGATTACCCAGGCCAGTAGTTGGGAAGTCGGCCATTTTACGGGCCGAAGAAGCGCTCCTGGACGTCGAGGTACTCAGCGCTATCGTGACTAAGGCCGCGGGTGAGAGACGACACGTGCTCCGCGCAGGTGTCGTGCGTGTAGATGAGCAACGTCGGCTTGGCGTGGGACCAGAACACTCATCTCGTTCTTTCAGGCGCTGCTCGAGTATCTCAGCTCAAGCGAGTCCCGGTCCAAGTCCAATCACGCTGCTACAGGGCCTTGGCACGCTCATGTCAAATGGAGATGGTTATTCGCTGAATGGAAGCTGAAGGTCTATTTTCCGGTTCTAAAAATCACGGCCAAGCAGCTTGCTACGATGATGCTTGACCAGTCTATGAATGTATACCAAGCTCCAGACAATTTACGCGGTGGTGTTGTTCCGCCTTTTAGCTCCTGCACGGCTGCCCTCCGAATTGATCGGCATCTTCTTCACGTCACTTCCCTACAGAAGTCAAACTTCTAAGGCCCTAGGGTTTTCATCGCATATCTGTCGCGGAGCAGCAAGGGCCCGGTCATCATCGAGAGGGATCAAGCCCTACTTGTCGCTATGTCTTACTATCACCGTGATGACGTTATCAGGGACGGTTTCGCCTGTTCATATGGCAGGTTTTATGCCGAGCCTGGCAGCGTGGAACGAGTTGAGGGTTCCTCTTTCCGGGGAATGTTCTTGCCGAAGCTCACCCCCGAAGGATGGAGAGGTACTTCTTGTCTTCCGGCTGACCAGATCGCACGAAAATGACCACAGTTGTAAGCATACCCCTTGATCGGCATAGCTTGTATCGCGCCAGTCAGATGCGCGAGGCTGCCAGCAGGATCGCGGGTCTGCACCAAGTGTCGGGTTTGGGGCCTAAGACTCAGACCATCTTTATGGGCTGGGATTCGGTAGCTGTGAGCACAGCAGCGAAGCGTCACAGCAAGAAGGAGTCGAAGGAGCTCCAGGCCGCGGAGGATGGGAGGGAGAATGAGAGGGCAGAAATGCACACAGAGTACCTTCATACTCTCAGACGGAAGGAAGGCTCCCGGTGTCCCAAGACATATTCGCCCGTGGGCAGCTACACTATCGACTGCGAGGAAATCGAAGAGGGGTAGCCCGGTCAAGCAAATGACCTAAATCTCGACATCCGGCAGACCAAGGAACCTGGTGTTTTCGAAGCAAGCTTCAATTTCAGAGTTCTCGAGGGAGTCATGATCATCAGCGCCGAAAACAGCGCCATGGAGCGGTACTGCTCTCCGCTGAATTGCGAGGCTGAATCGAACTCGGACGACGACGAGTCTGATTGTGACTCGGAAGACGGCGAGGAAGACGAGGACGACGAGGACGACGAGGACGACAAAAAGCCCACGAGAGGTTCTAAGAGGAAGACTGAAGCCCTCCGAGCTCGAGACCGCCCGCCAAAGCAGTCCAATGCAGGAGCTGCTCAGCCACGCAGATATCTACTGAAGTTGAACTGTCGTGAGACTGGCGAGGGCATGATTCAATCCACGGCAGAGAAGGGGACTATCAAATTCAACGCCGAGAACTTGGCCAGCTTCAACGGGAAGACTAACCTTCCTTGCGTGGGCCAAGGAGTGCCTTTCACTGCCCGGAAGATTAGTGATGTGCCGTGTCAACCCAGAAATTCGTGGGCTGACTACTCGGAGAGGGCGTACGAGCTTGCATGGGTTCGCCGGTGGAATTAGGTCTATCTAAGGCGGCGCAGGCGAGGCTGCCTCCATGCAGATCTATAGCTCTTCACAGCAACCATTCATCTGAGTATCGTGTGGTGGTAAATTTGCAGACGCTTTCTCTCTAGACTATTTCCCAAAGATGTTCCCTAGTTGTGAGAAGGTCTGGTCGCAGATGAGCGTGGAGGAGAGGCAGAACTACCGGGGGGCTTGATCCACCGGTCAGCAACCGGTGTCGGTGTCAGCAGAAGACGAATCCGGACAGGGTTGCTGAAGAGTTCTGATGCTTATAAATGTCGGCCGACTTTTCTCGGCAGCGGCTCCGTAACGCGGTTCAACAACAAGCCGCGCTCGTGATGTGATGCATCCAATCCCGAACCTGCATCCCTGAGTCTGTGACGAGAACCACATTAATTATTAGCAGATCCCCCTTTCTGCTGATCCTTGGCGTCCCGTTACCAACGGTTAAAAATATTCATGCAGCTTATCCTCATGATTTGATGATTTGCACGAAAAGATTCCTGAAACGGACCAGGAACCCTTGAAGCCTTGAAGGGTAAACCTCGGTCTTCCTCACAGCCCCCTGCAGTCATTTGCCCAGACTCCACTATCGCCAAAAAAACACGGCCTAGGACGAGACTGGCATTCCGTGCGCAGATTGGTGAACCAAACAGTTGGTGCATGACGGCCAACCTTTGCATCGAAAATGCGCCACGTCATTTCACTAGCCCTGTATTGGGCAAGGTTAGCCAGGTGGAGACTGCTAAGGCTGAAAGGGCTGAAAATCCATCCCTGTCAGGACATGCCGGAATAGAGCGAATTACGGGGGAAGTTTCGAGTGATTACCCCGTGGCTTGGTGAGATGACCTCCCACGGCAGGCGCTGGTTCGACGCCTTCAAAGGCTTAAAAGGAGGGTGTGTGCCTCGCTTCCAATCCAATTCCCGCATTCTCTCGGCATTCGCTCCTTATTCCTCGCCGTCTCATATATTGTAATTCTCGCCAGCACTCGCTCGCAACACCTTCGCCTCATCCCACAACACAACACAAGACAACAGCTTCCCGCAATGGCCGCTCCCCAGAACAACCAGGTCGCCGCCGCCGGCCCCATCGACAACGCCGACGTGGAGGATTGGAAGATCCGGGTCAACGACGTGCTGGCGAGGCCCTCCGAGGTCCTCAACCAGACCTCCCCCCAGGACGCCGGTCCGTGGCACGCCGGTCTGTTCAGCTGCTTCGAACCCATTGACCTCTGCCTCATCACCTGGTGCCTGCCCTGCGTCACCTTCGGCAAGACCCACCACCGCATCCGCAAGGACGCCAACCTCGCCGGCTACGAGCCCATCAACACCTCGGTTCGTTTTTCTCCTCCTATTTCCTTCTCGTTTCCCCCAGGTTCCCAGCTAACCGCTCCCTTTTTACACAGTGCCTCCTCTTCTGCGGAGCCAGCTGCGTCGGTATCCCCTGCGTCGCCACGGCGATGCAGCGCGCCGACATCCGCGACAAGTTCCACCTCGAGGGCAACTGCCTGTCCGATCTCGCCATCTCTTGCTGCTGCGGCTGCTGCACCCTCGTCCAGCAGGACAAGGAGGTCGCGTACCGGCAGCTCAACGCCGCGCCGAAGGACCAGTATCAGCCCCAGGCCGGCATGGCGTACCCGGAGCAGAAATAAGAGCTGAACACACACACACACGCCTTCCCCATTCGTCACGGCAAAATTGAACTAGACGGGAACATGATGCATGTACGTGGCGGGTTTTGGTTACCATCTGGGGAGTGAAGGGAGGGGAGAAAAAGGAAAGGGGCTTACGAGGAAGGACCATCGTGTGCCTTCGGTGTCTTTGTTGTTTTGAAACTGATACCACTTGACTAATTTTGCTCGACATGCATGACTGTAAGCAGCGTCCCTTTGTCGATAATAATACCGAAATGTCTGGGAGCCAGGAGCGGCTCGGTAGCTTCATTTCAAACCATCAAAAGTGGTCGATATGATTTGCATAATTACTTGCTTACCGCCATGCGCGCTGAATGTCAACCATCAGGCAGGAAGGCCATTCTTGGCTGGAATGGCCGGGCCACATGGTTGGTGAAGGGGTATTGGAGGGCCATCAGGTGGTCGAGAGGAACGTGTTTGGGCCGCGGCTTTCTCCTCGGCATGCAAAAAGGAATCTCGTGTCATTGGTCTCGCTAACACTTCCTTGCATTAGGAGATTCAGCCTTGGGGGTTCATTGGTGTGTTTGGCTTGCATTAGCGGCCCCACCGAGACCCGCTCGCTAAAGGGTCTGCTTCCCTTCCCGTACGGAATGGTCCCCTCCCCTTCTGTGTCATCGCTGCTGACCCAACCTGACTTTTTGGCAGGATTCACTGTTGTCATCCCAACTTCAAATGGGTTACTCAGCCCACACTGGGGACAGGGGCGACCATCTCTCTTTAGCGAGTCTCAAAGATTTCGTCCCGAGTTTGATTACATTCTATCCTAGGTTCATCTCCGATTGTGATTGTGATCGAAAAGTGGCTTGTGGGGCCAATTTCTATGAACTCCACCTATGGCGCTAATAACCTCGGGGCTGTGCACTACGATTGCCATTGCCCACAACTCCAGATACAACCTCGTGAGTCAGGCCGTTTGCCGGATGAGTGAGGTGGATTGCCGTCGGTGTAAGTCAACAACCTGATATCAAGTTGCCGACTTGTCCCCATAAAAGAGAAGGACTTTGTCTTCATCAGCGTATCTGTAAAGCAACACTTGACTTCAACTTGATTCCCAACGACCGTCCGTCCATTCATACAAACCGGTTTGTACCTATCTAAGCTACGTACCTACCCTACCTCCCTACCAAGACAGCTCCAATGTCAGGCGACCAATCCTACCGCGACCGCCGCCGGGCCCTCGCCGCGGTCGCAAGGCAGACCAAGGCCCTGACCCCAACCATCATGGCCGACCTCCCGCACCTGGACGCGACCCACTCCGAGCTCCTCACCCTAGCCAACCTCCCGCCCCTGGACCCGGCCGCCTGCCCGGGCTTCGTGGCCCCGGGCGCCGCCGTCCGCGGCACGCCCATCCGCGTCCTCAACCAGGACTCCTTCGACGCCGCCATCGCCATGACGCGCGCATCTGCATTATCCGCATCCGCATCCACCACAGCCAACGACGACGACGCAGCACAGCTCCTCAACCATCTATCCACCGCGGCCCAACAGCCAGCCGCGCTCGACGCCACCGCGGCGCCCCGCGTCGCGGTCCTCAACATGGCCTCGGACAAGAACCCCGGCGGCGGCTGGCTGGGCGGTTCGTCGGCGCAGGAGGAGGCGCTCTGCTTCCGCAGCACGCTGGCCGCGTCGCTGTCGCGGCGCTTCTACCCGTTCCCCCCGCGCGGCGGCCTGTACTCGCGGGACGTGGTCGTGTTCCGCGAGGGGATGGGGAACGGGCATGGGCTGATGTCCGGGGCCGGGGCGCGGCCTGTCGTGAGCGTGCTTAGCGTGGCGGGGGTCAGGAGGCCCGAGGTTGAGGAGGCGGGGGCCGCGGGGAGGTTGGTTTTTGCTGAGTCGGCGGTGAGGGAGTTGACCAAGGATAAGATGCGGTTGTGCTTGCGCATGGCGGCGTCTAGGGGTCATGTCATGTTGGTGCTGGGCGCTCTTGGGTGTGGCGCGTTCAGGAACCCGCCGCACGAGGTTGCGGATTGTTGGATGGAGGTGCTGAGCGAGGACGAGTTTGCTGGGGGGTGGTTTAGGGAGATTTGGTTTGCCGTCTATGACAGGAAGGGGGAGGGGAACTTTGAGATCTTCCGAGATGTCCTGGATGGGAAGATCGTCGGGGAGGTAGCGTCTAGTTGAGGTGGCATTATTACCTTTTGAGTCTTTCATATCCAGTAGTTGCCCTCCAACTGCGCCAAGGACAAGCTTTTTGATATTAGAGAGAACGCTGTCGGATGTCAGTTTGCGGCTTCCGAAACCGGTAAAGGTGGAAGGGCGCCAAGATTTTGCTCAGATTCTCAGGTCTGCCTGTAAGTTCTGAACAATATTCAACTTTGAGAACGTTTAACATTCCGAGTTGAATGACATTAACTGAACGTGCCTTTGATTTTCTTTCTACCTGAGCGGTAGGTGCAGGGTATAACTAGCACCCCCTTACTTACGTTCCGTTCCGTAAGGCAAATACGCGAGAATAAGACATTACTTGCATGTCTGACGAAGTCAGATACATAATTGCCCCTCGAGAGTCATGTGGTTTGGCCGTATCCAATGTCGTTGCGTGGCATGCGGAACGCGAACAAAAAACCCAGTCGCAAGGAGAGGAAAACACGGTTCCACGTGATCAGCAAGCACGAGCCACATCTTTTCACCCCTTTTCATTACTTGTTTTGATCTGAGAACAGAACCAGCTCGTTGCTATGGCACTATGATGTCGAGATTTCTGCGGCGCATTCGCGCCACAGGAGCGACAACACCTAAACTGAACCGCCAAGGCAATGTTTGTTTCTCCTCCAGCCTGCCACGACAGGAACCGTCGGTTGATGAGTTTGATCCGTACGAATACACCAGCGGCTGCTGGATGCGCGATGACGCGGAACAGCGTCAAGCTCGAAGGGTCGAGTTCAACTTCCCAATGCTCCGCCAGAAAGCTGTACAGACCTGTTCCGGCGCCAAGGAAGACTTGCGGTGCGTCAAGGTGGAGGGGAACTTCAACCGTGCTTTCATCTTGTATCTCGACAACGGATTGGTGGTTGTTGCGCGAATTCCTTTCTCTGTAGTAGGTCCCACACGTTTGGTAACAAACTCCGAGGTGGCTACCCTAGCGTACAGTGAGTCAACTTGCCTCTCTATGGAAGACTGAGACCCTGACTGTGTGTCGATAGTTCCGAGAGAATACCTCGGTGCCTGTACCCAAGGTGCTCGGTTGGAGTGACGATCCTTGTAACCCGGCCGGGACCGAGTACATCATTATGGAACATGCGCCAGGCGTACAACTTTCTGGTCTCTGGCCTGAGATGAACAGTTATTAGCACGTCTCATGCGTCAAAAATCTGGCTTTGTTGGTCAAACAGATGCACAGTCTCAAATTTCGGGCCTACGGCAGCATCTATTTTGTCGATTCCCTCGTTGATGATTCAAGACGCATCGGGTTAACTGGCAAATTTTGCATCGGACCGCATTGCGATAATAGATATTGGCCTTGCATTCCTGGAGAGCCACGTCTCTATGACAGGGCACCGCCAAATCGCGGACCGTGTGCGTTCTAGTCCAGCACCAGACTGATATTGGCTGACTCTTCCCAGGGACTACTTTCAACGAGTTTATGCGCGGTCTTCTTGATGCCGGCATTGCTCGCATCCCCTCAGAGACCAAGACGCAGACTCTCCCCTACCGCGGAACCGTGGGAGAACACCTGGAACTCATAGCGCGCAGTCGGCATGTTCTTGAAGCTTTGGCACAGAACCAACAACTCCAGAAAGTTTCAGAATCGGCACTCTTCCATCCCGATCTACACAAGCGAAATATCTTTGTCGACCCGGCTGACCCAACAAGAATTACGGCGCTTATCGACTGGCAAGCTGCATGCATTGATCCCATCTTCTTCAGCGCCAGCGAAACCCCTGACCTGTGCGACTATCCCGAGTCCTTTGAAGACGTCCTCGACCACTTTGGGATCCAAAATTCCGAGAAGATGTCGATTTGTGCATCAAGACTTGGGAGATTGGTCTCAGGGGCACCGAGACTCCACCACGCTCGAATGTTGGATAAAGACCTAGCCCAGCCATTTAGATACTGTTACTCTTCATGGCGGGACAGTAGTACCGTCTTTCGAGATGGACTGATCAAACTGTCTCGCAGATGGGGTGAGCTTGGCTTGGCTGGTTCATGCCCCTACCAGCCATCCGAGGAGGAACTAGCTGAACATGCCAAGCAACTGGATGACTTGGAGGCTGCCGAGAAACTGAAGGACTTTCTAGTGCGGGCAATCAACTGCAACGGGGAGGATGGGTGCCAACTGCAGCGTGCGACGCGGCGAAGGAGTCTCGGGCTGCGGCCTTGGAACAGTGGTTGGAGGTTGCCAGCGAAGATATGGGTGAAACAAAAGCCATGCAGTTCTGGCCGTTTGATCTCTAAGCTAGCCAACAGGGTGCCGACTCGCCACACATCAGTACTTCCGACTGGTGGTGGTTGTACTATGTGCTGTGGAACTGGAAGGTGGTCACCAATATCCGTGCCTGGGTGAACGGGTTAGACTTGTACCCGACAACCGTTGGCATTTCAGATATTATCATTCCGGATGGATTCCTGGAAGGGCATCGCGTCACGGTGGATGGGTTCCCTGTGGTGTGGTGGAGGCGGTGCTTGAGCCGCTTGGCATAGTGTTGGCATGCGCTGCAATCGTGTTCCTGGCGTGGCTCGAGAGAAATACGAAGCCGCCGATGGGAGCACAGAGCGAGGCAGTCAAGGCACAGGCTTCAACATAGAGCCAGAGGTTGCATGTTGTGTTGATGATAATAAGAAAATATTCCAACTCTAGTCTCCCCTTATCCGGGTTACGTTGTCTACTAATTAGGGGCTTTTGCCAGCCATCTTGCCGCTAACTCCACCAAGCAATACTCGTCTTCTTCCGTGAGTGGTATCATCTGCGATTCCGACGGTCTTGGCGCCCAATACGAGCTTGAATGCCACGTGGGAAAGCTGCAGGGGTGGCAGGTAACACCGAGGTGTGTCACGGGATCAATTCTTATTATTGCTCTTCCCGCGTGGTGTCCAGAGGGAGCAAGTAGATGGAAATCAGAAGAGGCAGGTCTGCGACGACAGATCTGGTTATGTGAGGAAGTCTGACCAGAGTCGATCTTTGTTTGCCAAGGTAAGCCGTCCGACAAATATACCAACCTTCACCGACAACTGCAACTACCCAGGGAGTAAATAAACCATCGTGAAACACGGTGCCGATCAAGATCTACTCTGTGGCCGCTGATCCAGTACCAACGTCATCCGTCTGGCGGAACGTCGACGATCATCATCTACACTAGAGTTTGTCTGCAACCCCACAGCGTGTGCCAAGCAAGCCCCATGCTCCCATGTGTTGATCCTGTTTCACTGCCATGCAGCAGAGACACAGCTTAATTGCAGTGTGATTGCAGTGTGGCTACTCTTTTGACCTGGCTCTGGCATATTCGCGAGGCGGTTCAACTTCCACCACCTAACCACTTCGGCTAGAGGCAAGTCCTCTCAGCTATTCTTGAACCAAGTGGCGAGCAGTGGCGTGAACCCCGACACAACCGGCAAAACAGATAGGCTTTCTAGCGCAGTCTCTACCCAGATCTCAGCTCTAAACAGAACCATATATCCCATGCCCTGACTCCATAACCAAGATCAAAGCAACCACAACCCAGATAGAAACAACTTACATGCCTCATCATCTCATAACCCAAGCAATGCCCCCTTACACCCCCCAAAGTATCACCACCCAAACTTCTCCACCGCAACCCTCAGATCCACCCCGCCCGCAATCCCCTCAGCACACACATTCGCAACCTCCCGATTCATCCCGTCGGGGCCCGAGACCACCACACCGACTCCGTCCCCCTCTGCACCCGCATCAGCGACCCAACCCCGCACCAACCCCGCGACATCGGGCCTCCCGGCCTCCGCCGTCGGCTCTGGGACGACCAGTTCCAGCCCCGCCTCCACCAGCCCCTCCAGCCGGCCCGCGGGCACCCAGGCCGCGCGGTGCGCGCGCGAGTGGACCACCCAGAGCAGGCGGACGCGCTGACGACGGCGGCCGCTGGTTCCGGTGGGAGGAGGGAGGAGCAGCGCCGAGGCGAGGGGTAACGTGACGGCTATGCCGGAGCCGCCTGCGACGAGCAGGGCCGTGTCGGAGGCGCGGAGGAGGTCGAGGGCGGTGCGGGAGCCGTAGGGGCCGTCGAGACGGACGGACAAGGGGGTTTCCCGTGGGTGGTGGGTGTGGACGTGGCGGAGGAGGTCGGCCGTGAAGCCTTTGTGGGTGCGGATGAGGAGGTCGAGGCGGGCGTGGAGGGGTGGGGCATCTTGGGAGGGAGGAGACGCGTCGGTCCATGATGGGATCGGTGGTGCGGCTGAGGCGATGGTGAAGGGGTGGGCTTGGAGGGTGTGGGTGCGGCCAAGGGCGGGGACGGTGAGGAAGACGTGGTCGGTGGGCGACCAGCCGGCGCGGATGTTGTGCTGCCATGTCGCGAAGAGTCGGGATGATGAAGGCGGCGACGGGATATCCCAGTCCACGGACAGCATGAGGGTCTCGCCATCTTCGAGAACAGTAACATCCGCGATCGTGGTCATGGACTTCAGACTGAGTCGCCAGACGAGCCGGTCGACCAAGAAGATGACCAGGGAGAAGGTGACGTACGGCCGACTGGTGTGGAAGTGCAGCCAGAGAAACACCAGGGCAACGATCTGCAGGACGACATGACTGGCCAGGAAGAGTTCGTACCAACGCTGGCGGAAGCTACCGAGAGAGGTGAAGTAGAGTAGCTCGTAGGCTGCGAAGGCGCCGAGGCCCAGTAGGATGATAGGCTCGAGGAGATACTCTTTGAAGGGTTGGATGCGGAGCCAGTCGGGTTCCAGGTATAGTTGCCAGATGATCATACCGGCCAAGTGGACGAAGGCCTCAAAGCACAGCAGCTCGCCGACGCGACGGTGGAAGATATTTAGGACTTCGTAGGAGCATCCCGTCATCAGCTTCAGAGGCTGATTCTTGGCGGCGAGAAGGTAGAGGATCGGCAGGTTGACAACGAAAATGAGACCGGCGCGGTCGGCGAAGGCGAACAAATTTTTGGGCTCGAGTGGTACCTGGTACAAGTGGAAGAAGACGTTCAGGCCCAGGAAGCCCGCGACGAGGAAAGAGACGCGATTCGATGGGAGGACTCGGTTTACGACAGGCAGAGGCCGGGGCTGGTAAGTCAACCACGCGGCAATGTTGCGGAAGATCTTGTAGCCGGCTTTCGTTCGCTTTGGTTGTCGACATAGGAGGGGCACTCGTTCTAGGTCCGTCTCGGTGGAATACTCAGAGGCGCTGGGCAGAGGTATGACGGCGCTCCGTATGGTGCTGCTGGACGAAGATGACGACTCTCCGCCATTGTCATACGATTGTTCATCGTAATCCTTGCCCTCTTCCCCCGAGAAAGCGATCTCGGCCGTCCTCTCCTTCCATCTCCTTCGGTCTCGTCGAGTGTCCCGGAGGTGTAGAATGGCGAAAACTAGCAGTGCGCAAAGCAGCACCAGGTTGTACGTGGCCGCGATAGTGCGCCCGTTGAGGATCGCATCGATCAGCCTTTGCAGGTAGGCGAGCTTCTCGGGGTCATCAGGGAGGAACCGACCCGGATCGCCCGACGTCGTGGCCAGCCCCTGGTCGAGAGGTAGACGGATGCTCATGGCGTGTCCCACCCATTTCCTGTCTTGCGCGACTGTCATGGGCCCATATAGACCCTGAAGAACGGGCGTAGAGAGGAGTTGGATGAGGGAGAGAGCGAGATCCGTGATTCCGATGGCGACATGTGGATCCTTATCAGATCATCTGATAACAGAATCGAGACGTCGTTGTTCCGACGTCGGCTGGAATGGAAGGATCCGCCTGGCACCCGCCTGGCACTAGAGACGATGCCCCACGTTGTGGCTTGGAGCCGCAGCGCCTCATAGTGGGGCACGAGGGAAGGGAGAGGGAAAAGAGGGAGAAGGGTGAAGGGACACAGGACAGGCGAAACAAACTTTGCTGATTCGGAGCTGGGCCATTGTCTCATTTGATGGTACTAGACCAGGGAGAATTTCTTGCGCTTCCAATCATCCAGCCCAACTCGAGCTGCCTTTGCCTTCCATTCCTTCCCTTGATGTCTTATCTTGGAAAAGGAAGCCATCACAGAAGGGGTTAGAGGGCAAGTTCTGCACTACGTAATCCTTCCAAGGGCCCGAATGAAACATCCCTGAACCCCCCTTTTTGTTTAAGTCGTCTTCTGGTAGGTAATTCCTCGTCCCAGATCCGGATTCCGACCCATGTTTTCTTTTGGTCATGGTTATTACCATTAGCCCGTATTGGCTCCTCCCTGCCTTGCTCCTCTTTCTCATGGCCGGGCTTCAATAGTCTTGTTTACTGGCCCCTTGTTCAGAGATTGTAACTTGTAACCGTGCGCAAGGATTTTCATTGAGATCAACAATCCCTTGTCAAGCTAATGGAAGAGAACTACCTGGATAGGGGCGCCAATTGCCGGCAGACACGGGACTCGGTTATGCAGCGCACTATGTATTCCCGGCTTGGAATCCAAGCCCAACCATCCCACCGAACTGGGGAATGCCGATGCAAACGTGCAGTTACTACACGCAACTGTAGTATCACTGCTACTCTCCTAGTCCTGCTTTGAGTTCTGGTTGTCGCATGTTCAGAATTTAAGACATGCGCTAGATGGTTGTCGAATTGAGACCCCCGGTATTCTGCGCGAGGGAGAGACAGATCTTAATTGTGCACAATGTCTGACTGACTCCTGCGTACAATTAAAGGCAAGGATAACAACCAGGCAGTTGGAGATGGCGATCTACAGGGAGACACCAAAGCGGGCACGACTCCACAGATCATCAACGGTCAAGCCTCCTGTCTTCAGGAGACGACCGTGCGGGCCAGGCCGCCGAAATACTTGAAAAGGCCAGAATGGAAGCCTTCATGCTCTCGTCTTTTCTCTTACCTTCTCATCACGCAGCACTCTCCCATTCCTTTGTTTGTGCTTCCGGATTTCACTCCAGTTTTTGAGGCGACACTGACCTCTGCCACTCGTTTCCCCCCACCATCATCATGATGTTCCCTAGCACAGGCGCCCTCGCCGGGGCCCTGTTTGCCGGTCTGTCACTTGCCAGCCCGGCGCCGTTCTATTTGAGCAACTCTCGGATTGGAGTGCCGACGGATGTCGATGTCACTCTGGATACCAGGACACTGAAGCCTGTCAGCTTCGATCTTGACAGGTTCTGGAACGATGAGATTCTCTTCCAGGGGTATGTGTTATTCCATGTCCTGCGTCTTGCATGTTGTCAGTGTCACTGATATGCGGTGTGATGTATAGTGTCTCTTCGCCGGCCATCGAAGGTGTTCAGGAGGCCATCCAACTTGGTCTCCGACTGCCACAGGCCGCTGTGTCGGGTGCCGTCTCTGTCCAGCTTAACCACCGGTTTCTCCATGAACCCACCCTGAGGGTCAACCTGGGAGGGGTGAAGGTCTACATCGAGCTCGACCTTGCCGCTAGCGCCGGAGTGGCGCAGTCAGTTGAGATCGTTGCCTCCCCAAAGCTGAGCCTTGCTGTAGGTCTCGCACTCTCCCAACCCCTTGACCGTAGCTTATGCGTAGAATAGGTTCCCGGCTTGGCTGAGGTCGACATCGGAGCCGGATTTGCCCTTGACCTCGTCGTCGCTGCATCGGCGGCTGTTGAGCTGACGGGCGGTGTCTACGTCACTCTCCCTGACAATGCTTTCGTCGAGGTCAACATCTTGACAAAGGAGATCGTCGAGGCCAACTTGTGAGTACCATCTCCCGTATTATTGATGTGTAGATCATCTGACATCCAGGACAGGGAGGGTCTGCTTGCCCAGTCGCTTCCGCTGGCCATCGGTGCGGCTGTCGACCTCTCCACCGAAATCGATCTCTCCATCGGCCTCCGTCTGCGCACCGAGGTAAGTATCAGTGCTGGTGTTCACCTTCTTGGCTTGGACATCGGAGCTGGTGCCGACGTTGCCATCTGGATCAGCCTCTTCGACTACACCACCACCATTGTCGCCACTTCGTCTTGCCCCGTTGCTCTTGCCGAGGTGTTCGAATTCAGCGCCGGTGTTGCTATCAAGGTCGACGTTGAGGTCGGTGAGGTCCTTGACCTCACTCTCGCCCCGTCTGTTATTGTCACCCTGGCTACCCTCCCGGTTGTCAAGGTTTGCATCCCTGAGCGTGGTTATGGTGGCAGCTTTGGATCGAACGAGGGCGTCCTTATCGGTAATGATAACACGTCGATTGGCGGCAGCGAGCCGAGCGCCAGTGTCTCGAACGGATCGGGTGTCCCGACTGGTGGACTTGGGAGTGTCGTTCCGTCTGGGGTTAGCGCTGTTTCAACCGCTGCCTCTGAAAGCCTCACCCAGCAGCCACCTTCTGGCACTGCCGTTGTGACTGACGGCACTTTCCCCACCGCGCTTCCCAACAGTGCTTCTGGCTCGTGGAACAACTCCAACTACCCCGAGACATCCGGTGGCAGTGGCAACCTGGTCACCAGCACCACTACCACGACCGCCACGTACACCATCACCAGCTGTGCTGCCTCTGTGCCCAACTGCCCGGCCAGCTACACGCAGAAAGTGGTGACCTCCACCGTCATCGTCAAGACCACCGTCTGCCCCGCCACCGCGACCGGCACCGGTTACATCCCGTACCCATCCGCCGGTGCCTCGTACGTCCCGACCACCAGCCAGGCCATGCCCTCGCCCACCGGTGCTCCCTCCACCATGACCCCGTGCGCGACCCCGACGACGTCGACCCACACCCCGCCCCCCAACTACCCCACCCCGGTCCCCACCGTCACCATCTCCGACACCACCACCGTCTGCCCCGCCACCGAGACGGGCTACAGGACCGCGACTCCCTCGGCGCCCGGCTACCCCGGCGAGGTCCCCGCCACGACCACCGGCTACGAGACCACGGTGCCTGTCCCGACTGGCTACCCTACCCAGTCCGAGTCTGAGGTCCCCGTTCCCACCGGTTATCCTACTGAATCGGAGTCCGAGATCCCTGTCCCTACCGGCTACCCGACCGAGTCCGAGGTCCCTGTCCCCAGTGGCTACCCTACCCAGTCCCAGCCCGAGGAGGTCCCCGTCCCGACCGCATACGAGACCGAGACCCTCGTCCCCGTCCCCACCGGCGGCTACGAGGCCGTTCCTCCCCAGGTTTCCGCCCCGCCCGCCACCGGCGGCGTCGTCTACCCGACCGGCACCGGCGCCTGGGTCCCGCCCGCCGTGACCCCGTCGGCCATCGTCACGGCCGGGGCCTCGCGCAAGATTGCCGGCGGAATCGCTGCCGCCGCTGTCCCGATCTTGGCTGCCCTTCTGTAGGTTTGGGGAGGTGATGTTGTCATCCACCCTCGAGTGCCTAGCGTGGAAGCTTGAGGTGGGGTTGTATTAATTGAGTGAAGAGTACTTTAGTAGTAGCGTTCTTTGGACAAATATTATCATTTTTTGAATAATCTTGCAGAGTTTCCGGGTCGTGATGGGAGCGATGTCAAAGACCCCTTGGCATGAAAATGAGGGCCTCATGCACATTGCTCGATATTTCTTGAGCTCCAAGTCTGGCCATCCGTCATTGCCCTTTAATTCGTGGAAATTTCATACCAGTTTGCTTACACGGCGCCGAGGGAAAGCTGGGCCATGTGGGCAACATTCGCGAAGACGGAATCTTTATGGTTGAGCTTGGGAGGCTCTCTTCGGTGCATCGTCTTCAGTCTCCTTGTCTGCCTCGCGCGCCAGCTCTTCATATATCTCCTCCAATACCCTAGCTGCCACATCAGGCCCGACGCCTCTTGGAGGGTTGTTTTCTTAATAAAAAACCCGGTCAGTCGGCTGTTGGCCATCGTCAAGGATTGATCCCCGTGCCTGGGAACTCACTCATCCAGGGAAACTTCGCCTCAATCGCCTCCTTGTCCAAATCTTTTGTCTCCACCATTACTTGGGCAAACACCGCCGAGAAATCCACTTTACGAACCTTCTTTAACCCCACTTTGCTATCCTTTTGGGTTACACTCCCACCTGCAGGCGCAACGCGGCCGACATGCCTGTTTCCCGCATCGCTGCCATCGTTTGGAGGGGCGGCACATTTCCCTCCATCGGGAGACGAAGGTGAATCGTGGTCTGGCATCTAACTCGGTTCTGAGCAAGTGAGGGTGTCTTGGGCTGAGAAGGTATATACGTTGGAGCGGTTTCCAAGATGCTGGATATGGGTTTGGACGCGATACTTGCCGTTGGAGATTATGAAATGTAGGGCGGACAATGCGGGTTTTGATTGATTGATTGATTGATTGATTGATTGATCCTGCAAGGCTACCAGAGCCGCAGATCTAGCCCCGCCGTACTTTCCAGACAGCGCTCTCTTCGACTCTGCAACCTGTTTAATGTTGTTGTCTACCTGTCCTCCTTTACGTTCATTGTTCACATTCATTTCGCAAACCCGCCCCTTTATCTCATTCCGCCTCTGTCTTCGTGGCTTCCTACCACTGATATGTCGAGAGCGGTTGAGCGAGTAGTTGAAGGCCCAGACCTCGTAGTCGGTAGGCGCCATTCTCTTCTTCAGCCTGGCCAGGATATCCCTAACCGTATAGCAACCGGTGATATAATTCCGGACGTCCATGGTGATGGTCCGCTCGATGACTTGTAGGATCTCGGAAATCGCCTCCCTGTTGGCGTAATACTCATACGTCTGGAACTCGTGGACGAACTCCAACCTCCTATACTCTTCCACTTCGTCCTTACTAAAGTTTAGAAGCGTTGTGGCGCCTTGCTTGACCATGCCAGGTGTCAGCATCACAGGCCTGTAGAGTGGAGGGTTTGGGGCATCGTTGGAAGGCTCGTCGCCAGGGAGCGCGATGGCTGTAGCTGGCAACGCTGATTAGGCTGGCTGGGCCGACCTCTCGTAACTGGGATTGATGTAGTCCCATACGTCTGCAGACCTGGCAGCCCTCTCGATGACCTTGATCCAGTGGTGCCAGTCTTCCGGCCCACTCAGGATTACTACGCACGCTTTGGGGGCCATTGTTGCAGTGGTCCAGCTTTAATCGGTCGAAAAGACGTCAGGTTGATTGTAGAAAGGAGGATATTCGAGGCTCTGGGGCTCTTTCGAATAGATGGAAGGTATTCGTGGCCAGTAGGCTCTTCGAATCTTCGGTAGGTTTGCCGGAGCTTGCACGTCGAGTATGGCGGCCAAAGGGGGGATTTCTTGATCAAATTGACGGCCTTTTACAGCCAAGAAAGGCACAGAATTGGAAGAAAAAGCCGTTGATCTCTTCGAATTGTCAATTAAGGCCGGATTCAAGCTAAATCCAGGCTCATAACTATGGAGAGTGGTTGTAGTAACGTATCCTCATCGGGGCTATAATTACATTGGAGTGCACTGAAAAGGAAAGAAACCAAGGAATTCCCGCGAGGGGCCGTCGCCGGGGCTGTTGAGAACCCCAGATTCCGTACCCCTGTAGCTCTTCCTCCGTTATGCAGGGAGAGCTCCCAAAAGCAGGCCTAACTACATTCATCTCTGAGTGGGTCAACTGGCGGGCATCTCTGTGTACTTCTACCCATGTATAATTGTTGATAATATGTACATACCTTTCGTCTACCCAGGTAATGATATATCCCTCCGCCCGCCAAGTAATACATTTATCTATATCGTATTTATCGCTAGGCTGTACCTAGAAGACTTCGCTACGACGATATCAATGCCCCAAGGTTCATTTCCATTGCAGGAGAGGCAGCCTAAAAATGGGATCCAAATATTAGGCTCAAACTCTCGTAACTTCCGCCGTTCATAAACCTTATAGGACCATATCATGAGATTTAGGTTCCGAGCTCCCTCGATATAAGCCGAGCCAAGGGTGCAAACTTGGGTGATTGATCTAAGGTGAATCATTTTTATAAATAGGTGGGCCAGGGTGATCCAAGTCACTACATTTGGGCCGGTGTCCCGTATTCTATCCACGAGAACGACTTCTCCAGTCACTTCAGACCCTGTGAATACCGATTCACGATGGCGTACTGGGATCGATTTCCCCCGGAGATTCGTCAAATGATCCTGAGCCTCGCCGCACGCGATACCATTCGAGAGAGCAAGGCACAGCTGGGTCACAGTCGGTTGCCTATCTACGCCAGTGTCTCCGTAGAATGGCAAGACTTCTTTGACACTCATACCTTTCGCCGACTCACCCTCCGCCCCGCATGTCTTCTCGATTTTGATAAAATCGTCCAGGGCAAAAGGAAGGTCAGATTTGGCTATATCAAACATGTGCGGCTCCATATCGAGCTTGAAGAGTACGACTGTACCGTTTGTAGGCAGGAGGAAGATGACACGACCATGCAGAGGTAAGTATTTGATAACCAATCTGCCCTACTCTGAGCTGCCTTCAGATACTAAACAATAATTAGGAGCCAAGTAACCTTTACAGATGCCCTCTGGAACCTTCTTTCCACCCTTTCTACATGGAAAAATAGGAGAGGAAAGACGACGAACCGCGAGGGTGGGGTGACATTCGAGCTCAGTGCCTCATCTCCGAGTGATTCGAAGCACGTTTATCGCGATTTCCGGTTGCAAGATGACTACCCCTACCGGACCGAGGAAGACTTGGACCCCAATTTTGAAGCGTATAAGATACGGCTTGAGGAGTTTGCAAATCGGAGTGACAAGTTCCATCGAGGATAAATGGCCGCTTAAGATCACTCACCAGGCCATCCGCAATGAGACTCCTCGGTACACTGCCTCTCAATCTCAACTTCAGTAGCTTTTCTGTGCCGAATTCGACTCGAAGGTTTCCGAAAACCGAGATTGTTAGTCGATTCCTAATACGTCGGCGGTTTTATAGACTCTTCGAGCCCGTGGTTATTTCAAAGCTACCCAGTGAGAGTCTAACGAGCATCCGTTGTCTTCGAATTGAGCAATGGCGCCCACTTAGCGATGAGATCCGCAAAGATTTCGACTTCGGTACGTCAAACGCATATCAACGTCGACTCTGAAGCACAAGGCTAAAAGAGTATCTAGAGTACGAGTATATTCTTCGTACAAAGCTACCCAACACTCTGGAGCGACTGCATCTCTTTGAAGACTTCAACTCGATCCTTCACAAACGGTTTTTTTGTGAGCGGGCTACTCGACCGAACAAAGAGCTGGGGGAATCATTAGCCATGTCCAGCCGTCGTCTTGAAAGTGTGTCTGCTTCTTTCCTCCTCGACGCTCAAGACTTCTTCCATGGACTTTGGCCAACACCTGGAAAGAAATTCCTGAATCGTCTCAACAAAGGGAAGGATTGGGGACACCTCAAAACGCTGGCGCTAACCTCACGATTGCTCCACCCCGGTGTGCCTAATGTCGAGATCGAGAAGCTTCTCCGCGCTGCAGGGGCAACGGCTGCACTTATGCCCAAACTAGAAGTTATGGAGCTATGGAACGCTGGGCAAGGGCATGCTTGCTACTTCCGTTTTGAAAGAGACGAGACACCAACGATTACTTTGCAGGGCACATGGGACTTGAAGCCGGCATTGATCTAACCCTGTCATTGTCGCTTGGGAGAAGGTCGCAGAAATGCTTTCGCAGCGCGATCTCACCGTCTCAGTGGGACGAGTGGCAGAAGGCGACCACTTCAAATCTTACAGCGGCGTGCTTCAGCATCTTAAGCTCCGGAAGCAGATCCTGGACCCTGTGTCGCTCTATCAAGTACAGTGGGAGAGGGCACATGATTCACTTGGGTAATCTTCTTACCTTCGTTATGTACTGCACTTAGGTAGAGAGGGATCATCTTACACACAACGATCTGAAACCGTCAAACGTCATGTCGGACAGGGACACCCCTATCAATTGACTTTGATTCATGCAAGCGAGAAGGGACTTAATCTCAAGGCAGGAACGGAGGATCAGGCAACAGACGAGTCGAGCTTTGCGAGACGCGAGAATGACTTTTACGGCATTTCAAAAATACGAGAGTTTCTGGTGGCAAAGAATAATTGAAGAGTCATTGTGTTCCCAATGCTCTTCTGAATCAGCACCGTCAATATCGTCATCAGAGGATCCCAATCAGCTCTCAAGTGGCTTCCAAACCAGGTTCCCCATTCTTCCCGTTCTAAAGCTGGGAATTCGCAACCTTTGCGATCTTCTGTCTATCAAGGCCACAGCTTCGACCCAGTCACTTAGAGTAAAGAGTATCTATCACGTTGCGAGGCGCTTATTAATTAGGAGTCACCGATTGAAGATTTCAGATTCCGTGACTGCAAGCAAAACAGCTTCATATTTTTGAGCGCATCGCCATAGTCTAGGCAGAACTAACGCTCATATCTATCCTGAAACATATGCCAGCTATGCTCTCTGAGAATTCCAAGGCTCGGCCACAACTAGTCAAGGGGTGGTTAGGCGTGGGAGAACGATACACCCACTAGTGAGCCTCGTTAGTCGTCATCGCAGCGCTGGCACTGGCCAGACATGTTCCCGCTCTTGGAGCAAGGGGTTGTCTTGTCCTGGGGGATCACTTCCCGCGTAGGGTAAGCGCACCGGCAGCGCGAGGCAACCCTGTTGCACTTGGTGCAAATCGGTTCCTGTAGTCCAGGCATCTTGAACCTGGGATTTGATGGGTCTTGGTTTGTGGTCTGTCTGTCTGGGAAGATGAGGTGAGAGTGTGGTGAGAGTGAGAGTGAGTTGATGAGGAAAGAAGTAAAGTGGCCAAGTGGGAATGGGGATGGACTATATATACCTATATCAGCCCTCCCATACCCAAGAGAAACTACGCAGTTGAATATATTCTCTCACTGCTGTGAGCCAAGATGTTGTGGTTGAAAGAAGGTGCAGATACATTGTCCCGATTCCAATCCATCTTTCATAAACAAAGCGAATGTTGGCTGGCAGTGTAGAATAATGTCTTTGTAACTTTGTAATTGTTTTGTCCAATCAACTATCCTCACTACAGGATAATGGACCTCACACTGCATGTGCTCCAAGTGTAGAGCCTCACTGCCTTCCTCAAGAGGGACATTTTGATGCTGCTGTTATACATGTATTGTCAGTGTTACAAGAGCACTACATTAGTCGAGGATTACCGTTTACTAGCAACAGCAAGTTCTGAAAGATGACTATCCTGTGTTGTAATTACATGTCCGGAATTACTAAAAGGTTGGTTGCTAGCCGGGCAGGTATTAGCTCTGCAATATTAGCACTCAAAATGGAACTTCAGTTGATATCTTAGAGAATCAACTAGATACTAATTATCAAAAATTAGAAAATAAATGAGTAGACTCTATTCTGTTGTGCTTCTCTATTGAAGTCTCGTCTCTTAGGTCAGTGTCCATCCTTTGATTGGGCCCGCTCAAGGTCAGCAAGGACTTCAAAGACGGAAAGTTCAAGCGTTAAAATAAGCAACTGCCTATGCGTTTGTTCTTATCAACCATGTAGAGAGAATCTTTGTTATTCTTGAGATAGGGAATGAGCGAGCTGTAGAGCCCAGGATCCCGCCCCTAACAGCCAAGAGTTGCTGAGGGGTAACCAGGGCAAGATCGGCGATCTCGGCTTTGCACTCGCCTGGACTTAACTTTAGCAGACATTGCGTGTAAACATTCCCTTAGCAATCAAACCAAGACACGAGTTCCCAAGTTCCCCTGTCGGGAATATCGTGCTACGCCCTTGGAGGGTTGGCGAGATGTCCTCGACAAATGACGAACTTCCCATTTAAACCCCCTCATCCCCGCCCAAGAACATTCCTTCTTCCCTCATCCACCCCAAATCGCTTTGCAGGTAATTCCGCTTGAGGCCGCTCCACAAAGCTTTTGATCCATCACCTTTGGATCTTGAAGTATCATCAAAACCATCGCAGAAGGCATCATGGCGGAATACATAAACCCACATCCATTCGACCCCCTCACTCCTGAGGAGATTTCCACGGTAATTGCCATCTCCGTCGCTTTCAATTCGAAACATTGGTGCTGATATCAAGAGTTGCAGGCTGCCGGGATCGTCGGAGCTCATTTCGCAGGCCAAACCCCAAACTTCCGCTTCATCACGTTGAAGGAGCCGGCGAAGAGGGACATGATAGACTTCCTGGAGCTGGAGCACAACAGCCAGGCCATTGTCAGTATCCCTGCACGCCGTGCGCATGTTCAGGTGGTTGTCCCGGGTGACGAGGGATCCAACCAGCTATTCGAGCTCGTCGTCGATCTTGACCGGGGTGCGATTGTGGAGACGGAGCATCTCGTAGGGAAGCATTCCTACATCGACTCGGCCTATATGAAGGACGTTGAGAGAGCCTGTCTAGCCGATGAGCGAGTCCAGGCCGAGATACGGACACTCGAACTACCCCGGAACGCTTCCGTCTGCGTCGAGCCATGGGCATATGCCACAGATGGCATGAACGACATGTCGCAGCGCATCACCATGGTCCGTGTTGGCCCCTTTCTCCCTCACTCTTTCCATGGCGTCGAGCTGCCCAACTGATGTCCCGCCCCTGACAGTGCTACTTTTACATGCGCCTAGTTGACAACCCAGATGCCAACTACTACGCCTACCCGCTGGATCTGTGTGCCGAGATGTCTGAGCAGCTCCAGGTCATCAGAATCTACCGCCTGCCGACCTCCGCGGATGAGCAGATCCACAACGACCCGCGCCCCTTTGACCGAAGCAAGATCCACTCCGCCATGACCAGCGAGTATCACCCGAGCCTGCGACCTCCGCTCCGCACGAGCACCAAGCCCTACCAGGTGGTTCAGCCCGAGGGCCCGTCGTTCGAGTGGCACGGCAACCTTCTGAGCTGGGAGAAGTGGCGGCTGCGGGTGGGGTTCAACTACCGCGAGGGCCTGACGCTTCACGACGTGCGCTACGACGGCCGCAGCCTCTTCTACCGGCTGTCGCTGGCCGAGATGTTCGTGCCCTACGGCGACCCGCGGTGCCCGTACCCGCGCAAGGCGGCCTTCGACCTCGGCAACGACGGCGCCGGCGTCAACGCCAACGACCTGCGCCTCGGCTGCGACTGCCTCGGCGCCATCCGGTACCTCGACGGCTGGCACAACACGCGCTCGGGCGCGCCGCTGCGCCTGCCCAACGCCGTCTGCTGCCACGAGCAGGACGACGGCATCCTGTGGAAGCACACCAACTTCCGCACGGGCAACGCCGTCGTGACGCGGTCGCGCGTCCTCGTCCTGCAGACCGTCATCACCGTCAGCAACTACGAGTACATCTTCGCCTTCCACCTGGGCCAGGACGCCTCGATCCACTACGAGGTCCGCGCCACGGGCATCATCTCCACCAGCCCCATTAGTCAGGGAGGGCGCGTCCCCTACGGCACCGTCGTGGCCCCGGGCGTCCTGGCCCCGTACCACCAGCACCTCTTCAGCCTGCGCATCGACCCCGCCCTCGACGGCCACGCCAACTCCCTGCAGGTGGAGGAGACGGTCCCGATGCCGTTTGACGACTCCGACCCCGACACCAACACCCACAACCCCTTCGGCATAGGCTTCACCACGCACACCACCACCGTCTCGCGCGAGTGCGGCCTGGACCTCGACATCGCCACCAACCGCACCTTCAAGCTAGTAAACGAGTCGCGCCCCAACACCGTCACCGGCACGCCCGTCGGGTACAAGCTCGTCCCGCACCCGACGCAGCTGCTCCTGGCGCACCCGCGGTCGCAACACGCCCGCCGCTCCGAGTACGCCGCGCACGCAGTCTGGGTGACGCGGTACCGCGAGGGGGACCTGTTCCCCGCGGGGAGACACACGATGCAGTCGGCGGGGGGCGAGGGGATTGCGTCGGGGATCGAGGACCGTCGGCGGCGGCGAGAGGTGGAAGAGACCGGGGTGCGCGACGCCGACATCGTCGTCTGGCATACCTTCGGGTCGACGCATAACCCGCGCGCCGAGGACTGGCCCGTCATGCCGTGCGAGAAGATGGTTGTCGGCCTGAAGCCGGTCAACTTCTTCGCCGGGAACCCGGCCATCGACGTTGCGGTCGCGGCGCAGGAGACGAGCCGGAGCGTTCTCGTTGGTGATGGGGGCGGTAACGGCGGTTGCGTTAATGGTGGTTCGGGGGGTGTCAATGGGATCGTCGGGGAGGTCACGGCGCTTTGATGTTGGCGGGGACGGTGGTTTGCGATCTCTCGACTGATGCCCCATGCTGCTACGTCGTGGGAATTTCTCGGCTGAAACAGAAATTTTAGAGCGTTCTACAAACACTGGGAAATTCGCCTATCGTTGGTCATTAAATCAAAAGACCTGTCTGAATTCCTCAGAATCTTTGTTTTTGACCTTTCCCACTGCCTGGATCCCCGACTCCCTTGGGGATACTTCGTGATTCATAACTCGTCACAATCGGCCAAACTGTACGTATATACAATCCAGACCCAGTAACAGACCAGCAACGGCCCTGTGTGCAGTAAATCCCAATAAAACCACCTAAACATGCAGATACCCGACATGCCCCAGGATCCAGTCATAGCTGGCACTCCTAAAGTTATCATCCAGCAGAGCCCCCTTGTTGTTGAAGAACTGCATCAGCTTCTTCGCCCCGGCCCACTTGGGCCACTGCATGGCGACCTTGCTGCTGCCCTTGCCGGCCCCGCCGGACGCGTCGTTGGGGTCGAGGTTGTAGACAAAGTTGAAGTAGTACGACTGGATGCTCCTGCTGGCGTAGTTGGGCAGGACGCCGTAGAAGACCTGCAGCAGGTCGCTGGCGTGGAAGGTACCCAGGACGGGGGTGCCGTAGTCGTAGGACGCGAGGTACGACCAGGCCGGCACGTCCGGGCGCAGGGCCGACGACAGGTCCAGGAAGGCGCGGCGCGTCAGCGTGAAGACGAGGTCGCCCAGGATGGCGGCGTTGCGCTTGAAGCCCGGGTACACCTCGTTGAAGATGCTGGTGCGGAACGGGCTGCCCGCCGTCATGGACGAGCTGTACGTGCCCACCAGCTCCGACATCTGCGCGCGCGTCGCCCCGTGGAAGAAGAGCCCGCCGAGGTAGTCGACGAGCGCCGACGTCGTCGTCACGTTGGGCTGGAACAGGCTGAACAGCGTGCCCTCGTCCTCCTGGTCGCCGATGATCATGGGCACCGCCGCGTACCGGCCCGAGAGCACGAGCTCGTCCGGGCTCGCCGTCAGGGCCCTGCCGTCGGGCCGAGGGAGGTACGACAGCGCCACAGAGCTGTACGAGAGGATCCCCGGCACCGAGTTGGCCGCGTTGAGGTACGTCGTGTAGTCCTTGCCGCGCAGGCACTCGAGCGTGTCCGCCGCAGACGCGCAGCCGGCCTTGCTGACCACCGCGTCGTACACGATCTGGCCCTTGGGGCAGTCGACCGGGTCCGCGGGGACGATGCTGCCCGAGTTCATGATGGCGCCCCGGAACAGCGGCCTGCCGTTGTACTTGTTGTTGCCGTCGTACAGGGCCATCTGGTCAAAGACGGAGATGGCCCCCGCCGACTCGCCCCAGATGGTGACCTTGTCCGGGTCGCCGCCAAAGGCCGCGATGTTGTCGGACACCCACTCGAGGCCCATGCGCTGGTCCAGGAGGCCGAGGTTGGCCGATCCGTCCTTGAGGATCTCCTTGCCGGGTAGGAAGCCGAAGCCCCCGACGCGGTAGTTGACCGCGACAAATACGAACGGCTTGCCCATGCCGACGGCGTTGGACACAAGGCCCGAACCGTCGTACATCGACGACCAACCGAGCTATATCCAGGAGTGTCAATTCAAGCGAACTAGCAAATATGGAGTCCGATAAATAAACAAACATAAGATGCTTACCTCGAAACCACCCCCAAAGATCCAGAACAACACCGGCAACTTGTCACCAGCCTTGGTGCCAGCCGGGCGGAAGACATTGATGGTCAAGCAGTCCTCCTTCTGGTTAGTCACGGTCTGGAAGAAGGGCAAGTTCGCGACCGAGCCCAAGACGCTGAGGAGCAGACTGTTCCCGCTGGTGGAGAGGAGCATCTGCGGACAAGCGGCCTCGATGCGCGTGGCGTCGAAGGTGCCCGACGAGTTGAGCCGGACGGGCGGCTTGAGGCGCAGCGGGCCCGTGGGCGGGAGCGCGTACGGCATGCCGCGGAAGGTGTCGACGCGCGAGTCCGAGGTGCCGACCACCGACGCCGAGGGCGACAGCGACACCGTCGTCTTGACGGCGCGCTCCTCGAGCACGAGGGTCGGCTCCGGGACAGGGGTTGGCGCCGGGATGGCGGCCACCTGGCCGAGCAGTGCCAGAGAGGCGGCGAGAAAGGCCGCGGAAAGGGTTGTCTTCATGGTGCTGAGCTGTGAGAAGCTTCGGTAGGACAAGAAGACTCGGCAGGAGGTCCGGGACCTGTGGAGAGCGACAACTACCAGGTTGGGCTCATATCTTCACGGAGGAGAACCCTGGGATTTATATCTACACTCGCCTTCACATGGGAAAAGAGGGAAGCGCAATGGATGGTCGACGGCGCCATGGAGGTTGCTGGGCAGCGCTGCGTTACTCCAAGAACCCAGACCTGGGGGAAAAGGCGGTTGGTGGGGCCAAAGGAGATATGTATGAATACGGTAAGGCTGCGGCGGAAGGCACGGGTAGTCCCATCAAGTTTCCAGATGTTCTGCTAGTCAAACCCACGATGTTCCATTAAGCGCCGGCCCAAGCTCCCCATGAGTCCCGGAGTCCAAGACTACCTTGCCATTTTGGCAGCCCTTCCCCGTGGGGAAGGAGGATTGGCTGTGTGCCGGGTGACTATCACATTGTGGGAAATTGGGTCCGCGGGGTCACACAATTTTGGTGGCAGGGGTTTGGGGTAGAGTGTGTTGACTTGGTGGTTGCACATGAAAGTCGATGCCGTTTTCTGTACCTGGAGCTACTTCGATTGCCTCGGCAGGATCGATAATCGAAGGCCATGCAGGGCCGTGCAGGAAGAGATCGTGCAGGATACCAAGACTAAGTGGGCAATTTAGACTGCCTTGTGAGGGGTAAAGATGAAAAAGAACAAGAGAAAGAGAAAAAGAAGAAGCTGGAGATTCTGGGACTGGGATCAGGGGTCGTAGGCGGTCACGAGGGGAGGCAAAAGGGCTTGTCATTCGCTGTAACAAAATACGGTCAACACATGGCCCCCTGTAATGGCTGCCAGTCAAAAATTCCGAGCGACAGCGTGGGATGATGTGGGGGGAGCCGGGGAGCCTTGTTGCGATTGGTCTATTCGATCCTGGAGATCGGGAGCACAGACTGGATCCGGCAATGGCGTCAACCCCGGCGATCCATCGCGATACTTGATGCTTACGCATACGCACATACGGAATAGATGTTTCTGGGGTAGACAATAACTAGCATGCATACCAAATGCGGGGAAGTTCGTATAAGCCGAGCTAGATGGCACCGATTTCCGCATGTGAAGGCAGTGCGTCTCTTCCATTCCATCAAGAGTAAGCCTGAACAATAAATACACGAATACGAAAATTGACATTCAACGGGCTTTCATGGACGATCTCGAGCTTCCATGGCGGGGAAATGGAGATCATCATCTATTAGATTAGTCAAGGCTACGTTTGACACATATTTTCTATTATATAATATATAATTAAGGCAGAAATCTCCCTGTCTCTGAGGTTTGTCTTTTCTAGCTAGTTACCTTCGTGTCTAAGCCTTACTTGTGTAGCTAATTAGAAGACAGTCTCAGGCATCGAAAGTTCAAGATGAGGGCCAAATCTGTCTAGATATATCAAGTCGCAGTATCGGATGAGGTGGGATGAGGGATGTGGGGTAGTCATGGAGGGCCGGAACCATGGCAAAACTTTTGCAGGGACCATTCTGAGCGATGCATGGCATCTTAACATCACAGACACGAGCCTAACCGACCACCCGATCGGGCCATCCGGCCCCAGCGTGTGCCAGACATCTCCGCTGCTCTTGTTCCAAATCTGAAGCGCGACGACCTTGCTAGCCGCAACATCCCATTCGTACTAACCAAGGCCATGTAGGCCACATTACTTCAAGAGTTTTCTGGACGGGTCTCCCGCCCATGTTGATGCTCAAAGCATTGAAGTATCACGCGGGCTTTCATATTTCGGCGGTGTTGCTCCAGTCTGGTCCTCGAAAACCAGGGCGGTCAACTTTGTCCACTTTTGTATCGCAAGGAGGCGGCTTTGGTCACACAGGACCTCGAGAATTGAGCTAGTTCTTCGGACGACTTCATCGTACGTAGTGGAGTAGAGCGGCGATTTCGTCCTTAAATATATGGCAATTCTCGTGGGTCTCGGGTCTGGAGAATGTCGATAGCAGACTACCATACTGTCAGAATTATGCAGCAACGGAATATTTGGGGTTTTTGACCTGTTCCGCGGTTATTGCCTCCAGCTTCGCCATCTTTTGCAGGTGAGGAATCTGGACATGCAAAGGGCTTTGGCTGGGGATGGAGGGGAGGGGCAGGTCCCCTGTCTACCTGCTTTTCACTGCCTGCATGACGCGCATGGCGTTGGTGCCTTGACAGGGGGCTCTGAATATTGCCAGGCATCACCAAGCAACAAGCAGCATGCATGCTCTTGGAGGAATCTGTGAGGCGGACCTGGTAAAGTCATCGCCTGTTCAATTGTACGTAATCATCGGCCCTCGTAAGTCCCTGTCTGTCCTTGCAATCATGGCCAAGATGGTGCCATTGCGCCATCGGTTCTTGTGTCAATCCACCCTATGGAATCATGCAATCATGCATTCTATAATTTCCCAACATACCTCTTTAAAACGCCCGTGTTGGTATCAGACAAAGGCCCTGGGGCCATCCAATCGCTCTTCCGAACTCCTAACCCAACGCCGTATTGACCTTCTTCTCCGTCGTCAGCGTTCAGTCCCCTAGCAGCATCGCCGCCGCCACTAGCAAACCTCGAGCGGGTTGACCGCCCGTGTACACCTCCTCTTAGCATCAGGTGACAACACAGGGCGGTCGTCGCTCGCGTAGCCGGTGTCGTCCTCGGCCTCGAAGCTACTGTTGAGCACCTCGACCAAAACCTGTCTGTCCCCGCGCCTCCGCTTGCGCTGCTGTTCGCGCTGCTGGCGTTCCTCCTGGCTCTCCCACGTCTCAATGTCGTCCGGGCCGACGTCCTCGAAGATGGCATCGCCGGCGATGTCGCGGCCAAGAGCCTTGCCGAGGCGTTCCTTGAGGCCGAGGACTGGCCAGACGGGGACGCGGGTGAAGGATATCTTCATGCCGGCCTCGACGGGCTCGTCGCCGGCGACCTGGGGCGCCTTGGACGGCTGGGCAAAGCGCTCGAGGAAGGTGGCCGAGACGACCGCCGTGTAGACGATGAAGTCTGCCGTGTCATCGGCGTGAGTAAGAAGCTGAACCTTGACATCGTGGAAGCTCTCTGGGGGCGTATCTATCGGTCTTCCACCTGTGCCGCAGCGAGATGAGGACTGAGACGATGACTTGGACGAGGGTTCATTGTAGAAAGATGCTTGCGCCATGGCAAGGAGGATGGCGACGAAATGGGGGTCGTGATCAGTATTGGCTGGAGTGAGAATCCTGGATCGAAGCTGCTGCAGGCGTAAAACCGGGGTGTTGTATCGATCGCCGCCTTCGGGACCTGGACATATTCTGAACAGGTTCTGCCGGATGGCGGCGAGCTGGGATCTACCGATATAGGCGAGAAAGGGTGATGGCGATTGCCCGGGGGTATTGCTGGGGCTTGTAGTGCAGCTGCTTGGCAGGTTGGTGTCGAAGGAGGTCGCCAACCTAGTGATTGCCGAGTCAAACGATGCCCCAGCCGACTCGGGGTGCTTCCAGATGACGGGAAGTCGGATGGCCTTTCGGAAGACGCGTGGACCAAAGTACAGGTCTAGCTCTGCCGACGTCTTGGGTCTGGAGAATGTCGCGGGGTATAATCTCGTCAGTATGCTCTTGATAGCGCGAGTCTTGCAATATGGTCGTGTGGCCTGAGCTGAGAGCAGAGTTGTCAACTCCCGGCTTAAAGTTTGAGCAGCCTGCGAAGGGGGAGGAGAGTTCCATCCGCAAAGACGCGGCCCTGGCACGGGCTTGAGTATCGGATCCTGCTCAACGAAGTGCGCGCCAAGGAGGTTCGCATGGAGGTCGGTCCAACAGATCGGGAGGACAAAGAGCGAGGTTCCGACATGGTCGCGCATGATATCGTAGAGCGAACCTGGCTCAGGTCGCATAATCCGGTTTCTTCGCCGGCGGCCAGACGCGCGAGACGCTTGTATCTTTGGGGAGACACCGACATTTCCATCAGAAGTCTGCTGCCGAGGCATGTCCTTGGTTCTCGAGGTAGACATGTCGATGATGCTTCGCAGCTGGCCGAAGAGATGGCTACGGCTGAAGAATGGCCTGCGCGACAAGATCGGGTTAGCTGGGTGGCTCTAGTCGGCTGCAGTATGCGACCAAAACAAGCATTTGTGATCTGGTGGAAAGGTAGGGAAAAGAAACCCCACTTACTCGACAGTGAGCATTGATGAGGCGTAAGAGCCTCCAGGGGTTTGTGCGCGACACTAGAGTTCTAGATCCTTGTTAACGAAAATGACGACATGCAGGGTTAGGAGTTGAGAACGTACCAAGTCTCTGGCAAATGTATCGCAAAATTTGACAGGTCTTAATAATACCTAGAAGAAGGGCAGGCTGGTGTTTCCAAATATCGCGACAGATGTCAGTTCGGGGGTGGATCAACGCGGTTACTTGGGAATGTAAGGCACGGCGGAAGGAAGGGCGGGCGCCCTTTAAAAACATGACAAGGGAGGGGCAACACGAAAAAGCCAGCGAGCCAAGCGGGCCGCGATCGCCACCACGAAACGTACGCGGGGAGGGCACCAAGTCAGCTGACTATAGGCATCAATGACTGTCTTGGCAACATTTAGCCGGCTTTAGCCAAAGGCCGCAATTTGATGAGTCATGTGATCCAGTCTTACAGAATGTTTTGTGCCTTGAAATCCAGGCACAATCTCCCCACCATCGAGGCTGTGCTCCAACGACTCGAGCCGACGTCAGCCAGCCAGAACACCCCGCCGAGGCTGCCATCTAAGCAGCTCGATTTGTGTGCCACGTCTTTCCTCTAGAGACCCTCGATGAGCTCTAGCCCACCATGCCGGTGAGTATACGATGCCCTATGACACATACGATACGATACAGAGCTCCCCCTTCCCCCTGCAATTCCCCTTGAACCGACTCCTGCCTAAGCTCCTCAACCCCAACCGATCCCCCCTTTCCCTCGGTCTTGCTATTCATAGACACACTGACAAAAAGATGCCTACCTAGGCCTACAACTCCATGTTCAACGCAGACCCGAACCCGCCTCGGCTGATCGGCAACTTCCCCCTCCTCCCGCTGCGGACCAAGACCCGCGGCCCAGCCTACACGCTCCCGGCGCCGAGCCCCCCCCTGCCGGCGGGCGAGTCCCCCGACGCCGACAGCGAGAGCTACGACGTCCTGGACGAGGTGCTGGCCCTCTTCCGCGCCAACACCTTCTTCCGAAACTTCGAGCTCCAGGGCCCCGCCGACCGCCTGCTCGTCTACGGCATCTGGTTCGTCAGCGACTGCCTGTCGCGCATCCGCCCCTCCGCCGGCGTCAGGGATGCCTCAAAGGACGTCATGAACCTGGCCCTGGACAACAACTTTGCCATCCCCGGCGACCCGGCATGGCCGCTGAACCAGGTGCGTTTGTGTGGCTGCCCCAACTCTTGTTTCTTTCTCTTCTGTGGGTGCAAGTTTGGCTGGGTTGGTACGGTCTGGCGGGATCTTTTGTTGTCTTGAGTGTTATGCATTGCGATGGCCCAATCATGCCCCTATATAGCGCGGATGCAGCCACGTGGTTCCGTCCATCTCCCGCGCGCTTCACTAACCCCCCTTTGCGCTCAGATGTACGAGCCGCCGCGCGACAGGCAGGACGCCGAGGTGCTCAAGCAATACATGTCACAAGTACGGCAAGAACTGGCGACGAGGCTACTGGCGAGGGTATACGAGGAAGGCGGGGATGGGAAGCCGAGCAAGTGGTGGCTCAGCTTCACCAAGCGGAAGTTCATGGGCAAGTCGCTATGATAGACCGAAGGATCAGGGGGTTTAGACCGGGACAAAAAGGTGGAAAGCCGGCCCGGCTTTGGGCATCAAGATTTTGCGACGTAGAGAAGGGGCAGGGGCAGGATTCCCTGCGATCGCAGAGCCTGGGCCACACCTGGTGGTATCAATTCTTCCCCTTTATGGGGCGCAAAGAATCTCGACCTACACATACCTACACTCTAATTCGTGCCGCCCATGCTCGCGGATGATGAGAATTTATAATGGCCTTCCCAACGGCCCCCTTATCCACCTAATATGCCCAACGACCTCACAAGGACGCAGCATCGCCCGTGTCGCCCGTATCGCCCGTATCCGCCGGTGTATCCGCCTTGTCATCCTTCCTTCTCCTCTTATACCTCCCCCTCGCCTCCACCCTCCCCTCAGCAGGCCTAGCCCGCCAAGCCGTGAAGACGAACCCCTCGGCGCCGCCCCGATCCGTCATGGTGGGGTGCGTCCGCGCCGGCAAGACCTGCCACCTGCGCGCCCGACTGGTCTGTATGGACGACCCCAGCAGCAGCGTCGGGTTGAGGGGGAAGTCGTCGCTCCCGGGCCAGTGCTCCAGCGACCCCGCCGCGTCCTCCGCCCCCGCGGCCCACGCGGTCCGCCGCGCCACGCTGAAGCAGTCCGCCAGCTCGACGAGCGGCTCCAGCGACGCCGAGTAGACGGCCACGGGGCTGCCGCCCGCGAGCAGCGGGACAGTGTGCCGCAGGATGCTGACGGCGTCCATGGTGCTGGCGCACACGAGGCCCGAGAAGCCGCCCGCCCGCGCGGCGTCGACGATGTGCCGCGCCCGCGCGTATCGTCGGCGCTTGCGGTGGTAGTTGCCGCGCTGGTTCGGCTTCCAGGCCGCGATCTCGTCGGGCGTGGCCATGGGGGGTGGGGTGGAGTAGGAGCTGTCGAGGGAGGGGTCGACGAGCTGGAGCCAACTGAGGGGTAGGAGGTGGGTGGTCAGGGGGTGGGGCGGGTGGTTTGGGTTTCCGACATCGAATCCGTAGTAGTTCATGAGTGAGAGGTTCGGCTGACTTGACGAGTGAATGAGTGTGATGGTATTGGTTTGTGAATAAGGGACGCGGAAGTCGGAACCCCGAGGTTGATGATGGTGTCGATTTCGATGGGAAGTCGTCGAAGGAATGCCCCCCCCGGCGGTCTTATTTTTCGGTTGTCGGGAACCATCGGGGTTGATCTCGGCCTCTCCGTCATTGCTGTTGCGAGTGCCCGCCGGAACTTCCTTCGCCGCTGGCAGAGGTTCTCCCACCTCCTGTTCCTGGTATAGAATGCCCATTCTCTCGGCCATTGAGGCAACCAGCAAGCCTCCAGTATCGTCAACCACCAGCCACCTTCCACTTATCGAAGGTTCCACCCCTTTCTGTATCTCCTCAAACAGATCTTTGTCGGCATCTTCCCCAGCGGCCGTTTCGTCACCGCCCAGGAAGGTATCCTCGCCGCCATAATGGACGTTTGCCCAGCATCCCACGAGAGCCATCATCTCTTCTCGCATGTCCAGGACTCTTGCAGCGTCCTTCTCTTCCACCATCCACTTCCCGAGCGTCGCGGCATCCAGGGGCAGGACCTGGAAGCGGCGGATGTACTTCTTCGTCTTCAGCAGCTTGTACTTGGCCAAGCTGAAGCTCGTCTTCTGGTCCAGCGCGGTGTGTGACAGCAGCAGCTTGGCAATGATGTCCTTCCCGGCGCCGGTGCCGTCGCGCTTGAGCTCCTCGATCTCGTCCTGCGTCAGCTTCTGCCGGGCGCTCTCGTCGATGATCTCGCGGTCCGAGCGCGCGACCACGGCGCCGCTGTCCGGGTCGACCAGGCTGTACTCGACGCCGTCCATTGCCGATATTATGCGGTCGTTGTCGTCGGCCGGGGCCGAGCTCGCTCGCTCGGCATCTTCTTCTGCGATGACGTCGGCGTAGAGCTCTGAGGGGGGAACGACGCGGAGGCGGCAGAAGGGATCGCTGTCTTGCTTGTCCAGGAGCTCGTATGTGAAGTGGTAGGGCCGGTGTATTATGAGATTGCTGGGAAATAGCCCGTACTTTCCGAGTGATATTGTCCTGGAGAGAAGACATCAGCACCGCAAACACCGACATTCACAGGGTCAAGAGGTCTCAGCAGGGGGCAATGGGGGGGTCTTCTTACGTGTTCGGCACGACTTGCAAGATCTTGTGCGAACCAGATGGCAGCTTCAGTGCTACCCACTCATTGGGCTGGACCAGCGAATGCATTTTGTGCGACAGGTTCAACTTTCGACCATCGAGGTCAGAAACGCGACTTGAAAATTTTGGTTGCGCTGAAGATTGAGCACCCCGCGATAAGCTAAGAGATAACGGGACAGGTGGGGGTTACCCAGGTACAGTACCTAGCTGAACACAGTGTACTCTGTACGAACTTGAGAGCACCAGAGTCACGTCCACATTGCCTTCAGAAGTTCTAAGGTGGGTTTTTTTGTTTGATATACCTCTCTCTTTCTATGAGACCCCAAGTCTTGGAGCGACGTTAAACAACGGCCAGCCGCTGCAATGAGGAACACTGAAATTACACGAAATGTCGGACAGAGAACACCAGCAAACATAGCCCACATCGCCAGCACTTAATTAATGATTCAAGCACCACAGCTTATAATCGCAAGCGCAGAATTCCACCGACAAACTATGCCGAGCCCGGTTTCCGCCCAGTGATGAACCGATAGCTAGTGATCAACCTGAGGTCCCTGCTCCTAAACTCCCGCTTGACGCCCTCGATTAGCACCCTGGCCTGCTCGTTGGAGTAGGACAGCACCCTCGTGAACAGGGCCGGCGTGTGCGAGTCGACCGACATCTGCATGTGGGCCAGCTCGTAGCGGCCCAGCTCCTTGAGCCTCTCGTCCTTGGTCCACGGGCCGATGGGGATGCGCTCGACGCGCTCGGTGACGTCGACGAAGCCCGCGTCGACCATCCACTGCCTGTGGAGCCTGGCGACGTTGAGGCGCTTCCCGAACATCTGGCTCGCGGCGTCCAGCTTCTCGACCCACTCCATCGTCCACGGCGCCCGGCCGCAGCTGTCGTCGTCGCTGAAGATCCACGCGTCGTACTCCTGCATCTCCACCCACCCGCCGGGCTTGAGGTTGGCCATGGCCTGCTGGTAGAAGCGCGGCCAGTTGGCCGACGTGCCGCTGAGGGCGCGCCCGTGGATGTAGTCGAACGTCTCGTTGTCCGTGTACGTCCACGCGTCCTCGTAGTCGTCGACGTAGAACTTGAGGTTCGGCGGCACCCACTCGGGCTGGATGGGCGACAGGTCCACCCCGAGCACCGCCGCGTTGGACAGCTCGTCCGCCACCTCGATGGCCCAGAGGCCCGTGCCGCACCCGAGGTCCAGGATGCGTATCTGGTCCCCGGCCTTCTCCATGTACTCGGCCAGCGGCGCCGTGTACAGCGCGCCGCCCAGCAGCAGCCGCCAGATGTGATGCTGCAGGTCCAGTCGCTCCTGCTCCTGCTCGTCGTTTGGCAGCACGTACTCGCCCTCCCGGTAGGCGTGGTATCTCCGGCCATTCTCGTACGTGTAGTTGTAGATGGAGGACGTGATGGATCCCGTACCCGTCGTCCAAGTGTCCGAGCCATATGCGGAATCAACATCATCATCGCGGATGTTGTGTCGGTCGGGCTGTTGGACATGAGAAGCACGGACGCATAGGTTAGCAGTCTCTCCATTCATCCCTCTCGCTGACTACCTGGGACTTAGCACGGGACGCACATCTACTTGAAGAGGAGCCGGGGTCTCCGGGTCCGGTATCTGTGCCGTGGCCGGACAATCCGGAGGTGTTACAGGCCCCGCCGGAGAGCCTCCATCGCTCGCCGGTTGATCGGGTCCCCTCGGACTCGGGCCGGACCGCAGGTCGGCCGCATCCATGTTGATTCAGACGACAGCTTAAGCAACCTGCGGGCCCGAATGTGGGGGTTGTTGGTGGGACTGAATGGGAACCGTGAGGAGCCGTGAAAGGGGTTGAAAGTGTTGGTCCGTGTGTGATGTTTAACCCTGAAGACGACTTGAGATTCTTAATCGTTACCAGAATGTAATCAGTTAATTGATCTAAAGGTTGAACCGGCTCGACTTGTCAGGATACCCTCTTCCTTGGGGATACCACGTTTCTCCTCGCTCCCACCCATTTTGTCGCGCTATTTAATACGAGATAAAAGACGAGCAAGGGACATCCGACACTAGGCGAGATTTGCCAATCAACCGTGGGACCCGACCATTAGCAAGCTCGATCCGGGTTAGGCGTGGTTGAGCGTGGCCCACTTAGTCGGCTTTGCTGAAGAAGCCAAGGATCACCCTCACATCTTTTCCATGCGGGGTTCTTTACAACCGGCATAAGTTCGTACGATAGTCCGTCATCATTGATCTTGGGTTGCTTTGGGAAACCGATCGACCCGAATTACCGCTTTCAATCCGGAAGAAATCAAACCACGTACTCCCAAAATGACACAGAAACTCATCTGCGTCGTCGGCGCCACCGGCAACCAAGGTGGCTCGGTTGTTCAGAGATTCCTCCAGGACCCCCGATTCCGAGTCCGGGGCCTGACGCGGGACAAGACGTCGGCGGCGGCGCAGAAGCTCGCCGAGCAGGGCGTGGAGCTGGTCAACGCGGACCTCGACGACGTCGAGAGCCTCAAGGCCGCGTTCCGAGGCGCCAACGTCATCTTCAGCGTGACCAACTACTGGGAGTCGTTCTTCCGGCCGGACTGCAGGCAGAAGGCCGAGGAACAGGGCGTCTCGTGCCGCAAGTACGCCTACGACGTGGAATACCAGCAGGGGAAGAACATCGCCGATGCGGCGGCCGCGACGGTGGAAACGCTCGACGCCAATGGCTTCTTGGCGTCGACGCTGAGCCACGCCACCAAGTGCAGCAAGGGCGCATTCAAGGAGGTGTATCACCACGATGCCAAGGCCGACATCTTCCCTTACTACATCCAGGAGAAGTATCCGGAGCTGGCGGCCAAGGCGTCATACATACAGACGGGCTACTTCTACACCAGCTACAGGCTTGTCCCCGACTCGTATTTCGTCAAAGTCTGTTCTGACCCTCCCTGTTCTGTAACATAGTACAAGCTCATCCTTATTACCGCTCATTTATCATGGCTGCTGACCCCAATAACCCTTCCCCCCTCCAGCTCCCCGATGGCACTTTCCAGATGCAATTCGCAACCAACCCAGACAAGCCCCAGCCCCAGCTGGCCGTGAACGAGGACATGGGCAACTTCACCTACGCGGTCCACCAGATGCCGCCCGGCAAGCACTACATGGCGGCCGGCACCGTGTGCACGTGGCCCGAGTGGATCCAGACGTGGGCCGGCGTCACGGGGGCCACGGCCAGCTACAAGCAGGTGACGCCTGAGGAGATGGTGGCCGGGTCGGCGGACCGCGAGTTCGGCATCGAGGTCACGGCCATGTTCTGCTACTCGTCGGATCCGGGCTACGACGGGGGCATGGACCTGCTGTACGCCGAGGACTTGAGAAAGGTGAGCTTTGCATTTGTTGGCTGCCGCCCGTTTCATCCCCTGCGTCAACTCCCCCCGGTGACAGTAACTGACGATGAGACTTGAAGGCCGGCATTGACTGCCCCATGACGGATTTGAAGACCTGGTTGGCAAGGCAGGACTGGGCTGCTGTTCTGGCGAAATGAGCATTCTGATGATTGATGATTGTATGCATTGCCTGGCGTGAAGTCATGGAGCGATATATCAGTCATTTTTGTTTAGTTGAAGGGTCACACTAGGAAATCGATTAATGTTCGATACTTATTGGCATTTACTCGGTCGGTCGTCACCCTGCAACCAATCTCGGGCTACTTTGACCATGCAATCCTTGCTCTCAGGTCGCCACGATGGAACACCCCTTGCAAAGTGCCTCGCCCTTCACGTATGGGTCTGTTCAACGTGTCCTCTCTGTTCAACGTGTCCTATCCGTTCAACTCGACCCTCTCACTGCTGAGGCGTTCCGGATAGCTGGGCGTTGTTGATCCTGCATCGGCTCATGTGTGCAGTTACATTGCTGCCGATGTTTCAATTCCTTCCCACAGGGACATGCGCGGTCGTATATCAACGGGAGCCTGATCAAGGCAGCAAATATCACAGTGATAATCGACTACCATATGCTGGGGGCAAAACTCTATCTCAGTTGGGCTCCAGCGGGGATGTAGCGACCATAAGTACATGAAAATTTGCACTGTATATATTCCTGTTGCGTTTCGTCTCGTCTCGTGGTCCCGTTTGCTTCTTCCCAAGACGCTGGGACCAACGGTTCTTCGCCCTCAGCGTCCCATGTCTAAGACCACTTCCCTAAGGAACTATCCTGATTGGTCATCTTGTCATTTATCTACTGGTCCGATTTGTCGGATTGCACAGCACTTCTGGATCTTGTAGATTAAACTGCTTTTATTGCTTGTATGTTCTCCTTGACTGCAGTACCAATGATGCTCATACTTGCGTCGTATGGCTATAGCCAGGTAGCTTGGGAATACAGTGGCAACACCTGCTCCAGGATGTTCGACTTTGTTCTATTCCGCAGTGTGTTCCAACTGTTAATTACCCCTTTCCAGGCCCCTTTTCTTAACAGTAACTCTAGCTCAGATCCCATTTCTCTATATTACACGGGTCGGTAGGGTTGCAACAGTCTTTCCATAGTTATATCACAAAGCTCTGTCATCGCCGCCTCCAAGCAACCTAGAGCCCTGCCTTGTGAAACCGTTGTTCTGGAATTTATCCTGGATTTTGTGCATCTTTAGTTCAGGTTGTTTTTGTGGGTTTGCCTGGCTAGAGCTGACAGTGGAGTCGGTCAGTGGAGGATCTAACGAGATCTAGACTCTGCTTCTTGGAGAATCAGCTCCTCCAGGCTAGCCTAGGTCCTTGCCTACACAGATTAATCGAGAGCCTCTAAGCGATACCTTTGGCGAATCTCAACTATTTTGTAAGCGGCGGGACCTTGCCTGCCTGCTAAAGCTTGTATTGAGATCTACTACGCTAATGAACAAACTACTGTTTCTGCTAGCCGGAAAACGTTAACATGCAGAAAGCTTGAAATGAGACGGTCGTATCGAGAAAAAGCGACCGAGTCCCCTCCCTCCTTCACAACAAATTTTGAATCCAATCTATTCTTCATCTTAGCAAGTGAAGGGTTTGGACTCAGTTATCATTCGTTTAATTCTTGTCGCTCGTTTTGGACCATGAAGAATCTGGGTTTTGTTGCCTTGTCGGGCCTTGCCCTGTTGCAAGGAGCTGCCGCTGTTTGTTGTCGCACTAACAAGTGCTTGAAAGGTATGATGACGCGGTCAGATGAACGAGATGCAAGTGAACCAAGCTGACCGATATCTTGGCCTGCAGCCATCGTTTATACAGGTCAAGATGGACTTGCCGACTGCTCGGCAAACCTGATAGTCACAGTGACACCGTCTGCAAGGTAAGATATCCTGCAACATTGATAGGAAACTCATAGTGCTCACGCATGAACACAGCACCTTGACCCAAACGGTGACAGACGTCGAGAGCGCTGTGGCTACTGCGTTGCTCACCAAGGCCACGACTGAAACTGCATCAACCGAGACACTGCTGTTTACCGAGACCACGACTATCACGGCATCCACAGAAACAGACATTATCAGCGAGACCACAACCGTACCCGTTACCACGACCGACGTCCAGCTCGCTGCCGGCGTCACATCTACTTCAACCGTCTATCTGGTGAATTTGAAGGCTCGCCAGACGGGGTCGCCCTTGCCGGGCTATGCCTCGGGAGTCTGCCCGGACTGGGACAAGTACGTCGAGGCCTGCAAGTGTGCTGGCGTTGTGCCCATCACCGTCACGGCAACTGCAGCCACAGAGACAGTCACAGTGACCGCCGACAGCGCAGTCACCTCGACGATGTCCACCCTCTCCAGCACCCAGACCGACACCGTCTCGGTGACAGCGACGACCTCGAGCACCCAAACTGACACCATCTCGCTCACGGAAACCGTCACCACCACCGAGACCACCACCGCCTCCTCCACGACAACCGTCTTGACAACATCAACACCCACCACCGTCGTCCCGCTCACATGCAAGCCGCAGGGCCTCAACTTCCGGGTCTCGAGCCCCCTAAATGACGGCACGACGCGGTGGATGAACGTGATAAACAAGGCCACGATCGCGTGGCAGACTTTCTCCTCGGGCAGCACGGGGACGGACCTGTACTCGTCCACCTGGGTGCTGGACAGCAACGGCTATCTTGGGCTGGCCAACGCTATCGCCCCGGACACCTCGGTCCTAGTCGCGTACGTCGACCTGAGCAAGACAGGGGCCAGTGTGGCGGTGCAGGCGAAGCCCAAGCCCGATGTTGAGGCGGCCGTCGCGGCCGGTACTTTTGGGAGAGTCACGGGGTGCGTCAACGCGGCGACCAGCGAGGTCACCCTTTCCGCAAACGGGAGGTCCAATATCCTGACGTGTGGCAATGGGCTTTACTTGTCGACGGGTAACGGGGTGGATATTCGGTCAGACTGTGTCCAGCTGTTCCCGACTGGTAATCAGGTCTAATGAGGTGGATGGCTACTGAGACTGGATTGGAGTCAGTCCGCCTCATGCCAGTGTATTGTACAAACGAAAACGATACATAGACTTACCTTGATTAAACTCTAATAATGGGAATGCTATTTCCTGCCTTTCCAGTTGCACTTCTGGTAAATGTCATTGACCAAGCCAGGGGCATTTAGATGCCGCAAAGTGGTTGGCCTCAAACCATTTATAAGCACGTGCAAATAACCGCCAAGATAGTCCTCAAACTTGAAATTGGAATACCAGATAAAGCCGCGTGGCGAGTTCTTCGGAAGCTGGCTGTCCGCCAAGATTTGCCCGTCAAGAGAACTGAAGGAGAATGAAGAGTTTGACAGGGAATGAGCGAAGTACAGATTAGAGGAGGAGATGCCTGAGCTGTAGGTAGAAGGCAGTCCAGCCTAGCTCACTTCGTCGGGGGCCAGACTGGGGTTGGGGCTCAGATGAGACAGTGTCACGGATGGCTTGGTCCTTCACAGCTGAAGTCACCTAGTTGGTACAGTGGCCGAATCCGAAGCTTATTAGTGGCGAAGAAAGAGCCGTGACGTTGTCTATCTAGCGAGGTTCGTCATGATTTTGAGTCTCCTCGTCTAGTTTAGCGATAATTATGGAAATATCCGAGCTGGTTCCTCAAGTCTGACCCGGGGAGAACTGGAAAGAAAACAAGTCATGACGATTCAGGGGCCTCCTGCCTGAACCAACCGTCACCATTGTATGTAGCTGATGCCACGTCGATAGTCAGTTCCTAGCGGTGTGACAGTTTAACCCCTCAAAATGTAAAAAAGAAGACTCGGAGTGCACGTCTAGCCAAACCGCCAAGAAAATGTCAGCTCGATCGAAGCAGGCCTCGACTCTTTTAGTATCGAAGTCATGGACACATTGGTGTCGGGGCGCAAGTGAACATTTCTGAAGTCGAGTCTCTGTTCGTCAGGGGAAACGGCGTGCATGAAACTAGCCCGCGGGCACTGCATGTGGAGGTTGCGGCGAAGATGATGTGGCTGGCGTGAACGGACAAATCCAGTGATACCGGCATCTGTTTGGGTCATGCACACCGGATACGGCCGCATGCGACAGGGGTCAATCTTCATGGTGTCTCTAGCCTCCCTTTTGAGCTCAGCCACGACAGAACTAGCAAAGTCTTGAAACGGCGAATATCACACTGGTCTAGAAACAACCCTAACGGCAAAGTACCTGGTATTTTATTTATTGCGGACACTTTGTTGAGCAGCCAGGCTTACTTGTTTCGTCTGCTCGCTTTCATTCTGTGGCTGGCGTAAACGCTGGAATTGCTAGACGCTAGGTAGACACTAGCGGCGGTCGGGAACACCCGCTACCCGCCCGCTCGCCATGACAGGGACGAGCCTTGAACGCTGATAGGCGAGCTTTGACTGAGCTACGATGGAGAGGCTCATGTTTGTGGCTGACTGGCCTTCTCCAGGAGGATGCTGAGCGAGGAGCCTCTATGCCAAAATTGGGTATGGAGGGAAGGCAAGGTAACTATCGTGGCCTATCCCGGGTTAGCCAACTGGTGCCATACGCACGAAGTGCGGGCGAGGGATGGCCGAGACCGACGCCATGGTCGGGCTCACAGTCAAACTATTGAATGCCCTCTGAGGTCTGTCAATGTCATCTTCCGGACTAAAAGACATCAGGCTCGCGGCAATCGTCTATAAGAAGGGCCCGTCTCCTTCATCCTTGGACTCAAAACTCTCCAGCATCCAACAGTCAGACAAACAATCAAGCACACCCTCATCTTCAGTCTTCCAGACCTTACTTCATTCTCCCCCAACCAACACCAACCATACCAATACAAGATGGCTGCTCCCGTCCAGAAAGGCAACGAGATCCTCATCCCCCTCTTCGATGGCGCCGCTCTCGGCCAGCCCATCACCGTGAAGTGGCAGCAGGACTTCAGTCAGCGCCAGGAGGGTTACTACCAGCTCATCGCCGACAACCTTGCCACCGGTAAGTCTTGGTCCGGTCTAGAACAGCTATACCTGTCGGTAGGGGTGGTATTCTGGATGTACTGACCAACTCACTCCATCTAGGGACTACTTTCCCCCTGTTCATTGCGGCCGAGTTCTACAAGTCCTCCACCTCGGCCAACCCGAACCACATCAGCAAGATTGCGGAACTTCTTCCCGGCGGTGAGTGGACCAATATCTCGGGGAATATCGGACAATCCCTCACTCCACCCCAAATTACACGAACTAACAGACCGCTTGCGGGCACAATTAGAGGGCTACAAAATCACGGTCGACGAGCGTTTCCAGTACGGCCAGAAGAACGTCGAGGGCGAGAACCGCTTCCTCATCCTTCACGACAAAGGCCGCAAGCCGTACCAGGTGGGTGTCTCCCCTACTACCCCTGATTATTGCCCCCTGTAGGGGAGAAGCTGTCCAGACCGACTGACACTTTATGCGACTTCCGCAGCACCGCTTCATCGAGACCGCCGTGGCCAGTGCCCTAGCCCGCCAGGGAGAGGGCGTGGCCGACAAGGTCTGCGGCGCCTTCGGGCTCCCTGCCGGGTCGGCGTCGAAGGTCACTGATACGGTCAAGTGCTATATTGGCGATTATCTCCGTACTTTCTAAGCTGGATGACATTGGCCAACCCAATAGGGTTTTGAAGGCATGACTTACTTGTTGGGGGTGAAAGGTGGCAATTGGGTGAGAGAAGGTGGAAGAGTCGCGTTGGAAATGAATTGGCTAAGGGGTTTCGTTTTTGTCGCTCGTTAATCAGATATTATATCTTCAATAAAAAGTCTTTGTGGTGGAACCAGTCTTGCTTGTCTTGTTCATGTTTTAGCACTACCAGAAGCATCTTCACTGTTAACAAAAACCAATTGTGCTCAACTTTTCCATAAGACAACTCTAAACGTTCGATTAACAAATTTGACCCAAGTATCCGTAAGTTGGTTGGATTTACCTCTGCTAAACCTGAACTTCCAGAGCTAACCAACTCTACAAACAAATCTAATTACAACAAAGCGATTCCAATGCTTTACTGTAGGAACACATTCTACTTCACTAAGCTAGTGCAGATGTTTTGACTTCCAGCGTAGATTAGTCTTACAAATATCAAGTTTTTAAAGTTGCTTGATATTTGGGTACGTGGCACAAACAAGCAGAAACCAATTTATTGCTGAGTACCGTCGTCTAGTCGCAACCGCAACTACCCAAACTTTAACGCCACCATCAAAGACACCCAAAATACTCTCCTCTCCCAGCCACCTACCCAATCGGCATCACAAACTGCGGCCCCGAGGACGGCCCGTCGAACAAATCCGACGTGACCCGCCCAACACCCCTCGCCCCTCCCCGGTCCATGACCAGCGCCACCAACCCAACCGGCCCCTCCACGTTCCCGACGAACAGCGTATCCTCCACGCCGGGAGTGGACGCCAGGCCGAACATGCGCGGGCTGAGGCCCCCCGTGCTCGACGAGTCGACATACTGCAGCAGCAGATCCGGCGACGACGACGACGACGACGACGGCGGCTCGCATTCGCTACCACCACCACCACCACCGCCGTCGACGACGAACCGGAACCGCGCGATCGAGTCGGTCGCGGCGCCGCTCATGCGGTTGGACACGTACACGTACGCGCCGTCAGCACCGGGCGAGATGGCCACCTCGCCGGCGGCGGCGCCCTGGCCGGACGGCGGCGGGGTGTCGCCGTAGGTGGAGACCGACTGCGCGTGCGCGAACGAGATGTTGTCCGTGGCGTAGTCGAGCGAGAACACCTGTGCCAGGCTCGCCATCTCGCAGACGACTACATAGTGCGTGGCGGTCTTCTGGTCATCGTCCTCGTCCGGGACGAAGACGCCGTGCCGCGGCCCGCAGCCGCCCGGCGAGACGGGGACGCGGTTGACGACCTCGAAGGCGTCGTCCTTGGAGTCGAGCAGCAGGATGGTGTCCGTGCCGAGGTCGTTGACGGCGAAGAAGCGGCCCGACGGGTCCAGGACGGCCTGGTGCGGGTGCGCGGTGGCCTGGCGGTTCTTGTCCGGGCCGAGGGGTCCGGGGGAGTCGATGGTCTTTATGAGCTTGAGGTCGCTGTTCTCGATGTTCCACACGTCGATTTTGCCGGCGCCGTAGCCCGCGCCCACCAGCCGGGTCTTGTCCCTGTTGAATTCCAGGTGGACGACGCCGGCGCTGCCGGTCTGCTCGGCTTTCAGCTCTAGGGTGTTCTTATCGAGGTCCAGGATGAATAGCCTCAGGGTGGCGCCGAACTCGTCGACGGCGTAGACGCGGTTGGGCTCGGCAAAGGCCATCCAGGCCGGGTCGCCGGTGACTGACTGGTTGAGAGATATGGAGAATTTGTCGTCCTTGAAGTCGGCGATGTAGATGTGGCCGGTGTTGCCCAGCAGCAACTTCGTGTTCCCTTTGTCGTCGGGCTTGCTGGCGCGCTTCATGCTTGGGGCTGCGACAGCTGTAGTTGCAGCAGCACACGCTGCTAGTATGGTTGTAAATCTCATGATTGGAAATGTCGTCAAGAATGGGAAGGGAAAATGAATAGCACGAATTGAGGGTCGAGAAGAAGAAGAAAAATCAAATCTCCAGCCAGGAGGTGGGAGACAGCCAGTTTTATATCCACACTACCGAGTCATGATTCAGGGACTTGGAGCGTCTTTGATTCACCAACAAACATTAGAAACAATGCTTCTGTTAAAATAACCTGCGTCAAAGCGCGGAACTGTAATTCATTGGTCATACAACTCGATCAAGGAGTCACTGCGCCTTGGGTGTCACGCAGAACGGCCAGGCGCCTTTCTTTGACGGACAGCCAATCGATATTGAGGTTGGCGAGAGGTCGAAACAGGCCACTGATTGAGAGTCCGGTTTTCAGGGATCAGGGCCGCTAACTTTTAGTTGATGATCTCCCTTGCTCTAGCGCCGATCTTCTAAAAACTTTAATTTTCTCACAATCCTTCTTCTGTCAGGAATGGTAGGGAGTCATCGTAAATCAACCTCTGTTTGACACTGAGTCCCTTGGATTGTTCAAATGCCACATCTATGAGGCGACATGTAATTTTCAGAATAATTGGCCACCAGCTCTATTTTAAGCTCTTCGCGGACATGGCCCTGACTTGTGGTGAGGAACACAGGGCCAGCCGGGTCACAGAAACGGGTCAATGGTTCGCAATTCTAGGCTGCCCATTGAACGCATATCGTCGCCGGTTTGAAACGACCAACATGCATCGAGGCCAACGAATTTGATGGGTTCCTTTAAAAACAAACACCTTGGCCAGATGCGCCTTCCCCCTCTCGTACTCCCAATCCACAAGAACACGCTCCTTCGCCTCCTCCATCTTCGCCCTTACAAATGGCTCCATTGCCTCCGTCTCCTGTTTTGACAGGAGACCCAACCTCGCCTTGTAGTCCCCGCCCGCGTTTCTCCCAAAGTATGCCGGATCCAAATACCTCCAGAAGAGGCCATCGAACGACCAGCTCCTCCGCGACGCAAAGTTGACTATCTACGTCTTGGTCTCCTAACTTTCCTGCATCCGCTGCGCCAGCGTCTTGACACTCCATTCCAATTCCTATTCCCATTCCCATTCCCATTCCCATTCCCACTCTCGACACCCCCTGTCCCCGTCCCCGCCGGGTGCAGGCCCGCCACGCCCTCAGCGTTTCCACAGCCAGCCATGCTCCCCCTCTCCTCTTCCAGAGGTCAGTGTTGATAGCTGCAGGACGATGTTGGCCATTGGAGGTAGATGAACTCCAGCTTCTCTTCGGCAATATCGGGATTTAGCTGATGATACTCGTTGGTTCCACGGCTGGCGTCGTTCGGGACATGTGATAATTAGAGTCTGGCTGTGGTGAATGTACTCCATGATGAATGGCCCAACCGGTCGGGTTTTCGGCGGCTGTCCCATAGTGGAAATCGCGAGGCACGTGGATTGTGTTATGGGCAGCTACGTAGCGCATCGTTGCCATTTCGTGCCTAACCTCTCCTCGGGACACTGGACATGAAATTGGCAATGGCTTGGTACGTTGTCTTTGTTGTAAATGATCGCCTCCCACTCATCGAAGGCCCCATCAGGCGAGGCCATCTTTGGGCTAGAACACGAGCCTGGGTTTTGGTAGCATTGCCAGAGTGCTGTTGAGAGAGAACGGCGGTGAGGGGCAGGATGATGAGCTGATCAAAAGGAGGAGGATTTTCCAAATTTCAGTGCCAGAGATTCAGCCCTGAGACGAAAATATCCTGCCAATCCGCAGCATAATAACGTCGTCGCTGACATGGTAGAGTTCACGACGGTATTTCTGATCGAGAGGATCTGGGGGATGTGGGTACTGGTTATTCATTCTTTTCTCTTCAAGGGGGAACTATCCAAGGCCACCATATCGTACACTCCCCCAACAATATATCCCGTCTCGCGGTCTTGCCACTTATTTCTTCAAGTTCAATGCCTCCTTCACGCTGTCCAGCTTCGACTTTAGGGTATCAGCGGGTTCGGCGTTGTCTTTGCTGCCGGCCGACGGCTTTGGTGACTCTGTAGACTGGAGGTTGGAGTGTCCCTTGTGGGCCTGCGCCGGGGTTTAAGTGGTGATGGTTAGCAGCCTGATGCTACGACCTAGTTATGCGAATGGATACCGTGCTCACCTCCCGCTCTTCGGTCTCGGCTCGCTCGATGAGGTCGTGGCCCTCGATAACAGCTTCGTCAGACAGTCCGCTGCTCATCTTGTGGTTTGTTTGGATTGTGTTTTGGTGGATGATTCTGTGTGATCTTGATTGACCAAAATTGGCAAATTCTGCTGGGAGAAGTAAGACGAGAGGGGATTGCTAGAGAAACCATGGTTATATGTAGCAGACGCGGTCTTTACGTCACGATGGTCGCGTGACCCTCTGCTAGTCAAGTGATGATCAAGACGTCACTCCATTTGGGATTTTATCATCGCGTTGTAATCCTACAGCATGATCAGCGACACTTAGCGCTTCCTCGCTAGCATCGATTCTATGGCTAGACCAAATTGATGAATGATAATCCCAAATACTTGCAAGTTAGACAACGTGTCTGTCGATCAGTTTACCAACATCGCCACATGTCGTGGCAATCTTGCTCGTGTATAACGCAGCCACGTGCCTAACCAACTGTACAAGATACTAAAAGCATCAACTCTTCCTAGAACTTCGCAATGTTACTTCGCAATGTTACCATTGTTATAGTTTAAGATCACTTCCAGTACCTCCGCCTTAAAAATGCGCTTCCAAACTAATTATTTAACCATCTTGTATTCATCACTGCTATCTTCAAAGAAATCATCCCAATGTACCACATTAAAATATCAAGACAAAATACCGTAATCTAGAGAAAAAAACTCCATCACATATCGCAGAAAGTGTGGCAGATTAAGCCTGGGGAGGATCGGAGGCGGACAGAAAGAAAAAGAAAAAAAAGGAGAAAAAAAAAGAGAAACTTTACAAACTTACCTTTTCTTACTCTACAATTTACGAGCCCTTGATAACCATCTTCACCGCGTGGTTACTGAAGCGCCCCCCACTTAATCGTGTCTGGTATGGGATATTTGTTTGCGACTAGATCGCGGCTCCCCGGGCAGAGCCGCGATCCCCGGATCCGAGTATCGCCAGTTAAAACCCTAGCTGCATCAGGGCTCGAACTGGCGACCTTTCGGTATCACAGTCGTGTCTGGTGCTTACCGGGGGGGTGGTCAACGGTCAAGGGGCGTCCCCCTTAACCGCTGCACCACCCCCACCTGCCTGCGTTGCAAAACTTTGTCCGAATTAGCCCTTATATTGGGTGGGCGGGTGGCAGTAAGGTGAAAGTGAAATGCTGTTGATGTGTGGGTGTGACGGTATCACGCGGCTTGCAAAGCATATATTGGGGTAAGTTGGTGGGACCGAACCTTCTCAAGGGCCACGCCAACGACATGACTTGATGCCGCCGACGTTGCACATGCCACGCCAATCATCTTGAACTCTCGCAGCCGACTAGTAGCAGCGCAAGAGTGTTTCAGAGGCCCGGACCAATATGCACGGACTGGGCCGAAATGCATCTTTTATACGAGATACATGTCCAAGTTAACGAATACCTGCAGGAGAGCAGCAGAACTCAGAGTCTGAAGCTGCTGCCGATGCATGCCAGCTTCTCTGACTCTTTACATACATAGTGCCAGCATTCCCCGCGGGTATCTCATCCGTGTTAGCTCCTTCACAGCCAACCTGAGCAACATTCACGATGACAGTAAGCGCTTCATCGACGGGCATCTCTCCGGCCGTGCCCATTCATGGGCTTCACTCTGCAAAGTCCACCCGCCGTCTGAACCAAATTGACAAGATCCGGGCCAATGGAGTGGGAGAGCATGTCTCCCTGCCTCAGTTGGTCGTCTGTGGGGACCAGTCCGCCGGGAAGAGCTCAGTCCTGGAGCGCGTGACTTCGGTCCCCTTTCCAAGGCAGGATGGACTCTGTACCCGGTTCCCCACGGAGATCATCCTTCGACATAACACCGAGCCTCTGCGGATCTCGGCCAGCATCCAACCCTCCGCTCGCCGCCCTCCAGAAACTCGGGAGACGTTGCGGAGATACCGACGCAACCTATCAGATGATATGTCGGAACTGCCCGAGGTCATCTCCGAGAGCGCGGCCCTGATGGGGATCCGCGGATACGGATCGACCCAAAGCGGCAACACATTTGCCCAAGACGTACTCCGAATCGAGATTGTCGGTCCGACCAATCTTCATCTGACCATTGTCGACCTGCCGGGTCTCATATCGGTTCCCAACGAGGACCAAACAGACGCAGACATCCGCATCGTCAGGGAGCTGGTCAAGACGTACCTTTCCAGCACTCGTACCATCATCATGGCTGTGCTACAAGCCAGCAATGACATTGCCAACCAGGGTATTCTACAGCTGGTACGGCAGCACGACCCGGACGGCCAACGCACCGTGGGCATTATCACCAAGCCCGATCTGATCACCAAAGGCGTCGAGGGTAGGATCGCGATGCTGGCAAAGAGCCTTGACTCGGTCAAGCTGAAGCTTGGTTTCTTCCTCATGAAAAACGCAAGCCCCGCCGAGGCTAAGGAGGGCCTGACTTGGGACGATCTCGCTCGCCGCGAGGAGAAGTTCTTCTCCACACCGGCATGGAAAGAGCACAACCTCGGCATGCGTCGCGTCGGAGTAGAGCCACTGAGACTGTTCCTCCAAGATCTCCTGAGCAGGCACATAGAGAAGGAGCTTCCCAAAGTTCGAGAGGAGATAAAGCATCGGCTTGCAGTGACGGAAGCGGAGTTGGCTCTGATGGGAGCCGAGCGGCCGACTGTTGGACACATACGATACTTCCTCACGGGCCTGAGCATGCAGTTTCACCAGCTCGCGCAGGCGGCCCTCGACGGGAACTACCAGGGGCCCGACATGGAGTTCTTCAAAATCCCCGAGACTCGGCTTCGGGCGGATGTTCACAAGGTCAATGGAAATTTCGCCAATCATATGCGCGACAATGGGAAGAAGAGGAAGGTCTCGGCCCAGCCTGACAGTGAGAATTCGGAGAGCGAGCCTGACGATGACGATGAGGACGAAGCACGACAAATTCGCGTTTCTGAGGAGGAATTAAATGCCTGGGTCAGAGAAGTTAGTCTCTGTTTCGTATTTGCACAATTCTTCCCAGCTGGACTAACGCACGAAGGTCTACGAGAGGACCCGTGGGCGCGAGCTGCCCGGTAACTACAACCATGCTCTCCTAGCCGAGCTCTTCCATGAACAGTCAAGCCTATGGCCCCGCATCGCCAGGGATCATCTTGCCAATGTCGTGTTGATGGTGTCCAATTGGGTCGAGAAGGCGATCAATGCCAGTGTCAGAGAGGAGGCAGTGCACCAGGAGATCACGATGATATGCCAGAGGAACCTTTCCGAGAGTGAAAGGCTTGCCAACGAGGAGCTGGACAAGTTGATTGCCGACGAAAAATACCACCCAATCACCTATAACCACTCCTACACGGACAATATCCAGAAGGCCAGGCGGAAAGAACAAGATGCAGCGATGGCAAAGGCCCGCAGCACACTCAAAACCGACTGGTTTGGGAACCAAGATGGCTGCTGCAACGCCGGCGATATAGAGAAGCTATTGCAGGCCATTCGCAGCAACACCATCATCAAAATGGACGATCAAGCCTGTTCTGAGGCTCTAGCCGGCATGAACGCCTACTACAAAGTAGTTCTTGGACTGCAACCTACCGAGATCCAAAGCTTACACACCATTCCCAGGTAGCTATGAAGACTTTTGTCGACAACGTCTGTCGCCAAGTCATTGAGCGCCACGTGCTATCCCGACTACCGACGCTGTTCTGCCCGAAAACCGCCTCCGGGTTTAGTGACGAGGAACTCCTTCGCATAGGTTCCGAGCCCGAGAACCACAGGGCCAGAAGAGCCGAGCTTGATTCTCTGGTGAAGGCCCTTCAGCAGAGCCTTGACGATCTGCAGAGTTCCTGAGGGCAGCTGCTATCCGCGATCATTTCCCTCCCTGGGAACAGCATTCAGGATGTTACTGTTTTGATAATTTCGGATAGCTAGATAACTATTAGGCTGGAGAGTAGAAGGGAGGGAAACGGGGGAGACAAGGCTGGTGCAATCAAGCAGTTTGTTCATTATCATTATCGTTAATCGTCCCACAAATTGTCGAAGTTTGTGGCGGGGATCGGACCTGACCCCTGACCCCTGACTTGTTCCGTCTCAAAAGATCACTGTTGAGTCGACCCTCAAAATGACACCATAATTAGACAACAGTGTCATCTTTTTGAATCAAAGGGGTTTAAAATTCCATCTCCCAGACTCCTTGGGCGCCGAATGGGCCAGTTAGGGGTATAAGAATGCGGAAACGGGGAGTGAAAGGATGATGTTGCCAACACAGCGCCACGACATGCACCAGGAACCAGCCACATCTTACAGCTGGAGTCAGAAGAGCTGGTGCCGCAAGCTTCAGCCGGAAGTCCAACTATGCCGCCATCCACAACGTCACACCGACGGCCACAATCAAGGCCCATCGCGAGAGGCCGGCGCTCGTGGCACCGACGTTCTCCCCGCCCGCACCAGCCCCCCCGCCATCCACCGATCCAGAGCCGCCGACCGTGTTCGAGGCACGCACGCAGGACACGTACGCGTTAGTGGACTGCATCTCGCCGTTTTCAGCGAGGTGCGCCCATGCGATGACGACCGGCCAGATAGTCCCAGTCGCCTCCGCCAGCGCCGATTCGTTGCCCTTCTCGGTGGGCGAGGACCCGTACTCAAAAAATGACCTGGCAGAGATGATGCTCTCCGTGAGAGCTAGAGTTCGAGGCAGAACAATGTCAGCACCCAGTCACTACCACTTCCGCAGAAGGCGTCACCCCCGAGCTCATGGCGGGGAGATTGGAATGAATCACAAACGTACGGAAAGATGGGCCATCCCCATCGGCGCCAATAATCCCCACACACTTCCTCTGCAGCCCGGGATTCGTACACCGCCCCTCGACATCCACCCCGCTCGTCACCGCCGCCACCATCATCTCATTCAGGCAGTCGCCCGGCAGCACCTCGGAGCAGCTCCCCTGCGTCTTCAGCAGCCCGTCCCCCTCAGCAGCCCCCAGGATCCCGCCGACATACACCGTAGCGCACACCCTCCAGCTCGGATCCAGCACCAGCGCCCCCCCGCCCCCGGCCAGCAGCTGCGGCGGCGCCGCGATGCCCAGCGTCGTCGCGACCGTGAACTTCCTCTTATCGACCGACGCGTTGCCCGACGCCGCGAGCGGCACGTCGGGCGCCACGGCGGCGGCGAGCGTCCAGCCGGGCAGGGGCGCGCCGGCGCCGGCGTCCGTGCCCGCGGGGGCAGACACGTTGTAGCCCGCGATGGACGCGTTGGCGGTCGCGGCCGGGTGGGCCGTCAGGTCGCGGAAGAGCGCGGCGGGGAGGGAGAAGGGGGCCGCGTCGGTGAGGTCGCCGTAGACGTAGGAGGGGGTGGCGAGGGTGAGGTGCGGGAGGGTGAGGGTTGTTGCAAGGAGGAGGAGGAGGAGGAGGGGGGGGGGGAGGAAGGGGTGTGGTGGAGTGGAAGGGGTTGGGGATGGATTTAGTCTCGCCATCGTTGGAACTCTTGGAATGTTTCAGAGCTGGATGTTGTGTTTGAGAGCCGATCAATTTTAGGGGATAGGTAGACCTGTCCTTGAGAAAAATAAATAAACGAAGTGTGGCAACGTGGCCGCGCATTCAAATGGAATAGCAACCAAAAAAAAGGTTCGCCAGGGCAAAGGATAAAGGGAGGTTGATATGCAGACTGCAAACCTGCAAACTTTACGGAACAACCCAAAAAATCGTTCAACGCGAGGCAACGAGAACACCAGGTACCACGTCATGATCGTCCACCCAGCCGCAGTCGTACGACGGGGGACCTCTGAAAAGGGCCGGTACGCAGCGTCGGCCGACCGTGGCTTGTCTGACCGCGCAGGTCCGAATTGAGAAAGCACAAGGGACATCGGGGGTGGTAGGATCCCGAGTTGTAGACCGACTCCCGTCCCAGAAAAAGAACGGCGGGGGGGCTGGCACAGCCAATGGGAGGATGCTGAAGGTTTGACTACCTGCTGTTTCAGACTCAGGATCGTCGTCGTACCGCTTGAAGGAACGTGACACTCCCTCGTCAGCACTCCGGCAGGGAGGATAATGACGTGGCGGAGCACGGCAGTTCCCATGCAATTGTTTGTTGCCGTTTCTCTGGATATGATGGGCCCATCGCGTTGCTCAGATTACAGAAGGAGGTGGCAGTACCAGGAAGATCCCGACATTCCGTTTTTCAGAAGAGCACCTCAGCTGCAACGAGTGTGCAGTCATGTGTTTCCCGAGTGACACTAGCTCACCCAAGCAGGCCATTTTCAGTAACCCAAAAACACATCGCGAGAGATTGTCCAGGTAACTCAAGTAGGTAACTAGATAGGTACCTACTCCTTCTGACTGCCATATCACGCGAAATAGGCACACACTTTGCCCAGCACCAGACCGGCAAAAGATGAGGCACAAAATCGCCACCTACACCTTCCTCGGCGTGAAATAGACACCCAATGGCGGCTTGTCCCAGAGGAAATAAGCCTTCTGGTCCATCCAGTTGACGTCCTTGTCAGCTAACTCCATGTCAAAGTTGTAGAGAAGCTTTGCCAAGATTAGCCGCATCTCGGCATATGCGAGACTTTCGAGCAAGAGCGCAACTTTGTTAGCAATATGAGCAAAGAGGGAATTCGCGGGAACGTCAACTAACTTCTTCCCAATGCAGTTTCTTGGCCCAACCGAGAAGGGCTGCAGCGCATCCAAACTATCGCCCGCATACTTGGAATCCCCCAGGAACCGCTCCGGCCTGAACGCAAACGGCTCGGTCCAGTTCGCGGCCATGTGGTAGGTCGCCCAATGCCACACCGCAACAGTAGTCTGTGTGAGGGCGGCGGGTTAGTCTTGTGTGTGTCCTATGCCCGTATGGCCCACCATCGGGGATCCGCGGGGCAACTTACACCTTCCGGCACGACCACGCCGGAAATGGTCGCACCCCCCCGGGGAACCACTCGGGGTAGGCCGAGCGGCGCGGGTGGATAGCAGCGGAGGCCCTCGTTGAGGCAGGCGAGCATGTATTCCAGATCGCTGACCGAGCTGAGCGTGATCTCGTCGTCCGACTTGAACGTCGAGCGGACCTCTTCGGTGACTCTCTTCAGGCAATCGGGATTCGCCAGCAGGAGGTAGGTTATTCCGGCGAGGAGAGTGGCCGTGGTTTCAGAACCAGCGATGATCAGATTACTGGCATTGGCCCGGATCCGCTCTAGGCTTAGGTGCTGCATGTGTTGATTGGGGAGTCAGCGCAAGGGTTGCCATAAGTGATTCCAGGTGCCGCAAAGAAAATCTCCCTCCACCCACGACCTCCGCGAACTTCACCGGGGAGAAACAGAGGGGTAGGTAGGTTGGGGATATACGCACCCACTCATCCTTCTTTCTCAACAGACCCTCAATCAGGTCCGGCCTCTCAACATCCATCTCCATCCTCCGCTTCAGCTTCTCATCGGTCCTATCGACGTGGTTCCTCCTGCTACTCAGCACATATTTCATCAACAGCGGCATGAGCCACCCCATCCCCAGGTAGTTGAGCACAATGATCACAACCGCCGTCCTGACCGTCCCCTGCAGCGCCGCCACCCACGGGTGCGCCTCAGCGCGGTCGAGGCTCCCAAACGGCTCCCCGAACGCCAAATCACCGATGATATCGAACGTGGTCCAGTTATACCACGCCGTCATATCCAACCTCCTCCTACACAGCAACCCCGTGCCCTCATCCTTCCGATCCGCATCCACCGCCCGCTCCCCGATCCTCCTCACCAGCAAATCAACGTACCCCCCAATGATCGGCTCCTGCCCGCGCATACTCCGATCGCTAAACCCATGCGCCATCAACCGCCTCAGCATGGCATGATTCTCGCGGTCCTCTGCCACGATCCCCGGCGGGACCCCCCTGACGCGATAGAACGTGCCCAGCTTGCGCATCTCTTCGGACCCCGCCGCCGACCCGGTGCGGTGGCCGTAGACGTCCCTCCACGCGCGCGCGTCCGCGAACGCGAGCTCGTCGGGCGCGATGCGCACCACGGGCCCGTAGCGCTCGTGGAAGGCCAGCACGTCGAACGACATCGTGCCGCGGCAGATGCGGCACAGGAACGCCAGCCGCGTTGCGCGGTGGAGCAGCGGGCCCGGGAACGAGGCCAAGGGGTGGAGGTACAGGTTGTAGGTGACGCGGGCGACGGCCGCTAGCAGGAGCTAGGGTGGGACGGTCAGCTAGGGGGGATACTGGGGGTGGTGGTGTGACGCGGGAGTGTATAGGTCTTACCAGGACCGTTCCCAGGCCAGCCAGGCCAGCGAAGTTGACAGAAGGCATTGCAGGCGTGACTTGACGGTTATTTTGCAGGTCTGTTGTTAGAACTGTATACCAGATGTTGGGATGAAGACATTAGGATCAGAAAACCGGGGGAGACGCACGAGGCGTCGAGGGGTAGATAAATAGAGGTATGTACCTAGTATTGAACCGGTGTGGAGGGGCAAATGGAACGGGGTTGAAAGCCACCGTATCCCGATCACAGGGCTATTTCGCATGCAAGTGTGATGCAAGATCCAACCCACGTCGTACATGCACAGTAGGCACGGCACCCGGCACCCACTGTCAGGGATGCCTCCTTAGCTGCATGGATAGCCGTTACGTCTAGGTTATAAGGGGCTTAGAGGCCGTTTCTGTGGCTTACGGTAGTTCTCCCGGCTGGCGTGGCGCCGCCCCGTGAAACCGGCTTGGAAGCCAAAAGAACTAGCGGCGCCTTGCGGATGCGAACCAATTCCCAAATCTTTCGCAAACCGCTACGGACCAAGATTCCAAGACACCGCCCCTTCTTCCCCCCTAAAGAAAAACCCAACTTAGCAATACTCTGTGGGTAGGTACAGAACTATTAAGTCGTTTTAGGGCCCCACGTCCGCCTTGTGCATATGGATGGTCGCTAAGACCTCTGATAGGTTCGATCTCAAAACTCGCCGATCCATCATAAATTAGGTGGACGATCTGCTCATGCAGAACGGAACGGGCCCTTCATTGACCCCGGATTCCCGTGAGCATCTGCCCGCTCCCCCGCCCCGATGCTCCCTCCCAGCGGGAATCGGTAAGTATGCTCTTCCCGATCCTGGTCGTCTGGATTCTCTGCATTGACCATCTATTCCTCGTTTGGCGGAGAAGGATCAGACATACATCGGGGGCAAGGTTATTGACACCGATGCCGACAAGGTCTGAGAGGAATTGGAACATCCCGTCGTGTTGTTGGGCTACGAATAAAATTCACGGCAGTATTAGATACACCCAGTTCTTCCCCCAGCCAGCCCTGATACACTCCCTACCCATCTAACAATATAGACCCCCCCAAGAATTCCCAAGTCACAAGCTGGCGTAATCGTCCATGTCCTTCGAAAATCCGCCTGCCCTGTCCCCACTTCTAGCCGATGCCCACCATCACCTAAACATATCCGAGATCCGGAGGAGTAGGCTCAAGAAACCAAAGAGGACGAATGGGATCACCGTGTGAGTGAAGAAGACTAATTAGATCTCCGAGTCAGCTTCAGCTTCTCCTGTGCTTTCCAGCCACCAGTAGCTCCTTAAGCTTACAGTACCAGCCTCCGGTGCGCCTGACGACCCTGTACAGCTCCCCCGTCAAGATGGGCATTGCCAGGTCTGGTCGAGCCCACGGGCCAATCAGACGGAGCTTTGTGTTAAAGTTGGGGCCCATTGCCCACGTGTAGAATGCCTTCAGTCCGTGGACCCTCAGCATGTATGTGGCTGTCGGCGCCGCACCCATGTCAAGTGCGAGCTGGAACGCGTAGCTTTCGTGGTCGACGCCGCGCCTGAGCTTGTTGGCGCGGTAGTGGGTGCGAGGGTGCAGGGCGTAATCCAGGTCGTAGCCCTGGATGGCCACATCGTTGGGGCCATGGGGCAACCCGATAACGTAGCCGTCAACGATTGGGTCCCAGAGAACCCCCGAGGGTGTGAGACGAGTAGACAGCTTGTCGACATATCTGTACCTTAGCAATCGATATATCCAGAGCTGGGCTTGTAGCTCTGCTAGTGCAGGTATGGCTCCTAGGAGAGACGCTTAGTGGGGGAAAAGAAGAGGCAAGGGGGTCTTGCTTCGCACCGATGCTAGGACGAACAAACCCAATGTAAGCAAACTGCTCTGCGATGTGTCTGTATATGCCCCGATTGACTGCCTGGTCCAGCGTGGGGTACTCCCCTGGCGTAAGGAAGCTGAATCACGGGTTGTATCCGGTAGCCCGGATGACAACGTCTGCCATGACCTGCTCATTTTGCCAGTGGCCATACCCGGGTTGGTTGTCTCCGCGGAATAGGAGTCGTCCATCTATATTGATTCCCCATGGCCACGGAGCCAGGTGAATGGCCCGGTCGCCGGTCTCAGGAATCGGAATGTTGATGAAGAAGCTGCGGATCTTGTTGAAAACCCGCCACGGCTTGCCCCGGTGCCGAGCGGAGATGTATGGGATGGCCATTCCAGACATGACGTAGAAAACTGCTTTTGTCAGCTAATGGTCGCTTCGGGAACATTGGACGAGGATGGCTTACCCGAGTCAGCAAAATATTCGACCTTGTGTAGGCCTCCAGCCCATTGATCGATGCCGGCACTGGTACCGGAGACCAGGAAAAACATAAACTTCATGAATTTGTCGTAATAGCTCCAGAGCAGCCTGCCTCTCTGGAGACGCGCCGGCACGTACATGGTGTCGAAGAGGCTAGCGGTAGCGGTGTCGAGGGGCTTGTTGGGTGGCTTACCGGCTGACGGCTTCCCAAACCGCTTCAGGAAGATGGGTTCGGGGACGACCTTGGGGGCGACGGAAAACCCATTGCGGTGGCACACGATCACTTTTTTGACGGTTGGATAGTTGACGGCCAGGTAGGCAATGTCCATTGCCGAGTCCCCGGCACCGAGGATCACCACCGTCCGCGCACGGTTTAACAAGCGTGTGTGCGTGAACTCGCTGGAGTGTATGACGCGATTCTAAAACCAAGGGCATGTCAGAAAAAACTAGCGACATTTCCACGATCGATTCTTCGTACCACGCCGGTTCTGCCAAACCTCTCCAAGCCAAGAACCTGGGCGTTGTGGGGGGTGTGATTGAGTCCGGTACAGACTGCAACAGCATCGCACGCCCATTCGCCCGTTTCCCGAGAGCCCTGTGTATGCCACTCGTATCTGACAACATGGTCCCCATTGGGTAGTCGTTCGATATTGTAAACTCTGGTACCAGACCTTAAGTGTCTTCCAAGGTTGAACCGGTTGCAGTAACGGCGAAGGTACTGGGCGTAAAGTGGCACGGTAAGGAATTCGTTTTCGAGATGGTAGCCGTCGTCATCGTTGTCGACAATGAAGCGGAAATCCGAGAAACACATGAGGTACCTTGAAGAAACCAGCTGGAGCATGTTTAGCGTTCGGGCATATACCAAGATAACAGAAGGCCGTATCTACCCTGGTTGCTTCGGTGGATCGACGAAGCAATGTTCCTCCGAGGACGGGATTTTCATCGAAGAGCAAAACTTCGATGGGTGGAATGTGGAAGTATTGGTGCGCGGTAGCGAGATACTTAAGCGTGACGAGGCCGGCTGGGCCACCGCCGATGACGGCGACTTTCAGCGTCGGAGGCATGATAACGCTCGAAGCTGTCTAGCATGCAAAGAGGGAAAAAAAAGCACATAGGTTGTCTGATAGCTGGAATTGCTTGGCAAAGCCCAAAAAGCGAAGAGAAAGGAATGGTGGATGGAGTTTGGGATTTTGGGGTCTCCAGGTTGGTGAGGCCGTGGGCTTGTCAAGAGGACTCGCCGGTTCGAACGACAACCACGCGCGGGTTGCGCCTTCCTTCAAACTCCCCTGCGACAAGTCTGAAGTGGGATTAAAGAGTCAGGCTCTTTCCATATACGGCCAGTTCTGTCCCCGCCTTGTCGTCCGCGGATGGAAGGGATCCGTCAAAAGACCAATCCGGTGTTGTGGTCGCCGCTGCCATCCAAGCGGCAATTCCTGACTGGTACCTCTATCTAAAACAGTACAAGACAACCTATGTAATACAGAGATTCTAATTAGATGTTCTTGGGCACGCAGCCAGTTGATGGATAATGACAATATTTCGAAACGCGTGGAGAACTACCACCATCTCTCCAATCAAAAGAAGGTCAATAAATATCAAGGCTCAAAGAATATCTCGCCTGCTTACTTGGGAGTATCAAAACCATTGTTGAGGACCGAAAGAATGAGAATACATCACCGGACGTTTCCACCGTTACATATATGGCTATGGGGCCAACCACTTTCCATCTGCCAGGATATCAGAACAAATGGTGTGACAAAGTATATTCAAGATCTAGAGACTTTTTGCAGGAACTACTTGTGGAGTGTCGAGCCACTGTTCCCAGTCGTGTCAATGGTATATAACATGAGGAGGATGCATGGCCCAGATTTTCGCAGAAGTCGGGGAGTGACTGGTTGATGAGCGCCAAACCCGTAATATATTTATCACTCATAAAATCCATCCTTTCCAGCAGATGGGTTATCCCCAGGGCCAGAAAGAGCAGCAGACGACGAAGCAGACGCAGTGGCACCCCAGGAATTGTCTTTTGCGCTCAAAGGTGGTTCTCTTTGCCAGGTCGCTGACTTGATGGTATATAAGTGCTACTGTGATGTTAGCATTGATGCTTGTCAGGTGGAGGAAGCTCCGAGATGACTGGGGAGGGGTTAGGGGTGATTGGGTGGCGGTGGTTGCTGTGGATTGGCAGGCAGCAGGCAGCCACCAGCTGTGCACTACCTACTTGTATGACGTAGGTCTCCAACTGCTCTTAAACGCAGCTTTTGCTTCCCATTGTTTAATTTTGCTCCTTCCTCCAGTCAATCCAAGGGTGCTAGCTGACTAATGGCCATCAATTTTGAGCTTACGTTATTAAGCGAAACTACAAACAGATTAGTCGAGCCCCCTTGGCCTAATGGCTAAGGCATCGGACTTCTAATCCGAAGATTGCCGGTTCGAGCCCGGCAGGGGGTGGTTTTCTCCATTTTTGCTGCTTTTCTTCCTTTTATTTATTGGTTTCTTTTTTTCCTCATTTCCGGGGTTTTTTTTGGTTTTTTTTTTTTTTTCCAAAAAAAAAAAAACGAATAACACCGCATTGTAGTTTGCTCAGATACTGAAGTTCTGCAGTCCCGCAGGAAGAACAGATTGGCAGATGTGGATGGAAAAGACCAAGCCCAAGCAGTGGGATACGGCTGCGGGATACGGCTGGGATTCAGAAGGCTAGATGGGTCTTGTTCTAAGGCGAGTTTTGGGGCTTGTGGCGTATGGAACGAGCACGGGATCTTCGGTCATGGCCTAGTTAAAACTCAGATACCTTTGAGCGCACAAAAATAAAGTTCCTTTGATGCCTCTAAAGCTCCTTGGCCCGGCGCTAGCTACGAATCCTGAAATTCTCGAGTTGCAGGTTCTCAGAGTTGCCGATCCTCAACATCTCACATCACGTTATTGGTTGCTGGCATCATCCAAGTGCCTCATCAAGTGCCTGCGTCTCTGTCTGCCCTTGATCTCTACCTATCTATTTTTTGACGTTGTAGATGGTGCAGGGGAGGTATCATTTTCAAGACGGAGTCCCTGTAAGCTGAAGGCAGAAATCCATTCATGTACTACCTAGGATATCAAGTCTATAGGTAAATTGTAGGCTGTGCTGGTATCTAATCGTCTACCCCATGTGACGCATAATGAAAACCCGCATTCATCAGTCTATCCATGAACACAAACCACAATCATCCAACGACTATCCGCTATCCCGACATCGACGTATGCCCATTGGCCCCTGATAGGTCAAGGTCTTCCAAGAGAAAATTGGAAGCATCGAACGAATAGAGCGAGAAAGGCTCCAATGAGCCGGCGAATTCAACTTGGGCCAAGCAGGTGCTTGTGTTGACATGTTCTGTTGAATCCGGCTTGGATATGCGCTCTGAAATGTGGGATTGGGGCCAAGCTGGCCCGCCCAACTCGGAAATCCAGTCCCCCCTTGGTGTTCTCGGGTCGAAGCCCTGGTACCCTGCTCCCATGCCTGGATTCGCCCAGCTATCATCAGTTGAGCCCAACCCCCTCGGCGTAGAGGTCATGTCTACCAACTCCGGCTTCCGCTCCTTTAGCCGGCCATGGGAATTTCCTCCAGGGCGCTCTCCGACAGAGTTGAACTGCCTCTGAAGGAAGGCTTCAATGGTTTGACCGATTGTGTCCTTGAGCGTATCTAGATCCTTTGTCTCAAGCCTAGGTAGTATCTGATCCAGGATCTCCTGCGCCAATTGGGCATGGCCCGATAGAAGGTGTTCCGCCACTTCGTCCACCCCAACAGGTGGGACAAACTCTACACTCCGAGTTAAATAATGGCCTCCTCACTATGACCACATGCAACTTACCTGAGCTAGGCACGACTTCGTCGGATGGAAAGAGCAAGCGACATAATGCGATCCAGTTGTCGACTTTGGATGCGCTCTTGCGTGCCTGCAGCACGTTCTCGACTTCGCTGGTAATGCCGTCCTCAACGTCGCATGGACTCGGCAGCTTATGTTCGCAGATGTGCTGGGGGCCCACTGATAAATGGGAAAGTAGCCCTTCGCGTGAGGCCAAGTCCTTCTGACATCTAGGACAGACGAAACTTCCAGGTCGGTTATATCTATGATGAATTCTCACGTGGCGCCTGAAATATCGGTGAGTTCTCTGCGCAAATGGAGATGGCACTGTTTCTAGGGCTACTTACTTTACCCCTGACAAGTCGGTGAAAGAGTCGATCGCACAACGCGTGTGGTCCCGTATATTGAACCGAAGTGAATTGCGCTTCCGGTATGGGCAGCTCATGAGCTGTTGACGGGGCCTCTTGGCGGACCCAATATGTTCGTCTCTGTTCCCTCCTACGTTAGACTTGATAGTCCGCTTCTGCCCCGGCATGCCTCCCGCGGCATCTGGTCGGCTCGCTGGTGGGTGGGGTGCTTTGCTGTTCTGATTCGCAGATGCACTGTGTATGATTATGTTTGAAGAGTTCCGCTCTAACTCGGAATTTGCTTCACTAGGCCCGTCCTCTACACCCAGGTCATTTAGCATGCAGTTTTTTGAACATGTCATTTCGGGGAGGATTTCCGGGAATGAGCCATCTTGTGGTACCGAAGCAAATGGGTCTGTGGCCGACTCTCTGTAGACATTGACGTCAGAAATTAATACTGATGGGCCATCGAGTACCAGAAACGTACTTTTTGCCCCTGTTCTTGCGCAAGTCCAAACGTAAGCCACCAGTTCCGTGAAGACAATATTCGCTATCAGATTCGTCGTCGCCCGAGGACGAATCCCAGGGTGCTTGCTGGAAATTTTCAGGGAATGCTGATTCATTGGGTGTGTAACACTTGATATCTGAGGGTGGTGAGACGATAGCTAGATAGAGCACACATCAATCCAGGTTCCATGATTACCTGGCGGGGGTTTGGGCAGTACCTTCAGTGCTCAAAGGGTCCATAATTTCCAGCGCGTATCCCTGCTTTTTGACGTGTCGCTCGAGCTTTTCCAGTCGTATTCGTTTTCCATGGATCTTAAAGACTGTCTCTTTGCCATCCTCTTGGCGACGCTGGTTTGCGATTGTCCACATTGTTCGCACCTCTCTGGCGTTTAGATTCTTCTTCAATGACCATGCTTTGAGTCTGATTTTGAACTGTCTCTCACTTAGGCAAAGACGTATCAGTATTGCCTGCAGGGTAACTATGGGGAATCTACTTACCTGGCTATAAATCCGTGGCGTGAGCGCATTGTTTCCATGACCTTCTTAAGTGTCATATCGTGCGTTATATAGAGATCAACGATCTCGTCTTTATGGCGATCCCAGTCTTCTGGAACCACGCGGTGGCTCCTCGAACCCATCATTTGCTGCTGCGATCCTGGGATGGCATCGAGGGGGGAATTGACAGGTGACTCCGGCATGCTGTGGATATCTGATAGGCGTCTTTCTGGCTGTGATCTTGAGCAAACGGTTCGTCTGGGGGATGAGATCGGTCGGCGAGTAGTCGAGGATTGCGTGTCTCATGCTTGATGCACTCTGTGATGGCTCGACACTTGTTCCGGATCCATAAAACCACCCATGGTCTACCTAGGATTAGATGACGAGCCAGGTGGCAATGTAGCAAAGAGGAAGATGTGCTGGGTTGGGCCACAAAAAGTCTTACACGGCCTTATTGGCAGGCCGGATTGTGTCCGCAGCCTCAAATTGGGCACCCCTACTGCATCCCTCATCCCCATTGGTCATTGGGTATAAAAAGGTGGAGGAAGCCTGCATCGCCCCGTCCCCTGATGCGGGCCAAGCTGCATCCCTGACAAGTCACAGCCAATTAAAAGCCAGTGGACAATGCATGCTGTTGAAATGCTTCGAGTGCCCGTTTGCCTTTTCGCTCAATCTCAAGTCCTGAACATAAGGACATTCGCAACACTTTTCGTATAAAACCAGGCTCCAAACCCACGCTTCCACGCGTTCCAGCAGAATATTCCTTCAAATCTGGATTATCATTCTTCTCGTCCTCCCCTCTCATCCAATCTCATCCAAGCAACTTATGACCTACCTAGGTACTATGGTGAGGTGTCACGAGACCGTGCCCGGCCTGAGCCCGGGGCTGATTCCAAACGGGCTTTTGTTCTCCCGCTCCCGGTTGGACCCACCCGACAACCGCCTACCCGACGGGACCTGACCTCATCCGGCCTCCCAGCAGCACTCGAAAGTGCCCTTATGAATCTTCGAATGGAAAAGATAGAGACAGGGAAGACGGCGAAGTGCCATCTCCAGGGGGGGGGCGTTTGACCCTGAAAACTCTCACCATCGACTTCCCTGCTTTCCTGGATCGTGGCAGCTGACACGTCATTCAAGCAGGCTGCCAAATACTGTGATGTGATAGGTTTACATCCACACAATCCTGCATGCACCAGCGCCCGATTAATGAAGCGTCTGTTGGCGAGAGGCTGCAGATACGAATTCCAAGCATCTAAACATAGCCCAAGGAAAGCATCCTAGGCTCTGCTCGATGTGGATAAACCCACACGCTCAACAGAGATCGAGTGGTGCGACGTGTCCGGGCGAGATCCTCTTCTGCGCCCGCAGCCCGCAATCCTCAACCCAAAAGCCAATTTTCCTTGGCGACTGGCGAGGCGATCTGACGTGCCATCAACGACTCGCTATTATCAAACACGGCGCAACTCCGGATGGTCATGAGGCAGGCTTTCACTGGGAAGATTCGTGCGGGGCTGCGGGGGCGAGAACATGTTCGGTGAACAGAGGCTGCTGAAATTGGGCGAATCCATTACGCCATTGGCAGGACAGTCCACAGATCGGCCGAGACGAGGGTGGTGGTTCTCAAAATCTATACCTGGTTCTGCTCCGGAACGACCCGAGTCGAGGCTTGCGCCTCAGTTCGTTGTCACCACTCCCGCCCTAGCGCTCCAGTCTGCTTTCCCCCATTATCCGTTCCAAGCACTCTCTTCGTTTCCCCGGTTTTTGTGTACGCTCTCCATTTATTTGCTTGGAAAACATGTCAGCGGGCTGTATCTCAGTGCAGAAAGGAATGAAACACTATGCTCCCTCAAGCGCGGTCTTCTTGCAAACGAGCGCTTTCCAGCACTCAGCGCCCAGTTCCAAGGTGCCCTCGAGGACAGCTGGAAAGGGGATGACAAGTCTTCATTATTCCTTCAGTTCTTTCGGAAATGCCATTGTTGGTCAATCCCGTCATCCCATGGCGTGGCCCTGCAAGTAAGAAGGCTCCGTCATCCACCTACCCCCCCCCACCAATGTCTTCTAGACCTACTGATGCCTATTCTGGCCTCACTAACGCTGCATGGCCCTCCCCGTCTCGCGCAAGCGTGTTTCACCTAAGTTGCAACGCCACTTACCATTGGCTATGTGTCGAGGCCAACCCGGTTCCTATTACCTAGCTCATGACACGGGATCAAGTGGCAAGAACAGTTGTTAGATGGTGTGAAGAGGGGGAAGGCCCGGGTCCCGGTGAATTCGCATGTTGGCTGCAGATCGAGTTGCCCGCTTGTTGCCTCGTGTATCGGAACCCAACGCTGGCCACACCACCCATCTCCCTCTCCCTATTCCTAGGAACCCTTCGGGCCTTCAACCTCTGAGCGAGGAATCTCACCGGTCCCCTCGCCACCCCAGACCAATACTAATTACAGGATGCATTATCATTTCTACTACCGCTAGTCTCATATGCAGGTCATCAACAATATTAGTTACCATGCTCCAGCAGCTCTCAGTATCCGCCCAACGGCTTGGCCTTTTGAGCTGCGCTCTCGAGGCTCTGCAAGTATCCTCAACCGGAAGCGGACCTTTCCACGTATAAAAGGCCTAGCCTAAGGCTTCTGCTCACACGGACCACTTCATTTCCGTGTCGGTAGTTTTGTTCCATATCTCTGCCTCTCTCGCAGTCCTTGGCACTCACGTTGATAGCTATATCATTCCTTTGCCCCCTGAGACGCAGAAACCGCGATGGCCATCTCTTCCGCACCTTCAATTGTTAACTGGTATGGGATTGCCCCCGGCGCGTCCCCCCGCTCCCTAGAGACTCCATTATCTCTCGTCCTTGTCAACGCTTTAGGACATGGCGCCACCGATGAGACATGCTGACTTGACACTGGCTCCATAGGGAGGAGCCAATTAAGCAACTCCACAAATATTCCCATGTGGGCAATTTCGCCGATACTATCAGTTTGGCGACCACGTCTTTGCACAGCTTTACTACAGACCTCGTCGATGCGGGTGCCGTGATGGCTCGAGATCAATCCCCCGACGGGATCCTGGGTGAGCACATCGATCGGATAAATGGTGTCCTGCTACCCCTTACTACCTCTCTGCCATCATCGTCCCCCCACACGGTTCTAGCTATCGACCCGGCCCCCACCAACCCTGCTGCCCCCACCAACCCTGCTGCCCCCACCGACCCTGCCTCCCCCACCGACCCTGCCCCCGAGGACCCCATAGCACTTCACGAGGCCCACAACGCCCTGAGCAATGTGCAGGAGCAAGGCAATATCCAGAATTGCTGTAACTACGCCAGTTGTGGCGACTGCTATAACAACGACGGAGCGTGCGAGTGGTACCAGAACAACCAAGACTTTGCCAACTGCGCCAACTGGTTAGTCTCCCTTGCCTCAAGGGGTCTTAATGATATCCTGCTGACCAGGACTAGCCCGGGCTACTGCGACGCTCAACGCTGCTCAACAACCCTCGGTACTGGGGCTCGATGGGGATAGAATGCTTTGATTCCTGGTTCAGAGACCAATTATTGATAGCTATCTTTCACTTGTCGGTTTGGGTGGCGTTCAGACCTCGATGTGGCGAGGCCATTTCCGGTCGCTTGAATTTATGTATCGTCTGGTCTGATAATGGTTCGCGGACGTTTCTACTGTTTTAAAAGCAACTTGCATGTCATGACTTCTAGATGTCAACCCTTCCGATTTAATAAGAGAAGTCTTTCGAGTCAGGGGGGGTTGTTCCCATTCGCAAGAAGCTGTAAGTCGAAGATAATGTTCAAAAAGCTTAATAGAGAAACCAGAGGCGAAGCTTCAGGGAGTCTGACGAGATCGTCCAAGGCTTAAGTAGATGGTTTAGATAATTCTGTTCCAGTTAGAAGAGGAAATCTAATGTTCTCAAGTCCTGTCAGTTCTGGCAGATTCTCAAGCTAGAGTTGCACGCTGATATTGATCGTCCTCGGTGCCAAACCCGGCTTCAAGTCCCCTCTGTTAGCGTATAAAGCACCTCTGCCTCTGATATCTTGCCCATGTTAATATACAAAGCCACAAGATTCTGCATCAAGTTAAAGTGTCGGCACATAGGTGGCAACTGACTACCCAGAGCCTCATCATACCGCCCGCTCGTGCATCGCCGGGCCTCGCTGAGCCGGCCTGGTCCTTATAGAGGATGCCTAGATTACCGGCCGTGGAGAGCATCGACGTGTGGTCCAGCCCCCACGCCTTCTATTTGCCTCGAAGTGCCGTTCGTATATCGCCTCGGCATCCTTAAGACGTCTCTGGTCCGCATAGACTAGGACTTCCCTTCGCGCCACCTTAAAGCAAAGTCAAACCGGACCCAAACCAGGCCATCATCCCCCGCCGAACTCAACTCCAGCAGCCCCTGAATAAAAAATGTAATGTGCTGGCAATATCGCTGTTCTGAACAAATGCCAGGATCTTCGTGGCCACCTCTAATGGTGGCAGGTTGGTGGAATCGATCGTCAGACCTGGGCAGCTGTCAAAGCGAAACAGCTCGCATCGCGAGCGCAAATCTCGGAGTGCTTGAGCGTCCGTCAGCTTGGTTGTCCCACTCCTGAGGCGGTCGAAGCTGGCGACGCGCTCAAGGTTGGTGTCTGCATCGCAGGTAAGGTAGACGGGCACGAAGGGTCAGCCAGCTCTATAGGCAGCATCTCTGTACTCCGAGGCCACGTTGCGGCCTAGATCATTGTTTGACTGAAAATCTAGTCCCTTACATTAGCATAACTCATGGCAAGCTTCGTTTTGCTCTGGAAAACAAGTGCAGTCCATACCTGTGAAAACGACTAGTCTTGAGTTTGTAGCCGTATCGCATACATATTTCTCCAGAACCGCTTGACGGTAGGACTGTCGCTCGTGTTGATAGCAGGGATGGGTGCGTGGGAACTGTGCTTCGACGGGGTCAATCAGCTTGTGATTGTCCAGAACGATGACTGCTTTGTGCAATGTTGATATAGCCATGGCCACGGTGAGTTTTCCAGAGCCAGGGAATCCGTTGATCCACACAAGAGGCGCCGCCTTCGTAGTAGCCATGGCTGCTCTAATAGAGAATGGGAGTGCAGAACCACCAGTCCGAACCCTTGACAAGTGGGACAAGTGCCATTCAAGATGAAGCGCAGGCTCATAAGACGGTCGTTTGGGAATAAGGTTGATGCGACGGCAGAAAACCTAGTTTTGATTGACTCTCAGAACTTTGTTTGTACAATCACCTGATCAGCATACCATCCATGTGATTGTTCCCTTTTCCCTGACGGTGATGCAGCGGATGGCTCACCCTCACCCTTTGCCCACTCCTCGGCTGCGGCTCAACCACGACACAGCAATACGCTATCCACGCCGAGCATCGTCCGCCTTAAATTACTCTCAAAGAGCATCACGAACTACTTCATCCTCCATGGCCGTGCCGTCCTCGCGCACGATGACGGTCCCGCACTGGCGCTTCATTCTCTATGGTGGCTGCGCCGAGACTTGCCCATACGCTAGCCGCCAGCGGGACATTTCGCGAAAGCTCCAGGCCGTTGCCGGCAGGGGTAGCGACTGCACTGGTGAACGGGGTCAGGGCTAAGGACGCTGTCTTGCTGGCAGTGTCCGCTCTAGAGGATTGTCCCGTGTTTAATGCCGGGCGTGGCTCAGCGTTGAACCGTGACGGGATCCACCAGGTAGGAACCCCCAAACCGTCTCCGCACACTACTTATGTATTACGCTAACCAATACCAATTCTAATAATCTAGCTCGAAGCAGGGATCGCCGAAGGAAGTCCCACCAACCTCACCCGTTACGGCGCCGTTGGCTGTGCAGAGAAGTGCTCTCTTGGAGCAGAGGCCACATACGATGCTTGTCGGCGGGGCCGCCGATGAGGCGGCCAAGGACCTCGGCTTCGACACAGTTGCCAACAGCTATTTCACGACGCTATTCCGCAAAGCTAACTGGCAGAGCACGGCTGAGCAGGGGCACGTCAGAGCTGTCCCGGACATGGGCACTGTCGGTGCCGTCATCCTCGATAGCCACGGATTCCTGGCTGCCGGCGGGTCGACTGGAGGACCTACAGGAAAACACCCTGGTCGAATTGGCGACACGGCCGTCCTCGGTGCTGGTCTGTACGCAGACGCACAACTGAGCGTTCTTTGGTAGGTACCTGACATACGTAGCTCGCCCGCCCTAGACAGGAGGTCTTCTCTAACGTAACGTATCTATAGCAGCGGTACGGGTGGCCAGATTTTTAAACAGCTGGTAGCAGCCAACGTTGCCAAAATATCACGCCTCTGGCAGCAGCCTCGGCGATGCCGCTCGTCGGGCTTTGCGCGGCGTCTCTGCTACTGGAGCGTCGTGTGCCTTGATCGCACTCGACGCAGACGGCAACGCCGCGGTCGAGTCCACCGCCCGGCTCTTTCCGGTGGCCTGGGGATCCTCCTCGTCGGACACTCCCATCACCCGCCTTTGTCCGGCCACCATTCCTATTCTTCCATGCCATGAAATCCACAACGACGGCCAGCTCTTGATCGGGCATTCTCGCCACCCCACAACACCGGGGCACGTCCTAGCAATTGTCTAGTCTGGCTCGGACTTGTTCTCGCTTCGGCCGGACGAATTTGTCCAGGTTTTGACCATGATCTCAACAACAGCCTCTCTCCTTGGCAAGCACTACAAGGTGGGACGATGCGCACTTGTCACAGAAGGCGGCAGTTCCCTAGCGCTCTTCCCGCTCCATGGTTTAGGTGAGGAGTGGAAGCCAATCACTAGCGACTTCACCGAGTTTCACGAAAGCTTCCCGGGATACATGTCCTCAAAGGATGGACCTCGAATGGCAGCCAATAGACAGGACGATATCTGCGCCAAGATTCAAACCGTCTCTGGGTTGTCCGCACCCTTCGACAATCACTTCGATGGCGAAGAGGATGATGCCAATCTCTTTGCTCGCATCGTTCAAGGCAAGCTTCAACAATGGCGCCTATGGGAGGACGATAACCATGTAGCATTTCTCACCCCTTTCGCCAACACTCCCGGTTTCACGGTTCTCGTCCCGCGCAAGCATCTATCTAGCGACATCTTCTCCATCGACAAAGAGCCGTTTTCCAAGCTGATGATGGCAGCTCACCGTGTCGCGGGATTTCTCCGGCAGGCCCTTGGGACCAGGCGATGCGGTATGATCTTCGAGGGATTCGCGATCGACTATGCGCACGTCAAACTCATCCCCATACACGATAGCCTGGCAGCACATGATCCGGTCATGACCGTGGTGCCATTTCACGAGACGTACCAAGGTTATGTGAGCTCGCTGAGTGGGCCATTGGTCAAGGACGTCGAATCCCTCACATGTGCTACGCTCGACATTCGCGGCATGTATCGCCTCGAACCCGCCAGGTCCCCACGCTCTTGGACTTCTCCATCAAAGCATCTATCTGCTGTCCTTCAGAATCCCTGGTACAAGAACCTCTTCCTTGCTCAAGATGTCCTCTTTCACATCTCTGTCGCCTTCTTCCAGAAGAAACTTGGCTACAAATACTGTTTCCTACCCGCGATTACAGAAGCTGTCAGCTCGCCGATGGGTTTAGGCTCCGACTCGGAGCCCGTACCTATCCTTTTTCTAGGCCAGGCGACACATCTTGCAGACTCGATGCAGTTGTACCTGGAATACATGCTTCGCATCCATGACAACGTGCCTGGCGTCTACTACTTCGATACCTCTTTTCGAGGCAAGATGGCCGATGCAGTGCACCTTAACCAGTTCTGTCATGTCGAGTGCGAGCTTGTGGGCTCCTTCTCCACAGGCATGATGAAACGGCAGAGGCATATATTATCTAGCTCGTTTCCATTTTCCAGCAGGAACACGAGAAGCTGGTCAGAACCGTGGCTGGAACAACCGACCATCTGGTCGCTTTGCTTGAGAATTTCCGTTCCCATGGCGGCAAGTTCCCCCAGATTAGCGTCGATGATGCCCTGGCACTCCCCATGATGGTCGGCGACTGCTGGAAGTACGTTTTAGCATCCAACCAGACCAGAGGACGAACGCTTGCGCGCAGGGGAGAGCTAAAATTAATCGAGCATTTCGGTGGTGCCGTTTGGCTTACAGAATTTGACCATCTCAGCGGGCCGTTTTACCAGGCGTTCTTGGATGAGACCCACACAAAAGCGCGTTGCGCGGATCTGCTGCTGGGCCTAGGGGAGGTCCTAGGTCTCGGCGAAGGATACATGCTGGCTATGGACGTGGTCACAGCCCTTGAACATCACCAAGTTTCGATCGACGGATATGCGTGGTACACAGAGATCAAGAGAGAAGGCCTATCCTGACCGCGGGATGGGGCATGGGTACCGAGCGTTTCTTGGCTTGGGGTTTCCAGCATGACGACATCCGCGACATGACAATCGTCCCGAGAATGAAAGGCCTTTCCTTCACTCCCTAATCATTGTTTTAATGGCCCGGGCTGAGGTTTGATTTGACTGCTTACAAGTAGTTTCTGAACTGTCGACCCCTCTTACCCGGACAACGCCTGGCGGTGTGGACTCTCGACCGGTTTGGTCTTTCATCGTCTGTATCGTAATGCTTGGGTTTGGGAGCGGAAACAGTGCATGAAAAGTGGAAGACACTTTGCTAGTTGTTGGATTGAGTTATGTTTAGTCTATATAGGTAGATTCAGATACAACCCCAATTTATCTTCCTTCTTTCCTCCCTCCTTCATAATCTCATGATTTGATAATCCTACAATCTAGCCGCCGTTCCAACGTAGCTTTAAACAGCTCCATACCAGACAATCGCAAGATTATGGCTGACAGCAGACAAGGAACAGAGGCTATTGTCAGTCGAGGCCGGCTTTACAAGCCAATCTCAAGCTTACACACCTTTGATTCCTAGAGTGTTGCTGACTTTTCCGCAGACTGCTGATACTTTCGACAACGATTCCGCCGTCTCTGTAGTATCTCTGGGAATTCCCCTTTTACTTCTTTTTATTTCTTTCAGGAGTCACAAGTGTGGAACCTTCAGTTCCCTCCCACCTCTGTGCTCCATAACTTGCGACCCGGGAAGGCTCCACGCTGCAAGCACTGCAAGGTTGAGCCTCTTGGTGCTTCGGGTCGATAGATCTAGACCCTATGCAAGTCCGATACTAATCCGTTGGCGATCATAGCCGCTGACCGACTCCGTTGCGTCCCTTCGATCGAGTGTGATGCAATACCAGTTTGAGAACGGTCGAGCATACCATTCCATGAGCTCCGGAAGTAAGCCGGCCTATTGACCCCGTTGATGCTCTCCGCTTGCTAATCCATCCCACTCGTCCGCAGAATATGTGTTGAGGGCTTGACCCTGGGACTGTTCACCAGAACCCTCGGGTGGTCCAAGCCGAGGAGGATATCCTGATCTTTTGTGCCCAGGTCAGGGAGCTACTCAGAGACCGCAGGGTCCATGCTTATCTGCCCATGTAAGTCAACGGCCATGTTGTTATCTTTTGGTTTCGGCTCACTAACCTTTTATTAGCATAGTGGTTTATGGCAAAAAGCCTGCCTGAGAGCACAAACGCCCCGGCCACTCCTGACCCCGCGGCCGCGGAGGCGGCCCCCCCCCCCCGAGCCCTGAACCTAGGCGTGCAACCTCAGGAGGGTGCTGTTCATGACAGGAAACAACACCAAAAAAACAATGGCGAAATGGAGGTGAAACGACACACCACCGGAGAGAGCAGAGTCTGGTTGGTCGATTTGAAGGCATAAAACGTAGTGATCTCCCGATATATTATCATGCTCAACAAACCACACCTCTGATCCGTAACAGAAAGAAGGAGCATAAGACAACAAGGCCCCGATGTGGTCACCTCTACACAATTCACCCCTTTTACACCTTTTACCATGTCAACAGCGATGGTTCAGACTATGTCCGACTGTAGCACCACCTGTCAATACCTTTGACACCTGGAAGGGTTTGTACGCTAATGCTTCTCTGCGCTCCACAAGCCTCCTTAACGGGCCGAAATTAAAGGTCCGCTGTAGTGTAGGGGTTAACATTCCGCGTTTTCACCGCGGCGCCCCGGGTTCGATTCCCGGCAGCGGAGGCCCTTTTTGCATTTTTCTTTTTCTCATTGCTTCATGGATAACGTTTGTGACAACAACATTATGGACAAAATTTTTTTTTTTTGCTGTTCTTTTTAGGTGCCCAGCAAATTGATTTAGCGTATTACGACTGTTTTGGTTACCAAGGTATACTCTAGGGACTTTTACCCTCTGCCACGTCGTTTCTAAAACAATACTAAGCTCCCGAAATTACTGATTTGTTCGAGTGTCAACCATTTGAAAACTAGTCAAAACGGTCACGGTAGGCAGGGCGAATCTATCGTTTATGCATACTCAGGGAGCCTTCAAGCATTAAGGGCGGAGAACCTAGAACATTTGATATTTCTCCCCTCTTTTCCAGCTTCTTGTACGGACGGGGTCGTAATCCTGTAGCTCCCTTGGAAGTTCCCTCCTCCGCCTCCCCCTTCCCTCCCGAGCTGCTGAAGCAGTTCCCCATTGTGAAAGGCATTGGTCGATAAGCTGGGAGAAGTGACTTGAGGGTTGTGAAGATATTGGTTTGTAGGTGTATGAATGAGCATCGTTCAGCACAATGAAGCCAGGACTTGCCCTTTATAAACATAAACACCTCTAGTCTTGGGAGGAATCACATCTGCGTTGCTATTTTAGGAGTTGCCGCCGGTGCTACAACCCGCCTATGGATGCAGCAAGGAGCACCCAGCGCGCCTGCAACACGGTCATCAAAATCCAATCATGGTCCTTGTCGCCCACTACCCCCGGGAACAATTAAACAAACACGCCGGTCCTGAGAGGCCTGAGACAAGTAGCTGCTTTTCAGGGCGGCTCAAAGCTCGCAGAAGTAACGACCAGAATGATCTAAAATACGTTCGCAACTAACAACCAACAACCCATTACCAAACATACCTACAGTTCCCGGTAAGGCCAATGCCAGGTGGCAGTGCTGCCTGCCTGCGTGGGCAGTATGTTGCTATGTGCAGTATCCTATTGGTCAAACTGCCCCCGGCTCCGCTATCATCACCTGCCAGACGGCCATCTGGCATTGGTCCGTTTTCTATCTGCGTCTTCTATCCACTCTTTTCCCCGACACATACGGATCCGTAATGATCCCCATGTCAAAACGTCCGAGAAAGACGAGGCCCCATTTCAGCTCTAGACAAAAAAACCCTTCCGAGGTATCTAGGTATAGTACCTTAGGTAGGTACCTACGGTGGTGTCTTAGGTACTGCTGTGCTTTTCAGGACCCGCTTCCAGGTTCAAAAGAGGTCAGCCTCAACTCTCAAAAAACCGCCAGATGACTCAAACTTACCACCTCATCACCTCGAAAACCGCGTCTCGAGAGAGATTATCACCACTTTTCCATCCACATATCGACATGGGATCTTTATTATCCAAGAATTCAGAAGCTCAAAAACGTGCAGAAACCCTTGTTAGACAGTCAACAAAACCTAGACTGCAAGCAAATCCCATAGTTAACGGAGCAACCGTTCAGCATGGGTTTCCAAAGCCTTATAGAGATGTATGTAGGACTGTATAATACCTTGATTTTCTTGGCACAATAACAAAATAACGTGCGCGGGCTTGTGTAGCCAAAAGCAAGAGATGATCGTCTCTCATTTCCGCTAGATCAGCCAGACCTACCCTTGGTATCCGACCAAGAGCTTGCACGTCTGTTTTCCACTGCACCAAAACTTCACGAGTATGGCGGCGTTGACGTTGTGCGACTTTCCAAGTCACTTGTCATCAAGGGCGGAGAAGACGTTGCTCTGGTCGAGTCTCAGAATATGATCTTTGCTGCAGAGTCATTGCATCTGCCAGTCCCTAAAGTCCACCGCACCTTCGCAGCTGATATCCCCGGAATCTCGGATGGGCTGCCTGTGAAAGGTCATTTCATCGTGATGGACTATGTGCCAGGACCGACAGTTGAGGAGTGTTGGGACTTTCTAGATGTGAGCCAGCGGCAGTTAGTGGCCAGTCAAGTTGCCGCCATGATCGAGACAATGCAGTCAACACCCCTCAAACTACCGCCAGGACCAATGGGAGGGGCGGAAGGCCAGAAATTCGAGGGTCCTTGGTTCACAGATTACGGCGCCGGCCCCTTCGCGACGTTGCAAGACCTAGAGGATTGGTGCAACCATAAGATCGACGTCTGCATACGATTTAAACAACTACACCGGCGTGCCCCGAGGTTTAGATTCCAGAGGGTGGTGCTTACACATCAGGACATCGCGCCACGAAATCTCATCCTCGATGCGCAAGGGAAGGTGTGGATTATTGACTGGGGCGTGGCAGGAGTCTACCCTCCTGGGTTTGAGCAGGCCACCCTCCAAGCGCAGTCGTCGTGGAATGGGGAATTTGCAGAGATGGTGCTTGCGAGGCTGTCGGATCGGCAGGAACGTGTAATAAAGCAGTTTGCTATGATCGGATATGGCCTTTCGGTTGCCGCAAATCTTTAATACATCAAATTCCGTACGGTTGCAAACAGCAGGCTTTGGCCTCGTATCCCGTTCCCAAGTGTGGCCACGGCTGTTCCTGTCGCAGCCATAAGTCGATCTCATTCCATCAAGTCACAGCAGCAGAAATAATGCGCCGTCTAAGTAGATCGCTTCTCTGCGCTTGAGGAGATGCACCCACTTTCCATGGACACTAGAGAGAGGTCCTATAGGAGATCGCTAGTGGATATGACAATAGAAGGTATGATAGTCGTGATCCAGCCGCTCAAATCTCTGCAGGTGCAGATCCTAGCCATCCTGCACGCCACGGACATGGGGGCCGCACGCAACGTGGAGGGGAGGGGTGATCCTTCCGAGACTGAGAACCCCAGCATAAGTCACCTCAATGTCCTCGTGGCACCCGAAGCAACCTTCCGCGCCGAGTGGTCTAGCAATATCGACTGCGTGGTGCTAGCTGAGGTGCAGGAGGTGCTGCTGACCTTAAGGGACGGTTATCGGCCAAGATTTAGGGAGATCGGGGCTTACAGATAAGCCAAGACGGATATCCCGACAGTGCCATCTTGGCTAGAAGCATTGGAACATTCCATTGGAACATTCCATTTGAGCATTGCCAGAATCTCAGCAACATCCATCCCATCCTTGTGGCTGACTTCAATGGAAACTGCAGCATCTAGCGTAGTCTAGAACCAGAGCCTCTTTTTATTGGACTGCATAATGGTCAATTTACGCGGTCCTTGCATGATGAGGGTCTGCATCGACAGATAAACGTGTTGGAGTCGTGGTCCATTTCCTCGCCAAAAGCGGAAGGCAAGACCAGAGTACTAAGAAAATTGGGAAATACACGTGCAAGATCTTGGGTTCTGATTGGTCAATTGCCTGAGAAAACTGGAAAGGCTTGGCCTTTCTTGGCGACGGCTTTGGAGACTTGGCCTTTCTTGGCGATTGCTTTCCTATCTTGGCAACATGCCAGCTCTGAGCCCCACGTGCTCTGATGTTGAATTCTGATTCTCCCAAACTGAATGGCCTCCCACTCTCTTTTGCATTTTCCTCATAGGATTATTTGTACCCCCGCGTGGGCGTGTTGAAGCACTCAGCCTCCAATGATTAATGGCCGAGGTAATTAGACCCTAACTTCCACCCTGCGGCTCTTCTGGGAACAATAGGCTCGACATTAAGATCGAAGGGTAGGCTGCTAGATTAGTCGTTCAAACTTGCAAGGGGACCCAGTGTCTCGTGCATGGACTTTGTTTTCTGGGGAAACCGTGCAACTGTAATCAGGGCAAATTCGATCGACGCTCGAGATGACCATTCGAGACCCCCACGAGCCCATTCCGCGATTACAATAATAGGGATTGCCAAGATCGATATGCCTGCAAAGATGGGACTGGATGCTACCTCCACGGCTCTGGCCTTTCGTCCTGACCGAGAGGTCGCATGGGCACGAATCTCCACATGCGCCAGCCATGGAACCGGATCTTGCATGTGAGTGGCCTTCCAGAAACAGCTCCTGATGCGCCAAGCCGTTAATTCAGCAAGGAAGAAACAAGCGGCACACCAACCAGGCAGTCGGCCGGGCCCAATAGTCCAAGGCCCACATATCTCGCGCCTGGGAAGAGGCAAAGTCCTTGCTGGGAATACACATGCCTGAGAGTCAACCACACGCCCACGTGCTCACTTACGGTCGAGCCTCAGATACCCTTAAGAAGGGCAGATCCAGCCCGATATTGAAACCAAGCTCTCTCTTGTCCACCACCAGCAGACAAGCCCGCCGCTCAACCGTGAGTCTTTCGAACCCCTGAAGGGATAGGACGAAAGCAACCAAACCGCAAAGATGCAGCTGCACCAGTACGACTATCTGATGGCCATTGGCACCATCTTCGCATTCCTGGATGCGTGGAACATTGGTATGGCTTCCTTCCAGCTTCGCACCTTCTGCACCCATTCCTCCCGCCCTTGATGCTGACAAAGGGAAATAGGTGCCAATGATGTTGCCAACTCGTGGGCCACATCAGTCGGTTCCCGATCCGTCACCTACCTCCAGGCCATGGGCCTCGCCTCCATCATGGAGTTCTGCGGCGCCTTGGGTGTGGGAGCCCGCGTTGCCGACACCATCCGCACCAAGGTTGTCAAGGTCGATGAGTTCAAGAGTAACCCGTCTCTTCTCATGCTCGGCATGGTCTGCGCCGTCATTGCCTCGTCCACTTACCTCACCATTTGTACTCGAATCGGTCTGCCCGTCTCAACCACCCACTCCATCATGGGCGGCGTCATCGGCATGGGCATTGCCGCCCTCGGCAAAGATGGTATCACCTGGGTCCCGAAAGCCGGCGGCACCGATCTCATCAACGGCGGTGTCATCCAGGTCTTCCTGGCCTGGATTATCGCCCCTGGCTTGTCGGGAATCTTTGCCGCCATCATCTTCCTGATTACCAAGTACGGCGTCATGCTTCGCAAGAACCCCGTCTGGAAGGCCTTCTTCATGGTGCCGCTATACTTTGGCCTTACCGCCGGCCTTCTTGCCATGCTTCTCATCTGGAAGGGAGCGAGCACCAGGATCAATCTCACGGATGCCCAGATTGCCGGATGCATCGTCGGTGTCGCTTTCGGTTGGGCTCTCATCATTGCCACCTTCCTCATGCCGTGGCTCTACCGCGTCGTCATCAAGGAGGATTGGCAGCTCCGCTGGTGGCACATTCCCCTCGGTCCCCTGCTGCTCCGCCGCGGCGAGGTTCCCGACCCCCCCGAGGGTGCCGAAGACCCGATCCGCGACTTCTACGAGGGCCACTTGACCAAGGAGGAGCTTGACGCCCGCCGTGCTCGTGAGGCCGGATCCGTTGTCGGGGGCGAGCCCAAGACGGAGGGCAAGACCGCGTCGGACGGCATCATCTCCGCCAACGGCTCCGACACGGACCGCGAGGAGACCGAGCCTCCCAAGAGGAAGGGCCTTATCGGCCCCAAGCCCGAGGGCAAGCTCCTCAGCGGCGCTGTCATCTTCTGGTACTTCAAGTGGGCCTTCCTCCGCGGCGTCGATGTCGACGTCGTCAACATGCAGAAGCGCAAGGATCTTCTATCGGGTGATGTCGAGGAGCTCCACGCCCACGCCGCCCACTACAACAACAGGGCCGAGTTCATGTACAGCTTCCTCCAGGTCATGACCGCTGCCACCGCATCCTTCACCCACGGCGCCAACGACATCTCCAACGCAATCGGTCCCTATGCTACCATCTTCGAGATCTGGAACACCGGCGTGCTCCCCCAGAACGGGAAGTCCGACGTTCCCACCTGGATTTTGTATGTCTCTCCAAGCCCCGAAGGGGAAACGGGTCAGACGCTAACATGTTTGCAGGGCCTTTGGTGGTGTCGCTCTCGTCATTGGTCTGTGGACTTATGGTTACAACATCATGAAGAACTTGGGTAACCGTATCACTCTCCACTCCCCATCTCGTGGTTTCTCCATGGAGCTGGGTAGTGCCATCACCATCATCATCGCTACGCGTCTGAGTAAGTCCCCCCCCTTTTCTTCCCTCTCCTGAATGCCTATAATTCAGCGATGCTAACGTCTGACCAAAACAGAGCTCCCCGTCTCCACCACCCAGTGCATCACTGGTGCCACCGTCGGCGTCGGTCTCTGCTCGGGCACCTGGAGGACCATCAACTGGCGTATGGTTTCCTGGATCTACATGGGCTGGATCTTCACCCTCCCCATCTCCGGCATCATCTCCGGCTGCTTGATGGGCTTCATCATCAATGCTCCTCGCTGGGGTCTTACCAACTAGTGTTTCGTGGGAGGGAGAAGGGTTTAGTGGCTTCATAGATGGGGAGAATCGGGCACGTCTACACTGCATGGGGAGCTTCATATTCACACCTTCAATTATTTAAATACCCCTTACTAGTTTACTTGTCATTATTATATTATAGACTGCCAACGAACATTTCTCCAGACAACTGTGATGATGCCGCGGAGAGTGCACCACGGTGCCAGCCAACCTTGATAGTATTGGAAAACACGCGACGGTGGACTGAGGCAAGCTGAACCCTGACCCCCTTCCAGACGGATGCATCAGATAGGGGTAGATTAGGTCTAGCTCAGACCAAGTACGACCCTTGCCCTTGCCCTGAACGTGCAATATTGCGTCAAATGGTTCCGGCACGGGAAAAACGGGGGAAATAATAAGGCATAATAAGGTGGAAGCTAAGCCCTTCTTATTCGGCCGAACCCGGACCAAGGACGTTTCCCGGGGGTTCGGCCAAGGCTTAGTGGACCCCAAAAAGGAAATGACTACCGCAAATCCGGAGTCCTCATTGGTTACCGATCGCATTTCGAGGGCCATTGCCCGCTTTCGCCGTCGGCCGAACGACGGATAGTTAAGGTTTAGCTGCATCGTTGAGCAGTCGATACCATGCAGGGGAGATTTAAATTGTTCGATGTAAAAGATTGTGTGTGTCTCTCTTCCATGTGTCCTCCTCCTGCTTGACTCTTCCCACCCCAACCTGGGTTCGAATGTGATATTTCCACCAATCTTACCAGCTACAACGACCCGCCTACGAGTTTTTCGGACCCACCGCCCTCATCTCAGTCCCCCTTGGATACACCCCAACACCCGACGACACCCCCCATCACCCCGCCCCCGATGCCCAAGCAAGTCGTCATCCTCGGCGGCGGCATCGCCGGCGTAGCCACGGCGCACAAGCTGCTCAAGTACACAGTCCCCAAGGCCAAGGACCTCAAAGTCGTCCTCGTCAGCGCCTCCTCGCACCTATACTGGAATATCGCCTCCGTCCGCGGCATTCTGCCCGACGAGATCCCCGACGACACGCTCTTCCAGGCCCTCGAGCCCGGTTTCGCCAGGTTCCCCGCCTCACAGTTCGAATTCATCCTCGGCACCGCCACAGCCCTCGACCCGACCACCAAAACCGTCCAGATCCAGCCCAACAACAACGACGGAGGAGAATCCCCCCGCACCATCCCATACACCCACCTCGTCATCGCAACAGGCTCCTCCACCCCGCCCGACCTCCCCTTCAAGCCCCTCGCCACCCACGCCGCCACCACCGCCCGCCTGCACGCCCTCCGCGCCTCCATCGCAGCCGCATCGTCCATCGCCGTCGCCGGCGCCGGCCCGACGGGCGTCGAGGTCGCCGGCGAGCTGGGCGCGCGGTACGGGCGCTCCAAGCGCATCGTCCTCGTCGCCGCGGGCGAGCACGCCCTGCCGGGGTGTTCAGCGTCTGTCGGGCGGGCGGCCGAGGCGGCGCTGGAGGGGCTGGGCGTCGAGGTTGTGCGCGGGGCGAGGGTGGTGGGCGTCGCCGCAGCCGCCGAGGGGGAGGAGGAGAAGAAGAAGACGACGCTGACGCTGTCTAGCGGCGCGACGCTCGCGGTCGACCTGTTCCTGCCGACGTACGGGGTGCGGCCCAACACGTCGTTTGTGCCGGCGGAGTTGCTGGACGGGGGCGGGAGTGTGCGCGTGGGACCTACGTTGCGGGTGCGGGGGCTGGATGACGTGTGGGCGCTCGGCGACGCGGCTGATGTCGAGGCCAAGGTGGCGAATGTGGTCGAGCCGCAGGTTGTTCACCTGGCGGCGAACCTGGACGCCGTGTTGGCGGGGACAGGGGCGGGGGTGGCTGAGTACAAGCCGTCTGGGAGGTTGATGATCTTTGTGACGGTGGGGAAGAAGAAGGGGACGGGCCAGATGGGGTGGTTCAAGGTGCCGGGCTTCCTCGTGGCGATGGTCAAGGGTGGGAATTTCTTCTTGCCGAGGCTGCCGGACATTGTGGTGGGGAAGAGTCTCCTTCATTCGGCGATCTAGAGTGGAACTGCGCAGTTGTATTTGGGGGGGGAGGGGGGGTGGGAGGGATGAATTTCGCAGAAAGTTGGGAATCTTGGGGCGTTTTCATGCTGGACACGCATCTATAATATACTCTACTATGCAGACTATGCAGAATCCAAGCTCCAATATCCAGTAGCCCCTTGCCCACGTCTATCCTTCTATTGACCTTCATAAGTACCCCTCCATGCGCCATCCCGGGCCTCTTGGACCAGAACAAGGGAAATACGTCGTACACCGTGTATATGTTGAATCCGAATGTTACGGGACCAACAGCCCAGAAAACCATCCCGTCGGCTACTCAGACGGCCTGTCTCGAAACTCCGCTCCAGGAGGGCGGGTATCGGTCTTGCGCAGCGAGAGGTGGTGCGTGTACGTGACCTCTCCCTTGTCGCCCGTCTCGGTCCACCAGAGGTTGACAGGCAATGTCTCCCGGCGCGTCCGGATGGGGCGATGCTCGCGGTGTAGGCTCATCATGACCAGAAACCAGATGGCCAACGCGGGCGTCAGGACCCTCTCGCCCGACGCGTCCCAGGGGATGGACCGCCACTCCGCCCTGCACTGGTGGCTGGTCTCGGGGTCGTCGGAGCGGAAGAACCGTACCACGACCACCTCCTCGTTGGTCAGGATGAAGGCGTAGCGCGTGTCTCCGTGGACGCCGTACGAGGCGACCTGGCGCATCGGGTTCATGTTCTTATCTCCATTCAACAGGAATATGATGTCGTCCGAGTGCCACGCCTGCGCCAGCCGGGTGCAGCTGACGACTAGGTTGGCCCGGGGGTTGCTCTCGGCGAGAAAGCTCAGGCTGCTCTGGAACCTGGGTTCGCCCGTATGGACCAGCTGATTCGACATGATGGTGACCGAGGGGATGTGGCTGGGCGGCGAACTCTCGCGCAGAACGCTAACACCCTCGACGATGGGGGCGTGGAGGAGCGTCTCCAGATAGGTGGAGCTGACGGACTTGACCTCCGATTTGTGCTGGACGTTGTAGCTGGATGGCAGGGCTGCGCCTGGGAACTGCCCCTCGCCGACCGGTCGGCGGAGGATGTGGCTGAAGGCGTTGTATAAGTTCACAAAGGTGAAATCCTTCCAGTGCGAGAGGTGAAAATGGGTCATGTGTTCCCACTTCGTCGAATTCTTGTTCACGGCATGCTTTGAGTTCTCCCGGAGCACTGGGTGGGGTCGGGCCAGCATGTCGTGGACGGAACCCGGGATCAATGGCATCGTGGCTGAATTAGGGCTCGACGACTGAGGAGGCAATGGCGAAGATATCGATAAATTGGAGCAGAGTAGCTGACAGAAATGTGTAATGATGATTTGGTTTTTGTAGAAGATCATGGACAAGGCGGCCGAGCCAAATTCACGGCAGGGACATGGTGCTATATACTTGACGTCTGTCAATCCTTCGCCATGTTTATCGTCACTGCTCCAAAACACCTCGTCTCCCCTCCTCAAAACGGTTCTCTGCTCATGATCCGCGATGCTCCATTCTAGTCTGTCGTAGGCAGTCACCATGAGGCGTGGAGATAAAGAAATCGGGCGGTACGAGAACGCCATGCCTTAGGTCGAAGCAGAATAACGAGAAAGGGGCTGATTTGTGGGATTTCTATCATAAATTTAACTTGAATCCTTTATTATTCAGGTCGGTGCTAATATTCTTGTCAATTTCTGCCCCCTAATATACGGACGCCGGTATCAGGCACCCAAAGACTTGGCCGCCTCTTGCAAGCCACCTGAGCCCCATACCAATCTCCGGACGCAGATGCGCTGGCAGCTTGCAACGCAAGAGAGCGTCATGTTGGCGCGGCGACCCCACCGGGCTGGCATTTGGGAAAGATTCTGTTTTGTGTTAGTCAACCTCAAACCCCCTTTGCCAATACTAGACAATAAAGAACTGCGCTTCGTAGGGCAAAGCAGTGGGTTCCAACCCATTCCACGGGAACCTGTGGTAGCTTTGTTGTCCTCGTAGCTAGTTCAATGTTGAGCCTGTGAAATGTTATTTCTCTTTGTCTAGTCTCCCCCCCCCACCAACGTTTCGTGGAATCTCGTCGAACGGGCCTGGGTACTGAAAGCCCACACCCTTGGGCAGCCCTTAAGGTCGCTTCCACCCACGTTTCATACACTTTGACATGTCATGAGTTTTGCACCAGAAGTTCCGTATCACCCGTGTCACGCCAGGTCTTAGTCAATCCCCAGCGAGTCTGCCACAAACCTCTCAAGGCCGCACACCCTTTCCATTATTCTTTCTTCTTGTCCCATCACCAACCCCTCGTTGCAATGCCTGCTCTCAAGCCACTCCCTGACTGCGAAGGGCCAAAGCTGGAGCCTTGCCCCTTCGATGTTGTCGGTCCTGACTGCCAATGGCTCGCGGTTATCGAGGATGGCCACCATAGTGCTGTGGTAAAAGCAGCTATAAAGGGCAAGCTGTACGCTATCAAGATCGTAAGTGCAGTCTTCCAGCGCGCCGGTTGCCAGATGTGCTGATGTATTGTCTAACTAGTTTTTCCCCGAATCCCTCAAGATCGTGCTCGGAACTGAAGAGATAGACCACTTTAAACCCTTGGTGGGAGAGAAAGCCATGATCCTGCATCTGGCCCCGTTCAATGCAGAGTGTCGCGCCTTTGGCCGTCTCAAGGAGATGGACTGCGAGCACGCCGCAGTCAGGGTATACGGCTACGTCAACATCGACATGACCGAGGCGGTCGAACAGAAGATCCGGGGCGCGATGCCGGGCCGCTTCGACGATCCGAGATCGATGTACGCCATCGAAGGCGTCGACCTCGTGCTCTGTAGGGTCGGGAACACGGGCCCGCCTATCATGGCCATCGTGAAGGACTGGATCGAGGCAGCCCCGGATTTTCGGACAGACATGATCGCCCAGGGCAGGTCGTTCCGGCGGATCCTGAAGAACCTCCACAAACTCCACAGATGTGGCATCGTCGTCCGCGACATATCAGACGCCCAATTCGTCAACGGGGTGCTCGTCGATCTCAGCCACGCTCGGACGACGCCGCACGTCTTCGGCCCGGACTCGGGTATCCGGCCGGCCTGGGAGTGGGCGAGCATGGCGGCCTACGATCTGTACAGTCTCCAGGAGATGATCGACTGGTGGAACGAAACGGAGTGGTCCTGGATACCCGGCGACGCACCGGCGCCGAAGAAGTGCACGCTTCGCGCATACGGCGACCCCGAGGGGGTGGTGCTCGACCGCCTCCGGCCGCGGGCCCGGCTGGAATGCCAGCGACCGTATCTGAGGATGATAGACCTACATGACTATGAGTATCTCCAAATGACCCATCCGCCGCGTTACGACCCGGCTGCATTTGACTGGAGGAAGGCGGTCGAGAGGAAGAAGAAACGCGGCGCGCAGGCCAAGCCATCGCCATCGTCTACAGGGCGTGTTCAGTCGCGGGTGAGGCTGGGCCGGAAGCGAGGTCATGCATCGACGGGAAGGACGAGGAAGGCAGCGGCTGTCAAGCAGGAAAATGGCGTGAGAGTGGAGGAGGAATGAGCCCGAGCATCACCCGTTTGCTGTCATTGGTTATTGTATTAATTAGTTATTGTCTTGGTCCTTTGAATTCTCACCGCATTTTCCCTTTCAGACGTCCTCTCAAATCGCTCTTCCAGTCCTTTCACTTTTCTTTGGCCTGTCTACAGCAAAAACTGGCGATAATAGGGTGTTCATTCCCAGGGGATATTGGAGAAGCAAAGAAATAAACGTCGGTGGCAAAGAAAAAGCGAATTTGAAGGGAAGGCCAATTTTATTCCAGGCTCTAGGTAGGTACGCAGATATCTTTCTGCCAATCGCGTCTCCTTGCATGCCGAGTAACCGCAATGAGTGCCTTCCGAACCCAGCAATGGGTGGATTGTTCCTGCTAGAATGGGATGGATCGTTCCTGCTAGGGTGCACAGATACCTATCTGCTTAGGCACCCATCCCCCCCTCTATCTTCAGCTCCCCCTCCATCCCAAATGCCTGTTCATTCTTATTCTCAGCCTCATTCTCGTCCTCAACGAGAGGCAGGCCGTCGACTTCCGCACCGGGACCTCCCTCGGCGGGCATCTCGTGCTGCTTCTGCTCCAGGCCCTGCTCCTTCAGGACGCCGCCTTCCGCCCCTCCACCACCGGCCGAGACGGGCCCGACGATGAGGCTGGTCGGATCGGCTCGAAACAGCTCGGCAACACCCTCGGGGACCTTGCGGAGGTAGATGGTCGTCGTCTCGAGAACGTTGTGTGGGTCGAACGGCTTGACGGGATGGTATTCTTTCATCATGGCTCGGGTGCGCGGCGAGTCGGGGTTGCTGTAGTGGAGACTTTGATTGGGGGACGTCGTGACGAAGGGTTAGCAACAGTGCTGGAAACTGGGGAACCTGGATATAAGTAGGTAGGTAAGGGCTATATATTCAGAGAAATGCAACTCACGGCTCAGGCATGCACTGCACCCCAGTATTGTAGACCTCGAAGTCATCCACATCGTCCCGCAAGGCCGGACGCACAATCATGGGGGGGCCGACGTACGGCCCGTTGTTGTCGGCCTTCGGCATGGAGAAGTCGGCGATGATCTGGCGCAGCGGCACCTCGCTGATGCCGCGCTCCACGACGACGCTGCACTCGTCGACCTCGAGGAGCAGGCGGGCGTCGGAGGCTATGACGGCGACGCCGAGGCGCCGGAACAGCTCGCGCGCGACCGGGTCGCGCGACAGCGGCGTCTCACTCGTGCTCTCGGAGACGCACACCGGCATCGTGTTGGCGCTGTCGGGCGCCGGGCTGCTGTTGGCCTGGACGAGGCGCGAGAAGGCGATGGCGAAGGCGAGAACCGTCAGGTCGGCCTCGGCCCACGTGGAGCAGACGCGCATGATGTCGCTATCCATGAAGATCAGGACCTTGCGGAACATGTCGACGTTCGGCGTCAGGCCGGCCACCAGCATCGCCGCGTTCAGTTCCTTCCACTCGTCGCTCTCCGTGGTGGCGCGCACTCGTCGCTCCACATCGGCGTGCACCTGCTCGACGGTTCGTCGTCGGTATTCCGTAATTAGCTCGGTGGGGTTGACTGGCAGGACGGGCGTGGGTGGCAGGTCAGTCCGGATGCACCAGTTAGTGACGTGCGCGGGTAGGAAGGCCTTTCGGGCGTCCCAGTCTCTCTGGTATGGCATAGCGAGACCCTGAATGGAGGTGAACTTGACGATGGGGGAGAGGCTGTGATGCTTTATTAGCCCGACGTTCGGGACGGAGGCGAGGCCGGGAAAGGGTGACGGGAAGAAAACTTACTACAACATGGACAAGTTGTTCACCACGTCCACGACCGTCCCCCAGGGAACCTCCAGCAAATGCTGCTCCCCATCTAGGCCGGGAACATTGTATTCCTCGGTCTGATAGCGGACCCCGTCAATTAACTGGAACGCCAGGTAGTTGCTGATCTGAATCTCCAGATACTGGATGGTCTCCTTGGTGTAGAAAGGGACACCGTCGCAGTAGAGCTTCCAGACTTTGTCGCCGACTGTCTTGGCGTAATTGGCATCCCACGGAAGCATGCCCTGGCGCGGGAACGGATCCCACCAGCGACGAGCTTGAATGAAGCAATGCGGGAACCTAGCCCGCGCCTCGGCGAGAGGATCCTTCGCTTCTCCCATCTCGGTGGTTCGATCGGTGGACCGGTCCTGAGGCGACTGTGAGCGACGGGAATGGTGTAACGAAAAAGTGTACCGCAAGAAACGCAAGTAAAAGGTGTTACGAAAGTCGCAACGAGAGAGCGCGCAGAAAAGGTGTACTGCAAGGGCGTACTGAAACGGTGCACCCAAATGGCGTACCAAAAGGGCGTACCAAAAGGAGAGGAAGTCCACTCGCAAAGGACGAGAGGAGGAGAGGAAGTCCACTTGCAAAGGAAGAGAGGACGAGGAAAGAATTTATGCACCTCGAGGTAGAAGGATAGGGATCCTCGTCAAGGGATTCACGATATCCCCCAGTGATTCAGTTGGTGGCTTTGTGCCGTCTTAATCACCGAGAACTTATCGACAAGTCTTTAGTTAGAGTACCTAGGTATGTCGCTGATTCCCGTCTCTAGCATGGGAGCCATTATTGGATTCTAGATACATCCAGAGGTTCACATGAAGCCTTCAGGGCCAACCCTAATCTTCCACACCTAGTGCGTATAGCGTTGCTCAATCACACACTCACTGACCATTCGAAGGGACGTCAAATCTAGCCATCATTAACCAACTAAAGCCAAACAGAGAGCAGCAAATGCGCATCCGTATGCCCATCCAAAGTTTGCGTCAGGCTTGGTCATCTTCTTTGTCTCGTCTCCGGGCACCCAGAACACCCAGTCTCGATGACGCAGCAGCCGACTTCTCTCAGTCAGACAGGGCGGGGATACCTGACAGCTCATCCCGGTCCTCTCTCTCGAGCTCCCCGAGCAGCGGCAACTCGCCCCACCGGCGGCCCACCTCGTCCGCGTCGGCGTGCCTGTCCATCCACCTCAGCAGCTGCTCAAGGTAGCCCGACCAGCGCAGCCGCATGCTGTCGTCGGTCGCCTCGATCGCCCTCGTCGCCACCACGTGCGCCTCGTCCAGCCGGCCCGTGCGGTACAGGAACTCCATCAGCCGCAGGTGGCACCGCTGGTACACCAGCAGGTCCTGCTGGGGCCACCGCGCGAACGGCAGGGCGTCGTGCTTGTGGAGCAGGTTCGTGATTGCGTTCCGGGACCGCGGCACAAAGTCCTCCTCGTAGGCGTCGAAGCGCCACTGCAGGTGGAGGATCTGGTCCTCGAGGAAGAGGACTGTCGGGTCGGCGGCGTCGGTCGCCTCTCGGAGGAGCAGCCCGAAGTCCGAGATGAGATGTGACGCCGCGGTAACGTCGGCCCCGCCGCTGTCGGAGTTTTCCTTGGCTACCTGCACTTGATACCTTGCGCTGAGCACGTGGATGTCAATAGGTCCGCGAAGTACCCCAAGGTCGTCTACCCAGACCTGAGAAAGAGTGCCGAGGCAGAGGGGGAGGCATGCGGGGAAAGCGTTGCCGAGGTCCTTGAGCATCCCGACAATCAATGTAAGTGGATGGTTGGGCAGCCGCAGGCGGCAGAGGTCAGTGAGGTAAGTGAGGTAAATCATGAGGATATCGAGACGACCGTGCCGCAGAATGTAATCTGGCATTTGAAGGCAAAGGCCGAACGAGGTTTGTAGGCATATGCCATTGAGTGATTTGCCAATGTCGCGGAAGATGTGCCGCAAAAGCCGTCCGCCAACGTCACACTGCTCGCCTCGCAGTTTGTCAAGCGCAAGGTCCAACAGCCCGACGAGATGCCATGAGTCGCAGCCAATGGTAAACTCTTTCGCCTTCGTGGGGACTGCTTGGGATCCATTGTGAGAAGCCTTGAGGTACTCTCGGACAGTCAGCATCAATCCACATCTGAGGCTCGTGAGGTCATCTGGTTCGGGCGAATAGCGGGTCAGACTCGGAGAGTCGGTTCCTGGACGGCGGTTTATTGCTGAGGTGTTGGGAGCTATGAACTTCATATCTGCTCCGTCCGAGCGTGGGGACGGGCTTCGTTTCGATGCTCGGAGCCTCTTGCAAGACTTGTCGAACGCCCCCCGGAATGCCTGCCCGGTCGGCGGAGCGCCGGAGGAGCTCTGGATGTTGTATTTCGTCCACTTCCACTTCGCGAATTGGCGCTTGTACATGCGGCTTCTGTACGAACCTGCAGTTTAGTTAACATGTCTCATGCGGTAGTCTGGCGGTACTGACGTCGCTCTGAATTGATATTCCTCCGCCATAATGTCCATGACATCCTGGAGCCTCTTGTTTTGCCTGAGGTAGAGATCCTCAATCGCCTGCTTATGCAGCTCCCAGTGTTCCGAAGTCCGAGGGACAAGAACACCGCCATGATGTGATTTCGGCGCTGTGTCGACTACAGCAACCTTGGAGATCGGGATAAGTTGCCTGGCGGCTTCACCCTCCGCAACCATCCACGACCCTGGAGCACCCTTGCCGGTCATTTGCCAACCTTTGCCTGCAAACGTGTAGAGAACTGCCCGGACAGCGTCATTTCCACAGAGCGCATCGTCCACCGAGCCGCTACGGTGCACCATGGAACTCTTTGTGCCAACAACTAGCCACGTAGGAATTTCCTGGTCAAGCTGCTCCGAGGTTCCGTCGTTTCCGATGGCCGTCAATCGTGGTACTCGGGTGGAATTTGCGGGATTTAGGTAGTCCCAAGGGAACACACGATGTCACTGCCGCAGGAACATGGAATAGCCAACGGCGGGAGTCGCAGGCCGAGGCCGCGATCACCTCTATTATGAGGACACGGGAGTTGCCAGCAACGAGAGGAGGTGACGAAGGGGGTGCAAAAATATTACGACGTGGAATGGAGGGGAAGAACGGGTGGTCAATTACGACAAGGCTCCCCGGGCAGGCTGATTTAAGCTCCTCCTAGTCGAGTGTGTGCCGACCCTTCTGCATGCTGATGAAACGGTTCTGTCCAATCAGCAACTGGTCGACATCGCTAGCAGTGTGGGTGGGTCTCGATGCTTCGGCACAACAGGGGCGGCAACAGGGGGACGTGATTTGTCTCGTTATCGAGAATGACGATTTACCCGCCCAGCTGTATGCATTGCTAATATTTGCTGCATGAAACATGCATCCCTACGGAGCAGACGACGCAAGTGGCAGCCTAATCCCCACTTTCAAGATACTGGCATGGAAATATTTGGTTACAGTAGGTAGATCATGAATATATATATCATGGAGCAAAAGGGTAAAAAGAAAATTTGAGAAAATTTGAAAATAAAAGTAAAAAAAATTGAGTGGTTGTAAAGGATCGAATGTCTGCCTTCAGACGAGACCCAGAGGTGGCTGTCATAGGTGCGGCGGTCAGCATCACATCCGACCATTACACCACTCCCTGTTGTTATTGTACCAAGTCACTTAATTTCTTTATCTACCTAAGGTACCCTTGATCTGCGAACCGGCAAGGGACATGTCAGCACTCCAGAAGTGAATCACCTCCCATGAAGGTGCGAAGCTCAACTACCAATTTGGGCCAATGGCAACAGAGACCTATTGTAGCTACCAATATAGACCAGTAACACTCCACAGAACCAGTGTTCTGTTGGTGCTATGATACTCACTTTGCTTCAAACAATATCCATCAAAGCACAAGTGCCCCTCCCCACCCATCCTTACTCTCTAACGCATTCAATAGTAGCCACATCCGTCCCCGGGTTTCTGTAGACCTCCCGAATCTTCAGCTGAGCCTTAGAAACGATCGCCTGGAATGCCGCCAGCGACCTCTCCTTCCCGCCAATAGTGGCCATGAAGAAGTCAGCCACGGCAGCGAAGGGCGACGGCGGCGAGGCCAGCACCTGCTCCACGATGAGCAGCCTGCTATCCGACGCCATGGCGTCCGACAGCCGCTTAAGAATTGCCACGCACTCCTCGTCGCCGTAGTCGTGCAGGCACCGGCGGATGTAGTATATCAGGGCTCCTGGCAGGGGAAAAGGACAAGTTAGCGAAACAGGGACACGCACACACCGGCTTCCAATAGCAAGACATGCAAACATACCTTTGACCGGCTGCTCGGCATGGAAATCCATCCCCACCATCCTCACGCCCCTCAGCTCAGGATCATCCATCCCCCTCGCCCCCTCGATAACAGCAGGTAAATCCTCCAACACGCACCTCCCTACCTCCAGCCCCGGCGTCTGGGCGCGAATAGCCTTGATAGCATGCCCCTTCCCCCCGCCAACGTCGACAAGCACGGCCCTGTCGTCGCCATTCGCGGCCGCGGCCCAGGCAAAGTCGTAGCTCCCCACGATCGGGTACTCCTCCGTCAGCGCCCCCATGCCCAGCATGAAGGCCCTCATCCGCGCGGGCTCGCGGTTCATGACCTCCCACACCGTCGAGTCGGGCGACCCGGCCGCGAAGGCGAAGATGGTGCCGTGCCGGCCCGTCGGCTCGGCCAGGCCGTGCTCGTCGAAGTAGGCGGGCATGGCGAGGAGGGTGGGGAGGTGGTCGTCGAAGCTGTCGAGGGGGAGTTGGCCGGTTTAGCGTGGGATCTACTTGCTGGGAAGGGGAGGGGGGGGGGGGGGAAGCTTGGGTGAAGACACTTACAGGAGCTGGGTCATGGCGCGCGCCGCTTCCACGGTGGCGTACGGCTTAGATCTCTGCGTGTGGGCGATCTGGTCGGTCCCGACCTGCTGCAAGAGGCCCGTTGAAGCGAGCACGGAAGCAAAGCGGGCTTTATAATTGTTCATACAAAATTTAGCAAATCAGTCACCCCTCACCGCGGGCATGACGTGACCAACTCACCTATGAGAGACACATCAGCATCGAGCTTAGATGCGAGCTCCTGGAAGGTGATTGGCCGGTCGAGGGGGATCTGCTCGAAAGCCTTCCACTTGATGAAGAGGCGGCTGGCGGCGAGCTCGCAGATGCTCGCCGACTGGTCTACGAATGCGTCGGTCGGCTGCTTTACCGAGTTGAGGATCGACTTTGTCGCCTCGATGAGCTTGGCGCGCTGCTCGACATCGGACTCGAGGCCAAGCGTCGTGTCGCTTTGGATCTCCCTGGCGATGTTGTTTAGCTGCTCGGTCAGAGCCTTGATCTTATCCGAGGCCATCATTATAGTTGTTTAGGGGGGTTAGAGGAGGGTGCTGTCCGGGGTGTGTCAGAGGAATGGTTGCAATTTTAGTGGGAGCGTGGTTGGCTTGGTGTGAGAGAAGGAGAGAGAGGAAGAAGCAACAAGTCAATCAGAATATACCTTCTTGGTGCAATTTATAGGCACCGTCCCTCCCTCCGGCCTGACGGTATTTGTTCGGCCTCGGCCGGATTGCCGTTTATGTCCGGCCGGACCGCTCCGGGTCCGGCGAAACTCCGGGAGCGCCGGATCATAGCCCCGAGTGGGTCGCCCGCCTGGAGCACATCGAAAATTCCTTGCCATGATTCCTTGTAATGGATAATGATTGTCTGGTAATTTAGGAAGTTGAGAGTTGACGGAAACTGTCTTCCTTGCTACACAATAAATACAGACTTGACTTGTGGTCAACATTTGGCAGTAAAACAGCCTAAGGTAGGGCCAAGTCTCTTCCAGACAGGAAGGCATCTTTTTGATTTGGCATGTCATAACAACCTAACCTAAGGTGTGGGAATTGTCCTTGTCAGGGAATTTTAAGGTGCGAACCACATGATAAGAGAAATACGGAGGATTGCTCAGGCGTTCCCAATGCAATATGTGCTTAGATGCTTGATGCTTCCTAGGCCTACTTTCCAGGTTATCCTGTCATGATATAAACTCGTTCGAATCATGCTTTGAGCCCCCTTAATGGCATTTATCTACGCTGTTAACTTGAGACCCTGACCCATCCTGGATCTCTCCCTGCCGGCAATAACAAGACGACACAATGGGCACATCCGCAAAGGCCAGCGCCGTCTTCAGCTGCTGCTGGATTATCCGGGCCTCGCCATGCAGCCCGAGCCTAACCGCGCACTCGTGGTACCCGTGCAGCGCCCAGATGTTATTGGGATGATGGCGCGCCCGGAACAGCGTGTCGTTCAGCCCCAAGTCGGCGCGGTAGACCTCGGCCGCCTCCCCGACGCGGCCCTGCTCGAGCAGCAGCGCGGCGAGGGCGTGGCGCGCCGGCTGCATCCAGGGCCAGGGCTCGCTGTAGACGAGGCCGTCGTCGAGCTCGACGGCGCGCCGCAGGAGCGCGAACGCCGCCTCGACGTCGTCGCCGCGCCGGTACTCGAGCTCGCCGTCCAGCATCGCCTCGGCGACGGCGAGGATGTCGACGCACCGGTTGGGGTAGTCCATGCGCGTCTCCGGGACGCGCGCCTTGGCCGCCAGGAAGAGCTCGCGCTCCTCGGTCGATTTGGCTACATCACCGGTTGCGGCCCAGGCGACGCCCTTGGCGTAGTGCAGGGTCGCCGTGGTGACGCAGTAGAGGTCTTGATCCAGCGGGAGCGGGAGGTCCTTGATGTCCTGCCACCGGCCGAAGCGGATGAGCACGTGGGGGCGGACGGCGCAGAAGACCTCCAGCCAGTCGGCCATGGGTGGCGACTGAATGCGGAGCTGGTCCTCTGTGATGGCTACTTCCATCTCGTCCGTCGCGGCGATGGCGACCTTGAACTGGCCGGCGAACATGGCCGCGTAGATGAGCGAGTGGTAGTTGTGCATGCGGTACACAGAGTAGAAGCCCGTGTCACCCCGGCGCGCGACGAACTTGGCATCGGCGCGGAGGGCCTCGGCATTGGCAGCCATGGCGCGCCGGTAGTCGCCGATAAGGATGTCCAGGTGTGAGGGCATGTGCGACAGGTGGCCGGCGTCGGCGGCGATGCGGCGAAGGTTGTCCGCCGCCACCAGGGCGCGCTCCGGCTCGGTTGACATCTCGGTCAGGTGGACGTAGAAGTGCAGCAGGCCCGCGTGGTCGTGGCCACCGTCCTGTGCGAGGGCGCGCTCAAGAACCCGCTGCACCTCTAGGGCCTGCGATCCAGGGCCGGGCTCTCCGGTGCGCAGATCCCACAGGGCCCAGGGTGTCAGATTCATGAGGGCGTCGGCGTAGAGGGCGGCCACGTCGAGGTCGTCGGGGAAGTCGTCATGCACTGTTTTCATGGCCCGGGCGTAGGCGAGATTCCAAGACGCGAGGGCGTCTTTGGGCCCTTGATCGTTTGGGTAGCGATACTGGAGGGCGTTGATGAGCCCCTGTTCTACGGCGGTCACTTTCGGCGCTAGAGACTTGGCCTTCCGCACCGCTTCGTGGCTCCGCTGGAGGGTCTTCTCGAGGTCGCCGTCGTCAAAGTTGTTCCAGGGCTTGTTGTAGTTCGGGCCTATGGAATAGGCCAACCCCCAGTGCGCCATGGCGCATTCGGGATCGATGGCAATTGCCTTCTCGAAACACCACGTCGACTCGGCATGGTTGAAGGAGTAACTCCAGGTGAGACCGTACTCGCACCAAGTCTGAGCCTCCGGTTTCGTCGTCGTGATTGGGCGGGTGTAAGGGGGCAGTTTGAAATACACCTCTTCGGTGGGGGCGGCCATCTTCGATTAGCTCCGTATTTCCGTATCGTAGCGGTGGGGTCTTGAGAACTCGCGGGCCGCTTAGGGGCAGTTTAACCTGCGTTCTTCTCGAATATGATCTAATGGCAACGATAAAGGTCCCCGGGAACGGGCGCTATTTGGGAATATTTTGCTAGTAAATCCCTCGGCCCCTCGTTTTCCCCAATGGCGCTTATCCACGATTTCATTAGCAAATTGGAACTGGGTGTGGCGCCATGCCCCCAATATTAGGTATGATAGGTGGATCCCGGGGTTAGTCGTTGATTCAGAGGGGAGAGGGGAAACAGTAACAGCAGCGGAACCTGAATCCAATGGATGTGGTTTCGAATAATTCCTGCCCAACTGACTAGGGATTTCCAGCTCAACCGTAAGTGCTGAACCGGTCCTGTGCCCAAGTGGTGAGTGAAGCAGCATCGCTTCCGTCAAACAACCGGGTCCATTCTAGTCATCCAGTTTGTTATTTCTTAATGGGCCTTTGTTGACTTCATCCTGACTTGTCCTGCCCCCGGTCATATGCCCGGAGCTGGGCCTGGAGTGACCGTCTTCACAACCCTGGCTGGGGATCCGATCGCAACAGAATAGTCGGGAATGTCTCTCGTGACCACGCTGCTGGCACCTATTGTGCATCCCTTTCCGATCGTCACGCCAGGCATGATGGTGGTGTTCCCACCAATCCAACAATCATCTCCGATGGTCACTGGCCTGGCGTACTCGATCCCGTCCCGACGTGACTGCACCTCCGTCTCGTGAGTTGCAGAAAATATCGACACAAATGGTCCAAACATGACACGATCACCGATTGTGACTATGCCACAGTCCAGAATTACGAGACTGGTATAGGTTAGCGCCTCAGACACGCTGTTGTTGCGAGTTCAGTGACGAGGGAGTGACAGAGTTCGTACTTGAAGTTTGAGTAGAAGCCGTCACCAATAATGATATTGCAGCCGTAGTCAATGTTGACTGGCGGTTCAATGAACGCCCCGGTCCCAACTTTTCCGAATATTCCCTTCAGCATTGTCTCCCTGTCTGCGACCAGCGAGTCAGGGGTGGCGCCATCAGGGAAATAATGGTTGTATTTGTGCATGAACTGTCGGGCCCGAAAGCGCCCTGAAACCAGTTCTGGCGCTTGCGCATCGTACCTAGTGAGCCCGGTTAGTCCTGAATTGTCTGCCCAGGGCCGATATTTACGTACAAGACACCGGATATCATCTTCTCGTAGTCATCGCACCAGGGCACATTTGCAAGCTCCTTCGCAGCCTCTATGGCTGCGGCGTCCTTTTGAGTGCTGGCCATTGTGTAGGTGCGGGATGTGGTAAGGATTCTGGAGGGTCAAGGTTCACGTTTTTCTGAGGTCCCTGAATTGTTGCCTGTTCTGTTGGTGCAGAGTTTTTCATCCTTGCAGACCGATGGGTGTGGGGCGCACGGGCCTTGGTGTTGATACCCACCCACTTGTGCCAGGAAGATTTCCAGTTGTCAGTTATTCGCTTCAGAAATCTAACATACAACCACCTCACCGACTCCAAATTCCTGTTCGAACTTATCAATTTCTCTGTTTTCAGCCTTGTTCCATGATTATTTCTTTGACGATTCCTATATACAAACTAGAGGGCGCCAGTTTTGAAGTTTCTACTATGAAGTCCTCTCGAGCGACGTCCTGAAACCATTTTGAAAACGCTGCCCCGGGAGCAGAACGCTTGTCTTCTCAAAATGCCCAGTTTCCGTCACACGCTTCTCTAACCGTACGATGGTGTGATCCTAAGTGAATGTATAGGTCGTAGGTTTTACCCAAGCCCTTAGGGAGTACCATTTGTTGCCACGCCTACCCTCAGCCGCCATCGGCTGTGAGCATTGGCAAAGATTGAGACAGAGTCTAGGCGCTTTAGTGGGAATTCTTACCAGCTCATACTCCTGGGCTCGAGTATGCCGATCTCTAATTTCTCCATTCACTCCGCGTGACTCACCCACTTCTCTTAGGAGTATGAGGCATTTTTATTTTTATTTTGACGCGAGATGAACTATTCCTGCCGCCAACCTATGCACATGTTTCCCAAATCCGCCAGCTGCATAGAAAAGGTAGTTGAAAAGGAAGCTGAGACAAATAATAATACTGGTACTTTCGTATCCAATCGCCAATACTCTTGTATCCTGTCGCCAATTACCTACGCAGTATCCAGTAAGCGACGTGGTCACGTCGTAATCCTAGCCCGAGTTTCAAAAGACATGACGATGAATAAGAAACAAAATGTGAAGAAATCCGATGCCTCCTCCTCACCCATCAGGCCAAGTTGGCCCAACCACCCTCATCCTCATCCTCGCTCCCCACAGCAGTCACAGCAGCCACGCCCCGCCCACCCGAGTCACGATGGACGGACTCCAGCTCCTCGACGGCCGGCTCCAGCTCCCTAATCTCCGGCAGCCTCCGGCTCCCGGAAATCGACAGACCGCCCATCTGGCTGGGTGAGAAGTCGCTCAACCCGTCAGCGGCGACCGACGGGAGCCTCACCACTATGCTGCTCGTTTCGGAGTCGTACCTCTTCTTCTGCGGGGTCCGCTCCTCGAGCAGCGTGAAGACATCGTCCCTCACCCTCTGCAGGATCCCGTTCATGACCTTCACGCGCTCGCGTGCCGCGCCGGGCCCCTGATCCGTGTGCAAGTCCGGCACGCGCCACGCGGGGTAGACGTTGCCATGCGACGGCCGCACCTTCAGGCGGCCGCCGTGGGCCCACTGGAAGTAGTACGAGCACAGCCGGCAGGTGGGCTTGCTGCTTCCGATGAAGGGCCAGCCGCCGAAGAACGCAGACGGGCGCGTCCCGCCGTTGATGGCCCGGACCCGATCCGCCACCAGCACCTCGGCGTGCACGATGGGGCGGGGTCCCGTCCCTGCGCAATTCCTGTGCAGCATCTCGCCGAGACCAATCGTCTCGAGCGTGTGCGCACGCTCCTGGTGCTGGGCCATGGCGCGCATGTCCGACGTCATGCGGCCGATCATCTCGTGGGCGGTGCGGCCCTTGCGGCCGAACGGCTGCGGCGCCGGCTGGCTCGACTCGACGGCCAGGACGTCAAAGTCCTCCTCGAAGAGGCGCGGCCACCGCCGGGTCGCGTCGACGAGGAAGTCGGCCGCGCCGTACGTGGACAGCAGCCGGCCGGCGAAGTGGCGGAGTTTGTGCCAGCACTCGCGTCTGTCCATCTGGCCTTCTTTGGCCCGCTCCTCGATGGCATGCCTCATCGGCGACCGGTCGACGCGGCTGATATGCGCCAGAAGCTGCTCGCAGGAGTTCAGATCTGTGGTGGTGTCGGGTTTTGGTCAGCGTATGGTATTGTCGTGGGCTATCTGATCAGGCGGCCGAGTAGCCCTAACTTACATTCCTCCAGGCTCAAGTCATCGTCGTGGGCATGGATGAATGAGCAGGCGTCTTGAAGCCTTTCTAGAATTCTCCGTAGCGAGGAGGGGCTCGAGATCGTTCTGGTCTCGTCGTCGTTATCCCCCTGGGACGATGGAACAGGTGAATCTCCTGTTGCTTGAATGGAAGCACTACTATCGTCGGATTGGCTCCCGTTGTCTCCAGTGTCGTCGTCAGCACAGATATCCAGGCAGGTGCCGAGTGCGCGAGCAAAACACTCGATGTAGTAATCGAGCCTTGGCTTGTTGAACTTCAGGACATCCCTTCGGATCTTCAACAGCTTGGCAATGTGCTCTCCTGGAGTACTAACCACCCCCTTGAGGTCCGTGAGGATGGAGGTCACAAACACCTTGACGTCCTCGAGCGGCTGTGTGTCCCTCTGGTTGGAGCCGAAGACATAGAGGATCCTCCCTGGCTCTTGGAGCACCGCGAAGGAGGTGACCGTGGTTCCACCCCGCTCGTTGTCGCACACTTGGGCAAGCTTATAGACATAGCAGTGGAAGGCTTGCTCGGAGCTTAGCGAAAAGTCCGGACGAGGGTCTGCCGGTTCTGGGCCTCTTTCGCCCTTGATCATCTCGATGAGCGTGCATAGGAAGAGGATGGGCTCGTAGAAGCGCCGGAGGAGTTTTGGACCGATGGGCACAGTCCCTTCGGGGGGAGGGCCAATCTTGCGTGCTGCTATTGAGAAGTTAGCCAATTCTGGCTGCCGGCGTGGAATCGTTTGGGATATAAATAGTACGCATGATGAACTGGTAGATCAAAAGTTGACGGCGATGGATGGTTCAGGGGTTGATTGACTTGAGCAAAGGAGTTCTGATCTTGCCATCTGGCCTGCGGAGACTTCGAGAATATTATAATTTGCTTCATTCAAGCCGTCCAGCCTGCCTCAACCGCTTCGGTAGCCCTTCAGCTCAGGCATCCCGCCTGACAGTTCACCGATTGGGGGCCTCCAGATGGGGGGCCTCCTTGTGCACCAACTTACTGAACTCATGGCTCGCGACCGAAAATGAAAGTCTATCGACCGGCCTGAAGGCGCCACAATCTGAGGCCCCATCTGAGATGCGGGAGGCCGACGCTAATCCAAGGCGTCCTAGGGCCCCTTTTCTGGCCAACGCATCTATGCATCGCCAGATGTCCAATGAGCGGTCTTTTCCCTACAGCCAGACAGAGCCTTGCAATGTGCCCATGTCATCGCAACCTGGAAAACGGTCGAAATTCAGGGCCTTGTGGTCTAGATGACTTGACATGGGGGGCCTCCTCTTTCCTACTGGAGGATTCATTCTCCGCGTCAGCATAGGGGCCCCGAATGCTGAAGCCGGTGAAATCGCGTCGAACAAAATCCGATGCCAAGTCGACCCAATTGGCTCTGCTGTGCTGCGCAATTGCGCAGACATGAGAATTGGAGAACAAGCCCGATGTTGAGAAAAAGAAATATTCCTTTTGAGCGTCTCCTGGGTTCAAGTATTTCAATCTCAGAGGGCCCCAGGTAGAAATCCTGGCTTGTCCGTTCACCATGGTCGAAAGAGAACACATCCTTGACTTTCCTGCCTCGTTTCAACCAAATTGCATCGCCCCGCGTCCATAAAAAGGGGTTACCTACCTAGCTTAATGGTTGGTGCCTCCTCGACCCACGCGGCGATACCAAGCATCCAAGCACAACCTACGTTGCTGGTTTTGTAACCATCCCTTGTATGGAGACCCCACAGTCCCTCATCTGTAAGTTGACCATTCCCTCCACATCTGTGTGACTGGGTACTCACACATGAGGGCCAAATAGGTAGACACGATACCTTCATTGGATACGGAAGCGACTGGCCTCCTGCAGATATTGATTTTGATCCCGTCTCAGGTGATTAGTTCCCTCCACCCCCGAAGCGTCTCCAGGGGGTTCGAGCAACCGTTTTGACTTGTCACTAGACCTACCAATCGATGACTTACTAGCAATCGACGCATTGCTCGGCATAGACTCGTTTGACTTCACAATGTCGGATCCCACGGATGAGGAACCCGACTATTTTGACTCCAACATATATCTCAATCAGGATCCTCCGGATTCCTCGAGCTGGTACCCTACATCGAGCTCTTATCAGGGTCATTCGGGCTTCGCTGACACGATCGGTTCTGGCCAATACCGCTCCATGTCCCCGACCGACTACCAAGATAGCTATACCACCCCTCTCGTCGGAAATCTAACCGAAGATCCAAACTCTGGGCCGTAGTGCTCTGGTTCTCGGCTTTTGGCTGGGTCAACAACCCACATCACCCATCAGCCCACGGATTTATTTGGTTATAACGTCGACTCTTCCACTGCAGCTTCATCTTTCGGTTCTCAAGGCTATAATACCGGCTACTATCAGGCTCCTATTCACAATCCCAGCGACATGACAAACATACCATCACTTGAATATTACCCATCTCAACTCACCCAGGAACAACACTTTCAATCTGAATTCCCCCATGGGCAACCCGATCAGCAGCAGATCTCGTCAGCACAGCCAGCTGCGCAGTCAAGCAATCAGCAAGCACAGGGCTCTGGAGTACATACTTGCGAATCTTGTGGCATCGTTTTTCGTCGGCCATGCGAGCTAGGGTGAGATCCCATCAGGTGGAAGAATGGGAAACCCAGTTGTCAGCCAACTAAATAACATCTCAACAGGAAGCATGCAAAGACCCACAAGCCCGCCATAAAATGTCCCGCTGACAAGAAATGCGCCGTCGTCAAGGCAGAACAGCGGGACATGAACCGGCACCTGTGGGTGTCGCACTCCGGCTACGCCAAGAAGAACGAGATCCCGCCCATCGAGACCGCTGTATGCCCTCACTGCAAACGGGGTTTCAGCAGGAAGGATAATTTCCAGAAACATTTGAGAGAGAGGCGGTGCAAGGGCCAGGGCAATAAGTCGTCGCAAGGGTAAAGAAGCGTCAGGGTTCGTTCACCACTAAGAAACGGTTTGAGTTGATATTTTTATGGCCACTTTTTCCTTTTTTCCTTTTCCCCCCCTTTTCTTTTTGCTGTCCCTGGTGAGACGCTCGCCGCAATATTGACTGCTGGACGTTTCTCTTGTCGTTTTCTGCCCCATTCTAGTTATCCCTTGCCGTTTCCTTCTATTTTACTTTTATTTCACCATCCAACCTGATCAGGATCATGTTTCGGATTTGGGTTTCCTCACCCTCCCTAGGGTTTAACTGAGAGTGTTGTCTTGTGTTGTTTGTGTCTAGCTGCCTTATTTGAATGACAAAAAGGTGACTTGGCCATCATGCAAACTCTCGAATGGTTTAAAATAGGTACCTACCTACCTTGGGCCCAGTCCAAAGTGAAAGCTAGAGGGCATGGAATGCACACAAGACACAAGATAATCAAGGAGGTCAAATACCTAGAAAAGGAGGGGGTCTCAAAATCCGCGTTCGAGGACTTGGTTAATCGAAAGATGAGTAAGGGATGATGAAGACCATTAAAACAAATATGGGCCCAGGAGAGAATAAAGGGAGAGAGAAGAAAAGGGAAACACAATCTGCGCCTCTGGTCAAGGAAGGCGAACTTTAGGAGACACTGCATCCATACACTCACAAAGACCAGCAACAGGTGCATTTTCCTCGAACCCCCTTGTCACTCCTCCCAATTTTCTCAATGTTGGTTACATGTCGTGGACGATGTTCCGAAGATCAAGATTGGGACGGGCAGGTCTGGTTGTCTCTGACTCGAGTTTCTCTCTGTCCATTGTTCCCTTGCTACTTACCATCCCATTAGCAATCCAAATATCAGGCCTATGGACCCAAGTCACAGCTGACAAGCATACCATAAGCCGTGAGTCGATGTTATATTCCCAGAAAGTAGGTCATTCGTAGCTCTAGAGCGAGTGAACCGCGCTGCTCGGAAAATGGATATAAAAGCAGCCGCGCCCTCCTGCTAGTTTTCCCACATTGATACCAGTTTTTACAACAGACAACCTCAGGGGCACATCTCACAAAAGAAGCATCTCGCACCGCTAACCGACTCTGCCAAAACCGGAAGCAAAAGATATCGACACCGACCCAGCACCGCGCAGCTCCCAACACCCCACACGGTGTCGAACCTCGAATCCAAGCCCGATGTCAAGCCTCGGCCCAGGGTCGCTCGTCTCAACGAGGCGAGACAAAATTGCCACCATCAAGAACCTGAAGGCGCTCGACAAGCTCGAGGAGGATGCCGCCCGAGTAGCCCTGGGTGTCCCTCGCGCCCCAGAGCCCGAGCCCAAGTCCAAGGTGACGCGTGAGGAGAAGAAGAAGGTCAAGAAGGCCGAGAAGAAGGCCAAGAAGGTGGATAAGGCGGCCAAGAAGAAGGCCGGTGGGGGTGGCGGGGCGTGAGATGAATCAGATGGATTGAAACGCGGGGATCCAACGGATCTAATTTATTGGGTACTAAACATAATAAACACTAATTACACGGGCAGGGAGACAATGTGGCTGAAATGCAAACAAATGACTGTGAGGTATCTAGGGTATCAAGCGAAACCCCCCAACAACCCTCCAACGCCAGAGGCCCATGGACCTCCCCCGGTGAAAAAAGAAAAAGTAGACGTTACAGACTTGTGTGTGGTGTGTATATGTGTGATCGACCCTTCCGGGATCGGGATTGTGTTGCCTTTTCTTGTTTTTCTCCTTTTTTTCCTGTTTTTCGCTTTCTCCTTTCGTACTCCCTCTCTCAGCAGCACCCCATTAAGCCACCCCCCTTACTGCTTCCCGTTGACGGCCTTCCCGTCGCGCCTCTCAATCTCCGACATCTGCCCAGCCAGCCTGCCAAACTGCCACTCGGGCAGCGAGATGCCCGTCTGCTCGTTGATGGTGGTCATCAGGGGCGGCAGCATCTGGTAGATGTTCCGCATGGTGTCGACGTTGCTCCCGCCGGCGCCCTCGGAACCGGCCTGGGAACCCGTGTTCCAGATGCTGATCTTGGGCTCGAGGCCGTGGATGGCCGTGGCGTTGGCCTTGGCCAGCTCCACGTAGGTGCCCTTCTCGATCATCATGTACTGCAGCAGGCCGGCGGGGCCCCCGAAGGCCTGGCCCAGCTTGCCGTAGGCGTCGGCCATGGCGGCCAGACCCTCGGCCTCCTTGAGCTTCTTCTGCAGGTTCGCCTCGGCGTTCTGGATGGCCGCGTGGCTCCACGCCTCGGCGTCGAGCTTGGTCTTGTAGGCGGCGGCCTCCGAGTTCTTGGTGACGCGGTTGAAGTCGGCCTCGGCGTTGGCCTGGGCGTCGAGCTTGGTCTTGTATGCGGCGGCGTCGGTGGCGCGCTTGTTCTTCTCAAAGTTGGCGCGCGCGTCGGCCTCGATGGCGTAGGCAGCGGCGTCGGCGGCCTGCTGCTTGGACTCTCGCAAGATGCTGGCCTTGACGACGTCGGTGGCGCGCAGGCGCTCCATCTCGGCGGCGGCGCGGCGGATCTCGACATCGCGCTTCAGGTCCTCGTCCTTGGCCTCGGTGGCGCGCGTAGCTTCGATGCGCGCAATGTCGACGTCCCTGTTTAGGAGCGTCTTCCTGGATGCCAGCGAAGCCTCGGCCTGCGCCCGCTCCACATCGCGCTCCGTCTTCTGCACCGCTGTCTCGGCGTTGATCTTGGCAAGCTCACGTTCCTGCTCACCCTTACGCTTGGCCTCACCGACGTTGCCGCGCAGTTGGGCTTCCGCGACGTCAATTCTTGCTTGGTTACTCGCTCCTTCGTGAGCCTTTCGTGAGAGCGACTCAAAGTAGTTGCTCGTAGGCGCGTCCTTGAGCTCCTATGTTTCCATCGTGTCAGCATGTGTCTGGGACGTGCTTCCAAAAAAGAGGCGAAATGCGGGTTGGTGGAGTTAGAGATACCTTCACATTGGCGTTGTAAATCTTCAGTCCGAACTGGTCAAGCTCGCCCTGGATGTTGCGGAAGATACGACGCTTGAAGACCTCCCGCTCAGTGAAGATCTCCTCCATGGTCATGCTCGACACCAGCACGCGCGTCTCGCCCTCAATGATACCCTTGACGATGTTCTCGAGGAACTGGGGGCTGTGGTTCTGCTGCTTGCCGCCCGAGTCGGCCAGGAGGATGGCATACTTCATCAGGGCGTCCCCGCGGTCCTCGCGCCGGAAGTCATGAGCGTTGACGTTGGGGGTATGGGTATTGTCGTCGCCGTGAGCGGTGCTGCTCCCATGGTCGTCGCCGGCCAAGAGCCCCGGCTCGCCGCCTGGCAGCTTGGCATTGGCGCCGCGGTGGTTCAGGTTGGGGCCGACGGTGAAGACGACCGGGAGAAGGAACTGTAGCTTCTCCTTGGTCATAGCCTGCAGGTTCATGGCGTAGTCGTGGGGCTGGACGGAGAAGCGCATGCAGCGCTGCATAGGCCACAGCCATGCAGCCTTGCAGATCTTCACCGTCTTGATGCCCATGCCGGTGATGGCCAGATACTCATCTGGCGCCGCGACCTTGTAGCTTGCCATCTTGACGGATTATCGGATGATTGGAGGTTGGGGTGGGTGCAGTGTGCAGTGTGCAGTGTGCAGTGCGCGAGTTGTAGGTTGTGGCTTTCCACCTGTGAGTGTGTGTGTGAGGGAGAACTGATGGGAAGAGAGGGACGGTCAAGGTCGGGTGAGAGAGTGGTTTGGATATGGTGGTATTTATGGAGGAAGGAGCTGGATGCCCAGTGGGGAGGTTCAGAGGCTTGCCGTGCTGTGCCACTTCAAAAACAAAGAAAACCTAGTGAAGAAGGTTTGATATTATGCTTTGATATCGGAGTAAGGGAGAGAAGAGAACAGAGGTAGAGTGGTAATGAGCAAGATATATACTTTACCTGCTCAACCTTACGGGTTCGTCGCCCGTCGCGTCTCGGAGTCACATCTCAAAATCACAGGGGCTCGCGGTCAACCGAACGGAGCTCATGCCGAAGGGCTGGGGCTGAGTCAGTTGGGTCTCGCTGTAAATCGGGGAAGTGTGGAGCTTCTGTTTTTCTGCCTTGTCACTGGGCGGTGATCCTTCTACGGCGGTGGCTGTGCCTGAAAGTGGGGGGATTTCACAGAGAACTCTGGAAGGCTTCACTTGGATCAATTCATTCCAGTACACGTGTTGATACATGCTTGAGCTGGGGACAGATGCATTGGAGCTAGTTCCATTGGCTCCATGCTCCCTGAGACTGTCAGTCGGATAAGCGGCGAGACTTGGCTGTCCGTGGCTTGTGCCGTGCTTTCCTCGATCGCGGTCACCCATTCCGTTGACCGATGAACCGACCGACAAAATGCCTACATTAGTAGGTATATCGTATGCCTTGTGGTTCAAACAGGTCCCTGACATGTCTCAGCCTCGCGAGCTATTGATCCTGCAGTAATTGAAGCATCGCATGGCGTCACTGCAAGCAAGCCTATGGATATAAGCCTCCTTTACCGAACTGGCACAATTAACGGTTCTTGGCATCCGGTCAGCTGCTGCTTAGGCCCCCACAGGCTAAGGTAGGCAGGCACTCTTTCTTGGCAAACTCGGGGTTCGCCAGCGCGGAAATTTGGGGGCCGTTTGCGACGAATGTTCCATCTCCTCGGGAGCCATATCCGACCCCATATCTCGCAGGGCTCGGTGACTGCAATTAACCACCTGACATTGCCACTATTGTAGGCAGTGCCTCACCCTGGTTGAGCACTTTAGCACCTCTGCGTCGTATTTGTCGCTGCATTCCCTGATAAGCGGGCCAGCGTCTCTCACGTGGGTTGCTTCGTTCAACTATCAAAGCTTATCCTCAGGAAGAAGCTCAAGCGTTCGCAATTACACATTGTATTCCATCTTCACGAAGCCGAAATATCCGTCCTAAATGCTATCGACCTGTTGAATAGACAGTCTGCCCAGACTCCAACGTCACTACACAACAGGCATCGACAACTTGAACTCATCGCAAACACAATCCCCTCTCAATATCCCAATCTCCCATTCCATCGCATTTCGTCTCTCATCTCTCGCCCCTCATCTCTCATCTCTCCCCTCTTCCCAATCTCAAACAATGTCCAAACCCATCCAACCCCCCGCCTTCCCCGGCCTAGACGACGACGACGACGACGCCGACCTCCCCCCGCCCTACACCCTCTCTACCACCACCACCACCCCATCAACCCCACTAACAACCCACCTCGCCGCCCTCCCCGCCCGCCTCCGCGCCGCAGCAGCCCACCACCGCGCCTCCCGCTCCGCCGACGCAGCAGCCCTCTCGGCGCCCCACGTCGCCGCCTTCGTCGAACGCCTGACCCGCCTAGCCTCCGCCAGTAGCAACAGCAGCGGCGGCGGCAGGGCGATCCCCATCGGCACCACCGCAGAGCTAGTCCTCGTCCCCGCCGCCGCCGTGCCGCGCGGCTGGGCCCTCAGCGGCGCCGCGGAGCGGAGGCGCGAGGGGGAGGTGGTGCGCGTGGCGAGGGTGGAGGGGCCTGTTCGCGGCGGGGGGGAGAAGGGAAGCAGCGAGAAGAAGGGCGGTGCTCCTGCTCGGGATGATGCGGACGACGATGATGACGACGATGGGGACCACCGCGACGGTAGGCAGGACTTTGACGCGGCCACCGAGTTCGACGACTGGGGACGGTGGGGCGAGGGCGCCGGAGCGGGGATGGACGACGAGGACCTGCTGTGGTGGCGCGACGAGGCCATGGCCGCGGGGGCGGCGGCGCACCTCCGGCCGGGCGAGCCCGTGCGCGTCGAGCGGCGGCAGGTGCAGGCCGCCGTGGAGAACGCCAGGGACGGGAGGAAGAAGGGCTGGGGGTGGATGCGGAGGAGGTCCGACGCGCCGGCGGCGAGGGCCGCCGCGGCGCCGCCTTTGGTGGCGATGCCGGCGGGGCCTGCCCCTGGCCCTGGGGTCGCTGCCGAGGTGGATGAGCCGGCTAGTATTACGGTGCGGGCGGACGAGGTCACGTTTAGGAAGGAGAGCGAGCTCGGTGTGTGGGAGAGCATGAACGGGTTCGCTATCTTGGTCACGGTGAGGATCGGGGGAACGTGAAGTTCGCCCTGGCCGATATGTTATTGGCTTTCTTGTTTTATCTTGCTATTATTTCTGGTCACACATGCCCATTTCATCCTCCAAGTATGTACATACCTACTACGCCACGCCATGCCTTCCACCCCTCAGATCTCCCTCTACGACTTACACACATAAACCCAGACAGCTACCCGAAACGGATGCCCTTTCCAGGTTCCCATGCCCCGCTCGCTGTACCGGGACCGCCCTGCTGTTGCCCCGCCTGTGGGTTCGGGTTCCCTCGCCCCATTGCCGGCTGTGCAAACTTAATTCCCATGTTGGGCGACCACATGCCCTGCATATTGGCCACCGGTTGCCCGACCGGCGGCATCGGCTTGGGCTGCTGCGGCGTGACGTTGTCGGCCCACGACTGGATGCGTGCCTCTGTGGGAGGGCTTGGCATTGGTTGCCTGAATGGCGGAGCTTGGTTGTAGAAGCCGGTATGCCCTTGATAGTCTTCATTCGGCTGTTGCTGGGGTTCGCGGCTGATAGACATGGAGGCGAGAGGCGGCATGGAGATTTCCCTGCGGGATAGATGTTAGCCAAGGAACGGCGGGAAAGGGCGGGAGTTAGCGGGGGCCTCACTCTTCTAGACTCAGGGCATCCTTCCGCCTCTCGTTGACCCACTCCTTCGCCTGATCTCGGAAGTGGCTGACGATGGTGCTCAGGTCGTTGTAGAACTTCCTGCCCACCTCGAGGTTGTTGACGATCTCCTTGTACTTGTAGTAGGCATCGTCGAGCCTCTGCAGCGCGGCCTCACGCTCCCTGGTCCCCTTGCCCCCCGTATTCTTCTTCTGCGCCTCGAATTCCCGGTTCGCCCGCTGGACTTCTGTCAGAGCCTTCTCCTGGTCCGCGGCCTCCTTCTCCAGGACCTCCATGTCCGGCTCGTACATGTCGTCCAGCCTCCTCTCGAAGAAGTCCTCGAAATGCGCGGGGACGATCGCCGTCGTCGGGTACGTCCGCTCCAGCCGCGCGGCCTCGCCAAGTATGTCCCCCTTGATATCGTCGCTCCTGGCCTTCTCCCGCAGCGCCTCCGCCCTCTTCCGCCTCCTCGATTCCAGCCGCAGGACGTCGTTATACGTGCTACGAAGCCTACCGAGCGCGGGTTTCAGCGTCTCCGGGATCTCGGTCCGGCGACTGCTCGGCACGTAGTCCATGATGCCGCGGTCCGGACCCGCGAGGATCGCTAGTATGTCCTGCACCGTGGCGAACTTGTCCCGCACTACGGCATCGCTGGATGTGCTGCTGGCAAAGTAGCCTTCTACCTCGGCCGCGTGATTCCACAGCCTGGCGCCACCGTTCGGGGACGGGTCAGCGCGGGACTCTGGTCGGGCCCAGCGTTGGGTGCCGTGCTTCCGGCGCAGGCGGTTGTCCTCTTCCTCTTCAGCGGCTAGAAGAGCCTTACCTTCCTCAAATACAGCTCGGTCGCTGGCTCGCAGCTTGTCCACGTCGGCGAAGCCCCGCTGTACCCTGTTCAGGGCATCGGCCTGCCGGATCTCCTCGGCATGCTGCACAAGAGTCCCCGGGAGGCCCAGAGGCTTCTCAAGAGCTTGAAGGGAGCCTGGAAGATTGAGGCTGGAGAGTATGGTGTGGAGCTTGTCCGTTAGCGTCTCGAGCTCGGCGATGATGTTGTTGTTGACGAGACGGTCGCGGCGCTCCTCGTAGATCGATACTGCGACGTGCACCGCGAAAGGAACCAGTTTCGTGAATAAGGCAGGGCCGAACTCGGCGTGGTCGCCGAGGTATTCGTATGGATTGGACACCTGCGGCGGAATCCGGGCGACAGCCATGTTGGCTCTGTCGAGGATCTTGAGTTCAGACTTGGGCGGGACGATGTCTGGCGGGAGTCAATAATGAGTGGCCAGGGGTGGAGTCTGCAAAAGGGGGGGACTCACTCAGGTAAATCATATCATTATCCTTCTCTGCTCTCTGTAGGTCCTCCTCGACTCGCTTCTTCAAGCCGTTCAAGTCCCCAACGACGGCCGTGTTGATGTACGTGCCACGTGTTTCCTTGAGCCCCTCATTTACACAGGCCACGGCATCTTTTAACCTCGCGACCTCCTCGCCATACCTCCTCTTCTCGAGGCAGTCGCACGCCGCTCTGTATTGCGCGGCGGCAGCAAAGTGGTGGTGCTTTGCGCTCATATGGTGAATCCACGCTGAACTGATGGCTTCGCTCTTCATCGCGGCGTCGCCGGCGATGCCGTACAGGTCGGAAACCTTGGCCGCAAGCTTCGCAATCGATGCGTCCTTGTAGCCGTCCATGACGGCTTTTTGCCAGAAACACTCCTGGCTCTGAGCCAGGAATAGCTGCATCAGAGATTCCAAGGTCGACTCGTCCATATCCTCGGGAGGGTTTGCCATCCGTAATTCGGGAAGCACTGTGGTCTTGATATGGTTCATCATCCCGGCCGCCTGGGAAAACCAGCTCGCCGCCGTCTTCAACCCCTCCGTACTGCCACGATTGGATGCCACGGCCAGTTGAGAGTATAGCGCCGCCAGGTTGTACAGTATGTTCATCAGCTCGTACTGGAGGTTGTTCTGCACCAGCGGTCGTTCGGTGTTGTAACCCATGGCGGGATACCAGCTAAACTCGGCCCCGATCTGCGATGCGACACCGACCGTTAGCAACAGAAATACCTATAAGCCAGGGACACCGGGAGTAACACGCTTACATCGATAGGGAACTTCCCGCCAATCCAGACAAGCTGGGCGGCGTATGTTTGTAGCTTCTTGATGCCGCTGGGGTGGGCTTCGCGGACGTTGACGGCGTCACGTCGCAAGCCATCGATGACCTCGAGGTCATGACGGAACATGTCTGGGTGTTGGTCATACTTCTTAGAGATGTACTGTCGAATGGAACTCGATAGCGAGATCTGGGTAGACTTCCGGAAGGGAATCGACAGGACATTGGAGCTATTCGCAATCAGCAACATGAAGAGATATCAAGGTCCCGAAATTTGGGGTCTACTAACGTAGTCATGGTCGATAAGAGTGGGCGCGAACACTAAGCGCAAGCACGCATCTCGCAGCGAAGATGTCAAGGTTCCCTTCTCGCGATGATCTCATGCGACCGACGACGCCAAAGTGTTTGTGGGGCTGGCGGGGTTGTGGTTGGCGGGGCAAATTGTGGCACTGGAGCATTGCGGGGCCTATTCGGCAGCTGCCAAACAGTGCAACCTCTGACATGGACTCAAAAACGGTTCTCCAAACAAAGCACCATCCTCTTGATCTCAAAACTATCGTATCGTCATCATTCATCGGGTCATTTGGTCCCTGTCATGTCATTGACATCATGGTTGTTGGGGTGTACATCGTACTCGGGCCGCCATGTCAACCGAAGGGATGCAGTCGGCCCGGGCCCAACACATCGGGCCTAGAATGTCGGCCCGGATTGGTGTTATCCCTTCCGACGATTGTTGGGACCTAGGTTGTTAGTTGTCAACGGCGGCCCCGTCACAAGCAAGAATCTCTTCTTCGCCCACTTGACGAGCAACTCTTGCTCTACTCAGGAGCGAATTACATGCAGTTCCAGCACAGCGTGTCATACTTGATACTTCCTTTCCCCGGTTGGTTGCCCCCAGGCGCGAGAGGTCGGCAAGATCTGCCGTCAAAGATCTGCTGTCAAAAACTCCGGGTCGTGTCCGGTCAATGTCCGGAGCCCGTAGATAGTCCCCGAATAGTACCCAAAGGATGCTTCGTCTAGGCTCTACGCCGTAGACGTTTCGATATGACACGTGGTGTGCTAATCTCGAGATGACAGGTAGCCAAAGCGAGGCAACTTCAGAACCTACCACCGCCTGCGGTTGGATGTTGAGCTTATCGGAACAAGGGACCTTATGGTGCTCAACGTTTTGCACTCTCGACTCCTAGAGGTCCTTTGTGCCTGATGCAATCATGACAGGAGATTCCCCGGCTATCCGGCACATGAAGCCTGCTTCTGACTGGAGTTCAATTTCTGATCTCTTGGCATCAACAGGAGAGAGAGGAGGCTCCCCTCTCTCCCATAACTACTTAGCACACCCCCCATGCCGGTTGATTTTTGTCCTCTCTTTGTGCATGACCAACCGAATTATCCAGCGGGAACACGACATTTCAGGCCCGGCTTAGACCATCACAGGTCTTTTTCGGTGCCTTGGGGCCATGGTACCTGTTTCTGATTTCTGGAAGGGTTGCGGAGCTCAAACCTCAACCCTCTTACTATGCTGACCACCTTCTCAGCAGCGGAATTTGCAAGGAAGGTAGGTGGTCGTCTACTATCGCCGTATCTCTACCATTCCTGAATCCCGTATCTCCGCCCGAGTCATCCTCTGGGGGATCAACGTCGCTGCGGGCGGCCCTGCCAAGTGGTGCCCAAATCCCGGCTACCAGGCCTTCGCGACGGATACGGGAGTGCGGGGTGGTCAGGCATGTCAAGCTGCGTGCTGGAGCGGAGGATATATTGACGAACAGGAGATTTTGCGCAAATATGGTGCCTCTTTCGCCATCTCCGCGGTGTTTCAATTTGGCCCAATCTCCTGCACACGGAGCGAAAAAAAAAAAAATGGCATCTTGTCTCGTCTCGTCCCAGCTGCTTGGACAGGACGTCCATGCGCCTACTGCGTACTACATGGGACGATTAATCAGTTTTAGGCGAATGAGTGGCCAGTCGAGTGTCAGCACCGGGAATTGGAATTACACTGGCCGGCGCGGTTGCCAGACGGCCCGGATGAGTCGTTCGGACATCCCCAAATGTATGTCCAGAGAGGCCCCACCCGGCTGCAGGATGGCAGGATCTCAATCCAATTCGAGACGCATCTTTGCAGCAGAGTTTAAGCCACTCTGCCCACCTTACAAGCCTTTCGCTCCTATTGTTTGTCGCCGCATCCGCAGGCTAACCGTTGCGGCGTCAAGTCTGAACCATGGACAAGCTCAGGATCATGGCTTTCGTGTGACGTGACCGGATGCGGCTTAATGCGATGAGACACCTGGATAAGCTTAAACGGTGGGGGCGCACGCCTGGGTTGCAATGGTCGACTACCAGGAATGTGCAAGGCTGAACAACTAAGGTACTGTACCTTGCTGTGTAGATTGAGACAGATCTTAGCGCGAGATTTCTCCGGATGGAATGGAGGTGTTTCGCTATACCTACTACGGCCCCATGGCCCCATACGGGGGTTGATGGATGGATGGATCTGTCTTGGTTGTAGCGTTCCAGGCCAACCGCGTTCGCAGTTCACACTCTACATAGCATGCTATTCTTGGGAATGACCCGCCCCGCTGCCATGGATCACCCGTGTGGCGTGTGACTGCCCTCCGCTGAGCAGAGCACATTGCAGCATGGTTCGTCAATTATAGCCTGAATAAATGACGTTGGACGGTGCACTTTGGGAAAATCAACTCGATCGCCCGGTCAAACATGCGTATGTAAATGCCCGAGGCCAACAATCAAAGTCTACGACCAATGCCAGCCATGGATTCCGCACGCCAACGCCAACGGACGACGCTATCAACCAACAGCCACTGCCCACCCTTGTCCTGCCCCGATCTCCCACAAACCAGGATACGCCCTCACTCTCCACAACAGAATAGGGCCAGCCACACTTCCCGCGGACTCTCTCCACGCATATACTATGTTAGACAACCGGCGGCGGGACCAGTAAGTGCGAACTGTAAGGGGAAGAGGTCGTCATGGCTAGACGGACCACCCATGTTTGGCACCCTTGCACATCTTACCGCTTGCGCTCTGGGCGCTTGGACTGATGCGTCCGGCCCATGGGGGGGTTAGCCGGAGAGTCGAGATGCTGATCAAGGGGCGGGCACTAGACAGGCATAAGTATATGAAGGCGTGTTCCGCACACCTGGGACCGCACATCTTGGCCCTTGAATAGATGATCCACAGTCTGCAGGCCTGTTGCGGTCATAAGAACCCCTACTTCCCTCATCCTGCCCACACCGAAGCTCTTCAATCTTCACTCGTAGAGAGTCAGTCTCTGGCGACTAGCCCGACGACATGGAGGGCCTTACCCTGATCCTCCTGTATCTGGCCATCCCGAGCCTGCTCTACTCCGTGCTGCGGCAGCTCCTGTCGTGGAAGAATGGAAGCGCTACGCCGGAACCCAAGTTCCCCGGTCCCCGACAGTTTCCCATCGTCGGCCGCATCCACGACTTGCCCACGATCGGCTTGTGGCTGAAATTCAAGGAATGGTCCGACATCCACGGTCCCATCTTCCAGACCAGGGCCCTGAACCAGACCTTGATCATCGTCTCGGATGAGGCAATAGCAACAGAACTCCTCACCAAGAGGGGCAACATCTACTCCGGCCGCCCTCAGATCCGGTCTCTCATCAGGCATAAGGAAGGACCAGCATATGTTGCTTTGATGGACCGTCATGGTATGTTGGACGAAACCCCTCCCCTTCTTCCCGCACTGCCCCTCAGCCTCCGTCCCCGCCTCGACCTCTGTTCACGAATATTCCCGCCCATGTCTTTGAAGCCATTGCTGACCCGAGACTGATGCCAACAGATATCTGGACCAAACAAAGGAAATGGGTCCACGCCGCCATGGCCGAGGCCCACAAGCACCACTTCTACGGCAATATCGAGAAGGAGACGGCGCGCTTCTTGGGCCTGCTCCTCCTGGACCCGGACCGGTTCATCTGCTACACGCGCGAGTACTGCGGGCGCATCATGAGCCGGCTGGCGTGGGACGACGCCCCGTTGGGGCGCAAGAACGGCGAGAGCGCCGACATGACGCTGCACTGCATGAGCGTGTCGGGCCCCGTCACCAACACCGTGACGCCGCTCTGGCACATCCCCCACGTCCTCAACCCCTGGAAGAAGTTCGAGGTCAAGCGCGAGTCCGAGCAGCGCGCCTGGTGGCTCAACAACTTCCGCAGGGCCCGCGACCGCATGCTCAAGGGCGAGCTGCCGGCCGACACGTGGGTGTACCGCTATTTCGACCAGATCCGCAGCGCCGGCAACGAGACGCTCGAGCAGACCGAGGACCAGGAGATCTTTGCGAGCTGCATGATTGGCTTCTTGAACCTGGTCGGCGTCGTGACCATCTCGGGCCCGCTCAAGTTCTTCCTCATGGCCATGGCGCTGCACCCGGAGTGGCAGCGCAAGGCCCAGGAGGAGGTTGACCGCGTCTGCGGCGACCGCATGCCGACCGTGAAGGACTGGCCCGATCTGCCGACCGTGCGAGCCTGTCTTAAGGAGACGGTCAGGTGGAGGTCCGGCGTGCCTCTTGGTGAGTCCGACAATCCCTCAATGTGTTTCTCCCGCTGTACCGCATGCGTGCCGAGGGGCTAACCAGGTAACCTTGTTTCAAGGCGTTCCTCACCAAGCGGAGAAAGATGACGTGTACCGCGGCGTGAAGATTAAGAAGGGTACAATCATCCTCGCCTGCGAATGGTAAGCCCACCCTCGCCCCGTTAAACAGAACCCCCTGAAAATTCCACATCTCCGGGCCAAAAGTGTCTAATCCACTTTCCGCAGGAACCTCAACCGCGTTGAGTCCAAGTACCCGGACGCGGAGAACTACCGGCCCGACCGCTGGCTCGAGCCCGGCTGGCCGACGTACCAGGAGCCGCTGACGCGGTACCCCAGCTTCCGCGAGGGGCAGTCGATGCACACGTTCGGGTGGGGGCGGCGCACGTGCCTGGGCCAGAACGTGGTCGACGACGAGGCCGTCGTGTTCGGCGCCGCCGTGCTCTGGGCCTTCAACCTCGCGCCCAAGACGTGCCCCCGCACCGGCAAGCCCGTCCCCATCGATACCCAGGCCACCAACGCCCACGTCATCCTCGAGCCGCACCCGTACCCGCTGTCCATCACGCCGCGGAGCGAGAAGCGGGGCGGCGACGTGCTGGAGGGGTACAAGGCTATCGTGGGGCAGTTGAAGCTGTAGGAATTCTGTCGCTGACCTGTTTGCGGGTGCTTGGGTCGATATCCATGTTTTGAGTCCCGAGAGTAACTAGCTATATTGAAGTGTTGCAAGAGAGAAGGAGTGGTTTTCTTGGCCTGTTTTTAAAGACGCAGCTGGGAGTTGGATACGGGAATAATGGGTGTATGGACGCTGTAATCTCAAACCACATATATTGACAACAGTAACCATCCCGGCACCCAGTTCCTGCTTTGTCAATCATTTCACACCGAACCGCACCAACCAACCTATGTCATGTCATCTCTTTCCAACTCGCTCGCCCAGGTTCTGCAGGTGGTATGCCCTCCAAAAGTCAGGCGATTAGTCACATGACACATATCCTGAACAGCCAAGATCTCCGGGCCGACCGACTTACATAATGTTAACTGATGAATCCTGGTAACTCCTCTCGCTCTCGTCGGATTCGCATGCCGGTTCCTCTCAGTTGGGCCCCACGGGTCCTTTGTCCTAGCCGAAGACCAATCCTCAGGCAGACCGACAGCCTCACGGAGTGGCCGGCAGAGCTAGACCCGATACGATGACTGGCATAACCGACCTGACCCGTAATAATGGGTTTGCCGCAGTCACTGCGCCCCTCATCCAACGTGCCCATGTCAGCTGAGGGGCAGCTTCACTCGCCGAAAGTGAATGTTTAATACGACCTCGTCCCCTCCACCGAATCCATCGTTTTCTCGGGGCACAATTGGCACGAAGCATCAACAGTTCCGGCAACAAGGCATCGCGTTGACATAGACCACAACAATGTCAGCTCAAGGCTACTACAGCGGTGGCGGCGACGGCTACCATCAACAGCAGCAAGGCGGCTATGGCCAGGGCTATGGACAGCAAGGCTACAACCAGGGTCAAGGCTATGGCCAGCAACAAGGCTACGGCCAGCAGCAACAGCAGCAAGCCTACCCCCAGCAGCAAGGCTATCCTCAACAGTCGGGCTATCCTCAGCAGTCGGGCTATCCCCCACAGCAAGGGTATGGCCAGCAGCAAGGCTACCCTCAACAGGTTCGTCGACCCCAATCCATGCCACCCGCGACGTGTCCAGATATCTAACCCCTCACCCCCGCACACAGCCCCAGTACGCCCCGCAATCAAGCTCCCCCTACAACCAAGGCCCCGGCTACCCACCGCCGCAGAGCCACGGCTACAGCCCTAGTCCTCCCCAGCCCGGCTACGGCCATCCCCCGCCAAGCGAAACCAGCTACGGCGCGAACCAAGGCTACGACCCAAACAACAACAGGGGCACCTCGCCGTTCGCGCCCCCGCACCAAGGCGGCGGCCCCGGTCAGCAATACAGCGGCGGCGCGCCCGCCTACCCGGCCGGAGGACAATACGGCGGCGGACCGCCCGGCGGGGATATCGGGCCCGACGGCGAGCGCGGCCTGGGCGCCACGGTGCTGGGGGGCGGCGCCGCTGCCTGGGCGGCGCACCACGCTGGGGGGGGATTCTTGGGCAGTCTTGGTGCCGCCGCGGCGGGAGCCATCGGGGCGAATGTGATAGAGCACAAGTACAAGAAGTGAGTTGGGTTCCCCCGCTGGTGGATGGGCACCCCTTTTCCCACCCAGGGAAAAAAAAAAAAAAAAAAAAAAACCTGAAATGATGCTGACCAGGTTGCAGACACAAGAAGAATAAGAAGTACAAGGAAGGGAGGAGCCGGGGTATGTCGGGCAGCTCGAGCAGCGACGACAGTAGCAGCGATGAGCACGACAGGCGTCGTTGAACGATTGTAATTGTAGGGGCGGGTTGGTCTGGGACTTTGGGCGTTTTTGCCCCCGAGGAATAATTCAATATTGAGAAACCGATGGATCCCACCAGCGAAGCAGAGGCGAGCTACGCGTATTGATAATTACATTGTCTGTCCCCTTATCGTTACCAGCAGCTCTGAATGCGGGAAAATTCATGGAAGGAGGGTATCGAGAGTCTACCTAGACTAGTGTCAGAAGCATGCAAGCCACAGTTATTCAGGCAGGCCATATTCGTAGACCAAACTTTGCCTCTCATTCTCAGACAAAGCTCGAATTCAGACAAAGCTCGAATAGCGTTAGACATGTGCCGTCATTTCCACGGCATCAGACGGCATTACAACGCGGCTGATATTCTCGAGCCGTAACCGCAGGACCAAAACAAACAAACCATACTGCCGTTTTCCCCGCCCTCACAACCCCTTAATGAGCTCCGTCTCCTTCCCCTCCGTCTGCTCCACACCACCCTTCTTCTCCTCGTCAAGCGTCCCACCCCCGACGCCGCTCGCGCTCGCGCTCTCCTCGTCGTACCCCCTCCGCGGCACCAGCCCGACATCGGTGGTGGTGAACGCGTCAGCGCAGTCGCGGTACGACGGCCAGAAGTTGACAGCGACGGCGTACGACCACGCCGCGACGAAGAAGCACATGGGCACGACCATGGCCCTGCCCGTGCCGTGCCTGTCCGCCGCCACGCCCGTGAGCGGCGGGACGCACGCCCCGCCCAGGACGCCTCCGACGATGAACCCGGACCCGCGCTTGGTGTGCCGGCCGAGGCCGCGCATGCCCAGGGCCACGATGGTCGGGAAGCAGATGCTCTCGAAGAAGAGCGTCACGAACAGCATGCTCACGCCCACGTTGCCGCGCTGAGTGATCGCCGGCGCGATGAACACGATGCACATGGTCAGGTAGAAGCCGAACACCCAGCGGGGCCGCACGTAGTGCATGAGCCCCGCGCCGAAGAACCGCCCCAGCGCGAAGGCGCCCTGCGCGCCCGCGAGGAGCTTCGATCCTAGGGAATCGGGCGTGTTGGCGCGGGTCTCGGTCGCGTAATTGATGAAATAGCTGGTGGCGCGGGCAATAGTCAGCACTAGGGCAGTCAAGAGGGTGGGCAAAGTGTCGATGGACAATGAGACTGAAACGGGGAGATAGGGGTTGGAGCAGATTTGCGACTTACCCTGCAATGGCCACCTGGGCACCCGTGTAGCAGAACTGGGCAAAGGACGCGTGGAACAGGCGGTATTGTTTCCAGAGTGGCTGGTCGTCCGCGCCGGCATGCGTCTCGTTGGCCTGGAAAGCCATATCTGCGTCGGTAATCTCGGGGATTTGGGATACGTAGAAGACGCCCGCAAGCAGGAAGACAAAGCAGGCGATGGCGAGGTACACCCACTGGACGTTTTTGAGGGCGCGCTCATCGTCGAAGGCGAAGAAGACGTACGACCCGAGAACCGGGGCAACGACGGTGCCGATGCCGTTGAAGGCCTGGGAGATGTTGATCCGGATCTCCGAGTACTTTGGAGGGCCGCAGACTGGGAGAATTGTCAGTGTGTGCCCGGCATATGAGGGGGCGCGGGAGGCTCAAGGGGCTCACCAGTAATGTAGGGGTTCGCTGCCGTCTCGAGGGACCCCAACCCGTTGCCGATGATAAAGATACAGACACAGAAACCACCGAACGAGTGATGGATGATGGCGGGGATACAGAGAAGGGCGCCGATGCCGTAGAGGCAGAGACCCCAGATGAAGACAGCCTTGTAGCTGTAGTGACGCAAGATCCAGGCGGCATGTCCCAGCGAAGCCAAGGGGTAGGCACTAGAAAGTTGGTGGCGACAGTCAGCTTCAACGGCGCATCACGTAGCCTGCTGGGACGGTGGCACGAACCCAAAGTACGCAGCCTGGAGACCCGAAGACCGAGACTTGCTGATGTCCAGCGTAGTCTGGAAGTGCTTGTTCAGGGTGTCGAGCAGGCCATACGAGAACCCCCAGAGGAAGAACAGAATGGTGACGAGGCAGATGGGATAGATGGATTCGCGCAGGGTCAGCTCTGCGGCCTTGGTGGTCTTGTCGTCGCGGACGCGCAGCGAGCGCTTCCTCCAGAATTCCTTGGAAAGCATGGCGGCGATCTGAGGCTGGATATGGATCTGGATGCTCGCGGAGCAAATCGGTTTGCGGTTCGGGGTCGATGCGACAAATATGCTTGTCGGCTTGGGCAGCAGACGGGATGCGTATTGTTTTGTCGTCAAATCACCAACAGACCGGTCCCTGTGGAGGAGACCAGTTCGGCCAGGGAGGAGGACGATCCATTACTTATGGAGCGCAAGGTTGCAGATTGTCGGGGTATCGAGATGACATGTCGGCCCTTTCCTGGGGCATTGAAACCCGACGGGTGCAAACTCGGAGGGCACAAGGATCGTACCATGCCGATCCATGTGAACGAATACCAGAGATGCGAATTGGGGAGGAGTGTGGAAGTGAAACCAAACGACAGGACTCACGAAAGCAAAACGGATGATGCTGTGCGGGGAATCTGGGGAGTGTGGAGATGCTAACCCCTCTCAGCGTGCTCGAAGCTTGGTCTTCGAGAAGCGGAGTTGAAGGGGAAAATTGAGGGATGCTTCATACCCGCAGGTTCAACACGAGCCTTGGGGAGGTCCAGCACATACCTGCCCCTTCTGGAACTCGTCTGTGGACCGTTAGTAATTTGCCCAGGTGGGTTGGATTAGGTTGTCATTGGTGCAACAGTCCAGCACACAGGGTCTTCCAAGGTTCGGTTGTTTAACTAAATGTTACACCGAGAGAAGACTACTGAGTACTGCCGCGGTGTAGTGTAGCTCTAAGCCGCAGACAGATAAGATCATCCCCGGGCCTTGCCGCACAAATTTCCCGACGGGTCTTTTACCCCAGACGTTACTGGGCTTGTGAACATACCTCAGTATGCCACCGTCGTTTCTCCACGAACAGCCTTACCGTACTAGGTCCCCGGCAGCTTCAAGATGGGCTGGCTAATAACTTTTAACTCACTTTCGCCGACGGGACATCAGCCCTGTAATTGGAGTGCTAGTCTAGTTAGTTGCAGAGGTGTGCGTCGCTTGTCCCATGATATGGGTCAACTCGTAAACGCAGGCCCCCCTAGCCCCCCTCACTTGGCCACTGGACCCAAGTATCGGGGACAAACTCCCGGTTTAGGTGGCGGGGCCTGAAGCCACCCCTTTTCATCACAGACCTAACATTGGAGTCCAAGACACCACTGGACACCTACCTCCTCCAGGTTTGGACTTCAAAATCTTACTACTCCTGGGGAAATTCCCCGAGATGGGAAGTAAAGATGCCCAAGAGAATCAGGCCTAACGGCCGTAGGGAGGTAGAGAGAGGCACACGGTATCCGGACGGGGAAGCAGGTGGATTGATAAACAGCGGCATACTTTTCTCCCAAGCCCTGGGGCAGACTATCTTGGATTCAACCGTACACGCCCCCTTTCAAGCTTCGCAACAGCCCAAAAAGGTCCCGGCTCTAGACGCCCAACGATAGGGACCTCCCTCAAGCATACCCATTCGCGCCCAGCCACTCCCGCACGGCGCCCGCGTCCCTCTCCCAGTACGCAGCCCTGCCGCGGATCTTATCCTTGACTATCTCGAGCGTGCGGTCGAAGCCCTTCGTGCTCCTTTGGTCGAAGAACCCCTCAATGTCCGCCAGCGTGGCCCGGTCGCTGAACTTGCCCAGGCTGACGTTGATCATGCGGTCCAGCAGGATCGGGTTGCCGCCCAGCTTGGACGTCAGCTCCGCCCAGTTGTCCCTCATGTAGGCCCACAGCAGCGGCCGAGCCTGTCGGTTCGCCGCCATGGCCGTGGCGAGGATGTGCATGTCACCGCCGGGGACGGACTCGCTGGCCGGCGCCGGGGGAGAGGCGCTGAAGAGGAAAGGCAGGACGACGGAGGAGATGACGTCAGCGTCGCCGACGTGGCCGATGGCGGACAGGCAGATCTCCTTGCCGTCGATGGCCGGGGTGGAGAACCACTCCTTCTTGAGCGCGGCCACGGTGGCGGAGGCGTTGGTCCGGATGGCGGCACGGTAGACGGGAGACCTGAGGTCGGCGTGAATGGCAGCCGATGCAGGGTCGGCCTGGTGAGCATCGAAGCGGGCGGAGAAGTCGGCAATCACTCTGCAGAGGAGGTAGGTTAGTTGAGAGTAGAGGAATAGGAGTAGGAGTAGGAGAGAGGAGTCATGAGAGATTCAACTTACTCTTCGTGGCCGTTGCCAACGGCGGTGAGCAGCAGTCTCTTCCGCAAAAGAGCAGTGTTGAAGTCTTCACCCTCGACGGGCTCAAGGCCGACCTTCTTCAGGGCGTTCTCCGTCAGCCGCAACGTGAACTTCTCGAGGGCCTTCTTGATGACTTCGTCGGCGCCAAAGACAGACTTCACCAAGCCAATAGTGTCGAGAGCTTGATTTAGGACACGGAAGTGCGTCTCATTCTTGAACCCCTGGATGAAGGAAAGGAGAGCAGGGGTAGTGCCGTCCCCTGAAAACGCAAGGTCCGCTGCTGAGCCGGTGATGAAGATCTTGTCCTCGACAGCCAACCGATCGAGCTGAGTGCTGAGGGTCTGCAGGCGCTGGGGCGGGTAGTTGACACGGTAGAACCCCGTAGCATTTGCATTCAGGAGGTAGAAGCTCTCATCGACGCCTCGAATGGTGGAATCCTTGGTAGTGAGGGCCAGAGACTCGATTCCCTGCACCCCCGTCTTCCCCTGAAGAGACAAGGGCACCCACCAGATGGTCTCGTCATCCTCAGCCTTGACATCTCCGGTGGAAAGGAATCGAGACTGCTTAATCGTGATCTGGCCCGGCTCTTCTGCCACGGTGAGCACAGGGAAGCCGATCTTCTCGATCCACGACCCCATAAGGGCGTTGACATCTGTCCCGGACGCCTCGCTCAGGGCCGACCACAGAGCTTCCGTCTTGGCGTTTTGATATGCATACTTCTTGAGGTAGATAGCGATGCCCTTGAGGAAAGTCTTGATGCCCAGGTGAGAAGCCAGCATGCGAATCATAGAGCACCCCTTCAGGTAGCTGATTCGGTCGAAGATCTGGTTGACGTCGAGCGCATCACGCACTGCGACCTGGATCGGGTGCGAAGCCCGAACAGAATCCAGCGAGAAAGCTTGCTCCATTCCCTCGTTGACGAACTGCGGCCACACCTCCCAGTCTGGATGGAGGTAGTCTGTTGCGAGCCAGCCAGCCCAGGTGGCGAATCCCTCGTTCAGCCATAGTTCGTCCCACCAGTCCATGGTGACCAAGTTTCCGAACCACTGGTGGGCAAGTTCGTGCGCGACGACGTAGGCAACGCGGTTTCGGAAGCGCGCCTCGGAGAGCTTCTCGTCGAACAGGATGGCCGTCAGCCGGTACGTCACCAGACCCCAGTTCTCCATAGCGCCGTGTGTGAACTCGTGCACGGCCAAGATGTCGCTCTTGGGCAGCGGGTAGTCGAGCTCAAACTGCTCTGAGAAGAAGTCGATGATCTTGGGGGCGTGTTCCAACGCCCAGCGGCCTTGTTCCTTCAAGCCGCGGGTCGTGTAAACGCGGACAGGGAGCTGCTTGCCGTTGTATCGCCGCTCGGTAAAGGCCTCGAGGTACTCAAAGTCGCCGACAGCCCAGGCGAGCAGATACGTGCTCATGATAGGGGTGGTCTCAAAGGCGATGACCTTCTTGTCCCCATCGACGAGAGTGGTCTCCTTCTCGGGCATGTTGGAGAGCGCCACCTGGTCGCGGGGAATCTCAATAGTAAAGTCAAAGGTGGCCTTTAGATTCGGCTCATCGAAGCAGGGGAAGGCCCGACGGGCATCGCAAGACTCAAACTGGGTGCTGAGCATGTAGTGGAACTCATCGTCACGGGGCACGCTGGCGGCGGCTGGGGCTGTGGGCTTGTATTGGCTGCGATAGAAGCCTGCCATGTCATGGTTGAGAAGACCAGTAAACTCAATAGTCAGGACAGCCTTGGTTGAAGGCGGCAGCTCCTCGGGAAAGGTGATGGTGGCTCGCTGCTTCTTGGCATCGTCGGTGAACTCGGTGGTTTCCCATGTTTGGTCAGTCTTGCCAGTATCAACAGTGAGCTTCGCCGTTAGAAACGTGAGCTCAATGGCATTGAGGACAATCTCTTTTGTAGGATTGACCAGCTGGCCAGAGATACTGTTCCAATATTAGTTATGAGCAGTAGGCGTGGAGCCTTGAGACTATAGGGGAGTTGAAGAAGGATAGTAATGTTGGGCAGCGAAACGATCGGAGCCTCGGAAAGCAGGAGGGCAGGAGGGGTTCCCGAAGTAGCACTTACGCCACAGTTCCCTTGTAGGACCAGTCATTGAAGTTCAGATCCTTGATATTCAGGTCATAGTGACTTGGTTTGAAGTCGCTCGGGAGGATATCGCGGTCGGCCATGGTCACGAAGCGTAGATAGTGAACGCCAGGTGTAGTGTAGTAGTTACCAAGGGATGGAAGGTCAGGTAAGTAAGCGGGCAGTCAACAACAGTGACGCTTTGGAGACGTCTCGTTGGGAAGTGGGGTGAGGGGTAAGTGGGTCTCATCTTGGCGAGTTTTCAATATGACTTCAAGCTAGGAAGGACCAATCGGGAAGGTAACGAAATCACAGATCTCAGCGTGGGGCTTTCCAAGTTGCCCAATTTACTAGGTTGTCAGACAAGCCGAGAATATCCATATGCCGCACAACCAGAGTGATCGATCGTATTCAAACAGCAACACTGGCAATCTAGATATAGGTGATCAAGCCTGATCCCTCGCCTTCTCGCCCGCTCTCGACTGCTTCACTACAGTTTACCTGACGCTTAGAACCATCTACCCAGGCAATGCAATGCCCTCCCTCTCCAGTACTATGTATGATGATGATGATGGATGATGATGATGAAGGAAGCCCCCACTCCAAACTCCAGTAACAAGGCCAGAAAAAGAGACAAAGAAATATGTGGCCCGAGCCTAGCCAGGACCGAAACCAATCTGAAATGCCCCTTCCCTCACGCGAAAACCCTCTCCCCAATGTGCCCGTCACAGTGCCGATGCAAAGACCGAAGGAAACCGCCCAACCGAAACCATAACATACAGTCGTTAAACACAGGCAGAGAGCCTGTATGCATGCCAACGGCCCCCCGCCAAACCCACCCATCATCCTCAACTCCCATGCCAGTAATCCCGCCCCGCCGCCTCACGCATCCTCGGCGCCAGAACCCGACGCCGCAGCACCCTCGGCCATCTCAACCTTGCCCGCAACGGTCTCCCACCACAAGCCGTGGGCGTCGCGGTCGACGGCGCCGACCTTGGCGATCTCATCGACCATATCACGCACCTTCTCTACAAACTCGGCCAGCCCCAGGCTAGCGAGCTTCTCGCCAGCAGTGCTTGTGGCCCTGACCTTCTCGCTAGCCGACGCCGCGGCTAACCGGCCTAGGACGTGGGCCCTCAGGCGACTCAGAAGCAGGCGCAGTACCGGCTCGCGCGGCTCCGGCTCACGGCGCTCGGCAGCCTCGCGGATGGCGAGGACGAGTTTCGAGACGAGGGCACGTAGGTGCGTCTTTGTCGCCGCCGGTATCGAACGCCCGGATTCGAGTACAGTCATGATGTTGTCGACCGTCGTCTCGGGCAGCTGGTCGCCGTGCAGCTCGGCAGCCTCGAGCACATTGATGATCCGGCTGGCTTCTGTCCTCCAGGGAGCGCGAACGTCTCGTTTAAGAATGTTCTTGCACTGCAGGAGAATGGCCCCAGCGGTGATGATGCGCCTCGTCATCTGCCCAGAGCGGATTGTGCGCTTGTAGTCGAGACGCAGCATCTCCGGAACATCCTCCTCGGCTACTGGACCGAGTTGGGTAAAGAGATTAACAAGCATCTGGGAGTAGATTCGGTCCGGTGTTGGCCTTGACCTCGGGTGATTGATACCCTCTGGGTCTCGGCGAGCAGCCTCGGCCAATATCTTCTGGCGGGCTGCTCGCCATGCTGTCTCGGCCGCCGATAAATCGTATCTGCCTGTTTCGAGGCCGGCGGCAAAGATTTTGGCCTCGTACGGGGTCGCGGACTCGATTATCTGAGGCGCCGCAAGACGGAGCAGGTAGTTTGCGTAGTCGCTGAGCATGACATCGGTGAATCCCATCAACGCCTCGAGTCTGTCCACGTAGTTCCCTTGGCTGAGCTTCGTGTCGACCAACTCCTTCACCTCGTCATCGCGGATCGGTGCGCAGAGCTTGGGCAACAGGGACCCCATGGCCTGGAAGAACTTCTCGTACGAGAAACTGCCCGTCACGAACTGCTGGTGCGCGACATCTGTGTCAAGTAACTCGGCAATGAAGGTATGCATCGAGTTGCCGGGCTTAACCAAGCGTTGTAGTTTCTCCCGGATGTACTTCGCAACCTCCAGAAGGAGTAGGAAATGTGCCTCCTGATTATCGGTTTGCATAGTGCATCTCATCTCGCGGAACAGAGGTTCAAGGAGGTGTTCCTGCTGCTCCCTGTACTCGTCCGCGGCGATCCGAAATTCCTTGTTAATAGCAAGCTCGTGGACAACAACCCTGTTGTCGGGCAACAAGCCCTGAATCTTGCCAGCATGGACATTCGCGTGGACTACCTGGTCCTTCCGAGAAGGCGTGGCCGGCGGTGTAGGTGTCTGGGTCTGGTTCGAAGGTCCATGGTGATCCTGAGCACCCAGGTCTCCCATTGCCGCCTCGGTCGAGATGGAGTGGTCTGCCATGCGAGGCTTCGTGTCGCCGGTCGGCTTCTTAGCTCTTGCCTTTCGAGCCTTCCTGACGGCCTCAAAGACCATATTCTTGCCTTGCTGAGGACCCGCAAGCTTCTTGATCCTGACCATCAACTTCAACTGGTTGTCTTGGATGCTCTGTCGGTAAACCTCGTCGACGGAGCCGTCCGTGTTGTCCTTGACGGTCTGCCAGATGGCGTCGAGTTCGACAAACTGCATCACCATGACCTCGACCAACGAGTTTGAATCCCGCGCCTTCCAACCAATAAATGCATTGTGGAAGGTCGCGTACACCTCCGAAAGTGACCGCAAAAGCGCTGGGGGAGGCGTGTAGTTATTGAGCGACGTCAGGTGGGAGAGGACATTCTCGAACGAGATCAGCAGGTCTCTCGCCTTACCAACCAATTCCTGCAGCTGTGGGTTAGCCAGGTCATCACGAGGAATTGGCTGCGCTTGAGCTGCTCCAACCTGCTCCTGATCTCCCTTGCCCTCCTTGCTACTGAGAACCTGGGCGGGATGGCCCAAGATGAGAAATGAGCTCAAGAATGTCCGCACTGCGGCCATCTCGTTCACCGACCCCGTGTCACCCTCCCTGAGACCACATATCCGGAGGACTCTAGCCGTGATCAGGAGCACATTCTCCTGTGCGAGCAGCTCTGTCACCTTCTCAAATGAGGTATCCCGAACGCCGTCCACAGTCAGTCCGAGCCCGGAGAATTCAGCGACGGCCTGCCGTCTCTTGACAGCCCTCCACCACCACTGAATCTTGGAAGCTGCCACATCCGTGCGCATGGGGCTGGACTCGCGTTCCTTGACCTCCTCAACGTCGGGCAAAACCTCCGCCAGCGAGGGCTTGCTCATCATCAAGCTGTGGCCCCTCTCTCGCCCTCTAAACTTGGCGGCATTCCGGCTCCGCAGCTCCTCCCTCCGCCGCTCCGCCTCGGCCATCCTCTCCTCCATCTGCAGCCTCAGCTTCTGTATCTCCTGCTCCCGCCTCTCCTTCATGCTCTCGGCCACCGCTTTAGCCCTCTTGACTTCCTCCGCACACGTTGCCGCAATCTCGGCTAGGTTCTTCTCCCTCGCCATCGCCACCGCCAGCGCGCGCTCTTCGCTGGCACTGATGTCCTTGGTGGCGGCCTTGGCCATGGCGGCGCGGAGGCGCACCTTCTCCGCATGGGCGGCCCGGTCGGCAAGCCGGGCCTTGCGGCTCTCGAGGATGGACGCGCGCCGCAGATGCTGGGCAATATACTTGCTCTGGGGCTCGCCGGCACCGGCGAGAGAGCAGGCGCCGTGCGACGAGCGCGACTGCACCGACGAGATGCTGTTGCGGCGGGACGAGGCTGCGCTCTCTTTCCGCCGCGACTGGTTTGTGGGGTGGTAGAATCGCGATGCGGCAATGCGCGGTGGTGGGGCGAAGGCGCGGCCTTCGGGGTCGGTGGTGCTGGGGTCGGCGTCATCGTCATTAGTGGTTGCGAGTATGGAAACTTCAGGCGGGGACATGGAGAGATCGAGGCCCGGTTCGGGAATAGTAGAGGAGGGAGAGTCTAGGGGCTCTTCGAGGTTCCGAGACAGCTCGTTTAAGTCGGTTTGAGGCATCACGAAGGCGTCCTGAGGGATCGCGCTGTTGGCGACGAGGGGTAAAATCGCTCGGGGATGCTGATATGGATATCTAGAAATGGGTGCAATAGGGCTAAACACCAGGGGGATGCAGATGCAAATGCAAATAAATCTCCGCGCTAAACCGGGCAACCAAACCGGCGTGCGGGTAGTGTGGTCGTCGTCGTGGGAGCGGGGCAGTACCGGGTTACGAAGGGGGGAAATAGGTAAATAAAAGGTAAACAAACAACCCACAGAACAGCCGGCTCTCGATCGAGCAGGAAATTCGAGTTCTTCTTAAAAAAAAATGAAAGGGGCCAAAGAAGCTGAAGGGAATGGCTACTGTCTGGTTGAAGAAGGATGACGCAGACAGTAGAAAGACAAGAGGGAAGAAATCAGAGTGGGTTCCTGCTGACACAACACGCGCCATCGAACCTGGAAACGACGATATGGAAGGCTGGGGAATGCGGAAGGAGGCGGCCTGATTGGTTCTGGCGTACTAACAGCTGTTAGGCAATCGGCCTTGCAACTCTGTTAGTAGTCTAATTTAGCGGTTACTATTATTGGTAGAGTAACACCGGGAGGCCCCTAACAGGAGCAGTTGAAACAAGACGATTGTCAGATGTGCTTCTGTTCATCTCCACCGTCTGGTGCAATTACGAAGGCATGAGTTTTCATCATTAACTTCCAGGTCTAATGGAGGGATGGAAGCTTGGCTTTGGCACGTGTTTTGGCAAGGTAGATCTGAGTCTAAGCCAGCTGCCAGCCCGTCTTGGAGCCGAAAGCATCCGTCTTTGCAACTGTCATGAAAAACCTTAATTCAACATTGCCGGACGCGTCTTTCCTCTTTGTAGCTTGCCAGACGGAGCTGGACACTACATGGGTGTTTCCCTGCTCCGCCCCCGCTCGATCATACCATGGAGGATTCGGCTACCCCGGCCAGCTAGACTTTCCAGACAAGACGAGGCTCCTCAAGTTTGAAACCGGAGGAGGTATGAGGTCATGATTTCTCCTCCAATTTCCGACATCCCTTGCTCAGAGGTCTTCCATACGATAGTTTACATAGCATCCAATTGTTTTAGCATCACTGTTGTTCATTTTCATTTGGGGATCAAATGCGAAGACCTTCCTCGGTTCCCAATAGGGTCACGTGTTGGACAGAGACCAGCCACGTGATAACAATGCACGGACCGCTTGCATTGAATCGCGGGGATCTAATCCGTGCAAGTCAACCTGGGAAAATTTAACAAGCAGCCAAAAACCTTTGACATCTTTGAACTTCATTCTCTAAGCTCTTGGTTCTCGGCGCTAAACTCTTGACCATCCATAACCTTTCTCCAAAATGGTACGCAAGCTCAAGCATCACGAGCAAAAGCTCTTGAAAAAGCACGATTTCATTTCGTACAAACAAGAAAACAGCAACCGGTCACAAGTTATCCGGCGCTATCTCATCCAAAAAACGGAAGATTATGACAAGTTAAACAGAATATGCGGAGTGAGTCCCCAATCCATTGGCTCTCTCCTCGCTCCCTAGCCCCCAGCTAATCCCATCCTCCCAAGTCCCTCCGCCAGCTCGCCCACCGCCTCAGCCTCCTCCCGCCCGATTCCCCCGTGCGCCTGAAGATCGAGAGGCTGCTCCTCGACAAGCTGTACGACATGGGCGTCCTCTCGCAGGCGTCGCGGCTGTCCGAGGTGGAGCACAAGGCGACCGTGTCCGCGTTCGCGCGCCGCCGGCTCGCCGTCGTGCTGACGCGGCTGCGCATGGCCGAGACGGTCCGCGCCGCCACGTCCTTCATCGAGTCGGGCGAGGTCCGGCTGGGCGTCGAGACCGTCACCGACCCAGCGCTTCTGGTCACGAGGAACATGGAGGACTACGTCACCTGGACGGCCGGGAGCAAGATCAAGCGGAACATCATGAAGTATCGGGACCAGTACGACGACTTCGAACTGCTATGAGGGGGCGGTCTCTTCAGGCAGAGACGGACGTTAACAGGGCCCTTGTCCCTGCTCTGCTCCGATTTACAACCTGCCGGCCCGTTATCCAGCCGTTTGTGCCATGTTTGCGCTAGAAAGCGGCTTCTGGCGCTATCGTCTGTATTGGGGGTGGCGAGAGGCGATCGACACCATATGCTGTGTCTCCCTCTGACAAATCAGCACTGCGCCAGACCTATTTGGATTGTGGATGGCTGCGAATTCAGATCTTGTCAACTTCCAGGCTAGATGCTGCGTGCTGTGCGGACCACGCTAAGATGGGGTTGGTAGGACGTGTGTACGCCAAGTGGACACGTTTCGCTTTCTTGGATGGTCTGAGATACGGGGTTGGACGTGGATCTGAATAACTGGTTCAACGTCCAAATCGGAGACTGGAATGGCGGGTGGTGGATGGCGGTCAGAGCTATCGCTTCCGGCCATAGCAGCAACGTGAAGACACAGCAAAGGGACTGTCTCTCGGTAGTCCTAAGCTGGCTGACGAGTCAGTAGTACTAGGTTATATCCTGGGAACATGCCGAATTATTCTGTTACGATTCGCAATCCGGCCTAAGCAGTTCCATACTCTACATATAAAATCCGTAGGTTCCGCCTATGTCATCCACAATTCAACCTCCTGAAACCTCCCGAACAAGATGTGATGCGTTGCTGGTCAAGACCCAACCGTAGTCCACGTCCTCATCACTCCCCGTTTATCTTACGGAAGTAACCCTCGTCAGCTGCATGCCATGTCCACCCCGCTGGTTCCGATTTGGTTTCGTGGATGTATATTACGCTCATGCCAGCCCGGTCTAGCCGTCCACTGGACCCTGTTTTCCGGAGCTGCGAAGACAATGGTCATCCACTCACGGACGCTTCCGCCGCCTCTGCATGAACCCCTGAACCTTGTTATCCCTTCATTTGGTATCTTGATTAACTTCGCCGGATCTCTCTGATCTGATCATTTAGGACCTCCTTATGCGTCGTTAAACCCAGAGAGCGATTTCGCGCTGCTAGAGCAGCCCAACCATCGCTTCTGATGCTAGACTCAGTAACCCGGGTCGTGTGTTGTGTCGTCATGCAAAGCTCGCATGAGGATTGAATGGCGACACCTGCAAGCTAATGCATTATCGGTTTCCACTTGGTGCCTTGCAGCCCCAAGATTGACTTTGACGCGGAGCCTCGGAAAAGGGGTCTATCTCCCAAGGTGGGCCTCATTCTAAGTTCAATGACTGTAGGACCGGATGATACTACAGTCATTAGATGGTAATATCATCGCAAGCATTCCGCTTATGGCTCAGCACCTTCGTCTCAAATCGGCTGACAGACAGAGGCCCTGATGATAGAAGCTCTCATGCTTCTTAGGCTAGGCAGTCTGACATACGTTGAGGTACCTCTGCAAGGCTCTCCCATATTCATGCACATGCGCAGGTAATCAAGTCATTGTGATTCATTTCCATCTGCCTTGCCCAAAGTCATGTCGTTCCAAAACTTCGGGGCAAAGGTCCTGTCAAATCAGACCAAGATGGACCCTCGGTGCAGATCGGCTGCGCATAGCACCCGATTGCTTCGCTCAACTTGTTCCGTCATCATTAACAACCATCTCGATAAGTTTGAGGGAGCCCCAGAGGTTCAGCAGGGGAGGATAAATATCGCTCATGGCCGCTGGCCGTGGGCATATGGATCAAAAGACTGCAAGCGTCACAAGAACCCAACCCGGCCTTAACCATCAAGTTCCACCAACACCCAACACGTTCCCCTTAGCACCGACACCAAGGACGTGAGGTACGCTCAATCAGACGCTCTTCTGGTTTGATCCTCGACAGCCGGCTACGCAGACTAGTTAACATTCTCAGAACGACCTAAAGATGAAGCCCACAACGCCTCTCGTCAGATTCCTAACCTCCCTTGTGTCTGCCTCGCCGGTACGCGAGACAGCCCGTGGCGAGGGCCAGGCCGTTCTGCAGCTCCTGACCGGTCCCGACACGTTCTTGACCAACGACATCACTGTGCCCGGCACATTTGAGATAGCCGGGGAGTTTGCCGGCGCTACCCTTACCGGGGTCACTGGCCTGGAGGACGAGGACGTGACCTGCCAAGCCTTCTCTGAAACCATCGCGGTCGGGGAATCATTCGCTGTGGATCACGTCACCATCTTCGAATCGGGCACGATCGTATCCATCTCGTCGGTGACCTGTACTATTAACTGAAGACCAGATGGCAATTGGGATGGACCTGGAAAATAACACACTCATGGACTGGTTAAAAGATAAATTCTGATGTAAGTCTGACGGATATAAACAGATCTTGCGCAGTCATTATCTGTTGAGGGATGGAATTGTTATGTATCTCATGTTAGGCACACTATGGGCTGGAGCTCACTTCTCAGAGAAGCCTTAGTCAACCCAAATTATTGCCCAGACCACATGGCTGTCTCCGTCGATATCGTCCTGTCAGACTGTACAGATTCTCACAACCTTTGACCGGTTGCTTAGGCAACCCCTGCCTGGAAAGGGGGTATAAACAGATTTGTCCTATCGAGAATAACCCTTGCCCGCAAACCAAACGCAGGAAGACACTTGATAGAAGTTGGTTTGTCGCGGTACAGTTTCAGTGCCCGATTCAAATCTTGGGAAGGCGTTCTTTCCCCCTTTTTCTGTTTGTATTTCGAAAGTGATGTGTTTAGGTCGTGGCGCGTCCTGAGCTCAGCCACAGCGATGACGTCAAAGCAGGCATGCTACGAAGATGTCTCATGCACATAAGAAACTCGCAACCGGGAAACACGCATGGAGTGGCACAAAAGCCACATCGATACGCGTCCGCCCGGTAAGTGTCTATTCGGTGCCTTGGACCTTTGCCTATAAAAGACGTGGCCCAGAGTAAAGGGAAATCCAGATGTACGGAGCACCTAATTCTTGACCAGGCAGATCCGCCAAGCTCGATTACTTGGAGGTGACGAACACCCCACCCCACCTTAGCTACCCCTCATATCGCATCCAAGCTCCTTCCACATCCCAACCAAAGACCAAGAAAGAACAAACTTATTTTGAAGTTGCCATACATTTATCCACAACCTACTTCCAACTCGATCGCCGAAATCGCCATGAGTGCGAGCGGAACCGACAAGATTCCTCTCCAACCGGGGCAAGTGGAGCAACACTATTACCCCCCGCCACCTCCGGGACCTCCTCCAAGCGATGCCGCGAACCCGCAGCAGCAGCACCCGAACGAGACTCCGATTCCCGATTACGACATCCCAGCTTACGACCCGTCCAAATTAGACGCGCCGCACTTCGCCGGGCCCTCGCCCACGCCCACGGGGCTCTACGACGACGATGATCCGCCTCCCCACCACGCCGATGCCAAGCCCAGCGGCTGGTCGCAACGCTTCTCCGAGTGGGGAACCAAGGCCGCCGCGCCGCTGAACGCGCTGGCGAACAAGATGGGGTCTGAGGCCTTCCTACCTACGACGATGGACAAGGAATGCGAGAAGGCGGCGAGGATCCTGAGGGCATTCTGCAGTAAATTCCCTCCCAAAGCAGAGAGCAACGGCTAGCAACATCTTGATGCCTGATAATGATACTGACGCCCAACCTTTCAGAAGACGGAATCTACAGCGATAACGGCGACAGCAACAGCGCCCCGCAGACCGCGGCCGCCACGAAAGGCGACCCCGCCAGCAAAGCAGCCGCCGCCACCAGCACGACCACCACCACCGCGGCTGGCCCCAACCCGAAGTCCAAGTCCCGCGTCCTGCTGACGATCCCGTCCAAGGTGATAGCCCGCGCGCAGGGCCTCCTGATCTTCACGACGGTGCGCGCGGGCTTCCACGTCACGGGCGCCAGCGGCAGCGGCATCCTCGTGGCGCGCCTCCCCGACGGCTCCTGGTCGCCCCCCAGCGGCGTCCAGGTCCACAGCCTCGGCGCCGGCTTCGTCCTCGGCCTCGACATCTACGACTGCGTCGTCGTCATCAACACCCACGAGGCCCTCGACGCCTTCACCCGCACCCGCATGAGCCTCGGCTCCGACCTCGCCGTCGCCGCCGGGCCTTGGGGCGCCGGCGGCATGGTCGACTGGGGCCTGCCGCAGGAGGGCAAGGGCAAGGGGAAGAGCAAGGACGGCGCCGAGGGCGGTCGGGAGAGGGGTAGAATGGGCGACGAGAAACCCGTCGGCACGACCTCCGCACCCGCCGACACACCCGCCGACCTCCCAACCCGCCCCCTCGAAGCCCCCCCACCAACCACCACTTTCCAGCCCCAGCCGCAAGTGACCACCGGCGCCGGAACCGCCCCAGCGCCAACCATATCCGTCTCCCCCGCAACAGCAGAGCCGCAGCAGAGCCCCACCGAGCGCAGGCCCAGCCCCAGCCCCAGCCCCAGCCCCCTCCGCGACGCCCTCCGCCGCCCCGTCTACAGCTACGTCAAGTCGCGCGGCTTCTACGCGGGCGTCCAGGTCGACGGCACCGTCGTGGTGGAGCGCCGCGACGCCAACGCCGCCTTCTACGGCGGCCGCGCCCCGGTGTCCCGCATCCTCGCGGGCGGGGTCGAGCCCCGCCCGGGCCCGGACCACTGGCCCGCCGCCGCGAGGACCCTCGTCGACGTCCTCCGCGGCGCCGAGGGCTGGAGGGGCCACTCCGACTCCCAGCCCCACCCGCGGGGCCCCACCGTCGGCTTCGCCGAGGCAGCCGCGGAGCCCCGCGCCAACGTGGTCCCGAGCCCCGGGCCCCCCGCGTACACCGAGTCGACCGCAGTGCCCGACGACTTGCCGCCCGCTTACGTGGACGTCGGGCAGGCGCCGCGGCCTGGGGTTGGGGATGGCAAGACTGGCCTGCACTGATGAGACGGGGATGAGAGAGGATGGGTTGGACAGTAGGGCTGGCATTGGGAGGGGGAGGTGAAAGGATACTTGATGGTCGTTTGATTCCGTGAGGCAGGCGTGAGGTGTGATGCATGATTAATAGAAGCTCTGATACCCAAAGACTTGCCGCAGAATCTGTGAGGAAACGGCGCTGACGGCGTGGCTAGAACGACGTGGCCGGCTCACTCGCTTCGTCCCAATGTTGTGCTGTGGGCTGACTTTCAAAACATCCGAGTTAAGTCTATGTACGAGGACTCTGTCCATCACAAGTCAGGCATCGATGTGCCACCATCCCGAGACTCCTGTAGCCTCCATATATCACCTGAGATGGCCACCGATATGATAGCTACAAGCGAAGCTTTCGCTTAACTCCCCAGAAATCCATCTCCCCAAAATGTAGCAAAGAGCAAAAGGGAAATACCATATAGTCTATGCGCCGGATGGTAAGGGGAAAAACCCCCGGCTGAAGGCCGTGTCTATCTACACCGCAAAGGAAAAAAATGATTAGATGTATCCTCCGTGGTGCCCGTCCGAACCGCAACTCTTGCGGTTCAAGGCCCAACCTGCAAAGCAAAGCAGTCTGCTGATGTGTCCTGTCCTAGGAGCACATATGCCGTTCCAACGCCATGTCCGGGTAGAGGCCGGGACCGATGCTCCATGATATGAGATGCTTGTGATAAAACCCAGGCAGATAGTGAGTGACTGTAGTGCGGGTGACATTATGGATTATCATTTAATAGATGTGGTGATGTTTTTGTCCGCTTTCCTCCTCCTATTTGCCGAGGCTGACGGTGCGAGTCTAGTCGCTTCGTGGGACGTCGATGAATGTGGTGATGAATCAGGAAGCCCGGTCAAAATAACAAGCAGAAGACTCGGTTACGAGGAAAATGCGCCGAATGGATGATGAGGAGATCCAGAAGGGATGAAAATACAGGAGAGAAAAGCCTCATGAGATCCAGACAAGTTCGATGATGCCGTCCAAGTCGCTCATGGGCTCGTCGCTTTTGGTCTTCCAGCGCCAGTCGTCGCTTTTGCGAACATAGATCTGGCTGACGCCCCCGTCGTCGTTGACGGTGCTTTCTTGGAGGTCCCATGATATCTTGCGCCCCGTTTTGTGGAGCGATTTCCGCTGAGGGCCGAATCTTAGGTCGAGATTCCAACCCTTGTCCCGTGGGGCCGGATTAAATGTCCTCTCAAATTGGTTCATGTCGAAATCAATCCCCTTAGGATAGTAGGCGATCGAGAAACCGTTGGAGATGACAAAATCGTCCCTGGTTCGGAAGCGCTGTAGGCTGCAATCCTCCCCGCAGAGGTGAGCCACCTTGGTGGTCTGCCACGGGAATGCAATGTGCCAGCCGCCGCCCCGGTAGTGGTGCAGCGACAGGGGCTTGATACCCGACTCATAAAATCCAGACGGGTCGCCATAGAGATCCAACTGCCACAGGTCTGGTAGGACGGTGAGCTTGACTTCGGAATTGTCATAGATGCACTTGCGCAGCAGGATGTCACCCTGCGGTCCCCAGCCCGTGTTGGACTCCTTTATCTTCTCGTCAACTTTGCAACTCTCGTACTTATCCGCAATCATTTTGGCCAGTGGTGTGCTGAGGAAGACGCCGGCTCCTCCAAAGGCCTGGGAACCGTGGCGCTCTATGTTGTTGACATCCTCAGACAGGGTGCCGATGTACATGGGCTGTTCATGGTCGAACTCCTCAAACCTCTCGACCAGGGCGTTGAAGGAGGGGAAGAAGGTGTCGTCGTCGCAGGTAACAATCCACTTTCGGGCCTTGCGGTCCGGGTGGTTGTACAGTTTGGGAACCAAGGTGAGGTAGCGCACCGCCATCTCCATGGACGGGTCGGACTGGTAGACATCCACGTTGATACCGACCGCCGAGAGCCTGCTGTAGGCATCCTCCAACTCCCGCTCGGCGGCCCCCAGCAGCATCAAAATCAGCTTCCCACCATTCGAGTGGCCTCTCCCGTCGGTCAACCAGTACGTCCACTCATTGATTGAGCTTGTCGCCGGGTCGGTGAAGCGATTGTAAGTTGTCGATACACCAAAGATGAAGTCGGAAGCATTGGCATTGGAGGGGAAGGGAGACCGGGTGACCGGGACCGCCAATGGCTCCGGACATGTCTCCATCTTGTACTGTTTCTTCAGGTCAATGACCTTCACCGAATCTGGCATGAAGTCCTGGTCGAGTTTCGTGACTGATTTGCGCTCTATGTCCTGTCGAGAGATCCTGACGTATCGTTTGGTGTACTCGAATTTGGTCTGCAGGCTGTACTTTTCCTGAAGCTCCTGCAAACGACTCATGTCGTAGTCACAGGACATGATGAAAGGCCGCGACGAATTTGTATAGGAGGCACCGGCGGAGTCTGTGGTTTCCTTGGTACCGGTTACATCGCTGCTCTGTCCATGCAACGGATGCTGTGAGGAGCCTGCCTCCTTTGCTCCCTTGGCGGTCCTCAGGATGGCCGCCCGCACGTCAATAGCGTCCGATCGAATCATCAAGAACACAATGAAGACGGCTGCGACTGCGAGCAAGACGATTCTCGCGAATGGGTTCCTCATGTTGAAGCAGCGATGCGGCGGCGGCAAATTGGCTCCCATGACACCTATTCTGAGAGGCAAGACCGCCAATGAGTGATAGAAATAGTTGCGCGAGGATCAGGCGCACCCCTCGTTTTCGATGGGCCGGGGGTTATGACAGTGCGGATCGGTCGGGGGCAGTTCGCTTGGGTCGCTTCGAGTCGAATCTCGACTCCAGGTCAATGTTGAACAAGGTGTGCCGAGTCAAACGAGGGTTCTAACTGGGTACCACGAGCTTGTGGAATGTGATCCAAGAGAAGTCGCACAGCGGTTCCCGGAAATGGAACAGAGAGAGAGTAGAGTTCAACAAACAAGTACGTCGAGATATGATAAACGAGGGAAGAGTAGGAGCAGAAACACTGCTCCCAAGATCGCGAGAAGGACATTAAAGCGGGGAGAAAGAAGAGTGATGGAGGGACGACTCGCCAAGATTTAGAGACAGGAACGTCTTTTTGGGGGGGTTAAATTACCTAATAATAGGATCTGCCGTTGGCAACAGGGGACGGAGGACAGGTACATACAACCAACCTACACTAGAACACCTGCAGTCCCTTCTACTGGCAGGTACCAATACTGAGGTACCGATGGTAGGTTGGAACTCCCTGCGAAAACCAAGACATCGACTAGCGATTCAATGAATCTGTAAACGGAAGGACCCACCAACGGGTTGCCCCATCAGATTCAGCTCAGCCAAGCCCTGAGGCTCTGGGCATCACGTCTTCTGCACCTAACCTTAGTTGTCCATTAGTGGGCCCTTGCGTGGATGCATTGAACATCACAATTGGCAGAATAAGATGGAGGTGAAACAATAAGAATCTAAAAAGGTGGTGGGGGTGGGGATTAGTGGGGCCAAGCCGCAGAACATCTGCAGTGGAAATAAAAATTGGAAATGACGCGAAAGAGCCGTGTGCTTGGCGGTAAACCTTGGGATGTTTCCAAGCCTATCTCGGTCTGGAAAAAAAAACCGGCACTGCAAACAGTATCGACCAAGCTAGCTGGGGAAGACTAAGTTAGATTAAGCCAGGAAAAGATCATTTAATAGGTAGAGACGATCCCATAGCAATCACAAAGCTGTGTTAAGTTGGAAGGCGCCTGGTAAGAATTTTTTGGGGCTGCAATTTACAGTTAGAATGGTGCTATTTAGAGTGGTGTTGTGGTTTGCGGTGCCGGTTTTTTTTCCTGACCGAGCCTATTTACCATCAAGCTCATGGAAGCCATTGTCACATGGCATGATATCCACCTAGTTGCCTGCATGTAAAGTAACATGGATCCTACCTGGCAGGTTCCTGCTCAGGATCGGCAGAATTCATTAATCAGGTAAATGGATGGGCACGACTCAATATGATGGATGCACCGAGTTGCGAGCCAACCAAGCTTTCCAGTGGAACCAGTCCAGCAACAACATCCATTAGACGGCCATTCGAGAAGGCGAAGTGGATATTCATGTGATGAAGATGGAGATGCGATTTTCTATTTTGAAGTGTTTGGTTACGCGTCCAGTGGCGTCCAACCAACAAGATATTCTGGTCCATGGTCGATCCCGAAACTGAGAATCCATGGGCCACCAGGACCACACAGAGATCTGCAACTTCTCAAGTGGTGGAAGAAAAAACGCTCGCACGAGTTACCCAGCTCACTAACTTCTCTAGGTCATTCCTTAATAATACTCGGGAGGAAGCCACGAGAGATTGTTAGTGGATACTTTTAACCTATTAGTAAACAGGGTAACTCGTGCGAGGGTTTTTGTTTCCACCACTTGCTTCTTCAAGAGGTTCCAGATTTCGGCAACTAACCAAGTGATCATCTCTAGGTATGACGTAAATATCCACTGCCTCGTAGCCGGGTAAGTCACTTTGTCGAACCCAAACAGCTTTGGCCCGCCACAGGCCTGATACAACTACCGAAGGCCGTCAGCAGGTGTCAAGTCCGAGATACGGAGAAAAAAGGAGGTGAAATGTGATGAGACTCTTTGGTCCGACTGAAAAATCCCCGTACTACCTACCTATGGATGATGTCAAAGCTGGGCATTTTCCTGGTTCTTGGCTCCTACAAATACGGCGGTGCGGGCGGGAAAATGGAACCCATGGATGTTAATAAATATTCATCAATGGCTACCGAGGCCGTTTACATGGCTGTTAATCTCGACGGGTCCTTATACTCCCTATCGGAAGCTAGAACTGTGCAGCAGATGGAGAAGTGCGGCTATACGACACCTTTCCCTTCCGAGCAGTTTCCCTGTATGTCTGAGCCAATGTATGTACTCTCCAGACGAAACGGCGCAGTCAAACAACCCTACTGTTTTACCTGGTACGGGGTACACCTCCTCCAGGATTTCAAACGTTAGTGTGGCAGGGGTGATATACAATTTTGGAAGGCGGTGGCAATATGGCCCCATCAGGTACTCGCGCTAACTTTTGAAATCCTGGAGGTATAGGTACTGGATACCCCCGAATTTGCCAAGCCCAATCGTTGTTCCACCCGGCAGATCCACAGCATCCGCCAAGCCGATCCGATCAACTGTCACCTGTCACCCGAATTCTGGGCGTATGCGATACCTCCATCCGTACACTGCCACCACAGGTGCAGAGACAGTGCACAACGGCTCGTCGCCCCCCTCCTTTTCCTTCCTCTTTCGTCCTCCCCTTTTACCCCTTTTTATTCCTGGTGGGACTTCAGTCTCGGCCATTAGACACAGCCATGTCACAAGGTAATAATTCAGGCAGAGGAACGGAGGTAACTACCATCAAGTGGATGACAGCTCTTGTCTCTCCAAAGGTTGCGTGTACAACGTTGATGCCGTTATTCGTACATTTCTCCAGATCTAATATCCGTACGGCTGATCGAAGTACGGACAATTAATACCCCTGTCACACCCTGTCACCCTCGCCGTTCTGCCGGATAGAGACCGACCACCACTGAAATCGACGAGGAAAACGAGCAACCATCGTGACTTGGGGGAGGTCGCACCAGCAGCCCAAGAGCACGAGAGGGAACAGGATCTCGAAAATCACGACCAGGCAAGGAGGTCACCACCATGCAGCTGATAATCGCGAGAAAGCTGTGGCATATGGCTACGGCAAGTCATGCGGCGATTTCGCCGCTGCGCGTCATGCTTTTAATCTCGAAACCTTCAATTGTGTCGATGTTTCCAAGTGGCTCCGGCGGAGGCCAGGCTGAAGTCTGTCTGGCCTGCCAAGGAAAGGCTGCTGTGAAAACAGCAGATTGAACCTGCAGCTTGAGTTTATGTTAAGGTTTATTTCCTTTTCTTCATGTCCTGCGCCAGGCTCTTGATTTCCCTTCCATCTCACTCTAATTTTCAGAGGAACCTCATGCACATTCCGCTTGGGCATGTGCATGCCCGACCAGCACACATCCCCACCGTGAAGTCAGTTTGAAGCGAGAACTTCAATCGAAGGAAGCTCCCAGACCGGATGGTCTCGGAGAGTTGCTGCTAAGTTTCTCGGAGCAGCTTCATATGCCTTTCAGATGATTGTTGTTCAGACCAAACTGAACTGGAGCCGGCTCCATCGTCGAGCATACCCTAAAGGGAAACATGATTGAAGTTTGTCTGATGTTGATTCGTGCTCGATAAATGCTGCGCAGCAGCAGCAGATTAATTGGGAAATACTTCATGTCCAAGGGATTGAAAGAAACAAGGAAACACAAAACACTTTTATCTACCTGGAACATCTTTGGAAAGGAACCATGAATGGGTATCTGTCTCTCCACCCCCCCCCCCCTTTATGCCGAGATATACGCATACATATCTCCCGCAACCAAAACCACCCTTCCTACTCAAGCCCACTTCCCGAGCACGCTCATGACCACCATGCCGCTCACGAGGCCCGTCATGCCAAGACTCGTCGCCAGCAGGCCGGCGCCGGCCAGCTCGCCGCCGGGCATCCAGTCCTCGGCCAGCATCTCGACGACACCGACCCAGGCGAGGATGCCCGCCGACAGCGAGTCCAGCGTGCCGAGCGCGATGATGGTCGACGGGTCGTTGCCGTTGAACCTCCCCAGCACGCCGATGCCGATGGCCATGCCGATGGGCGTGACGACCGCGAACGCCGACGCGAGCAGCAGCTTCCGCGCCGTCGACACGGCCGGGCCCGCCCGCTTGGTCTCCTCCTCCGGCGGCGGGCTGCTCGGCTCCCCCGGCCCGGAAGCGGCGGCTGTGTGGTGGTGGTGGTGGTGTCCGTGGTGGGAGGCGCCCGCGGCCACGGCGGCGAGCGAGTTGCTGCCCTGGCCGAGGGCGGCGATGCGGGTGCCGAGGGCGATGCCCTCGAACATCTGGTGGAAGATGATCACGATGGTCAGGGTCACGAAGACGGAGTCGCCGGCTACGACGAGGGTGACGCCGATTACTGTGCGTTGCGAAGTCATGTTAGCAAGCCATGGCACTCATATGACACTTCCTTCCCAACCACCGTCCACCACCCGGGGATAGTCAGTGCAAAGGAGAATGTCGGGACACATACGCAGCGAATGGAAGATGATGCCAGCCTCCAACAAGGTGACGTTGACCAGCTCGGTCGACGTCGTGACCTGCGACGGGGAGCCGCCGTCGAGGCTGGTCGTCTTCTTGGCGGCGTGCCACCGCGCGAGACGCTGGCCAGCGTAGTCAACCAGGAAGGAGAGGAAGAGGCCGGCCATGAGAATGGAGGCGGCCGTTCCCTCGTACTTGAGCTCGCCGAGGCACTCGTTCTCGAACATGAGGTTGGCATGGGTAAGCAGCTGTAGATGTTCAATGGCATGTCAGTGGATGTCCCGCACAATGAGTCCCTGCAGAGCAGCGACATGAACCGGGGGCTCGGGCATGCGTACGTGGACGAAGGCAGTGGAGATGATGACACCTGTACCAAACTGCTTCAAGGTGGAAAACAGGATGGCCAGCTTCCGTGGAAAGATCGACGTGAGCAGGATAGGACCAAAGACTCCTGGACCAAAGTGTCAGCTACTTGCTCCATCTGTCGTCCGGTTTGACCAGATGGGGCTCCCATCTTACCGATTGCGCTCGTGGCCAGAATGACGAATAGCATTCCCACCCTGAGACGGACATTGTAGTTGCGGTCTTTCCGCTCGCAGCTCCGCGCACCACTCTCATGCGAACCGCCAACGCAGTGCCTAACGAACACATGCGTTAGATAACATGTTCTGGCATGGGGAAGTACCGGAGGGTGCTCACTCGACACCAGCATGGAAGTGGCAGTTCTCGCCCTCTGGCTCCCCTGCGTCTTCCTCCCCGGCTTGCTCTGCGGGGACAATTTCTACGTCATCACCCGTGGGCGAGATGCAGAACCTGGTGAAACGTCAGCAAACTTCCGATGAGTAACTCTGGAGTGTCTTGGGGAAACCCACGTGTCAGAGCCATGGCTGTGGCAGCCCGTGTAGGCTGGCGGGATGTCCGAAGTGGCTGTGACAGTGGTCATGATGTAATATTCGCTCTCGCCAGCCATGCAGAACCTGCAGAGTCCTGCCGTTAGCTTGCTTTCATGTCCGCAAGGTTGGTCAGATGCCGTCACTTACAAGGACGAGCCGTGGGTATGGCATTCGGAGACCGCCGTAATGCTCGAACCCCTGGGCTTGGCAGTTTGCACCGCTGGTGGTTTGGCGGCTCCAGCCTCGGCTGCCAGGACGATCTCGACCTCTCCGCCATCGGGGGAAATGCAATAAGTATCGCTGCCGTGGCTATGGCAAGCAGTGTATGAGGACGGCAGCCCCGTAGTCGCGGTCATTGTTTCCATGACACGATACTCTGTGGTACCAACCATGCAATATCTAATAGTCGTCGAGGTCAGTTACGGGTGATCGCAATCGATTAACACTCCCTGTTGAGAAAGAGACACACGACTTACTGTACTGTTTCATGGAGATGACATTCTGATATCGCCGTGACCTTGGCCGCCGCCGTCGAGGTTGGGGTTGCCGTTGTCTCAGCAGCTTGCCTTCTGATCGGGTGATCAGCTGAAACTGTGGCCGAACCCCAGAGGAGCAGTCCGCCAAGGAGGAGGAGGTTTCCCAGCAGTCGACACATCTTGACCGCCGTTGTGGGGGCTTCCAGTAGTGAGATTGGCGATGGGAGGCGATGGGAGGGGCACCTCTGAGTCGACTACAAAGGGGTGCTCAAGATAAGATCAGCACTTGAATCTAGGACAAGTCAGTCGATCACCGCGTTCTGTGGCCGGGACGGATGATCGATATGTACCCTCGAGCGGATCTCGGCCCACGTTGTTTTCACGTTGGACCGGTAGTGCGGCAAATTAATAATGTAAACTCTCCGATTATACGGACCCGGTTGACCAGCTTTTGGGTCTTGACTCTGGAGACGTGGCCCACCTGGGCGTGGGGTGACGGGGTGCTGGGAAGGGTTGTTGTTGGAACCTGGACACCACCTTCAGCGCCGAAGTTTGCTGTTGCTGAGACTCGCAAGAATAGAACCCGTTGTCGTCTCTGTAATAACCAAGTTTTCAAAGTTCACTTGAGAGACTCTGCTACCAACGTAGGAGAGTTCACTTGTAATTATTTCCTTGGGAAAGTAAAGTCGATTTTGTCAAATCCATCAGTCATCGGACCAGCAGACTGTATTATTGGCAATATTGAGAGCAATTTTTCCCGCAGAAGAAGAAGTTTCTGACCCGTAATGGTAAGCTGGACAGAGAGCCAAGAAGTTGAGGCTTCCTTTGAGAACCTTGTTGTCCAGCTCTTGCATTGCCAAGAGACTACGGATCTTGAGCTAGGAAGACCAACTTCTCTTTCTCAGCAACTTTCTGGTGCTTTTGAGTCTTGGCTTTGTGGGGGGTTTCTTGGCTCTTTGATTTTGTTCGGGCGCTTTGCAACCTTTTATACCTGGGCGTAGTCGAGGTGAAGAACCTCTTTGGCCAACTACTAGGGCTGGTGTGAGGCTTTTACCAATCATATTGAACTGAAATCGGAAGGAGGCTCTATTCTAGGAAGTTAGAGTCTTGGCTAGGTAGTCATAGAAACCCTTCGATTGCGGGAACCCTATCATTCCATGACTCTGAACCTGTTGGAGTCCAATGCTGGCGCCAGTATCACACATACCATTATCATGGCTCCTACACAATATGCAATAGCAAGCTTTATAATCACGCAAACCAAAGTATCGGACCCGTTCCTTCCCAGGGGTCGCTCCCTGCCCTCATTAAACTGGATTGAAGGATAGTCTCCATCAGGTCGATAGAGAGCTTGGCGCTCGCCAACTGTAGGAGAGGCATCTTCAGCGTATATGACCATCCTGCGTAGCTTATAAGTAACCTTTTCGCACAATCCTCCCGATCCAATCCCCAATATCTTCCATCACATATCAGCCTCCCAAACATACAGTCTCTCCAGAGACCTTGATTCAACCACCACCACCATACACCCAACTTGACGCCACTTGCGTAACAACAGCCCAACACGAAGGCAACCACTTTCGTTCCTTTCCTTCTCGGATTCCTCTCCGCAGCTTCTGCGCAGACCGTCACCCCCTCACCCACCGAGTCTGTCGGCTGCCAGCCCCACGGAGACCACTGGTATGTCTTGTCTCAACGCAACAAGTCAGCCTAACCCAACGACCGACCCATACTAACCCCCCGTCCCTCCTTCCAGGCACTGTGCCGGCCCTCGTACAGAGACAGCCGCACCAGCCACCACCATCCTAACGTCGCCCACGACGGAGGCACCCGCCGAGTCCACCCACGACCACGAGCACGAGCACGAGCACGAGCACGGCGACGGTGACGACGACGACGACGACGACGACGGTGACAACCACCACACCGAGACGGGCTCGGCCACCCGAGCCCCGAGCCCAACCGGGTCCGTCGGCTGCCACCCGCACGGCGACCACTGGCACTGTGCGGGCCCGGCCTCCACCCCTGGCGCCGGCTCCGGTGCCGACTCCGGTGCCTCTTCCTCCGCGGCCGGCAGCGCCACGGTCAGCGCCAACCAGACCTCGGCGGCCGAGACGGCCAGCTCCGCCGACCCGGCCGTCACCGCGGCCGCCCCGCGAGGCGTGGTCGACTCCGTCGGCGTCGTCGGCTTTGTCGGTCTCGCTGCTGTCGCCCTGATGGCCATCTGAGTTCTCGGCGTGAGACGGGGACCCGGTGATGCCGTGACGCAAGATCGAAAAAGACTGAGTGTGGGTTTTGTGTGTTTTTACTTTAGACTTTTTGGGGGGTTGTTTCCCGCCATTATTACTACTCTGCTGTAAACTGACCGTTATAATGATCCTGTTCCTTTTTTTTCTCCCCCTTCCCCTACTCTGCCAAGGACGGTCGTTATGATCCAGGTTCAAACGTTCTACACGACCTACACACGGCAGTTCGATTGTGCATGTATGGGGCTGGTAACCACCTATCTAGAAAATAGATTTGATTTATACATTACCATGAACCAGACCCTCAACACTGCAGTCAGCTGGTAGTTATCTACCAAGGCGTATGCCATTTGAGGTAATCGATTTGTAGTATATTGTCATCCTGCTCCTTTACATGAGCGCGAAATACGTCTTTGGTCATATGACGTGTTCAATGAGTAGGCGGCAACGAGAGTTCAGAAAAGTTGCGTTTAGGATATGCACGCGAGGGAATACAATGGATGCTCTATAATAGTCTCGGCAGGATGTTCCTGCGCAAGCATGTATTAATTACCGACTGCATAGGGTGCGACTGTATTGTAATTATACAAGAATTAGTATGCAGGCAAGCTGCAGCTCCGGAGAGATCTACATCCTACCCTACTTATATTATCGAGATATGGCAATTGAATAGTTCAGATTCATTCATCTCACCTTCAACAACCTACGTCTTTCTTTCCATCCTCAACTAAGGCTTGCCACCGAGCTTAACCTGGATTGAACATCACAGATTGTTTTTTCTTAATCCTGGGTGCTGTGCCCCTTGAAATGGTTATCACTATCTCTACAGGTCCTATATGCGTAGTTCCTGAAAATAGTCAACGGTGCTAAGATGTCTTGTAAGGATGCTGTCCTCGGGCGTGACCTGTGAGGAAGATGTGATGGCAGGGCGAGATTGGATTGTGCCCCTAAACAGAGAAATACAATAATCCCAATCATTACTAGAGACATAATACACTGGGCATTCAAGGTATTCAATTTTGAACCGAAACTGATATTTGCACCCTTATCCTCATCTCAACCTTCTTGTATATAAAAGAAGAAACTGACTGAAAGGCGCTCTCATGTGGACCCCTGCTGATCTTCCTGTAAGCAAATTTTGCAGCTTTCCATTGGCCAATTCCGACAACCCCTGCCTCTAGTGTACGCTACTGCATAACAAGTCGCTCTAAATCGGACCCCCGCCCTCACAGTCACAAGGAGGAGGCAAATGCCGAGGCTCATATGAAGGTGGATAAAATCTTATAACTGGAATTCCTCTGAAGACAGGAAGAGACAGGATGGGCATCAACACATCGACACAATCCAGGTCACCCCCTATTGAAAGCTTGATATCCGTTGTGCGGAAACATCAAAAACATGGTCTCTCATCCATTTTCATCGCCCTCGTCTTGGTGGTCCGAGATCGTGGCGACGTATAATCCACACAAGATCGAGTTTGTCGGTACCCTCATAGTCCAGATATGTTCCTTCTGGCTCGTCTCCGCCTTTTACATCTCTCTCGACCACCTCCTGCCTTCCTTCTCGGCCCGGCACAAGATCCAGCCGGCGCCAAAGCAGCCCACCCGGGCTGAGATCTGGCACTGCCTTCGCGTCGTCTCCAGGAACCAGCTCATGTCCCTGGGCCTGGCGCTACTCAACACGACTGTATCGCTGAAGACGGGCCGACCTTGCGCCTTCCGGGTATCCGCCACCCCTCCGCCGCTCGCCGAGCTGGCCACGGAGCTCATCCTGTGCACGCTCATGCGCGAGGTGCTGTTCTACTACTCGCACCGGCTCCTGCACTCACCGCGCTTCTACCGAGCGATCCACAAGCAGCACCACAAGTTCACGGCGCCCGTGGCGCTGGCCGCCCAGTACGCCCACCCGGTCGAGCAACTGGTCGCCAACACCATGCCGGTGATGCTGCCGCCCCTGCTGCTGCGCAGCCACGTGCTGACCATGTGGGCCTTCCTGGGCTCCGTCCTGGTCGAGACCGCGACCGTACACAGCGGCTACGACTTCTTCGGCGGCGCCGCACGCATGCACGACGCGCATCACGAGCGCTTCAACGTCCACTTTGGCGTCATCGGGCTGTTGGACTGGGTCCATAAGACGGGGGGAAAGCCTGCGAGGGCGAAAGGAGAGTGATGGTGTTCGAATTCTCATTAGGGATCTAGCGGGACTCGGACATAGTCTTCCCAGAGAGTTGAGCATGTTAGTTAGAATCAATTCGGCACGAGATACAAGGACACGAGCATGGATGAGGATGGTTTCGGGGCTTTGAATTGCCCCCACCCCTCACTTGTCCTATTCAACTCGAAGGACACGATAAAGGGAGGTGGAGAGAGAGGGCCAAGCGAGGCAAGGGGGGAGGAGTTTAGGTTTCGTGATGAAGATGTCGGTCCTACCTGAGATGGCGAACTTTGATGGGGCTATCTATAATACAACGTAGCAGATGCATTAGAAAAGTTAGGAATTTGTATTGGCAAGGGCCGGCCCGGCTTTAAACTTGTCTGAGAAAGTGATGCTGTGGTTCTACATCTTAACAGAGAGCTACAATTTGTTCCTATTTTGTCTCGGGTGACATGGCATGAAGGGTTCAATGTCAACCCGAATACAAGGAGAGTAGCCCGCTCCGTTTCATGCGTTTCCGGGTTGTTTGCGTGATGAAATCGAAGTGTAGTTCCACTTGTCAGCTTGCATCTAAATTTAAGACGGTTAGCCAGTTTCTGGAGTAAATACTGAGAATTACGCAGCTCAGATAGAGCCACAAAGGATGTCAAGTCCGAGGGAGAATTAATTATTGCCCCATTCCTCATTTCGAGTCTCTGACAGCATCCAGTCCATCCTAGGAGCCCGCACGAGCATGGATGTTTCTCTTCGTTGGAAAGCCTCGTGAACTGGATGTAAGGGTGGAGGAGGAACCACAACTAGAACCACTTGCAGGTCCACCATTGTGTCTACTTCTTACCCTTGAGTGGAGGCATTAGAGGTGATGATCAAAGATCTACGTCGACCACAGGAGTGCGATCTCATCAACAGGTACTCCTACTGCACGCTCAATATCCACCTGTCACCAATCTACAACCCCTGAACGACAGAGGCTAGCTCCGAGACTCGCAAGAAAGGACCTCTCTACAACAGTCACCCGCAGCATCCTCTCTTCTTCTCTAGTCACATGCATGGCTTTTTTGAATTTCAACTTGTAGATGCTCTCCGTATTAAGACCTAGTAAATCCACGGTGGTCCGAGATCTTGTGTCGCCACCCAAGACAGGCGGGGTTGGTGGTCCCGTCAACGCCCAAGACCGGAAGAGCTTCCCCATCTGGCACGGAAAACTGGCTGCCTCCCTTGACGCCGATGATTTCTCCAGGGCGGGGAACCGGCCATAGGTCAGAGAGCAACTGTCTTAAAACTGCCAAATTTTATGCTGTATTTGTCTCCGGAGGCATCAGCTTTCAATTAGCAACGCGAGCTGATCTAGTTCTGTTTGGACCGCAATGAATCACGATTAGAGAAAAATCGAAGAAGAAATTAACCCTCGGCAAAAGCTGAGCTGAAGGACATATTAGGAATATCGATTGAATGAGGGGTTTGCCCAATCGCAGCCCCCCACCAGCCAGCCAGAAAGACTGTCAGATGTCAGAGCATATTATGACGAGCATTTGGGGACAATGCGTATTCCGGACAGTTGCACAGCTAGGTGACCTCCCCGCCCTCCATCAGCGGCGGATAATTTCGCGGGTGCATCGCGGGGAAAAATCGTAGGTGACGTACAACGTACGTCTCTTGAATGTGGATTTGCCAAACTTGACAGCCCTTGGGAGTCGGTCCAGGGTCCGAGCAATTACACTTAAGTATTTCAACCCTTGCTTACCTACGCACACCACACACATGACAGATAGTAGGCCATACCCGACGTGAGAGATGGAGATATCATGTTTTGGAGAATCCATTCATGTCCAGGCACCCATTATATATGACGGCCCGGTCGGCTGGGACATGGTCGGGAGAGCCGCATGCTGAAGCAGCAGGGGAATGCGCGTTCCAGACGCGGCCAAAGGCACCGCTGCGATGATCAGTTCAGGGGCTGAGTCGTATTGTTAGCGACAATGGGTCCCTGGAGGGTCCAAACGACGAATGGGAAAGGACAGGCACCCTCGCGCTAGCACCTACCACAGTATAGCGCCCAGTTGCCGCATTGCCGAGACCCACTAACCGCATCACGTGGCCGCAACCCCCAGCTCCGTGATTTGCAATCCCGCGAACTCGCAGGATTTCCGGGATCCCGAACCTCTTCTCTTTCGACGGTCAACCCCACAGTCCAAAGCCTTGTCTCTCGCAAGCTCGCAGTCGCCTTCAAGCCGCCCGGGTCCGGAAATATAGTGTTTCTATGACGAGAAGCACTTCGTTGGACCGCTCAAGCGTTGCGCTGCGTCCGCCCTGCGACACGGGCCGAGTCATGTTGTCGTCCAAATGAGGATTGGCATCCGCGAACAGCTTGCTGCCGTCGTCCTGCTCGCCGTTCTCATCAGCCTCAGCATTGTGTCGATCCCGACCTGGCTCTTTGTGAACAACTTTGTGGGCGATGTCAAGACCCAGGCTCTGGCCCTCACGGCCTCGCTCAAGGCTGCCCAGATCGCCTCCGTCCTGGACCAGCTGCTTGTAATCAGCAACAGCATAACTACACGTGGTCTCATTCAGGACTCTCTGCGTCGCTACTACACCGGGAATGCGAACCAGTCCGATTGGGATGCCGCCGTGAGTAGCACCACATCTACCTCGCCTCACTTCCCGTGTGTCCTTCGTCCCTATGCTCACAACCTTGCAGGCTGGGACTCTGGTATCTGCGCTACAATCCAGCTCCTTTGTCGACCTGCTTCAAGCAAGGGTCTACACGCGTAACACCACAGTTGACCCTTTTGGTGATCCCATCGCTGTTCTCAACGTGACGGCGAGCGTAGAGGATGAAATTGAGCTGCCCTTCGCACATCCTAATGGCTCGAGTGTCCATCTTGGTGACCCGGACCAGGGCTTCCCCCCCCAGCTCTACCCAAATCTCACCCATGGCCCCGATTCCGCCAACGTGGAAGCATTTCCCACTGTGTCGGTAACCACAAAGAACATGCTCCTCTTGGGACCGCTGATTATCAACGAGACGTACGCCCTCGTGTCTATAACTCAGCCCATGTTCAACAGCTTCAACAAGAAAGAGGTCATTGGCTACATCACCATCGTTGCTGCTGCGAAGGAGCTCTTCAAGATCGAGACCTCGCCCGAGGGATTGGACAACACAGGCCTCACCTTGCTGTTAGGGCCCGATACAACATGGAATCGGTTCAACAACTCTTATCCGACGGCGAACAGGACCACAGCCGGCGACCCTGAAATCCTTGCGGATGCACCCGTCAAGTTCGTCATTCCAGTGGTGCCACGAGAGGGCCAGCCCGAGCGACATTCTGCTCCCGAGCCAGGAATGGCCCTCACCTTTTCTCTTTCCCGCTTCCCGGCGGCTCTCAATGCCTACGCTGATCAAATCAAGGCGGTGAACAATGCCACCGGTCTTCTCGAGACCGTGAACGAGAATGGCGTGGCCGTCGCCGTCGGGGCGGCCAGGCCACCCACATCTCTCGTTGACTGGGTGGTGATTGTGGAGCAGACTCGGGGAGAGGCGCTAGCTCCAGTACGACTCCTCAGGAATATTCTGCTCATCTGTGTCTTCACGACGGTTGGCCTGGCCCTCCTCATCGCCCTGCCATTCGCGCATCTAAGCGTGTTGCCCATCAGGAGGCTGAAGGTGGCCACGCAACAATTCGCCGCATCGCCTGGCTATGACCACGAGTCCCAGCATGGGGGTGACGCCAGATCTGGGCACAGCTCGAAGCCGCCCTCGAATCAAAAAGGTATGGCACACTGGGCGAGGAAGATTCTGGGTGGGTACGAGAAACCGACACTCGCCAGCATCGATGGAGGTCCTGGAAGGGTGGTTAAGATCCCGGGGAAAATCCAAGTGAGGAATCACCTCGTCGTTGACGAGCTAACCGATCTTACGGGAACCTTCAACGAGATGTCCGACGAACTCATGCGCCAGTACACACAACTTGAGGACAAGGTGGCAGAGCGGACGAAGGAACTGGAGCTGAGCAAGAAGGCTGCCGAGACTGCGAACCAGGCCAAGACGGTATTCATCGCCAATGTTTCGCACGAGCTGAAAACGCCCTTGAACGGGATCCTGGGCATGTGCTCCGTTTGCATGGTAGAAAATGACTTGGGACGCATAAAACGGTCTTTGAAGACAGTCTACGAATCAGGTAAGGTCACTGTCCTCGTCCCTCAGCTCTAATCGCTCATGAACCATGTCCAGGAACTCTACTTCTACGATTGTTGGAGGACCTTCTCGATTTTGCCAGGCACGAAGCAGGGCAGCCAACGCGACTTGAAGAGAAGCTATTTTCCCTGGGCGACTTCGGAAAGCAGATTTCGGCCTTCTTCGCCAAGGATTCACGGGAACGCAACATCGATTTCTCCATCTCGTACATTGACGCCGAGACTTTCGGCCAAGAGTTGCGAATAGACAGGTCTGCGTCGCTCCGGAGTGTCCCCCCCGCCCGGCGTTATGATGTGGCACATACCAGGGACATGCACGTCTGGGGCGACCAGCACCGGATCCTGCAGATCGTCATTAACCTCATTAGTAACAGCTTGAAATTCACCCCCGCCCATGGCCGCGTCGAATTGCGGATCAGCTGTCTTGGCGAGATAGCTGGTGTACCCGATGTTGAACGGCCGGGGGGCGTCAGCCAGCCCAATGGTGATGCTGGGCTCAAATCCGAATCGAGTTCTGTCGTCGAGGCTACAAATCCCTCGAGACCTGGCTCCCCTCTTCGAAATGGTGTGGGACTAGATGCGAGGCAAGACGCGTCAGAAAGCGCCTCCTCACAGTCGCAGGGCCAGGCCGGGCGGGCACCTCACCCGCCCCTCTCCTCCAGACCCTACCTCTTCGAGTTCGAAGTCGAGGATACCGGCCACGGAATCCCCGAGGAGATCCAGCAACGCGTGTTCGAGCCGTTCATCCAAGGGGAGATCGGCCTCGCGCGCAAATATGGCGGCACAGGGCTGGGATTGGCGATTTGTCGCCAGCTGGCCACCCTGATGGGAGGATCCATCAGCTTGACGAGCACACCTGATATTGGATCCACATTTACCATGCGCGCCCCCCTCAGGTAGGCTCTGTCACTGCGCTCTTCATTCCTTGCACAAAATCACTGCCCTCCTCTTTCAAGAAGCTGACATGGACCAGGGTATCGCTTGTTCCACCCTCCAACGAGGCCTCGCGAAGGGCCAGTTTCGACTCGCTCCAGCAACTCAAGCCAGAGGATGGCGAGTTGGCCTTGGCCGCACTAGAGGCTAGACACGCACGCTCGCTAGACCTTCCGAGGCCTGGCAGCCCACTGAATCCTTCTGCGCAACAGGGAAAAGCTGGCCCGATGGCGAAATCCTCTGGTATCGCGAATGGGAAGACGGGACTGAGGGTGTTGGTTGCGGATGACAACGCCACTAACCTTGAAGTCCTGACTCGAATGTTGCTCCTCGAAAAGGTCCACGATGTCGAGGTTGTCATGGTAAGCTCCCACACCCGCACGACCGCTCCCTACCGTTACTGACAGCATACAGGACGGCCAGGTCGCGTACGAGAAAGTCAGAGAGGCCATGGAGCTCGGTAGTCGTTTCGATATCATATTCATGGACATTCAGGTAGGCATTTGCTCCCACTCCCCACCAACCAACCCACCCCCCCCCCCCCAGGCAGACCCTAACAGGCAATACAGATGCCAGAAGTCGACGGGCTCGAGAGCACTCGATTAATCCGGAAACTGGGGTACACGGCACCCATTATAGCACTGTCTGCCTTTGCGGAAGAAGGAGTTGCCAAGGAGTGCACGGAGGCCGGGGTCGACAAATTCTTGAGGTAAGGGAGTCCCCTGCCCCGAGTCTTTATTCGCGATGATCATCCACCTGACAAGATCCAATTAGCAAACCAATAAACCGAAACGCCATCAAGGAGGTCTTGCAGGCCTTCTGCGGGGCAGGATGTGGCGTCGAAACATCCGGTACGATCAAGGAAAAGTCTGAGATTCACACAGTGAGCGCGTCAGATAAACCGGCCGTCACATAGTTGTTTTCTTGGACGGGGGAGCTGGATCAACCCGCTCGTATATTTCACGGCATCTACAAAAAGTGGCATTTTGTGGGATTGTACTGTACAGTTATTGCGTCTGGTGCAAATGGGCGGACCTGCATCTGTTTTTTTTTTGTTGGCGTTCCGGATACCCAAGGATAGATCTCTTGGAATTTAATAATAGCGGCAATCGTTCGCGTCTTATATTGTACTGTATGATTGGGTGGCTAGCTGGCTTCTCTTGAAGTAATCTTGCATTTTCCTCTATTTTCGTTGTTGGGGTCGGTGTAGTAGTTGGAATCATAAAAGGGGGTGCGGGTGGGGGGTTGGCGTTGTTTTCCCCTCTTGTTCAGAGGCACCGCAGGGGGCCATCTTGAGGAACTAAAGCTCTCTCATCACAAGGTTCTCAGTGAAATGTGCAGGCCCGTCTGGCTAGCCAGCACAGGGGGCCAGCGCAACAGTCACTTTCCATTTAGAAGAACCAACCCTTTTTCTCAGCAATATCTTCATTTGTTTTTGTTGGTAGGGGTTGGCAGTAGGAGGATCTCGTAAACTTGCGCCACATCCAAGAGATCCTCATCCGCGGCGGCGGCTTATCTATTTCAGACCTGGCTAGGTATTCACATGGTATTGGCAGGTGTCTGTTTCATGTTTACGACTGATTCTCCAAGCCGCTTCGCTGCTGGCCATCCCACCATCTCCTGAGCCCAGCAACATCGCACCACCCCAACTCCAAAGGCTCCTCGAACCACCACCGTCTCCCATGCTTGGGACGGTCGCTCGAGTACTTCTTCAGGCTACCACCATCGAACCTATGGTTCTTGACCCCCAGGATAAGCACCACGCTTCCAACCCTTGGGTTGAAGTCATCTGGGTCGAGAAAAACGGTCAGCAGGACTTGCTTGTTTGTCGACGGATCGGCTAGCCTTGCAGTCCGCTGATGGTACGGAGGCAGGTGGGAAGGCTCCACCTCGGAGAGCGACGCGACGATGGCAAGGACGTTGACCATCCAGTTCTGCTTGTAGGGAAGGCTGGGGATTGCCCGCAAGGAGGTGAGCTTCAGGGGTTTGGTTGCGTCGTCGGAAGCCCAGTGTGGAGCCACGTCTTGAGTGCGCGTGGCTGCGTTGGCTTGTTGTTTTGGAGGATCCTCTCCGCGATCTGCTGGGAGCTCAGATGTATGTTTGTTGGCAACGTCGTCCAAATCGGGTGCCTTGTTCCCCGGCTCCGGCACCCCCACAGAATCCATATCACCAGCCTTCGCCGGGAGCCTTGGATCCGATGGCTTCGCTTCGGAGACGGACGGAGCGGCGCCCGTGTTTCGTTCCGCCCGATCTCCGGGGAAATGCTCCCCTTTTCCCATCACAGCACCCTGGTTGGCACCGCTGTTAACCTGGCGTCCAATAGGATCCGTCTCCTGCTGCCGTGTCTTAAGCATCCCCAGATAGGCATTGTTCCAGCCCACTGTGACGAGATCCTCCACAAGCAGATAGACCATCTTCTCGTGGCCCCTCCTCCTCCTCAGCGGGCCCGCCAGGTTCTCCGCGCCGTCATCCTCGACATCCTCCACGCCGCCGGCCAGGTTCACCCAGCGAACCTCGAACCTGTCGATCCTGACGTAGCACCCTGCATAGACCTGCCCGTCGTCCACGAAGCCGTGCATCTCGGCGCCCAGCAGAGCCTGGATGCACAGCTCTCCATCGCCGAGGAGGGTTCGCACGGCGCGGTACTTGCTGCCGACGGCGATGGAGGAATCGACGCTCTCGACGAGGAACACCGACCCCGGGACACAGTAGCGCGTGCGAAGGATGTCGGCGATCAGCGGCTTGGGCGTGAAGGGGTGCGCGGGGTCGAGAGGGGCAATCACGTTCTCGTCCGGTGGGGAAGAAGGTGTTTGCGCCGGCGCGGACATCGGAACGACGTGTGAGATGGCATTTCGGTAGGCATGAGTGACAGGTCTCGGCAGCGTTGGTTAAGACAATTATTCCACAAACAGAACTCTTGAGGTGTGGAGCGCCGGGAGAATGGAGGTTCTCATAATAATCAACCCTAACCCTCACCTGGACCAACAGCCATTTAACTTCACCGCCTACATTTCTGCCAAACTCAGATGTCGACCACAAATGTCCACAGGCCTTTTCCCTCCGCAGATGATTTCTAGGATCTCAATAGCCAGTATTGCTCGCGCAACCCTCCGATACCCAAGTTCATCCTCCGCCAGATTCCACCTCTCCGTCCCCCGGTTCTCACCCGCAATGGCGCCCAGTACGTTCCCACGAAACCCGTTCAAAAAACTCATGCTTCCTTCCCCTAACTAACGAACCCCCCCCCTCCACAGCATCCCCACCCACCGACCGCCGCCCCCTCGTCATCTCCGGCCCCAGCGGCGTCGGCAAAGGCACGCTCCTCAAGCGTCTCTTCGCGCACGGCTCGGGAGACGAGTTCGCCTTCTCCGTCTCGCACACCACGCGCGCCCCCCGCCCGGGCGAGCGCGACGGCGTCGAGTACCACTTCGTGAGCGGCGACGACTTCGAGGCGCTAGCCGGGGCGGGTGGTTTCGTGGAGCACGCGCGGTTTGGCGGGAACCGGTACGGGACGAGCCGGCGGGCGCTGGACGAGCAGACGGCGCGGGGCCGCGTCGTCGTCCTCGACATCGAGATGGAGGGCGTCAAGCAGATCAAGTCGTCCGGCATCCCGGCCCGCTACGTCTTCGTCGCCCCGCCGTCCGAGGAGGAGCTCGAGAGGCGGCTGCGCGGCCGCGGCACCGAGTCCGCCGAGAGCGTCCAGAGGAGACTCGACCAGGCCAAGCTCGAGCTGGAGTATGCCAAGACGCCGGGCGTGCATGACAAGGTGATCGTGAATGATGATCTGGAGACGGCTTACAAGGAGCTGGAGGATTTTGTTTATGCGCCAGCACCGTCGTCTTGAACAGCTTGGGTTTATGACTGTTCTGAGGGGAGAGCGCGGGACCACGAGCGAGGGACCACGAGTGAGGATCCGAGGATCCGAGACGAGCGAGACGCATTGCAAGCATGGGAAAATATTACATACAGCAGCATAGATACCACGAGGAGGCCCTGCCATTGGCATACTTCGAATTGACATGGACAAACAAATTCAACAGCGAGGACGTTCACATTCGACAGCCTGCCGTAACAGTTCGTTGAATTCCGCCAGGTATCAAAACTAGAAACTAGCTCTCTATTAGAGTAACAAGGGCTGGGCGAATTAAGGAAAAAAAGGTAGGAAGATGCCAAGAAGCTTCGAGGGGGGGAATACTAAAAGGAAATAAGGCTAAGTAAGGTCCAGTCCGTGGAATACTGATTTGCCAACAAGACACAAAACACCATAGGCCAAGGGGATATTGACCTGCAATCGCATATCAACTCCATTCGTCCCCTCTCCCACCCATCTCTCCGTCGACCGCCATTTTGGTGGCATAAGCAAGGTCCTCAAAATAGCTTCCACTGGGATATCGGGCTTGTCATAGGCGTAGCCCTTGGAGGGGCGGCCGAATGCAGGGCAGCTGCCCACACAGCCTGCAGGATAGTCGACTTAGTAACCGTTCATGGTCATGCGTTGCGAGCTCCGGCTCATCTCCCGCTCGGCAGCCGGGCTGATTGGCCTGCTGCCATGGCCCTGCGCGCTGCTCTCCTTTAGGGCGAGAAGCTGCTTGGCACGGAAGGTCTCGTAGTGGATCTGAGACGTGGTCTCGATGAGATCCTGGAGGTGCGTTCGGAGGAGGAAGTCTCGCAGGTAGACAAATTCGCAGTGGGTTTCGTCCTCAACATTGATAACACCCCACCGGTTCTGGCGGCCACGAACCTGCTTGCCATTCACGATGATAGACTTCTCGGATCCGACCACGGCGAAGGGGATGAGGCCCTGCGATAAAAAGGTTAGATACGTGGCTTGCGATGAGAGAAAAGGCCAGCGATGCTTACCTTGATCTGGCTGTTGACGACTCTCTCCTCCTCATCGAACTCGTCATTGTCGTAAGGGTACATCTTCAAGTTGTGGAACGCGAATTCCTCCTTGATGCGCTCCTTGAAAGCCTGTCGCTCCTCAAGGGTGAGGGAATCCGCCTTAGCAATGACGGGGACAACATTTACTACGTCCGAGAGCTTCTTCAGCACTACAATGTCGATCGGCTTAAGCGAGTGACCCGAGGGCTGGATGAAGAACAAGCAGCAGTGGATCCGGGTGTCCTGGATGTAGCGCTCGCGCTGGGCGGTGAGCTCCTTGCGCAGGTAGGCTGAGTGCTGGTCCTTGATGTACTTCACGATGGGATCCCAGCAGCGGTCGTTGTTGATGAGATCGCCATAGCCCGGGGTGTCGACGATGTTCAATCGCAGGCGGACGCCGTTCTCCTCGATGATGTGCGAAACGGGGTGGATCTCGGTGGTGGATCGGATGACCTCCTCGGGATGAAGTCTGCCCTTGGACTCGATCAGGTGCGAGGCGAAGATGGTGTTGATCAAGGTTGACTTGCCCAAACCGGTCTGGCCTGAAAGGGGGAAGCACGAGATGCGTCAGTTCGGTTCTGAGCTCAACGGACGAGTTATCTGGAAAATTGGTGCAGGTGACGGGGCAGACTCACCAACACAGATGATGTTGAACTGGAATCCGCGCTTCAAGAGCTTGCGCTCAATCTGGGAGGTGATGCTGTCGAAACCAACGTGGCTCTGCGGGTAGATGGTAGCTGCCGGCATGGACGCCATTTCTGCGGTTGAGGACGAATGAAGCTGACAGAGCTTTTTCTCTTTTCCCAAAAAGCAATTGCCAAGTGCTCTCGTCTAGAGGAGGATGGATTGGATTCGGAAACGTGTTTTGGATTGGGGATCGTAACGATGAATTGGCGGAGTTGGAGGCAGGGAATTTCTTCGCACTTTCCCGCCTTCTTCTTCACGACCTGCCAAACAATAATTTCCGTTCCAGGGGTTGTCTTGGGCTGGGGAAAAGGGGAAGGGACATGCGGTGTGTGATTGGTGGTTATGGGTCTGTGCATCTACCACCGGTTAATTGGGTTTAGCGCATATCCTCTTGCTCCGAACGTTGGGGTCCGTGCGAGCCTCGCAGATTTTCGAAGCTCTTTCATCAGTCTCGAAATCAGTCGAGCTTCTGTTGAGAGCGAAATAATAACGGCGACGGCAACGCGGCTGCGACTGACTTTAACTGCAAGAGCTTGACGTATCAACTGGGCGCCTCTCCTACTGGCGCAAATTTCAGCAACCCCGAACGAGCAACCACCCAGCCGTTCGTCCTTGACCACGAGCTTCGATTCAATATCTCCCAAGACATTGAAACACCTTCAAGATGGCATTGGCAGCTCCATCTCTCCGAATGCTCCCAGCGGGCTCGTCTCTACTGTCGCGGATCTTGCCGGTAGCCGCCTCGCCGACCCCCAGACTGAGTTCGGCCTTGACCCGGCAGCTCTCCCTTCCTCTCTTTCCCTCAATAGTCCTCGCAATTCCCGCCTCCTTCCAGCTCAGCCTGCCGTCGATACCCTCATTACTTGAAGATATATGGGAGTCAGTTCTCAGGGCAGTCCCGAAGAAGAAGACGTCACACATGAAGAAGAGGCACAGGCAAATGGCAGGAAAGGCATTGAAGGATGTCACAGCTCTTTGCAAATGTCCAGCATGTGGCCAGTCCAAGAGGATGCATTACCTCTGTCCTCACTGTACAACGAGTAGGCCATCTCCCGTTGCCATATTCATGGCATATTCTGACAGATAATTACAGAGCTGCGAACGTTGGACAAGGAGCAACCGTTGGATATTCAGTGATTAAGTGTGGACTCCGATTCCGCCAGCAAACCGGGCAGGGGCGTTGGTGGGCATTGGGATAGCAATCATGCATGGCAATGGCTTGTAGTGCGCTCGCCGCGAGAGCGACGCTGTTTTTATACTCGGGCCTTAGGTCAAACTGTACATCAGCACTGTACCTATATATCAATGGAGTGGAAGGCATTGCATTAACCCAGCAGGATGGGCTTTCAGACGTGCACTATGAGGAGGCTCAGTTCTGTCATTACCTCACAATGTTAAATACCACAGTAATGGCGGCAACATGGGAATCCATTTTAAGTAGGTAGAGTGTGGAGTTGATATGATGTGATGGCAGCTCCTGGACTGGCTCCAGTTGCACCTTTTCTTATCCTCCATGCTTTCACGTAAGGGAGATAACTTAAGAACCAAAGATGAGTTGATCAAGTCTATACCCATGCCTTTTCCAGGTACGTCGTCGAGATTCAACTGGCGCACTCTTTTTATTAGTAGAATCTGGGAGGGTATCCAAAGACGTCACATTTCGACCCCACATCGCGACCTCTTCCCAAACCACTGCATATAAAGCTCAGGTTTGCGAAAACACCCCTAAAGACGCGACACATGGACCGATAGCAATGGTATGTGGCCAGCCCCTACACCAGCCAGATCAGCGTTACTCACAATCTCCAGTCCAAGCAATATTTAACCACGCACACGGTGGACAATGGTAGGCTCAATCTCTCTGTCCCTCTGCAACGCCGCCCCGCCATCCCAACCCCACCACACGAAGCTCAACAGCTCTCGACACCCTCACCCTCCCATCCTCTCTCTCTCAATTCAAAAGCTCCCCCGACTAACAGACACCCAGCCCACATAACCGACATATTCTCCCTGGCGCCGACGCCGACGGGCCTCCTCTCGGCCAGCGGCTCGTCGACGCTGCACATCCACTCGACCGCCTCGCCGACCTTCCCGCTCGTCCAGTCCGTCAACGGCGCCCACCGCCTCGGCATCCACCACGCGTGCACCTCGCGTGGCGGGCCCGGCCGCGTCGCCGTCACCGCCGGCTTCGGCGGCGAGATCAAGATCTGGACCTGCAAGGAGGCCACCGCCGACGAGTGGGCGCTGTGGCACGAGATCCGACGCGGCGGGGGCGGCGGCGGGGAAACAGCCGACGGCACTGATGCCACTGCGGATGTCGGCAAGACCGGGGACGCCTGGGCTATTGCCCTGAGCGCAGACGAGAATTACCTGGCCGTCACGACCCACGATGGGAAGATCCACGTGTGGGATCTGGTGGGCAAGCGGAGGATACAGACGTACGAGACCGGCAGCGGCGCCGGCGGGGGGAGCTTCGGCCTAGCGGTGGATCTGAGCAGGGATGGGAGGTTGACGGCCAGCGGCCACCAGAGCGGTGCTGTCTATGTGTTCAACAACGACACGGGGAGGATGGTCTATTCGCTTTCTGGTGAGTTTGTTTTGTTTGCTCCCTTCACTTACTTCTCCTGGTTTGTCCGGCCATGGCTGACATCCATACAGGCCTTGCCAAGCCCGTTCGGGCGGTGGCATTTTCGCCGGGCTGCAAACGCCTCGCCGCGGCCGGGGACGCGGGCATCATCGCCCTGTACGACATGGAGCACGGCGAGCACGTGGGCAACCTCTCGCCCAGCGGCAGCAGCAACGCGTGGATCACTAGCATAGACTGGAACGGCACGGGCGAGTACCTGCTGAGCGGGTCGCTGGATGGCAAGGTCCGCGTCTGGGACGTCGAGCGGGGGGTCTGCGTGGCCACCCACAGCGAGACGGACAAGGCGCTCTGGAGCGTGCGTTGGCTGCCCAAGTCAGACAAGGCTCCGGTGCCGGGTATGGGGCGAGGGGAGATGTTCTGCGCTGCTGGGGCTAACCGGAGTATCACGTTTTATCGAGAGGCAACGGGCATATGAATTAGGTCGGTAGTTTGCCAGTTGCGGAAAACCTGGTGCCTCGTGTCTACGTGGAAAATACGATGGGGAAAGACTTCATTGATTCAATTTCTTTGTGGCTCTGGTAATGCAATAGAGAAAATCTTAGGACTGCTCATTCGCCGTTCCCCTCCTGGATATCATAGAAACCCGTCTGTAACCTTTCCCCCCCTTTTTGCCCCTATCATGAAAAATGAACAAATCATGGATCTCCCTCGTCAAGTATATCGGACCATTATGAGGCGGCGCTTCCCCGAGAGGCTGGGGGGCCCCTCGTAGCGGAAGAACTCCGGGGTAACCGCGCGGTTCTCGAACTCGTCGAGGTCCCGCATCATCGCCATGGCGGGCGACTCTTGGCGGACGATCGAGCAGGCCTCGTGACAGACTCGCAGGTAGCGCAGGCGCGGGCAGTGCCGGGCGAGCTCCAACTTCGAGACGCGCTGGAGGAGGTGCACGCCGTGCACCCGGGGCCCGTACCAGCTGCGGTGCCGCTTCCGCTCGATGGTCTTCGCGTCCCAGTCTTGCTCGTGTCTGCACATCCTGCAGCGCAGCCACAGGTGCTCGAGGTTTGGCATCCCGGCGAGCGGTTTGGTGAACGCAGAGTCGTAAAAGTCTCGGTGGATCTCCATCGACAGGGTCCGGACCGTGGAGATGGAACTCAGCCCAAAGTCTATACCCTTGGCTCTCGCTCAGTCGAGGGAGCCAGAGTGCTCAGGTCTGATGGCACGCTGATGGGTGCCAAAGGCAGCGAGGAGAGTGTGATACGAATGGCTCGGGTGGACCAACTGGTGGACTTCCCAGTCGCTAATGTGAAGCCCAAGCTTCGACATGTACCCCCAATCGACGGCCGCGAGTGCCCTGGCCACGACAGTGGTGAGGTGAAGCAGTGACAAGACTCGGAGGTTAGGGAAGAAGTTGGGTAGGGAGGAAGCCAACCAGGCAAATCCATCACTGCCATAGCTGGCCGTCAATATGCAATGAACGGGTCGTTTGACGACACCGATGATACCTCTATTGAATATGGCGAGGTCATTCAACTTGGTCAGATCCATGAAGCTAGAGAGGGCCTGCATTCCTTGGATTTTGTCGTCTTCATCGAATGCCACCCCCTGAAAACCAACAAATCCTTTGATTAGCATCATGCTCATGCCGAGTTTCAGGGATGTCAGCTTCAGCTGCACGCCTTCTTTCTTCAGGTACTCCTCGCAAAGATTGGGGAAGAAGTTGGCATATTCCGGCTGGGTATTGCATCGCGTGGTGTAAGGATGGCCGCCCCCTCGGCAATCTGTAAAGGTTGCGTGCTGCTCGATGAGCTCGTTATGGTTCAGGGAGATGCCAAGCTCGAGTAGCCCCGGAGAGTTGATAAGGATACCAACGATATCCTCCACCCACTGGGAAACATTGCCGCGAAGGTTATAAAGTCTCAGAGAGGTTAGATGGGCAGGAAAAGAGAGTGGGCACGGCTCGCTGATGTATGCTAGTTCTCTGGAATGCAGGGCTGACCGTGTTTTCTCCAACACAGAGCTCAGCGATTCTGCTGAAAGTTGCTCGATATGAGGACAGAGACGGTGAATTTCCTTGATCGTCAGCTTTGTGATATGCGTGTTGCGCCACCTAAATAGACACCTTCAATCAGTCCTCCACCGGAATACGGCAACTTGAAGAAAAGATGGGGTGGGGTTTATTACACTATCTTCCTCAGATTCGGGGTGTGACTGGTCAAGCGGACAATTTGTTCCTGGAGGATCTTCCAGGCTTTCAGACGACTCGTGGTAGGCACTCCATAGGTCGGATCGGAGAAGTTATCAAGCTCTAGGGATTTGGTGCAGACCAGCCAATGGCTAGCAATCATGCGGTCAATAGTGTCATCGGAAGCCACACAATCCTGTCCGCGGAGACTGATATGGGAATAGAGGGCTAGCGAGAACACGGCGTTTAGTCGCTTGTTGACCAGGCACAAGGCATGGAGCGATTTCCTAGAGTAGATCTGAGGCCCTGTTAGTGGTGGCCACCATCGAAATAAATGCTCGCTGCGACCTACATGATCTCCAATCGTGGTAAGGCAATCCCCCACACTCAAAAACCTGCGACACGGCACTTTCTTCCGCCATGGGCGTAATGTCGGAAAACAGAAGTCGATCTACTGGATTCCGTTTTGATCCCAAATCATATTCTTTTGATTCGGGAGGAGTCATGACTCTTTGTTAAACAAAAAAAAGAGTCACACTCGGGGTGAAAGATGGCTGTCTCCTGGTTCACATGGCATGCACAGGTTAAGAAGTTGGTAATGGCAAGCCTGGAAAATCTTCTATTAGAAAGACCGACTGGCCTTTAGTAGGACCTCTTGGGAAAACACCGCCAACACATGACCTTGACAAAGTTGGGAAAGCAAGACGAAGTACCTATAATTCACTGTGTGACATGTCTGCCCATTGTAGAAGCCCACGGGCTGTTTGGTGTTTGTGCAGTATAAGCCGACTTGCACTACACTCTCAAGTCACATGACATCGTGGGGCTTTGGCGTTGCCCCGCCAGCAACCTGTGCCCGGTCCCCGTTTTTGTCGCCACTTGACTCTCCCATCGTCATTCAACGGTACCTACCTTTATGATTGAAAATAAACGCCAAATATCAGGTTACCTATCCAACTGCTCATCCCAGCCATTTGGCGCCCTTATCATACCTCATAACCCCATAAGTACCAAAATGCCCTCCACCCGCAAATCCACAGGCGGACGCCAGGCTACGGGCCCAGGCAAGCAGTCGACCCTATCCTTCAGCCACCGGGTGACTAAGACGGTGCCCAAGTCGGCCAAGGACTCCGTCATCCCCCCGTCCATCGCCAAGCCGGCCCAACCAGAGAAGGCGAAGCCCACAGAGCCCGAGGACGAAGCCGACGACGTCCAGGTCGAGCCCACGCCGGAGCCGGAGCCGGAGCTGGAGCTGGAGCTGGAGCCGGAGCTGGATGAGGACCAGGAATCCGAGATAGTTCCCGAGAAGTCGGAGGCGGAGTTGGCGGCCGAGAAGGTCAGCAATGCGGCGATCGAGCGCTACTGGCGCAAGCTCGAATCCCAGCGCATGGCCAAGCAGGTCCACCAGGAGGGCCTGAGCACGGGCGAGAGGGTGCTGCGGTATTTCGACGTGAGCTCACAGTATGGGGTGCGTACCAAGTCTTTTCTCCTCTCTTGTTCCGTCCCCGTCGCGTACATCCCAGGCTAATTTAGATTACAGCCCTGCATGGGAATCAGCCGCGTTAGGCGATGGCAGCGAGCGCAGAAGTTGGGCCTCAGCCCGCCGATCGAGGTTCTTGCTGTGCTGTTGAAGGAGGAGGCGAAGGGCAACAGCGGGATCGAGAAGGCACACATGGACGAAATCATGAATCCCACTGCCGCCGCCGCTTGATCCCGTGTCTGCCGCCTGTGTATGATTTCACGATGAGGGCGTTATGAGGCGTGACAATTTGGGGGAAAACTGGCTTATGTTGATTTTACGGTCGTTGAGGAAGGGGATACCAACTTGTTTGGAACCGATATCGGATGTCACGCCAACGGCAAGTGTTTCCAAGAGTCATGGCTACCTAACCTAGTATTGATCGGTCAGTACCAGATGCTTCTGGTCCTGTGGTGTGGAGCAGTCTCCTTTCCCGACGCCTCCAATTTCTTGACGGTGTCATACAAGAAGAAATCTATCAGGATTGCATTGATATCCGCATCAGGGTGATTCCTTATAATCTCCCTCCTGATGAGCTCGACACACCAGATGCTGCATGCTATAGGCACATCTTGTCAGCAACCACAGCGGAGCAATGTACATGGCTTGGGCGCCTACTCACCTCTTAGCTGCATCTCCCAGCTGGAGCCGCTCTCAATGACTTTCAAGCCCCGAATGGCTGCACCCAACGGCGGGCTATAGAATATACAGCCTAGGCCGTGCAACATCTGGGGGACCCGATAGTCGGCAAACATGGTGATCTTGTCGATATCCCTGAAGGCACCGTGGCTCTCGCCGCCGAAACACGCCCACAGATCGGCAACAAAGATCTGCGCCCGCTTGAGGAGGCGTATCGGCTTGCGGCGACCTTCGAAAGTGTGCTCGTCGCGGAAGCACGCAAAGTCGCGCGCCAAAAGGTTTACAAGCGCCGCTGCGGAGCCGTCGGCGGCGGCCACGAGGTTCGCAACGCTACATTGGTATCTCTAATAGGGCATGGTCAGGAGAGCGGGCAGGCCAGGCGTCGGAGCAAGCCGACGTACTTCATATAGGACCTGGCCGGCCTCCCGCAGGCAGGCTAACCGTTCTTCTAGGAGGGGTATCTCTTCATCGGTGCTAGACCTGAAGACCTGCCTCAGGGCATCTAGTGTGCACTCATCCTCGCTCTGCCAGAAATGGGGGTCGGTTATGGGCACGCCTTCTCACAACGGTTAACTCTGTAGGGTATGGCGTTGCGAAACAAGCCGCCGTACACACTTGATGACGGGCCCCGGGGCGCCGCTTCTGGCCACTTGGCCGCGCACCTAATAAATGGGGGAGAGGCGTCACGTCACTCGACCAACCTTCATCCAACGCCCGCTGCAGGGACGCGACAAGACTCCAGTAGCCGGTCCACCGTTTGTCGCGGTAAGACACGGCGAACCGCTCGGCATCCGGCAGCTCGGACCAGAAAGAGAAATTCAGGAGGTCCATAGTGAAAATGAAGGCAACGGTGCTCTCATCCTTCGTCTTTGGGTGCAGCTCGGCCTCAGACCAGCTCGCAGTGGAGTAGTTCTTCTGCTGCATCTGGGCGAAGATAGCGGCGGCGGCATTCTTGGTCGACCGCATGTCCACCGCCACGTCGATAGAGTTGTCGTAGACATATTCGGCACCTTCAAGCACCCCTGTCTCTGGTTCCTCGTTGAGTGACGCCTGTCCTATGAAATGCTGGCGGAGGAGAGCCAGAAGCTCGGGATCGGCCTCATCATCAGACATGGCGTTTTGCTGCCTCAGTGAGTCCTTTGAGAGACAGAAATGCGGGCAAATATGTCCAGGCACGCAGTATATGGAACGAATTAGGCAAGGCTCTCATGCATCCTCATTCTCCATTACTAAAAAGGACAAAAGCATTGATGGACGTTTTTCGGTGTGGGAGGCTCTGGGCTTGTAGGGCCGTGCCACTTTCTCCCGTTGGCTGCACTAAAATAGTACCTACACTAGCAGGCATCTCCAATAGTTCGGCGGCACTGAATGCTGGGTACACCTGAATCTTATGTTGGTCAGGCTGGTGAAAACAGAGAGACGGAAAATACGAGTCATGGTCTCGTTGAACCTAAGGTTGTCTGCAGTATTTCGCCTTTTAGTGATGTGTCACTAAAGTTCCAGTTTGTTACCTTCCCTGCAAAACCACCACCTTCTTCGAGCAGCTTCCCTTGTTGGTGCAATTACCTTACGTAATCAGGCTAACCTTCATTTGAGTGGTCACAACTTCTCTTCAGCAGTGCCCATCAACCCACCACTAAAATTTTCGGCGCATTTTCTAATAAGGCTGACCCGCGATCGCTTGTCGCGGCCGGCTGAACATCCGAGGCTACGAACCGAATTCCCCACGGCCTCCTTCCTTGGAAGCAATTCGTCTGGACGAAACTCCTCCGTCGCTTCCGCCATTTCATAGCTGTGTTCAACCAGCATGGCTACGCAGGGGCAGATACCCGTGCCTATGACGACGATGCCCCAGAACCACGTTGTCGTGCCCGTCGCGCCCGTCGCGCCTGTCTTGACTCGAGACAGCTTCAACTCCCAATCACTGGGCCGTGCCACAAATGCGCATGTCAAACAGGTACGTCTCTGAGGATCCCCGCACAGTTCCCATTGACGAAACGGCCGTTTGCTATTTCCATCACGAGGCTGGCGGCACAGCTTAAAGCCCGGTCCATGCTCTTCTCTGGGCCTTCTTAAACTTTGCCTTAAACTTAAACTTCTCTTCCTTCCTAACCAACCCCTACGCTTTTCCTACGCTGTTTTCAAGCCATGGCACCTGCCGGCGATCTTCAATCCGAATCCGGGCTAACTTTGGCCTCGCAGGCGCGCGTGCTGATGGTGGGCGCTGGAGGGATCGGATGCGAACTCCTCAAGAACCTCGCTCTCACGGGCTTCGGCGAAATCCACGTTGTCGACCTCGACACCATCGACCTCAGTAACCTGAACCGCCAATTCCTCTTCCGGCAGGAACATATCAAGAAATCGAAGGCCCTGGTACGGTTACAACCACAGCTTCCACGGTCCTGGTTGGATACAGACTGACGCGGATTACAGGTAGCGACCGAGGCGGCGCAGCGATTCAACCCCGACGTCAAGATCGTTGCTCACCATGCCAACATCAAGGACTCGGAGTTTAACGTGCAGTGGTTTAGGGGCTTCAACATCGTATTCAACGCCCTTGACAACTTGGAGGCGCGGCGGCACGTCAACAAGATGTGCCTGGCTTCCGATGTCCCGTTAATTGAGAGTGGCACCACTGGCTTCAACGGCCAAGTACAGGTCATCAAGAAGGGCGTGACCGCATGCTACGACTGCACGCCGAAAGAAACACCCAAATCATTCCCGGTCTGCACGATTCGGAGCACGCCGAGCCAGCCCATCCACTGCATCGTCTGGGGCAAGAGCTACCTCCTCAACGAAATCTTCGGAGTTAGCGAGGATGCATCCGCGTTCGACCATTCGGAGGACCAGGACAATGCCGAGGAGATCGCGGAGCTCAGGAGGGAATCAGAGGAGTTGAGAAGGATCCAACAGTCTATGGGGACCGTCGAGTTCCCACAGCTACTCTTCGACAAGGTCTTCAATAAGGATGTTGTGCGGCTGAGATCAATGGAGGACATGTGGAAGTCGAGAAAGCCGCCAGAGCCGCTCGACTACGAATTCCTGACTGAGAAGGCCGCCGACGCCGCCGCATCAAGCGATTCCATACTCGCGGACGGACAGAAGGTGTGGTCCTTGGAGGAGAGCTTCGTCGTTTTCAACAACAGTTTGGGCCGGCTCAGCAGGCGCATGCTCGATCTGAAAGAGAACCAAGGCTCCGGGCCACAGCCCATGATCACCTTCGATAAGGACGATGAAGACACGCTTGACTTTGTTGCCGCGAGTGCGAATATCAGATCTGCGATATTTGGCATTGACCGGAAATCTCGATTTGATATCAAGCAGATGGCCGGCAACATCATCCCGGCGATTGCGACAACAAATGCCATCGTCGCTGGCCTTTGCGTCCTCGAGTCTTTCAAGGTCCTTCGGGGGGAGTATGACCAAGCAAGAGAGGTAAAAATACTTGATCTAGTAGCTGGTTTGGTGTGTGTTTGCTGACCCCATGTGGCAGGTATTTCTGACGCCCTTTGCCTTTGCAAGACTCCTCGCGTCAGATAGGCCGAGAAGACCAGATCCAGACTGCCCGGTGTGCAGCGTGTACAGCACCTCCGTCTACGTCGACCTTTCGCGAGCGACACTCAACGACCTAGTCGAAGACTTCCTGAGGCTCGAGCTGGGATATGGCGGGAAGGAGATCTCTGTCAGCAACGACGTTGGCATTCTTTACGATCCCGACGAGACGGAGAACTTGGACAAGAAGCTGAGCGAACTTGGTAAGCTTTCTTCTTTTTCTATTTCCTTCTCGTACAATCAACTCCCTACTTGCAAATCTTATACATACTAAACCCGGTCCAGGTATCAGTCAAGACAGCTGCATAACCATCGTTGACGATGACGACGACGACCCCTTCGTCAATGTCATAGTGAACATCCAGGAGGCGTAAGTTCCTCGAAACACCCGTCACTTCGCATCCGCTGACATGCATAAAGAAAAGAACCGCTGGGCGGCGGTAAACCAATCCAAGGCAACGCGGCAGATACGAAGCCCGAGATCCCGCGGAAACCCAAGAAGACGCCTACGACAGAAGACAACGGCGTCGGCGCCACCACGAATGGCAAGCATGCCGTGACCGACGAGGCCAGCAACAAAGGGACGAACTTGAAGCGGCCTCGAGCCGATGAGCCGGACGAAGCTACGCCAACCAAAAAGGCCAGATTTGCGGGTGAGGCGCCCGCCACTGACGATGACGTGATCCTTGTTGACGGCGACTCGTCGGGCGGTGCCATTGTCGTTGACGACGACTGATACGACGGACGCTGGGGGATAGGTAGTCTGTAGGTTTACGTGTATTGCTGACAAGACGTTTTTTACACGCAACGGCCATCAAGTGGCACTCAAACCTCCATCGAGGTTGAGAATGCAATTGCTGGCATAGGGATTCTTAGCAAGGAACGCGGCTGCATCGGCCACCTCGTCGACGTGGCCGAACCGTCTCAGGGGGATCCTGTCCTTCAACTCCTCCTGAGCAGAAAGATCTGGCGCACACATGTACATTAGCCTAGGATCGCAAGGATAGAGGTTCTGATTTTCAGGCATGGTTTCAGGAATGGCTGGTTTGGAGGGAAAGGAGCAGCGCGCTAGGGGACCGCGGGGCGCGGCCATGGGACGAGAGCAATCCGTAAAAAAGGATATTGCTTCTGGATACGGTTTCTGGACTTACTTTCTGTCATCCGGGTGTCGATGTAACCAGGAACCAAGGCATTGACGCGGATACCCCAGCGGCCGAGCTCCTGAGAGAGGGATGTAGTTAAACCTGTTAACCAGTAGATAAAAGGCACGGTTAGATACTCTCCCCTACCGGGGCCCAAGAAAGAGAGAATAGGCAAGAAGATAAAACAACAATTAAGACCCAGTACCGGACTCGAAATCGGTGGGTGTGCAAACGTGTGCGAACTCACCAAGAATGCCGGCCTTTGAGGCGGCGTAGACGGAAGCGCCGGCACGGCCCTTGGTCGCCAGCAGGCTGGACACGTTGATGATGCAGCCGCCGCTGCCGTCGCCGCCGCCGGGCCTACCGGCGCGGGCCATCATGCGCCGGCTCGCGTGCTTGCAGCCCCAGATGGCGGCCCGCAGGTTCGTGTCGAGCGCGCCGGCCACGTCGTCGTCGTCCAGCCGGATCAGGAGCCGGTCCGTGCTCACGCCGGCGCAGTTGACGAGGACGTCGACGTCGGGCTTTTGGGGGAAGGGGGTTGCGTTAATGGGGTGCGGAGGGAGAAAGGGTATGGGGTGGACTTACGTGTTTGGCGAAGAGCTCGATCCAGTCCTTTTGCCCGCTGATGGCCTCGCAGACGTGGCCGTGGAGACGGGGTTGGGCGTCAGTCCTGCCCGGGTCCGACTCGGGGGGTCGGATTCCTGGCTGCAGCCTCCGGACGGCGTCGTCCACCCTCGCGGCGTTGCGGCCGACCAGGCAGACATTGGCGCCCTCGCCCAGGAAGCGCTTGGCGATGGCGAACCCGATGCCCTGGTTGCCGCCTGTGACGATGCACTTCTTGCCCGCCAGAGACCACATGTTTGTCTGTCTGGCTCGGGATTCTTTCTACTCACTTGCCGAGTCGTGATGATGGCGCTGTGATAACATCGGATGCCAAGATTGGATAAGGTGTACGCAGGACAGACGTAATTTGTGATTGGACAAGTCGAAAGCACATGCAAATTTGGGGAGCTGAAGAATAACCTTACTGTACGGAGTACCTAGCGAGCTAGCCGGAGCGTCCAGGGGTCTTGCCAAACCCCTGTCTACCCCCGCCAGGCTCCAGTTGATAAACTTTGGGAAATTTGGAGTGGGCGGCGACGGTGGTCGAGATGGACGCTTGCTCTCTGCAAGTCTTTGGGACTTGCGCCTCGGCCCAAGAAACGCAGCGGGACCGTTGAAAAATCCACCAGTCCGTCTTCAACACGCCTCTTGCATTCAGTTCTTGAACTGTCAATGTCTCTCTACAGTCGTCAATTCCCGGCTCCTCTACTCTCCTTATCTCCAGGACCAGACGCCTCGACCGAGTGACGGATTGATGACGACAGAGGCGCGTGGACCGCTTCCATGAATCGACCCGACCATGGCTCTAGCTACGGCTCAGAGCGCCAACAGCCCGCCAGAAACCCGAAAGCCCCGCCTTCGGATCCCGATGCGGCCTCCAGCCTTACCCCGGACGGCGTCGTGCAAGCGGGGTTGAGGAGTCTGGATCATTGTATGTCCCCGGCATACCTATCCATCTACTTGCTGCCTCCCCGCGTCCTATCCCCCCCGCTTTCTTTGCCCATATACTTCTGGTCATGATAGCCACGACACTGACACCCGGTGGCAGACAGACGAGCCCTCCCGAAATGGCGGTACAATCTTCGCCAGAGGATGCTTCCTCTTCTCCGGCGGGAAACTCCTTACCTTGCCTACCTCCAATCCAAGATGCGCACGCCAGCTCTGGACAGTTACTTCGCTATTACCGCCAACCTAGGCACACATACCTTCTTCATGATCGGTCTCCCAATCCTCTTCTGGTGCGGCTGGTTTTCATTTGCTAAAGGGTAGGCAAAAACCATTGAGTCCAGTCTTCACGCTCGACAGCCCTCGCTGACATGTCTTGCACCCCCAAACCAAAGGCTCGTCCACATCCTCGCCATGGGCGTGTTCTTCACCGGCTTCATCAAGGACATGTGCTCGCTCCCGCGACCGCTCTCGCCGCCCCTCCAGCGAATCACCATGTCCGGCTCCGCGGCGCTCGAATACGGCTTCCCGTCCACACACTCGGCCAACGCCGTGTCGGTCGCCGTATACGCGGTGCTGCTACTGCGCAGCGAGTCCAACGCCTTCTCGCCGGCGATGACGCTGGCCCTTGAGGCGCTGGCCTACTTCTACGCCGTCTCCATCGTCTTCGGCCGCCTGTACTGCGGCATGCACGGCTTCCTCGACGTGCTGGTGGGGTCCGTGGTCGGGGCGACCATCTCGCTCGTCGAGTTCCACCACGGCCCGCCCGTCGCTACCTGGATGCGCGAGAGCTCCTACCTCGCCCCGCTGGCCGTCGCGGTGGCCATCATCGCGCTCGTGCGCGTCCACCCGGAGCCGGCCGACGACTGCCCGTGCTTCGACGACAGCGTCGCCTTCGCGGGCGTCATGATCGGCGTCGAGGTCGGCACGCGGCGCCTGGGCCGGAGCCCGCTCGGGGCGCTCTACGTCGGGCCCGACGCCACCTTCGACCTGGCGGCGCTGGGATGGCCGGCGGCGGCGGCGCGCACCGTGCTGGGCGTGCTGGTCATCTTCGCGTGGCGCGAGGCCATGAAGCCGGCGCTGCTCAAGTCGCTTCCGCGCCTGTTCCGCGTCATCGAGACGCACGGCCTCAGCCTGCCGCGGCGCTTCTTCGTGCCCGCCAGCGAGTACAAGGACGTGCCGCTGCGGCTGAGGGATGACAACGTGCTGCCCAACGTCAGCGACTTTCCCAAGATGGTCAGGAGCATAAGGGGCCCCGGCAGGGGCAGGTCGGTCAGCATCGGGCCGCAGAGCGCGGCAGACGCGTACGAGACGCTTGCATATCGGGACCGGAGGAGGAGGGAGAGCATCGGAAGCGATGCGGGGAGTGTGCGGAGCAAGGGGAGCCTGACGGGCCTGAGGGAAATAGCCAGCGGGGGGCCCGAAGATGCGACCGGAGCGGGGGACCACACGGGGAGGTGCTCGCAGGCCTCGGGCGTGCAGAGTGGAAGGTTGGCAGAGTACGAACAGATGATGGGCCGTGGTGCCGTGGTTGCCAGCCCCAGCCCGGAGAGAGACGGGGACTCGGAAGGGCCGGCGGAGTCAAACGTATATGTTGGACAGCAGCGGGACGAACTGGAAGAGAACGAGGTCTTTTCGCAGCTCGTCAAGCCGCGTGTGCGGTATGACGTCGAGGTGGTGACCAAGTTGGTCGTCTATACTGGTATGTTGGGACTTTCTCCAAGTCTTCCCATCCCTGCTAACCGATTAAACCTGAAACAGGCATCGCATGGCTGGCGGTCGACATCATCCTCGTGATATTCGAGGTCGTGGGCCTGGGAGCGGGGCATCTAGGCGAACGATGACAAAGCTAACCCCCGCAAAGCCTCGGCTTTTTGGCTCTCATGATCTACCTCACGTATTCACACTTACACACAAAGAATCGCGCGAGATGCAGGCCGTGGTTTGGATTTGACTGTACCTATTTTGGACCCGTATAATAGGGAGTTAATATTGTTCATTATCATCTCGCCTGAGGTGAAGATCCGTCATTTCCAGCTGGGCCATCAACCATTTACCGATGTCGTTACACTAAAACATCACAACGCGGTTTAGCATCGCCGTCGGTGGACAACTCCTATTTTGCCCGCTAGGTGTACTCGGATACCACCCTGTGTGCGGGCCACGAATCGTCTCGGGTGGGCTCCGGGCAAGATCGTAAATGGGCAGCGCATATGGCAACAGCCAGCCGAAGGTGACAAGACATCTGATGGATGTGTCTGCGGTGTGATCGCCAAATGCTGGCAGTAAACTGGCGGTGAGGACGGATTATCAAGCAACCCAAGGACCGTTACATAACAGGAGGTCAGGGACGTCTCTTCGCACCATCACTGATGGTACCCCCGCCCGCAGCCGCCAACACCCTCCAACCCCCCGGGTTCGGGAACACCCGAACCAGCTTGCTTTTTCAGGGCGCCGCGCTTCATATCACAACTAAAGGCGGGACTTCTAGTATCGAGTGCAACCAGATGAGGGTCTAGCGAGAGGATTTCCTGAATGGTTTGCAAACTGTGCAAGGCTTCTTGTTAGATGCTGGTCGCCATCACTTCTTCGCATCAGAAGTCGACAGCCTCCTGGACCGGATACTCGATCTCATAGGCTGGTATCCCGGCTGCAAGGGACGCGGGCGTGCATGGCACACTAAGGAAATAAGCTTGATAGATCTACGACGAGATGACGATGGCTGATCCAATCAGGGGTTGAACCCATAGGGCTGACTATCTAGCACACCCCTACCACTGCAACCGAACCACGCTGCAGAATGCAGGAAAGAGACAACGAGACTGCCCAAGTGATAAATAAAGTAACTTGAGCAACGAGAATTTTACAGAGAAAACAACAGGAGCCTCACTCAATTTCCCGCCAGGTTAGTACACATACAACTTGACTCGACCACAGCCGACTCTTAATCAGTATTCTTCTATCTTTACCAACAGCTGCCATACAACAATCGAAGGGAAACAATGCGAAATACCGACGGTAAGGAGCAATGATATCTGCGCTGGTGCAAGGAGAGGAGCCAAAGGTCACACGTGATAGCTACGTAACTCGTCTCCCTTGTCCAATGAAACTAAGTTTTTCCTAGGGCACCTTATCCACCCTGTCTCCACTCCTTGCCCAAATCAAGCCTAGCCGACTCTAATTTTTCGGGGGAAAATGAATCATCCAAGTTGTATCGTGGTAGCCTGCCATACACCGCTTTCTTTCCGTGTCTAGACTCTGCTGCTCAGTCGCCAGAGAGAGAATCTGGAAAATCATTTCTTTTCATCGCATACGTAATAGCTTGCATCGACCAGAAAATATCCTACTTGGCCAATGTTACCAGATTAAAGACGTTGGCGGTTCCCACTTTGACCCGATTGTCACCTGTCAGGCCAGATTGAAGACGAATCGACCCATCTTCCTACCACGGAACTAAACCCCCAGCACTCGCGCCAACACTGCCGCCCCCAACCCCCCGCCCGCCCTGCAACCGCCGAAACAGGGAGAGAGGATCGAATACACCCAACTACCTCCCAGGAAACTCAACACAGCTAACCTTCCTTCTTCCAACTGGGCCTGCCGATCTCCACCTGCCACTCCTGTAATTTCAAATCGGACTCGCATTGGCTTCACCGACCCTTCACCCATCTTCCATCCCTTGAGCTTGACCGCATGTAGCTCCCAGCAGCCATGCCGACCGAAGCGATTGGCGCTGTGGCGCCCGAGGCGACTGAATCGACCATCGTCATGGATGTCGACCCGCGCCCCGACGTGACGGAGAGCTCCAAGCCGGCCGGCCTGCACTCGCCTCCCGACAGCAACAACGCAATGGCCCTCGACGGAAGCGACTCGGAACTGAGCGACATCGAGGACTTGGTTGCCGATCAGCTGAAGGACGAAGGACCCGCACCCGCACCAGCGCCAGTGCCAGTGCCAGAGCCTGAGCCTGCCGTGGAGGACATCGGAGAGATCCTCCCGGATCACTACTCGGGGACAGTACCTGTTTTCAAGCCGACCATGCACCAGTTCAAGGACTTCAAGCGTTTCGTAAGTCTCGATGATTGACTGATTCATTACTCGTGGCGATGCGCAGTACTGACTGTTTCCGATACAGATGGAGAAGATCGATTCGTACGGTATGCAATCCGGAATCGTCAAGATCATCCCTCCGCAGGAATGGAAAACCTCGCTGCCGCCTCTGGATGATATGGTCAAGCAGATTAGAGTGAGGGAGCCGATCAAGCAAGACATCATGGGTTCCAACGGAACGTACCGACAGGTCAACATCCTCCACCAACGCTCCTACAATCTTCCCCAATGGCGGCAATTGTGCGACCAGAGCGAACACCAGCCGCCTGCCCGCCGCGGCGAGCGCCGTGCAAATGCTGAAAAGCCCAAGCCGGCCACTCGAACCCGCGCCGCCGCCTCCACCAACGCTCCAAAGTCTACCCCGGTGAGAAAAAGACGTGGCCGAGGGGGTCGAAAATCTGCCGCCGCTTCCAAGGAGGAAGCTGCTGAACCTGAGGATCGCCCCATAACGCCCGTCTCGCCAGCTCCTGAAGAGAAACCTTTGAAATCTGTCGAAGATGAAGCGCTGGCCGTCAAGAAGGAAGGCATTGACGACGAAGACGACGACGACGATGCTCCAGTGGTGCGGAGAATGGGGTTTACACGGCAGGCGAACGCAAAGACGCAGACCGTATCTGCACGTCGGAAGTACAGCAAGCGCGAGGGCTCCGCCAGAATCGACGAGACCGCCTTCAAAGATTTCGACTACCAGATGGATGTGTCCGACTATACCCCGGAGCGATGTGAGGAGCTGGAGAGGACGTACTGGAAGACGCTCACCTACGCAGCTCCTCTATACGGTGCAGATCTCATGGGGACCCTCTTCGACGAGTCGACGGAGGACTGGAATTTGAACAAGTTGCCGAACCTGCTCGATGTGTTAGGCACCAAGGTTCCCGGCGTCAACACGGCATACCTTTATCTCGGGATGTGGAAGGCCACTTTTGCGTGGCACTTGGAGGATGTCGACCTCTACAGTATTAACTACCTCCATTTCGGTGCCCCGAAGCAGTGGTACAGTATCTCCCAGAAGGACGCCCGGCGATTCGAGGCCGCGATGAAGAATATCTGGCCCACCGAAGCGAAGTCTTGCGACCAGTTCCTCCGACACAAGGGCTTCTTGATCTCTCCAAGCCACCTCAAGCAGCACTACAACATCACCGTCAACAAGTGTGTTTCGTACCCCGGAGAGTTCGTCGTCACGTATCCGTACGGCTACCATTCCGGATATAACCTTGGGTATAACTGCGCCGAGGCCGTCAATTTTGCCTTGGACAGCTGGCTGCCTATTGGGAAAATCGCTAAGAAATGCGAGTGTGCCCAGGCCCAGGACAGTGTCTGGGTGGATGTCTACGAGATCGAGCGCAAGCTCCGCGGGGAATCCACGGAATACGAGGAGACGGAGGACGAGGAAGAGGAGGAGGAGGAGGATGAGGGTGATAACACCGGCCTTCCGAGTCCTCCGTCCAGCCACACGGTCAGAGCTAAGGCTGCAGGGACGAAACGTAAGCGCGCAGTTCGCGACAAGGACGGCAAGGTCAAGGTCAAGAAGATCCGCCTCCGTCTCAAGGCCGTCGCTGAGCCCGTCTGCTGTCTCTGCCCCAATGACATTCCCGGCGCAGAAATCCTGCCCACGGATGATGGCCGCAAGGCTCATCGCATGTGTGCTCTCTATGTTCCCGAGACATACATCGAGACGGTGGACGACAAGGAAATTGTCGCGAACGCGGCCAACATCGACAAGGCTCGCCTGGACCTGAAGTGTCTATTCTGCCGGTCCAAGAAGGGGGCCTGCTTCCAGTGCTCCCAGAAGAAATGTGCCAGGTCGTACCATGCCACCTGCGCGGCTGCAGCCGGCGTCTTCGTCGAGGAGGAGGAGGTCCCCGTCTTCGCCGAAGACGGAACCGAGTATAAAGAGCAGGCCTTCGAGTTTAGCTGCCGCTTCCACCGGACGAAGCGGGACAAGAAGTTGGATGGCGATGTTCTCGATGGAGACGCACGCGTTCGCGAGGCTGCGGCGGCGCTCAAGAAGGGTCGGATATGCCAGCTCCAGTATTACCGTGGTGATATATTCGCTGGTGTCGTCGTGGAGAACCGTCACGACGAGCAAACACTGCTCCTTGACGTCATTCCCAACGGGTATGTTGTCGGTCGTACATCGCAAAGCTGGGCAGCGCTAACCGAGATCAGTGATCGTATCGAGGTTGAGTGGAAGTGGCTATTGCTACCCAATCCCGCCGACTTGCGTCTTCCAAAGGCGTCGCCGAATGCCGTGCCAATGCCGACGTCGAGGAAGGCTAAGCAAGAGATCAACGCGACAAAGCGGGTTACTGACGAGCTACCGCGGAAGGACGAAACATTTGTTGAGGGGTTCACATGGGCCGAGTTCCACACCGGTGATATTCCCAAGAATGACGCCCAGACGAAGTTGGATCTGTTCAAGGAGAATCAGATCTGGCATTACCTTGGCAAAACATCCACAGAGTCGAGGGCTCAGTACGCAGAGAATCTGGCCAAACCTGTGCACAATCCGAGGAGCAACTTCTTGGACACGATCCCCCGGCCCGCATATACTGCGTATACCGCGCGGGCTCCGGCTCCGCAACCGAGGCGGTCCTACTCTGCAGTGCATCCGACGCAAGCAATGCCGCCCCCACAATCGACACCAACAGCAGCCTCGAAAGCCGCAAAGCCATACGTATACAAGCCTCGCAAGCCGGTTGGGGCGAGCTACAAGATGCAGTACACCCCGGAGAAGTTCGCGCCGAAGGATCCGGCACCAGCCGCCGGGCGGCAGCAACATCTAGCCAAGCAACAGCTCTCCTTCGGCACAGACCCTCGGTTCATGGGTCCCACGGCGCCACCTAGTTCGAACCGCTTCGCGCCTGTCGGAGGTAGTAATGGATTCCCGCAGCTTCCCGGCTTGACTAGGCCCCCCGCTCACATGAAATCAGGGCATTATCCTCAGCCTCAATCAAGAGTCTGGCCTACACAACCCGGTGCGCCTGGGTCGCGCCCCTATCACCATGTACCGATGACCTCGTCCCTCTTGAAGCCCGGCGCCCCGCGATATTCCCAAGCCGACGGCAGCACGACACGGCCCGGCATGAGCGCATTCCAGAAGTACAGCTTCTTCCAGGTCCACCACAATAGGTAAGGGATATCTTGTTTAGCATTACGGTTGTAGGTATATCCTAACCTCGTTTTCAGGGACTCATCGAGGTATCGTACGCCGTACGCGGCCTGGGGCGGATTCACAAACGGGTACGAGGGCAACTTGCGAGCGTTCTTGGTCAAAGCACAGCAGGCTCTGTCAGGGAATAAGGGGCCTGTCAAGGGCATCCCAGCTGCGCTTCTCCAGCCCTTCCAATCGGGCATCCATAGTCCAGCGCCGGCAAATACCCCTCCATCATCCGGTTACGGTTCACCTTACGCCCAACAACGATCAACTAGGCCTCAGGCCCCTTCCGAAGCTTGGTCGGCCGCAAGCCCAACAACCTATAACAGTCCACATGGTTTCTCGCCTCACCATGCCGGGCAATACCCCCAGACACCGGCCTCGACGGGTTCGTTCGCGACTCGGCAACCCGGCTCTACTCCTCTTCATCCAGCCATCAGACCCCAGTATGGGGCTACTTGGCAACACGACTACACCCCGGCCCCTGGCCAGTTCGTCCCCGATACGAGACCACAGACAAGACCCCAATCTCAGTCGCCGGCTCCCGCTCCGCCGAGGGCTCCGGCCTTCGCAAAGCAGAGCCACAGTCCAATCCCGTTGCCGCCGTATGTGAAGCAACCCAGCCAAGCAACCCCAACAAATGGCGCACGGCCTCCACCGACCATGCAAGACCCTCGACAGGCCGTGACATCACCGTCTAATGGGCAATCCCCTTTCTATGCAGGAAGCCGAGCGACCGTTTCACCCGTTCCGGTTGCACAGACTCCGCAAGCGAACCAGCCGAGTCAGTTCGGTCACCATGGCCGCGTAGGAAGCCAGCCCCTTGGCATTGGGGTTGGGGATGCGATTTCAGGTCCAGTGGCGAGGACGGAAGCGAGTCCAACAACAGACCCTATTTCCACTACCGTACCAGGGCTACAACACTGTCTACAAGCCCCGTCAGTGGGAATAGGATTCCAAATGCCACAATACGAACAGGGGCCACCCATGAGCGTACAAGACCCGGCAACGTCGCCAGTCGTTCGTGAATTACCAGAGGTGCCAGCCGAGTCGATGGCGCTGGTGGAGAAGATGATGCTGAACCTGAGGAGGGCCAGCCAGAAGAGCGACGTGGCAGCATGAGTGGCGGAAGGAGACACTGTATTGTTATAATGATGTACGCGGTTTCTGGGCAATGGGTTAACAAGGATGGATGACACCACCCACGGACAGGGGGGGGGAAGGGGGGGTGTTTTTTGGACTTTTCTTTTTTTGGCGTTTTAGGGACGGGCGTGGTAAGATCTAATGGCTCGACTGATATGGGAGACGCCCTGACTCAGTCGTGTATGAAATACTGGAATCGCAGATGAACTCACTCTGCGGGACTCTGCGGGTGAATTTGGGATCATTGCAAGGTTCCCCATAGTGCAAGAGAAGAGAGTGCAACGTGATAGATCCCGTCATACCCAGCTCGTCCCGGCCGAGAAGAGACTTGGCTGGCAGTGCCAGGGAGATACGGAACACAGTAGGTTAAACACGATCAATGATGGAAACCAATCAATCTCGCAGACGAAGGGTATTTTTGGGGCGAGACTTCCCTGTCGCACTCGGCATCATAATCAGGGATGTGTGGTTGTGGGAGGGAGGGCGAGGCCGATCGATCATCGGCCAGCCTGCCCACGCTGACGTCAATGCATGACACGGCTCACCACCACAACAAACAGGATTTCCTAGCCCTGGGATTTCATATGGTCTGCGATTAAATATCGAGGGATTCCCACAACTAGGTAACCAAGATTTGATCAGTTCATTGCCACCCTTTAAGAATCTACCTACTGCCTGCGCGCTCCATTCTGTGTTTTGCCGTCCTACTTGAGAACAAAACCATCGTCGTTGTGCCACTTACACAACCCATCTCCAAAAAAAAGGCCCAAACACTCCCCCCCCCCTCTAACAAGAGCTACCCCCACCCCTGGATTTTATCATTGCCACAACCCAACCGGTATGCCCACAGTCCTCGGCCTCACCAACGAAACCCAAACCAATCCCAGCACCAACGAAGGCGGCAGCAGCGGCAGCGGCAGCGAAGGCAAGGCCATGACGTCCTCAACGACCCTGGGCTCCAACGAGCGGCTGGACACGATCAGCAAGCGCAACAACGCGGCCGCGGTGGAGATGGAGACGCTCCTGTGGCGGGCCATGTGCGAGTCGCCCGAGGCGGCCAAGGAGTACCTGGCGCACGACTGCGTCATGATCAACCCGCTGCTGGCGGGCACCGACCGGGCCCTCGGCAAGGAGACGGACCCCTCGGTGAGCGACGCGCTCGAGGGCGCCGGCGGCAAGTGGGCGGGTTACCGGTTCAGGGGGGACCCGCAGGTCGTGGAGATCGACCTCATGGCCGTGGCGCTGGTGTATAGGGTTAGCCTGTTTCGGAAGGGGAGGAAGGGCGTGAGGGAGGTCAAGGCTACGGCTAGTAGTTCGTGGAGGCAGACTGCTGGGGCGGATTGGTTGCTTTGCTCGCATCATGTGGCTTTTGCGGATGATGATGACGATGATGAGGAATAGTTGGGGATGGAGAAAGGGGGAGTTGGCATTGGGATGGATGGCTTGGGATTGCTTTGGGACGGGGCGTTGTTTCTTGGCATTACTGCTGGCTGTTGTTGATGACAATGATGGCGGGCAGAGGGTGAATAGAGGAGGACAAACTGTTGTACGAAGACTCGAGCTACATCTGAGTTATACCTAACGTGGGATTTTTCATCATAATCTGATCTGTTCAACAGGCTTGCAAAGCGAACGGAGTCATTAAATCATTAGAACAACGTCCCAAAAAGGTGCACTTGCTACATTGACAGTTAGGATGGAAGCCACATCATCGAGACCAACCTTGCACCTTGCGGCTCAATTACATGTTGATTATGGCAATGCAACCTTCGACTTGCGTTGTGGAGACAGTCACCGACCCAGGAGCCAGGTAGGAAATTGTGACTTTGTGGTGGAATATCGCCCCTGGAAGGAAAGATGGATCCGTGAACCCAGGGGTGCATAAGCTCTCAGGTGAGTCACAACAGCAGAATCTCAGCGAATGTAAGATCAGTAGACTTTCCGACAACCTCTGTTAGCTTGGAGTGTCTAGTGTGGAGAAAGAAGGGGCGAGATCATTTTCAACTGAAGCTCTCAGCTGCTGCCGACTGTGAAGATGCACACTCTCTAACCCGCATGTCCGTCTCTCTTTCCGGTACGGGGATGCGTCTGGCGGCCAAAACACGAGCAAGTAACGGCCGACTGAGTGACAAAAGGGATATAAATCAGATGCTGCGGCACCTTTGTATTTGCGTCTATATCAAAATCTTCATTGCACGAGAACCTCTCCAATATGCTAGAGCTCGCCAATGTGAAAGACTCCCAGAGTCTCGCTGCCGACTCCTTCGAGCAGCTCCTGAATAACCGCCCCCATACCATGCCAAAAACGGTGGCGGGGTGGATGCATGTCTAGCCCTCACTCCTTCTCCTTCTTCACCTTGGGCGCCGAGGTCACATGCCTCCTCGCCATGTAGAAGTCGTACCTGTCCGGGAACAATATGATGTTCGCCAGCCGCGCCACCTCCACCTCTCCCTGTCCCGGCGACGCCCGGCCCTCGACGCCCTTGCCCTTGGCCTCACCGCTGCTGCCGTCCAGCTCCATCATCATCCCCGCGTCTTTCCCATCCCGGACGCCGCCGTCCTCCGCCTTCTTCTCATCACCTGCCGGCGGCGTCGGCGCCACGTCGAACGGCGCAAGCCCCATGGCCTGTAGGCCCGCGGGCCCGCCCACCTCGGCAATCTCGGCCTCGCCGGGCCGTCCTGTGTGCGACGCCTCGGTGCCGAGGCCGCTACCCGTGGCGTCAAAATCCGGGCCCGGGTGGCCGCGCTGGAAGGTCTTGCGCTGGCGGGCGAGGTAGAGGGCGTTGGTCTGGGTGAGGGGTGCGGCGGGGAGGTAGACAAGGATGGAGACGTTGGGGGTGGCGGGCTCGTCGGGCGGCGGCGTGGCGGCGCGGCTGGCGGCGATGCTGCCGTTGCTGGTGATGTGGTAGGCCAGATCCGGGTGCCACATGATGTAGTCGCCGGGCTGGAGGGTGGGGATGGTGACGAGGGTCCGGCGCAGGTGTAGGTGCGGGTGCCACAGCTCCGTCAGGCGCTGGGCGTGGCCCGGCACGGCCCCGTGGATGATAGTGCTCTGCTCGCGGTCGAGCTGCCAGTTGGACGCATCGAGGTAAGCCTCCCATTCGGGCCCGTCGCGCTCGTTCTCGGGCGCCTTGACCTTCGGGGAGAAGAAGGGCCGAAGCAGGAAGTACGCCGTGGCCAGCTTGGGCGACGGCAGCAGCCGGATCATGCCTGGCCCGATCGTGCTGAGGGCTAGGACGCCCTGGTACATGCGGAAGATGCTGCAGGCGCCGTAGCCATTGTACAGGTCCGAGGTGGTGCTCACGCGGCCTGTCGGGTCCCACGGGTCGTATGACTCCCATGCGCCCTCGAAGACGGCGTCGTAGGTGCCCCCGCGGCCGTAGCCATCGGGCTCCCATCGCTCTAGGCTGCCGTTGTCGACCTGTGCAATCACCGTCGACGAAGTAAAGTCGCCGGGCAGCTCGAGCGCGGCGCTGGCGCCAGTCGGGGTGCCATTGCCGCTCGCGTTGACTGGGGGAGTCACATTTCCCTTGGCTGCACCGTCGCCCATGCTGCCAACTGTGACACCGTGGATGCGAAGACGGTCGGCGTAGCAGATTGGGAAGCGGGTCGCCATTCTGTCGTCGGCCTGATTGTCCCACAGCGACATGGCAAACTTTTGCGCGTGCAATACGTTGGGGTGGGCGCGGGTGCGCACCTGGGCCGGAGTCCAGAAAAAGTCGAAGCAGGTCGGGTCCTGCGCGGACGGAGCCTTGAAGTCCTGCTTTGTTTCGAGGTATTTCACCGTCTCGGAAATGCAGACGTCGGCGTCAGCCTTGGGCATGACGCCGCGCACGACGCCGACGCCGTAGCGCTTCAGGTCGCGGGCAAAATCGGCCGTCTTGGACGGGTCGTCGACATTGGCAAAGTCAATTGATGGGGTCAAGTTGGGCCCCAAATTTTGGATGTGGTCGACTTCTTCGCGCAGGGCGTCGAGCAGGCGTGCCCAAGAAGCCTCGAGCTGGGATTCATGGCCTGCCACGAGATTGCGCTTTATCTGGGCAAATCGCGAGGGTAGAGGTACGGGCTCGGTGCCGTAGAAGGAGAGGACTGGCGGCTCCATGGCTTGATTATTGTCATGTTTGGAGGTGGAAGCGCGATGCTTGAGCTTTGTTACTCTGCGGGGGCGGACCTTCTCTTTCTGGATGCTCGGCAGAGCATGGTGGTGGCACGGGGTGCGCCGCCCGCACTGGGTGCAGCGCCTGCTGCCAGTGCCAGCGCCAGTGCCAATTCCACTCCGAATGTCCATACCCTTGTCTATACCTCCCAATCCGCCCGAACTATTATTGGTCGCCGTCAATACTGTCCTCCCGTCGATGTCCATGCTGGGTAATGACACCCTCGGACTCGAAACGGCGGCGCCTGCTGAGCTTGTCATCCTGCGTCGATGAGCATCGAATCCACCCGTCGGTCTTGGGGAAAAAAGAGGAAGGAAGTCGGAGTCGGGTTTTCGAGCTCGATCGAGGATGGGGGGTGACGCCGAGATGGAGAGCCTTCGAGTCCCAGATAAGCCAATACCGTCCGACCAACCGCTTCTGCCTGCTTGTCGTGCTCGTGCTCAACACTAGGTGCGCGTGCCAGGTAGATATGAAATTCAAGAACGAGTCGAGGGGGAGCCACTAAGAGTTTGGCCAGAAGGCGTTCAAGCAGCGGCGATAGCGATCAATATAAGGCTACTTCCCTACCTTTAGGCAAAAATGGGCGCAACCTGGCTTGTTGATGGGAAACGGGCAAAGGTGAACGTTACTCGCCAAGCTCTCGGTATATCCGTCTCCGTCGCAGTGGCTCTCGCAGCAATCATGCTCTCTCCCACGACTGTGGGCTACGGGCTATGGGGAGCACGTTATAACATCCCTGGGAATTATTCGATAGCTCCAGTACGGCTCCAGCATGGTGGCGATTCCCTTGCTAAAGAGGAACCCCATATCGCCCCACGCGCCCGCGCGCCCGCCGGCCGCTTCGATTTGCATCCTGAGCCGCCGCCGCCCGAGAAGCATCTTGTGTGTTTCCCACTCTTCCCACCATCCCAATTAGGAGCGACATGGCCCGCGGCTGCCTCATGGCGGAAAATTGGAGGGGGGGAGATCGCTGACGGAAGTTTCGGTACCACCATCGATCCAGGATGGCACGCGATCCGGGGTAATTTGGGTGTCTGGACCAGTAATATCGCGGCCAATTAAGGCGTGGTGGAGCTGTACCGGAACGACGGCTCCGCTTCGCCTGATATAAGAGGGTCCGGTCCAGGGGTTGGCGGCCCGTGTTCCCCAGCCAAGACTCGGTCCCATCCCGAACATCTGGCGAATCTGCGCGTCCCTGCGCGACCATCGCTGTCGCCACTTTTTTCTCCGATTCGTGGGCCCGACGCCCCAGCACCCTGAAGTCCCGAAAACCCACTCCACGAACACCACGAGGCGCTTTTTTAGTCCACCTTCCTGCCAAGCCAGGCGATCCCAGGCGATCTAGGCCTCGCATTCCCGGAGTTCAGCCGACGTTTCCACTTCCCACGCGCACCGCAGGTCAGGAGCATTGTCAACGATTTCCGATTCGCCCTTCAAGACTGGAAGCGTCTTATTAGCTTCCCTTGCTGCTGCTATAATTTCGGCCTGCAAGCCGAATCTGTCAATGCAATTCTATCCCGACGTTGTGTTACCCCTGAGTCCTCGCTCTCACTCATCAAAGGGGATGATCCTAATAATAATAATAACTCTATTTCAGGTTCTCATCAGATATCCACTGGCTCCTCGAGGATCACGTTACCGAGTCAAGAAAACGTCTGGGTCATGAGTGTTGAAATCAATTGTCCTCAAACTGTTATCGAGATAACAGGGGTTTTGCTGTTGCCTCTCAGCGCAGTTGCTTACTCAAGCGCACCGACCGCTGCGACGTTATCATTGCGCGAGACAAGCTTAGGTAGTCTATTACTTCAACACCACTAGCCATATTTGGTCTTCTATCATATTATCATTACTCGTCCACTTCACCGTCATTTTGCCCTCAACTGACTGACACAATGCGTGTTTGGTAAATCTCAAATACTTCTAACACACAGTTTGTCAGGGAAAATATGATCGACCGGACTCGCCATCACCCGCGGATATAATTCAAAGTTCCATACCACAATGGTTCACCATGTTATAAGTAAACGACGCTACTTATGATATCGCTTCCAAACCGCGTTACGCGGCTTCAGGTAACGCGAAGCCCCTTCTGCGTCTTCCTCTTGTCAGGTAGGAGAGGAGGACCGGTTCCCAGATCAGATATTCCAGGACTCGGGGTGTAATTATGGGACACGAAGCACCTCAGCCAACAGCCAACCTGCAGCGTAGCCCCCAATGCCACCATGGTAGTGAGGTAGTGAAATAAAATCCCAGCAATTGGTGCGAGGCTTCCAGGAAGGCACTCGTCCTCCTCTAGCGTTATCACCAACGAGTCTCCCGCATGCATTTTGACTGTCATGTGGGAGTTTGGAGTGAGGTACACTCGCATATCGCAGCCATGTCTGCGTGCTCCAGGTTCCAGGAAGAGCTACGCGAGCTTCGTACTGCAGAGGCTAACCGTAGCTCCACGATCGTTGGTATATTTGAGAGGTCAACGAGCCAACGCCCTCGCACTCGTGGAGGGAATCGGAAGTTGAGATCAGTTGGCTTTGCGTTCAAAACACCGAGGCTTGCCCTTTCTTTCAAGTACGAGCGAGCTCAGACTTTTGTGACCACCACCATAGATGCCTTTGATGAGCCATCACCCCCATCGGAAGATTCCGCGGCCCAGACTGGCTAGGCACATGGACAGGAGTTGCGTCCTAAGAGGATTCGGTTAGCAGCCCCGGAAGGATCACCCGCCCCGCTGGGTAGGCACGTGGGAACCTCAAAGTACAACGTACTCAGCTTGGGCACGGAGGTACAGGGATGCCCATCCGGGGCCAGAATAGTTGCCTTCTTCGGCCATCCGAAAATATACCAAGACAGAGAGCGGCCGCCTGCGACGCGACTAGGCTCACGAACATGTTCGTGACTCCAGCTATGTCATTGCTGAACGTGTTACTCGTCCTTGGCAGGTCGGGCGTCTCCGGCTTGCTTCCTCCCCTGTTATCTTGTGGTCACTACACCTAATTACTGGTCCCTTCAAGTGAGATATCTATGACTGTGCTCCTTCTGTAACGAGTGGCACACCTCTGGCCCTGTGGCCCACGCATTTAAAAGAATTTTAGCATTTGAAAGTCTAAATCCTGATAATCTTGACGGAATCTTAGTCTGCTCCCACAATGCGAATGCCGACACGTCCCCGGATTGTCGGTAGACCTGGCTCCGTAAACATCCTTGTCTGTCGTTGGTCATCCTGTACGTTGACAATTCTTGCAGTAGCTTCTCAGACCCATGTCTTGGCATGTAGTAGTGAGATGACCTTTGATGCCTGCTGAAAGGCGTCAGAAAAATGACTGTGGCCTTTTTCGGGGAAACATTTCAGTTCCCAAGGTGTCCCTCTTTAGAGCAGGTAATACGGAAGTACCTGCCATTGAATTCGAGGCTTTCCGTGGAGTGTCTTGCTCGACGCCCATTCCGTCCTCCTTACCAACGAGTTTTCGAGAAGGAGGACAAAATCCTATTCCTCAGCCTCCACTTCGTTACGGATGTCAATATCTGCTGAAGGCTGGGTGAACGTCAATTTAGAGAGTGAGTCTCCAAAGATCATATGGGTCCCTCCGACGTCCTCGTTATCCCTACACCCAATTTTTGAGTGTTGCAATGTAAACCGTCCTGTCCCTCTTCTCAGAACGCCTTCTTGTAGACGTATGCCTTTGTTCTTGGGCCTCTTCAAACGATCGGGTCCCCCCAGAAGTGTGAACTGGGTTGCCTCGGGTCGCTTGTGGCTATAGGGCCTTACGGAATATCGTCTCAAGTTGGCGTATTGAAATACTTTTCTTGTGAAGAACCAGTGCTGTTTCTCCCAAATATGGTGAGCAAGGGGCTCTACGTCTGGGGCCATTGTGGTGGCAAACCAACTGCCTTATTGATTCCTTGGGACGGCTGATAATGTTGACTGGAATCGTTAAGACCTATCCTGGTACTATTCACACAAGAACAATTGCAACCATTTCGGCACAGGTAGTCTGCTGTCTTGGTATATGCAGTAGCACGAAAGGAAGCAGATAGGATGGAATAGGATCTCCTAAGGGGCTCCCGCTCCTAGTAGTTGGCCAGACAGCCAGTGAAGACGAAGGGGAGATGATGCTGTGGGTCGGCCATGAATGATTGCATGGGATGCTCGAAGAAGGGCACTGGCATGCTAAAAAGGAGTAATACTCTTCGCCATTATCAAATACTAAATAGCAGAACCATGCTAAGAGAACCACGCTAAGAACTTCCCATGAATACCGAAAATATATCCGTGAAAGAACGAACTGTAGGCGAGGCTAAATTCTTTTTTAAAAATTAATCTTTTTTTTTTTTGGTTTTTTTTTGGTTTTTTTTTCAAAAAAAAAAAGACAACCACAACAACAAGCACATTTGCTAATGCTTCGTTGCTTCTCACACGACAGTATTCGCTTGACATATTGGAATCCAAACCTGGGCATGTCGGTTGATTGCGCAATTTGTGACACCGCTGCTATGCCGTTAAATTATTTGACGATTGTCGAGTGTCTTGGAGGGCGTTGGCAATGGCGGGATTGTGCAAACAGTAATTCCCAACTTCGCAGCCTTTGCAGCCCGTGAAGGCCGTAATTAGTTCTGAAGAGGAGCAACACTATTGTTCCCGACTTATTTTGACGAGTACAGCCACTTCACGAATCCATGTGAGCTTGGGACATGTAATTATTCTCTAGCCGGTTGCGTTCCAAAATTTTTCCAGTTGTCCCCATTATCCCTTGTGGTCTGGGCCGCAAGACAATTATGGATTTAATTACCACGTGAAGTTCCAGCGTGGATGAGTTAGAAGAAATGGAAGAGTTGAAACATTGTAGCTGGTAGTGGCTGGTAGGCACGGGGGTTGCAACAGTTGATGGATTAGTTAGGGTTGAGCCTCATCTATGTCCCCTATAGTGTATAGGTAGATAGGTAGGTAGGTAGATACCTATATAAGGCTACCTAAGGGGCATCTCCCACCTCTTGAGCCCTCCGAACGTCTTATTTTTCAGGGCCTCTAAATGTTCAAACACATGACTTGCAGCAAATTGGAAAAGAATTTAAGTATGTCATCACCTCGAGGCTCACCTGTGTTCTGCCCACCCATATTGAGAATTTGCACGCTCTAATTAGCTAATCTTTGTGAGATTTATGCGTGCGGTGACCAAGGCTGCAGATATCTTGTTTTTAATAGAAAAACTGGACAGAATATGGCAGGAGACTGTTTCGACGCTGAAAAACAGCCTAGGGGAGATTAGGAAGTGACGTAGGGTTAGTACGAGAAACATTTTGGAACAAGGGCAATGGAGCCAGGCCGCCTTACTCCTTCCAATAATGACCCTGGCATACGAGAATTTGAGGCTGAACAAATGGAGGCCTCGTAGCCAATACTATGGCGTGGATATCCGTCGCTTACGAGGTCGACAAGGTCAAACCTGATCGGCACAGAGTTCCAAGTCACTGCATAGAAAATGCGCTCACCACATCGCCACCAGAAGGTGTATATGTAGCTTGTAAGTCGGATCACGAGCGTGCTTCCTTGGTCCCTTAACCTGACTTACAGCCCCTCGAGTTTTCCACAAGCAAAGCCGCGGCATTGCTACTCCAATATGGGCGGAGGGGCAGTAGAGTAGACTAGACAGGTATTGATTTCAAGTTGGCTATTCCCCTAGTAGCCCAGCTGGAGGATGGAAGAACAGAGCCCTAGGTAAGAGCGGAACCCCATGGAAGAGCGGAACCCCATGGAAGAATGGAACCTCGGGCAAGTTATTCGTCAACGGCGAGTCATTCCGGAAAACCTACCTAGCTGTGCAGGGACGCTAAGGTTCTCAACTGCTCGTATAACATACCCTCAGGTACGTAAATAGGTACCTCGGTCCATGGGCAGGTACCTAGGGAGGTATACAATGGTCCGGTATACCTAAACAGGTGGTTTCCGAGCATCGCCGTGCTAGAGTTCCGGGGCCGGAAGTTAACCTCTGGTATGCACAGCCAATCAGAGGCTCCAGTTTGCACAACTTTGGCCAAAAAGGGAAGGTGCACGGTCCAACTCGATGCCCCAGACTTACACCCCCGTGACCCCATTGCCACTGCCCGTCTAGCAAGACAATTGTGAATGGGCAGCACGTAATTGTCCATCAAACCAAGTGAGCTTCCCCTGGGATGTGGATAGGTGATCTCTGTGTGCGGTAAGATGTATTCTCTTTCAATAGTCAACCTGTAAACTTCCACACCGTGGCTCTTCCGGCCGTCATCTTGCCCACCTATACACCTCGGGACATTAAATCGAGTCATCGTGAAACCTGGACTTGTTTCTCGCTCGGGCGTGAAGATTTTTAAGATTATGCTTCGCTGATTCTAAACGTAGGCACCTCGATAATCACCCGGAAAAGAAGTGTCCAGTCGATCGCTACGGCGGTGGAGACCACATGCCTTGTCATCCTCGCCTTCCTCGCCCTCTTGCCCTCTTGCCGCCCTGCGATGTTGAAAGCTTACACAGGATGAGGTTTTGTTTAGAGTTTCCCTTCTGGCTATATATTGGAAGTCCTTTCCCCCCGAGTCTCTCCCTCCCTTCTCCCCCAAACACATCACACATCACGCATCACTTCTCCAGCCAGTTGAGTACCTGTTCTACGGTTTAGAAGATCAACACTCTTACTCAAGTGCTTCTTGAAGAGTCATCATACCAGCACTTTCCCACCCCAACAACGAATAACCACTCTTCTTCTCTTTACCTCCCAAAGCTCAAGTACCACCCACCAGGTAAGCACTCTGCTCTCTACCTCCCAAGACCTCTCCTCATCTTGACCATCTGTTGCCGTCTTTTCCCAATTGCTCATACTCCTCTTCAGACTCTACACCTTGCGACCTCCACACGTCACCATGCCTTCGCCTTCGTTGAAGCGTGGTTTCCCCAGCTCTGGGTGGTCGCCCGAGCCTGCGCCCAAACGAAGACGCAGTTGCTCGTCTGACGCCTGCGATCGGTGCAAGACATCCAAGATCAAGTGTGTCAAGACGGAGTCTGGCCGCTGTGAAAAGTGCATCAAGCATGACCAGACCTGCATGGTTGTCCCGTCCGACGGACGGACAAACCATGCGGTGAGCCGGATGCTCGAACTCAAGGTCCAGCACTTCAAGAGCATTTACAAAGACTATTGCCTCCTTATGCAAGTCTTTGGCAGCGACGCGTTCAAATCCGAGCCCCGTCGGAGATTGGCGCTGAGGATACTCGAGGGTATGGACCCCGGCCACGCAGCGGCAAAATTCCGGGCACTGGGAGCCACAGACTCTACCATAGAGTACCCTCGGTTCATCCCGATCATGCCAGAAGAGGGCCGTACCACTCTTCTCGCCCGCAAGAAGAAGGAGGGAGAGTTCAGCCGTAATACTTGGGATGCCATCTGCCGCCTTCATAAAGCCCTGTTGTTGCTTATCGGATCTCGACTCAAAGATGACCGCCGCCGGATCTTCTCTCGCGTTCCACTTTATTCAACCGGCTTTGACGCCCTGGCCAGGCCCGCCGGCCAAACACCACTGCCCGAAACTCTGGTCGCTCATATTCGTCAATACGAACACGTATTGGTCGAGATCAAGGACCTCAGATCACTGATGGAGGCGCTGGAATCCTATGCTTCGGCCATGGAACCAGTCCCACATGCAGCAGATCTTGCAGTGGTGCCCATGGGGCCTAGCCTAGTGCCACAGGTGTCCGACCTCCAACAGCAACAGGGCGTATCCCAGGCATTACAAGGCCAGAATCTCCTTCCCGCGCAGACCCTTCCAGAGGTCCCTGTCCCGGCGCCCGGTCCCTCCAACCGCGCGGTACCCCAGGAAGCCTCCCAGATCGAGGTCGATATCTATGACCACAACCCATTCGACGGCACTGGGTACTTTGGGGATGCCACCTGGAAGCCCAGCGAAGAGTGGGAAAGCTGGGTGGACTTCGACGCCCCCGGTCCTCATTCATTATCACCCTATTGGGGCCAGGCGGGTCCGTGGGCAGGGACTCGGGAGGCATGATGCGGGAATGACGGGATGGACCTTGCTCTTGGGCGGCTGGATGACTGGAGGAGACTTGTTCTTGAGAGGAAAAAGGCCGGACGGCACCTATTCTTCGGAGGCTGTGGGATATATACCCGTTTGTGTTTGAGCTCCCTGTGATCGCGATGATACCACTTGCATCTAGAACGATGACCTCAAAGGCATCATGTGTATGGATTTGGCGTACTTTGTAATTTTTTTTTGGCAGGGAACTGGGACACTCCATGCAGGCAGCATGGGGATAGAAGGTCGCAAATGAATTTAAATCGAGCTCCATGCTTCACATTGATGGCCTTAGAACGACTGTGTTGTTAGCTATTCGAGGACAATCACAGTACTTCGTTCGACCTCTACTCTGTGTTAAATACTCTGAACATGGGGAAGCTGGTTTGCCTACTCGGATTTATTCCATTTCCGGTGGTGTGTAAGAGATGATTCCACTTCAGTCGGAACCATCACCTTCAACCGCTGATCAAGACGGCTGGTGGCATAGTTATGCGGCTTGAAGTGGTACGTCCTTTCCTTCGATGGCAGATCTCTCGACTTCAGATCCTTCGACTTCCTGTCGAAGAACTCTAGCTTAAGCAGCAATATTACACACGGGTTTACTATTGTTCAGCCCCCCTTTACCCGCACGACCCAAAGAACACCCGCTGCCACAGCCAGTTCCCCATCGCCCCCCAGGGGGAACCCCAGAAAGAGAGAAGAAGAACAAAAACCCCCAAGAAAACCTCCCGCACCCGACGAGAGACCTCCCTGGCGCGGGGGCGGGGGGGGGGGGGGGGGGGGGGGGGGGGGGGGGGGGGGCGGGGGGGGGGGGGGGGT